TCAGCATCGTTTCGCATGTCATCATAGAGGCAGCATGCCGGTAAGGACTGCGCCGATGAGCGAAAGAGCAATGCGCCCTGAAGGGCCAGCATCTCCGCTAGAGATGGGCACCTTGATCAAGCGCGATCAGCAGCGATCATGAAAGATCAGCAGCGATCAGCGCGATCCGGCATGGTTTCGCCAGCGCTTAGAGCAGCTAGTAGCGAACAGGCAAGCGAGCAAGGCGCTGCTCGCCATCGCAGCCAGCAAGGGCGCAGATGACATGAGTTGCAGCCACTGAGGCGCTACTCATTGTGCCGCTGCCACTGGGGCGCTGAACACAGCTCACCGGGGCTCATAACCTGTTGAGCATGCTGGGAAGCGCGCCTATACTGCTTACCTGGTGGTAAGGAGCTTGGTATGAGGCAAGCGCAGAGGTCGGTAAAAGACCTGTTATTCTTGGGGGCAGAGAGGCCCTCCTTATATATGTACAGGATGGTAGGTAGCATGTGATAATCCAGTGAACAAGTAAACAATAAACATATGATGTCAACCATGTGTGTCCACGTGTGTCCATGCGTCCGTCATGTGAGTCATGAGTCATATCATGTGACAGGCCGATTGTCCAACAGCGAGTGCGAGGTCGGGGAGCATGGCGGTGAGAGGAAAGGAAGGGGCACATGCCGTGATCATTCCTGTGCATCCGAGACGTCGCGTTGGACGAGGTTGGACGTTGCATGTGTTGGGGAACAATGAAAAAGCTTACTTTGACGTTGCAATCGGCGCTCCCACAATACGCCGACGTCGGCTGGGTGTCGATGACGACAGCGCCGCAGCGCTTGAGGCGACTACGAAGAAGGTTAGTCGTCGCGAAACGGAGTGATGAGAGCGAGCGGTGGAAGCGAAACGAGGGCTGGAGTCATCCACTCTGAGGACAGAATTCACGAATCTTCATGCGTGTTGGCAGCCGAGCTCAAGTTGCGTCTGTTCCTGTAAATCAATTCTTACGAAACTTCCAAGATCGTATCTATAGTAAATCAAGGAATATAATGTGGTATCAGCAGGTCTTACAGTAGGAGTACCCTTGGCCTGATTCCGAGGCCGTCGAGAGCATCGACAACGAGGCTCAGACGTTGGACCAATCATCCGGCCCGGCCATCCGACGCGCGTCGTGGCCGCGCGCCACTTGACTCTCGACCACCACGACGCCACCGTGCCCGCTCCCTCCGCTACCCATCTTCCCTCTCCCTTCCTTCTTGCCACCCCGCCACGCTACGAGACGCGCGAAAAACGCGCTTCAGACTCGCCTACGCATTGATCACGCCCCTATCCCCAGTCGTGCGGCGCTTGAAGACGATGCAAGCAAGGAGGAGGTTGCAGGTGCGTAAATCCGCCCCTCACACGTATTAAAGCTAACGAATATACTTTATGCGGCGCTTTGGGAACGCGTGGGGGGCGCTGCTTTGTTGTAACACGCAGGATGGCAAGCAAATGAACCCCCTCCCCACATCCGCCCTCAGACACGATCTGAGGGCGCGGGGGACTCGCTCGAGACGCGTAAAGCGTTGAGAGTGAGTTTCCAACGTCCTTCTTGCTGTTTTGCTGACACACAGACGAGTCGCGCCCTGCATTTGGCGGCTGGGTGTCGGTACTTACCCCCTCCTCTCCCTCTCCCCCCCCCCGCACAGCCTCGCCTTTGTGACGAGGCTCGGCGTAGCTGGAGATGCGCTGGGTCACCCTTGAGGGTGACTTCAGTGCACCGCGCATCTGGCTCGGTTGGCCAGTTATACCGGCCCACCGAGATTATCAGCGGGGCGGCGCCTGCGCACGCACCCCCTCTGCCGGCGCGTACATCGCGTACCACGCCTATACCATCTCCGTCCACAGTGAGGTATGGGAAGCGTGCACGGTGTATGTGCCGATAGAAGGAGCGCATGGGCATGCCTTGCCGAGAGGATCAGGAGGAGGGAAATAGCGGTAGGGGGAAGGGGGCTGGGCAGGAACGGGGAGGATATGAGCAGGGGAGAGGCGAAGAGGATACGAGGAGGAGTGGGCAGGCAGGACGGGGGCGAGACAACGGGGAGAAGGGGCGAGCACAGGCAATGGGGAATCTGGCGCGTGCCAGTACGCGCGCGCCTGCATAGCGCGCTCCTCGCCCCTCACCCTCACACCAGTCCTCGCCGCCTTCTCCGTGCGCATCAAGCACTCTATGACGCGCGTCGCAAGCGTAGCGCTACCTTTTCCACCCCCTGTCACGCTCGATCGACGCGTTGAACGCGTCGCTCGGCGCGATCTTGCACGCATTGACCATCGACCGCGCTTTTCACCCTCCTCTTCCCTCCCCTTCTCACGCCATCGTGCACGCTTACCGAGCCGTAGTGGCGCGTCGCGCGCGAGCGAGAAATCGCGCTCGTGCCTTATGTTGTTTCCCCCCCCCCCCTCCTTCCCTCTTCCCCACTCCTTAGAGTATGTACATACTTAAGATATATCGTTACATTGTTACCTTTGTCCATGACGATGCGGGGAATGGCGACGGCGCACGCGCGACGGGTACTGATGCGTCGGGCGTGCACGTGGTGCCCCCAACGCGCCATCAAAGCGCGCCCCAAGCGCGCCCATCATGATCAATCCCGACGTCGGTGAGGCGCGCACACCACCGCATAAGGCAGCAATCACGCCGCCCGGCGCCCGGCTCGCTGAGCAGCGTTGGTCGTTGGCATCTGCCGGGCTCGCCAACCTTGTTGTATGGTTTCAACCAGCAGTACGACAAGTGTCGGGCTGGTTCAAACCAACCTTACAGCATATGGTGATTCTCCAAGACCGTAAAATAGTCATAAATGAAAAAGAGCACGTCGTAGCGTCGAGAAGATGCAAAGGTCCGAAGAGGTTCCGGCAAATGCCGAGGCATCGGGACTTGGAGTTACACATAGACCAGCAAGGTGCAGCCAGGACCGTCCGACAGGTATCACTGGCAGTGACAGGATTTTATTCAGTCTAGATGTCTACGGACGTCGACTTAGAGGCATTGCACTGTGTCACCATCTTACCTCCATCCTATTTTTTCACTAACTTCCACAATAAGTTCATCCTCTGCTATGATGTGCATCTCACAGTTGAGGAAACCTCCAATAGACTACACACAAGATACAAGTAGCCCTTATGCAAGCAATGCCTCACAAGCAGCCAGCCTACTGAAGTAGCCTGGACTCCAACGCGGAAAGTGCCGGACCGTTGTGGGTCCTTGTGACACTGAAAGTCACCGGCGGCAAGTACCGATGCATCGGCACGTGCCGGAAATTCTTCTGACCTCTGTTTTTGCATATCATTGATGCTAAGAAGCTCAGTTATTGGGAAAGAGGTATCCTACCGTTCAGGTGTATACCCTTGGATGTCGAGACAGGGTCAAAACAGCACTACAGTGATGCGCCTGGCGCTGAAAACGCATTTTTGTGCCCAATATCAGAGCGATATGGCGTCTTTAACTGGCTTGACCATAAGGACTCGTATATACCTTACGACGTCGTGACTGTACAACGGGCGCGTCGTAGGTATTTTACCGAGCTATTATCAGAGAGACACTGTTTAAAAGGGCCATTTGGGAGGCATTTGACCGAGAATATACCCAGAAGACACTTCGAGGACCACTTAGAGCTCCCTTAGCCTTTCCTACCCTGGGATGTGCGACGGGGATGACATCTATTGGCTCTTAGAAGGGGAATCATCCGGGCAGTAGGCGTACCTAGCGTGCTGCTCACCCATGTCAAACACCATCCTCACTCGGTCTTATCGCTTGTCAATTTGGGCTACTGGACAGTTGTATCTATGAGGTAGCAAGGTGCGAGGACTTCATAGGACCGCAGCCGCGGTCCTCACCCAATCGCCGGGACGCGCACGAGTCACATGACCGTGTCAACTCGAACACTCACGTGCTTCGGACTTCGCCGACCGAACAATTGTGCGAAGTACCGCGCCTCACCGCGCGGTCTTCCACTCGGCTTCGGGCACGATACAAGCGAACGCAGCTGTCTTGGCGGCAGGCAACGACTGCCGAACCTATCTATACCAGAAAGGCGTCGAAGCTTAGGCGGACCCGGACCAATATGACTCGGAATTTCAACACGCAGCGCTATCCGCCATCGGCCTCACCGGAGAACGTGCGACGGCCTCGGAACGACGGAACGCGGCAGGCCAGTTGAGGGGAGGAAGGACAGGAATTGCGAGAAGCTGCTGATGCGCCTCGCGGGAATTATCCGAGATCGGGAAGTTTTCACCAACTCGAGTCATTTTGCATCGGCCGTGCGCCGCCCTACCTACCGTATATATACCGAAACGTACCTACAGTTCGGGGACTTTCGCCCACATCAGGAGCAGAGCCCTTGCAGAGCCCACACTTTGCATACAATACCAGAACTATCAGACCAGAAAAACCTTGAGAAATCTTTGAGAAATCCCTTGAAAAGACCATCTCCTTGCGTGACTACTTCTGAGAAACACTTGTGAAAAGCCTGACGAGCTGCCGCGGTCGAGGAACTAGCGCTACTTCGCGAACTTCCAAAACTCGTCTATTTGTTGGCACTATATATTCCCTAGCAATACAAAAACACGGACTCGCTGCGCTTCTAGCGAAGTAACTGTCTCGTCTTTGGGTTGTTTGTGTGGTCGTTTGGCGACTGTTGAGCGATCTCTTGCCACCTTAGGCGCGCTACTTCTCTGAAGCGTACGATCCCATCAACAGCCGGGGTGGTTGGCCGGGTATGAGCATTGGACCTATCGAGCTTTTCGCGCTCCGAACACGTGTCAGGTATTACATAGTTATGCTGACGTGAAAGGCATCTAGACCGTGATGGAACTTTAACTATAAAAGGTGAACTTCACCTTATAAGGAATCCTGCTATCAATCGAGTTCTCGTATAGAGCCAAACCTAAAGGTTCGGCAATCACAATCTCTGCGCACGGTGATCATCAGAGCACACTGTACCCACCTCTGGCTGTCCGGAGACGAACACTTCCCCTGCTCCCAGTCCCGTGCAAATCCAACACAATTTATTGCCGTAAACGACACCGGGAATTAAATCATGCAGGTGTAAGCAAAGAGCGTAAGTATATGGGTGATTGACTGTGAGTATGGTTCCGATGCTGAACGAACCGATGGATGCGAACGATGATGGACTGTTGCGTTAAACAAACAAAGGAAAGCAGCACGAGGTAGAGAGTTAGATATGTTCCTTCAGGCGGACCTTTGTGCGCCTCGACGATCGGGTTGCGACTCCACGTTATCCTGTCGCGGCCTGAGCACCCTTCTGCTGCCCACCGCCGCGGCCGGGGTCCCACTTCTGCTGCACGGGGGCAGGAGGCACGTACGTATCCGCCGGGGGATCGTACAGCGCCTCGTCGTCGTAACCTTCATCCTCTTCTTCCTCCCTGCCCTTGCCGCGCGCGTTTGCGCCATGCGCCTGCCCACTCGCAGCCGCACTCGCACGCTCCCGAGCCCTCCTCCGCCTCCGCAGGATCTTCTTCCGATTCCGGATCGCCCTTCGGTACTCCGCCTCGTCCCCATAGAACAGCTCGTACTCGCAGAACGGGCACACCCACTCGTCCGCCGGGTTGATCAGCGCGCCCTTCCCGATGCCCTTGCTCAGAAAGTTGATCGGCACGTTCTCGTCCTGCGGCGTGCTGCTCGCGGCGTGGTGCCCGCCCCCGGACGAGTGCGGCAGGCGCGAGGGCACGTAGTTGCGCAGGTGGTGCGGGTTCGACGCGTTCGCCAGAGCGGAGCGCTTCTTCTTCTTGCCCTTCGCCGGCTTCGCGGGCGGGGTGCCGGCCTGCGGGGGGAGCGCGAGGAACTCGGCTTTCTGGTCGCCGCCCGCGCCGCTCTTCTTCGTCGTGCGCATGCGCGACTTGCGATCGCGGTCGCCGGGAGGGGCGGTGGCGCCCTGGCGGCGCGAGGCGAGCGCCATCTTATTGGCCTGCGCTGCTTTGCTCGCCTGTCGCGCGAGCTCGGCCTCGAAGCGTGCGCGCAGCGCGTTCACCTCTTCCTTGGTTGTGATCAAGCGCTCGGCAGCTAGGAGTGCGAGGAAAGGAGGAAAAAACGGTAAGTAGCTGGCGATCTCACGCGCGCGAGCACTCACTAGCGCTCGGGCACTTGTACGAAAAGTCACATGTCGGAAAAGGCGCCGCATCGGGGTGGCGAAGCGCGACGTTCGCCCGCGCACGCCGCGCCTCGCGCACACGAGCGCGCTTCGACTTGCGCGTCTTGAGGGGTTCGAGGGTATGCTGAACGTCGTCCGAAGGTCCAGTTGTAGTCGTTGTAGTATTAGCGCCGGTAAGCAGCGACGAAGCTGCACCACCTAGATAGCCGGATGCGCCCGAGCCAAGCGGCCAGCTCGCTTCAAGCGCTTGATCGAGAGCTTGCGCATCTCCCTGGGAGAGTGCTCCAAGGACTGCTGTGAGCTGGCGCTTGCGCGTCCTGAGCATGTCCTTATGCTGCAGTCCCGCAAGCGTGACCAGACTGAGCGTCCGTCCCAGCCGCGCACGCTTATTGGCCGTGCGCGTGAGGCGCTTCGTGAGCGCGCTGAGCGTCGTCGCTACCGTATTGGTATCAAGCGCCGCCGCGCTCGGCGGCACGCCGATCGTGGCAAACGAGTATTGTGGCGGGGGCTGGTCCACGGGCGGCGCCTGTGGCGCGCCCTGCGCTGCCGCGGAGGTGAGCTGCGACGCCCCATGGAGCCCCCCGCGGTCGTGATCGGGATCGTCCTCGCCACCGGAGAGGCCAGCCTTGGGCACCTTGCGCTTCTTCGTGTTCCCGGGCTGCTGCAGGTGATCGATGTAGTCGCCCTCGGACGGATCGTCGTCCGCCTCGCGCGGGGCGGCGCCCGGGTCGTGCGCGCGGAGATTCGCGGCGCCTGGGGCGAAGTACGCGGCGTCGCTGTCCTGTGGCAAGTCGGGCGGGGCGGGAGGCATGGGGGAGCCGCCCTCGGGGGTCGCGCCCTCGGCTGGGCTGGTGCGGCGGCGCTTGGGGAGCGGCTTGACGCGGCGGAGAGAGGGGTGGTCGGAGATGCCGTCGTACAAGAGGCCCGGCGACTCCGGGGACGACGAGGGCGCGTACATGTAGCGTATCTGTGCGCTGTGGACCGCGTCGTCAGCGTGGACTCGGCAGGCGGCGCGCGGGGGCGGGAGATGCGGGCGATGAGTAAGATGCAAAAACGGGCGGCGGCGACGGCGGCAGCAGATCGCTGGGGACGACGAGGGGAGCCACTGACGTGGACTTGCCTGAAATGGGCGAAAGATGGGCGGATATGCTTGCTGGGTCCGCGCTCTATTGTTCTCTGACCGGCAGCGGCTGTAGAGTCCGTCTATTGTTCTTTCAGGCGCCGGACGGGTGCTTGTGAAAGCTCAGGACAAAGGATCGGCGGGCGCCGAAAGCGGCAGGCGCTCCTTCTCCCCGACCGCCACGACGACAGCCGGTCCCCGCATCCATCATGACAAAGCATAGCAAGAACAACACCGCATCGTCTGTCTTTTCCTACGCGGAATACAAGAAAGCAGGGAAGGAGTATGGCTCCAAGCGCCAGCGACTGGGGAACGAGTCCATGCGACGCTTCGATGCCTGCGCACTCTGCTTGAACTCTGCACGCGATCCAGTCGCTTGTAACGAGGGACACCTCTTCTGCAAGGAGTGCGCGTATACAGACCTCTGTGAGTACTACTAATAATGTCACTACGTCCCGCGGCTAAGAGCGCAGTGACGCAGAAGAAGGATATCAAGCGCCAGAAGGACCGTCTCGATGCTATGAAGAAGGAGGCGGAGGAGGAGCGTGCTCGTGCAAGGGAAGCTGCGAGGGAACGCGTACTCGCCGACTTTGAGCGTGGCAAGCTGGGGCTTGCTGCGCCCATCCAAAGCAACACGTCCTCTGGGAGCGGGGAAGGTGTGTCATTCATACCCATTCCCCGTTGCTTGAACTCACAACCACTAGCCCGCGGGGTCAAGCGCAAGTTTGAGTTCGACACGGATGCGGTCGAGCGGTTGACACGCGAGGCGGAGGAGGCAGCATTGCGGCAAATCGAGCGCGAGCAAGCGGAGGCGCTCAAGAACAAGCTCCCCGACTTCTGGCTCCCCTCACTCACGCCAACCTACACATCATCCGGCCCCCCACGCTCTCTGCAAGACGTTAAGCTGCAAACGACATGCCGCGGCGGTGAGCCGACGCATTCTCTCGCGTAAGTGACCGTTCCCTTCATTCTGCATACCCAGCCTAATCCATGCTTAGCCTCAAAAACCTGTCCCCCGTCTCTTTCTCTACCTTTACCTCCTCCGACCCCAAAGCATCAGGCGACACCGAGAAAATGTGCCCGTCCTGCAAGAAGGGCCTCTCGAACAGCATGCGAATCTTCCACATGCGACCCTGTGCTCACGTCGTCTGCAAGACGTGCACCGACTCGTTGGTGCTGCCCGCGAAGCAATGCGTGGTGTGCGACAAGGCGCTGGGTGCGAAGGATGTGGTAGAGTTGAAGAGGGAAGGTGAGTTGGGACGGAGCATGGGTGTAACGTGCTGTGTTGACATTCGGCCATAGGCACAGGCTTTGCGGGAGGTGGAAGGGCGGAGACAGTCAGGACGGGGACAGCATTTCAAGGATGAGCATCGGTGCTGTTCCCAAGGGCAAGGGCGTGCTTATCTCTTTGTTCATCCTCATATACCGCGTACATCCGAGTCTGCAGTATATCCACCTGTTTGAACTTTCGGTCTGACGTGCGCTGAATATCTTATGTCCGCGTCGAGCTCGCGCAGCCTGTGAAAAGATTGACAGCAAGCGGCTGAAGCCCGAGATTGTGAATTTGCTGTGATCCGGGCAAAAAATAGAAACAAGCACAAGTTTGAAAGACCCGACCGTGATTTGAACACGGGACCTTAGGATCTGCAATCCCACGCTATAACCACTTAGCTATCGAGTCACGGTCGAGGCGACGGCTGCCACATCCATACTCGCTGCATACAACCCATGGGCTAAGACACGACGACACGACACGCTGCTGACCTTCACTTCTACCCTGATCATCTCCCATGGCTTCCACCGCCCCACCAAATGCGCCCCCTCAACCGCAGCCCCAGCCTCAGCCTGCCCCTGGCCAGCTGCCGCCTGGCGCCATCCGCCTAGCCCCCGGGCAGCGCCTCCCACCCGGCGCGCAACGCATCCCCGTGCCCCCACCCGGTGCGCCGCGCCCGATGATGGCCCCACAGACCGACCCTGCGCTCCTCGAGGCGCTCGACGCGACTTTTGAGCCACAACCCATCGCCTTCCATGCCCAAGAGCCGTACATGGTGCTCTGCCCGGAGCACAAGCTCGAGAAGTGCGCGGCGTGCAACGTGGACTACGTGCACCTGAACCGGCTGTCGCGGCTGCTGGCGAAGAACCCGAACTTGCGGTGCCCGCCGCCGCCGCAGGTGATGAGCAGGGAGCTGCAGGCAGCAGTAACGGGGTTGAAGGAGGAGGGGAATGTGAGTGGTGGCGTACATTGGACTGGGGAAGGGATTGCTGACGTGGGACTTTTGCAGAAACTGTTCAAGGCGGGGCAGCACCAGCAGGCGGTGTCCAAGTACACAATGGCGGCGTCTGTCGCTGTACAACGTCCGCCATGGGAGGCATCGCAGTTCATGCGCGAGGACGTGAGCGCCATTCTGTCCAACAGGTGCGTGCTGCCTCCCTCTTTCGTCCTACTCAAGGTGCTCATACTATCCTCCCCATAGAGCCGCGTCCTTCCTCGAGGTACAAGACCCCATCTCTGCTCTTGCGGACGCAAATGCCGTCGTCGAAATACGGTACGTGTCACTGTCGAATATCCCATTTGCGATTCTAATACATACTTCCCTCATAGGCGCCCTTGGTCAAAGGGTCACTTCCGTCGCGCCAAGGCCTTGCAACAGCTCGGCTCCCTCTCAGAGGCAGCAGCCGCTGCGCGCCAGGGTCTTGCCTTTGAGCCTGCCAGCGTGGTAAGTGTTCTGCCTGAGGTTCCTCCTTGCTTCTACTAACATGCATGATAGGAGCTCAAAAACCTGCTCGACGAGATTGAGCGCGCCGAAACGCAGCAGCGGGAATCTGTGCCCCAGATCACGCCCAACGGCGAGGCGTAGTTGTGTCACCACGATGGACAGCGTCGGCCTACCTTGCCCCCTCCTGTTATTTTGTTTGACTCCCTATTTATTCGGCTTGGCATTGGAATTCGTGTGCATCTTGAAAATTTGCGGTGTGAGGTGGAGGAGGGCAATGAAGCGCGTCCCTCTCTGAGTCCTCTTCCACGCTGGAGCGTCGGGCGGAAACGTCTGGGACGAACGAGATTCCTTTATGCATTCTCCCGATGCGGACATAGTACTGCGTAGTGTGCGAGCTATCAAGCCATGAAGCATAAGTCTGAGCACACAAGGCGAAGACGCGGCTACACGCTCAAGTCCAATTTCAACCTCGAAAAACGTGATCTCGCCGCGAAATGATCGTCGCACGTGGCCCTTGTTGCGCCACGCGATCCGGGGGAAGCGTGGTCGTCGGCCCGAGCCCGCAGAGCAAAGACGGTCGATCCGTCACCTGAACTCATCTCCCACTCCCCGGCGTCGCAAATCCGCGTAGTGCGACAGGGCTATCGCGGCGCTCCTATCTTTACAGACGTCTTCGTCACACCTCCTTCGTGAAATCTCTTAGTTCGACTCAGCGACACCCCTTGAAGGCCAACGCTCACATCGGAGACGAAGACATCACAAACGGAGACCGGAGACCCAAATTGGAGTGTAGCATCAGCAAAACCCACCTCACACGCAACTCGACCTATGCCCCCCTCATATACCACACCCCCGTCCGCCGCCTCTGCGCACCGACGCGAGGACTCTGCCCCCAGACGAGACGACGCGTATTTCCCCCGTCCGACCGACATTGTCTATGGTGGGCTGAACGCGGCGGCGAGGCACGATGCGATCATGCGACAAGAGTTCAACCAAAGAGAGATGGCGAGGAGGGAAGAGATGGCCAGGCGCGAGGAAGCCAGCAGAAGGGAGGACGCGGGTCGAAGGGAAGAGGCGGCGAGGCGGGAAGATGTCGTCCGCCGCGAAGACAGCATGGTCGGCGTACACATGACGGGCCCGCACCGACGTGAAGAGAGCAGCCACCGACGCGATGACATCGGCGGCTCGCACTTGGGCGGTCCGCATATTCCTGGCCCACATCGACGTGACGATATGCCGGGCCCCCATAGGCGGGACGACATTGGCGTACCCAGAGAAATAAGCGGTCCCCATATCCCAGGTCCGCACCGACGCGACGACATACCTGGACCTCATCGACGGGACGACATCAGCGCGCCTCATCGGCGCGACGTCGACATGAACCCACCACACCGCCGCGACGACATGGCGGGCCCGCACCGGGAGATCAGCATGGGGCAGATGCGGCGGGATGACATAGGGCCTGCGCGACGGGACGAGGTGGGACCGGGACGGCGAGACGAGATGGGAGGCGGCGCTTACGCGGTGGCGGGACCTAGCGGCCTGCGTGCACACGGTGCGTTTTGTTGTGTAATGTGGGCGGCGAATGAAGCTAATGGTGTTCTTTCCGATCTTGTCTCGGCCCTCTCGACGATTCCAAACTGCAACGCTTCCTCCTACGCCATTCACTCGACCTTCCGATGAATCTGCGACCTCTTTATCGACGGCACCCTTGACCCTTCGATGATCCACGCGTCTTTGGCATCCCTGCACGTTTGACTTGCATTGTCCTCTGGGTCCTATATTTGACAGGCTCCATGGAGGAGGGGAAGAAGGACAAGAAGAGGAAGGACTTGTCTGGCAAATTGGGCAAGGAGATGAGCGACCGCCGCGATGAGTGCGTTGTATTCGCCGTCTCGAGTGTCATGTTCACTGACCGTCTTGGTCTTCCTTCCCATCGCCTCCCGTTATCCCCTACTACTCTCTACTCTCCTCCTGCACACAGCGGCCGCGCCTTCGCCGAAACTACAACAGCCCTCGCGGCAGCATCCGCGACACTGGCCACCCGCCCAGCCGATCACCCCCTCTATCGCCTTCGCCTATTACCCTACTCCCTCGAACGCTCCGCTGCACTCTCCGCCCTCGACTTCGAAGAAAAGCACGCGCTGGACTGCGTCCGCGCTGCCTACTCCGACGAGCGCGCCCGCGTCGAAGGCGAGTGGCGCGCCGGCCGCGAGCGCGTCGCAGCGCGCATGCGCGAGGGCATCGCCGAGCGGCGACGCCGGGCACGCGAAGAGAAGGAGTCCGAAGGCGCCGCGGGCGAGGGTGCCGGCGCGCGCGTGGACGTGACGCGCAAGCTGCGGCGCGGGGGTACGGGCGCGGACACGCCGGACGGGGCGGCGGGCGGGGCGACGCCGGGCGCGCAGCGGGACGCGGGGATCACGGCGGGGCCGTTCCGCGACCCACTGTCGCTGAGCATCGATGAGATCCCGTCGCCGTTTGCGCTGGCGCTGGTGAATGGGGCGCCTGCGGGGGGTGCCGCGGCGGCGGCGAGCGCGAAGGGGAAGGGGAAGCGGGGTGCTGGGGGCGCGGGCAATCGGATGGCGCTGGGGCAGGCGGTGGTGCATCTTGTGGGATGCAAAGAGCAGGACATAGAACAAGACCTGGGCGAGATTCGGCGCGCGAGCAAGCGGAGGAGGCAGGCGGTTGGCGCGCCGCGGACCGTGGCCTAGCGGAAGTAGGGATTTTTTTCTTTCCTACTGGTGCGAATGTTGGTGTATATTTTCTTTTTTCTGTCCTGTGTCCTTTAAACTGTCTATAATGTATAAGCCTCGCAATGACATGGCCAGGTCAGTACTGGCTTAGCAGCGCTAGTGCAGTTGGTCTCATTAGTCAACCTGAAGCAGTCGTCAGGCATATTCTCCAGTGAGTGTCGAGACCAAGTAACGCCAATTGTCCTGGGCATCTGCGTAACGTCAAGCAGTATAGAGTTCGTTTACAGGGAGAACTCTTGGACAGAACCGCCACTCCCAGTCCATTCATCCGCGTATGGCAAGTAGTCTACCGTGGGAAAGGGTGATGGCCATAATGTGATGTCGTCGTTCGATTGCCTTATCTGTCCTTTCCGTCCACCACCTACCCTCAGGCTACTCCTTCGCATCTGCGCCGACAACGCCACTGTGAAACTGCACGGTGAATCTGACAAGCAACAGAGCGCCGTGAAGATGGAATGGGACGCACTTTGCGCTCTTCTGGGCGAGATCCCCGAGATCCCCATTGCGGTGTTCCTCAGCCATGTCATGCCGCCTGCACCGGTCGACATTGATTCTCTTGTCAACATGTTATCCGAGAAGCTTTCTACTCGGGCAAAATATGCTTGCTCTACGGCGTCGGAAGACGTACAACCCCTCGATTTCAGTTTGAAGCAATTCGCGACGCAGATATCCGCCTGCTGTGTCGAGATCGATGGAGGCTTGACGCCTTCATCTTTTCTCAGAACAATTGCTCCGTCTGGCGCTGGATCTGCACCAGTGGACTCGGAGAGCGAAGGCAATCACGTTGTTGTCGTTTCCGAGGAGCTTGCTTTGGAGTCATCCGAGAAATAGTTTGACTCTGACGACGAGATGGACGTCAGTGCTGCTTCCTGCCATGTTTTACGCCGAACCTGCCCTCACTTCAGCACAGCAGAACTCTCTGGCACTCTACGATATGGTGCAGATTATGCGCCATGATCCACGTCGCCGGTTCGTCTTTGGTCTGAGCCTTGACATCACTGCGGTCCGTCTCTGGTACATGAATAGGTCAATCACCATCGTTAGCGAACAATTTCACCTTGGAAAGGTATGTAGTAGCGACCGGATTTTCTCTGATATCTGCGTTCATTGTCGTTGGCAGGATCATCACATTCTTGCAGAGGTCTGCGCGCGTCTCTCTTTCGCAACCCTCTCGCAGCTAGGCTACGATCACACCATACAGAGGCTACCGTACGACCTGCCCGACAGGTCGCCCTCCTATCGCATTGAGGTCGGCGCCGAGGCGTACATCACGACCAGTCTCTTGGCCGATCATGCAGCGCACCACGTGCACGGACGATGCACACGCGTCTTCAGCCCGTACAAGGAGGACGATCCCGAAAAGAAGGTCATCTACGCCATCAAGGACAACTGGCTGGAGGCGGGACATAGCCTCGAGCTCGACGTTTACAACGACATCATCGCGTCGATACGGGAGCACGACTGGTCGCAGTACACCGCACCGCCTAAACGACACGATGACCTCGATGGACCGCGGTGGCAGCAGCCTGAGCTCAAGATCCCGATTGAATCGAGGCACGGGGAGGCGGGACTTGACCGGATAAGGTTTTTTGTGCCCATTTTGGAGGGTACGCGGGTCTCTGTCGAGGATGGACGGGACGACGATACGATCTCAGTTATGCTTGGAGGGTATCAGATTCCTCCCGAGGGTCCCGGGTTACGTTTTGGCGCCGATGGGCTCCAAACAGGACGCAACAAAACCATAGCACGGGCGCACCACCGTACGGTGATGCGTCTTGGAACATCCTTGAACAACATCAAGTCCGCGTCTCGGGCTTCCGGGGTTCTGGCGGACGCCGCTTATGGTAGTATCCAGCATGATATATGCGACGAGGTGGTATGCTAATCGTCATTATAGGGCTTTTTGTGCTTCATCAAGTCGGCTATTGCCATCAAGATGTCAGCCCTTACAACATCCTCGAACTCGATGGGCGCGGCGTCCTCGCGGATTTCGAGTTTGTCACGCATAGTAGCGACCTACAAGCTCGTCGTGACGCGAGAACGGTGCGTCTGTTCATACTACCGCTGCGGGGCCTGCTGATCAAGGCCGCAGGGCACTGCAAACTTGATGGCCGTCGAGGTCATGCTAGGCGCACACATCGTCCCGAAGCAAGCACACGCAAAGTACGCAGCACTGCTCCGCGAGATAGCAAAAAATCCGCAGAAGGCCGCCCAGCGATCCGATCCTTGGGCATTTTCCCCGGTGCATGACCTTGAGTCAGTGTGGTGGATCGCGCTTTGGCTCCTTTGTCGGCATACCGCAAAACCACCCCCAACGCAATCCGAGTATCAGGCAGAGGATCACAAGAGCTTCTATCTCCAGCTTTTCCCTGGCACGATGGATAGCGGCCAACGACAGCGGTTCCTCACCGCCGAATACGATCTCGCTCGCCTCTTCACAGCCTTGCCTCCTGATTGGACGGAGCGCTTGTATTACGGGGTACTCGTGTCTCGGAACGAGCTGATGCTGGCGTACCAGGAGAGACAGTCCTTCGAAAACTTCGAGAAAACGAACCCGATGTTGTGGTATGCGGTTGAGGGCATTCTCTGCGAAGCCGGTCGAGAACTTGCGGGGGAGTTTGTGCCGTTCGCCTTCTGATATCAGATGCCGTCGAAAACATACCGTGCATCCCGCTCTGTCGTAAATATGCTCTTCTGGGCTGGGGTATCATGTCCAAGAGTTGCGAAGGGGAAATAAAGGGAGGAGATCAACATACTTACTTCAACATGTATTTTGCCTTTCGGAGTTCCAGCCAACATCACAGTGATCACTTTGTGATCACATTCCGGCGATCATAACACAGACAGTGCATCTTGACCTCGCACACTACAGCAGCGTAACAGCCTGGAGGTAAGAGGACCAGCGACCTCCTGCGTCTGCTTGCATTTGGAAGAATCACCACTGCCTGTGCACGAATCTGGGCGGCTCATACCATGCTAACATGAATACCGATCGCGAATCTATCGCTCTCGCCACCCTTCCCGAGGAGATCATCTTGCAGATTCTGGCGATCTGTAGCGTACGGGAAGTACTCAGTGTCGGATGCGTGCGTGCCAATGCCAGACTCACTGCCCTCATAATCTGAACCGACCCGCTTCTTCAGACTTGTACCCGCCTGCACGCCATCACCCAGCAGAACATCCTCTGGATCATTCTTCTTCGCGACTCCCTCGCCCCCGTGTATCCTATTCCCCACGACGTCCTCGCCCCCGACCTCTCTCACGACCCAAAGACCCTTGTCAGACATTATGCAGACATCGGGCGCGCCTGGCTACGCCAGCGATCGCAGCCGCCCAAGAACATACTCCAAGGGCGGGACACGAAGGACCCGTTGCTTGGCCTGGAGCTCTTGCAGGAGCAGTGGCTGCTCATCGTGCGCGTGAGCTCGGTGGAGGTGTGGTATATTGGCACGGAGGAGCATAAGCGGATCGGAGTCCTCAGCTTCGCGGAGACTGCGAGATGGACGTCGTATGCGGCGGCGGTGGAGGATGGGAAGAATCTTGTGGTGGTGTTGACGAATGGGATGAGGTGCGTCGTGTCTATGAGCGATTATGACCACGATTGAGGAGAGGGTGTGCTGACTGAGCCTTTTTCAGTGGTCAGAGCGCCGAGCGCAACTCAGAGGTATTCCGCGTCCAGCTACGCGTACCCAAGTACAACGTACGGCCCACATCCTCCTTCGCGTCCATCCCCAATGACCCTGCGCAACGTACCGTACAATGCATCGACCCTGAGACGCGTCAGATCGCCTTCAGCCGGCCGGGGATGGTAGATATCGTTAGATATCCGCCAGACCCCCTGGATCCGAGTGAGCACCCTGCGCCATGGTTGTGTACGCTTTACTGATGGCCAGATTATCAGACTCAGCACAAGAACAAGAACCCATCCAATACGCAAGCATCTCCACCGAACGCGAAGACCTCGAAGAGCTCTGGAACGGCATCGTCGCGATCCGCTTCGTGCGCGAGCATGTCCTCATCGTCCGTGCACGATCAGTGCAGGTGTACGCGAACCCGCTTTTCTCGGGGGACCCCGAGGCGTCGACGACGGACCCACGGGCATCGCATCGCACTGCGCCTAGCTCAGCGCAAACCGATCGTCCCCCACGGACAAGCCGAGCCTCTCACGTCGCCTCCGAACCTCCACCTTGCGTGCAGCACGCCTTCCCCGGAAACTCCTTCCGCCAGGTCTCCGTTTCCGCCCTCACGCAACGCCCTGACTCGCCAAATACGTACGACGTGCAAATTCTGGCGAACGAGGTCCTGCAGGGACTCTTCCTGTTCGACATGACGCTCGTATTCCCCTCGCGCGCGAGCGCAACCGAGAAGAGCCAGGCGTCGTTACCTTCCATCCACGACATACCCCTTCCCCTCCTCGACGTCCGCCTCCGCGGCGTGTACGCCATGTCGATGAGCACGCAGCAGGATCTCAAGCTGCCGCGGAAGAGCGGTTCGGCGTTGCAGAAGCACCTGACGCGGCAGGCCATAATGCATGGTGGTCCGCCTCCTCTTATGCGCGGCGGCCAAGGGCGGCCGACGATGGCTAGCGCGTCGAACCATACGATGCCCGGATCATCTCGCCCGCTCCTGCGTGGTGGTGCAGCACGACCGATGATGCCCCCTCTCGCTGCGCCGTCGTTGACTCCCGCATCGTCCACTGCACAGCACCATCGCCCGCACGTGCAGTCCTCATCCTTCGCCCAACCCCAACAAACGTCCGTCACCCTCCACCAAGCAGCACGCGCTGAGTCGCAGTACCAGATCGTCTCCGCGCGCGGCTTCGTGAGCGCGTTCGCGCTGGGGCCGAGGGCGAGGCGGGCGGTGTGGGTGGAGAGGAGGCGCGGGAGTACGTTGAGGGAGATCTTCGCATGGGATTGGCGGGAGAGCATGGTGGAGGTGACGCCGGTGGAGGAGGATGCGGGAGGGTCGAGTGGTACCGTGGAGGAGATGGATGTCGATGGTGTGTCGCAGACTGGTGGAGCAAGGCCGGAAGGTGCTGTCGATGGGGGCCCGGGTTCTGCCACTTCAGATGACAACGATGCACCCCACGCGCTAGCCGTAGAGGCGCCCCGCGAGATGACAGGGGCGGCCGTCTTTACGCTAGAGTCTTATGACTTGCGAGGTGCGAATGCTTCTTACCCACCTCCCATCCCGTACTGACCATTCGACCAGACGACATCACCCATTGCACTTTCAGCGAGACTGAGGGGATCATCCTCTTTGGAACTCGAGCTGGTGGGGTGTTCCTGTTGAGGCCAGGCTATCATGCGGAGCTGTATGCGAGGGGGTGAAATGGTCCTGAACTGTACAGTAGACATGCATCGGGAAGTATAAATTATCTTCATTGCCTTTTCTGTATGTGGGTCGGCCAGTGAGCCCTCTCCCCGTCAAACCAGGCCAAGCTACCAGCAGTTGTACCGGACCTCAGTGTGGAGTCCCATGGCCACGACCGCCGATTCCCTGATACTCGAGCCCTTGATCACACTGCCAAGTACGACCGTGTCTCTCATTTCAGTACCTCCACTTCGACCACAAAGTCAAACACATGTCAATACTTATGCTCGCGTGCCATGCGCCAGGACGGCGTCGCAGCCGAACACGAACCGGTGTCTTCCCCTCCTGTCCTCAACCAGCTCGGTTGTGCTCTCCGTCTCCCTCTCCGCAGCTCTTATATCTTCTACGAACGGCTGGACAACCACAATTACTTCATCCGTAATAAGAACCGTGCTCAACATCTTGTGCTCGATGTGCGTTTTCCCTCTGCCTCTTATTCAGGATACTGAAGAAATACACAGCACTTCTTCCGACCTCGCTCTTATAGCTCCTTCACCGTCTTACACCATGGCTTCATCTCGCGTTCCCAACGAGCTTTTGGACCTCATCTTCAGAGACTCGCGCCTGGAGAGGCACGATGTCACGCAGTTTGCCCGCGTCTCGAAGGCCTGGCAGGCCGTGGCTACGTCTATCATATGGGAGAGTTTGACCGGCATCCTGCCTCTGATTGCACTCATGCCGGAAGGAGTATGGAGCTGGAAAGATTCCGCTGATGGCAAACTTCTTCAGGTAAAAAGCAACGACCGCGTATCCCGTGCAATTCATGATCATCGTTTAGACCTGCCTGCGACCACTGACGGAGGAAGATTGGAAGCCCGTCTACGCGCGGTCATGCCTCGTGAAGGATCTTAGGGCCTGTTCGGTAACGGAAAACCAAATCACGATTCCCTAGAATTCAAGATTCCGTTTTGATGCCGTCACGTGCACCTGCCTTTCGAGGGCGAACTTCCCACGCCATCAGCAATATCCGCTGCCGCCGAAATCCACGACAGCGTAGTGATGAATCTGAAGCGCAGAGAGCTAGGTATCCCAGAGTAGCAAAAACACAGTCTACTGCCTGTACACGAGGTTTGAAGCTCATGAACGCGAACATGGGGCATCGACGCACGAAACAACGCGAGATTGTAGTGAATGTTCGACTTGACCCTAACCCTAATTTACCGGCAGTCGCCGGACGGAATCCTCATTGCCGTATAAGGGAATTGGAATCGTGATTTCGAAGGAATCACGATTGAGATTCCGTTACCGAACAGGCCCTTACAATTCGCACGGACTACGCCCTCCGTGAATTTTGGACAGACTTTCCCCTCCAAGCCGTGCATGCAATTTCCGCATGCCTACCCGCACAATGCCTGCTGCCTAGCCTGAGTCAGCTCCACTTCGAGAAATACCTACTCTACGACAGTGGCAAGATGGACACGCTCTCCAGCAAGCTGCTTGCGATCGTCACATCGCCACGATTCACCTCCCCCGCATTGAAGGGCGCCAATTTCCATTTTGGTGTGAACACTGTCAGATGCACGGAGGCACATGCATCTCTGCTGCTCCGCACGCTCCTTGGTACATGGACCAGTGTGCGGACAGTCAACATAGAGCTGCCCGTGTACCGCCCTGATCTGCTGCCAAGTCTCGCCCAGCTACCATCGCTAGAGGTTCTTGACTTGAGCTTTGACGAGGTCGTCTATGATCTTGGGCTTCCACCTTCGCCCATGCTCCGTTTCCTCTCACTTCGCTCCCTGACCATGCGCGCCGTCACTCCGGATGTTATTACTGTCCTCATCTGCTCCTCTCGTCTTCCGTCGCTAGACACTCTCATCGGCAATGGCCTCAATTGCACGCACGCTGGGCAACTAACGCCTCTGATGCAAGCCCTCTGCCGCCACATCCCACATGACAATCTGCGCCATCTGCGCCTCCACGCACCCAGAGGTTGTCGAGTCGCACCACTGCGCTTCGAGCATCTGCGGCCGCTTGCTGCTTTCAGACGCCTTTCGCACGTGGAGATGAAGACAACGGATTGTACGATGCTGACGGACGTGGAGCACGCCGAGATCAGCTCGTGGTGGCCAGCTCTCGAGATTCTCAAGTTCACCCCGGTGATATTCGCCGTCGAGGCGTACGCAGCACGCAGTGCCCTCGTACACTACGCGCGCCACTGCCCCAACCTCCGCAAGCTTCAGATCCCTCTCATAGTACATCAGCCTATGCAGGAAACCCTGCTCGATTCGGAGACAAGCACTCACGCTCTGGAGACCTTATGGGTGGGCCAGTCGCCCTTCAAGGAGGAGCTGGTGGAGGAAGCGGTCCGGCTTATAAACGCCCTGTTTCCGAATCTGGTGGAGATCGTGTATGAGAGCAGATCATCGAGTGAGGCGTGGAATAGGATAAAGCAGGCTTTGCGCTACTGTCACTAAAGGGAAAGGTATCGACGGTTGAAGGACGGCAATGCAAATCTGGAAGGGGCAAAAGTTCAGTTCTTAGCCAGGGATTGCTGGCTGATATTCTCTTTACGCTGTGGGTACATAGTAGGTATTCTCAAGCTCTGGTCGGATTGGGCAGCACCATCGCACATCGAGCGTTCACTCATCTCAGCACGAGAGTGGCACACTTCCGCGCACAAACCACACCAAAGTTGCCTTTCACATCCTCTCATTGACTCATGTACATGTAGAATATAGGTGTCAGTATCTAGATAACACACGGCAGCGAAGTAGGATAAGAAGAGTAAGAGGGTAGGTGTCTCGTCGCTAGAAGTACAGGGTGCGTGTACTGCGTAAATCTCTATGTCGAATGTATATGATCTATAAGTCAGTCAGTCCATGGGAAAACATCGTAGCGAAACGTTGTTCGGCGTATAGGGCGCCGCTGGTCGGCGCGGTAACGAACGCCGGGAGGGCGCAGTAGGTACTAGTGACGCCTGGTCGGCGCGAAGTACGAATAACGCCTGGTCGGCGAAGCAGAACGCCGGAATGGATGCGCAATACATGTAATGTGAGAGACGAGTGCGGGGTATAGGAAAACAGGTATTGCGGCGAGGACTGACAATGCGAATGCGATGCACGTTGAATAAGATACTGCGATGCGAATGTAACGTGCAATGCGACGACGACGACGTAGAGATTGATGGGGCGAGACGAGAGACGAGACATTGTTTATGACGAGACGGAGGGTAGACGGGACAAGAACGGGAAGTCATGAGGGGGAGAGGAGCGGGAAAGGCAGCGATCAATCGACATGGCGCACATAAGGGGATCCGGGGTCATGAACACAAAGGAGGGGAGGCATAGGATATGCGTGAGACCGAGCAGCAGCTGGGTAGCTGGAGGGCGGTGGATGGATTTACCACCAGCCACCGGCAGCACCACCACCACCGCTGTAGCCTCCACCGCCTCCACCGCCGCCGTAGCGCGGAGCACCTCCACCGTAGCCACCTCCGCCAGAGTAGCCTCCACCACCGCTGTAGCCGCCGCTGAAGCCACCGCCGCCGCCACCACCGCTGGAGAAGCGGTAGTCGCGACCACCAGTGCTGCTGCCACGGCCGCCACCGCGACCGCGACCACGACCGCCGCGGTAGCCTCCGCCGCCAGAGCCGAACGCGACCTCGTGCGCGACACTCTCGAGCCACTGCGGGACCTCCTGGTTGGCCTCGCGGAGGAGCTCGACGAGCTCGCGGACGATGTTGCGGTTCGAGCGGTTGAAGAACGCGGTGGAGACACCCGTGTTACCGGCACGACCCGTACGACCGATGCGATGGACGTAGTCGTCGATGTCGCCAGGCAGATCGTAGTTGACGACGTGGGTGACGTTGGGGATATCGAGACCACGGGCGGCGACGGCGGTCGCGACGAGGATGGGCGTGCGGCCGGAGCGGAAGGTGTTGAGCGCCATCTCACGCTCGCGCTGGGTGCGGTCACCGTGGATGGACGTGGCGGGCATGCGGTGCGACAGAAGGAAGTCGCACAGGCCATCGGCCATGCGCTTGGTCTCGACGAAGACGAGCGTCAGACCCATGCCGTTGCCGCCGTTGGCAGCCGGCGCCTGGTTCGCGCTGAGGATGTCGAGCAGGACGGAGCGCTTGTCAGGGTCCTCAACGAACTCGATCTTCTGCGTGATGTTCTCGGAGGTCGAACCGACACGGCCGACGGACAGGAAGATGTAGTCCTTCAGGAAGTCCTTGGCGAGCAGCTGGATGTCGCGGGGGAAGGTGGCGCTGAACATAAGGGTCTGACGCTCATGAACACCGGGCATGTCCTCGCCCTGGACGATACGGCGAATCTGCGGCTCGAAACCCATGTCAAGCATGCGATCGGCCTCATCGAGCACGAGGTACTTGATGTTGGCAAGGCTGATACGGCCACGCTCGATAAGATCGACGAGACGACCAGGAGTGGCAGAAAGCAGGTCACAGCCACGCTCGAGGGTGCGGAGCTGCTGACCGATGTCGGCACCACCGTACACGACGCAAGGGCGCACCCAGGAACGATAGGCAAATTTGCGGGCCTCCTCGTGGATCTGCGAGACGAGCTCACGAGTCGGCGCGAGGACAAGAGCCGTAGGGTAGGCCTTGCGCTGGCGGCCGTAGCTCGCACCCTGATCGGGGGTGGGCGCGGGTCCAGCGGCGAAGGACGCCGACAGGATGGGGAACAGGAAACCACCGGTCTTACCGGAACCCGTCTATATAACTTTAGTCAGCGATATGAAGTTTTGGCACGACGCAACAACGCACCTGCGCGCAGGCCATCAAGTCACGGTTGTTAGCTACGATGGGGATCGAATACTTCTGGACAGGGGTAGGCGTCGTGTAGTGCGCCATAGCGATATTCTCCAAAAGAACGGGGTCCAAGGGAGGGTTGGTGAACTCGAGTACGGGCTCGGGGACGCCAGCGCCCGTGGCCTCAACGGGGATGTCGTCGTACTTCTCGAAGTTGATACCGGTCTGCTGCTTGGTAACATCGCCGACGTCACCGAAGAGCTCCTTCTCGAGGCGGGCGTTACGACCGCCGGGAACGTGCTTGCCGTCGCGCCACGCGCCGAAGCCGATGGCGCCGCCGCGCTCACCGCCGCCGCCGCCACTGGACCAGTTTTGGGAAGGGGGGCGACCAGGCCCGGAGAAGGAACGATTGTTGTTAAAGGACGCCGGCCTGTCTCCACCGGGAGTGAAACCACCACGGCCTGAGCCGGGGGTGCTGGTGCGAGGGGGAGCGTCGGACCTGAAACGACTTTCGGCAGTCAGTGCATGCCAACGGTACAAAGGAGGAATCGGCGTACACATCCTCGTTCGTAGATGCAGCCCGCTGCGAATTCCTCATGTGGGGAGGAACATAGGCCGTTTTGCTGAGACCGAGAGAAGCTGAAAAGAGGGTTAGCGACTGCTGCGATGTCGTATGCGTCTGTGGCTACTGCTCACCGAAGCTGCCCTCGAGACCAGTCGAGTTGTTCACGATTCCATTGCTCATATTAAGAAAGAGACGGAATGTAAGATGATTTTTTGCAGAGTGAGGGGAAGATGGTGGTTAGACGGAGAGTCTGGGGGAGCACAGGCAAATTTCGCGGAGGGAACGTCGTCGAATGAGTAAGCAGCTCTCTCACGATCACGCATTTGCATGTTCTTTTTCCCCGCAGAATGAGATCACTATCGGCCAGTGCCTAGCGCCACCGACTCACCGAGGGCCTCAGCCACTTCCATGGGGCCGACTTGACGCAGCGCACACACGCTTGACGAGGTTATGAGGTAGTGAATCGTAAGGTAGAAGTACAGAGTCCCGTATACACAGCTGTTCATACACCCATTTTCTTCAGCAATCCTTCCGCCTCTATGCACTCGTCTGGCGAGCGGAACACACGCAGCGGTATGTGCTCAGGCATCAAGTCTCTCGCCCTATACACCCGAATCTGCAACTCGTACCTCCTCCGCTCAGGTTCACTCATCTTCGGCAAAGTCTGCGAAGAGGCCGAACTCGCCACCGACGACGTCCTCGACCCCATCCGACTTGGCCTCGCAGACGGCGCCGACGCAGGCGCAAACGACGACCGCGTTGCCCTGTGTCCCGTATCTCGCCGTGGCATATACACTGGCGGCGTCCGCGCTGGCGAAGCATCCCAGTGCTCCCTGTGTTCCGGTATCGTATCCCAGCGTTCCGGTATCGCATCGCTCAGCGCCACAGGCGTCTTGATCTCATCCTCCTTCATCGATTCCGGCTCAGATACCAGATTGGGCACGAAGTACCCGTGGTCTTCTGATGCTGCCTTGGTCTTCATCGCCGTGGGGCCAGAGACCGTTCTCCTCCCATTACGTGCAGGAGGTGTCCGCACCAACGCCGTAGGCGGGCGTGGCGGTAGCGGCGGCGTGTCCGAGGCCGAAGCGTCAAGTAATCCTGCACCGAAAGGTATCATTGTAGTCGACGTGCCCGTCGGGTCGTCAAGAGGCTCGCCGGTGTTGACATCGCGGATGAAGACGCCCAGTATTTGGGATGGTCGCTCGCGGGCGAAGCTGGGAGCTGCGTCAGCAAGTGACATTCATGGCGATACAGAAAGACCTACTCAGCGTAAAGCTCAATATCCTGCTCTCCAGAGTCGCCTATCAGGATGAACTTGCACTCAGGGAAAGCATCGAGTATCTCCTGCACTCCAGCTCGCTTGCGAGTCGCTGGTGCGGACAAGAGCCCAGTGAATAGTGATCGCCCGGCGTATGACTTCAACTTGACCGAGCCTCCAGCGGTATCAGTAAGAAGCAGAGTATCTCGCGAAGGCAAACACACCTGGCGGTAACTTTGATAGCCGGAAGAACTCTTCTAAGATGGGTAGCATCTCGAATGGACCATTAGACTACACGAATATCAGCAATAGTCACCACACGTAGGTCGCGAGCACATACAACGTAGTGGAAACGTGCGCCTCGCTGGAACATGCTCTCATACCACTCGCCCATGCCAGGGATGACAATGTCGCTGAGCTCCTTGACGAACACGGTGTGAAAGACAGCACGAGCGCCTTCCGTCACATTTGCGCGCTTGACCGTATCGTCCACGTCCGAGATCACTCTCAGCCGCGAGTGCGTCAGTCGTATGCGGGTACTCGCACTGCATGTCGGCGTCTTCAGCCGCTGTGCCTCTCGTGCCTCGTCTGCTTCGGAACGATAGAAGTCGGCTTGCTGTTGCTGTTGCGCCAATTGTTGTGGTGTTGGTCTCGGAGGTAGCAAGTCCACGACAACAGCAAACTCGTGCTCTTGCCTCGCCTCGCCGAATGCGATGTGCAGGGCTTCAGGGTGCTGGCACAGGTGCTCCCAAGGTACGCGGAACAGCGCCTCGAAGCTTCCGTCAGGACTCGTTGTCACGTTCGCTGCTGCAATTGGCCCGTGGGGAGAGTGGATCGCGTTCTCCGTGGGTTGGCCCTCGGGTGCAGCGTAAAGACGTATACGCACGGGGCGTGAAGGCAGTACCGAGGACCAGAAGGGACGTAAGCGCGACTCGAGGTTGTCGTGAAGCTTCCGGAGCACTGAGTCGTCTTCGAACAACTCGGGGGAAGAGGGCCGTGGGGGATAGGAGTATCGCTCTGGAGAGGAGGACCGCGTGGATGGTGTGCGAGGCGTCGTGGGCGTTCGAGGAGGCTCGAGCTCGGCGGCCTCCTCATTCGCATGCTGGAACTCGCGGTCGAGCGCCTCGAGCTCGGCGTCTTCGGTCATGTCTTCTGGGCGTGCGGGGAGTTTGACGGATTCGAGAATGTGTTCGGTGGATTTGGTGGGGCGGAGAGTGCCATTGCCGTTGCTTTCGGCGAGCTTGGGGAGGGAGGCGAAACCTGGGGGAGGTGAGCAGGAGGACTAATTGTAGGGATCGCGCGCCTACCTTTAGCGAGGCGCATAAACGCCCGCTGGGACCTGCTCGCAAATTCTGGCGGGGAGTGCACAGATGCGAAGCCCGACACGTATACGTCGACTTCGAACGCGTCTACAGCTCTGCTCATCAGCTTGGAACATCGGTGGGGGAACGCGCTCAACACGCACCCGCATCCGGCGACTTGTACCGCCGCACCGCCCACCCAGGAAACAAGCTTATCCTCTCCAAGTCGGGGCGGTAGTTATCCCCCGGCTGTCCTCTGAGTTTCTGCCCCGCCCATTGCTTCCACGTCTGGCGCTGGCCGTGCGCGTCGGCGCCGTTGGCTTGCTGTGGAGAGGGAAGTCGGCTGAGATTCTGCTGCGCGATGCTACGCAGTGCGGAGAGGCCCGCGGATGCTGTAGACCTCCAGCTCCTCATACTGTCAGACATGATGGCGGAGGGGACATGGACGGCGCTCCATGAGGATGGGCGGAGAGATCATTATGTGCGTCAACCGGATCTGCGACGTGTGGCGTCGATCTCGCGCTCACTTTGCCGCTTTCGGCCCGACGTAACTCTTCGGCTTGCCACCATGTTCACAGTTCAACCGTGTTCAAGAACTAGCCGAGAGGCGCGTATACAGGCTTTGGTAGGGCATATCCCCTCAAGAAAGCTTCAATTTTGCTGTCGTGCAGCGAGATTGCAATACATGGATTTGGGCATCGAACAGGCGCACCGTGTCAGGTAGCCACAACCTGCACGAAGATAAACTGGGTGTATCTCAACCTCTTGGACTCAGCGTGCGGAGGACATGCAAGATCTGCACAGAGCAGGAGCTTCGTCTATTATCCATTTCGACTCCGATCACTGTTTAAAGGACCATTATCCGCATAACTGGAGAAGCTGCTCTCGTGCTCATCATCTCTTCGCCTCGACCTCCGGCGTCTCATTGAAGCTGTCCCTCGCACTACCGGCGATCTCCCCGACATCTTCCTTCTCTCCGGAGACACGGTCTCGAGCGCTCGCAACCTCGGAGAGGCTCGATGTTCCGCGGCGCGCTGCCGACACGCCCGTCGTACCCGAAAGCCAAGGCGCGGCTTTATCCTGGCGCTCTACGTCCTCGCTCTCGTGGCCGGTGTTCGCACCCTGAGAGTGGGCTTCGCTCATCGTCGTCAGATGCAGGGTCGTCTTGTCGATGACTGAAAGGTGCAGGCGAACGATGATGATGACGAGGATGGGATTCAGGTTCTGCGCGTCAAGTAAGTACGATACAGGGGCTGTAAGGAAGGATAGGCTTACTGCAAGCAATTGGCAGAATAGCGCCAGGAAGCTGCGCGCCCAATCTACCGGAGAAAGATTGACAGTGTCGACAAGCGCTAGGATCGCGTAGACGAACTATGTAAGGTAAGTATACACATAGCTTATCCGCGAACAGGAAGCGCTGACCTGTGCCGCACACAAGACCGCACCACTCTCCACCAGAACGAAGAGAATACCCTCGTTCCTCGTGATACGATTATTGGCGCTCGACTTCGACATCGTGGGGAACGCGTCTCTCATCATCCTGCGATGCTGCCTATATCGTCTCGTCAGTACGCGGCGCCAAAGCGCGAGCGTTGAGCCCACCTCGCTCTGATGGCAATGAGCAACGTCGATACGAAATTTGCGCCAAACGAGAGAAAGACCGCCGCTGAGGCCAAATTGGCCCCGAGGGAGGGCTCATCCAAGGACACTAGGATGCGCTCAGTGGCATAGACTCCCGCAAATATAGAGATGACTTGTCGCTTTGAGTGAATGAGGGCCGACGACTCCGAGGATCTCACGCACCGATATCTGCCAGGAAAAATATACCTAGAACGACGTGGGCGACATGGGACTCTCGCCAGAACACCCACGCTCTCCAGACGATCACTGCATCTCCCGCGATAAACTGGGGCTCAGCATCAGAACACAGACGCGCTTCAGACGACTCGTCTACCAAGCTCACACTCACCTGTATCGGCTGCATCCACGTCTCCAGAATAAAGTTCCAAACAGACGTATTGTCGACGTGCATCAGCCGTGCGGATAGGCCTTCATCCAGGTGCGAGAGCGTCTGACTGATCTGCCAGATCACCAATTGCCCGATCGACGCCGTGTACAACGACATGATGCAGAACAGAAAGGTCACGATGACGAGCTGGTAAATCGTCTGTCTCGTTCGTTCTCTGCGCCTATGACCGCCGTCAGAAATCGAAAGGGCACATCGGTGCAATACTCACAACAGTGCAGTGAATGCAACCGGGGTTATGCAGAGGCAGATTCCTGCGCGTATATTCGGTCAGCCGGGGTGGTCGCGCGGAGAACTTGTATGTCCACCATAGACGATGGCAATGAAGATGAGCACCGCGACGTTCTTTGTGACGTGCGTGCCGAAGATGAGCAGTCCGTTCATCTCCTCGGGCGTCATCCTGGAAGGAGCGAAGTTGGCAGTGAGTCCCACTCTAGCGACTCTTATACCTGAGGGGATGGCGGATAGAGCATGCCACAGTCGCGGCTTGCGATAGCGGCGAAGCCTTCTGAGCGGCATGACTGCTTGGTTGCGTGGGTGGTTCAAAGGTTTGGCTCAATAGTTCGCGGGTGAGCACCTGCCGGAGGTGAACCGACTAGACAATCGGCTCCCAAAGAGTGTGAGAATCGCGGTCATTGTCGTGGGCGAAAACAGAAATGGACGTATAGGGACGAGGATCCCGAGAGTATCGCATGGCATCTTCACCATGCGTCCCAGTCCAGATACCTAGCTGCCAAGCCAAGTTAGCATGGTTCGCACTATACGAGAAGATCCGCACCAGTGAGAACCGTGTCCTCTTAGACCGGTCGTTCTGCGGGGTCCAGCTCAGAGGCTGTGAATGTTATGCTTCGTAAAGTGAGTCGGCCGAGATAGCAGGGATGTCACTCCGACCTAAGAAATGATTCAGCGGCCGAGAAAGTGATAGAGGCATATAAGGAGCCCCTTGATCCATGGCTGCAGCCTCTGGTGGTTTTCGGGGTCAGGTTACAATCAAGGACCCAAAGTCGGAAAAAGCCGACCGGAGATAGCCACTTGCCATTTGAGGAAGAACAAAACATTACCACCTGCTTCTGCGCGGTGCACGCGTCGCCAACCCAAGTCTTTGAGCTCGCAGCCGTCTCTTTGACTGCCTTGTAGGTTGTGGTTCCCCTGGACGTTAAGCGGTACTGTATGAAGAAACGTGGATATGATCTCCAAAATATTGCAGTGGCATAAGGAAAGGTTAATTTACACTACAGTACACATAGGTGTGTCCATGCCCTCAAACCGTGCATCACTTGCTGTGGCGGTCCTTGTAGTATTGCTCAGCAATGTATCTGAAAAGGTGGACATCAGTATATGCTTGGACATGGCCAACGCATCACGTACCCCTCGCCACCCCAGAGCGCCAACAAACCAACGGACACCGCAGAGACGAGTCTCCTGTCCCAGGTCGGCTTGTCCCAGTTGGTGTACGAGAAGTAGCCGAGACCACCGAGGATGCCGACGTTGACTACGAAGTGGATCAGTATTTTGCCCATGCTCGAATAACGCGTTATACCCACCGAGACCCAAAAGGCCGCCAAGGACACCGGGACGCAGGATCTGCTCGCGCGCGTGCCTGTAGACGAGGGTGCCCTCCTCCTTCGCCTTTTTCGCCTCAGCCTGACCTCCAGGCGTGTTCGCGTACCACGCGGCGCCGTAGCCTTCCAAGCCCAAGAGGGCGAAGGTCGCAGCTGCGGTCGTAGACAGGACCTTGGTATCGCGGCGGTAGCCGGGGTTGACGTAGAACGCGCGTGCCGCGCCAGCCAGGAGGCCGATGTTCACTTTACGCGAGATAAATTATTGTCGCGCATATTCGACTTTTGCGACTCACCAAGCCCAACGAGACCACCAGCGACGCCGGGGCGTAGGAGGTAGCGCTTGGCGACCTCGAGGAGGTACGCGCCCTCGGCTTCGGCCTCTTGGAGTCTCCTGTTCTTCTTGTTGCCGCGGCTCGGCGAGGAAGGCATCTCGGGGAAGTTATCCATGGTATCGGGTGGGGGTGCGGTCTCGGAGGTGACGGTGGCGGGGTGCTCCTTGAAATCGGGGGCTACGACGGTGACTTTCGAGGTGTCGTCGGCGACGTTGTCCGCGTGCGGGGGCTCTGTGTTCAAGAGGGCGGGATCGGCGTGCGGCTGCGCGGTGAGGGAGTTCATGTCAGCCTTCACGCGTCTTCGCGCAGAGCGACCGCGCACTCACCTGTTCAGAGACGGGGGGAGCGTTCTCGGCGGCGACAGCAGCGTAAGACATGGTCAGAAATGGGGGAGAGTTCCTTTTATCGTGCCGAGAACCCTGCGGATGGTATATGAAGGGCGCGTAGCAGCTGACGTCACGCGCCGACGTCATTGTCGTCGCGCGTCATACCAGCGCTTTCCCGCCGTCCCTTTCTGGAGTTCTGGACCCACAACCGCGTCGACGCGCCGGCGTGACGCGCGGGAGGCTGGGGAATTACGGGCTCCCCCGCGAGGACCCGAAGAGGAGGGGAGGGAGGCGAAAGGAGCCCCGTATCGACGCGATCAGCCCAGACGCGTCGAGACATGGTACGTACCTACGCTAGTCAAAGTTGCGAACAACACGGGACGACATGAGCACTTCAGAACACCGCAACGAGGATGTGCAAAAAAATCACGAGTTACTTTGATTGCGCCTCAGCTGCCTTCGCCCTCTGCGCACACTCCTCCTCCGACCAGCCGGGCAATGGTTGCCCTTGCGCATCCTCCACCTTCTGGAAGAATCGCACAGGCAAGAACCCCCGCTCGTCACCTTCCGTCAACACCACACCATTATCCGACAGTTCGAACTTGATCCCAGCGGCAATCGCGCGGTCAACGTCGACGAAGATAAATACCTCGGACGACCGGCGCATGCCGCTGATTACATCCTTGCCGCCCTTCCCCTGCGCAAGGTGGATATGGTTGCGCTTCATTTTTGAGAGGCCTTGTTTCGCTAGAATCAACGTCAGTGACCGAACTACGAGGGAGTCAGTTTATGGAGAGGACAAAAGACCTACATATTGATTGCCATGCATGGTTCATAGTTCCATGCACGGTGACGCCTGTCGGTATATCTGCGCGCGACAGTATGGGCTTTAGCTCGAGCTTGACGGTCTAGAGAACATTCAGGGGGTTGGTATCTCTTGAAGTGTCACAAAAATTGTCTACCTGTAATGAATGCCCTTGGTTCGCCTTGATCAACCATGTACTTGGCTGTTCGAGGACCAAGTCATAGCGCTGTTTCACGTCGTCCTTCACTATTTGCTGTATCATTTCCAGCGTGACGGCTTGGGATTTGAGGCGGTTGTTGGCGAGCTGGACAGACGCTGCATGAGCCCACATATTGATGAGTTGACAAGGACGTACCAGATCATCAACCTTCACATAGCCGTCCGGGCGTATGGGTATCCCTTCCTTTTGCGCGCCGTGACGCAGGATGTAAGACAGGGTCTTTGAGAGTCGTACAGCAGGAGAGTCCTTCTCTAGACCACGCAGTTTCGAAGAACCTCCGCCACCGCCACCCCGAGGCTTGCCTTTACCTTGACCGCGTTCGGAAGATCCGGACACGATAAGTGAAGGGGTAGATGATGTAGCTGCTTCTGACATTGCAGTCTTACTGGAGTGCAGTGACCTCGACCCAACAATACGACCTTGACAGAGTCAGCCAAATCTGACAGCTGCATTCACGTTGCCACAAAAGTGGAATATGCCACACTTACTGTATAGTGCTCTAGATAATGTGTACCTCGATAGATACGGCAGGCTCCTCTGCATGCACCCTTCTAGCCAAGACCAAAAAAAATCGCAGCCTGCAATACGCAGGATCAGGCGAATCAGTGGGATGGACGTTGAGGAGAAGGATCTGTGGGAAAACGCGCCACGCGCCTGGGAACGCGATGATCGGTCACATGCCTTGTCGCCACCTTTAGACTTAGCCGCCATCTCGACGCGTCCGCCGTCCGAATTCATGAACCGTAACCCGTCGCTGACAAGGGTCAGCGATGCGACCTCCTCGAAGCTCTACAAGATGCCAAGCCGCAGCGTCATCGAGTCCGAGAAGTCTGGCCTGCAGCGCGGCAGGGGGCGCGACGGGCGCGAAGACCTTGGCATGCCGAAGCCCAAGCCCAAGCCCACGAGAAAGCCAGTGCTGAGGGACCTCTCCGACGATTCGGACGACGAGCTCGAGCACCCGTGGAAGGCAGACATCAGCGCGAACCGCATCACTAGGACCGTCAGCCCACAGACCCCGGAGGAGCTCGACCCCACATACCAGAAGAAGCGGTCGAGCACATACAAGAATCTGTCTTTCAAGAAGATCAGCAAGTCCGGGGACACGTCGGCGGCGAAGGCGTCTACTTCCAAGGCGCCTGCTGAGCCTATCGACCTTACGAACTCACCTAGGAAGCGCCGGTCCCCCTCTCCCTCCCGTCGGCCGCTTAGGCATCAATCTACCAATGCTGCTCGCTCTCCTACGCGTCGTGCGCGCGTCCCCTCTCCCCCACCCCCGATCACGGATAGACCACGAACCAATCGCTTCGTGAAACCCAAGCCCACTGCTGCTCCCAATAAGCGTCAGCCTGAGGCCAACCCGAAGTTAAACCCCTTCAGCAAGAACAAGCCCTCGCCTCCCGAGCGCACGCGTTCATCACAACGTCGGTCACCTCCGCCGCTCTCGAAGCGGACATCCATCGTGATAGACGATGAGGACTCCAGCGAGGGTGTCGAAGAGGTCGATGGCCCCGAAGAAGACGAGGAGGCATCTTTCAGCAGATCCTTGCGAAAGAGAGCCAGCATGCGGCTCACAACCCCGGAAGCGGCCCCCTTCCCAATGGACTTGACGCCGAAGAAGAGGCCGCAACCTCAGGCCTTCCCCATGTCCGACGACTCTCCCCTGTCATCCCCTCCCAAACGCGCCTCTGATCCATTCCCCATGTCGCCATTGTCGTCTCAGACGAAAGTACCTTCGTACGGAGACGACGACAGCGACGAAGATGACTTCCCAACCAGTGATCGGGTGAAGGCACAGAAGGAGCGCGCGGTTGACAAAGGGAAGGGCAAGGCGACATACGTTGCCCCTAAATCCAAGCCAAAGCCTATTCGGAAGGCTCAACCTCCGCCCTTCTCGCAGTTCGTGCCCTCTGCGCACGACGACACGCCTCGCTCGCGCAATAAGCGCTTCTCGGACGACGGCCTTAGCGAAGGCGAGCGTGATGCCAAGCGACCTAGGTCTACGTCTCCGTATGTCCAGTGCTTTCTACCTATATGCCTGACCTCATCGCACCTCAGAGCGTCGTCTGCGTACGAGCCGATAGGCGATGATGATCCTGATTGTGAGCAATCTCAGGCATGAACGTGGTACCAGTAAGCTGATCAGTCCCGTATAGTGTCTTTGGGGCCTGCTTCCCGAGACGCTCGTGAGCTATGCCCATATTGCGACGAGCTCCTACCCTCTTCACCTACGCCTACTCTCACGCGCATGCTCGAGGAAGTCGCAAAGAAGTCGCGCCCCGCACCTCGGCCGTCCAATCCCCGCGGTCGCAAAGCCCAGTTGCGGCACTTCGCCATCGTATGCCAACGACACCGCTTCGAGCGCGACGTGCTCCCCGACGCCGAACGCAAGGGTTGGCCGAAGAAGATCGACTGGAGTGCCTTACCCTCCCGCGTGCGTCACCTGCGCGACGAGCTGCAAGAGATCCTGGAGGATGAGGTCGACCATGGGGGATGCGTCTTCTGGAAGGAGCTCGCGAAGGAGATCAAGGAGAAGGGCACGCGCGCCGCGACGGGTGTCGCGGGCCAGTTCGAAAACTTTGAGAAGGTCCAGATTGGATAGTAAGTTTCCCTGCTCCTCCGCCCCCAACGCCTACTAACCAACTCTTAGCTACGGCGAACAAGGCGCCGCCATCATCACTCAGACGCTCTACAGCATGTTCCCCATGGACCTCATCGACCCCGACAAGGTCTTCCCCCTCTCCCCCAGCGAATTCCTCCAGCGCGTCCTCCTCCCGGAAGCCGGCTTACGCCTCATTGAGGAGGACCGCGCCCGTGGCGCCGCCGATGCCCTGCGCACCCTCCGCGAGAGCGCCAAGTACGGTGTCGCGATGTTCCCGGATGACTCGGGCGTGGGCGGGCGGCAGAGCTTGGGCGGGTCGGGCGGGGGCGGGGGCGTGGCGGATGGGATCGTGATGGCGCGGGCGGCGAGGAGGAGGCAGCAGATTGAGGCGGAGGAGAGGAGGGAGGAAGAAGAGGAGGCGGCGAATGCGAGGGCGAGGCCACGGCCGAAGCCGAGGCCGGTAAGGAAGGAGGCGACGGGGAGTAGTATGATGGATGTGGAGGAGGATGGGGGCGCGGGTGCAGGTGCGGGGGCAGACAATGGGGGATCCAGGGGTGGGCGCTGCTCGTCGGATATGGATATGGAGAGCGACGACGATGGGTGGTTGAGCAGGCAGAGGCTGCCTTCGACGGCAGGCTCGACGGGCGAGATGGATGTGGACGTGGAGCAGACACCGAAGCCTGCGAAGGTGTGGGAGGCGCCGGAGCCGACGAGGAAGAGCGGCCGGATACCGCGGATGCGCTCGGCGAGCGTGCAGCCCAAAGATTCACCGAAGCGGGTCTCGCGCTCACGGTCGACCAGCGTGCAGCCGGACGGCGACGTAATCGAACTCAGCTCCGAGGACACCGACGAGGAGAACGCGCCGAGGGGCAAGCGGGCCAGCCAACGGAGCAAACCCTCGAGTCATCTCGGCAAACCTTCGAGCCAGCGTAGCTGCCCACCGAGCAAGCCTCCCAGCCAGCAAAGCAAGCCCTCTAGTCATCGCCAGCCCTCGAGTAGGCCAGCGTCGAGGGCGGCCTCGGTAACCAGCGACAATTCATCGTCATTCGAGTCTCTTCCACTTCCGCCCGCCAAACCTGCTTCCGGGTTAGCAGCTGCGAGGGCGAGGCTTGCGGGTACGTTGTCCCATCTGGCGTGTGGCAAAGTAACAATGGCTGACGCATCTTCTCCAGCGCGCAGACAGCAATCCGAGGACCGTCAATTGTCTGCGAAGAATAGCTTGGATTGGCTGCTGAGCGACGAGTAGCTTGGAGCTTGGTTATTTCTCTGCCCTTCTCTTCGTTGCTGATGATGATGAGATGCCTCTCCTGCGATGCCTACGCTGCTGCGCCTTGATCTTGTTATGCTACTTATCGTCTCGTAGACTATCAGTAAATGAGACGAATAATGTACCTACATTCTTACTATTGCTTATTCGCTGCGTATCGAAGTCCGGAAGCCTGCGTATGTGGAAGAGGCCCGCGCGCCGCTTGTTTGCCTCATTCCATGCCACCAACATTCAGGCTTAAGTTATTCAGAGTTGCACTATATGCAGATGATCATTGCATGGATGTAGCATGATTACATGGCATACAGCCGTAGACCCAGTCCGAGACATAATTTACACTATAGGATACAAAACGAGGATAAGGCAAAACGACGACGTCGAGGCATGTGCATGCACGTAGGTGAGTGTGATATAGGAGCATGCGTCTATGAGCGCTCGCCGCGCAACCGGCGGGCGAGGGCAAGGTCCTTCGGTTGGATGGTGACACGCTTGGCGTGGATGGCAGCGAGGTTGGTATCCTCGAAGAGGGAGACGAGGTATGCCTCGGCGGCCTCCTGCAGAGCCATGACAGCGGAGGACTGGAAACGGAGGTCCGTCTGGACGAGAGTCAGCAAGTAGTAATGGAGGGGGCGGTAGTGAGACACACCTTGAAGTCCTGCGCAATTTCGCGGACGAGACGTTGGAAGGGGAGCTTGCGGATGAGGAGCTCCGTCGACTTCTGGTACCGACGAATCTCACGGAGAGCGACGGTACCAGGCCGGAAGCGATGGGGCTTCTTGACACCACCGGCGGCGGCCTGAGGGGATTGTCAGCACAAGTAGAAGCTTGGCAAAGTCGAGGCCACGCACGGCAGTCTTGCGCGCCTGCGACTTGGCAGCGAGCTGCTTGCGGGGCGCCTTGCCACCAGTAGACTTGCGAGCGGTTTGCTTCGTGCGGGCCATTGCTGAGGAGAGTAGAGTGGCTGGTGGGGCGAGCTTGACTTGGTGTTGGCGACGAAGCGGCGGTGATGGAGGTCGGGAACAAAAGGGCACGCCATATATATTTGACGGTTGTGTGATCGTGACAGACGCGTGCGTGACCGTGTTTTGTTGATCTGACGCGCTCTGTTGATCAGTCAACAAAAGGAAATCAGCACAGCCACACACGCGCCTATTTAGGCAGGCAGGCGGAATGTCCTCAGCCTCCCAACCGACTTGCCTCTCGCCCTCATCGCGCCACTCGCGATCTCAGCAACCCTCAAGTCAACCACCTTAACCAACTCTACTCTTATCAACAATGTCTGGCCGTGGAAAGGGCGGAAAGGTGAGCAGCTCGCGGCGCGCTTGGGTGGCTGGGACTTGGTGACTGACGGTGGATGCAGGGCCTTGGCAAGGGCGGCGCGAAGCGTCACCGCAAGATTTTGCGCGACAACATCCAGGGTGCGTCTGCTTGATTCGGCGGCGACTTCGCCTTTGCTGACCTCGCTCTCAGGTATTACGAAGCCCGCTATTCGCCGCCTCGCTCGCCGTGGTGGTGTCAAGCGTATCTCTGGCCTCATCTACGAGGAGACTCGCGGTGTTCTGAAGATATTCCTTGAGAACGTGCGTTGATTACCCCCTTCCATTCTGCGCCCCTCGCTGACTTGCCATCAGGTCATCCGCGACTCTGTTACCTACACTGAGCACGCGAAGCGCAAGACTGTCACTGCGCTCGACGTCGTCTACGCCTTGAAGCGCTCAGGGAAGACGCTCTACGGCTTTGGTGCATGATGGATTTTTGGGACCTGGTTTCTTTCTCGCTTTGTATCTCACTGTACACTACTGTAACACTATACTCGCCAGCACAACATCCTTACACGCGTATGCCCAGTGCGCCATGACAATGCATTGCATGCCATAACGCCCAACGAGTGAATTGCGCGACGGAAGATACGAATGAGTCATGAGAAGTCTGAGCGTCTCACTGTTGACGCAGGTTTGGGCGGTAGGCCTTCTTCCTCTTTAGGCAGGCTTTGTTGGTCCAGGGGGAATCGGGACGACTGCGCGCCACTTGTGCGCTGAACGAACCAGGGTGCAATGCAGGCACTTGCAGGAAGGTATGTGTTCTATGTATGTTCGGACTGTACCTTTGACGATGACAACAGTCAATGAGTGTAGGTCATTCCTAGGCACAGTCGAAGTCACTTGATAGTCGGTGCATTCAGTCGACACGGAGGTTCGCCTCGTTTCGGCATTCAAAGAGCTCGCTTGCGATATCTGTCCGCCAATCCTCCGTCCTCTGGTAAACAGACCCTGCAGCAATCCCGGCAAATCTCCGTCACCGCATCACCGTTCCGATACGGCTGTCTTGTATTTTAGCCCCAGCGATGGTCCTTCAGCGTCGATGGGATGTTGCCAGCTCCACTCACCGCGGCCGGTGGGGCGGAAGACGACGCGGACGATACCACGCTCGACGCCAATCAGCTTCCCAACGAGACCCTCGCGGCGATCTTCAGCTTCCTCGCGCCCTCCGAGATTGTGACGCTCACCTGCGCGTCGCGGCGCTTCAATGCGGTCGCGGAGCGCATCCTGTACTCATCGATTGCGGTGTCGGACACGGTATCTGACGCGCAGGTGCTGCCGTACCGCACGCTGCGGGTTTGCGAGGCGATCCTTCGGAGGGCGCATCTGCACGACGTAATCAAGCATTTGGGTGTGCGTTGGCATGCCGCGGAGGACTGCGACAAGGGCTTGCTTGCCCAGCCGCTGCGGGACGTCGCGTGCTGGCGACTGAGGCTGGTGCTGAACGTACTTCCCACCTTGGAATCCCTCGAGCTCCTCCTTGGTCCAGCGAACCTCGCGCCTGGTGCATCGTCACACGCCATCGAGGCCGCAATCCGCGACTGCGCGCTGCCGAACCTGCGATATTGCTCCTTCGGCGCGGAGTGGACGAAAGACGCACATCCTTACGGCCCCGTCCTCGATGCCTTCCTCGGCTCGTGTGCTGGATCCCTACACCACCTCAAACTTTACGACCATCGCGGGGCAGTCAACGTTCCTCCAGGCATATTTCCTCACCTCGTATCCTTCCGCGGGTATGCGAACACCGCCGCCTCCCTCCTGCCCAACAACTGCGTCACGTACCTCGCACTCACTGGCCAAGATTCGGACGTGACGCGCGACAACCTCCCGCGGATGGCGCTCGGGCGCGCCCCCCTGCGCTACCTCGACCTCGCGGGCATGTCCGTGCGCCCCGTGCTCCTGCGCAGCGTCGCCGAGTGCTTCCCCGCGCTCGAGGGCATCAAGATCCGCCTCGCGCTGCGGCACACGCTGCACTACGCGCTCTCTGGCATCGTGAGTCGCCCCGCGCGCGCACCGAGCACGTTCTGACCGTCGGCGCAAGCGATAGAGGCTGCTCTCCGCGCTCTCGAGCGTCCTCAGCAGCTTCCCCTCGCTCACGTACCTCGACCTGTCGCCGACCGGCGTAGACCAGGCGGCGCAGAGTTCGGCGGAGGAGGAATTGTGCGCGCAGTGGCGACAGGTGAGTCAGACGACCGGCCGCGTCGCAATACGCACATTGATTCGCGAAGGCGTGTCCGACATTGAGGACCATCGTTTTTCCATCGGAGACACAATGGATTTTGAGGGACGACGGGTCATGGGGCATGGTTCAATAGCCGCGGGTGGCATGCAGCACTTGGCATATACACAGGTCGGCGCATAATGCGCACATCGATAGCTGCAGAATCCATGGACTAACGGTCCTGAGGGGGCGCTATTATTGACCTGCAATACATAAGCAGCGTATAGACGAGTGGGAGGATACAATATCAACTTAAGGATACCCGAAAAAAACATACGGATGCCAGAAACAGCGTCCGGCCGAGGAAGAGAAAGTGCGGTATGCGAAGGGCGGGGTATCCGGGGCAAACGCCCTACTCATCGTCCTCGTCAACAAAAATGTCCCTGTAGTGCGTGACGATCGTCTCGATCGCCTGACAGAAAGGTCGAGGTCAGACTGGTCTCGCCATCCCAAGCACCATCGCTCACCAAGTTCTGCAAAAGCGTGTCTCCGGCGTCGCCCGTGGGTTGTCCGTCAGGCCCGACAGGCGGTTGGCCGAACAACGTGGGACCGAAGACAACCCCAATATTGTGACAAGTCATACCGTTCACGTCGTTGCTTTTACTTATACTGAAATAACCATAAGCAGATTAGTGAGAACAGAGTGTACCAAGTACTCACCGCGACAAGTGGCCCATAAGGTACTTCAGCGTGGCGTAATTGGGATCGGGCAGTTCGTTGACTTTCTCGTGCAGGCGTATGTGCCGCATCCGTTCTTCAGACTCCCCTGTCGAAGCCTTGATGAGGCTAACACATCCAGAGAGGGTGTCAGAAGCCTTACTAGCCGCCTGCAGGAACCCAACCCGAAGTTCGTTCGTCATAAGCGAATTTGGCAGTGACGAAAACCATTTCTTAAGCACGCCCGCGACGACGTTTATGTCTGCAAGCCACTCTGGCGACTCCAAATCCAGAGATTCAAGGTCTACAACGGGATCAGTACGATGCTTAGACAGTGGACATGACACCCTACCTTCTTCGCACTTCTGGCGCAGCCGATTCAACTGACTCTGCGTACCGCTAAGCCGGTAGATGCCATGTGTGTCCATCCCGTACTTCTCTATCACCGGGCAGAATTTCTCGACGATGCGCGGAACATCACCGCCCTCCCGCCTCAACAGCTCCGCAAGGTCAGCACCGAAGATTAGGGATCGACGATCCTGCAGGCCGTTGGGAGTAATGGGTGATGAACCAAGGGCGCCAGAGCTATTGTTGGCGAGCCTGTCTCCATGATGCACGGGCAGAGGTGGCAGCTATACGTAACCGGTATGAGCTCAAGTCGTACCGAGTGGCAGCCCACTTACGAAGCCTTCGTCCGCAGGGCCTTCGCGGCGAGGACCGGCTTTGGTGTTGTTGTGAGCGTACTTGTAGTTCTGCATGAATCTGCTGAAGTCTGCGCGATTGTCGATGGACTCGAAGGCTGCCTTTAGACCCGGTGCCGGAGCTTCTGCGGACTCCTTGAGTATAAAGCGCGCAGGGTGAGTGCTGAACCTTACCTTCGTCGGTAGGAACAAGGATAGAGCCGTCGCTTAGCACAGTGCTTTCGAATTGGAAGGAATAACGGGTAAGCTGATACTGAATGCCCAAGTCGATTTCGTCGTTGGTCTCCTTGAGGGTCTAAAAGCAAGTTGAGTGCACGAGGCCTCGCGATTGATTCACGGGCTGACCCGAAGTATGCGTGGCAGCTGCAGGTTGAAATATTCCTGCCGCATGGCCTGCGTGTCGGTGACTGCTTTCCGGAACGCATCTGACGCTGCCGACATCCGTTGACGAACGTCGTCCTCCTGCCGCTGGATCTACACGACGTGATGACTAAACTGAGCGCTCCGGCCGGGAAACGCAACCAACATTACCAGGATTTCTGCCCTTCAGGAGGAGCCCACCCTTGGCAACCGCCTTTCCGATTACGCGCTTGCCGCCTGTGTTCGCCGATCGGGCTTGAACGGGGTTATCCTTGAAGGACTCCCCCTCCTTCTGCAGGAGCAATCGCTCGAGCTCCTCCGACGTAGCATCGAGCCTGTTCTTGCTCTTATCCGTGATGGACTCTGACTCTTGCAAAGCGCGTTCGTAGCGGGTCGCGAGGTCCTTGGTCTGCCCGCGGAGGTCAACAAGGACACTAAGTGAGAGGCGAGTCCCCGCACCTGCTTCCTGCTCTTGTCTACTTCCTTCGCCAGATTTAGCAGGTCCTCGCTCGTCTCGTGCAGGCGCTGCGCAAAGCGGATCCTATTCTCCGCCAGCTGTTCGTGCACCCGGAGCGACGCCTGCCATGCGTTGACGTATGAGCTGATGATTGGCTCAGAAGGGGGATGTGATAGGATAGCGCAAGCGTTACCCCGCCTTTCCTTCGTTCGTGGCATAGGACTCGGATGTTGCACGAGCCAACTTCTGCATGCCCTTGCCATATTCCTCCTCGATCGAAGCGCGTTTCTTCAGGAATACTGCTGCCTCCTGATGTGGTGCTTAGGATCTAGTATGCAGAGTTGGCAGAGCACGCACCCGACAAGATACCATTCCCTGCTTTATTCGATCCAGAAGCAATGGTATTCCACACTGCAGCCTGATTAGATCTGCACTTGCATATCGGGCTGAGCACGTACATTCATCTCGCATAGCGCCCGCAGTACATTCTCGTCAAAGTTCTGATCCACCAAGGTCGCCGTCTCCGCGCCATTGAAGCTGGTCTCCCTGGGGTCAGGCTCCTCTGCTGTAGACAACGCGTCGGGCCAGTGCGACGGGTCCGACGTTATCGAGCCATCTATTGATCGTCTTGGGGATAAGGATGTCGTTCGAGGAAGGGAGGATGAGTCGGCGGAGTCCAAGTGCTGGGGTATGTGCGGTCGTTCATATGAGGATCCGTTGGTATGAAAGTCTGAGTGCCGATCCGTGCTCGAGCGCCGTGGGGGAGATCCGTATGTGCCGTCGTCCGTCATTGTAAGTTGAAGAAGAGAAGGTAGAGACTGAGGGGGAAGTATATGAAGGGTATGCAGGCGCCACCACAGCGCTGCTAGTCGCGGAGAATGACAACCCGCGTCTTTGTGGCGATTTGGTGGCGAATGATGCCTGATATGGGGTCCTCCACCCCCGCCCGACATCGGCAACCGCCGCGCAGCAAGTTCAACTTCGCCAGCCTCTTGGGCGATGTGAGAGGGTGCGATACCGGCTCAAGTACTCGCACAGCATATCTGAGGTCTTCCTGACTGTGAGTTTTCGCAGAGCTTCCAGGCAAGGGGCTGGATTCACAGGTGTCCCGAACTCAGCAATAGCAAGAAGGACCCAAGTTATCGCAGATATATAGGCTTCCCCTGCACACGTTCATCGACATGAAGGTTCTTGATGAGATACACAATGATAGATCTGGCCTGCAAACCTTAACTCACTCTTACAAAGCGACAATAATATCCACTACAAAGAAGAGAACTCTCAATCCATCGCCGACCGATATCCCCGGGACAGTGGTCAGTGCTGTGATTCCACAACCTTCGATCCATATGCGCTAGTCATTGCTGAGCGAGGCACGTATCGCAGACGCTGTTCGCGCCGTCTGTGAGGAGCTGTCGCTCCGGCTTCAGCCTGTTCATCGCGCCAATCAGTCAGCCCCGCAACTTGGCATGAGCGTAGCGACGTACCTCTGAGCACACGTAGCGAGACATTCGTGCTCATCAGGATTGTGCGAGCGACTAATGGCACAATCGCGCTTGTTGCAATCCGCCTGTTGTCGCACAATCACGTTAGCTGCGCACGCGCGAAGGTCGCCTGCAAGCAGCGGCACATACCTTGTGACGCTCGTAGACCTGTACATGCTGACAGGTATAGCGCCTGCAGAGAACAGCCGTGAAGCACATATCAGTATCGCGAGCGTTCGACAGCCCTTGGTGTTTTTGCAGCTCCCTGCAGGGCCACCCCGCGTTATATATCTCGAGCGTGGCCATCGACGAAAAAGGTCATGCGATGATCAACGGTCACGAACGGCCTTGTAGCATGCAGCGCAGCACATTTATTTGCAGGCTGGACCTGGGAGGCCAGAGAGTTGCGATGAATTGTGGGCGCTCTCGTGATATTCGCGGGACGAACCGAGCGCTATGAAGCCTAAGCTTCATACACATCTCGGGCAAGAACAAGGGGATCGTCGATCAAACCATAAGGGCCTGTTCGGTAACGGAAAACCAAATCACGATTCCCTAGAATTCAAGATTCCGTTTTGATGCCGTCACGTGCACCTGCCTTTCGAGGGCGAACTTCCCACGCCATCAGCAATATCCGCTGCCGCCGAAATCCACGACAGCGTAGTGATGAATCTGAAGCGCAGAGAGCTAGGTATCCCAGAGTAGCAAAAACACAGTCTACTGCCTGTACACGAGGTTTGAAGCTCATGAACGCGAACATGGGGCATCGACGCACGAAACAACGCGAGATTGTAGTGAATGTTCGACTTGACCCTAACCCTAATTTACCGGCAGTCGCCGGACGGAATCCTCATTGCCGTATAAGGGAATTGGAATCGTGATTTCGAAGGAATCACGATTGAGATTCCGTTACCGAACAGGCCCTAAACTTTGGGCGAGCCTCATTGGCACCCCAACGCTTCAGTGACGCTGGTGCAAAGCCTTGGAAAGCGCCCAGGGAGTAATAGCGGTCTTCTGGTCAGCGTCGCGAAGGGCGGACTTGATGAGCTGGGATTCAAAAATGGGCCGCGAAGTCGCACTTGAAGTGCGCTGCCGGGGCGACTCCAACCCTTTGTACTCAGGCTTTGCTCCCGTGGCCAGTGGACGAAAGTCGGTGCGAAGCAAGAGCGGTTTTCTGGAGCGGCTGATAACGTTCACGCGTTTACTATACTCACAGTAGCTCCCGATGTACTCGGACCGACCACCTAAACACGTTAACTTACTAATGCATGAAAGTCCCCTCCCCAACGTTGTATTGCGCAAAGTACTTTGCGAGCGCCAGCCGGACGACCTTGAGCCGCCGCGCCACGTCCTTCGTGTCCCCCTTCTGCACGCGGCGAAGCACGTCGAGGTACTCATCCTCGCCGCCTTGCAGCGCGCGCGTGCTGACCTCGTTCATAGTTCTCAGAATCTGCAACGCCCCGTCTTGCGAGAAAAGAAGGGCCTGATCTGCCGGCCGGCATGAGAATTCGGGGCGCAACGATATAGAGCGGACATGAGACATACCATGCTGTAGCAATTCAGCGGAGTCGCTGAGGAGGACGGCCCACCACGCCCTGGGGGCCACACCCTCCTGAAGCATCGCGACAAGCTCAGACGCAGCGTCCTGCAGCTGCCCCGCGGCGCGGAAGTCATGGAAGCGCGCATAGCAAACTGCGAACATTAACCGGTGCATGAACACCCCGCGGCTTTCACCGTGAAGTGCCCACTCCTGCAGGGACGGCGCGACCTGCGAGGCGCAGCGCACGAATGCATCGGGACCTGTAAAATGTACACGTCAGAAGTGCCCCTCGGCGCTAGGCTGTCGGCGTACCGTGCGCGATGTATTCGTTCAAAATACGGTCTATCACCCTTCCCAGCCCTGCCCAATCCTCGGCCGACTTGCAATACGAGATCGCAAGGCCGTACTCTTTCTCGTGCACGAGCGTCTGCGCCGCTATCTGTGGACCGTGAGATAACCGTATCCTCGGGTGCCACATTTGTTACGTACTCTGCATACAGTCCGACGGACATCCTCCCTCTGGTTCTCAAAGCACGTTTGGCTAATCTCCTTCAGGGCGCCGACGAGATCTCCGTGGCGGATGTCTTCTTCAACTGAGGCGTCCTCAGGCGCCCGCTTTCCGAGTCGCAGGGGCACATGCATAAGGACTTCGTCCGCCCGCAATTTGCCCTGCTCGGAGCAGGAATACATATAGGCCACGCATTGGCGCCAGAGTGTCGGGTCGGCGTGTAAGTATTCGGCGTATGCAAGGATATAGGAGTCCCGCGTCGAAAGACCCGTGCTGTGTACGTCAGTAATAAGCGCTTCAACGAAGGGACGCCACCCACCTCGTATCAAACTCGCCTTCCAAGAGCTTCAGCGCTTCCATGACGTCCGCCATATGAGCGGCCAGCCACGGGTCGAGCTGAGCGGAGTACTGCAGCGCTTTGGCGGGCAGACCCGACAGCAGGTTCGAGTGGATCATGTCCTCGTCGTATGTCGGGTCAGGTGGCAATGTTTCAAGAACCTTGCCAACAATTCCGCTGGGTTTGGATATCAGCTGCGATCGCGCGCGGTGGGGAAGGAAGCGCACGGAAGTTCCTGACGCCTCAGCCGAGGGTTCACAAAGATGCCCCATGCTGCGCACACTTCCTTCCAATCAGGCTCTTCGAACTCTTCGCAGACGCGCTGTACTATGTCGCCGCGGCCCTCGAGGATGCCCACGATGTCGCTCAAGTTGTCCCACCAGAATTCGACGTCGTCGGCACGATCGTCCTCCGGGACCCGCTCCATTTGGACGCGGACAGCCTTGACACGTTCCCGCCAGCGGTGGTGAGCCTGCATGAACTCGCGCTCTGAGTTGAAGCTCTGGAGGTGAGGCTGCGAGTTGATGATCGGTATCAGCTCCTGCGCTAGCCCAGGGAGGTTGTCGGAGGGGTGCCGGGTTAGTGTGTCCAAGAAGAAGGTTGTGGCCTTCGTGAGACCGCGGAGGGTTGTCCTTCAGACGGCTCAGTACCTTCGCACGCGTACTGAGATAGATGGGCAATGTACCTTTTCAAGTAGGTCCAGAAGTTTTCGTGTTCCCATGGCTTGTCGAGAGTGCTGAGCTGCTCGCCGTCCTCGGTCGACGGTGCGATGAAGTACATGTTCAGCCACTCCATAAGATCCTCACCGAAGGGAGCATCTTCAAAGCCAGGCTCCGGCACGAACAATAGAACGAACAAAGAGAAGACGGTTAATAACCGCTGATAATGGTCGCTGCTGAACCCTGTTGTGGTTTCCGGTCTCTGTATGAAGCGACTGACTCAGAGCACGACGAGGTCAGGTGCTGAACCCTACTTACGCTACTGTCGACCCAAATCTCCTTGATGTGCTCGACGTAGTCGACGCACAGTTTCCGAATCGCCTCCAGAACCTTGTCGTCCGCTTGCCTGCAAATCAATCAGGAACACGATGAACTCTCACGACGTTTTACTCACAGAAGTTGATTCTGCTGATTCTTCGTCTCTTTCATGAGCTCTTGGAAAAGTCGAAAGATCACTGTGGTGTCGGTGATGAACTGACTTGCGTTCAGCAAGAGCCTGTTCGAGGACAAGGGAAAACATACGGTATGTCGTTCCTTGTCCGGTAAATCTTCAAGACTACAGATATAGATTGGGTCTACATCGTTGGCGCTGCTCTTCTGGCCAGGAGCCTGATTGTAACATAGTCAATTCCTGACCCTCGGAAACAATAGAAGGACCCAACCTGTGCCACGAAAATAGCTGCCGAGTTGTTCGCGGGATTTGTGGCGACACCGAGTGTTCTCCCCGTCTCTTCTAGGTTCACATCATCTTCCAGACGGAATACCGGAGGCGTTACAACAAGGATTTTGGCGCTCGCCATGGTGGCAAGACGGGACTTCAACTTGGAACGCGACGCGCTTGATTCGATTGTGCTTGTTTGGTTGCAACCTCCGAAGGCTCGGCCCGGGTCCCGGACCTTGGACAGAACCATCACGCCGGCCAAGTCCAAGTCGATAAGTCTTGCCGTACCCTTGTTCGTGGCCTGCAATGTCAGACACAGAGGAAAATTCAGGGAGGGGGAAGGGCCGAAAGGTGAGGCATATTTTTCTATATCGCTACGTTTCCAACATGTCATTATTGAAGGCCAAAAGGCAGAAGACAAGGCGCACGCCTGCGCCGGAGCCTACGCCTCCACCCGTGCGGACTGGGCTCAAACTAAAACTCCGTCTCTCGACGACAAGACCGACGATTTCTGTCAGCCCTTTGATAAACCTGACGGATGACGTTGATGAGGAAGAAACTGGCTTTGAGGACGTACTGGACGTCTACCTACCATCTTGGTTAGATGAGCGGTCTATGATGCTCGCCTCTACGACAGAGAAGGACGTATATGTGAGCGAAGCCATGCTCCACCACAGTGTCTGTATTGATACACGGCAAGGATCGTGTCGTCCGACCTCCTACGCGCTCAGAAGCATTCAATATCCTGGGTCGTTCCGACCAGTCTTCCGCGGCCAAAATTGTCGCAAGGAAACTCATCTTGGATGTCAAGGTTAGCCCCCTGGCAAGCCCACTTGTCTCACCGCAATGACGCTCTTGATCAGGGCAAGCGCCGCGACACGGAAAACCCATCTATGATTGGGCCAATACCGCCGCCCGCCACACAAGCAGACCCAACCGTAATTGACGGGCTATACAGCATTCGGACAACGCCGTATGAGCGCACGCTGCAGAGTCGTGTTATTGGTGCCAACCCCGAATTCACGGTACCCAAAGTATGTTTCGAAATAGACTGGCACACGCAGGGTCCGTGGACAGAGGTAATGTCCGATATAAAGGAGCACTACTCCCTTCGTTGGTCAGGAAGACTGTTTCTATGCCAAGTCCTTTGTATGCTGAACTGCCTTCTAGTCTCGTTGCTGAGCCACTAGCGACGGAAAATGCCGCACCCTTGATATATACATGCTTAGCTACAGAACATCTGCCTCAAGTGCACGACCTTCTGCAACGGACGTTTTGGGACGGAATAGACGGTATGCACGCCTCTGCAACGCCTGCTTCTCCCGCCTGATGAATTCACCCAGTTAGCGATTCGTTGGAATACTCACCAGAGCGCTGTACGGTCGTCGTGCTCTACAAGCGTGTGGTGGTCGGCGTCGCCATCATGAGTTCGCCGCAGGCGACCTACATCACATATCTCGCGGTTCGCTCAGGTTGGGAGGGTTGCCAAATTGCAACGTACGCCCATTTATCCTCTTACCCGGGCTCGCACCCGTTCTCACGTCCGTGGATAACAGGAAGATGATTTACCACCTCGTTTCTCTCAACCCATACAAGGATATAACGCTCCACGTGTCTGCCAATAACCCCGCCATGGTATGAACCCTCATGGTGTCCTACCTCCGGCGCTATCCTAATGATGCCATAGCTTTTGTATAATCGCGTTGGATTCAAGGCTGAAGAGTTCGTGCTAGGGTTCTACGACGAGTTCCTACCCAAGGATGCACGAGCCAGCAAGAATGCATTCCGCCTTCGCCTTCGCCACCGCTGACCTATATGCGCTACATGCGATTCGCTTGTATACCAGTCTATTCATTCGGATTCTGGACCCCTGGTCTGTACTGTGACGACAGAAGTTCTTCTTCAGACACCCCCACGAGGAATTCATCATGCGGCAGGCACAGTGCACCAGCGTCATCTCATTGGTTGCAGGAATCAAGTAAACTAAAGTACTGAATATCGAAGCTCATCATTATAGGTATGGATTATCTTGATCGTAGCTGGTGCGTAGGTTCTGTCGTGCGCTTCATATCGTCGTGGAAGCTGATTTACTCTGATTGTTATAGCGGTCCATCGCCCTCCCCGATCAACCTTCTCGGCGTCCCCGTCTCGTGAACAAAGGCGTGTCCAGTGATATCTGCACCCCATCGCGAACGCCGCCGTCTCACACCATCAACCGCTGCGCGGTGGGCCCCGCCATGCTCACGGCGCGCGTGCGTACGCGCTTCTTCGACGGGGTGCTACTAGTAGCGACGTTCGTCGATGGGTGCCCGAGCCCGAGGCCCTTGTAGCGGGTCGCCGGACCCTCCTTCGCGGCCGAGCCTGGGGGCGCATCGAAGCTCTCCCTGCTGTCGCGTGCCGCCGATGCGATCTCGGAGTGGTACACCCACCCGGGCACGGGCTCGACGGCGGAGAGGCGGCGGCCTGTGCAGCGTTTCTTTGTCGCGCGCGTTTCGTTGGTGTCGCCCCGGCCGATGTCGAGCAGCGGGCGCATGGCAGAGGCGGGGAAGCGCGGGGGCGTGGGCATGGGGGAGCGGGGGCTGGTGGGGGGCGGGTTGGTGCGGTTGGTGGCGAGGGTGTTGCGGCGCGGGCGCGTGGGTGGCAGGTTGTGCTTGCCGCCGCCAAGGATGGGCGCCTGCAGTCTGCCGGTGGGCGAGGAGCCAGTGCCCTGGCGCTCCGGCGTCGGCTGCTCGGCCAGTGGCTTGAACTGCTCGCGCGACTTGGCAAGGAACTCGTTGCACTTGCTGAGGAACTCGTCCTCGTAGATCTTGTGGATCATCATCTTGAAGCTGAATGGGTAGGGCGAGATGTTGCGCGGCATGGGGAAGGCCTTGCCGGATTTCTTATCCTTGCCAGAACCCTTGTCCTTGCCAGACCCCTTGCCACTGTCTTCGTCCTCGTCGGAATCCGATGCATCAGCGAAGACGGCTCGCTTGCTGCCGGAGACCTTGCGGTGGAATAGAGGTACGAGTTCGGGTGGCACAGGTGGTGTCTCGACTTCGACGGTCTCCGATTCGGATGTCGCGTCCTTGTCTTCCACGCGTGGCCGCCGCTTCATAAGGCTTTCAAAGAAGTCAAAGAGCTCCGAGTACTCTTTCGCCCGCGGCGACGACGGAGGACCAGACATTAGTGGATAGTGGATAGATAGCGCGAGATCGAAGGTGGTGATGATCGTGCGAGGTGGCGGAGGGCGTCTCAGGTGGCGGAGATCGTCGTGGAAGGTGGCGCCGGCGGGAGCACGACGTGAAAGGCGCGAGTCAGCAAAAAGCGCGATATAAATACAGGGAGATATGGAGTGGCAGAAGATTAGATGAATGTAGCCAAGCCGTTGCGCATACGCAGGAGTCAAGCTGTTGCATATACACAGACCCACAGACCCATGCCTGCATTCAAGTGGCCATGTGCGTGATCTGCGCTATGACCATTGTTCCCTTTGCGGCAATCACAAAGCCTTTTCGGGACAATGACAATGCCGCAAGATGGCGATTTGAAATTCACATGCAGGGTGACAATAAACGTGCAAGCAGATGATTTTCGTCCAACAATTATGCATATATGCGCGCCATTCATGAGTTTCCTGCGTCCACGCTCAGTTCCCTGCATCCTACTGGGCGTGGACGCAAGTCTGTATCCTGCCATCATCCACCCGATCGAGCCAGACTACGGTCGAGAGGCGATCGATGGTCGGTCGTGCCGTATGACGTTCGGCGCAGGTCGCGCTGGGGGGCGATGTGGCGGACGACCGAGCGATCGAGTTGTCGAAGAGCGAGCTCCACCCGACACAGCGAAGCGCCTTCAGGTTCTGAGCAAAGAGCATGCTGGAGCGTATTTCGCGTTGTCGGACGCGCTCGGCGTATCTGAGGCAATAAGGGCAGACAGCGATGCCGGATACCGCGCCGTACGGGTCTTCGTCGCCGGTGGAGAGGTGATATTCGTCGCTATGCGCGTTGAGAAGGTCTTCATCTGAAAGGTAGATGCCGAGGTGCAGGTAGCTGAGGTTCGTGAGCGGCTTCAGAGCGTGAGAGAAGGCGGTCTACGAGCAAGGAGGTCAACAAGGAAGCCAGTAACGCATATAACTACGCACAGCGAGGTGCGTTTCATCAGCATATACGTAGGGAATCGGCGAGTGTATGGTGCAGCCCGCGCTGTCCTCGAAGCACCACCACGCGTCCTCGAGCCGTTCGGTGCAGCTGATGTAGAGATCGACGAGCAAGGGGAAGCAGCGGGAGATGAGATGGAGCATGCTGGTATCGATGCGAGGCATGGAAGTGAGCGTGAGGGCAGTCAGTTGATCGTGAGTTGCCGTGAGGGATCGAGAGGCGAGGTTGCTGGCGATAAGCTTCAAGCGAGTGTGTTGGGTCGAGAGACCTTCGTCGGTGAAGTCGACGGTGAGTTGAAGCAAGCGAGCGAGGGACGAGAGAGCATGGGCGTTCAAAAGAGCGATGCAGGTTGATGGGATGGTCAGGGTTCTTGGGGTGGATATATGCGTGAGATCGAGCGATTTCTGCGGAGCACAGGCAGTCGGCATGCTCACTTCGTCCAGCACAGTCCTCCATCCTGGTAGTAGACGCTGTAGCGCGCCTTAATCGAGGACGAAAGACGGAGCATTCCTTCCCATTGCCATTGGGTCAAAATCGCCAAGTCTCGCAGGTAAGCGCGTAGAACCAGATGTCGGATAGAGTGACAAGTCAAGGACAGAGAGCGGAGGTTCCTGGGCGCGCCAAGTGATCCAATGGGATACTTTGCTACGATGATCTGGATGATGTACTCGACGATCTCGAGGGGAATGGTGACGAGAGGCATGATGCAGTCGACACCCATGAGCAGGGTTTGCGGGGACGAGTTGAGCTTCACAAACGCGCGAGAGCCGTGCACATCGTTGCCTAGGGGAGCGCCCGAGATGATGGGAGAAGAGAAGACGAGGAGGAGGGAATGACCGCGCGCGGATCCCCGCATACTGCCCGCATAATTATGTGACCGTGAGCGTGACCGGTTCGTATCTTCTCATCGGGCTGGAAAATGTCTGGTGGCACTGGTTCGAAAGCGTTTCACAGCTAGAGACGATACGTATTTGCTGCGTTTGAACCCAAAGTCTACGATCCTGGTAGCAACTGGACCAACTGGACGAGACTTGTGTCCCTTCCGTCGCCTGTAGGTCCAGAGACACTGCCACCGGATGCATTCGGCGCTGGATCACGGAAGGAGATCCCACGCGAACTTGTTCTCACACCGGCACCCCCAGCCTATAAAACCCGGAACGTACACAAGCGAAGAATGTTCTTCTACTACTCCCTGGCGGCGTTCTTTGCATTGCTGGTCATGCGTAAGTCCTCTGTCCTCCCCGCGCTCGAAGTGATCGCTAAGTTGGCCCTTTCCCCCTTCCCCTCTTCCATTATCGCCACGTACTCCTTAATGAATCCCCGCATCGCCTACCCCAACCTCGCACGACATCATCGACGACTTGCTCGGTGCCCGCGGCGCCCCCTACAGTGTCTTTCACCTACCGTTCACGCCTCGCGCCCTTCGTGCCAGAGCGCATGCGCTCGCTGCCGATATTTGCGCGCTCGCACACGTACACGCCCCTGGCGACGTTCAACGACCAGGTCCAGGCCGGCATGTCCTCGCAAGCCTTCGATATTGAGGCAAACATCCGCGACGGCGACGCGCGCGCGGGCCTCGACGAGGTGGGAACGCGGGAGGTGATGGAGATCATGCGGACGGAGAGGGTGAAGTGAGTAGCGAGGTTCCTCGTCGTGGGCGCCCAGTGCTGACAATCGCTCCGCAGCTTCGACCAGGCGAGGTTGATAAGGCATAACAGGATACTGGCGGCGAATGGCATCGATCCCTCTGGTGCGCAGTACTGCTTGGAACCCCTTGTTCGGCGCTTACCCCTTCCCCTAGGCATGCCCATGGATCGCAAGGCCGTCACCCACCTGTAAAACCAAGACAACCCCCTGCACGTTCACCCACGGACTTCACGCCCCGCATGCCATCATCTTCCATTGTACTTTCTTGCATTGCAAACAGAAGAACACTCTACCCTACCCACCTTTAAATTCCCTTCTCCCCATCCGCTCGGCTCGCATGCACGGACATCGCCCCTGGATGACTTACAACCCATGTTTACTGTTCCTGTTCAACCATGTTCTCTCTCCCTCTTGTTTTACTTTTATTTGGGCGCGGCCTTTTCGGTCGCCTTGTACTATGCTGTTTTATCTATCGGGCTTGTATCCCTACGTAGCGTTCCTTACGTTCCAATGCGTTTTCTTGTCCTTCTGCTTGCTCTGCACAATCTATTTGTTTGAGCATACTTCCTCGTCTGAATGCTCGCGCTCTTGTCTACGGCTTATAGACGCGATAAGCGCAGCATTACTCAGCAGATCCTACTGAAATCGCGCTCGCCGTGCCATTGCGCTACACGCTGGGCGAATGTCTTCATTGGGTGAATACAGAGGAAGGCATTCAGAAGGTGATTGCGTTGACAGGCTAGAACGAAAGCGTACGAAAGCGAGGTGACAATACAGGATAGCGAAGATACAACAGACATAACAGCGAGAGCGAACAGATACAGGAAAACAGTAACTACACATGCTGGCGATAGCGAAGGTTTGCCACCAAAAAAAATCCAGGAGATAACCCACAAGACAGCGACGATTCGATAGCGGGAGAGAACACAAATAGTGGCGAAGACAACAATAGCGACGAAGACGAAGAGATAGCGACCAAGACCAGAGCGAAAATGAAGGCAAAGAACACGAAAGCGAAAGCGACGGAGAAGGTCCGATACGAAAGCAAGAACAGCGCCAGCCACTACTTCACCAATAGCTCAGACTATCCTCTGACCGCCCCTGCACCGACCACACGCGCCCTGCATCCCCAGAAGCCTTGCGCCCCAGACGTTCGACACCTCCAGGAATGGGATCGTCCGACTTGAGGAGCAGCTCGTCGTCAGAGTCCATAGGGCTGGGTCCGAGTCCAATACCTGAGTCCTGAACGGCCTCCATGTCATCGTCGACATCCATGGGGGTGGGCTCGGCAAGGCGTGAGACTGCCGTCGGTTTGTCGGGGGTGACTGGCTTTGGGGCAGAAACACAATCCTCCGTGCGAGCATGTTCCTCGACGACTGCGGGTTGCACGATTTTCATGACGGTCCCGCTGCGCTTCCTCGATGTGAGGGGAGCGTCGACACCCTTCGCTGGACCGATGACCGTCCCGCTACGCGTACGCTGTGGAAGGGCATTGTCGGAGGGGCGGATGGTACCACTGCGAGCGCGGCCAGCAGAAATAGGAGGGAGGAAGTCAGACGCGCGAATGGTCCCGCGCCTGTCCCTGCCCTGCCGTCCAACCAACGGACCCAGCTCCATCGGTCCACCCAGAGACATACGTCCGCACTCCTCCAACGACCGAGTGCGAAGAGGAAGGGAGCGGCGCATGTCTACATTGATAAGTGAGCGACGAGGCCAAAAGAGCTGGCTAGGTTCTTACCTTGACGATCATCCAGCACCATCTTGTCAAGCATGTCCTTCAGTTGAGACGCCGCTTCAGTGTCCTCTGCATGCACTTGTCGGAAAAGCGGCATCACCTCATCCTCATCCTCCTCATCGGGACACGGGGCGGCCACGAACGCGCCCAACATATCGTCCAGCTCCTCATCTTCGTCATCGACCATGGGCACATCGTAAGCCATGTGCGCATCGCGTGCGAAGGGGTCCTCATCACGATTGCCGTGGTCCGAGAACTTTGGCGGCGAGAGAAGGCTGTCGTCCGACCATTGGCGAGACTGTCGATTATACGCGGGGGACTGGTACGTCGCGAAGTTTGGCTGAGTTTGGGCGTGCAGATTCGGAACGCTCTGCGACTTCGCAAGTCCATGGCTAGGCGACATGATCGTGTCGTCAGAAGAAGCAGCTGAAGGCGACGACGGCCGGTAATTCTGCAAAGCGGAGAGACGACCGCCGAAGACATGTTCGATTCGTATCATAGCCGGCGTCGAGACAGCCTGCGGACCATCACCGGGCGGGCGAAATTCGTCGTCGGAGTCGTAGTCGAGGCCATAGATGGAAAGTTGCGAAGGAGGCCGGTTAAAGTCGATCTCAATGTCGCGGGGCTGGAAGAGGGGAAGGGTCTCAGGGTCCGAAAAACCCAGACCGAAACCATACTCGAAGCCCAAATGGTCCAGCGAGGCAGGAAAGGCAGATGGCAAGTCCAGCGAGCTCAAAGAAGCGTTAGCAAATGTCGGACGGGGCGGCTCGGGAGCAGAAGGGCGGCGTATGTGACTAGATGCGTCCTGGCGGGAAGGAGAAGTGGTCGTGCTTCGGCTGACTAGAGACTTCTTGGGACGGGGCTTGGTCGTATTCTCTGGCTGAGAGCGAGACAAAGAAGGTCCGAGCGATAGCTTAGGCGCAAGAGGGACCTTGGTGGGAGATGTGTTGCGCGACGCAGGTCTACTGCTGAAAGGGCTGTCCAGGATACTATCCCGCCGAGAGCGTGAGCGGCGCGTGGTCGACTGATTTTCCTTCAGATTGGCTGAGCCGGCGCGAGAAAGAGCGCGGCGAGGGGGAGGAGCAGGACTGAAATAGTCGGGGGTAACTGCGTTGCCACGAGACGATTTGAGCTTGAACTTGACGGAGTCTGCCAGAATGCTAGGATGCGGGGTGGTGTACGCGTCCGAAAGCTGGGTATATGCGTCAGATTTTGGCGAAGATGGGCGCGATAGAATGTTGTTAGTGTTCCTGAGGCGTTTCCGCGCGCTGTCAGCGAGTTCGTTTCCGGCGTTAGGCTTAGAGACGTTGCAGGCGGAGCGTGAGCGCTTCAGCATCCGACGTGACATTTCGGCGACAGTGATCTCTTCCGGCGACGAGGTGGGTTGAGAGCGAGGATGACGGTTCTCGTTGCCCTGCTTGCTGTACGTTGCCCGGATCATGCCGACGATGAGGGCGGAAGGCAAGCGACGACGACGACGCGATTTTGCACGTCGGGACAGACGATGACGAGTTTGTGGCGTTGTTGACGGGCGCGTCAACAAACATAACACGTCAATGATCGTCGCTGCGCTGAATTAGGCACCCAAGGCGCTTCTCCGCCCCAAGCGCAACTTGGACTCGACCACCATGGTCGCCACCAGAAAAGCACCAGTGACGCCCGTTCCAGCGCAGTCGCGGTCACAATCAACGCAGAACATACCGCGAGCGAAGTCGAAGACGCGCAACCATGTCCCCAATGCCAGCAGTCTCGCGCGAGAGGTGCGTGCGCTGATACTCAGACCCTGACTGCTCCTGAGTTCGGTTTGTCAGTTTTCGACACCGCCAACTCAACCTACAAAGACGCAATGGCGAAAGCCCAAGGTATGGTGCTCAACAACTCGGTGGTGAACCTCCTTTCACATATCGCGCAGACACGTACATCATTCATCAACAAGCTCTTCCTCTTCGCCCTCTCCTGCCTGTGCGTGTACAGCATAGCAACATGCTCGAGCGAAGACAACCTCCAACGCCCCCTCTGCCGCTCCCTATCGACATACCGACAATACGTCGTCGAGCCTTACATCATCCCTCCACTCAAGGCAGCCGTCAATCACCCCTCCGTTTCCCCCTACGTCGAGAAGGCCTACGCCGCCGAGCAGCGCGTCGAGCCCTACGTCCTCCGCGCCTACGAGATCTCCCAGCCCGTCGTCCGCAAGGCCGTCACCCTCGCCACCCCGTACGCCATCAGCGCCAAGCACCTCGTCTGGGACAGGACGATCGTCCCCCAGTACCACCGCCACGCCGTCCCCCGCTATAACGTCTACGTCCAGCCGCACCTCGACAAGTACGTCGTCCCCGTGCAGCAGGCCGTCGTGCGCTACTACGCGCAGGCGGAGCGCTACTACGGCCAGGCGCGCAGCTTCTACGACGCGCGCCTGCAGCCGCACGTCGCCAAGGCTGTCGAGATCGGCCAGCGCGTGTATGTGTTCGTGAAGCCGCGCGCGCTGCAGGCGTACACGCACGTCTACACGCGCCTCAACGCCCGGTGGCAGGTTATCAGGCCCGACGTCATGCGCTTCTCCGCGCTCTACTGGGAGCGCATGACCATGATTGCAGAGCTCTTCGGCGACCTGCGCAGGGAGTTTGTCGACCCTCACGTACTGCGCATCTGGGACAAGGTCGTCGAGCTGAGCGGCGGCAAGGTTGCCCCTTCGCAAACGACGCCTGTCACGCAGGCCACCGCAGCCGAGCCCACGCCGGAGACCCCCGCGGAGTCCGTAACCACCAGCGAGGCCAAGATTACCCCCACGACTTTGTCATCAGCAGCTGCAGGCGAAGCATCATCGTCTGTGCCGCCACCTCCTGTCGAGACGGTCTCAGAGACTGCGACCTCTGTGACGCCGTCGTCCACTATTGCCGCGCCCGCTGTGGAGACGCCTTCTGCCAGCTTCGTTGAGACTGCATCCGTCAGCTCATCTTCGCAGGCCGTCACTCAGGAGACCACTCTCACCCTATCTTCCCCGCCTTCTGCCGCCGCCGTCGTTCCCACCGATGTCATTGAGGAAGAAGATGTCGACCAATTCCTTCTGGACCTTCTCGGCGAGACTTCTGACGCCAAGGTCGCCGCCGATCAGGGTGCTGAGGCCAACGAGGAGGCGGCCGCGGACGCTGCTGAAGCCGAGGAACGTAAGCGCATTAAAGCCCAGCGCGTTGCGGAGAGGCGTGCGGACATCACCTCTCGCCATGCCAAGTGGGCAGCCGAGCTGGAGGCGCTAATCGCGGCGGAGGAGCAGGCGCTTGCCGGTGTACTGGCAGCGATCAGAGAGGGCGCGGCGAAGGAATTGAGGAAGGGCAGAGTGCTAGCGGAGGGCGTTGATGGGTCGAAAGAGGCCGCCACTGGCCCTAAGGAGGCCGTCGATGCGGCACAGGCCGAGGGCGAGCGACTGCTCAAGGGGCTCGACTCATACCTCAAGAAGGCCGCGAAGGCGCCGGAGAGCAATGATCAGGCGCGTTGGGGTCAAGTTCTGGATGTCGTAGAGGCGAAGTTCGCGGAGGCGATGGGGCGGCTGCAGGATAATGTTGCGACCTGGTACGATGAATTGCGACAGAGGGAGGCGCAGGAGGTGAGTTACTTTCCTAGTCTTTTTTGTGTCTCGCGCGTTTTGACTTGCTCGGGCGCGCTGCCGTTCGTCGTTTGTGGCAGTCGCTAACTCTCCCCCGCAGGTTCTGGACTCGGCTGCGAAGGTTAAGGCTCTCGCCGAGCGTGCGCAGGCCGACCTTGGGATTGGTTACGCCTGGCTTGACGATGTCACGTACGCTGACTGGCAGCGCTATCACGACTTGATGAGGGGTAAGCACACGCAATGTACACTCTTGATCCGTCTAATCTTCCCCTACCCCTATAGCATACGAGAAGTACGACTCTGACGCGCGCACGATTGCCAATGGCACCCACCCGCTCTCGCCCTCGGATCCGCTCGTAGGCGCCATGAGTGACACGCAGGATGACGCGATGACGATCATCGAGGGCTTCCAGGTCCGCATCCGCGACCTGAAGGCGCTCGCAAGGGATATCTACTCTGCTGTCGACAAGAAGGCGGCGAAGGCGGCTGAGGACGTTGGTGCAGGGGCGACTATTGGATCTGTCGATGCACCCGTATCAGCGCTGCCCATCGGCGAGCCCTCAGATGTCTTCGCCAACCCCTCAGAGGCTGCATCAGCACCGGAGGTGTCGATCCTGCCTATTGATCCCAGCCCCAGCGCACCGGTGCCGGGCGTGGAGGGCTTGGACAAAATCTTCGTTGGAAGGGGCGCGGAGGAGGTGAAGGAGGCTGTAGCGCGTGCGGAGAGCCTCGGGGCGAGTGTGTTGTCGAAGGGCTCGTCGGTGGCCGCAGAGGCCGTCCCTACTGTCACGCCTGACCACGAGGAGCTCTAGATGACCACGAAGAGCTTCGAAGGCTCTTTCGGACTATACTCGCAGTTTCAATGGCTGCTCATCTCGCCATGCACCCTCACTAGGGTCCCTACCCCTTCTTGGCTATCTTCCATGCAGATGGAATTTTCCATTGCCTCCTGGCTGTCTTCGACCCTGGCTGCACACCCCCGGATGACTCGGTGTATTTATGTGTAATGTCTATCGCATACATATCCCGTCGTGACCATCGCACACCGTATCGCATATTCCGTCGCTCGCGACACCGCAGTAGTAAATATTGTTGAAGGACCGGTACACATACTTACTTTACGCTTGGATGTTATGGCTACTTCAGTGTCGTTGCATCGCTTTTATACATTTTGCCTCACTCAAGAACCTGTGACTCGGTGTCAGAGGGAACGCGCAAAGGAGAGTTTGCATGATCAGGTTGACCAGGACGTGGTCAGACAATGTGAAAGTCATAGCGGAGATCCAATAAATAGGCGATGTGCCTAAGCTACACGGTGGGCTACAAGTGTACGCCAAAGCAATAGATAGCGATGTGCAGTAAAGCCAATAATATACGCACGTAGATATCAACCCACCCATCGGGACAGATCCTACAGTGATCATTCTACAGGTCGTCTGGTTCGTGATGTAGACATGGTATACAGCACAAAGGAATGTGCAGGATGGTAGAGACGCGGGTGCTGAAGGATACGGTGGCATATACTTGAGGATACGATGGCGGTTGGTCGGAGGAACAGTGGCGGGCGCTCGGACAGTGAATGCTAACCGAGCACCCGCGGTGCATGAGGTTGGCCGTTGACGACGAGGCCTCCATCCCAGGAGCCGACGCTCCAACCTTCGTCAAGGAGGGCCTTGCGGACGACGGGCTTGAGGACGCTGACTCGGTTAAGCGAGTGCGTGCCCTTTCCGGTGATGATCTTGACAGGTTTCGCTACGAGGATGTAAGTCGAGTAGTACATTTAGAAAATCTGGAGACGTACCGGGCGATGCACCTACGCGCTCGAGGATGTCTTTGACGATGATCACAGCCTCAGCAGCGGTAGTGCCATGCAGATCCAGAGTGCGGCCGTCTCGCGAGGCCCGCCTGGAGGAAAGTCAGCGTCTACTGAGGTCGAAGCAAAGCAAGTCATCTCACATCTTAGCTTCCACTGTATGCCGAGCGTGCGCAAGCGCTTCCTTTCGCGCTATCTCTTGGAACTCGCGAGCCTGCAATCCGGGTCAGTTCCACTGCACCAACAATCCCAAGCTCCAACACTTACCCTCTCTACATAGTACAAGGCCGTCTCCGCCCCACCCCTGCTCCTATCCTTCCACACCAAGCTCGCGTTCTTGAGCATCTCCGCGCGCTGCCGCATGCTCTCCTCCTGCCTTGCCTGGTAGTCAAGCTCGCCGACATCGCCCTTGCCGCCCTTCCCCAGCGCGTTGCCCGAGCCCCTGATCTTCGTCCCGTTGACGTCGCGGTTGTACGTCGGCACGCGCACGGGCTGCGGATAGGCGGGCTTGTTCTTGACCTTGCTGCCGTTGACGCGTTGCCACTGGTATGGGCTGGGCTTGTTGCGCGGTTGGGTGGTAGTCGGACCCTTCCAGCGAGCGGGTGGCGGTGCGACTGGGGGCGGGCCGGAGGGGAAGGCGGTACGGGCTGGGGTGGTTGGTGCTGAACGAGTGACAGCGGCCGCATCCGAGTAGCGGGGTACGCGAGAGGGCAGTGGCGAAGGGAGAGGGGAATGGTACGGTCCCAGTTCCATGCCATCGTCGGCAGCGAAGTCCTGGAGCATGTACAAAAGGTCCAATGCGCAATCCGCCTTGCCACCGGAGGCGCTGAGAACTAGGCGCGCATCGTCGACGAGGCGGCTTTCCTCGTCTATCGTGCGTGTCTTGTCAGAGCGTAAGACCTCCAAAATCTCAACGAGAGCAACATCGTCATCTTCGTCTACCGTGGTGTCCTCTGCAATACGCTCAAGCGCCGCCTTCAGCGCCTGGTACGGCGTGGGGTGGCCAGGGGAGTGGAAGTGGGACAGAAAGAAGGATGCCGGGCGGTCGGGAAGCAGGGTGGACAGATAAGATGAAATGGAGTTGATCTTTGTCCATATATCGCTTGAAGAGGAGGGGGAAGAGGGGGCGGACGTCGATATCGAAGGCACGCGATGGCCGTTCTGCTGACGAACGTCGCCGAATGTGATCTTGATCGAGTTGTTCTTCCCGCCTCTCTTGGGTTTTGGCATCGTAGGCGTGCGCTGGACGGAGCCTGACGGACGAGATGTATCGGGGACCGACTTCTGATTGACCACGGTGTGCCAGGACCGGTCGTCCTGCGCCTCATTGTCGCTCAGACCGTCCAGCCCGCGCTCCTCCAGCTCGCGAATGTGCTCCTGGGTGAGGAAGCGCTCAAGAATGTCCCACATGTTCGCGTCGATGTCGTCGTCGTCGGCGCTGGCGAGCATGACTGCTAAGCGCTCGGCGGAGACGCCTGGTAGTGCGGCGCTTAGGAACTCGAGGGGCGAGGAGCTATGGTCGCGGGAAGAGGATACGGACTCCCAGGAAGTACTGCTGCTCGTCGTGTCCGCATTTGACGAGGTCATGTCGGGGGTGCTAGTGCACGAATCCTCTTCGTCGGGAATCTGGAGGCGCGCCATGTCGTCGTTCAGCTGTAGATCGTCCGCGCCACACGACAGGATGCGCAGGTTGGTCCGCAATTCGTCGAGCTGGTCGGGGGAGGGGGTAATGCATCGACCATTGTCATCGCTCTGCAGCTCGTGGAGCAGCGCGAGCACGATCTGCTCCTCGAGAGGGGGACAGAACTCGGCCTAGAAAGCGCTGATCAGATGGGTAACAAGGGAGGAGGAGCAACGCAAGATAGAACCTTCAAAGACTCGTATAGCGATGTATGCTCGCTCATGGTACAAAGGCTGAATGAGGGGGAGGGTCTGAGCAGCGAGTGGGCTGGAACAAAGACTATAAACTGTGATATCACGTCACGAACCGCTTGGGATCAGCAACCCCTGCGGGGCTATGATCAACTTTCACGTGGCGAGCACCCACAAAGTCTAGGGAGGCGATTGGCGGGGAAGGGAGAATAGGCTACTCGTTGGAATATGTCTAGCATTGAGCAGGAATAATTGTAGTCATTCTTCTGAGACTGAAAGGACCTTAAAGCGAGGCGTAGCCCTGTTTGGAGCATGCGGGTGAAAACCTATCTCATACGAATGAGTCGAGCAGAGTCGAGCCGACTGTCTCCCTTTTTTGTCAGTCTGTGAGTTGGTACCACATATGTGTAACCCAACGTCGGTCAATGTGAGCGCGTAGCACAGTGACGCGGCGACACCGCCGACACGGCAACTGCGAATGCAGTAGACCGGCTGAGTAATCCAGCGTGCACTGCGGCGGTCAATTGGAGGCCATGAAGTTACTGTAAGGCATCACACCAAGCGTTCCTGCCCACAAAATTATGGCTTGAGGTAAGCGCTGATTTGGTCCAAGATATGTCGATTGAGCACGCATGTACAGTGGTAGGAGCAGGCAGGGTGTGTATGGCACAGCAAGAAAGATAAGACAGCAATACTGGAATAGATGGGTTAGATCAAGAAGTGTAGGCCGTATCGACGCGGTTGCACCGGCGATGCCAGGGATGACAGGGCCGCAAGAGGGTAGGCTATGAGCCGTTCTTCCATCTGAGGTTGGCCTCGTAGAAGTCGATGAGCTGATGGCGAGGTTAGGGTAGGCGGACGAGTGGAACGTAGCACATACAAGTTGAGGGAATTTCTCCCTCGCGGTTGCGGACGTCTCGCGGACGCGCCTGCCGTCCTTCCTGATGTCGCGGTGAGCCATTTGTCAACTTCGAGCAGCAGACAGGGACTCACAATGTGAGATAGACCATGAGCCCGTCCGGATTATCAGGATGCCTCTCGACCGTTTCGATACTCTTGATCAGGTCCTCCCAGCTATCCAATTCGCGATACTTCTTGTCCATCGCCGCCACCACCGGCAAGTCGGCGTCTTCCTCCTCGTCGTCCTCCGTCCCGTCCACCTCCATCTTCGCGCTCGCGGACCCACTCTTCGACTGCCGCTTTTTCTTCTGCGCGGGCGGCTCCTCGTCGACCTCGATGGGCTCCGCGGACACGGCCTTCGTTGAGCGCGCGCGCTTTTTGGACACCTCGGACGCGGTGCGCGGCTCAGATTTGCGCCCGCGCTTGATGCTGGTGGTGGAGGCGCTCCCGCTCTTCGCGGCCTTCTTTTCCTTTTCGCGCTCCCAGTACTCCGTTATGAGGTCCTTCGCGTTCCTGCGGGGCGCGTACGTCAATTGGACGCGTCTAAGAGCGCAGTTCAGGCAACACGTACGCTGCATCCTCCTCCGCTACCCAGGAGTTATCTGCCTCGCCGTAGCCTTTCCATTTGACAAAGTAGCCTGGGCAAGTAGTGAATAAGACGCGTCGGACGCGTTTCGCGGGCTAGGAAACGCACCGCGTTGCCTGCCGAATTTCTTCTCTTGGTGGTTGAGGATACGCTCGATCTCGTACTCCTCCTCGGACTCGTTGCCGCCAGAGTTGCTGTTATTGTCTGACATTGCACGTGTCTCGTTCGAGGCTACCGAGTGGGGGGGAGGAGGGCGAGCGCGCTGTTGCTTGGTCGCGTTTGGTTCATGCATGCGCTTGGACCAGAATCCAGATTTTGCGGGCCGAAATCTCCACCGAACAAGACCCTGCGCGATACGGCGGGGGCTCGAGGAGGGGACCATGGCTCTCAAGGGCAATACTAATGTATCCCTAGGCCTTCAAAGACATATTCTTGACAATAGCAAAATATATTACATCTTCAGTACAGGAGCGCGAACGCGGATGAGGCTCCTTTGGCTTCTATCGAAAGAGAGCGAAGAGCAGGGGCAGATAGTGCACTAGCGGCGACGCGTAGGGCTTGCGCTACGACCGCGAGCATTGCGCCGAGGGCCAGTAGGTGGGGGACGGATGAAGGCGTAGTCACATTGAATGACCTGCTCCAGAAGGGAAGAGCCCGAGGCGCCGTCGATCGCAGCCTGCGCCTCTGCCATCGTCTCGTACTCCACGAGCGCGTATCCCTAGCATCGAGCACATAAGCAGGAAGCGATTAGACAAGGAGACGAGGGAGCGCACCTTCACATAACCCGTCCGACGGTCGAGGTTCAAATGCATGTTCTTAATCTCGCCGTACTCCGCAAACTTGTCATTCACGTCCTCCTCAGTAGCCTCTTCGTGCACGTTGGTGACCATGATGATCCATCCTTCGACGGCTGCAAAGGGTAATGAATGAGCCAGATCAAAGATGAAGGAAATGTAGAACGCACATCGCTGGGCCCTGGTATCCGTCTCCTTCGTCGACTCGACGCGATCGTAGGTGTGATCGGTCCCTCCGACTTGCGAGTCACCGCCTCCCCCTGTGAGAGCACGCGCGGTCAGTGCTTGTTTGCCGCGCCTCGTAAGGAAGTACCCACTGGAAGTCTGGAAGCCACGGCCCCTGCGGCGGACGGCGCCTCCGGAGGCCACTAATAGATGGTCAGAATCACTCCGGCTTGACTTGGTGTAATACTCACCATCGTCAATGTTCATCTCATCGTCAGACATGGTTGCGGTTGGTCGTGGTGGGGGAAGAACGCGAGAGACGTTGACGCCCGACGCGTGATGTGATGCGTGACGACCTCTCGGCAACCCCCGAAAGCCGGTAAACGAGTTTGCAAATCGGGACCTCCTCTCCGCACACGTAGCTTGACGGCTGGATTAGCGCCGGCACTATCAATGTCTGGGGTTCATCGTTCGATAACAGCTCGCTCTTTTCTCTCCCGAGTCCGAGTTCCATCCCCCCATACACATCCATACAACGTCAGGCAGATGCTCGCCTTCAAGAACGCGTCGGGAAAGCGAATCCGGACCAAGCCTTTTGTCTCCTCGAGGTCGAGGCATGGCAACATCCCTGCTGTCTTGCTGACACTTTGAAAACCGGGACCCTGCGGCTGGCTCCCCATCACTTCTTGATCCTAATGTATACATGCGTCAGAGCTAATTTGTACCTCTCGGGCCATCTCATGCCCTTATAACGCGGTCTGTACGCTCATCTCCTTTTCTCCTTGTCCTCGGTACCAGGTCCATTGCCACTCTTTTCTTGAGCCTGTTCCGTGGACTACGCGTTCTGGTACGTCCGTATATATACTCATCTTGGAAGCGCCTGACTAACTCGATCATCCCTGCAGACTTATCATGCCTTTTGTTCACCAGTCGTGTCTCGTCTGTACGCGTCCCACTTCGATGTGGTGCGGGAGGTGCCATGCCGCCTGGTACTGCAGTCCTGAGCACTCGCACCAGGTGCGTGGCAATTCAATGTTCCAGGCTTCGATCTGACGCGTTCCCCAAGGACTGGCTTCGCCATAGGGAAGAGTGCATCCCCTTGGAGTACCAGACCATGTACAACGCGTCCCCTTCTGCACCCGTTGTTGCGAGCTTCTCGGACCCACCTCCGAACGACGTGGTCTTCGCCATCCTCTTCCTCCCAGAAGAAGGTGCGTTCATACGGCCCTTCTCTACCCCTCCCCAACGCTCATTCATGCCACCCAGAGCGCCCCCGCATGGTACGGATTGCCTGCTCGGAGCCCAACAAGGCCTTCGGGGGCACCTGCCCCATACCGCTCCTTGACCGCTACTTCCTCGCCGAAGAGCCCGACACCATCGTCCTCACCCAGGGCCTCAACGGCGAGACGCTGCGCTACCCGATGCACATCTGGTTCTCCCCGCACAGCCTTCAGAAGGGCGCGCCCGTCAACCGCGCGATCTTTCACATCACGTCGGGCGCGGCGCCCAAGGCGTGGTGCGGGCCCGTCGTCGCGTTCAAGTTCAACGGCTCGCGACGGCATGGGTACACGGACGCGGGCTCGAACGACCTGCCGGCGTTGTCGGCGTACTTCCTGGCGTACGAGTGATCTCGTCGTCGTCGTTTCTGCAGAACGAGGTGGGTGCGCCGAGTCGTCGGACTGGTCTCGACGTTCATAAATTCGTTCCGCTGACGCTGACATGCTCGCGGTGCAGATCTCCCGCTCTGCCGGCAATCTTCGTCTCATTTGCCGGTCTTCTGGCACCGGTTTTCTGCGCCCGCTCGCTTCATATATTTGATTCATTCAACATAGCATAGTATCAGTCGACCGTACTCCATGGGTTTAATAATTGCGCCAAGGTGAACAATGGCTTTTGTGTTCCCTTCCTGATCTCAGCTTCCTGCGTTTCGGCCTGGTGCTGGGTCGTCGTCGAGGTGCCCTCTTCGGAAAGTATTGGTCGTGGGAGCCACGACAAAGAGCTGCTCTCAAAGAGTTCCAAATGCGTCCTTGAGAGCGCGACCCTGCAACCACGCGGCTGAAGTGCTTGATTTGATCCCGCGGATCCGGGATCCCGAGCTCGACGGATCACGGGCTCGGAGCTCCTCTAACTTGCCGACGCAAAGTCCAAACACGAACTTGGACCGAGCATCCACATTTACTGTATGGGTCAACTTGGCGAGCACTGACAAGGCCGCATGCAACACGAGAAGTGGTTGCCCTTGTAGCGAAACAAGAATGATGTGCCTCAGGCCTTCCCGAATCCCGAGGCCCGTCTCTCCGGCAAGCGAAGCGAAGCACACTGCGTCTCGAGGGCCCTCTGGATTCCAGGACTCCGTTGAGGCAGAGACGGTCAAAATGCAACCGAAACCGCGACATGACCACCGTCGTACACGCAGAGTGTTCCCGCGAAACGGTGGTCCATGGGTTGATATCGAAGCAGAGTTGTGCGGAAATGCATTGCAAGAGGCAGACAGGTTCGACAGACATTGGCAGTGTACATTGAAGCATGGCAGCGGGGGTACAAGATGTGCTATACAGCCGTCTATGGACTGAAGTCATGAGTAGGACTCAGTACAATCATTGACGTGCGTCATGAGCGAGCTCAGACCAGCTTCTGGAGCTTGGCGAAGTCCGGCGTACCGAGACCGGTGACCTGCAAGGGTTGTCAGCAAACGTTGCGGGTAAAGAAATATTAAAGTCGACGTACTGGGTCCCAGCCCTTGGTGGCCTCAAAGCCTGAAGACAAGAGAATCAGTATGGAGCACGGCCGACGTCTCAACATGAAAGGGTGCGCACCATCAGTACCACAGCCGGGGTTGGTGCCCTCGGTGATGTCGTTGAAGCCGTCAGCAGCAGTGCTATAGATGAGCGGGTTCAAGAAGCCCAACTGCACGCTCGTGAGCACATCGAAGAGATATTTACAGATGGTTGACCTACCGGCGACTGGCCCTGGGAGACCTTGTAGTCGTTGAGGAGCGCGATGATACCGGCGACGGTCTGCGCAGGTGATCAGCTTGGAAGTGCGCCCTGAGATGAATGAACATACAGGCGAGCTAGCGCTCGTGCCACCAACGCTCTGCGTGGAACCACCGATGACGACCTGGAAGCCCGAGCCCTGGGCAGCAAGGTCGGGGTAGGCACGACCAGAGGAGCTGTCCGTCACATCAACAACCCATCCTCCACCAACGCCAGCACCGAAAGCCAAGCTCACTTAAACAAGTCACTGTTCTTGTCGCCCCAGAAGTCAAGGTACGCGCTGACGGCGTCGGCCTGGTAGTCGGGCTGGGAGAAGTAGCGGGAGAAGCTGATGCGAGAAGCAGAGTCAGTTGAAGCTTCATCAGCGACTGAGTAGAGAAGAAACGCACCCTCCACCGGAGAAGTCGACAGCCTTCTCGGGGTTGACGCCGGTGGTGCCGCCGACTGTGGTCACGTACGGGCAGCTAGCTGAAGGGGCATATCATTCAATACCACCGAGTTACAATATGCGTCAGCACTTACCAGGGAAGGCCGGCTGGAAGGCAGTGGCATTCGAGCCATCGTTCTTGGCGCAGTCGCCGCCACCGACTAGAAGAGACCATCAGGGTACAACTTAATGACTGGAAAAGAGCTGTGCATACCACCGAAGTCACCGCTGGAGAAGAGGATAGATGCGCCACGAGCGCCGAGCTTGGCAAGCTGGTCGCAGACGTTCTGGGCGTAGTCCTGGGGCACGGTCTGCTCATCGTCACCTGGTGAGGGGTGTCAATCATGCGCAAAAAGGAATGCGGGCAGCGGAGCGTACCGTAGCTGGTCGTGAACGTCTGCGGGATGTCATCCTGGTCGAGGATGTACTCGAGCCAGTCCCTTTGCGGCAGATGAGCAAATGCAGAAGCAAGTGCTATGGAGAACTTACAAGTAGGGCTCTAGATGAGAGCTGCATCAATAGCTGTTCGAATGTAAACGTTGATGGACATACCGTTAGTGTTCGTCGGCGTCTGAGAGTCTTCGTTGAAGGGCGGAGAACCACCGGTGCTGTAGTACACGTTCGGGATGGGGTAAGACAGCGCCTCGGTGTACTGAATGTCAAGGTTCGCCTCCACTGATCATCGCTGGTGAGCCAGAAGCGCAGTTGTGATCATTATGCGAATCTCACCACCGGGATCGTTCTGGTCATTGCCACCGTCATTGATCTGGACAGTCTTGAAGGTCGCATTTGCGGCGTCCGGGAGGTACTTCTTCAAGAAAGTCGTGAGGTCCTCCTCGTTCGCGAACTCGTCGAGGTACTTTACGGGCGTTAGTATGATCTTCGTGAATATAATGTTGGCAGGACTTACACCAGCGACACCGAGGGTGGTGTTGGTGTCGGCCTTCGGCTTGTAGCCGGACGTGTTGTATAGCTTCTGCAGACAGGCTGGCGTGACAGTGCTGCCGCAGTCGCTGGCCGCCTCAGCGTTGACGTTCAGATCCTTCTCGTTGCTGCCATCGAGCTCCGGCTGCTTGAAGGAAGTCGCGCGCATGGACTTCATGGTGCCGAAGTACGTCGTCGGCGCAACAACGTCGACATGACCGATGAGATCCTTTGGCAAGGAGTACGACATCGTGCGGACGACGTACTCGCCGGTCGTAGAGTGGCGGTAGACGTTGTACTTCGTGCCGAGCAGTTTCTCCGCCTGCTCGACGGTGACGTTGTAGATCGTCACAAAGTTCGTCGCCGCGGAGTGCTTCATGTTCGAGATGTCGATGCCGTGGTAGTCGAACCAGTCCTGGACGAGAGGGAGAGTGTCGTCGTGCGGGCGTGCGAGCTCGTGCAGCTCGCCCTTGGAGAGGTGCTGGCCGTACGAGTCGTGGCCTGGCGTGCTGACCTCGTATAACTTAGAAATGAGAGTCTCAATGTGCGGCTGGGCGAGGCCGAGGCGCAGGTCGAATGTGTGGTCGGCCGGAGCGGGGCCGTGGTACTGGAAGCCCTTAGGTATCGTCTCCCAGGCGTGCTTGACGGACCGGTCGTCCCAGCGCTTGCTCAGAGGCGACGCTGCCGCGAGGGCGGCGAGGTGAAGTGCGCTGACACCGAGTCCGAGGAGAAGCATGGTAGGGAGAGGCGGGGAGAAGAGGTTGCATGCGCGCAGCTGCGGGTCCTTATATCATGATACGGGCGTTCCGTAGATGCGATGCTTCCCCGCGGCTTCGCGTGATACGCGGATATGGCTTCCATTGATCATGATTCGTATTGTTGTGACCATCAGTCGAGATGTTCACGAACATCGGTCCGGCACCTGTGGAGAGATCTGAAGCGTGCGGACGCTCCGTCCAGACGTCTGAAGGCTGTCAGACCCACTGGCAAAGGAAGAGCTTACATCTGACTGAGGAGGGCGCCCGTCCCTGTTCAAATACTTCGGATGGCGTGCCCGAGTTCATGTCTTCTTCTCACACGTGGAAAAGCACAAGGTTTACTTCTCCGTGAGGCCTCGATAGACCGTTTTTGGCACACAGCGATGTGGTCGGTGTCGTCGACGGCGTGGACTCCCCCATGTAGATAGCACGATGAGCATGGCCCCAAACGCGTTACAATGGAACGCCAAGATTGCCTCATAGTCGGCGACTGCCGCGCTTTTCTCACGAATATATAGTGAAGGTTCGACTTCAATGACAACGTCGTCGAGTATTAGCAGGATAACGGATCAACTTTCTCAAATCTTAATCCAAGCGCATAAGCATTAGTCGATCAGAAACAATAAGATACCACCACGCCCCCTTCCACGACGAGGGAACAACTCCTACTCTGTCCTCTGCCTCTTGGCAGGCGTACTCGTTCCATCTTCTAGCTTCGCAGCAGGCGTATTCGCATCGACCGACGAGGAGCTCGCGGCCTGCGCCGCAGCAGTCTCCTCCTCGGCTTTCAGAGCCTCCACCCAACGACCACCTTCCGCACCTTCGAATAGCCAGACATGACTGCAGGACGCGTCAGCAGAGCGCAGAGCATGGCACGAATCAGTATGCACCTATTCCCGACTCGAGTAGGTGGCGTCTCCAGCATGTCCGACGACGGGCGTTTCTTCATGCTGGGCGCCTCCGGTAGGGTCAACGTCGCCGATCCGCTCTCACGCGTGGCGGGTTCAGGTAGAGACCAACCGAGGACAGAGCACAAGTGCTCCACGATGCGATCGGCGTCTCCCAAAAGGACAATCTGAAAGCCCGTGATTTGGAGTATCAGGTGATGAAGACATGAGTTGCGCACGTCTGGGTTTATATGACGGACAGGCTGTTTGTTGATCAAGATCTGACGATGGAACACTCAGCAAACCTTTCGTGCCATCATTCAAGAGCGCAAACCTGCGGGACCGAGTGTGGCAGATGCACTAGGAAAAGAAGTCAGTGCGCGGAACGCTGCAGACGAGGTGATAGCGTACTTATCAGGTCCGCTACGGGAGAGACCTATTTTGTCGGTATATATTCAATGCGAATTGTTCCTCTGGGAAGGATACGGACGCACCTTCAGACTCGTCCCAATGATGATCAACAAGTCGACCTTGTCTCTATCCTCCCTCAGCGCATCGTCAAAGTCGTCCGTCAACTTCTCGCCAAAGAATGTGATGTCAGGCTGCAATCCCGGTCAGATCAATTTTGGCCACACCGCGCCACAACCACAAACAACCACCTACCTTCATGATTCCCGTTGGAAACACCGGCCCATCGCTCTCATCCTCATCCTGGCTGTCCCACTTGCCCTCCGCCTTTTTCTTGCTCTTTTTCTTCTTCTTCGGGGCCAGAGATTCCGGCGGACAGCAGACAGAGCAAACAGGGACTTTCTTCGAGAGGATGGCCTCTTCGACGTCCGTTCCGGGTACGCGCCGGCGGCACTGAATGCAGGATGCGGTGGCGAAGGAGCCGTGGCAGTTGAGCACGCGCTTGACGCCGGCGAGAGTCTCTAGGGTGTCAATGTTTTGCGTGTAGTTCTGGGCACGGTGAGTCGCGTGGGCAATGAATACGAGGAAAATCAACGTACTCGCAAGAGCTAGAGATAAGACGATCGTATGTCAACCAACAGATACATCCGTAAGGAGCAATCATCCCTACCTTGCCCTTGTCTTCGACCAGCTTGATGAATCTATGGCACGGCGACGGCACGAATTTCGAGGGGTATATTTCGCTGCAAAGAACGGGTCAAATCGCTAGAATATGTAGCGCTGCAAGGACACTTACTGTGCGAAAGAGCTTCAGGAAAGAAGTCAGTTTGCTCGTAGCTCAATGGCCACACAACTCACTAGAAGACTACCGCGATTAGTTGACTACTTTGAGTGCTTACGCAAGCGCTCACCTGCAGGATTCTCCCTAAAGTAGTGGATATCGAACCTATGAGCGTCGGCGTCAGGAAGTCCTCAGCGCGTGAGCGATATGACTCACATTTCTTGGGGATCATCCAGTTCGTACTCTCCGCGCTCCTTCAGGTTAGCGTAAAGGCCGGTCGATGACCGGAAGTCCGGAATCCCGCAGCTGACACCTAGTGAAAGTCAGCTGCAATTTCAAGTAGAGCGTGAGTACCAAACATACTGATACCAGCGCCAGTAAGTATCATGATGCGCTGGGCACCCTTTATCAGGTTCGCAGCGTCGTCGATAGTATTGTATTGTGGCAATCTCTCGCGCATGCGTAGCTCCCGCGAGAGAGCTACCCGCAAGAAGAATAGCAGAGTCATAGGCTTCTTGGCGCGAAGCTCGGGGCACTGCGAAATTGGTCAGTAGACCGTACATGGAGGCGTCGGGAAACGCCGATACCAGGCGGATTCCAAAGGCCTCTAGCAGGCTTGGAATGGGAATGGCGCGAGTGACCACGTATTCCTTGACCCATGCGGACATGCCTATAGCGAGCGTCGGTGATGAGTCGTGTTGTGTATATGTGGCATGTCCGTACGAACCTCGCTCCTTCAGGTAATGTAGCATTGCGCGCAGCTCTTGCTTCGAGAACGCTGAATAGAGTATCAGACAGCCTGCTGTAAAGCTCAAGGTGATGATACTTACTGATCCCCTGCTCTTGTGGGGCAGCGTATAGGCTCGAGATGTCAATTTCGTCGTCCTCAGGCCCGTCATCTACGTAGTCCGGGTCGTCGCTCGAGTTATCATCGCCAGTAATGTCTAATATAGTGCGTGGAGGCTCGGGGGCACTGTTTTTGCTCTGTACATCGACAGTGTCAATATTACCAGCCTCAGGTTGAGCCTCCTTCTCCTGCTCTTGAGCAGTGAGCGTATCGAGTAAGTCCTCTATGGTTTCGGGCTCGACATCGACGTCTTCAGCTGCATTGAGGAAGGCCTGAACTTGCAGAGCTAGCAGCTCTTTGGAGGAGAAGGGAGTTTCCATTAGAGGCCGAGAGAGGCGGGACGGGACCGCGCCACAGCCGAACTTGATGGTCAGGAAGAAGTTGAAGTCAGGTCTAAGCGGCGGCGATTCTGTGCCCGGACCGATTGCACGCCGAGCGGCGGAGAGGTGAGCCGAAGACACAGAGCTGGAAGCAATCCACAGAGGGCAGCGCATAGGGTAGTACAACAGGCTAGATAGCTAGCATTCGAGCAAGGGATGGTACAGGGTAGTTCACAACAACAGGCTAGCTCTACAGTAAGCGATCGGTGAACTGGTAAGTATACACTTAGACGCGGCTGTGGTAGACATCCTTGGGCTGGACACCACCCTGGCCCTTGCGGATGTTCGCCTGCGCCCACCTAACGAAGGATGTCAGTAACCAGAGTAGCTGGATGCCCACGCGGAGAAGCTCACTTTTTGATACGGATGGACTCGATCTGGATGAAGCCAGTCGTGTCCGTCGGCTCGAACCCGCCGAGCTCGTCCATCGACGACTGCTGCTCGTCGTACAGGCCCTCCGTGCTCTCACGGCCCTCGATGATCACGTTGCCCTTGTAGAGCTTCACGCGCACGGTGCCGTTCACCGTGCGCTGGCTCGCGGGGATCGCGCTGGTGATGAACTCGCGCTCGGGCGTGAAGAAGTGCCCGTTGTAGAGGATGCGGGAGAGCTCGATCGTGACGAACTGATCGCGGAGCGCACGGACGTTGCGGTCGAGCGTGAGGCCCTCGAGGTCGACGTGCGCGGCGCGGAGGATGGTCGCGCCCGGGCTCTCGTAGCAGCCGCGCGACTTCACGCCGATGAAGCGGTTCTCGACGATGTCGATGCGGCCGACGCCGTGCTTGCGGGCGAGGGCGTTGAGTGCGAGGAAGATCTCGACGCCGTCGGTGTAGGTCTTGTCCGAACCAGCGACGGTCACCTTGACGGGGATACCGGCCTTGAACTCGATGGAGAGGCGCTCAGGCTCTTGAGGGGCGTCCTCGGGAGCGACGGTGAGCTTCCACATGTCCGCGGGCGGAGTCACGGCAGGGTCCTCGAGGATACCGGCCTCGTAGGAGATGTGGAAGAGGTTCTCGTCGGTAGACCACGGCTTGGCGGCGGTCTGCTGGACGGGAATGGACTTCTCCGCGGCGTACTGGAGAAGCGCCTGACGGCCGGGGAAGCGGTTGTAAAATTCTGCGCAGCAAGTCAGGTCCCCCGCGATAAGATCAGTACTTTATTGGGCTCACCAGGAATGCGCCAGGGGGCGATGACCTTGATGTCGGGCTTCAAGCCATAGAAGGCGAGCTCGAAACGGACTTGGTCGTTGCCCTTGCCAGTGCAACCGTGCGAGACGTAGCTAGAATGAAAATGAGCACTGTGCCACAATCTTATCAGATGCAGACGTACTCGCAACCCTCACGATCGGCGACGCTCATCATTCCGCGTGCAATGACAGGACGAGCCAGAGAGGTTCCGAGGAGGTAGACGTTCTGTGGGGGGAGGGGGGTCAAAATTAGTTCCCCCTTAGTTGGGAAGTACGCACCTCGTAAATGCAATTGGCCTGAACGGCAGGGTAGATGAGCTCCTCGACGAACTCGCGCTTCAAGTCCTGTATTTCAGAGTGAGATAGCTTGTCGCGATCATGGATCGTGGCGAATACGCACCTCGAGGAAGAACTTCTTGGCTCCGACCTTCAAAGCCTTCTTCTCAGCGGCAGCGAAGTCCTGCATACATAGTGTAAGTACAAACCTCGATTGACCATTAGTATATACGCACCTCTTCCTGTCCGACATCCGCCATGAAGGCATACACCTCGTATCCCTGCTCGATCAGCCATGCAAGGATGCAGGAGGTGTCTGCGAAACATCTTAGCGCCTGCAAGTGATCAGACACCTTCAAGCACGTACCAAGGCCTCCAGAGTACGCAATAAGAACACGGCCTTTGGGTGCGGACATTTTTGAGTTGTGGGGGAGGAGGAATGGGGGAAGACAAGCCGAGTCACAACTTGGACTGGACGCGCCCAAGTTCAAATCAAAGTGATCGCGTGACAGCACGTGTCTGATCCGTGTGACATGCATTGTTCCCGCCTCCTCGTTCCTTGTCCGCTACCGCCATTTCACCGCCATAATCTCCTCCTCGTCCATGCCCGCGCAGAGCGCAGAAATGGACCTCCTACTCAGTAACTCTGCACACACCATCAGCAGGCGCTCCAATAGTAATGTGCCGAACCGTGGGGAGCCACCTCACGCGCCGCATCGCAAGAAATCACACAAATCCAAGAAGAATGACCCTTCATCATCCTCTTCTTCCGCTATCCCCAGCGTTCCCTCCCGAGGGATACTCAGACGCAACTTGGACTCTTTTGGCCTTCCCCTTCCCAGGACCAAGTCCTCTCAGCCCGATCCCGGGCCCGCACTCAGAAGTCGTCCGAACATCGCATACACCAGTGCTCCGAAGCTCCCGGAGCCTCCGACCCATGCGCGACACTCAAGCCTCCCCAGCTCAGCCGCAGCAGAGGAACGACGTCTGAACAAAGGGAAGCAACGAGAGTTCATTGAGGACGACGCGTTGAGCAGCGCAACGGAGGCCGATCACTTGCGGGATGAAATAGAGCAACTTAAGAAGCTGGTTCATGAGCAGAAGAAGACGATGAAGAAGCAGAAGAAGGTGCGTACAAGCCATTCACTGTAACCCTTTCAGATGCTGATTAGTGGCGCAGCAACTGGAGGAGCGCGAGCGTGAAGCATCGAGCGCGAAGCTGGTATGTGCAGGCTCTAATCCACCTTGTAGCGCTCCTGACTCAACCCCAGAACAAGCAAGAGCAAGACGCGCAGATACAGACTCTGAAGAGCAAGTGTCGCAAGAATGACGAGGTGGGTTTGCCCATGCCAGCTCATCGACGCCACTAATACCTGCCACTAGCTCGTATCGACAATTGAAGCCGCCATGCAATGCCAAATCTGCATGGATCTCATGGTGAAGCCTTTCGCGTGCGTCCGCATATACTCCGCCCCACCCCTGCCGCTTATATCCACCTAGCCTCTCGCCTTGCGGGCACGTCCTCTGCCTCGAATGTCTTCAGAACTGGTTTCGCAGTGCACCCACGCAGGAGGAGACTGACCTCGACCCGGAGGACCCTGACTTTGTGCTCCGCCGCCAGAAGTCGTGTCCTTGCTGCCGCGCCGTCGTGACGAGGAAGCCCGTGCCCATCTTCATCGTCAAGAACGTCGCGCAGGCGCTTGCGCGCGCGAAGGATCATGCTACGCCGCCACCTGCTGCTGCTGAGACGCCTGAAGAGGACCCCTGGCGTGGGATCTTCCTCTCGGATACGGAGTCTGATGGCTACCTGCGCGACGATATGGACGAGGAGTCGCTGTACGAGTACGGCTACACGGACGACGAAGCATTCATTGGCGGCATGCTGGGCTTCGGTATCTACGCAGAGACGGACCCCGAGTCCGTCATCGGCAGCGAGGATGATCTGGGCGGACTCGACGAGGAAGACGACGAGGACGAGGACGCGGATCCCGAATACGTCTTCCCCATCTGGGAGCCCCCTGCCGTGCCTTTCATCGACCCGCAGGACTACGCCGGCACGGACGTCACGGACGAGGACATCCGCATGATGCAGCGCGGCTGCACGCTCCCCATGATCCGCCACTACAGCATGCAGTACGAGCACCACCGCGGGCTGACGGCGTTTGTGTCGACGACGGATACGCGCCGGCCAAACGAGTACTGCTTGATGCTCGGGTGGAACGTGCACCTGCAGCCTGATGATCTGGACGGCGCGAACTATATCACGGACGTGCTGGACCAGGTCGACGCGATCTATGATGGCCTTGCGCCTGAGATTGCGTGGGATGTGTGGTCGGACGAGGATGGCGTGGTTCACGCGCAGCTCAAGGTTCCCGCGCACCCAACAGCCTACACCGATACCGATACGGAGGAGTGGTTGGATTGAAGAACCGGTGCATTGTTCGTCCACAGTTGTGTTTTCCACGTCCATATTCTTACTCAGGACCGAACGGAGTGCCCCTTTGCATGCACTGTATGTACCCTCCTCTCATCGAACTTGCTTGCCACACATACCGCATCTGCTTATCGAACCTATCGAACCTGCTCGTTGTCCATACCGAACTTGCTCTTCCCGATTCTCATGTCATGACGATCTCGCATATAACGACCTCTGCAACCAACCATCATTTCACGACCCACTCACGCGTACGATGTCTCCAGCTGTGTATCCCGAGAAGTGTTCGTACATTTTGCCTGTAAATTAAAATAATACTTGCTACAATCGAAAGCGACGACAGCTGCTATATAACGTGAACGAGTGGTGTGGGTGTACTGGAGTATGTAGGTGCTTATAGCGTGAAGACGATGAAGTGGGGTGGTCCAGGAAGATAGCTAGGTGTGTACCAAGAAATGGTGCGTGTAACAGGCACAAGACAAGGGGGAGGTGTCACTGTTATGATGCCGGCGCCGCGGCTGTGTTTGGCGAGTTGGGCTCGAGGTTGCGCAGGCGCATCTCGACGAGGAACTCCGAGTCGCGGATGTCCTGCTGCCACTTCTGGAGCGTCTCGTGCATGCCCTCGAAGATGAGACTCGACAATGTAAGCGAGAGGATACCGGGGTAGAAGCGCGTGACTGACGCAAAGGGTTAGCCAAAAGCCAGTCACAGGAAGGCTGAAACGTACATAGCGCCTTGCCAGCAATCCCCCAGCCGGGGAACATCAGCAAGCAGGCCTTGAAGAGCGCGGCGGGGAAGAGGATGATGAGAAGCAAGCCGCCTATTACGGGCGCTATGACCTGTTTGGTGGCAGCAATAGGGTCGGGGTGCGTTATCCCGCTGTTGATCATCTGGATTAAGCAGTCAGTCATGCTTACTACCATCATACCCACTATCGACCCACCTGGTTAATCCCTCGCGACAACGAGTTGCGCGGTCCTGCACGCAGACCGAACGACAGGGCCTTCATGTACAGCAAGCCCGTCGCCCACGAGTCTACGAGTCGGACCCGCGGAACAAGCGTCGGATTGAACGTGAACCGCAGTGGCAGAATCAAGTAGCAATCGAACACAAGCGCCGTCAGCGTCGGGATGATGACGCCCAGGCAGATGGCCAAGTACGTGATCTTCGCCAGCCATAACGATCCCCGCTTGAGCACGTAGATGCGCAAGTCGGAGCGCGGGCCTTCCTCTCCCGTTCGTTGCCTGCGCTTGTCCAATCGGTCGATGGCGCGCATGATGTGGACGCAGGCCCAGATCAGGTAGAAGCCGGCCATGAAAGAGTAGCCGTCGTGCACGTCTTGCGGAATCCAGAGGCGGAAGAAAAGGCGTCCCAACTGCAGCGGCAGGATGAACGCGAGACCGGCACAGACCGATCCAATGATCCAGAAAGAGACGATGAACGCCATCATGCGATAGCGGAAGAGGGGGGGAAGGTATACGATAATGAATTCGTCCTTCGGCTTCCGCCTCGATCGCTCGATCTCCGCGTCTTGCTGGGCCATGAGTCGGCGCGACTCGTCATCCACAGGCAAGCCCTCCTCGGTGACCTCTACAGTTGCCCGCATCTCCGCAGGTATCGGTATGTTGTCATTGGCCGGGACGCGACGCCATGTACCGCGGTCCTTGACGAAGTCATTGTAGCCCAGAGGTCGCCCGGTCCAAAGACTGTCGAGATACGCTGCAATGTATGCGCTCTGGCTCGCAGGCGCGGCGATTTCTTCCTCGTGAGTCTCGTTGAAGAAGTAGGAAGAGAGCCTCAGTTGGGACGACAGCCATTTCCAGACTTTGATGGTCGACGCCTTGATAGCCTTCTTGGGTCTGAAGTAACGCATTGTGTACGGGAGGGCGATATGAAGGAACACGAGGTCAACGGGAACGTTGGACAGCGGCTCACTATAACGAGGCGATCAGCCACTTAGTGCGGACCCTGAAGGAATGACGCACCGAGTCTTCCAGCGCAGGGGCAGGACTGCGTAATTTCCGACGGACAACAAGGCAGCCAGGCTAACAACGCAAAGACAGACGACCAGGGTGTACATGACCCCGCTCATGAGGATCTTGCGTAGGTGCGCGAGTGCAGAACGGTCAAGAATGTCGCGGATAGGATGTGCGTTTGCGTCTTGAGGGTCCTTGATAAACCACATTGCACCTGGGCGCATGATGGTGCGGCAGCCGGCCAGAATCACGGCAAAGGTATACCTAGCGAGAGGTCAGTCACATAGCAGCAGATAAGTGGTAAATGCATACATAAACATCGTACCCGCTACCCAGTGGTAGAAGGTGGCCGTTAGGGGGGCGTGCTTAAAGAACTCGGTTCGTGCCGCGACATTGACGTCCGAGAACATCCACATCGTGCTCGCATCCAGAATGAAGCCGCACCCGAGGGGGAACACCGCAATCTCGATGAAGATGAAGAACGCAACCTACACTCATAATCAGTAGGGTATACACACAGCAGCGCCTGACTCCTCACCTTCAGAACGACCAGCTGCTGGCGAATGGTATTGCGTACGGCTCTAGTCGCGGTCTGCACGTTGCCAACGGATAGCAAGTTCAGGTAGATACCAGCCCCCAGCAGGATCACTGAGTATCCTAGTACGACGGCGAATGCTCTTTGCGCGGGTTGGTCACCGATGGCAAGCATGATCCAGGTGTTCTTGACTTCGTGGCCGAAAGCTTTAACATGGGCGCCAAGGTTGGCAAGCCATTCCTCCGCTTGCTTTCCAATGACCGTGTCCCAGAAGAACGACGCTTGAGGCTCCATACCGCTTGTTTCCTCGACGGTTCCTGAGCTGAAGGCACTCTCGACGGATTCATAGGCGATATCGTACTGCAGATATCATTGAGACCTGAGTGCGAGCACTTATGGATTGAACCTACCAGCTTTGCCAGCCACGACTGCAGCTTGTCGGCGATCTTGCTTCCTAGCAGCACTCGTAACACAAACATGGCCAAGTTCTGGACCATGGGAATCGCCCAAGCTACCACCAAGTGCGTCAAGCCGTTGACGATGGGGTCAGTGAGTATCCGTATGAGGACCATAGGAACCTGGATAAGCTTGAACAGTTGAGGCGGGTTCAGCTAGACAAAACAATCAGTAAGTGTCGTGTAGCCAAGAGCGTCATTGCATACCATGAGCAGTGCCGTCGCTTTCCCAATGGTGAAGGGGACCCAGATACCGATACCAATCGCCGTGTCGAGGACGAAGGTCATGAGCATGGCCTGCGGACTTGTTAGTCGTCTGCGTTGCGTTCACAAACTGGCGACCTACGTTCTGCAAAACATTCCCGATGGGACCTCGCATGCCAATCGCTGCTGGCCGAGTTAGTGCCCTGCCATCGATGAAGAGGTTCGCACTACCTTCTAACGCGCCATCCACATCGTCGTCCACATTTCCCTCGATCTCGACCTCTTCCATAGGTCCGCCGTTCACCTCTATCCGTGCCCCCACATCGTCAGGACCTCCCGCGTTCGCATGATTGTGCTCGTCCTCCTGTACTAGCTCGCCTTCGATGATGTCTTCCTCTCTTTCTTCCTCGTCTCGACGTCGCTCCTCTGCCGCCCCGAACGCTCCTGGCACATGACCCTCGCCCTCTTCCTCGTCATCTTCGTCGTCCGCATCGTCCCCTTTCCGCTCCGGGAAGAACTGATCCAGCATCTCCTTATTGATGCTCTGCCAGTCATCGGGCGACGGTGTCTCGTCCCTCGCCGCCGCCTTGCCCTTGCCTCCCGCTCTCGACTCGCTGTCTTCCGCTTTCAACTCGGCCTCTGCGGCCACGTCGTCAAAGTAACCCTCCCTCAACTCCTCCGGCGCCCTATACATCGCGAGACTCGGCGAGTCGAGTGGTGCAGAGGCGGCCGCAGAGCTGCTTCCTGGGGGCGCGAGACCCGGACTCCGAAGCGGTGTCGTGGTCGGCGGCAGAGGTGGTCGCCGAGTCGGCGTGAGGAGCGGCGGCGTCGCTGCAGCAGGAGAGGTAGGGTTGCCCCAGGTGTTGCTCTGCATGTTCCCAAAGATGCTGGGAGTGCCATTCGCAGAGCCGGCTAAGCTTCCCGGGAATCGGCTTGGCCCAGCGGACGACTGCGAACTGGGTCCGGGTGCGCTTGCGGTGTCGACAGTGCCATTCGAAGACGAACTGGCACCGAAGGAAAACTGAGCGCCGTTGGGCCCAGCGATGAAAGGCCTACTGTAGGCGTCCTCCGGCTCTCGCGTGACACCCGGAGATCGCTGGCGGGCAAAGTTGTTGAACGGGCCCGCCGGCGCGAAGAGGTTCGGTCGCGGTGCATCAGGCAGCGCAGTGAAAGTGAAGGCGGTATTGCTGGGAATGTTCAGACGGGGAAGATTTTGCGCAGACGACGAAGATGAGGACGCCTCGGCGATGCTCCACGGATTCGTGCCCTGGTCGGACGTGCCACCCGGAAACGCCCCCAAGGTAGGACTCGATGGGTACTCCAAGCGATTGCGGATCGAGCCCTGGGCAGTGACGGGGCGCGAAGCGGCCCCGCCCATGATCCGCGCATGCCTCTCCGCCTGGATCGCATTGTGCTGCCTGCGCGCGTGCACGTTCTGGTATAAGTCGCGCACAGGAAGCTCCTTGCGACGTTTGTTCTGCTGCTCGCCCTCAGGCGCAGCGGAGTCACTACTCGACGAAGGCCCTGCTTGTGCACGCCCCCAAGCCGTAGGCGCGCTGCGTTCCGGTTCGGCTGGCCTAGCCAACGGGCCTTCCGTCGGCCAAGGCAGCGGTGGTTCAGTGATTTCCGTTGCGTGCACTGTACCTCCCTGTACGGGCAAACCACCAGGAGGAATTTCGATGTAGCGTGATTCGACTAGGGTTGGTAGCCTTGGACCATAGACCGGCTCTGGATCTTCCGGAACTGGAGGAGCTGGCTGCGGTGGTGCAGGCGCTGGCGCGGGCGCAGGTGCTTCTTCCATCGGTGGTGGCGGTTCCTCGTCCTCAAACACGCCCGGGCGTGCATTCTGCGCAATCCACTCGCGCAGGAGGAATATCGCGACAAAAGTAAGCACGATGAAGGAAGCGATGATCTGTCCTTGGAAGATGTCCGAGGAAAGGTCGACCCAGGTGGGGGAGAGGAAGATACGGCGGTACCAGGGCATAAGGTCGATAGCTTCAAGCTCTTTCTTACTCAACTTGGTGGCGGTGTCCACATTGGAGTAAGAGAAAAAGGCTTGCTCTATGAAGGAGCTGTTGGCAAGCCGGTTCTTGTCGGCGATCCAGTGCGCCCTGGGGAAGTATAGTCAGTGTTGTGGCGTTGAGGAGGTGAACTGACACGCACGTTGCGTCCCCTAGGTTGAAATACATCCTCCATGCGTAGACAGTTGCCCAGGGAAGCGCTCCGAGCCATATCGTCGCGACCATAAGGGCCCGCAAGCAGAAGATCACGCCAGAGACGACAGACTTGAGCGCACGCCGGGCGATGAGCCAAGGCGGGAGCTTTCTGGGCATGTTTGGTGCGTAGACTGGGGGTAATAAGTCAGTGCATCGATGGGATGAATAGCGGTATACGTACCTTTGGTGAATGCATAAGGGTACTTGCACACATCGCACGTCTTCTTCTTGCTGTGCGCTAGCCATGTCTGCAGGCTGTGGCAATGTGAGCGACTAGTCTGTGGTAAGGGGGAAAATGGCGCACCAGTCCTGGTGTATATAGCGTATAGTCCCAGAACATTTGCAAGGGTGAAAGAGCGGCTGCCCAGGCTCCGCTGGGGCACTACAGATTCGACAAGTATCTGGGAGCCGGTGAGCTCGCTTCCAGCACTACTATGCAGCAACGCACCCTGCTCGTCCATCTGGACCTCGAGCTGGAGGAATATCTAACGCGAGTCGTGCCCTGTACAATCCCGAGGTCCTCACGAGGGATGATGAGCGTTGACAATAAGCAGGCGCCCCGGCCCCACGTGGGGTTCCGTGACATATTCGTGGGAGTGTGACGTGATAGCTGTACGGCCCGGAAAACAATGGCATCCACCCTCCCGCTTCACTCACGCGCGAGGGCTTCCAGAATTCGCGTTTGGAGCAGAACATGGACACAGCGTCCTCATATATGTAAGGCCAGAACGTCGAAGGCTTGGCAGGTAACTTGCAAGCTCAAAGCTTCGGAGGGTTGGCTTCAGGCTTCAACGAAAGGTTTGTGCCAGTCAATGCATATGCGTTGTCATAGGCATACGAGCCATAACCCTGGGGTACAGAAGATAATATACAGTAGTGTACAGAACGATAAGGTAGTGAGGAATAGAGGGGAGAACGGCCGAAGCATCAAGGCATACGACCGACGCGTCTATGACCGCTCACCGCGCAATCGGCGGGCGAGGGCAAGGTCCTTTGGCTGGATGGTGACACGCTTGGCGTGGATGGCAGCCAGGTTGGTGTCCTCGAAGAGGGAGACGAGGTAGGCCTCGGCGGCCTCCTGCAGTGCCATGACGGCGGAGGACTGGAAGCGGAGGTCCGTCTGGACGAGAGTCAGCAAGTGGTATTGTAGGAGGCGGTACTGAGACACACCTTGAAGTCCTGCGCTATTTCGCGGACGAGACGCTGGAAGGGGAGCTTGCGGATGAGGAGCTCCGTCGACTTCTGGTACCGACGAATCTCACGGAGAGCGACGGTACCAGGCCGGAAGCGATGCGGCTTCTTAACACCACCAGCGGCGGCCTAAGGGAGCAGTCAGCAAAAGTGAAGGTTTGGCAAAGTCAAGTCCAACGCACGGCAGTCTTGCGCGCCTGCGACTTGGCAGCGAGCTGCTTGCGGGGCGCCTTGCCACCAGTAGACTTGCGAGCGGTTTGCTTCGTGCGGGCCATTGCTGAGGAATGTAGAGTGGCTGGTGGGGCGAGTTTGACTTGGTGTTGGCGAAGCGGCGGTGATGGAGGTCGGGAACAAGAGGGCACGCCGTATATATCTGACGGTTGTGTGATCGTGACAGACGCGTGCGTGACCGTGTTTTGTTGATCTGACGCGCTCTGTTGATCAGTCAACAAAAGGAAATCAACACAGCCACACGCGCGCCTATTTAGGCAAGCCGGCGGATTGCAGCGGGTCTCTCAACCGACTTGCCTCTCGCCCTCATCGCGCTCCACTCGCGATCTCAGCAACCTTCAAGTCAACCACCTTAACCAACTCTACTCTTATCAACAATGTCTGGCCGTGGAAAGGGCGGAAAGGTGAGCGGCTCGCGGCGCGCTTAGTGGCTTTGAACTCGGTGGCTGACGGTGGATGCAGGGCCTTGGCAAGGGCGGCGCGAAGCGTCACCGCAAGATTTTGCGCGACAACATTCAGGGTGCGTCTGCTGCACTTGGTGGCGACTTCGCCTTTGCTGACTTGGCTCGCAGGTATCACGAAGCCCGCTATCCGTCGCCTCGCTCGTCGTGGTGGTGTCAAGCGTATCTCTGGCCTCATCTACGAGGAGACCCGCGGTGTTTTGAAGATCTTCCTTGAGAACGTGCGTCGATCGTCCTCCTCTTCCCCTACGGCTATCGCTGACTCGCCTTTCAGGTCATCCGCGACTCTGTCACCTACACTGAACACGCCAAGCGCAAGACTGTCACTGCGCTCGACGTCGTCTACGCCTTGAAGCGCTCAGGGAAGACCCTCTACGGCTTCGGCGCATGATCTTCTCTCACCCTATTCACTTTCGTCGCTTTGTATCTGTATCGTATCATGTATTAGTATTTATGTAGATACCTCCAGCACTCGTATGCATTAGAATAGGCTTATTCATATGCGACATGCCTCTGCAAACTCCCTCCGAACGTCCGAGCTATCCAACCAGTGCCGGTCGATTGACTGTTGTTGACCGTCGCCATCGCAAATCCGAGTGGCGATCGTTCGAAGCCGATTATCTGCAATGCAAGGAATGTCGAGATGGCACGCCGCGCACGATAATTACACTGCATTGACTATGATACACTGGTTAGGATGAGGTGGGTGTCAAGTTCGAGAGCAAGCTGTACAACTCGCACGGCAGAGGTCCATGAGAGCGCGATGATAGTATTGCTCATGCTAGCCTCTTCACCGGTCCGTCGCCCTGTGACCTGAGGGCCATTGCGTGCACTTCGCGCCGCAAGTCGCTCCAGAGATCCGGCCCATAGTAGTAGTAGAGGTACCCAAACAGCGCGCCGCCCAAATGCGCCCAATGTGCCATGAATCTGCGAAGCAAGTCAGCGCCTGATAGAGCCTGATCAACGATGCGCACTTACGACCAGCCAAGAATGATGCCAGTGAGGTCGAAAATTATAGCGCCGGCGACGCCCGTCTGAATGTTCATCGAGAAACCGGGCGGGAAGAACAGCGCGACCTCGGCGTTGGGGAACGCGAGCGCTGTGATGACCAGGCAGGAGTACACCGCGCCCGAAGCGCCCAAGCTGGGCAGCAGCGCCCGCTTCAGCTTGCCCTGCAGGACCTGGACCTCGGACACCGGGGTCTTCTCGATCGGGGTGGGACGTGGGAACCAGCGTCGGCGCGCGGGGGTGGCGCGCTGAACGGCATCGGCCCAAGTCTTCGTGCGGCCGACGGCGGAGGCGGCGGTGGCGGCCTGGCGCGCAAGCGCGGCGGCGTACTGGCGGATGAGGCGCGGGTAGGTGACCTTTACTTGCACGACGTGTTGCGTGAGGGAGGAGAACGCGCCGGCTGGTGGTGCGTAAGTGAGAAGTAAAGGGCGGTGGGTAGATGATGCTCACCAACGCAGAAGAAGGCGACGAAATGCCAGAATGGAGACGCCTCGAAAAGGCCGTGCACCTCGTCCAGATCGGCCCTCTTCATGAAGTGTACCGCCGTGGACGAACCGAAGCCCTCAAGGGCGAACATATTGACCAAGAAGTGGATGATCTCAGCGTGGCTGCAGCCGTCTTGTCAGCAATAACTCAACTAAAACGCCTCACGAATCACTCACGCGAACGTCGAGGTAAGCATTGTGATGGACATGCCCGACAGCGCGCTGTGCACGAAGTATTTGCGCATGAACGGCTGGAACCGCGGGATATTCTGCAGGATAAAGACCACGCTCGTGGCCGCGACCACCTTCCACACGGCCTTCTTCGGCGCGCTAGCGTCCGCGATGGGTTGGAAAATGGTGACGAAGAGCTTGCTGACATTGGCGCGCACGGTAATTGGGAATGCGCTCAGGAAGCTATGTATGGACCGGTGGTATCCGCGCAGTTTCTGGTGATTCATCTCTGTCAATACTGATTCAGTGGAAAGGGAACAGTCGCAGACGTACCTCTACTAGAGCCTGCTGCTGCTTGATACGCAGGTTTAGATTGGTCACAGCTACCCAGCTGGACCCATAGCGGATAGTATCGACCCAGTAGTTCGTAGATCGCTCGGTGAGCCAGGCAGCAGTGGAGAATGCGAAGGCACTGAAGCCAACAAACCACTGTCAGGGTGTCAGTGTGCGCATAGAACGCATGCAGAAGTACGCACCAAAACCTGTCTCGCCACCCCCGGCCTCGCCACCGTCTCGTAGAAAGTCCCGAGCTCTTCAGCTTGTTCAGCCTGCGCCTGCTCTCGGACAGTTTCCGAGAGCCTCTCCAGCTCGGGAGGGCCATCCCTCGTATGCCTATTACCCGGTGGTATCCTAGCCGCTAGATTCCGAGTCCATGAGAACTGCCGGTACGGGGAGGGAACCCGCGGCGCCCCCACGAAAGCTCGCGCGCTGAATGTGCGACATGGGAGAAGGGGGGAGGCTCTTAGTATACCGAATGCCCCTGCACGGGCCGGGCCCAGCCACATAGAGGTCGGGGAAAGGATCTGTGTTTGCTCGGAGAACGCGAGCGCAAGGGATGGAAGGTTCGATGCCGAGACGCGCAAACGGCGGCGGCGGGTGGGCGCGCCGTTGACGCCGCTTTCCCACGCGCTTGATCACCCGCGGCGTTCTCCGAATTCTTGGTGACCAGCCCTTCGACTCTGACTTCGAACCTCCACCCAATTTGAGAGCGATACATAGCTAGCTGCTGCGTCACCTACTGTCAAGCTCTTGACTTGATATGGACAGCTCCGACGATCATACGCGGCTCCGACCCAGCGTCAAGAGCCAACACATTGAGTCGACCTCGCCCTCGACGATTGACCTCCTTTCGCATCTGCCGGTTCAGCACCCGTGTTGTTGCATGCTGTGGATGCTGACGTGCGCAATATTGGAGAAGAATCAAATTGGAACGGTTCCATCTTGGCGGCAGAGCGACGAACGTCAATGGGCTCACCCAGAAACCCCGCGCGATTGCCTGGAAGCATGCGCAACCCCAGAAGCCTGCGAGTCACCCACTAACGCAAGCTTGGGATAGCTGCCAAACCCGCGGAGCCGGGCGCTCGACTGACTTGGCTGACGATTCAACACCCTCATGCCCTTACTCATTTACTCTTCCCTTCGCATGTTCATCTGCCCCCTGGCCCGCTCCCATCATCTTCTAGCGCTCCAGCACAATTACCCAGGGCCCTTCAGCGGTGAAGAAGCCAAGGCATCAGCGCCCAGTCACATCACTCGCCTTCGTCGCTTCGTGGCAAGAAGCCAGCAAAGCTGTTGAGCTCGTCGTGCCTCTCGCGAGGCAAGGATTCTAGGGGCGCTTAACTCGCTCGAAGCGGTCGGGTATTCCAATCTACGGTGACGTGTATTGACTTAGCAACTCGCTCTTTCAATCGTCTACTATTATTGGCCGAATTTGATTGTCTTCACGCTTCCTCTCTGGGGTCGTATCGCCTCACGGAGAGCCGTCGCTCAATCTTCATAAGCGCTGATCAGATAGGCGCCAGGTCAGTGCGCTCATTTGCCGAATTGTAACTTGCTCTGGAATGGCCTTGTCCCAACCGCGGATGCCACCCCTTGTTCACGGCCAGTCAACTTCGTCGTCGGTCAGATTTTCGGTAGAGAGCCCACGCCATTTATGACCTCCTTTACGGCGGCGTCTAACTGATTGGAAGCCAGCACCCTCGATAAGGACTGGGTCCCATACACGCGCTACAAATGTTGTCAGTAAGAACTCCGCGAACCTTCGTTCTGTATTGCATCTATTGCTCACAGGACACGCGGCTCTGCTGTAAATGTGATCAGCCTCGCCGATGTCGCCGCTCCCGTGGCAGTCGCCACACTGGAACAAAATCTGACTCGCATAGAAGTCCTCGTGGATGTATTGCCATTCAGAGACGCTTGGAAGGTTTTGAACTCTAGCTCATAGATGGACAGCCAGAACACGAACTGCGGTAGAATTTCATGGGCTCGGTTTGCCTGGCAAGCGGCAAGAGGTTCGAATTCGACCACAATCGGCTAATGCCGGACGGATCCAAAAGCAGGATGCTTCCGCGCTGAGGTTTGCGCGAGCGGGCTATTGCCTGAGGACTTCCTCTTCGCACAAGATCCGCTTTCCCGCAATCTGAGACCATTTTCTCCAAGTCGCGTCCGTCACATTGTGGCAAATTGTCGCGCTCCAGCGTTTGATTTGAGTTGTCGTAACCGAAACGTATGGTTCAGACTCGTTATGAGGACGAGGAATTCGTAGCATTGTAGAAAGATTCACGCAGTCGACATACGGTATGGAGTATCTCAGCACACACAAAAGGAGTTAGAACAGTAACGTATGCGCGGGGTGTAATAGGTGATAGTGTGGTCGGGTTTGAGCTTGATCCGGCGCTTCAAGTCTGCGGGCTTCATCGAATTGACCAACTGCTCGAACATACGGAGTGCATCATCAACGTCCGGCCTGTCTTCGGGAGAAAGGCGAGTCATCGCCTCGCTCAAGGGCCTCAAGAACTCAAGGTGAGTGTAATTCTGACGACGGTCGATCAGGCTCGTCGGATGCGTGAAGCAGTTGTACTCACGTCGACCAAATCTTTGAGTATCACGCGCCCGAACTGGTATATGTCCACCTTGAACGGGCTGTAGGGGACGTCCCAGGATAGTTCGGGGACCGTTTTGTCCTGACCGTACACGCCCGTCACAAGGGAGTCTTTGCTCGGGAGTTGTGAGCAAAGCCCGAAGTCAATGAGAAAGTACTTCATTGGTGCGACTTGCGACCGGTCGAAATACCGTAGACCAGCCATGGAGCCATCGGGCGGGCGGCTCGTTGAGGCGAAATGGAAGCCACCTGGAATGAGGCGCGTCGTATCCATCATGAGATTGAACGCACAGAAATCCCTATAGCTAGTCAGTCGCAGTATGTGGCCCTCGGTATTCCGCGTGCTGCTCACCTATGTGCAATCAAATGCTCGTGCAGGAATTGCATGCACTGCGAGAATAACTTTCAGCCTAAAGGCGCGACCTAATGAGCTGCCACGGACATACCTCTAAGAATTGGCTCACGGTTTCCACCACCTCTGACACCCGCGAGTAAGGCGGATTATTAAAAAGGCGTAACAAAGGCATTACAACGAGGGCCTGGTCGTCGGTCGTGGGCAGGAGCAAGATATCGAGGACGGGGACGACATGGTTGCGTTTGTCGAAACCATAGCCTCCAATCTGTTGAAGCACGGGAATCTCGTCGGAGTAGGTCCAGGTGCGACGTATAACACATCTGGTGCCATCCGACCTAACCGCGTCGACAACGGTGGGCCACTGAGAGCGTTAGTAGCCATTGATCTAGAACCTACTGCGACAATCACCTTATTCCAAATTTCGTCCTCAAAGTTCCGTGTCTGATACCATTTCTTGTCGTGTCCCAAGGAGCGAAGAGGGACATGATCAGGGTCGAAGCGAGAGCGCAGGGTGTATCCCCGACGCCCCAGAAAATGATAAAGTGCCTGCCACTCTTTCTCGCTGGGTACAAGTGAAAGTTTCCCCTCGGCTTCCATGTTGCAAAGGCAGTTGATGAGATGTGAGCGTGAAGCTTAGATATATCAACTGCCTGGCGTCGTAGACGACGGGAAGAGGCAAGGGTCACGCCACGTTCTCACGAGCACTCGGCCCGTCAGGCGATCAATGACACGTTCGAGCCGAGCCTTCCAAATCGAAATCGAACCGTTCACAAGCAGTGCTGGTCATCTTCATTCACACTGCCTCGCGTACGTTCATCATCAATTATGGAAGAGGATTTCATCTATAGCATCCCATTTCGAAGTCATGAATTCGAATCCAGGGTGACTTCTGCATGTATTCCTATCTCGACACCGAACACTGCTCTTTCGTAATCGCTCATCCTCAGTCATTCGCGGCGCCCAGCAGATAGCACACAAGCATGATGAGGCTCCTCGTGGAGATTATGGCGCCTAAATTTTATCAGAGGCCCGCGACTTATAAAAAGCCCCAGCCTATAGTCGGCGCAGCAGCACCTCTCACCTTTGCTTGATCCTGTTTTCGAGATGTCGGGCATATTCTCCAACTTGCTTCCAGCAACACCCAAGGATAAGCTCAAAAAAGCAGGTGTCATTCTGGATCGACTTCGCTCCCAGCTTGAGCAGGAGCCGGATGAGCGAGTGAAGATGGACTTTCAGGCCCAAGTGATCGAGTAAGTCTATCCTTCAGGTGGCAGATTTGGGATGTTTCTGAGCAAATCGAAGGCACGAGCGCATTCTGATAGCGCTGTCGCAAGAGAGTTCATGGCGGCACCCCTTGGACCATATGAGAAATGTTAATACCGCGGTTGCCGAGTTGGGAGAAACGAAGGACCAATTTCTGGTACGTGAATTACAGTAATTGCTAGAGTCCGTCTTTTCTTACATACTGGCAGACGGCCTCGGAGGAGGCGAGAAAGCGGGAGGAGGCGGCGCGGAAGGAGGAGGCGCGTGTAGCTCAATTGCAGGCCGCCGTCACCAAGATGTATGAAACCTACGACAAACATGTCTCTCTGAGGAGAAGGCCGCCTGTCCCAGTGGAGTGAGTCAGAGCTTGGCCACCGCATTCCTTGGTCTTACACACGCTTCTAGGTTGCAGCCGCAAGAACTGGCACCAAAGATGAAGTCAAGATCAGCTTCCACTCATACAACCGACATGTACGAGATTGGTCGCTAGAAGATATATGTGCGCGAAGTTGCTCAAATCTTCATAGGCCGTCCGCGGGGGCCTCGGCCGCATCAGTTGGTGGCTTTACCAAAGGGCATCGGCATACCGACACTGCTGCATTCGGAGAAAGTGGCGCAAGCAGGAGCGCTGTACATCACAGCGGTTCCGATGCGTATGGGCGCGCGCGTACTTCCGAGGAGCACAGTATGATGAGCAAGACCTCCTCGTACGGATCGTCGTACGCATTATTCTTCATCGTCTCTGTCAATTGCTCATGTGATCTCACAGGGATTCAAGGTGATTTTCATCAACCTGGCATGACATAACTGCCCACAAGTCGTCCAGGTCCTCACATCAACCCCGCCACGAGCGGACCTCGACCGAGTGAGCTCGATCTATATGATCAGGTTTGTTACCGGATATGAACTCATCGACAGGGTGTTCGGGGGACGTCCGCCTGAGACGAGCGACAATTCGCACTCCGGGCAGTACGTGATCCATGTGTCTCGTTTGACATATCCACTGAGGCTACACACAACAGTTCTGCGCGATCTATCGACTCTGCCGGCGATCGCCGCTACAAGGAAGCCGGGATTTACAGCATATCCTCAGCGTCAGTACTATGCTGCTCACGCGCCCTATTGCGCTGATGCGTATTTGCCTAGCGATATCACTAGGACACCAGCGTCGGGGCCCTACACCAACTACACGCACGCCAAGAAAGAATCGATGTGCATCCTCTCCACCGCTTTATCGGGTACCGATCTCATGGCTACATAGGTCTGCGTCGAGGTCAACTTCTGAGTTGAACACTTCTCAGTGGCAACGTGAGCGCACGCCTGCGTTCCTCAAGTAAGCGTTGTGACCATTGCCGCGCACCGTTGCGTACTCACGATGGGCGTAGCGCGCCAGGAGCACCTGTGCAGCATCACGGCGACCCTCGCGGCACGCACGGTGGTCGCAAGACTCGGTGAGTACATATAACATAGGACGCAGTTTAACGCTGAGCATGTCGTCAGCGGTAGGGAGACACTGGCGCCTCCTGCTCAGTACCCTTCCGGGCCCACCGGCAGCACGTATCCGGTAGGAAGCGTCGGCTATTCGTCTGGTACTAACTATCCTGCGTCGGGAGGCGGTTACTCTGCTCGAGGCGGCGCTCCCCCTGCGGCTGGCCCATCGGCTGGTGGAAGTGCCTACCTTGCTCCTTCTGGCGGTGCCTACCACGCACAGCCTGGCGGCTCTTATTACCCGCCCGGTGGTGCGTACCATCCTCCTGGACCTGGGCAGCCCCCTTCTTCTGGCCATCACCCTGCGCCTCCTCAAGCGCCCTACTCGGGGTGCGTGGTTTCGCAACTTTCTTCCTGACTCTCGCTAACTTCTATCTTAGGCCGATGCAGCCTCCTCGTCAGTCCTCGTCCCACGAGCACTCCAGCAAGCACGGGGGTGGCCGGCGTTGAACGGCCTGTTTTGCCGTACATCGCGCTGCACCCTTGGTGCAAGCCGTCTATCGTCCCGAGGTCATGTTCATCATGATCGCACGCCGCGTTCACTCGTCCTTTCGAGCTGCAGCTAACCTGCACCGAGTCTTTTGTTTCTTTTTCTCGGCCTTCTGTGTGATCTCCTCCTCTCTCTTCTCGTGACCCCTTTCTCCTTATATATTCTCTTTTCCTCTTTCCCCTTACTGTATTACATATCTGTCTGTCTTTCTCCACCTATGCCTACCCTTCCTAACTTATCCTATGCGCGGCTCTCTTCGCCGCATTTCTTCTTCACGACCCCGCACGACCTTTACGCACTAGCTACGCCTTTAACGACCTTACGAACCCCCAACACTGATCGCTTTCCTGTCGGACTCCCTGTTATATACTGTCGTCACACTGTTGGTCCTGGTAGTGGTTCGCCTGTTGTACAAAGTGCCCTTTACTTCTGTATAACTCGCTTGTATCTGCACGCACTACTGCCAATCGGATTGTCGCCATCCGCTCGACGGCTATCAAGCAACTTCAACCACCTTCGCTCTCTCCGATGACACGCCACTGAGGCACTTCTTTACTTGCTAGCTTCCGGGGCCCCGCCACAAAGTATCTCATTTCGCCGTCATTATCGACTCTCCACAGGGACTGTCATCGTAGTAAGGTCAGAGCCGTGGCGCCAATCGCAGCTGTCCATTCGCTCACCTCCCAGAAGATATCATTGACCGAGATCCAGCGCAAGCGCCCGCGCCGCCCCTCGTAGAGTATTGCCTCTGGCATAACCAGCGACGTCTTCAGGGACTCGGGCGATCCTCTCGGAGGCCGGAGATACTTGGCGCATAAGAACTCGGGCGTCCTAGTGTGCTCTATGTTGTATAGGGTGAGAATGACTGAGTTCTTGATTTGGAATGCGGTGGTGTGGAGGTAGGGGAGGCTGGCTACGTAGGTTCGGACGACGTCCTGGGGTGAGCATGGTGAGCAATTAGCAATGAAGCGGGAATGCTGACACGGAGGACTCGGTAGTTTGGGGCGGCAGTGGTTCTGTTTGAGTGAGAAAGAATGTACTTACAAGGCTGTCCTTACTCAGGCATAATCGTAACTCCTCCAGACGCGTGCAGGACTTGCATATCTGCTCGACCATTTGCTTGCTCACGTGCGTCGCCGCACCGAAATCCAGGATGCGCAGCGAGTGAGCGTGCTTCGCGGAGACGTGTGAGGCCAGCCTATCGATGCGCTCAGTATACTCGCGCAAACCATTGACGGCGCAAGGATAACTCACCCGTCCACCGAGTGATTGTCGCATGCAGCCACTATATATCGACCGTCGTCAGTTTGCCCTTAGGCAGTAGTATCGGAAGTGGAACTTTGGCCTTACGAAGTGGTTCATCGTGTTCTTTACTGCAACTCAGACGCAGGATCTCCATTCTCGAAGTTCCGCGAATTGCCTTGCGCACCCAGGTGGAAAAGCGGCGAGCAGCGTCAGCAGTTTCAAAACGAGGGTGGTCGACGGCGAATTTGCGTAGATTAGCGAGTCGAGGAAAGTGCGCAGGGGAGTTGAGTTGCTAGAACACGCTCGGAGCTCAGTTACGTGCTCTCCTGGGGCAAAGGAAGTAGGACACGAGCTCACAAGGTAGTATGCGAGGTGCACGTCTGCCAGATCAGGAAACGTGGCCAGGGCGTCGAAGATAGCCGCATCCGTCAAGGAGTAGGATAGGCCGAGGCTGAACGCGGTGACGTCTCGTAGACTTTTTGAGAGGCTGGTCAACACGCCTGGCGTAATGGAGCCACAGTCGCCCTGAATAACAGACGATGAGCAAGCAATCCGACCCAAAGATGCGACTGGAGATGCATAGATAAAGTTTGGCTCACCAACAAATGCAGCTCGCGCAGAGTTCCTGACAATTTGGACAACCACGCCGGGAGCGCATCTAGAACTGCGCGCGACGGCGCGTGTATGGTGAGTGCTTCGAGATGATGAAGCGCAGACGCTTCTTGGGTGACTTGAGCTTCGGGAGCGGGTTCAGCAGGCACAGACTCCGCCTTGGAATGGTCTGTCCCCACCACTCCCTCCTCTTCTTCCTCGCCCTCCTCCATCAGGATAGCCATTGCATACCTTTGTGGCATAGGCAGGGGCGCGGGATATGTGCTGCTCGTCGACGCCTCCGGTACCGCCAACTCCACTACTGAGTGGCTCAGACGATTTATCTCCAGGCGCTTAAGGTATTGCAGTTTTGGTAAGAGCGGTATAACGTTCCAAAAGACATCCTCGCGGGCGACGATCGGGATCAGAGCAACATGCTGTAAATTCCTGAAGGCGGCAAAACACTCTTCGAGCTGCTTGCGAATGCCATGTGCCTTCTTTGGAAGGAACCCTGTTATTTCTCGTGTGATTACAGAACAAGAGTTTGTAGAATCAAGGCTTGCTTACGTCCGATTTCGAGGGAATGCACAAGGTCAGCATAGCGAGGCGTCATGGCGCTGAGGATCTGCGCCGGTGGCTACCAAAGTGTCTCAGCATTACAGCTACGTTTCTGAGCTGGTCGAGTTTACAAGTATTCTCCCCCAAGGCGAGGGCCGCAGATCCATGACTCGCGGCGCATGAACAACGCGATTATAGAGCAGGCGTGAGGCCGCTTGATGGAAAGTAGAATTCACGAGAGCACAGCTGGCTAGCGCCAGAGGGTCTGTCTCCAAAAAGGACAGAGCGAGGAGAAGCAGATCGAAGCATTCCGTGAATGCCCTCGCAGACATCGTGGTCGAAAGTCAACCGTGATGGCGAACGCCAGTCACCGTCGTTCGGTCGTTGCCGCCAATTGTCCCACGCCTACAAGCTGATCGACGACGGGCGCTTAACGCGAGTTCACCTTGTTCAGTACTCCCACTGATGCGAACGACCTGAACATGTACTTCGACCTGAACGTTCCCGTACCCGCGCCAGCGTCCTCTGTTACGAAGAAAGGGAAGGGCAAGCAGGGCCCCATCACCTTCAGCGGGCCAGAAATCAACGCGATCGAGGCGCGCATCGAGCTGCTTGTGCACTGTCAGAACTTGTTCCCCTCACTACCGGATCTGTGCTGACTCGCAGTCGAAGTAGGATATACTGCACTTGCCTTTACTCAGACAGTGCACAAGAAGATAGACCCCAAGGTCAACGCCAATATCCTCGATGTCCTCATCCCCCAGTTACGGCCCCGGCCCGGGATCCTCTATCTGAAGAGGTTGAACATCATCTTGGACTCGGACAGTGAAAAGGGCTTTGGATTGGTGCGTAACAGTACCTCGAGCCGCGTCGTTTCCTCTAAGTTCATCGACCAGACCGGCAATAACCAATCCTTCCTCAACACCTACGACATCCTCGGCCTCGTCCCCACCACCCTATCCACCTTCAACCTCGCCTGCCTGACACATAGCCAACCCTCGCCCCTCACCGCGCACATCATCACCGTCCCCTCTACACTCCCCCGCGTGCCATTCTACATGAAGCACACGCCTGTGCGCACGGCACTCAAGAATGGTGCCGTGTTCGAGCTTACCTACGTAGGTGCTCTTGGCGGACGGAACGACGAGATGATGGTAGACGCGGGTGCTGCAGAGGACGGGCAGAACGCAAAGAAGAATTGGTGGTCTGCGGCGCGCGAGCTTGCGCGAGTGACGAAGGGGAAGGGGATTCTGGTCTCAAGCGGCGCGTGTAGCGACCCGGATATCCGTGCGCCACGAGACGTAGCGAATCTGTGGGTATTCTCTTTGTATCCGCCGCAAGCCTTGGACTGAGCGAAGCGACATTCGGCTAGGTTCAATATCGTCGGTCTCCCTCAAAACATCGCCCACGATACATCCACCTTGATACCCAAATCCTTGCTCATACGAGCACGTAAGTCGTCAATACTGTTTCAAAGAGCACCGAAGATTCTGAGACAGCCTTCAGAAACACGGAAAACCTACCGCGCCGTATTGTCCGAACCGAAGGTGGTCATTCCGAACCAGTCGGCACCACCAACCTCAGGTGCAAATGCTCAAGAGCCTGCATCAGCGGTGCAGCAAGACACGCCACCAGAAGCAACCCCAGCAGCGCCAGCAGGCGCAGCAACTCCCTCAACACCGGCCTCCCACGGGAAGCGCCCTCGCGAGGACGGCGAAGACGGCGCCGCGCCTCAGCCCGGCTCCGTCGACGAGAAACGGAAGAAGAAGCGGAGGAAGCAGAAGCCGCAGACGCCTCAGTAGTTGACGCGCTCGCGTTTATATGTCTAGTGTACAGCCGATATCTTCGCGCTCACATTCTCCCGTGCTGTGTGCTTGTCTAGTGCAGATCGCTGCGTTCTCGTGCGCGACGATTCATGCCCAATCCTACCTCTGCACCGTCCCAATCCAAATCTCGACGGGCCCCTCGCCGCGTCCCGTAATATCTTCCGCAGGGCGTGCGTAGCCGCATCGCTCGGCGACCTGCAACACAACGAATTGTCAGTATTTCACGGACTTTGCTCCGGGACTATGCGCGCAATTGAGGGAGCGAAGATGACGGAAGAACAAGACCTCTGACAAGCCACACACGCACCTTGACGAAATGCACCCCCGCCTGCTTGTTGGCCATCTCCCACAGCACCCGTTCGTCCGGGTGCCGCTGCTTGTAGCCCAGCAAGAACATGGGCGGTGGTATCGACGCGGGGCTGAGGGCTATCAAGCTTTTCATGGTGCTGACAAGCTCGGGGAAGGAGTCGGTGTTGTAAGTGACGTCGGCCATCCTGAACGTGAAGATTAGCATGAATTTGTGCAAAACAGTCATTCCGGAAGGATCAGGGCTGAGAGAGAACCAGAAGGGGTGAAGGGAGGTCGCGAGCAGAAACACCCAACGTACATAACGAGATCGAGCGCGCCGCCGCGAGCTATAGCGTCTGGTAATTTGGGCTTGTCCCAATCGAGCTCGAGAGCTTGAAGGCCCGCTGATGGTGACCTCGGTTGTTCGTCATCGGGTGTAGCTTCCGACTCGATGGGTATTGTTGGATGTGCCTCATATAGGTGGATGTTCTGTCGCAGGTTGTGGTCCAGCAAGTCAAGTGCGGATTCTGCCTATTGTTTAGCGGAAGTTGAGATAGATCTGAGCGAGCCCTTACCAAGGTCTGTGACGAAAATCTCGTCGTCGTCCTCTTCGCGCTCTGTGGTATCGACGCCTTCGCTGCCTTCGGCGGCGAGCGTTTCTTGCAATCTTTTACTGCGAAAGGCTTGTCTTAAGGCAGCCAATGTGAAGGACAGGATCCCTGTGCCGGCGCCTAAAACGTGTACCTCGTCAGGTATGTTTGTCAGACACAAAAGTTATATGCTCACCAAGCTCAACGATTCGCCTCTTTCCCGGACTGAGCAATATGTGACGCATTTGCGTCTCGAGCTCAGAGTCTGGATGTAACTCAACCAATGCGCAGATCCACGAGCTCAGCCCAATGCCGCTATCCCAGACTTTCTGTGCCCACATCTGGTCAGCCATCCACCTTCAGTCATTTGAGTCACCCTCGCACCCACCGTGGCCAGATTATACCCCGTCCTCTCGGTGATCATCAACAATACATCTTCTGCCTCCCTCCTATCCACCCTCCCCAAGCTATAGACCCTGCTCACCAGCACCTGCTTCTCCGTCGGCACCCCATCGAACACCACCGGCTCGCTCATTACGGGCAGCGGCCACGCACCGAGCGAGGGGCTGCAGAGCTCGATAACGACCTTCGGCGCGGAGGGCGGCCGCGCCTTGGACTGACCCGCGGGCTCGCACCACAGCGCTAGCCGCCAACGATCGCCGTGCTTGGCCTCGCGAGGGACGGGGACGGGGAGCTCTTTGTATCGAGACGATGTTTCCGCGCGGTAGGTGGTGAGCTTTGCGGGCCATGTAGCAGGCTGAGCGAGAGGGTTGCCAAAGTTGCCGCATTTGATCCAGGAGTAGTAGATATCACGTCCAGCAGGTTCGTTGAGATTTTCATAGCGCAGGTCATTAGAGATTTCGGGACATATGTTCACGATGCCAGGTGTGGGTCCAGCTTTTCCAGCGCCTCTTGATTTACCAGATTTATCAGCGTTCTTCGACTTGGATACCTTGTCGGAAGCCCTTGCTTTGTGCTGGGATTTTCCGTTGGATGTTGATGGCCCGGTCGACGTAGAGGGAAGTGAGCAGGAGGCGGGTGGAGGCCTCAAGAGGGTCACGTAGAAGAACATCGCTGCAAGTACGCAGGTGTACTCGTGCCGACAGATAGAACAAGTGAGTTCGGGGATTTTGGGCTGCAGGAGAGACCTGAGATGGGCCGCAGGAGAGACCTGTATTCAACTCGAGATAAAGATGTGACCGGTGGTTTGAAGTTCAACTTTGAAACGTGACCTCGATCGATCAGTCCATCATTTGGACCTACTCGGCCAAATGGATGCAAGCAAACATACCGTGGCGTGTACTTTCCTCCGGACTTACCCCCTGCAGCGCGCACAGTGTAGTCAGCTCTCAGGCTTCTGATACCCTTAAGTTCCACCCATCCTCTTGCTAGCTCAAGGCTGACCCAAGGCCTTCTGCCAAGCTCACCGGCGCCCGACCCTTCCCACCTTCACTCGGCGAGTTCGACGTTCCACAACCACGGGTCGATCATGCCCATGTTTCCTCACTTCGCGTGCCTGAAAGAGGTATAAAATACGTGCCCCGGGCAGAGTATGAGGTACGTGCCCTGGGTGAAGCATGATATACGTGCCTTGGGCAAGGTATAATATAGTCGTCTATCTATCTACAAACGTCGCAGAAGAATCGTAGCTTTAACGGCTATAAATACAATATTAATCGTCCGCAGCGTTCGTCCAAAAGGTCCGCAGCGAACATCCGATACGTGACGAGGGACGCGAGGAGACCCGATAGTACGCAGGTGCCCACGGTAGATACATAGGCGCCCACGGTAGCTACGCAAGTGTGCCCAGCACGTACGCAGGGACATCCGATAGCTAGGAAGTACGCCGAGCGCACGGAAAGCACGCCGCGATCGTCCAATAGGTCCGCAGCCACTGCTCATTATATATGCTGGTATCCGCGCAGATGCAAAATACAAGTCGACGAAGGAAGATGGTCGTGTGTGTTTCTGGGTGTGGGTGTAGGAGAACGGGGGATAAATGCCAGGTGGGGAGAACGGGGGATGACAGCTAGGTGCGGAAGAACGGGGAATAGATGTACACTTGTGGGATCGGGGACACGAGACTTCCAAATTGTGTGGGTGGAGGAGTGGGAGTCGCAGGTTGACGGGAGGGGTGGATGGTTGGGGAGCAAGAAGAGCTTCCTCGCGCATGACTTGGCGATCGTCAATGACAAGGCGAAAGCCCAGAAGACGACGTACGCCAACAGCACCTAACGACAAGAGCGCACAAGCACCCTTGGCATCAGGCCGCAAACGACGGACGCCGTCGCCTTCACCTGACGGGCTTGCCTTATCCTGCCGAGCTTAGCAGCTCGCCAACAGCGCCACCGCGCCCACCGCCAGCGCCGCGACCACACCCGCCGGCTTCGCAACCACACCGTCGTTCTTGTCCGACTGCCCGCCGAGCGACGTCGCCGAGACCTGCGCCGCCACGGAGCCAATCGTCGCACTGGGCACGGACGTGTCGTCGTTCCCATTGTATGCGAGCGCCGTGTCGGAAAGCTTGGCAAAGCCGACCGAGGCGGGGTTGTAGCGGAAGACCGAGTACACGTTTTTCTGAGGGGAGAGTTAGCGATGTTGAACGAAGGGCATGAAGGATGAAGCACGTACCAGGAAGCTGTCACCGACGATCCACGAGGGGGCAGAGCTGCCGGTATCGAGGTCGAAGAATGCACCAAGGCACTCCGTGCGGCTGATCTGACCAGCGATGAAGTCGTCGGGGCTGATAGACCAGTCCTGACCACCGAACGTGAGCGCAGTGTTGACCTCCGTGTCACAAGCTATCGAAAAACAATAAGAAACCTGCATATATGCGCCTCAAATGAATACTCACGGAACGTGTAGTAGCCCTCATAGTCGCCAGACCCAGCGCTGGCGCCATCAATGTTCTCGTAGATCTTCGCGACGTACTCGGAGGGACCGCCAATGAGGGTCGTGCCGGTGTCGATGGCAGCGTAAGACTCAGAGCCGGAAGGCAGCGAGACATCGTTGTTCTGCGACTTCAGGCCGGTCATCTCGACGAGCCAGTACGTCTGTGTGCTGCCGACAACGTCCGTGTACTCGATATCTCCAGTGTACAGACTCGAGTTCGTAAAACCCATGGTGAAGGAACCGCCGTACTCAAGGGACTGCACTTGCGAGTCGTTTGAGAAGCGCGTCAGGTGGAAGGCCATGACAGGGTCATCCCATGCGCCGCCAGAAACGAGTGCTTCCCAGAATGGCGTCGCCTTTGATGATGCTATGGATTGGAACGCAAGACCGAGCAGACCAGAGACAGGCGCAGTGAGCAGCCCGCTCGACACCTGGTCGCACACACCGAAGACTTGGTCAGAGACGGAGAAGCCCGCCATCTGCACCGTATCTGAACCAAGGGAGCCGGCGGCTTGACCGCTGCCATAGGTGATGTCGAAGGACGTCGACTTGTTGTTGAACGATGACGATGAGGACGTATCAAACGTCGCAACGTTGTCGCATCCCGTTATGCAGTTGGAGTCGGCTACCCACAGATCGCTGCGCTTATTGTGAGACAGTGGTAAGAATAGCTGTGCGTGGCGACGTACGCAGATCCGGTGTCAAGAATAACATCGAAGGAGACGGGGGGCGTGCCAATGGCGAGGGAGCCATAGTAGCTGGAGTCTGCGTTCTGGTTGACGATTCTGTCGATGGTGGTTAGATGGCTGGAGCGACGCCCTGCGAGGCCACGCACAAATTCGTCCCCGTACTCCGTTTCCTGGAATCACGACCAGCATACTTCATGGAGAGGTGTTCTCGCTGTGCGCGGGCCCACTGGCCCATCTCTTCGAAGGACCTGGCCTTCATGTTGCGCCGCTTTAGCGGCATGTGCGCGCCAACCGCCTGCGCGTCTGACTTTGGAATGACGAAAGCATGGACGGAGAGCAGGAAGAGGAGCGAGACGGGCAGCGGGGAGAGCATAACAGCAGGGCGTAATTAAGGTGTGGGGTAGTCTGTGAGAGGGAAGGACAGTGTAGAGTGTGATGTGCGACTTTATAAGCCTCGCCCAGCGATGCGAACGAGATGTGTAATGATGTGGCTGCGGACAAGGAGCGCTCCCTCCAAGGCCCGCCCTCCTCCTCGGCGGCTTGTCACGTGGTCGCTTGGCCCGCGCACCGGATCAGCGCGCAGATCATTTCGTCATCGCAATCACCGAAGCCTCCGTTCGGCTCGCTCACACCCACCTCACACCCTCTGCAAGTCGTCGAGCGCGGCAACGAGCAGCGCAGAATAAACAACAAAAACCGTTCCTTGCATCACGAGGCCGAACTACCGGACCAGCAGACTCGAGCGCAGGCAGCGCAGCCGGCGCATCGCTACAGCTGCGGCTGCGGAGTCCGATGTCTGTCTATAGCCACTGCTCGACGCACTGCATCCTTCGCATCGCCCGCGTCAACGCATTCCGGCGCGCCCGAGGCACCCAAACATCAGTCTGAGGCACCGAGGCGCCCGGCCGCTCGTCTTCTCTGCCTTGGCAGGACACAAACGTGTTTACTGATGTCGAGTAGATGCAAGCGAGGACGGCGCCTTGGCTGGTATATTATCCGCGAGGACGTTTATCAACCATGAACATAGCCCGCTGTCTGAGATGAAGTCAGACAACGTAGGAAAACGCAGTCACAGAAAACGCACCTGACTACTTTGCAGTGCGCGCCTAATTGCCTCGCAGAGTCCGAGTCTACACCTTCGGTGCGGATATCTTCCGTCCTACCCACGTCACGTAGGGCACGCCTAGTAGGCCCGGTCCATCCGTACCATCGCCTGCATGCCAGACTTCCCATCGCGCGCCATCTTCCCCCCATTCGGGACGAGGGCTGGAACCGCTATCCTTCGAATCAGCCCAGTCATTCCTCGTACCGGCCCTGCCATCCTTCGAGTCGCCCGCATCCTCTGATTCATCGATGTTCGAACCCAGCCACGCCTCGAGGAACCCACGCAGCACGTCCTCCGCTCTCAGCTCGCTGACCACGACCACGGTCGACTTGTCCGGCTTTGCGAAGTGATTAATCGTGGAGACGAGCGGGCCGACGAGTGATGGGTGGTAAATGCAGTCGACGGCGAGGATGAGGTCCGGTGCGTCGTCGCTTCCGTCTTGGGCGTCTGCCGTCCCGTCCCGTGAATCGTTGTGCGCGTTGCGCGTGTCCTGAGTCCCGTGTCGTGCGTGATCATGCCCATGCCGCGCGTGGTGAGCATCATCTCGCAAGCCGTCCTCCTTCGAATCCCTATCGCAATTATACGGAAACGCCTTCCTCCTCCTTGGCAGCGGCGTCGCATGCAGCTGCTCCCAATCCAGCGCTTCCACTGCGACGTTGCCCAAGTCGTGGTCGGCAGAGTTGAGGTGGACATTCTTCGATATGAGGTGCGTGAGGCCAGCGATATCGGTCGCTGTGTAGTGCTTGACGAGAGGCGCTAGAAGGACTGGGAGGAGGCCGGTGCCGGCGCTGGTGGGTAACGTTTAGTAGACGTGAAAGACATGCGATGAATAGTTAGGTGACTTTCATCTACCGATGTGCCACAAAAGGATGAAACTCAGCTCACCCAAGCTCCAGAACACATAAATTAGACAAAGAGTCCCTCTCGAAGAAGGAGTCTGAATTTCGATGGTGATACTGCCGCAGGACTATCCGGGCGAAGTCTATGCTGTCCCTTCTGGTCAGCACAATGTGCGAGGGAAAAAAGGCGTGAACACATAGTGTTCAACAAAACACTGGATACCAGATGCAGATGCTTACCTCGCCCTCCACAACACGCTCCCCGTATCCCCCTTCGTTGTGTGCAGCCTCGTCTTATCCTGGTACAGCTCGACCTGCACAGATTGCGGGCCCGACGGCTTGGCTGCTTTGCGAGTATGTACGTGTCTAGTCGACCTATGCCTCCCGCCGGAGTGCGTTTTCGAGTTCGGCGGGCGCTCCAGGGGTGCCTTATGACTGGGAGGTTCCTCTGCAGCTGGAGTGCTAGGACCTGATGAATATGGCGAGCCCACGGTGCTAGTCAAAGCCCTCGGAGGATCCTCGTCAAGCTCTATCACCACCTCAATCGTATCATGGTGCGAGTCCAAGAAGCCCAGTCCTCTATGCGCTTCTTCAGGGATCGGATGCGCTTGCAAAGCCGTATAGAGGAGGAAAATCTAGCCAAGGGGAAGGTGCACGTTTGGATTTGGTAGGCTTTACACAAGGTTACGAAACCTGCTTGCCAGGTTGGTTTTGTACCTCTTCATCGGCATCGGTAATTCTTTCGGAGTCGTCTGTGAGCTGAATGGGGCCAAGTTGGATCATGGTGGTGGAAGGACAGATGTGCAGCGGCGTGACAGTAACAATATCTGGAGTGACAAGGCGCGCCGAGTGCACGTGATGAATGTCCCACGGTTCAACTTGGGGTGATGGCATCTTCAATTGGCAGTGAGCTATCTAAAAGAGGCTGCTGGCCATACTTCTCGCTCAGAAAATTATCAGAGGAATATCGCCATGTCATTGAGCGTAAGTACGTAGCGATTCGTATACTACCATTAGTGTCATTTCTAGCAAGGGAAGGAAAACAATGCGTACTGTATGCGAACCAGATATTCTATATGTATGAGATGGTGATACAAGACAACAGATTGATATGAGTATGCAAAGGATACAAAAGAAACGGACGTCGTCCGTGCATTTTAGGGGGCGGTGTACGAGGGAGGCCCTGCGTCGAGCGTCAGCGTAACGCACAAACCCTCAAGGCGAAACCGACGAACCAGGCGAGCGGCCCGCGCCCTGCAGCGCATCGATCAGTGACTGGCGCTCGTCGTCCGAGAGGTTGTCCGCGAGGCGCATCATGCTGTCGAGCGACGCCTTCCGGTCCTCGCGCGTGAGCTGCACGAGCCGGCGCATGAGGTGGTCGGCCTGCAGCTTGACGAGCGTGCCGCTGATGTCGAGCGCCTCGAGCTTCTCGGCGGCGGTGCGGTGTGGCGTGGTGGCGTCGATGCCGGCGAGGGTGTCGAGGAGGCCGGAGCGGTACTCGAAGGAGGAGCCCGGGCTGGCTTCGGCGAGTTGGGCGAGGGCGGCAGAGCGAGCGACGCGGGCGCGGGTTGCCCAGTAGAAGTGGCGGCGGGCATTCTTCCATTGTGTGGGCTTTGCGCAACCCTTTGCCTCCATGCGACCGGTGCGACTGGGTGAAACTTAGTACGCTAACAGAGAGGATGCGGAGAAACGACATACTCATGAAGATCGGCGTACAAGAGAGCGAGCTGCTTGTAGGTCGGTGCAAGATCAGACTCGCGCGCCTCGAGCTGCGAAGCGGCAGCGGCTTGCTCCTCGGGGCTCTTCGACGGGTCCTTGCTGTCCTTCTTCAATGCCGCGTATGTCGGGTCGAGACGCTCCATCAGGGAGAGGATCTTGTCACGGCGCATCTTGATTTCGATGATACCCTCGGGCTCGAGGATACCAGCGCGCGCGTCGACGTCCGCGTACATCTCCATCTGCTCCGAGTTGATCGACGGGTCCAGCACGACCCAAGCGCCACCGCGCAACTCGCCGTTCGGCACGATGTACACGAACACGGGCTGCTTGTACGCGGAGAGGCCGTCGACAATCTTGGAGCCCTGCTTGAGGATCTCGTCGTACATGTCCTGCTGGCCACCGGAGAAGCCACGCCAGTTGGCGAAGATGATGAGCGGGAGACCCTCGCGGTTGAAATCGAAGATGGCCTGCGCGGTCTTGTAGGCGGAGTTGGGGTACCAAACCTGGCCGGCCTCCATGATGCGCTGCTCGAAGGATGACGGGTTAGCGGGGTCGGCGGGGACGATGCGCTCCATCGTGCGCGTCTCAACGGCGATGACACCCATGGGGATACCGCCAAGGCGAGCGCGGCCGACGACGACAGTCTGCGCCCAGCCACTGAGGGTCTCTTGGAAGGAGCCGCGGTCGAAGATGCCTGGAAGCCACTCCTCGGTGCTCTCGTCGCGCTTGCCCTCGATGAACCAGCGCGGGTCGTAGGGGCCCTTCGGCGGCGTGTACGAGATGTCGCGGTCCCATGTGTCGCCGTTGACACGAATCGGGAGAGGCGCCAGCTTGAACTCGGGGATGTAAGACAACCACTGCATGATGTGCTGCGCGGCCTGCAGGTCGCTGCTCGCCGTCAAGTGCGACACGCCGTTCTTGAACATGATCTGCGTGCCGCCGAGCTGCAAGTTCGACGTGTAGACCTCACGGCCAAGGACCTTGTTGAGTGCCTGGGCACCGGTGAGGATGATAGGCTGGCCCTCGACCTGAACGGCACGCTCGCCAAGGCGGACAAGGTAAGCACCGATACCGACTGAGCGACCAGTGACGAGGGTGATGGTGAAGATATCATCGTAAGCGCGCGAAGTCTCGCCTGCAATGAGACCGGAGCCGCGCAGAGACTCTACACCGATACCGTCTTGCAGACCGATGATGTCCGTGATCTTGTGACGGCGCTGATCACCGGCCTGCACCTCGATGGTACGAACAGCCCCAGGGCTCTTCTCCTGCACCTTCAAGAAGTTCTCGCGCGTGAGGTAGAGGTAGTCGATACCCTTCTCCGGGTGCGCGTCGTCGTTCCAGGCAACCGAGAACAGAGGGAAGATCTCCTCGGCAAGACCGATACGCGCGCCAGAGTTTGCAGATAGGTAGATGCGCGGGAGGCCTTGGTCGCGGGCGTACTGGCTGACCTGGTAGAAGAACTGGTCCTCGACGGGGCCGAAGGAGCCAATCTTGTACGTGATGTCGTTGGCGATGACGACCACCCTCCGTCCGCTCGGATACTCTGGCGTCCTCAACGTGTACACCCAGCCGACCATGCCGAAGGTGTTGTTTCCCGGCGCGCGGTCGACCTCGGCAATCTGGTCATGCTCATCAAGCACGAGCTCGCGCGACTCGAGTACATTCTTGGGGATAGTAAGCGAAGGGTCGACCTTGCGGGCCTCGAGCCAGACGTTGTTCAAGGCTTTGGCGAAGAGCTGCGGGAAGTCGTACACGTATGTGGTGCCGATGAGGTGAGCCTGGTAACGCTTCGGCTGCAAGGACTCCTTCGTCGGGTACGCTTGGTGCACAGGCTGCAAGTGAAGCGGGCCCTTCTCGCCGATGGACTTCAAGATGGTCGTGCCCTTGTCCGTCGTGATCTCCTGGTAGCCGTGGAAGTTGACGACGAAGCCGGCGACGTTCTCAATGACACAGCGGATGGGGGTGATGTTGCCCTCATCGTCCTCGAGCGCGATGCGGATCTCGGAACCTGTGACATGCAGGCGCCACAGACGCTTGCCGTGACGCTCGATGAAGCCAGCGACGGCCTCCAACACGTCGTCGTACGTGACCGCGAGGTTGTAGACGAAGTTAATGAAGATATGGTTGCAGTCAGCGGCGCGGTGCTGAGCGCTGACAACCTCGAGCGCGTCGAGAATGCTCGTGACAAGGCGATCCGTCTCTGAGATGAGATACTCTGCGGTGCTCATGCTGCCGCGCAGGCGGCCAGGGCGGACGAGCGCACGCACGAAGAAGCGCTGGTCGAGCTGGTTCTCGCGGGCGACGGCGTGGTAGATGTGGATCTGCTTTGCCTCGACGAACCACGGCTTGAGGTTGTAGTTGGACAGCCGCCTGAGCTCTAGCTGGAAGGCGAGAGCGGGCTCAATGTTGCGGATAGCCTGCTCCTCCTTCCACACGCCATCGATGTCGCGCATGGTGAAGTACACAGGGTACTGGCCCTTACGGCAGATGAGCACGGAGACGCGACGCACGCCACGGTAGTCCAGCTCGTCCTTGTTGGCGTTCACGAATTCGGCGATTTGCGTAGCCCACTCATCCTCCGGCATATCGTCTTCCCGCTCAAAGATGCGCAGGGCCAAGTTCAAGACGTTGGGGGGCTGCACCTTGCCGTAGCGCTCGCGGTACTCCTCGGTGTCGAAGACGGGCAGCAGCGAGGCGACATGCTTGAACCCGCGCTTCAGTGTGGGGAGGTTGGGGAACGATGCGATGGCACCGGTGCGGACGGGCTGCGACTGATGACGGTTCACGAGGTACGACAAGTCGCTAACGGATGCGGTACGACGGCTTTCGGTGAGTCTCGGCGTCGAGGGCGGGGAGTGCGACTGCCCGATGTTGAAGCGCCACGTAAGGACATTGGGGTTGTCGCCATCGTCGAGGTTGTCGCCCTCCTCGTAGTCGATGGACAACAACGTGTACGCGCGGTAGGCGCGACGCACGTAGACCTCGAGAGCAGCTATATGCAGATTAGTGTCGGATATCATCGAAAGGGATACTCCACTAACCCAACGTCACCATCGGGTCCTTGTGATTGAAGAACGCCGGCAACACATCGTAAACGGTATACCTCGAATCGCTAAGCTCCTTCAACACCTCGGCCGATGGCGTTCTGCGATGATGGGCTTAGTGGCCGTGCGCGTGAAGTAAATGCAGAAGCGAACCTTGATGCCGTCTCCTGCTCGCCGTAGAACTGATTGGTGACTGCATGCTTGAGGATGCTCTCCATCTGACTATGACGCTCCTCGTACGAAGGCATCTGGCCCATGATGAGGACCTCGCGCGCCTTCAACGACACAGCGGTTGACGACCTATCAAGAGATCAGTTGCTGGTCCAGAACCTCAACGACAGCTACTCACTTCGCCTCCAAAGCAGCCAGATTCTGGCACGCCTCGTACAAGTGGTTGTCCGCGGTCGAGATGTTCAGCCCGCTCGTCTTGACGTAGTCGAGCAGCGCCAGCACAAGTTTGCCCTTGCTCTGCGCCTTGATGTGGCTGAGCGCGAGCGACGCAACCTGGTCAAGGTCGTCCTTGTACTTCTCGCGCAAGGCAAGAATGCGCGCCTCGATGCTGCCACCGAACAGCTTCTCGGTGTCGACGTAGCGGCTGAGCAGGCCCGCAATCGTCTCCAGCTCGTGCCCCTTCAGGCCACCTGCGAAGCGGTCGAGGACGTCGTAGATGCCCGCGAGCGACGCGCGGAACATCGCACGGTCTTGCGGGAGCACGCTGTCCTGCGCGTAGTGCTCGACGAGCTTCTTGAGGCGCGCAGAGGGGAATTCGTGCCCATCGTTCTTCGCCTTCGCCGCCTCAAGCGTCGCACGGATGCTGTCCTCGAGCTTTGCCGGGATACGGCCTGAGAGAGAAGACAAGATCGCGCTCATCTCCGAGAAGGGGAGGTCAGGATCGTGCAGGACATCGATGAGGTCCTTGAGCGTCGACGCCATGATGGCCTGGTTGTCGAAGCCATCAAGGATGTCGTTCAGGATGCCGATGCAGCGGAGGAAGCGCTGGTAGGGCTTGTTGCCGATGACGCCCGGAGGGCCAGTGGCGGGGAGCAGGCCCTCGAAGGGTTTGGCGTGCTTGACGCGGGCGGGGTCGTCCAGGGTGAGTATACCGAGAATGTCGCCGGGCTCAAGGCTGACACCGGGCTGCTTGATGAGCTGGACGACACCGTCTTCTGACGCGACGAGAGGCATGTACATCTTCATGACCTGTCGAGGTTGTGAGTAAAGGCAAACTTGCAGACGAAAGAGCAGAAACGTACCTCAATCTCCGCGTACGGTTGGCCCGCACCGATATGGTCGCCACTGTCGACGAAGTACCGGATGAGCTTACCCGGACTCGGGCTGCGAAGCTGCGTCGGGTCGTTCTCCTGCTCGATCAAGCACGTCTTCGCGTCGACCATCAGACGCAGCGCGCCAACCTCCTCGCGCCAGTACACCGAGTGACTGCGAGCGTCAAGCGCTACTAGCAAGCCGCCATCCGCCAGCGGGCGCGCACCAACCATCGTCCGGCCACCATTGAGGTAGAGCGTCCATGCATTTCGGGAAGAGCGCGTGACGGTGAACGAGTATCGCACGTTCTCGTAGATGAAGTCGATGCTGAACACCGTCTTGAGCGTGTCCTTCGCGGGGACCTGGCCCTTCTCTAGCACGCGCTTGTACTCCGTCCAGCACGCCTCGGACGCGAGATGCGCCTTGGTGACAGCGCCGCAGATGACAGCGAGCGTCGGGTCGGGGCGCTCGGCGGTCAGCTTGCTGCTGATGAGCGAGTCGAGCCAACCGGTCGTGATCGTGTTGTTCTTGAACGCGTCGAGCTCGAGAAGCTTGACCTGATACTCGACGGTGGTGCGGAAGTCACCGCGGATGCTGATCTCCTTGAGCGCGACGATCATGTTCTTCCGACTCTCCTCGCGGTCCTCGCCGTACGCGAAGATGTGCCCGAACTGCGAGTCCGCGAACTCGTGCAGACCGCCCGCGGTGCTGACGGAGAAGTAGCCCCAGACGTTCGTGCTCGAGCGGAAGTTGAGTTCCTGCAGGGACCCAGACGAGGGCTTGAAGCCTGCGTCAGGGTTCTCGGCGGTGATGCGGACGGCGACGACGTGGCCCTTGGGACGCGGCTTGCGCTGCGTGGCGGTCGAGTCAGGGTTGATCATGTCGAAGTCTATCTCGGAGGCCGCGGTTGGTGCGACGCCATAGAGCTGGCGAATGTCGCGAATGCGGTGAAGGGGGATTCCCATGGCCACCTGGAGCTGCGCTGCAGGGAGGTTCACGCCTGACACCATCTCGGTTGTCGGGTGCTCGACCTGCAGACGCGGGTTCAACTCGAGGAAGTAGAAGTAGTCTTCCGATGGGCTGTAGAGGTCTGCGGGAGCGGTGAGCCAAAGAAGCGCTGTAAAGGGTTGTCCACTCACACTCGACCGTCCCAGCGCTGACATATCCAACGAGCTTCGCGAGACGCACCGCAGCGCGCTCCATTTGCTCGAAGGTTTCCTCCTTCGCAATCGTGACAGGCGCCTCCTCAATGATCTTCTGGTGACGCCGCTGCACGGAGCAATCACGCCCAAATAGCGAAATCGCGTTACCGTATTGGTCTGCCAGCAGCTGCACCTCGAGGTGGCGCGCCTGCCCCGCGAGCTTCATGATGAAGATGGGTGACCCTAAGGGGAACGGAGGTTGGAAAGCTGCAACAGTGCACGGCGCGGACAAAGCTCGCACCAGGGATCTCGCCGGCGACGGCGTGGAACGCATTCTTGAACGCGTCCGGGTGCTCGACCTTGCGAATACCCTTGCCGCCGCCGCCCTCGCTAGCCTTAATCATGACGGGGTAGCCGATCTGCTCCGCCCTCTGCAGGCCCTCCTCGACGTTCGTCACGCACGCGTCCTTGTACGCTTTGTCGGGGACAGTGACGAAGCCGCCGGCGGACATCTCCGTGTCGGCTATGCCGCTGCCGGACCATGGCATGGTGGGGACCTGCGCGTGCTGAGCGACGATGGTACTGGAAATCTTGTCGCCCAAGCTACGCATGGCAGAGCCCGGAGGACCTATGAAGACGATCTTGTTCTTGCTGGCCGCGAGGCTTTCCGGGAGGCGAGGGTTTTCCGACGCGTGGCCCCAGCCTGCCCAGACGGCGTGGACGCCAGCACGCTCAGCAATGTCAACGATGAGATCGACGTTCGCATAGTTATTGTTGTTGGTGCCTCCGGGGACCTCGATGTAGTTGTCGGCCATGCGAATGTACTCTGCGTTGATCTTCAGGTCCTCTGGTGTAGCCATGACCGTGAACTCGATCTCGCGCTCGCGGCCGAAGGTCTCGTAGCACCATTGGCGCACAGATCGAATCTCCTTGACCGCGGCAATACCTGGGGGAGTGTGAGATGTGGAAGGAAAATCATCCGAAGACGATGCAGACCATTGTTCGCGATGAGGACCTGCAGGAGCTCATTAGCGCGCTACGATCGCGGGAGGGACGCGCTTACGCACCTTCGTTATGACCGTATGGCCGCCATGAGACTTGACAAAGTCCGCGACGCTGCCTGCGCCGGCCTTGTCAATGGAGTTGCCTCCTGAAAACGCGTCCTGTCAGCTACAGAACACGCGACACGAGGGCCGGGGGACGCGCCTATGAACTGCTGAACCCTGGAGTGATCGTACGCCGACATTGTGTGCCTTCAGCCGCTTCTAGTGAGAGCGGTCCCGGGGACGTCGAGCGCGACGTCGAAGATGAAGGGATAAGGAGAATAGCGATTGGGATTCCTGGGGTTGAATATAAGCTGCACGCATTCCCCTCCCCCAAAGAATGGTATCCCCATCCGTACCCTGCCGCGTCGATCGGGTCCGCTTTGATCCCTTTACGACAGCTAACTCGCCCCAAGAGAGTGAGCAATTTATTCAGACGTCTCTACGACTACAACGTTCCCCGATCCGATGCTGGCCCCGCGCTCCCCACCGGATATCGTCAGCCAAGGGCGGGCTTCCGAATTGATGTCCTCCGGCAAATGCCGAAAGTTCAACTTTACTCTCCCACGGTACTCTCGGGTGCTTCCCCCACCACGCCTTTTGAGCGTGTATCGATAGAGCTCGTGCATCTGCCCGCAAGGCCTCGGGACTGACAAAAGAGTCTGGAGGACGAATTGACGGCGTCAGAGAGGGTTATGCGAGACTGTAAAGACGCGCAGGCTTGCATAACTTTCAATGCGTGATGTCCCAATGGCAGGTTCAACCTGAACACCCTGATATTTCCTGAGTTTCGTCTAATTCATGCGACCGAATGAGCCCCTAGTTCATCATCTGCAAATGTTTTTCAATGAGTTCAGTAGTTGTCTCTGGTCCTTTGGACAGTAGTAGAGGGCTGTAACGAGGAGAAGTCGAGTTGCATGCTTCACGCAAGACACTACATCTGTCTGAAGATCAGCGCCTTTTCTTCATAAGGCTATCTCTTCTCAGCTTGACTTGTTGTTTGAAAGGGGGATGAACAGACGGAGGGGATGGCCATCCAGAATTTTCCGAGTACGCACTTGAAGTTGCCCCGAAGACAGAGTGCTGAGGGACGACGCTAAGTCTAAGATGGCAGAAAATCTCTCGATGGGCCCATGGTCTTGACCGTCTCCTTTAGAGCCACAGTCACCATTCATTGACTTATCGCAAAGCTTGCTATTTGCCTCAGTCCATCGGAAACAGCTCTAAAGTCAAGGCCTTCTAAGGCGCCTTGCGGACGTCTTCCGTACATAGGTCTTGCTCCCCGATTCCGCCACACACGCCGAGGTATCATATCCCCCACGCCTCCGATACCGCCGCCCCCACGCCCCGAAGACGGATGCCCACGTCCTCGACGCATCGGGCTCCCACCACCGTGCCTAGCTTTGATCGGGGAAACTCACTCAATAGAGCGCGCCCCATTCGTCATGTTCGTCCGCAGATACCTCCGGATGGTAGCTGCGCGGCGAGGACGAGGAAGTGCGGTTCTGGTAAATGGGGGACAGGGAAGCTCTTCAATCATGAAGAAGTCATGGAAGTAAGACATGGGGGAAATATGGCGGGCTTCGCAATGTCCAGCAAAATGAAGCGAAGATGACTAACACGAAGGGAAAAGGGCGGGTATGAACAGGAAGTAGGTACAAAGGAGGAACACGTACCTTGGTTCCACATCGGGATGGCGTCGCCGAATATCTGGACATGAAGCCAGCGAATAGATTTCCAGATAGGTCGCCGTATGTCCAGTCCTACACATTCGTCCTCGGGAAAGTCGAACATTGCCTAGACCAGGGTTGGCGAAGCTCGTCGCTCATGCGGAGTGTACCGCGCCGGACGCCAGAAAGCTCTCAGATGAACGAGAGATTACGATAGAAGAGTCCAGTCCATGCGCTTGAAGCCCGTGATTGAGGCACAAGCCCTATTCTGCCGACGGAGTCCGAGTTGCCTGTACAGGTAGAAGCCTTGTGTCGATGAGTGAGCAGCTCGAGTCGGCAAGCGAGGAGGAAGAGTCAGACCACTAGCGAAGCCGCCGAGAGCGATACAAGTCACCGAGTACAGGTCCAGATGACCGTATCTCTGGCCACAACCATGCGGTGGGCCGAGCGAAGCAGATGCGTCTCGGGAGCTAGCAAAAAAACACGGAACAAAGCAGTCGGCAGCTAGTAGTTCGAGCACGTCAGAGGCCTCTCTCGCCGACGAGTTGGAAATGGCTGTAAATTGTGGCACCCGGGCAGCCCGTACCTGGCATAATGGACGGTGTCTGACTGGAGGAGGGCCGTTTGAAGGGCCGAGTAGCCCGAATAGGGCCCCGCTACACATAGAAGACGTACCTCCGCATGAGCCGCAGCGCGCAGGCTGTTCGCCACAGCTTGTTGGCCATCGAGGTGCGTCTGTCGCCCATTCAGCCTCAGACATGCCACCCATCGCACGCCGTCGCTTTATCTGCGCGGGTACGCCCCCACGCAGTCGACGCCCTGGCGCAGCCTCCGCGTGGGGCCTCACGAGCCTGCTGCGTCGCGCGCCCCGCGCATGGGCTCTGGCCGGGGCTAGCACAGTGCGCGTGCAGCTCTCCGGGACGCGCCGCGCCACAATACACTCGAGCGCTTCTCGCATCTGATTGCGCGCCCTCGGTGCCCCCCTCCGCGCGCGGCTCGCAGGCCCACGGGCTGGCCGTGGGGGCGACGGTGCTGGGTGAGGTGAGGGACGGGACGGGATCTGTTTCGGGCTCGCAGGCCTCGCGCACCATGTGCTCGCAGCACGACACCGCGCCACGTGCCGCCGCCTGCCGTGTTTATAGTGACTCCGCCCGCGGCCCTTGTCTGCCTCCCCCACCCCGCGCTCGACCAACGAGGCACGTCGTCGTCGCGCTCGCCCCCCTCCCCGCCGCCGCTGACCGCATCCCCCAGACTCACGACCCCCGACACGCACGCGCCGCACACGCATACCCCAGCACCATGGCCGACAAGCTCGACGCGCCCACCTCCTCCTCGACCGACACGGGCTCCGGCCCCAACGCCGGCGCGGTCGGCGGCGCAGGCCCGAAGGCCATCATCAAGAACGTGGACATGAGCGAGGAGATGCAGCAGGAGAGCGTGGACATCGCGTCCGCCGCGCTCGAGAAGTACAACATCGAGAAGGACATCGCCGCGCAGATCAAGAAGGAGTTCGACCGCAGACACGGCCCAACCTGGCACGTCGTCGTCGGCAAGAACTTTGGCAGCTACGTGACACATGGTGCGTGCCATCCGTCGCGTTCGACGCGCGTCGCGATCGCGTCTGACCGTTGCCACCAGAAACAAAGCACTTCATCTACTTCTACGTCGGCTCACTGGCTATCCTCATCTGGAAGTCATAGAAATGCATTGTTGTTCGCCGTGTTGCTGTCTGTTCTCGCCCGCCCGCTGTGCCCGTGGACGTTCCTCATAGTCGTACTCATGCCGCCACGTTTTTCGTCCTTGACGCGTGCTCTTCTAATCTTTTTTGTATGGACCATCGCGTCCCATGTATCCAATAAACCCGCCAGGCTTCCAGGGAACACCTCCAGATGTCGATCCGATCCGTCTTTTTGGCACGTAGCTTTTTTGTTTTCGAACACAAGCATAGATTGAATGTCTTCCACATCCCAGAGCATAGTATGAGTATTGTGCTACAAAGCGCGATAGTAAGGTGCTGTATACAGCCAGTAGTAAGTGTGAGTCTACCTAGATTGTTCAGTGAGTTGCACGAGCCGTTCAAAGTCGAGAACCGAGAAGAAAAGAGGGAGGGTCACGACTCAGCCGCGACGCGCGACCACCTCGCCCAGCAACACGCCCACAAGCTCCCGTCCCACATAAATCCCCACCTCGTACTCGCCCGCGTCCGTCGACATCGGCGTCCCCGTTATCTCCACTGCCCCGCGGTGCTTGCCAAAGTCCAGGTCCGCATGCATGAACCTTGGCAGCGGCTGCCCTGAGGTCAGCTTGGCGTCGAGCTGGAGGCCCTTCACCGGCTTGACTTGCACAGGCACCTTCGTCTTGAAGCGCTGTCCTGCGCTCCACAGCAGCCGCTGCCCTCGAGGCACGCCACCATCGGCGTGGCCTTCGTGCGACGACTCGAGCGACGAGAACGAGGATCGCACGTTGGTGGACACGGTGAGCATAGAGTGCGCCGTACCGATGGTGCGCTGGTCCGCACCAAGTCCCTCGACGTATTGCAGCGCTCTCGACATGTCATCTCCGCTCGGGCTCTTCGTCACATCCGAAGGCTTGGGGTGCAGCTCAGCCGTATAGCTGGTAACACGATTACCCTTGCCGTCAGCTCGCTTCGCTACCGGGTCCATAGGCGGCACAGGAACGCGCGAAGCCTTGAAGGGCACCAGGCGTGGACGAGTAGAGGTGGCGACGTCGGAGACGAACGACAGGCCGCTGACGCTCTTGCCGCTGCGCACGCTCATGGCCCGCGAAGCCTTCTGGACCACCGCTTCTTCAGCATGAATCAATACCGAGTCGCGAGATCCAGCGGATTCAAGGGAGAGCTGGCGCGCAAGAGGAGAACCGCGTCGCTCGAAGTGCACCTGCGCGGGCGACCTTGGAGGTAGCATGTCCGCACGACGATGGGGAATCGAGCGGTCGCCCGTAGATGTAGACGCCGATGTAACAAAGGTACCGGGTACACTGGGCATCATGCTGTCGTCGAAGGGGTTGACTGACTGAGTCGGGGTACTCGAGTTCGAGTACGGCGACTCCCCGTCGTTGCTGGAGGTGACCGATATGGGCTTGCCAATGACGGGACGCTGAGGCCGGCCACCCAAACGAACACTGCGGTACTTGTCGCTGACCTGGCGTACTGTCTGCTTGACGCGCGACATGAACTCGCGCTTGCTCATGACGGCGCTACTGACAGGGCTAGCGAAAGAGAAGGCTGCAGAACGACTGTTGGTTGGCGCCCTTACGAGTCCATCATAACCTAGAAATACGCATGAGCGTTGGAACACGGAGAACAGGAAATGGAACACACTCTTTCCCCTGCCCCCGTAAGGGTTCATCATGGTGTTCATGGTGTTCGGCAGGCCTTCAGTCCAGCCGTACCCGACTTCAGGAGAGTCCTCAGGCTTGTCGCCCATTCCGTAATAACGCTTTTCGGCGTCCGTGAAGTACTTCACCCCCTCCTCATGCGGGAGCGCGGGATCCGGAACGCGAGCGTAGCGTCGGAACCAGGCGAGTATTCCACCGAGCAGGATGAAGCCGCCGACGATGGCTGCGGCGATCTCAAGGCCGAGCATGAGTCGCTTGTGCGCCGCCGCCGATAGCTTGTTGGGACCGGAATCGTATCCTTCCTTCCGATGACCAGCGGAGACCGAGACAGGGAGCGTGGTATGCGACGTAGAGTGGGTAAGTCGCGAGTAGGCTGTGAAGGTCACCGAGAAGTGATCATCCTTGAAAGACGAAGGTATCGAGGCCGAGAAGTCTCCCGTCTGGGCGTCAAACTGCGAGAATCCAGCAACTTCATCCGGTTCCAGCGCGGCAGTAAGGTTCACGCTGTCGGTTCCCGTAGTGTTGGAGAAGTACTGCGCGAGACTGAAAGTGAACTGGCCATCATCAGGGGCGGCGACAGGAGGGATGTTCGACGTAGAGAAGTACGAAGGGACAACGGCCAAGGAGACTTCGGTGTTGATCGTCTGGCCGAAATCCGTGGAAAGGGTGACCGGCAGTTTCGTCGATGTAGTCAGCGAGTCCGGTGGCGTTCCAGAAAGCGTCCGACTCGAGTGGTCGTACTTGAGCCAGCTGACGTGGGACGTGTCGACGACGAGGTCAGTGATAACTTTGGGATGTATGGCCTCGCCGTCTACGAGAATGCCGGTGAAGTCGACCGGAGAGTTCATCGCCAGAGTAAAGTCTGTCGAAGCCGTGACGTTGATGGTAGGCATAGTCAGCCCATCGGTTGAGAGCTCGTGATCCGCAACGATGAGATCGAAGGGAAGACTAGTTGCGCTGTAACCTTGCTGATCCGTAGCGTGGAGAGCAATGTTGACAGTCCCAGGATGCCTGTGAGGTGCGACACCGTTGAAGGTGATCTGTTCGCTGTTGAACTCGAGCCAGCGTGGGAGCGGGGTGCCATCAGCTTGCCGTGCGTCGTAGAAGAGGGCATGTTCGGCCTGGAAGGTGTTCCACTCAAAGCCGATGCTGAAGGACCAGCCCAGAGGGACGCGCAGAGCGGGGTTGGATGTCGCCAAGGCGGAGTTGTTTGCGACGAGGAATACGGAGGATAGGGACGGGCTGTGTTCGTGGAACTGGTCTGTGATCGGGATATGAAGCGCTGGAGCCGGATAGGATGTCACGCAGATGGTGAACTCGGAGTCCGTAGAGGAGGAATCGTCTCGCGCAGTGACGGTCACTCTTGCGTTCCCTTCGTCGTTCTGAGAGGGCGAGCCGCTGAAGGTACGCGTCGAAGGGTCGAAGGCGAGCCAGTCAGGGAGGCCGTCCGCAGTGTACTTGATGATGCCGTCGTTGTCCTCGAAGGTCGACGAGGAGAAGGACCAGGAGTATTGCTGGTTTATCCGCGCGATAGTAGGCAACTGGTCGTCGAGCGAATACACGACTTCGAGAGCGGAGACGGTGAGCGCCGAGCCCAGAACGAGTGAAAGAAGGGCGAGCATAGTGATGGAGAATGGCGGGTGCCGCGTCGTCGAGGAGAACAGCTCGGGACGCCCAGCGAGCGCGATTCCAGATGACGGGCGGGAGCAAGCAGCAATGGCCAAACAAGCACTAACATCGCGTTCTTGACATGACGCACCGCACAGCCGCAGCTCCTGGAGCTCAGATTTAATCCGCAACTACGCCCTTGATTACTCGGATGTGTCTACTAAACAAGACAGTCTACAACCATAGCCGCGGAATGTGGATAGTGAGAGTGAGATGTAGCTACTAAAAGAACAGAAATGTACGTATCCATCACATAAACATGAGTATGAGAACAACAACAGGCAGACATTACAGAAAGCGAGCAGAGCATAAGATGAGGAATATAGAAGACGACCGAGAACACCGCTCATGCGAAGGCACCCAGACCCGCAGCCTGCACCTTGTCAGGGATCTCGGCGTTGAGGGCCTTGATGAGCTGCAGCATATCAGAGCGCACATCTTCCGTGAGGTGCTCGCCAGTGCGCTCCGGGTCCAGCACATATGCGAAGACCTGGAGGAGGTGGTCGAGGTACGGCTGCAGCGCAGCGCTGTTCGTGCGGAAGAGGTGGAAGAGCGCGCGGTAGACGGGCGCGTTCTCCTGGAAGTCGTTCTTGAGGGGCAGCGACTGGATCCAGACGGGCAGGACCTGGTCGAGGGGCACGGCAGCGGTGTTGCGAGAGATCATGCGACCGACGGCACCAGCGGCGTTATCGCGCGCATGCAGCCGCGGCGCAGGAGCGTCCGACGGAGAGTCAAAGAGAGGGCGGAGGGCGGCAAGGATGGGCACGACCTGGGCAGAGAGGTCCATCTGGGAGTGCTGCACCAACAAGCCAGTCGCAAACGCCGCGTTGCCCTGGACCTCCGGCTCACTGTCGTGCAGGGCCCGGTGGAAGAGGTCCATGAGAGGCTCTGTGAAAGGCGTGATAGAGCCCTCCATGCCGCCAATGATCTCAGACAGGCAGCCGATCGCAGACGAGCGCTCGGTCAACGACCGCGTCTTCTTCTACAAAGGTTGTGAGCAGTATATTGTAAAGCATAGATGAGTTACGCACGTAGTACTTCGAGATGAGAGGGAAGAACGTCTGGAAGGCAGCCTGGAACTTCTCGCCGAGAGCGATAGCCATGGAGGAGGCGAGATCGCAGGCGGAGCCGATGAGGACACCCTCGAGCTCAGCAGAGTCCTCGGGCGCCTCCTCAGACTCATCCTGGTCCGGATCGGTCTGGCAGTACGCCTTCTGCTCGAGGATGACAATGGCTATCTTGCAGAGCTGCTCTTCATCTGGGAGAGTGTGAACCACCGCGCAAGGACGGGACCAAAAGATAACGTACAGCCCTCGATGAAGAACTCGCCCATCTTGTTGATGGTCTCGGCGAGCGCGACGCAAAGGCCAGATGCAACAGATCTGGGTTAGGAGAGTCAGTACGATGGTCACAGTGAACGACGTTCGTGGGGTGTCAGTTGGTATACATGTTGTTCTCCCGGCGCTTTGCGCATCGAAGTGAGCTGAGTAATGTATCATCATGCAAGGCATACCCGACTATGGGTATCCCAAACAAGACGAGAAGGAAGCCAACACTCACTTGTTATCCTCGCTCTCGAACATCTCGATCAGCTGCGGCATAATGTGCTTGACGAGGTCCTTCGTGTGCTGCGCTGCAGAGCTCTCGGGGCTCTCCTGGCTGATATCGAAGAACGTGCGGACAATCTCCAGCAGGCTGTCGACAGCGCTTTTGCGCACACCCTCGTAGTAGTGGTTGCAGAGCTCCGTGAGCTCCATGGTGCACTGCTCGACATAGGGCAGGAAGTGACCGCGAGTCGCGGCAAAGAGCGTGCCGATGGAGTCGGCGGCGATTTCCTTCTCGATCGCGACGGCGCTGTTGGTCTCGAGAAGCTTCTCGAGGTCCTTAATGTCCGTCTCCTCCTCGCCACCCATGCCGTCAGACACGGAAATGGCAGTCGAAGGAGAGGTACCCGCGTTGAAAGCGTTGGCAGCATCGGCGACAGAAACTATGTTGGGTCAGATAGGACTACCAGTATGAATGAGGATGAACATACCGGTACCCTCCTCGACGTCAAGCGCCGACTCGTCCTGCGACAAGCTCTCGAGAAGCATCTTGACCGTGCCCTCAAGGTACTGCGCGAACTCCTCGCCGAAGACACGCGCCATGACGCCGAAGAACAGGAAGCTGCATTCCCTCAAGCTGTTGCTACCAAATGCGTCAGAACTGCACCCACAAGCCGAAGCGGACAACATACCGGCCTCCGGCGGCGCCGTTCAGCATCTGCGCGCCCTCCACCGCACGCTGCATCATCTCCGGGAACCACGGGCGGAACTTCTCCTTGCCTACGGCCTCCGCGATCGTACCGATCGCGTCCATCGCGATACCGCGCAGCTCGAGGTCGCCGGCGTCGATCGTGTCGACGCTGTGCGCACCGAGGGCGACGGCCTGGCTGCCGAGGCTGGCGAATTGGCGCAGCTGACCCATGGTGCCATCGAAGTAGGGCAGGAAGCGCTCCTTCGCGGCGTGGGCGGCGCTGCCGATGGCACCGGTAACGACAGACTTGACGCGGCCCGGGACATTCGGGGCGGTAAGAAGGCCGGCGAGACGCTCCATGATGAGCGGGAGGTACTGATCGATGACGCTCGTCAAGATCTCGAGGAGGGAGTCGAGCGCAGTGCATGCCGCAGCCTGGGTCTCCGGGTCATTGATGAGGTTCATCATGGCCTACAAAGGTCGATTAGCATTGTAGCAGAACCTTTGCATCCGCGAGTACTCACCGGGACGAGTACAGCATGCTTCTCGATGCAGTTGTCCTCGAGCCACTGGCAAAGGCAGCTGACGGCGATGCAGGCAGCCTTGCGAACCTTCGGGTTTTCATCCCGAAGACCGAGCTCGACAGCAGGCCAGATCTCCTCCATGTGGTTGCTGTTGATCATTAGACCTACGTTAGAGGATCTCCTAATGATCGACTCACTTGGAACTCATGTAGTCACTGCAGCCCTCAACGGCAACACCGAGGGCCATGAGAGCACCCTTGCGGTACGCCGGGTCGGGCGAGCTCAAGTACTTGGCCATCTGCTCGCGCAGGGCAGGGTAGACTTGAGAAGGAGGAAGGTTCGTAGATAGTGAGTCGATGATGCGGAGAGCAGACTACGAAACATCAGCGGCATGTCAAATAGGAGGGATCTCTGGCTGCTCACCCTCGATGGCGACTCCTCATCGGAGTCCTCAGGCTCGTCTTCAGTCGTGATAATCATGAGACCCTCCATGATGGCCGGCCCAAGGCCGTAGCTTTGTATCTTCGACTTTTTGCTGAAGATATGATCAGCACTTGTGGGGAAAAGAGTCTGGTGATTACGTACTACTGGATGCACCAGTTGAGCGCGTTCAACGCCAAGGCACGGACCTCAGGTTCGTATTTGCGGTCAGCACCGCACGTGAGGAGGAATTTAACGAGGTCGGGTATGATGGGGGTGAGGAGGGGCACTTCCTGCGGCCAGTGTTAGTGTCGCCACAAGCCCCGTATCGCGCCGAGCTCACCAGAATAAGAAGTGTCTCCAGGGTATCGAAAAGCTGACGCGCGACCGAATCGTCGCCACTCTCAACGGCCTGGCCGATGACCTGCAACATCTTGGGGAGGAGGGTTTGGAAGTGGGCCTATTGGACTGTGAGCGGGGAATGAAGTGCAGGGGTCGCGCACGCACCATCTCCTCCTTCTCATCGACGTCGAGGTACTGCGCGAGGACACCCAGTATCCTGCGCGAGGTCAGCACGAAGCAGAGGCGCATGAAGACCATCCACGAACCTGACGGCCAGGACGCGCACTTCGGCGTTCTCGGGGTCGACCAACATCTGGTCGAGGAGACCGTAGAGCTGAGCGATCAAGTCGCCCTTGATAGCGTACACATCGACGGAGTCCAGGACGGAGTAGAGGAGGAAGGCACCTGTGATCCGGCTCAGTATGATGTCGAATATTGAAAGGGCGAGTCCAACGCACCGGTCTCGCGCAAATGGGCAGGCGAGGTCGGCGCGCACGAGTTCATTACGAAGGGGAATAGCTGGCCGTACTGGGCGACCTCGATGCTGGCAATGCCTGCCGTAGCACGAGCGGCCTGGTGCCGGACGGGCTTGCTGTGGTACCGTTAGCGGGTCGCCACAATCAGTCCGATGATCTACGCACTTGGTCTCCGTGCCGACGATTTCCAACATCTTCTGCTTGATCTCATCGCGCTGGGCGGACGGGACGAGCAGCCACATGGCGCCATCGTTGTTGATGATACGCTTCCTCAACTCGACAGCCGCAAGTTGGCGCACCTGTAAGTACGACGATCAGCTCCTGCTCTGATCGACGCATACGGAAAGGAAGGCGATGATGTGGAGATAGCCTTGATGTAAACCTGGGAACGTTGGAAGACCGTATATCCATATACTACTCACCGCCTGATCAGTCGAACTTGCGAGGATCTGGGCAAGGGCGGGGATGCACGCCTCATTTTTGAAGTACTGGGTGTTCAGCTGGGCAGTGGCGGCTTTGATGAGGCTGGTGTCGGGGTTCTGCTGCCCAGTAGCTTGTAGAAGAAGCTGGTGGAGGCCATGCGCGAAATTTTGCTGGACGCGACAATCAGCCACCGTCCGTCTAATACGATCGGGACCCGCGATCATGGAGACGCGGGTCGATGTGTGGTGGGATATGGAAGTGGTGTACAACGAGGAGACACTCACATCCATTGCGACTCCCGGCGGCCTTGGGGGAGGAGGAAAGGGTGAGGGTGAGATGGAAGAGATGGATGCGCGAGATAATTTGTGATCGACCCAAAAATTGGTGCACGTGATCTTGATGGACGACCACGTGTGATGAAGTTGAACTTCTGCGTCCTCGACATCACCTCCAGTTTCTTCAAGATAAGTGCACTTACCCGCGGATTATACCATTTATAAAGGAAGCGCAAATCGACTGATCGAAACGATCATCCCCATCGGCGTTCCAGATACATGTTTTTCTCGGCAAGTCGCTGTGATCGCTTCTCCAGTGCCGCGGCACGAGGGGAACGCCTGGGGACGCCGCATTCCCGCCAGCCTCATGGACCCTTTCGCTGCGCTCAACGCCGGGTCACGCCCTCGACCAGGTAGTACATAATTTCTACTCAAGCGCGTTCATCTGCTTCGGGGGGCTCTTCTATTTGTCTGCTTTTGAGGCCACCTTCATCTTGCCCGCCAGGGACTGAACGCACAGAGGTGCCTGGCATTCAGCGAAGAAGCTCTTCGCCGAGTTTGCGCTCATGCTGCCGGCCTTCATGCTCTCAAACATGCCAACCATCGAAGCGTCGCACCGGGCGCACGCGCCGCTTCCATTCCAACACAGGACAATAGTTGTGAGTTGTCCGAATATGGTAGGCTTGTTGCGCTTGTCCAACATTTCACCAGTTAGGCGCCGGCGCCTTCAGGCCGCCATGTGCTGTGGTGCTGGTGCGTATAAAAGCAAGACATACTAGCCTTTGCCCACATAGATCCCACATCGACCTGTACGCCACTGCTACTATGTGGAGCCACCGTCTAACACCACAACACGCCCCCAGTTCCCCCGCTGTTCCTGAGAGCGCCACCCAGTAAGTGACGCTCGTCTTTGAGCGCCTAAGCCGTTGCTGAATAGCTTGCGTGTCTGCAGATCACGATCAGCAAACTCGTGTCCTAGCATCGCCCCGACCTGCCCCACCCCCAAGCGCGCATTGAAGAAATGCGGGCGCCTTTTCATTAAGGCCTGGAAGGTCTTGACGAGCAGCAGGTTTCCCCGCACCTCTGGCCGTTTCTCCTTCGTTCCGCCAGGTTTCGAGATTGTTTCGCCCGCGCCCACAATGAGCCACGCCCTACCACCCACAGCTTCCCCACCGCCCTCGACAGCTCCCTCGCCGCCTCCTTATGACTTCGAAGCCGCACCTGTACAGGCCCCAGTTCAGCGTCCCGGCTACCAACGCCTCACCTCTCATTCATCGACGTCCATCGCCACGACCTCTACGTCCGTTATGCCCCGTCTTCGCATCCCCCGCCGCACCGCCAGCGGCAAGACGCGCCATCCCCACGTTGTCGGCGGCGCCGAGCGGTCGCCGCCGTCGCGAGCTGCACGCGCGCACCCCATAAACCGACCCCGCCCCCTCGCTTCGCAGACTAGGCTGGCGGGAGCGCACTCTAGACGTGAAGCTTACGTCTACGTGCCCGGCCCACACGTCACGCGTCTGCCGTCGAGGCGGCGGCCGCGCAGCGTTAGCGGTCGCGTCGTCGTGTCCCGCCCAGGTGAGCTGCAGCCCCTCGACCGACGCGCGTCCACGAACTCGTCCATCCACCAACGCCGCCGCACGCGCTCGGACGCGAAGCGCATTGCCGCCGACTGGCGCGCGGGCTCGTATGTTCTCGTCGAAATCGTAAACTGATGATATGCCACGAATCCGCCTTTTATGACTCCCGCGCCTGCTGCGCAGGTGCGAAGGACCCTCCTTTGTATTACCTACTTCGCCGTCAGACCTGACTCCGCTCGCTCATATGTAGACGTACTGCACATGCTATGTTCATCAATAATGTACCACATACCACGTATACTTGGCTATTTTATGGGGTTGTTACTTGGGCACGCGAGTCGGGAGGGAGAACGGCGCGTATGCGGGTGATCGCGTCCTCGAGCAGGATCGGAGGTAGGTAAACGTCCAGCCGTGGTTCTCGCAGAAGGAGAGGGCCGCTGAGCATTGGTTTCACTGCGGTTAATGTTGCGAGAATTACGTCGACGCTCGTAGAACGAAAGTCAATCCGCACTGAGCGGAGGAAGTGTGCGCCCCGAAGGTGGCTTATGATAGTCTGCACGACATGAGCGAAACATGCACCCATGAAGCCAGCTGCACGTACAGGGTAGCGGAGAGTCTGATCTTGCGGATCGCTAACGAGGTCGGTGGTATTCTCAATCCGGATCCACAGATGTTCCAGCTGGGTACATCGCGCAAGCAAAGCTGAAAGACACATCTCGTCAGCCTAGTCCTTCGTTCGATATCTCGACGCTTACAAGCCATTTCATCCGCCTCCGCGATAGGAAACCCACGCAAGGACCTCAACCTTGGCCAGCTATCCCGAACCAAGACGAGGAACGAGCTATCCATGCGGCGCGAGTGCGCGGCGTCGCTCTGGGTATTACATACGAAGTGTTCGACATTGGGGCAGCTCTTGAGCAGCGCACCAGCTGAGAGGGGAACCACAGGCAGCACCATTGTCTTCACCGTCGGCAATCTCAACTTGTCGAAGACATTGAGAAGATTATAGCAGTCGTATGCGAGGTGTACGATGTGCAGCGTCTTCAAATTTGGCAGTAAACTCAGCACGTGAGCAAACAGAGGTAGTCCATCCGTAGCAAAGTCCGTGAGAGCAACTGTGACAGTTCTGTATATTGTCAGCCAGTGGGGAAGGGGAAAAACATAAGACACGTACTCTACGTATGGAGCGATGTTGGGTGCCCGGAAGATGGCGAAGCACTGACGATCCAGCTCCTTGCTGACTGCTCGTCGCCATTCTCTCCGGCGTACCCGCCAGCTTTTGGTAGAGATGCTTGTGGTCGATGCGAAGGCCTGAATATCCCTCCAAAGTATTGGCAACGTATTCTCCCGCATAGCACGACAGGTTTGTGACAGCGCAACCAGTACATCTCTTCGGTCAAGATGTGTCCTTGGAGACGGGTATGTGTAGAGCTCTTCTGCGGGAGTAGTCGGTAATACCTTCGCGAAGTAGTCGGTGATCTCGAATAGCAATTCGATGGGAAGGGAGGGTAGACCAGTCGCATTCGAGTTCGCAAGATCTATAGCTGTATCCTTTAGAGTGAGATTCCGGGTGCCCCGGAGAGCGGCTCGAGGCGCTCTGGCCCGGGACTTGTTTCCGGTCTGCGCCATGACCATGATGATGGTGGGATGCAAAAGGGATTCGCTGTCAAAAAGCGTGACGTCACTTGCGTGGTCAAAGCGCATTATATCAACCACGTGTGGTGCCTACGGCAGAAGATCTGCCATTTGATTCCGACCAGCATCCCGCGGAAGATATTCCATTTCGGTCTACTCCCTGGAGAGATATCGTAGCATTCAGCATCGTGTAGATTAAAGTAGCGCAATACTGCCCTCCTTTATTGACCTCCCCAGAAACCCCAGTCCATCCTTTACTCCCCACTCGTATCTCCTCGCTTGCAGTTCACGCCCTGCCCATATATCTGATAAATTCCAGATTACCCCGGATAACGCCCTGGTCGCCCCACGCCACCATCTTATCCGCCCCATCGGGTCAGGCGCCGGCGTCTATCAGGTTACTGTCGGCCAACAGCTCAGCCTCACTCGGTCCCTTCGCGCACTCTGGTGCGACCTTTCGTCTCTTTCCATCCTCACGCAGCGTCCAAACAAGCGCTCGTCGGCCTCCCCTTGATGACCGTCGGCCGTCCTCAGGGCGCCCATCGGTGTCTATAGGCGCCCACGCCTATTCCTGCCTATTCTGTCTGCAAGGATGTCCGCGAACCGCCGTGCCTGCGCTGCGTTGTGCCTTCCCGCTCTTGTTTTTGCCAAGTGAGCTGGTTCGTGCTCTTCAACGTTCAACGCTAGTTTACCGGCGCTCCTCCCTGGACCGATGTCGTGCTAGTCCCGTCATCTTGTTCTCGGCTTTCTTGAGGGCGGTGCAAGGGCGTCAGTCACCTGGACGTCGTCCAGCCCAACGTCTCCCCGACCGACCACGGCGTCGGACTTCCGACGTTCATCTGCGTCATACCGGCATGCTCGAGTCGTAGCATCATCATTCAATCGCAGTCAGCTGGTACGTAGTATAGATAAAGTACTTGGTCTACTTTTGCGTAAGTAATAGGATAGAAAAAGCTAGCTCGCACTCGGCCTAGAAGAAAGCAAAAAGGAAGCAGGCCTTGCAAGCAATATAAGATAGTACAACATCAGTCGATAATAGGTTTAATCCGGATCCCCAGGAAAGTAACCAGCAAGAGGGAAGCCCGGTGAGTCGTACTAGATGTAATCGTGCGCAAGCGCAGCGGTGCTGTATGAGTGTATGTACTATAGTGTACAATTGAGTAGATATGTCCATGGGGGACCGTGCTGGTGACACGACAAAGAAAGCCATGTCCGTGAGGTAGGGTCCGAGATGGATTTGATCGAGGGAAAAGAAGAGGAGGAACAATAGATAGGTACGTCAGGATTCGGAAGTAAGGCATGAATGGGGCCCCATGAGATGGATGAGTGGCAAGTCCATATGTGAAATGGGCAAGTCCGTATGAGGAGGGGGCCATAATGGGACGTAATAGTACATGGTGAGGATGAGGACGAGGGGAGAGATGAGTAGGCAGACAAGGGAAGGAAAGAGGAAGCCAAGGAAAGACGGTGCCGAGAACAGCAGTAAGACCATCGGGAGGGAGCGCACGACGTACAAAGAAACGAACACAGCACAGGAAAGCAAGCGAGGACCGTGACAAGAAGGGGCTGGCAGGGGATGGTTTTGACAGGGTCGCGACTGTCAGGCGACGCTGCGAGAGGCGGACGTGCCGACGCGACCGAGCGCGCAATGGCACGGGCTCCATCCGGGGGGCGACTAGTAGACTGTGCGGCGCGGGATATAGGGCGCATTAGCCGCGGAGTATATGCATAGACCGGTCCTCCAAGATAGCGTCCTGCAGGCCCCTCCGAGAGAAGATGGTGTTGTGACGGCCACGCAGGTGCGGGCGAGGAGAATATATGCGCGTGCCCCTCACCACACCTCCACAAAGCTCCTCCCCATCGCCACCCGCGGAGCCGGCCGCAGGTCGATGAACGACTTCAGCTTCCTTGAGCCCTTTTCCACCTTGTCCGCCGACGAGGACTTCTCATGATGAGACCGCCCACGTTTGGACTTCTTCGGCCGCGGAGTGGTAGGGGATTCGACCGAGGCAGATAATGGCGATCTGGACAGCGGGGACTTCGTCGACACGGACAGGGGCGACTTGCCCGAGCCATGGAAGGGGGACTTGCTCGAGCCCGCGAACGGCGCCTTGCTCCCGCCCGAGATCGACAGCGCCTTCTTGCGCCCGGAGAACCCAAGCGAGGGCGGTCGCAAGAAGGACGGCGTCGACTTGTTCGGCCGGTGCGTAGGCGCTGAGTGCGCAGGCGAGGGCGGCACGTCCATGTACGTATACGAGGGCGAGAGGTGATTCGACGACCGTGCGAGCACGAGCCCCGAGTCTGATGCGGAAGCGCGCTGGTCGAAGTAGGGCGAGGTGACGACGACAAAGCCGTCGAGCTCGTCCGACTCCGATGTCATGCTGTCCAGCGACGCGCGGTCGTCCTCGCGCGCGGGGAGGACGATGGACGCGGGAAGAACAGTAGACTCGCGCAAGGGCGGGACGGTCGACTCGCACCGCGCGAAGACGTGCGGCGTGGGGATCGGCAGGTCGTCGGTGCTTGTGCGATCCGTATCGTCGCACAGGGCATCGAACCCGAGCGTGTGATCCACGTCGAAGTCGAAATCTAGCGCGCAGGAGGTACCCCGCCGGCGTCTCGTGTCCGCGTCTGGCGAGGCCGTCCGCGACGAAGTGGAGGACACGCGCCACGAAGAGACGAGGTGCGAGGTCGATGACGTGGACGTACGCCAGAAGGATGCGTCCTCGTCTTCGTCGTCGCTCATGCTGATCCAGTTGACGCCCTGCGCTACGCGCTCCCGCTCCCGTTGCGCCTTCGCAATAGCGCGCGCCTTGAATTTTGCGAAGCGGAGGGTGTCGTTGGAGCGCATTCGGCGGAGGCCTTCTAGGGCTGCTAGCGCGTCGTCGCGCTTCGTCGTGCGGTAGTGGGTGGATACGGTGCGTCCGGTGGAACTAGTGTTGCGAGTGGAGGTGGATTCGCGCTTGTCCGCGGCTCTAGACTGGGAGACCTCGGACGCCGATATTGGCATGATGTCATCGTCTTCGCCGGGGACGAGGTGCAGGATGTCCTCGGGAATGGTTGAATGCGAGGCGACGAGGGTGAGAGTCGGTACGGGAGGGGACATTGGTTTAGACGACGTTAGCGTCGGTGAAGCGGGTAGGGGCGCGGTTGGTGGGTTCTTAGGCGGTCGCGTTCGGTCGATATTAGCATTATTACTTCTACGATGGACCGGTGTTGTCCGGTATGTGGCATGGGGGGACGCGCTAGAACAAAGGTTAATGTGGCGCACGGCTAGGAAGGAGTGGCACGCACAACCATGGCAGGAGGCCAGATGAGCGCTTGGTAGCCTTGCTGTAGCGGTCTGCGAGTTCGGGCGGGGGCGCTGCGAGATCGAGGCTGAGGAAGTCGCTGGACGCGACGGAGTGCCTGGGGTAGAGCGAGCGCTCGTCGTCGATGAAGGTGTCGAGGAAGGACGAGGGCGCGACGGACTCTGGGAGGCTGCTGTGGCGCGAGTGCAGGCCGGAGATGAAGAACGGCGAGTAGGGCGAGACAATCGACATCGCGCGCGTCGTGCAGTCAGTCGCTCGCGCGGGGGACTTGAACCTGCAACAGCAAGTCGAGTCGTGAGATAAATAGCCGACCTTCGCGCCACGCGGACCGATCGCCCGGGCGGTTTGATCGACGCCTGGGCTGGCAACGGCTCGGATCAGCTCGCCCAAAGCAGCGGAAGGCGAGCCGGCTCGTGCTTCTCGCGCCGCTCTCCCCACGCTCCTTGACGGTTGCAGCCACCAGGCGCGGCCCTCCCCAACCGTCTCTCCCTCGGCGCTCCTCGACCTCCTCGTTGTCGTTGCCATGCCCGCTAGCCTCACACACCACACCACGTCGTCGCCGACATCTCCCATGAGCATCCTCGCAAGCGAATTGTTACACAAACACGTTCCACGCAACGGAAGCTAAACGAGGGACTTGCACCATCCGACGACGCTTGCATGGTCCGACACGAATTTTCTGTTGCCCGACATCAGAAGTCCCACTGAATTCCGCGTACCGAGCTGGCAGGCGCGCCTGTAAATTCGAATTTCGCGTCTGGCGCGCTACTTACGCGCGTCTACTGCGGCCACCACAGAACAATGGGCTCGTCGACACGCGTCGGCAGGCGCTGGTCGAACTCCGCAGTCGACTCTTAATTATCACTGCGATCAGGGCCGTCATGACGCCTTGGCCTTCTTGGGGAAGAACCTGGGGCGCCGCGGCCCCTTCACCCAACCAGACATCGCATCTTTCCATCTACCGAAGCCGGATAGCAGGACGAATTGGGGGACGAACGTTGACGCTGCACGTACGCGAACCTCCATGCACCTGCATGCTGATCTCCTTCCGCGCCACACTCGGGGGATTGCCCTCTTGTTTGTCCTTCCTGGTCAGGACCTCTGCCGCTCCTCATCGCGAAGCAGGATACCAATAGCTACTAGGACGCGAGCACGCCTTTTCCAGTGTGAGCACATCCTTATAGACGCGAGTGCACGCGAGCAGGCTTTCAAACTCGGACTTCGCCGAAAGCTTTATGGACACGGTCGCAACAGAAGCACTGAAGATTTGCGGCTTGTGGCTGATACTCGTGTTGCGCCTCTCGTCAGTCGTTGCTGCGCGCTCTGTCAGGATACTCCTTCGCTCTGCCAAGATATTCCTCTATTCTGCCGAAATATTCCTCCGCTCTGCCGTTGTCAACGTCGTTGTGGCTAAGTACGCCGCGGACTTGGGTGACTCACTCACGCTAGGAGTCGCGCACGCTAAGAGCCGCGCCCGTGATGCGCAACGCCCGGCATCCTGCCTACGCGTGCCCTTGCTCTGCGCAACGCCCGGAGTCCTTCCTCTGCGCATCTCGCGACACCCGCGATACATCACCTCGAGGCTATCTTGTGCCTTTTCGACATACAGAGTGATACAGCCGACGTTGTATTCACTGCGACGTACGAGGATCACTCTTCGACATGGGAGTCCGACGGCTCTCCTTCAACTGGCTGAATACCTTCATTCGACACGATCACTGAATTCGGATTGTCGCGCTGAGTTTCCGGCGAGCCACACGAGCCCGCCGACCCCCGCGCAAAAGTAGAAATCACCTGTGCGTCTCTCACGACGCGCGCGCACCTTTGGCCGCACGGCGCGCGTCTCTTGACCTCGATGGCTTGCGCCTTTTGACATCGACGGCGTGTTTGACCCTCTGCATGTCAAACATTGACGTTGCTAGCCCACCTCAATGCAGCGGCTCTACGCTCTAGCATGTCTACTTGCCTGTCCGCTAGCGCGGGTCCATTGAAGTGGGTCTCGCTTGTACGGCCCGAGGCATTCAGTGAACTAAGTCAGTACGCAAGTTCAGGGTTTGTCTATTGCCACGATTGACGCGCTTCATAGTTGCCATGGAGCTATTGACCGTACAGCCGCCATTGATATGGTATACGCTATTCTCTGTGAACTAGTGAACTCGCCTTGAATTAACGCCAATCCCTACGCAGTCAATGACAGTCTGCAGTTAGTTTCACCGAGCATTGAAAGCACCATTGAATGAATGCTCAGCGCTCAGCAACCATTCACCGGTAGACCTCCGATTTGCGTGCGCTGAGAATAATCCCTCGCTTTGGCAGGTAGCATCTGCTCGTCCGCCGACTTAGCGGTTCGCGCCCAACACTTTCGCAGCCCCTCCTGCGCCACACAGCAGCTCATCGGCGGTGGTAAGCCTGGAGTACGAAAGACTGTCAGAAGTGAGGATGATTTACGTTGTCGGAAGACTTCGTCCATTTACCGGGGCGACTTCGTTCAATGAATTCACCTACGCGAGCCTTCGCAACCCCCTTCTTCGTACGCACCCTCCTATCCTTTTCAGACACACCCTTATTCCCCCCCTTCTCCCGCGCGCCTCGCAACGGGGCGGTGAAGAACGTTGACGAGAATTGCAGGTGGACGCGCCTCCTGCGGTGAGGGAAGCAACCTCGCCACACAATGGAAGGAGGGCGATTCAGACCTCTGAACAGTCTGCTGGGAAGAGAAGGTCAGCCAACATGTGTACTTTGGCAGATCGACGTACGCAGAATGTGTGGCGACCTGGGTCGAGAGCTCAATAGGCCGCTGGTGGGAGTCGAACCGCCTGCGAAGGACCTCAGGTACAAAGCAAGCGAACCATGCCGTAACCATCGATAGTCAAGAGGTCGCCCACAACCTGGATGTCCTGAGCGCTGCCACATCTTTGAGCGTACTCGGGCTCTGACTGCGTCCGTGATATATGCGAACCTCATTGAGGAGAAGGCGAGCTCGACTGCTATCATCGATCACTATCCACTGTATCCAGCCTGCACATTCAGGTTCGCGGCGGAGGTCCATCCATTCATACTGCACTTCCCATTGCCTCGGTGCGCATATCGCGGCGCGCTTGATTGAGGCCCATCAGCTACTTATCGTCAGCGGTCAATTGAACCGTGGGAAAAGGGTCACGGGATGCAAGTTGAACTTGCGGCATCACGTGGCCAAGCGGAAGCAAATAGAAACTTACCCGAAAAGGCAGGTTTTGGTATTCCGTTCATGTTTGTTCCTGCTTGCCACTGACTGCCATCGTACTGAATCCGAGTTAAGGACATTTTTTGTGTCCAGGAGTACTCTGCTACTCAGTCGACAATACGCCGTCCCCTTCGACGTGGAGCAACTACCAACGAGTAGATACCAATCAGGGTCAGCAGGTCAGATATCCGACCTTCGGGTACTTGAATGTTGGACTACTGTCACAATACTGCTGTAGTTAAGTGAGCAATTTCAGGCTTAAGAGGTGGTGTGGAAGCATGAGCGAGCGGCTTTCTCGCTACACTGAATTTGAAGAGAAGCATCGGCATGTCAGCCCTCTTCTTTGTCTTGCTACTGGCCATATCCTTCCATGTGACGGACGGGACGATCCTGGTGAGCGCGCCTGAGATGAAGTCAGACCTGCAACTAAGATACCCATGGCCCGCGGAACAGGACAGACACGAGATTGACCACGGCAATGATCATTCGCACCTCTTGCACTGGCTCGAGACGACGGACGCAGAGCTTTCATTCATCGGCGACTCCATATCTGGCCTCAAAGCGCCCGCAGATATCCTTCCTCGCGTGGCTCAGGCTACCGGCTTCGTGACCTACTGCAATGTTCGCACCACCGACAACAAATGCGGCGGAACCTGCACGGTCTACGCAGGCGGGCCTGCTTGTGTTTCTGCACCTCATACGGCATGCTACCACGTATCTTCGAATTTTCAGAACACCGTCTCTGCATGCGGTGGACCAGGGTACGTGCGACGTTGCGGTCCGAGTTTCCACTGCCCGTGGGCTGACAATCGTCGATAGATGTACGGGAGGCTGCTCTGGGTACTCGCAATGCGCCACACGACTGAGCGATGGGTTCTGCTACGCTCCGGGGACACAATCAATTCTCGTTACAGTTCAGTGACACGGTTACAGACACGTAGTACACTTGTTAAACGTCGACATACATGGAGCATGAGCATAACAAGGAAAAGGGAAAGCAAAGACGAAGAGGAAAATCGATAAACGACGACATTGAAACCCCCTCAGATCGAAGAAAACATATCCATGTGCGGCATCTGCGTCGACGGCATGTCGAATCGCATCCCCTGCAAGATGTCGAACGCGTTCATCTGCAACAGCGAGTTGTCCAACCGCGCGTCATCCATCTCCACGCCGTACCCGAGGTCCATGTTCTGCCCGTTAAAGACTGCAGAGATGTCCTCCGGCGTGTACTGCGGGATCGACGCCGGGAAGAACTGCGACAAATCCGCGCCGGCGTTGCGACTCTGAGGCTGTGCGGGATTGTTGAACGCGCGCGACTGCAGCTGCTGCACGTAAGGATCCATGTTCAGGAAGTTCATGTCGTCGCGGACGGCGGACTCGGGGATGCCGAAGGTGGGCGGCTGCGGTGGAGAGCTAGTGCTATTCGACCTGTTGTGCTGCTGCGCGGGCGAGGGCGCGCGCGGCACGGGCGACGAGGAACGGCTCTCCTTCAGACGCTCCTGGCCGCGCTTGAGCACGATGAGCACAGCCACGGCGCGGCGGGCGAGGTCGCACTGCGCGTCGCCTGGGATTGCCTTCGCGAGCTGCCCGAGAACGTAGCCGGCGTGGTCGATGTACTGATAGCACTCGGGGATCATGGGGTCGTCGGGTGGGAGTTGGAACAGCGAGCCCATGAGCGTGACAGCGCCGTCGAAGAGGAAGAAGGCGTCGAGGAAGCCCGAGATCTTCCCTGGAAGAAGACGCTCGGGGCGATCTCCATAACCGGGTACGATATTACCCTGGGCGGAAAGCTCGAGGCGAATGAGGTCCTTGGACAGGCGGACACACATGTCCTTGATGAGGCGAGATGCGGATGAGGAGAGGTCGGCAATGATACTGTTGGATGGGGGTGGACGCGACTGCTCAGCGCCAGGGAAGGTGAGGTACTGCCGATGCAAAGCCATGCGGCACGAGCGGTACCAGGTGATCAGGGTAAAGCGCTGCCGCGCGACGGTCTGTTCATTGGCGGCTGCAGAAACGTCCGGGTCGTTTGACGGCGAGTATCGAACGGGCTTCTTGTCCTTGAAGATGAAGGACTCGGAAAGGCCTTGCTCCCATTCCACGAAGAGTCTGTCAATCTCCAAGACCTTCGAGTAATCCAGAGATTGGATTGTGAGGCACTGAAGCAATCGTGAGTGACTGTCATCATGGCTACGAGTGAACTACCTACGCTTCGGGCGGCATAAGACATTATGCGACTAAGTTTGCCGAAGTCGTTGATGTAGGCGTCGAAGGTGGATGGTGGGGATTTCGGGTCAATGGTAGGCGGCATTACGTCGGAGTGATCGTCTTGAACCATGGCCGGCCGTCCCAGGATGTAAGAGTAGATCCTGCGAAAGATGATGAACAACTTATCTGCGGCAGTTCAGACCCAAACTCACCTGTCGCAAAGCACCAACGACCACCATCCTCGCCTGCGCCACCGCTTCTCGTCTTCCTTCATAATTCTCCAGGTGTCCCAGTCAGGATCACGATTCAGGCCAATCGCGTATGCGTTCCTCATAGAGGCGCCAACGATCTTCCACCCCTCGCTGACCAAACCTCTGTCCGCGAGGTACGCTGCTAGGATCGGAGCAGCGATACAGCTGAGAACCGTCCCGTCTGCTGTCGGCGCGATGGAGTTGGAGTGTGTTTCGCCGAAAGCGGGAGCAAGGAGGCTGTCCTCCCCTAGTCGACGAGCGCTGATGGACAAGCGGAAGAATTCGGTATTGCGCTGCGTATCATCGCGCTCGTCGTCAGGTGCCATAGAGAGCATGGCGAAGAGCAAGGAGAGGAAGTGAGGATTGACATCCGCCTCACCACCCGTCGCATCCATCATGCGCCAGAGCTCGTCGTAGTTCTCCATGAAGTTGATCTCCGGGATGCCGAAGCGCCAGTTGCAGTGGCTGAAGTAGGAGTGCAGAAGAGCATCGCACGTGGGCTTGGGGGGTAGACGCGAAGTGAGCCGGCGATTGTCGCTGTTCAAATTGGTATTGAACATGAAAGTTGGGTCGGCGGTCGAAGTGAGGTCGACAGGACCAGGGCTGCGCGCGGTGGCGACCTTCGCTGACTCGGCGACTTTGACACGAGGGAACATAGAGCCAAGCTGAAGAAGGGGGTTAGGATTGACCGAAGATACCGAGGAACGAGCTACGTACCCTGTACAGCGCACAGACTACAGAGCCCATGCCCATGTACTCCCCTTGTCCAGAAGACATCGACATGTGTGTCAGCGCGATCGCCACCTCGTGCACCTCACTCGAATGCTGGTTACTATCCGCAGATTTCTGTAGCAATCGGTCCTCGTAGGCGGGACGCACATACGGCTTCGCGGGTCCCGGCTCAGAACCCTCGGTCGACCCAGGCGGCGATCCGTATGTGTCGGACGGCGTCCTAGTGCTGGCACTCGGAGGATCATTCTTGTTAACTTTCTGCAGTGCCTCTTCAAGCAGTAGTACACGGTTGCGGAGCTGCTCGATCGTCGACTTGATCTCGGGTTCCCTCTCGTACGGCGCTGCGGGAGCAGGGCGCTGGGTTGTTGCTGTAGACTTGATGAAGGGCTCCCAGTGGCAGAGATGGGGAACACCGCGGGAAACGCAGAGCGAACACGGCGACTGAGACCAGCACCGGTGAGTAGATGCTTCCCGATTCGAAGCCTGCAAAGCTCACCTGTCTATCGCATTTCTTAAGGCCCAGAAAACTCTCGGTCAGCGGCAGGAGATAGGGGATTCAGCGCTGGATCACACACCTGCCTGCGATGGACACATTCAGAGCAGCTTGATCGACAGTTTGTAAGCCTATCCACTTCATAGTGCGGGAGCCCTCACCTCACGCGCTGCCTCCGGCGTGTCCGCTTTTGCTTCTCGGTAAGGCCTGTCTGCTGAGCTTCCATGACTCGAGCGTGGCGATGGTGGGGGGAGGCACGCCGTAATAGACTCCCCTATTTCCCCACCAGCGGGGTCGCGGGGTACTTATGTCCTATCCCCTGTCTCCGAGTGGCTGTGCCACCAGCTTCACCGCTGCGATTTCCAGCATTTTTGAAGGCCACAGTGCGCACTAAAAGGATCATCTGATACTCACAGCATAGCATAAGCTTCTTGCAACCGACTTTGTCTCTCGAAAGAGCGTGCATCGCCGTAGATAGTCTGCAGACTGGTCCGGGTATCGACATGGTCGAAACTCGAACATTACCGGAAGAAGCCGAGTTCAACCAAGATACCGGAATATGCCGACGTGGACCTACAAACTGCGCAACCTTTCCTGGTTCAGTTTCAGGTAATTTATACGGGTGCTTTTCGCAGTGTTTCTACAGTACATTCTACAGCTTCTATATATTCATTGCAATCGCATCCTACTTGTCCTTCTGTACCTCTTCGACCTTGCTCGACCGATCCGGTAGCGTCGCCGCCACATCATCAATCTTCTTGAACTGCCAAGGGAAGCGCGATGGATAGAGGAAGGGGCGAAGGTCGAAGCCTGTGGAGTCCGGTCAGCAAAAACCCGTTTTCAATGGCACGGCTTGAATAACACTCACGATTATCGTCCGGACTGTATGACTCGGCGTGGTACGCGGGCGTGATGGTCGTCATCTTGTGCCTATTCCGCGCATACTCGAAGAAGAACAGCTTGACCTTCGCAGCGATCTATGATTCATCGAATTAGCCCCCAACCCCTGCATCTCCGCCTCAGACACTCACCTGCCCCGGCGACAGCCTATCCCCCCACTCGTGCAGCAGCTTCGTGAACATGGCGTACGGCCCACACTTCTCGACCTTGCGCAACCTGCCAAAGACGGAAAGCTCCTCGTAGGTCATGCCCATGTCCGCCTCGTCCGACTGCACGTAGGTCTCCGTTATGGGCTCAAGCTCGGCGGTGGGAACGGCGGTGAGGAAGCTGCGCGAAGGAAGGTCAGTGAAAGGGTGGGAGAGTGGGAAGAGAAATCGTACCTCTCCAGAATCGGCAAATCGAATTTCTCCTGTGCGAAAGCGATGAACTTCTTCAGGTCCGTCTTGCTGACACCGCCAATGGGGTTGATGTCGGCTGTGAAACAGTGTCAATAGTTTGACCCATGCTCAGGGTGAGGTCCCAACCTGACGAGCAGTCGTACTTTGTGAGGTATCCTCGCAAGCTACAGATAGCTCGTCAGCTAGTTAGAAGCCGAGCGGGGTAAGCGAATGTACGCTTCATCAACGTTGGCACTACCAAGCACCAGCAGCCCACCCTGTCGGCCGCGAACCCAAGGCAACAGCTGTGCAAACAGATACGCCAACACCATTCTCAAGCGGGCCTACATCCTCTCGTTAGCCATCCTTTGCCCTCCACTCAGCAACCGACCCCACCCACCTGAATATTCTGCAGGGCCAGATTCTCCGCCTCCGACCCCCCATGCGCCCGAAACTGCGGCTTCCTCCCCGTCACAAACCCAAATAACGTCCGCACCGCAGTGACCAGTGTGTCCATATTCAGATCCAGATGATAACTCCCGAGCGCCTCGCCTAAGTGCTTCGCCCGCTCGCGCGTCTCCTGGCTCGAGTTCTCGGTGCCCATGTAGCAGGTGTGGAAGACGCGGTTGGCGAACTCGTGCGGGGAGGTAGGGATGTAGGTGGAGGACTCGGGCTCGCCGGAGATGCGCCGGGCGTCGGCGATGACTTGGGGGTCTGTGATGGGGTGAGGTGAGCGAGTGGAAGTAGTGTGGGAAAGGGAAGGGGGAGGTGACGTACCGCCTTCCTTGGCTTTCTCGACGACGAGTCTGCACATAGAGTAGACGATGACCGCGGTGGCACAGCTGTCGATGCCGCCACTGAGAGGGAGGAAGAAGCCCTGCGCGCGCGAACGGCGCAAGTAGTCCCATAGCCAACATGCCGGACCCAACCTACGAAGGTCAGCTGCTGTTGAGACCACGACCAAGCGACGTACGCAATCTCCTCCTCAGGCTTATGATACCTGATCGGAATTTTCGTCGACTGCAAGATACTCAAATCATCTCCACTCAATGCAAAGTTGACCTCGATCCGCTGATACCGCTCCGCGCCGGACGCCTGCATCCCCCAGCTCATCTTCCCATGCCGGTGCGCGCGCACGTCCTCGACATCGATCGTGGCGCTCACGACCTGCACGTCGTCGAGCGAGAACTGCGTGCCCTGGGCGACGATCTCGCCGTTCACGGCGATGAGCGGGCAGCCGTCGTAGTAGAGGCGGTCGCCGTCGCAGCCTTGTTGGTTTGCGTAGAGGTATATGCCGCCGGTCTGGTGATATTTGTGAGTGGGAGGCGAGGGGAGGGTGAACGGAAGGGGCTAGGTATACCTTGAGCGTGGCCTCCTTGATGAGCTCGACGCGGCGGTAGAGCTTGCGAAGTTCGTGATGGCTGCCGCTTGAGTTGGTGAAGATCTCGACACCGTCAAGACCCATGAGAATGTGAGGGCTCGCCGGGGTAAAGAGTTCCTCGCATAGCTCGACACCGATGCAGGTGTCCAGCGTGCTAATGACGGCGTCGCCGAAGGGCACTTTGATCTGGTCATCGTCGGCTTCGTTCAACGAATGAGATATATGAAAATATCCTCACCTGTCCAGTAACATCCTGGATAATACGAGGCAGGTAGTGGTCGTCCGTCTGGCGGTGCTTCTGCCAGGGCGTAAAGTACCGCAGCTCGCGATAGTTACCGTCGTTTGCGAGCCACATCTTGGGACGAATGAGGAGGATCTTCTTGTCGTAGCAGACGATGCGGCAGTTATAGGTGACAGACTTGTGCGTCACCGGCCTTCGGAGGAGTCATGAGAGAGGGTAAATGTGGCAGCGACAAGCCACGTACATGCCGATGTCGCACACGATCCCAACCGTAGCGTCGGAGGAGAGGATCTTCTGAAGCGCTTCCCAAGAGTGGAGTTCAGTGTCGCCTGGAAATGATGAATATGTGCGGTCTGGGTATGCGGGGCAAACCGACCCTCGAGGAAGTGATCGTAGCATCCGTATCCTCTGTACACCGTCTCAGCTTTCTAGAATGCCTGCAGAGCACGACTACGCACGGAATCTCAAGCTCGGGCCCAACGCGCATAGTCGCACCGCGCTCCTTCGCGATCCGGATACTAGTCAAGATGCGCTCGAGGTTGCCCTGATATTCTGTCAGCACGACAGGCGCGGGCTTCAGGGACCGCGCACCTCGAAGTCTAGCGCCCATTGATTGAGGGAGCTGCAGCTCAGGTCAATATCCATTTCTGTCATAGGCCCTATCCTTCCTCCCACCATCTACAGTCAACGATCAGCTCCTTCCTGTCAGCGTGAACAGACTACGCACGTCGCTAAAGTGATCAAATGCCCCATTGTTAGTGCCTACGTCCTCACTCGAGAGAGAGAGAGGGAGGGCTTCAAGAAACGAGGGCGAGCGTTGGAGGTCAAGTATTTCGGCTGGTGGTGAGCGAAGCGTGAAGTCAGAGCTGATCTTATCGCTGCGATGTGTAATGGCGGATCCTAATCTTGGCTTCGGGTCGCTGTAGGAGTGTCCTGCCTTCAGAGATGACCCAAATACTTGTGTATTTCTCAAGATTCTCGAACTCTGTGTTCTCGTCAGATGTATCTCTCAACATGAAGCCATTGTCAAGGGCACCGAGGAGTGATAGACGGTGACAGGACGCATCGCTGGGGCTCAAGCCACGTGGAAGAAGTTGCCGGTTGATTGCCGGAACGAACATCGTCTTCGCCCGCTCGTCCCAAACCACCACGATGTTCCTGCCATCTCTGTCAGTGTGTAGCATGCAATCTCTGTTGCGGAACGAGGAAGATCAAGTACTCTCGAAGGCGTCATGAGAAACCACTGGACGTGGGACAGAAACAGGGTCATATTTTCGTGAACATAATAAAGGATTGAAGGATCGTGCGTAAAACGTCATGGCAGGGGTCGTGAACATATTAAAGAGTCCGTTACTAACTAGAATATCATAACAGAAAGCTTTCAAGTCCGAGTAGGAAACCTTTTTAGGCGAAGTAACCACCCTGGCGGCGCGTGTCGTAGCTGCCGGTGCGTCTGTGGCTGTTTGAGGCAGGCGCAGCCTGGTTATACGCCTTTGAGTGTGGCACATAGTGTCCCGTAGGCTCCTGCGAGCGTGACGACGCGTGCGACGTCCGGCGACCCGACGAGCGCCTCTGATGCGACGCGTACGACTGCCGCGGAGCGTGGCGCTCATGGGCCTTCGACGGCGTCCTGGGCCTCGCCTGGCGGGAAGAGCTCGCATTCGTGGGGCGTCCAGCGCCTTGCGACACGGGGCGAAGGTCGACTTCGCTCCGGTTTATGCGAAGACGCTCCTGGGCCAAGTCCGTGTGGTAACCCTGCTTCCCGAACAGCATGGCATCGTTGTCCGGGACATGTTGGAACGAGCCCGGGACGACCGTGATCGTGCGCTTCTCGCGAACGGGCTCGGGGGAGGACATGCCAAACGCGCGCAACAGCACCTGGCCGGCGTTCGCCTTTGGGGCATGCTTTTTGGAAGGTGTGTTCGACGAGGAGCGACTAGTACGTAGGGACTGCCCGTGGCTGCTCGTGCTCGCAGATTGATGCCTACAAGGAACTGATTAGACAACGGCAGGCGATAGTGGCTATCGCAGACGCACATCAATGGGGACACCGACGGCGCGCTCGAGCGGTCGTGGTGGCGAACGCTAATGGAAAGGCAAAGCATCTTCATGTGGCTTCGAAAGTCGATGAAATAGGACGAGTTAGGACGAGACAAGATAGGATAAGCTGGACAATGGGATAGAGCTCGAGTGGCAGACGGTGGGGAGCAAGCGTTGATCGTCAAAGGTGCGCGACTATACTGTCGGTGGAAGTTCACAAAGACAAGCTACACCGCTCCCCGAAGCGCCCTTTATACTCCGAGACCCTTCAGTTGCGTGACCGCCTCGTGCGCACCCAGTCATACGCAGATCTCTTTGACGAAGAACAATGAACGGGCGCCTATCAACGATGACGATCAATAGACGCGACACAGGACCAATTGCGCATTCAAGTGTGGCGAGCCTATGTCCCCGAGGCGGTGGCTGTACAGGGGGCCTTCATTTCCGGGCGGCAAAGCCACGCTGCGCCCTGACAGTAACCATATACGAAGTCGAACAAGAGGACTGCGTTGTCGGCGCTAATCCCCGGCAATCTCCGGACAGGGTGCACGGGAAGCTCTGAAAGGTCGGCAAAAGTTGCGACGGCAACCCGCCCGTGCAAGCGCAAGCGAGTACGTCAAGATCGCTTTTTTCTTTGAGGGTGAGTGGCGGTGCTTTTGTTCTACGAGCTTCTCAATACAGCGTGGATCGATTGAACAGCAACCCGGGGTTCGAAGGCTTCTCGGAAGCACGGCCTATAGCTTCTCGAGAAGCATATCTTCGACTTGCGCAAGCTGCAAGGTGAACGCGAGGAAGATGTGAGGCAGAGCATCTCGTTGTACTCTCTGGACAAGGCACATGAAGCAGAGGTATGGAAGGTCTTCGCTGGTGCTTCTCCTTTCACATCGGAGTGGCAGCGAGCTGTGGCAAGAGTCAGATTGATCCGTTAGAACAGCTTCGGCAGCGGGGGGCCAGCGCGCGAAGTGCCATAGGTGAGTCAAGGACGTTCATGTTGATCATGTCCTCGCGCAAGCTGCGCGGACGAGCGAGCGCCATGGCTGATGGGGATACTCTCCGGGCGCCCTATCGAGCGCCAAGAAGTCGTGTAGAACCCTGGGCTCTTACGGAGGATCACTTTCACTCTCGTTGACTGCAATTGTTTTCATTGCCAGATCCTATTCACCCAAACTCGGTAGTTCAACCGTGACGTTACGCGCAGCGTGACTCCACGCGACTTCAAGTCGGACTTGGCGCTGGCAGGAATTCACGATGCCATCCCATGCCCTCCCGTACTCCGACGTTTCTCTTCGCCGCTTTCTCGTGGTACCACACGACAGTACAAGTTATACCGCGTTTCATTCTTCACCACATCATGACCCCGTGTTGCGGAGGATGCTTCGGGCTCCATGCAATAGCGACGGCAAAAGTACGCATATATAAGCACTATGCTGCAAAGGATGCCCTTTGTCCCCCTCACCGTCATTCCAACGATGCTGTCGACTGACGCTGTGGCCGTGTCTGCCCTGGTTCTCTCAGGACTCGCTATCGCTTCTAACGAAGGACAAGGCAAGCGTCATGTCCTACCCAAGCGGTATCCACTCACGATTCCACAGTCGTATCCTTCTCCCCGCAAGGACAGACCTTCGAGTGCGGCTTCGCGGTCGAGAGCGACGGAAACGCCGTCTTCCTTCCTTCGGCCGTCTTTGACAAAGCGTACTGCAACAAGAGGATCAAGGCTAGCAGTGCGTGCTGTTTACCTTGGCCTTTCCGTCTTTCCGTGCTGACAAATTACTACCAGACCCTGGCGGCAACGGCGAGGCCATTGAGCCTGTCATTGCTGGCATACACGACTCTGGTGATGCCCTAAACGGAGATGCTACCTTGTATTTGACGCCCGATGCGTTCGCGAAGTTCGTTGGCGGCGGCGTGCCTCACTCGCCAAAGGATGTCGAGGTCGTATGGGATTACGAGTGAAGAGGACGCAGAAGCGACGATGGCTTCGTGCGTAGCGTAGACTATTCGTTAATCAATGCCTGAGCTATCGTGAACCTGGAAGAGAACAAGGGTGACCATTCCAGGCTGGAACACGAGGCATCGGCAGATGCCGATGTCCTTCGATACTGTATCCAGTGCAGAGAAGACCTGAGAGTATATTCCTAGTCCTCCATTGACTGACCTTCCTGCAACCACGACCCGCACGAATACTTGCTGCCCTTCTTCCGAGGACCATTCTCAATGAGATCTTGCAGCCTTCCGTCTATAATGTCTAAAGTACATAACTTACACCTTTGCCTGCTCTGCCTTCCCGTCCGTCTTCACTGGTTACCTTGCCTTCCTTTTCCACTCACTGCCCCTCTTTCCCCTCCATCTCCCTCCTCCACGCCGCCAGCATCTCCACGCTGATCATCTTCAGCCCCCACCGATCCGCGAACGCCCTGCAGTCGTCCCGCCTCGCCATACTGCCCTCCGCGTCGTCGTTAACAAGTTCACAGAGCACGCCGACGGGCGCCTGCCCAGTGAGCAGGCAGAGGTCGACGGAGGCCTCGGTGTGGCCCTTGCGCGTGAGGACGCCGCCGGCGCGCGCGCGGAGGGGGACCATGTGCCCGGGGCGCGTGAAGTCGGCGGGGGTGGCGGCGGGGTCGGCGAGGGCGCGGACGGTGCGGGCGCGGTCGCCGGCGGAGATGCCGGTGGTGGTTCCTACGGAAGATAATCAGTAAGGGGCAGAGGAAATGAGAGGAAGGAGAGAGGGGGAAGACTAGGGTGTTCAAGAGAGAGGGGATGAGGGAATAGACGCGTACCGTGCTTGTAGTCAACCGTGACCGTGTACGCCGTTCGGTGGCGCTCCTGGTTGTCCGGGACCATCATCGGGATATCCAGCTCCTCGAGCCGCTCCTGCGGTAGCGCGACGCAGATGTAGCCACTGCAAAAGCGTCAGCATAGATCCTAACAAGCCATCCTTGCGCAGGGATCCAAAGGGGCGTGCTCTCTTCCCCCTCCCATCTCTCCCCCTCCCTCCCCTCTCCCCCATTCCCACTCACCTCGTATGCTTGATCATCCACGCCATCTTCTCCGTCGTACACTGCCCGCCCGCAATGATCAAGTCCCCCTCATTCTCCCGGTCCTCGTCGTCCATCACCACCAGGAACTCCCCCGCCTTGAACGCCGCGAGCGCGTCCTCCATCGTGTCGAAGGCGAACTCGGCGCGCGGGGGCGCGTCGCGGGAAGTCGCGCGCCAAGGAGTGGAGGGGAGGGGCTTTTCGGTGGGGTGGGTGGAAGGGGTGGTGCCGTTAGGTTGTGTAGAGGGGGTGATCGGAGTGCTTGAGGGGGCCATTGCGTTTTGTGGGGAGAGTAAGGTGTCCAAAGAGTATGAGGCGTTTGAGGCTATAGACAATAAAAGCACGCTAGCTATCCAAGAAAGAGCCGAATGCTTGAGATGGACGCAAGAGAGGACGAGCGCTTGTGGAGGCCGGCGGATGCATTTTGCGATGAGTCGAGATCGCATTTTATCACGGTCCGTCTGTTTACTGTCTGCGCCCTTGACTAATTGTGGACTAATCCGCCCATCGCGGGCGTCAGCGACCACGACATGCGCGTACTCAGCGGGCTGCGATGGATGCGCGCAACACAGCGGAGATCGGACGTTGGCGCTGACAGGAGCGGAGGGGGATTTAGCGGACTTGTCAGCGTGCATGAAGTCGGCGGCGGCGGCGTCGCTGCTCGCCGGACTTGCTCTGACAGGTTACGGAATATACGTTGCGATAGAGAACGAACGTACGCGGCGCAAGACAACATGGGTATGTGCGGAAATCCCCTATTAGTGCGTTCTAGAGAGCACTCACTCTGCAAGTAACATGCTACAGCAGAATATGTATAAAGGTCATGAATAAGGTATCCTACGCCGTCTACTTGCCACCCGTCGTGCCCAAGCCCATGGTCGACTTGAAGGTGTCGTAGATCCACCACTGGAAGCCCGTGAGGGTACCTGCATAGTCCGATTAGCCAACAATGTCCAGCGCATACATCCACGACGAACGCACCAATCATGATGACACGCGTGCCGAGACCCTTCGTGGCGAGGGTGCTGAAGCCAACCTCGGAGACAATCTGGCCAGCGGACTTGCCCTTGTTCTCCGCCTTACCGAGGAGCGAGACGAGAGAGTCGGCGGGGTGGGAGACGACGGCGCAGACGACACCGGCGAGGTAGCCGGAGGCGAAGGTGACACCGAGCTGCGTCGTCTTGCTGTACGTCTCCTTGGGCGCGGTGAAGACGTGAGTGTAGAACAGCTGGACGATCTTCTCGAAGAAGAAGAACTTGGCCATGGTGTAGGGAATCTGCGGCATTGTCAGTTACCATTGCCGCAGGTAAAGATGATAAGCTAACGACATACCTGGCGCGACCAGAGGGGGACGAGCGAGCCGAAGGGGTAGCGGGTCTCCGCCTTGGTGGCGCTCATCTGCTTGAGCGCAGCACCGAAGGCGACGGGGAAAGTGCCGTTGGGGCTGGTCTGGATCTTGACCTTGGTCATCTCCAGCGGGCACAGCGCGACGTCGGCGAAGACTTCAGCGGTGGCCGAGCCAGCAAGCCAGATGGCGGGCTTGTACTTGTTGGAGAGCTCCTCGCCAGCCAGGTTCATGTACGCATCCTTGAAGACCTCGTAGAGGCCGTACTTGAACATGCCCTGAAGGGAGTAGCCGACGAAGGTCGGGCCAAAGCCCTTCCAGAGCCCACCGCCGGCCTCCTTAGAGATGGTGGAGAGGGCGGAACCGAGGCCCGTGTACTTGGTCGGGTTGACCTGGGGAAGGAGGACACGCGTCAGCAAGACGGCTCGTGGGCAGGCAGCGCGACGCGCACCTGCATGTTGCACTTGGCGACATCGAGCGGGGTGATACCGGCGTGAGTAGTGCCACAGGCGAGGGCACCACCGAGCATGCACTTGCTGTAGTACGAAAGGTCGTGGGGGACGGGGCCCTGGAATCTGCGAGCCAGCGCGTCAGTTTTTCGGTCTCGCTGTTGGCGGCGTCGTCACACACCTTGCGTCCCACTTTCCAGTGACGGCAGACATTTTCGGCGGCGAGGAGGAGTCTAAGGAGTCTAGAGAGGGCCCGACCGGATAACCAGTCCGTGAAGGTGGAAGAAGAGTGTTCGTCGCGTCAAGCCCGACAGCCGAAGTTTTATGCCGGAGCCTTCCGTATCTTGCCGATACGTCCGGGCGCCCGGGGAAATGCGTCCGACGTCATTCGTCGCCTATTCGTCCTTGTCCCGGACGTCCTCGCGTCCTTCTTGGTGGGTCGCCGGGATTGTTCTCTCCTCTTTGCATCCCAATAGAAAGCAAGCCACTCAGTACAGGGAATATTTTACAGGGCTTTCAGCTCTTTCTTTTTCTTTCGACGGACTGCATCCGTCAAGCCGCTCCGATTCGCAAGGCAACATACAGGACTCCATATGAACCCTTCAGGCTTCCTCCGCTCATGCGCCTTGCCTCCACCTCGCGCCCAACTCACGCTTCATACGCCCATCGGCAGTCGGCATGAAGCAGCGTCACAGAATTTTGTCACAAGTTCAACCTCGCCCACGTGACAGTACGCGTTAATTCGACAGCTGCTGGACGCGTCTCCCCTGAGTTCCGCGTCTTCTTTCCTCCCACCATCTACCCGACAAACTCGCCATGTACGCCTTCTTTGCTACCCTCACCGTCTGCTTGCTCGTTGCGCGTACCCTCGCCTTGCCTTCCCCGCACGTACCGAAGGTCGGATCGCTGCCGTCATTTCGTCTACCTCGCGCCGACTCAGGATGTCGTCCTTCGCACACAGACTTTACCTCGTCTTTGTCTGATCTGTATACTACTGTCGAAGGCGACCATGCTATCACACACAAGGGCTTGGAAATGTTTCTCGAGAGGCCGCACGGCGAAGTGAAGATGGACAGGAAGACGGCTACGAATGACGTGGTGGGGACGGGCACGACGGTCAACTCGACCTACGAATTGAGGTGAGTGTGGGTATTTACTTCTTGTCTCCCCGCGCGGCGAATAACAAAGCGCATATATGCGCGCGTCTTCGTCAAAACCCCCTTCCCAAATTTTCCCGAAACCTCATGCTACTAGTATTTGCTGACAACTCTTTGCAGCCACGGCAAGGTCACCTGGGAGGTCTCCGCTCCAGCTGTCTCCGGCGTCGTCACTGCCGTCATCCTTGTTGGTGCGTCAAATATTTTCCTTCGCCCTCTCTTGCGGTGTGCAACCCCTCTTTCCCCACCATTTCACCTCAGTAACCCATGCACTGAATCACTCATTCATACCTCCAGGTGCCAACACCCCCGGCGAAATTGACGTCGAGCTCCTCGGCGGCGACCCCGCACACTGGCAGACCAATGTCTTCGCGCCCACGGCCCAGGACCCGCGCCCGCTCTTCGGGACCTTCTCTTCCGTCGAAGACGTACCGGGTCCGGAGGGTATCCCCGCGTTCCACAAGTACTCGATCGACTGGAATGAGGAGCGGATCGTGTGGACGGTGGATGGGAAGGATATGAGGACGTTGGAGAGAGGTGAGTAGCGGTTTTCCCAGGTCCACTTCGGAATCCTCCCTCCTTCATTCCTATACCTAGCCGACCCCATTTTGAACTCTGCACGTTCGTTACTAACTCACCGTCCCAGCCAAAGCGCGCAAGGACGGCTTTGAGCACTACCCGACTGGTGAGCTGCGCGTGCAGCTGGGCATTTGGGACGCGAGCAGCCCGGCGGGGACGTCCGAGTGGGCGCGGGGGCCGATTGAGTGGGAGAAGACGGCGAGCAGGATTAGCGCGTACGTGCGGTCGGTGCAAGTGGAGTGCTGAGGGGCTTCGCGATGTTGAGAAAGAGCACCTCCTTGAAGCGCGAGAGACTCACGCATAGGCGCGCGTTCGTCACGGACTTCTGAAGCACATTGTACTCCTGCGATTTAGCGCAACTCGTTGTATCGTACACTAACTACCCATACCCGCATCGCTATCCCACATACCCAGAGAGCACATGTACAGTTCACTATACCATTCATCCATAGATCGTCGTAATACGCACATTACTATTGTATCTCACATGTCATACATAAATCCAGCACAACATCGATTCGCATCTTCCCTCGCGGACTCGCGTCGCGCATATAACATGGCAGGGAGACAGCAGGGAATCGCCATAAGAGGTCGCAGGAGCCCTTGTGAAAGCCCTCATAAAACATAGCGGAAGCCCTTGACCTCGTCTCCCCGCTCGCGCTCCTCCGCCTCAAGCCTCTTGTTCTCTCGCTGCAGGTGCCACCGCAGGCCGAAGGTCATGAGCACGCCCAAGCCGGCGTTCGAGATGCAGATAGCGTAGCTGTTCGTATATGAAGGGCCTGCAAACGCCATATCAGCCTCACATACCACCCCTGCGCTCGGGTAGCCTGCGCTCGAAAAAACACCACGCACCCCACGCATTCGGAAACATATACGACCCCGAAATATTCCCCAGCTGCGTCACCGCATTAATCAATGCTATCGCGACCGCCCTTTTCGACGGCGGGCGCGGGATCGTGTTCGGGATCCACGCGAGGGCGCAGACGTAGCCGGCGTACGACTGCGCCATGAGGAAGAGCGAGACGTAGCGCGCGGCGGTGTTCTGGGTGGCGATGGCGATGATGAAGCCGATGATGCCGAAGAGGTAGGGGATGGCGATGTGGAGGGTGCGTTCTTGGGTTTTGTCGGAGTGTCTGGGTGGGGGAGGGTGAATGGGTGAGGGGGGGAGGGGAGGGGGGCAAGGGTGGGTGGGAAGTAGAGAGGGGGAGAGGGAAGAGGAAATGGAGGGAGAAGCATACCTTGATACCACGAAGGCCATGATCGCTGCAAATATAAACGGCGGCGCGCAAAGCAGCAGCGAGATCGTATCGTTATACCCCAGCGTCCTCGTCAGCGTCTGTCTTCCAGTCAGTCCTATACCACACCCTCACTAATCCTTTCCTCCAACTCACCGGAAAATACGCATTGAACGACAGCGCGATGACCTGCGCCGTCAGCCCCACCGCCATATACCACACGCGCCAGTCCGCGATCGCGAGCCACAGCCCGTGCAGCGGCCCGTGCGCCTCCGTCTCGTCCTGGTCGCCGACGCCGACGTCCTCGGCCATGCGGCGAAGGGCAAGCGCCCGCTCCTCGGGCGTGAGCCAGCGCGTGGTGGAGGGGAAGTCCGGAAGGATGAAGATGGCGAGGACGGCGACGGCCATGGTCAGGGCGCCTTCGATGTAGAAGAGCCATCTGGGGGTGGATTAGGTGCGAGGTGAGGATGAGGGGACGGGAGGGAAGGAATGAGCAGGGATATGTACCTCCAAGCGGCGTGTCCTAGGGCGCCGTCCATGCCAGAGAGGATTCCGGAGGCCATGAGCGCACCAAAGGCGTTGGAGATGATGCTGCCACAGTACAGCAGGGCCATTCGCAAGCCTATCTCATTCTTCTTGTACTGCAGACGCGTGAGTACAGGGGGCACTAGTCTTTGCGTTGGTGAAATTACCCATTTGGAAACAACGAAGAGTGCGCCAGGGAAGAATGCGGCTTCGACCTTCGGCTAGAGTTAGTAGCCGTTCCGCAGAACTATGATGGTGACATACGAAGCCAAGGAAGAACCGCGTGAGCAGTGCGCCAACGAAGCTACCCAGGATTAGCAGGTAGACAGCGCACGAGGGAAGGAACCGCACTTGTTGCAAATCCCTGCACGTCCAGCTGATCAGTAAACGGACCGAGAGTGATAAATAGCGATTCTCGTACCCGTGAGCGTGCTGATCATCCCCCACAAGATCATGCAGGCGGGGAGGTAGAGTGAAGGCTTGCCGATCCAATTCAAGAACATATTCCTATGGTCAATCAATCAGTCATGAACTTGTGAGCTTGCGGGTGGGCAAACGCACGATGGTATCTGCATGATGATGTATCCCACATAGAGGATGGACAGTAGCGTCGCGAACTCCTGGCCATGTAAGTTCAAGCCTTCCTCAAAGCCCTTCAGGCGCGCCGCTCTATTTGCACGGATGAGCTGTTGACTATGCATATACGCTAGAGTCGTACCCAGCATTATTGCGGTCGACCTATGTGGCGATTGGTCAGTCGCGCCCCGAAGGAAAGAACATAGTAACGCACATAGTTCAGAATGTAGATGACAATGAAGATCGACATCCGCAGGTCGATCTTCAAAAGCAGCTTGCGCTCTATCTTCTTACGCCTCTCCGTGCCGCCGAACTCTGCATCCGGGTCCTCCGCCTCCCTGATCTCTTTCTCGCGCGCGATCGCGCCCTCCTCCAATCTCTTCTCGATACTCGCGCGCTCGGCGGATGGTGCCATTCTCTGTGTGGGGTGAGAGGAAGAGGAGGAAGGGGTAAAGAGCGCGCACGCCAAAGCCTCGGACAGCGCGCTTATATGGCGGGGTGGCACCGTGTTCCCATGACCTGCGCAATGTGATGCGTCGAGCAGGCGGGCTCCCACTGTGCACCATAGTGCGGGGGAGCGCCGAAGGTTCCTTACCGTGCTTGGTATGGATTGAATGGATCTGCGGGCCCTGGATGATGGGGTGACGGCTATAGATGCGGGCCGGGGTGGCAGCCGCAAGCGTATCAGCAGGCCTATGTCAGTGTCGTGGTCATGCTCGCGCAGGCATGGTGTCGATGGTCTTGGCTAAGAGATCGACACGGATGAATGGAAGACGCAGACGTACCTTGTCGTTTGCAGACGGGATAGTGTAATCCGAGACTGACGCTACACGCTCGATTTCGATAGAATACATTGGCGACATTCGACAAAACCTCTTGCATAAGCCATAGTGCCCGCATAGACATACTTATTTTATGAACCGACGATCTGAGCGCAAGAGTAAGTAAGAGAAAGGAATTTCAATCAGGAGACAAAACTCACCTAAGTAAAATGCCGCTCCCCAATGTATACGTCTTTGACGTCGTTCTGCAGGAACTTGATCCTCGCAACAACTTCGTGGACAAGCTCTGGGTTGACTTTGGAAGGGTCTTCAAATCCTTCAAGCCTGACCGTCTTGAGATCCTTCATAGCGCCTAACCAGCCCGGAATCAGAGAGGGATGCAGGCACGGTGCCCAGTATGCCTCCGGAACGAGGTTGAGTTTGCTGGCGATGGTGATAGTGTCGCAGCCGCTCCAGTCCATTGGGCATTCATTACTGTGGTCGTACATCATTGGTTGTGTGTCCAGTATGTCGCACCCCATGTACTTGAACGTCATAGCCCAAGAAGGGTTCATGCGCTTGTCTGTCGCGAGCTGGCGCAGGTAGACGAGAGCGTCAGCGAGTACGGTCTTCTGAGCACTGTCGAGAACCAGAACGGGACATTCGAGGGAGAGTCTGCGCAGAGGATGTTCGCGCGCAGTAGGAGGCACGGGGATTTTTGAAAGGAATTCGAAGACTTGATCGATGGAAGCGTGGAGGAAAGTGAGGCGTGCGCTCAACTTTGGTGCGAGTCTGGTGAAAATCGAATGAGTATGAGAGTCGCGACTAGTTGATGATATTACACACTTAGGCAAGACGATGGGGCCGCAATCGGACAACTCCAACTCCGTGACAGACAGGGCCCCGCGCTCGACTTCCTCAAAGAAGCGCCGCTTTCCTAGGTCCCCGACGTCTTTGACATTCTTGAGCGCGATTCTTTCGAGCTGAGGTGAGTGACGCATGACTTGTACGATCATCTCATATGTTGGGACAGAGAGGAATAGATTTCCGTGAAGAGCCAGGGTCGTGAGCCGTAGCGGTGTGCGGATGACCAGTGGGTTCGTGGGTGGGGGAATCAAGCAGCCAGTCGGGAAGAAGCCACAGTCCAGGGCAAGAGAGCGACAAGTCCCTTTGTCCGCGACCAGCCGGATAATCTCGTTGAAGCCCTGCATCCAGGCCTTGAGCTGGGCGGCAGATTGGACCTTCGCGCCATACGGTAGGCGGACGGCGAGATCTTCCACCCCGCCGAGCTTCAAGAGCACCCTCCGAACCCGCCGGAGATGGACAGGGTTGAACTGGGCTTTCGCATTCGCCTCGAAGGTTAGATCGAGCCGCTTGGTCTCGGTGATAGCGACAGCGGTGCGTAGTGCTGTGAGGGCATCCGGTATACGATCGTTCCCGCCACTCAGGCGCAGAACACAAGCTTCCGTGGGTTTTGGCACGCCGTTTATCCGAAGAAGCGCATTGACGGACATGGTGTGCAGTCGCCGCGCCAGTTGAGACAGGATGTAGAGTGCATGTGTGTTGTCGACAAAGCCCACAATCAGGAGCAAAAGCTCATCCGGAAGGTCCATCAGCGGAAAGGTCCGGCGAGCCTTCTTCACAGCGCATAATGCTGCTCTTGGCCTTGTAGACTCTGTTCGCCGTTTTTTGTTAACGTTGTGGAAGCGATACATCATCGTGGAGGGTGGCGAATTTGGCATGATTGCAGGGACCAGTGATGAGCGCCGCAACAAAGAAAGCGATGCGAGGTAAGAGGACAGCGAGACAGACACCGGTTGAGCGCGGGATGATGGGAGTTTGGGACAAGTCGGAATCGTGGCCCCCGTGGGACATAAACGTTTGGTCACCTGATCATGGTCGTCCCGTGACGGACACGAGGCGTCACGACCGTCACCTCGAAGACGCCACTGTAATTCCGGCAAGTAGGCATCGTCCTCAATGAGTTCTCGCCCTTGACAGGGATGAATTGAGTCAAGCATGGAGCAAACAGTACATCCGAGAGTCATTGGCATTCATACGCCTATAAAGCCGTTCCCCCTTCCGCCACCTTGGAAACAAACATTGTCCAAAGCTTCTCCGAATCTCTGTAATTACGTCAGGCTTCTCATAAATTCCATGCTAGGTATCGGAGCTCACCCAAGTACCATATAATACGCGAAGAGACACGATTCACCAATGGCCCTCAGAAAGTCTGGTCCTGTAGCGTAAAATCAGCCACAGTCTGGACTTCAACATCAACCACAACAGCGAGACGAGAGGTTGGGTAGTCCTTTGGACGAGAACGGAGAGAGAACAGACTCGTCGCAAAGTCCCGATGCGCCAGCAGAGACGAAGTGGAAGAGTCGGCCGTAGTGATCGAGTTCGCGGTCGAGTAAAATGTCGAAGAGTCTGATGAGCCGGCAGATGACAATGAAGCCACGGTCGAGGCAGAGTGAGCATGGCGGTGGAGGCTATTGGTCGCGTCGATTGGGTCTCTGTGGACAGGTGGCATAGGCGACAACGCTTCCTGCCACGAACAGACGTCCGCCCCATTGGGGATGCTTCGCGATGACGGCGCCAACGAGTACGCGACACGACGGCGACGGCGAGCAGCTGTGCCCGCTGAAAGGCAGACGGCGGGCATGGTATCGATGGCGGGAGTTGGAGGAGCAGCGTCGATCAGCATGACAGCGTCGTGCGAGTACGGGTCCGAGTCCAGGAAAACGCTGTTAAGCGAGCGCGAGATAGCGGCAGATGTGATGGCCAGCTCGGCGTCGAGCTCCTCAGAGAGTTCGGCGGCAGTGAGCCGTAGCGCAGCGTTCCTCTTGGCGATCACGGCGAGTACGTGCTGGAAGCCCACAGCCAGCGAGCGGCGGGAAGACGCAGAGAAGGAGGCCGCTGAGGCAAGCATAGCCGGAGTAATTGTGAGCGGCGAGCGGTGCACTAATTCCAAGCAATGGGGAAACGGGACGAGGATAAGAGGCAAAGAGGGCACTCGGCCCAGCGTCGTATTTCTATGCATTAGCCTCCGCTGTTTTTCTCTCCGCCGCTCAGGAGTCTTTGCGCTCGTAACTGTCGGGCAAGATCAGCTTGCGCCGATCGCGTCTAAGTAGGAACCGTGATCATACTGTACTACCGCACATGAGCATCCGAAAGGCCACTGAAAGCAGCTGTAGCAATCGTAGACATAAGCGCTCGCATTCTGTATACCGAGCACAACCAGCATATCTAAAAGTCCATGAATCAACAGTAGCACGTAAAGATCGTGCGAATAAGTAATCCATCTTCCAGGTCCATGGTGAGTCCGTGTTGTTTCCTTCAAACCTTCTCATTGGGCGACGCTCGGAGCTCGACCGTACATCTTTACCCTGCACGGACCGCGCTCCTCCCGAAGAAACTCCCAAACCACGTCTGCCTATTCTGCGCATTCGTCTCCGCCGTGGCAGTGGCCGCCCTCGGTCGTAAGAAAGGATTGCTGATCGGGTCCAGTCGCGAGAGGGTCTGACTCTGCCCACCGCCGCTCGACCCCGACACCTCACCCGGCGAAGGCGTCGCTGAAGCCGAACGCTGGTGTCGCGAGGGCGAAGCGGAGCGAGGGGTGGAAGGAGACGAGTGATGAGGAGAGCGCGAAGGTCCTGGGATGTCCAGGCGTCCCGATGACGGTTGCCGAGGCATGATTGGTATCTTTAGGGTTGATGGCGAGTCTTGGGACTTGCCCCGCTGTCTTCCGCGTACTGGCGCGAGAGGGTCGGAGGAGGAAGGCGACGACACTTGGACCTCTGGGGTGGATGCTGATGGGCGGCAGTCAGCCACAGGGATTGATAAGTGTCGTCGTAGCTCACCCTTCTTCCCAGTCTTCTTGGACACCTCCTTTGCAGGATGCTTAGGTGGAGGCTCGGATGCATAGCGGCCATGTCCCGCCGGACGTGAGGGTGTCACTACATGGACCGTTTCAGCAATGAAACTTTCTCCATCCCCATCCCACTTACGAATTGCAGGTGACGACGCCGCTGACGGCACATCCTCCGCCGACGGCGTCGACAGCTTCGGCTCCAGCTCCGGCATCGCTTTCTTGCTGAGGTGCACAATGACCCCCGTCGGCGGCGTGCCCTTCTTGCTTTTCTTCTTCTTACCCTTCTTGTCGTCCTCGGCGGCGGGGAAGTCCCACGAGACGTACTGGTGCAGGTCGGCAGAGTCTTTCTTGACTACCTTGCGGTAATCTTTGTTGACCTTTTCGGCGACCTTCATGGTTTTGTCGACGTGCTTGGCAATGCTGGACTTGACTGTGATGTACATGAGGGTGTCGTCCTGCGGGTAGGGTAAGCTTGAGGAGCTGAAGAGTGATGATATGTGCGTACCTTCAGAAGGTTACAGCAGAATTGGGAATAACTCTTCACGTTCATGTCGTCTCCCACGCGCACAACACTGAACAGTGCTCGCTCGCGCTCGGCTTCGGCCACTCGGTTGATCGCCGATGGCGGAGGGACATCAACGAAATGCGCCGGACTAGGTGAGCGTTGGCGTGGTGGTGACTGTCGTTGCGGAGCTGGTGAACGTCGTTGAGGACCTGGCGAACTTTCGGCCCTCGGAGGCAGGGCAGGCGGGGCCAGACGAGTGCGGTCAGGTGAGCGCGACCGTCGAGGTGCTCGTGCGGCGGCAGCGGCATAAGCGGGAGAGCGAGAGCGAGGCTGGTTCCTTGGTGGGACCGGAGGAGAGTACTCTGGAGCTGGATCGGCCACCGGTTCGCGAACAGGCGGTGTCGCAGGGATCGCTTCCTTTGACGTAGATGGTGCAGGGGGCAGGGGTGTAGCAATAGCAACATTAGTGACTGGGGGTGGTGCAAGGAGAGCATCTGCGGAGTTCGTGCGCGAAGGCGTTGCGGTTGCAGACGTCGATCCTTTGGGCGCCTTCGCGGCGATGTTGTAGTCTTGGAAAGTGAGAAGGGCTGTAAGGATGACCAGCTCGAGACCCTTGCGGTCGTCGATGTCGAATCTGGCGCGGATGGTGAGACGAGAAAGCTAACGAGGGGAATCCCCGACGTACCGGTTAAGATTGTAGTCCAGTATTTGGACGGACGTGGTCTGAATCTTGCCTGTAGGCTCCTTGGTGATCGCGACCATGACAGCGGGGTCAGGCTTGCGGATGAGATAACATGCTTCGCGCTTCCACTCGAATTCATGCCTGGCAAGCAGCGTCAGCAATGGCACGGTGGGATGGATGCTGTTGACACGCACTCGCCCCACTTGAAGGTCCATTTGAAGGTTAGGAGGCCAGTATGCTTGAGCTCGACGACACTATTAGGGTTGTACAGCTCGAGGGTCTTGGCCTTATTCAACGCTGCCGGAGCTGTCGCGCTTGCCAGCAAAGACTGGGTCAGAGGGTCTGCGGAGGCTGTCAGCGCGTCTTCCTGGGCAGCGTCGCGGACGCAGACGCACCAGTTACTTCCGCTCTATACACAGGGCCTGCCGCCAGGCGTTTCTGATAATGCACAGTTCCTGCGGGATCGACGAGATCGACGGAGGCTGGATCGTCGTCGCGCTGTCGAAACAGCAGCGTGAAGAGGTTCTTGTCCAAGCTCATCCTTGCTCGCGTCGAGCAGGGGGTGCCGGGATGGTGGTTGTAGTGAAGACGGGGTCGTAGCCGCGTTCACGCGCGACGAAACGCCAGGAAGAGCATCGCCTCAATGATATCGTGATCACTTGTCGGCTTGCGGACAGTCGGTAACGGCTTTGCGTGGGTTGTATGCTTCATGATGGACCCGCTTGATTTCTGGGTCGCTCGAGAAGAGAAGGGAGAATCTGTAGGTCTTGTAGTACTCGAGTTCAGGAGCGAGAAGTCGACATCCAATCTTGGCGCCCTGGCAGGCAAAGCGCGTTATAGCAACCCTGATGGGGATATAGCTTTCGAGCAGAGTTCGCACGCCCGGTTTTTGACTATCCATGTGGTTCAGTTGTCCCTATACTACTCAGCATATCTCGATGAGTTCACAAAAGGTAAGTGCCTGTCCGACGTAACTGACATGCGAAGAGAGATATCATTCAGTCAACAATAGTAGCATAGAGCCGAATATGCAAGCGAGCGTAAAATGAGTACAGACGAAAGGTTTAAACTACATACATAAGTACTTGCAACACAAAAATCGCAACCAGAACATAGACGAGGATAGTTCGCATCTCAAGACCCTCATAGGAATCAGATCTCACGACTACTACTACGGCTCGACCGCCCCCATCTCGTTCGCACCGGCCATGACAGACGACCCGGTCCCATTAAACATCGCCTTGAGCGTCTGCTCGTTCCGCTTCTGCCGCACGCGCTCCGCCTCCTCCGCCCCGCCCGTCATCTTCAGCTTCTTCTGCCCGACAAAGTCCTGCAGCTCGGCCTGCAGCTCGTCCGTGCGCCCCGCCATCTCCTTCTCGCGCTTCTGCTGGCTGGCCTCGATCGCCTTCAGCCGCTTCTCAGGGTCGACCGCAGCGCCGCGGATCTCGAGCATGACAGTCGACAGCCCAGTGTGCCCCTCGTCCATCGGCGGCGGCTTGAAGCCCATCTTGCGCGGGCCCCGAGAGCCAGAGCCGCGCAAGGAGATGATTTGGTCGACCTGCCCATACATCTCCCCCACGGCCTTGAAGTCGTCGAACAGGTCCGCAATGAGCTCCTCCTGGTGTGTCAGGAACTGCTGCTCCTCGACGATGTTCGCGAGCTCCTCGCTCCACGTCTTCTTCCACATCGGCCGGACCGTGTTGACGTGCTCCTTCAGCGCCTCGAGCTCCGCGCCGAGCTTCTCGATGTCCTTGCTGAGGTTCTTCCAGAACATGTTCTTCGGCAGCGCGTTCCGCTTCACGACGTCCTCCTTGACGGCCTCGACCGCGTCCTGCAGCTTGTCCATCTCGGTGAGCACGTTCTGCGAGCGGCCGTCGAGCTTGGTCTTTCCGGTGTCGATGTACGCGCGTGCACCGCCGACGTTCTGCGAGGCAAGCTCTTTGACAGAGTGCGTCTGCGAACGTAGAGTGCCCAGCGTATCCTTCGTCTGCTTCATGAACTCGGTGTAAAGCTGGCGCATGACGCCGAGATCGCGCCGCAAGTTCTGCACCTCGTCGAACTGCGTCTTGAGGTCGGAAACGACGCGCGATGTGTATTCGGACATGCCGGTCATTTGCGGCTGCAACGACTGTCCCGTCATCTGCGGCATGATGGCGCGCTGCGCCGGCGATGGGAAGGATGACATGTCCGAGGAATGTGAATGGCCATCCGGGGCCACAAAGCGGGACAAACGGCGCGCGACGCTCTGGAACTGCTTATCCGATGGCCGTGGAGTGCTTTCGGCCATGGGCTGAGCGATGATGGTGGGGAGATGCTGCGAATTACGGTTGGCATTCGCAGCCACAGTACTTCGGAGCTCCTTAATTTCCTGAGCCAGCGAGCCCATCTGGGTGTCGATGTGCTGCTTGATCTGGTCCAAGGCTGTGAATGCGCATCAATATCCATTCTCGGCATCAATCAACAAGCTGAGCTCACGTTCAATGTTCAGCGACAGCAGACATTTCTCAGTGACTTCCTCCATGTCTTCAAGCTCATACTGCACTCCGCTCGAAGGATCACGAATGTAGATCGCTGGGAAGTTCTCCTGCCCCGGATTGTACGCGAAGCGGTCGACGAACAGCATGCGCAAGGACGAGACAGACAACCCGCGCTCAATCGTGGCCTTCTTCACCTCCCGCCCGACCTGCAGGAACACCGTGAACGCGCCCGGCACGGACTTTCTCTGCGGAGCCTTGTCCTCCGATACGCCGTTAACAGATGGCAACACCGGCTCGGGCGTCTTCGCAGGAGTGCCAGGCAATGGAGGTACTGGTGGGGTCGCGGGCTTCGCGTCCGGGGTTGATGTTCGCGAGAAGCGGTTCTGAGAGGGGGCACGAGATGCGTCGGGTGTAGTCTGCCCTTCTTCGTCGTCCACCTCCGTGAGGACTGCCAGATCACCCGGCGTAAGGGTTGGCCCAGCAGCGAGTGACCTGCGATTCGACGCGTGTCTTGAAGGCGTCCCTCGTTCAGGTGGGCCCCGTCCACTGCCCGTCATTCGGGTGATGTGGTACGTCGAGAACCGCTTCGACGCACGACGTTCAAGGGTGTCGCTCTTCTTCAGAGCCGCCAGCGAGCTCGCGATAGCCGGAGACTGCTCTATAGCGGGAGGTGTCTCTGGGGGAGGCGGCGTTGAGGGCTTCTCCGACGACGCCTCATTTGGACTGTCCGGTTGGATGATCATGGGAGGGGGCAGCGGCGGCGTAGGCTTGTCGACAAGTGAGTAACGCTTCACGCTAGCGGGCACTGCAGGCTGTACGGGAGGCGGGGACTGCGCGGGCGGAGGGGGATCAGGTTCGCCCGTATCTTCTGGTATGGGTTCAGGTCTTGGTGACGGCGCATGCGGACTGGGCATCTGCATCGGCAGGCTCTCCGGCGTGCTCAGACTTGGGGAGAATCCGCCAATGAAGTCATGATCGTTTGCAGGCCTCGAGGATATGGAGGATGACGGCTGGTGCCTGCGCGACGAGTGGGTGCTGCGCCTGGGAACGCTCTCTGCGTCGGAGCCGGCGCCCTCAGCAACCGCGCGCGAGCTCGTCGAGCGGTGGCTGCGAGATCCGCGCGAGCTGCGGCTCTCTGTGCGCTCGTGGCCTGACGCATCGGAGCGGTGCTTGTGCTCGGACACGATGCGGCGGTAGATGGACTGCTTCTCGCGCAGACCCTGCAGGAGATTCTTGATGATCTGGCGCACGGTGGGCAGATACATTTGCAGGTTTTCGTTATTGGCCTCCTCTGCCAGGCATTGCTCCAGCACCCCCCGCAGGTCATCTGGCACGCTTAGGAGCTCCCTGTTCGCTGTCAGTACGCGTCCCTCGGCTGCCAAAGACCACGCACGCCATGTCGATCCGGTAGGACGCAAATGCGAACACAGCTGTATTGAAGTCGTTGCCCAGACGCACGTATACATCGCTGACCGCGTTCTCGTCGACCTTGAGCTGGCTCCATTGGGTGAGGGCTTCGAGGAGCTGCTTTATAGAGACGAGAAGGCGGGTGACAGACGACTCGACGGCGGGCTCGATGTGGGCGTCAGCCGGTGACGAAGCCATGAGAGACAAATGAACAGACTATTTGTCGCGCGCTCGCTGTTCGTTCGCTCCTCGTCGAGCTCGACGACGACGACTGGTGGCGCGGACCATGGGCCGACATCCCTGCTTGAAGCCAAGTAATCGTGGGAAAAACGGCGCACGCACGCGGACGGCATGTGCCGGTCATGTTCAACTTTTACTCGGCGCAGAAATAAGTCTATTAGTGTACGATACAGAAGGTAAAGGGATACATGGAGGGAAGCATGGTTGTACGGTCAGTAGAAGCAAGTCATTGGTAAGTAGTGTACAGGAGATGTCCATGGCGCTTATCGCACCGCATATTCATCTCGATAATTCGCCACTCGTCCTCGGCGAGTCCTCTGGGGTTGGCGATTCTAGACGGAACCAGGTCGGAATCATCTTCCACATCTTCTCGCGTTCGCGGGCCGCCCAAGCCTCTAAGCTTCTTGCGCAAGCAGCACACTCGGAGAACTCCACGCTCTTCAGCTGGCCGAGTTCCTCCGCCACGTAAAGCGGGTCGCCGCACCCGCGTTCGCGGTCGAATAGGTAATGCTGGGTTGCCAGCTCGACGAGCTCGGCAAAGTCCTTGCGGCACGCTGCCGGGGACATGCATACTGCGCTGCCGTGTGCCGATGCCTTCCCTTTCGACGCCGACCGAATATGGGTGTGATAGGGGAATTGTCGACCAAACTGGGCATGGGTCATGGATTGGATGAGGGTAGTGATGGCGTGCTGTGCTGCCTCCTTTCCGAGGCATAGTCGTTGGAGGTCGTGGACGTCGAGAGAGGCGGACTGGTCTTCGAAGATCTGGGTGAAGGGATATCGTGAAAGGTCGTAAAGTGCGGAGGGTAGCAGGGAAGGAGCGTCGACTTCGCGTGCTAAATTGACCACGTCCTGTGAAGGATATCAGCACAGTTATCATGGGATGTTCGGCAGGTATACGCACGACGGGGTTGGGGTAACGTGGAAGAGTGGGAGGGTTGGCAGATGCGAAAGCAATCTCGTGCACTCGGGCTGCATCCTCTCGCGCGTCCCACTCCTTCAGCGTCGATGGCCAAGCCTTGCTGAGGTGTGCGATCGTTTTCACGCGAAGCGTATCTATCAGATCTGCATGAAAGCGTCAGCATCCCATTTCATGAACATGGCTGGCCTACTCACACTTCGTCGCCAACCGACACACTCCCGCCACAACCCGAAAGTCATCCGGACTGTTATCCCTGAGAACACTGAGGCGTTCGTTAGCCGACTGCTCGCGCGCGAGAGGCAATGTCACGCACGGTCCGTCATACAGCGCGGAGAGCAGGTTCGCTACGTCCTCTGCGCGGTCCTGCAAAAACAGCACTGGGCATCCATCCAGCTGATCCGTGCCCTCCCCGCCTTTCGGCATCCCAAAGACGTCCCGAAAGAAGATCGAATGGCGCGACAGCATCGAGATATGCACGCGGAACAGAGTATCCTCTGCGCGCACAATCACGCTGCCGTCTTCGAGATAGAGGTCAGGGTGCCGGCGCAGCACCTGCTCAGTCTCGCTGTCGACGATCAGGCTGGTGCCGGACTTGTCGAAGGTGACGCTGGGCTTCTTGTCGATGCCAGAGCTTGTGCCAGAGCCAATTCCTGCCGCCAGCTTGTCACTCATCCCAGGAGCAGGCCTGTGAATGAGGCGCGTGAAGTGTCGAGAGCTTGTCGATGTCGTCGCCATTCTGACGCGATTGCCGTCTATCGTCCGCGCAATTGACAAGGTGTGCCCTCTCGCCGTACTTATGCTACGTCGTTGACTGCCCGACGCTGCGCAGGCCCTAGCTCCTGACGAACGCCAACCTATGCTGTAGAAGGAAACAAGCTGAAGATGATGGAAAGCCGAGGGCGTCAGCGGACGGGCACAATAGCCGGCGATTGCCGGTGGTTCCTGGCTTAACAAGCGGGAGGGCCCGTGTGTCCCACACGGGGCTCTCGAGTCTGATTCGCAGCTATGTGAGTAAATTAATCGCGAATCGATGGACACCCCGGCCTTACTGGTCAGAATATCTGCTTCCCCCTCGCCTTCGTGCCGCCATCCGTTCAAGCACGCAAGATCGGAGCCGCCAAATGACGGGCGTGTATTCCTCTAGCCTTAGTGAATGCCTTCGTGCCCTTGTGTCCTTTCAGAGAGCAGGTTTAAGGGGTCAGGACCTTACTTCAATTGTGTGGATGACCAACGTGCGCTAGCGGTCACGCCACTGTAGCTACTGTTCTGCCTTTGTGGCAAATCCGCTTTCCTTGAGTGACTACACGAAGACTTCAGCAGACGTCCTCGTTGTCCATGCACACCAGCTGCAGTAGCAGCTTCACAGAGACTGGCCACGCCTTCATTTTTGCTCAGTCGTAGTAACAGGCCTTGAGCCTTGTTGAGCTTGAGGGCTGCGTCGCAAGGTAGCGGCCAAAGGCTATCAGAATCCTTACTCACAGGCGTAGAGGATATAAGCGACACCGCCAGCAGGCCAGCATGATGGGCGAACAAAGTCGGCATGGCCGTTAACCTCGCACCGCGAGGCAGCGGTCCAAAATCAATCCGAGCCTTACTCGTAGGCAGGCGATGTATGAGCGACGCTGTATTGGGCTGTACGGAGGCGTACAGGCGTCGCTAGCAGGCCGGCATGACGGGCGGACACAACTTGTGTGGGCGCCGCTTGTCGCCACGTGCTGGATTGATGGGGGCCGGCCCCAGCTGCTGCTCCTTTATATTGTAGATATTGTAGATTAAATGTCCTGCGGCGGGACTCAACGTACTCAACCATCGGGCCAGCGCCCAGTCGACAGGCTTTCATTCCATCAGTTCAAGCAGGTAAAGCCCATTCAGATTATGTGCCCCATAACCCTCCATATACAAGGACTGAGACAACAAAACATTATCTATGCAAAAAGTCGACTGGCTCTCGCATACGCCGCGGGTTCGACGCTGTCTTCAAGGGACTAGGACAGATTATAAGGACATCGCAAAGCTCTGCAATCCTCCGCCACGCATATTCGGGAAGATGACATCGCTGATAACAATAGTACTACTCACCAGTTGCATCTCCTGCGTCATCGCAAGCCCGCCATTCTCGAAGACAACCTGCTGAATACGCCTTCCCACCTTTGCATACCCCTCCAGCATTGCCAACAGCTTCCGCCCGATCGCGATTTCTGTCTCGTGGTATTCATCCAACAATTCGTCAATCGTTATTTGCTCCAAGGCTGGCACTGCAAGTGGCTCCTTGTAGGGCCCGGTCATGACCTGAAGACTACCGAACTGAACGAGCGTCCCAAGCCTTCGTAGAAACGACTCCGCAACTCCACGAGCGGGGAACTTCAGCGAGCAGAGTGCTGGCAAAGCATCGAGCAGTGCGCGGCATGTCCCCTTCGGTAAAGGCGCGGAAAACCGCAAGTCAAGATCATTGACGGCTTTGGTTGGAACTGCGCGCAGGATTTTGCGCGTCACGCTGCGCAGTCCGCGAACGTTGCGAGGATAAGTCCGCAAGAGCAAGTGCGCCGACTGTCGAAAGGCTTCTCGGGAGCCTTGAAGGGTCGCACTGTCGGTGAAGAAAAGAGTCTCATACCCGTCGATGAAGCGCGCATAGCTGGACCTCGTGGCCACTTCAATGGCGCGAAAAGGAGGTGAGGCACGAGCCCAATCACGGAGGGACTTCCCCAGAAGGGACTTGATATTGGCCGCTCGGTGTATGTCAGTGGCATAGATGGAGATGGCGGCGAGCGGGGACGGTTGAACGACGTCGACGACCGTCTTGCAGATACTGCTAGCATCGCACACATGCAATTTCCGTAGCTGTGGCAGGCCGACGGACTCGTGGAGGGCATCATCGCCGCTCACGCATTCGACGAGCGAGAGGTCCTCCAGCATCGGGCATGCCTGTAAAAGCCCTACAAGAACAGAGACACCCAAAGGGCGGCCCTGACTGGCGCCTCTTGTGATGTCAAGGCATACGATGTTGCGTATCGATGCCCAGTTCGCTGCGACGTTGTTGAGAACCAGGGTGTGTAGGTCGATGAGAATATTCTGGCCCGCGTCATCCGGTAATGAGTAGGCTGTAGGAGAAATTGACTCTAGTCGCAGATGCCGCAACCCTGGCCTCCTGCTCCGTCCCAGGCCCGCCACGAAGTCCGCCAGTACATCCGCCTCTATGGCGACTTCAAAGTGGCATACCCGGTCGAGGTGGGGTATCAGCGCGTTGAACACCTCGTATGCACCCTTAGACTGGAAGTCCGTGAGCTTGAAGCTGAGGGGGTGTGCCCCGGACCGCCGTAGCTGAGCGGCCGTAGCAGGGCAGAGTTTGTCGGTCTTCCGCGGCCGTCCCATGGGAATCAACCGGTTCACGGGTGACGATACATAACTCCATATGGCGGGGTTGGCGAGCGCTACGTTCTTCCATCGGCGACAGACATGCAAGAGTATGCTCATCCAGCCAAGGTCGTATAGAGAGTCGATCATGAGCCCGTAGTAGAAGATGATGATAGAGAGGGTTTCGTCGGGGAGCTAGGAGATTGGGGCACGGGTGTTGCGGTAGGCTGCGAAGACGGCCCACTGGTGGCGTAGCTCGACAAGGTACTTGTCCATTTCGGTGGTCGTAGGGGCGGTCTGCTCGTTAACCATATCTTCCGGTACGAGGAGGACAGGCTCTTCGATCTGAGGAGCATTCGTAAACAGTAGTTTGCCATACTGCTCGCTGGGACCTATGTAGGTCAGACCTATCGAGCGACGGGGTGCGCGTAAAGAATACGCGAACTTACGGATTGCGAGTGACAGTCAAGCAGTTGGGGTGATGAGGATCAGGTGTGTCAGAAAGGGTAGAGGTCTGCATGGCATATCGTGACGAGGAGATGAACGTCGGAAACAAGCGCTGCGCGCGCGGTGGCGCAGATCACCAATGGTCGCACCGGATCACCTTGCCTCTTACCGCCATCTTCGCCAGTTCCATAGCGTCTACTCGAGCGCAAGCGTCTTGCCAGGACCTTGTACCGGTGTACTCTGGCTAGGATATCGCGACACTTCCTTATCCCGCGCTGAGCGCAATGGCGTTCAATGTGTATAGGCTTGGGCGCGGCTTCCGCGCAATACTCGCTCCGCTCTCTGCTATTGTCGGTTTCTCTTGCCTTCTCACTTTCCTCTTCATTCTATATCAACCAACTCCCGGACCCGGCATCCAACAGCGGCTAGGATGGCAATCCTGGGACGTTGTCGACCCTACGCTTCCTCTCGCGGACACGGACACATCTATCGACATCGGAGCGGGGGACGACGACGTGCAGGCGGGGGGAGATATGCCAGCTGAAGACGGCGTCGACTGGTGGAATGTCACCGCTCCTCAGGACTCTGTCGACTCGGCGAGCCTGCCGCTGGACGTGTGGGCACCGCTCCTACCGCATGACACAGGACGTGCGTCGCTATTTCTGTTGCGCAGCTCTCGCTCATCCCGTCGCAGTATCAGAAATAGCTGTTACGCAGTGTTTCTTCAATCCCAAGGTTGCTGGCAAGCTCTGCGATCCCGACACAACACCGGAGAAGGATGCCATCAGGGTGCGTTCACCCGCACGTTGCTGCTACAATTATGCTGACCATGGTAGGGCAACTGGGTGCGCGTCGATCGCAACCTCAACTATGAAGCAAGCTACCTTGCTGGATACCTCAACATCTACTACAGACGTACACGCCGTCAGGATATCAACCTCGTCACTGATCTCCAACTCCTTGGCAAAGGGGAGAGCCCCCCGGATGCTGACGATGGCACCTGGCTTAAGGTCGACATGTCCCTCCGCACCGGCGTCATGCGTGCCGCCCCTCTCTTCCTTTGGTACAAGACCGGGAAGCCCGCCGGCCAGATGACTGCAGAGGAGCGCGCCAACATCATCACCGAACTCGACCTTCTCTACGGCGAAGACCGTCCCTGGTATGGCTTCGAGAAGCTCGAGCCACCCACTACAGAGGCCAGCCCGCGCACCATCCCCGCCTGGCTCACCTACCGCCGCGGCGCTAAAGCCGCTCCGCGCGCCCCGCCCCTGCATTTCTCGCATTCGGGCAAGTTCAAGATTCTCCAAGTTGCTGACTTGCACTTCTCCGTATCGCACGGCGTTTGTCGCGATACCGACCGCGGCGACTGCGTGCATGGCGACGACACCACGCTTTCCCTCCTGGACCATGTACTTGATGAGGAGCGACCTGACTTCATCGTCTTCACCGGCGATCAGCTGAACGGGCAGGGCACGTCGTGGGATCCCAAGAGCGTGCTTGCCAAGTTTGCGAGGGGCGTGACGGACCGGAATATCCCATGGGCGGCGGTGTACGGTAACCACGACGAGGAGAACGGTGCGGACAAGGAGGAACAGATGCAGATGATGAAAGCGTTGCCATATAGCATGGTCGAGCGTGGGCCGAAGGACGTGCATGGGGTAGGGAACTACGTTCTCAAGGCCTTCAGCGCGGACGCCAGCAAGACGCACCTTCTTACCATGTACTTCCTCGACTCGGGCTCGTACTCGAAGGGGTACTTCAACTGGTGGGGCATGTTCCAGCCTACTGCGTACGATTGGATACGGCAGGTACGGAATTCTTCTACAACGGTAATCCTGCTTTGCTGAGCTTTCCTAACAGTCACAAGTCGACTGGTTCTTGCAACAGTCTGCCAAGATTAAGCAGATCCTGCGTCCTTTCGCGCCAGACGATGGCAAGGACTTTGGCGATGTCTGGCGTCGGCAGGACCAGGTCACTCCTTCTCAGCGTCGGATAGCGAAGCCCAATGCGCTCGTCTTCTTCCACATTCCCCTGTATGTCGTGCGGGCCTTTCATCGACGACATAATTTTGACGATACTGCTTGTCAGCCCCGAAACCTATAATGACCCGGATAAGGACCCCTTCACCGGCCTGCCCCTTGACAAGGGCGAGTCCGGCAACGAACTACCGGGTAACTCGAAGGAGAGCGACGGTTTCTTCGAGAAGGCTATCCTTGGCTCGTTGGAAAGCGACCACACAGGCAAGGGTAGTGCTTTAGAGGTCAAGGCGATAGGGAATGGGCATTGGTGAGTCGTGGAAGATCCTTTCATATTGAAAATCAATTGCTGATCGCTTTGGTTGCAGTCACTGTGAGTTGCTTCAGGCAAGGTTTGCGTATAAAAATCAAGCGTTGACGCGCGATTATAGTAACGGACAACTGCCGGCGAGTCAGCGGCGTCTGGATGTGTTTTGGTGGAGGAGGGTGAGTTCATATCCCTGAATGAAGTTGCAGAAGCTGACGATCTCATAGCTCGTACTCTGGATATGGGAGACCTGGGTGAGTGCAATCGCCGAAGTCCATCGGCCTTACTGGTCATCTCGTATGCTGACGCCTCTTCGCAGCTTCGACCGACGCTTCCGCGTATATGACATCTCAGACTTTGGCGAGACCATCCGGACGTATAAGCGGACCGAGCACGACGAAATCATTGACGACATGATCCTTGCGGGCAAGGGTGCGCCAGAGATATGAGGAGACAGCCTGAGCTTGACACGCACCTGAATCGGTGAGGTGCTTTCGTCGACCGTTGATTAGACGCTTGCTCTTACAGAGAGAGGGGTGAAGGATGTGATGTATTTAACCATATCTGAGGAAATACCTATGTACAGTATTGTGGAACAGAGGATACCTGTGTGCAACTTGCTGCAAGCTGGGCCTTGGAAGCGCTTCCGGAACTTCGGGCCGATCCCGAGAATTAGACGCGCACGTGCGCACGCGGACCTTCAGCTCTTTTTCGCCGACATCGCCGACCACGACGACCACGACAATGCAGGCGGCGCTGGGCTTCGCTCGTCGGTGTACACAACGCCCGGCCTTGCAACTGGGGGGTCGGAGATTCTACCAGGCCCCGAGCAAGCAGCCCCCCCTTCCGGAGGGCGCCCTCATCGCCCGTACCCAGTCGACGCCGCACGCCGTTCGCGAGCGTCGCGAGAAGAAGTCCGGCGAGCTCATCCCCATTGGCGCGACCGACGCCACGGAGACCGGCCTCTCACCCTCAGAGTATGCGCGGTACCTTCGCCTACGCCATACTGGCCGCATCCCGCGCGGCTTGACGCCCGAACGCTGGCTTGCAGATGTTAACCGCCGTCGGTCACGCATTCGTGGTTTCGAACACCTCAAACGCGGCGACGTGTCCCACCTCGTCCCCGTCGGTGTACCCGTCTACCTCCCCAATATCACCTTCACCTTCGTCCCCAACCACACCCCGCCCGGCCAGCCGTACAACCCGTACGAAGCGACCTTCTACGTTGCCCCCAGTCTCACGAAGACGGACATCCGCTCGTACCTCCAGGCCCTCTATGGCGTGCGTACCACATACATCCGTACCGACAACTACATCGCGCCCCTCGTCCGCGACATGGAGAACCCCATGACCTTCGTGCGCAAGTACGGCGCGTACAAGCGCGCGGTCGTCGGTCTCGTCGACCCCTTCTACTGGCCGAACCGCCTGGAGGACATGCCGGAGGAGAAGCGGAAGAAGCGCGAGGAGGAGCTTGAGCAGTCGTACGGCATCCAGAGCGCGAAGGACTACCGCACGTATAGCCGGCTCAGGATGATCAAGAAGCACCCGATCAAGTTCACGCCTGGCATGTGGTCGCGTCGCTCCATCCTTCGCAACGTCATGGAGCGCAAGGAGCGCAGGATGGGCCTGGTCCTCAAGCAGACGGAGACCTGGAGCGAGATGCGCGAGCGCGGCGAGCATATCACACTCGGCGGTGCATCCAAACCCGCGTCGGAGAAGGCAGTGGAGGCACCCCAGTAAAGTATATTGCCATATCGTCGCACATAATCATAGACCACTGCTCTGTCTTCGCACTGGCATCCAAACCCGTCTGAGCACCTAAGCACCTTCCTATTGCTTCGAACAGGGCGAACATTCCAGGGGCATATCAGTGACATCTAACCAGTCTGCACACTTTCTTCGGAGGATAGCAGACCATATCGCTCAGAACGCTTGAGCCCTCAGCGCGACTACTGGGACGAGGATGCTTCCTATTCTCTTCGACTACGCGCTAGTGTACGAAGCGACTCACGCACGATTCCCGAGCGACATATGTGACGATGCCTCTCCTTCCAGTCTGCCCTTTGACACCGTATCGTGGCGAAGGTGCGAAGGGCAGTCAGCGCCTTGTTCATTTGAGGATCCGTCAGCGAGATTAATCGATGATCTCCAGGCCATCGCTTGAGCGGTCCATTTTCGAAGTCTGCGAATGGAAATCCCTGGCGTAGTAATACATTGAGTCTCTTGAAGACGGCACGCGCGGCAATTTAGGTTGGTCGACTTCGGCAGCCCGAAGCTTTCCGAGCTCGGCGCTGATGTCCTTCAACTGCTTCGAGGATGCCGTAGGACTAGGTTGGTATGTCATGTCAGTGGGGCGCGCGAGGGAGTGAGCGAAGGGCAGTCATGTTTCACGGGTATCGTCTCTACGTGACTGTCACATAGTCACTGTCAATGGCCTCCCAATATTCATTGATGGCTCGTTGCTCTTCTAACTGTCAATGTTGTCTGTGGATTTTGTACAGTCTCCCTGCTTTCTCTATACCGCGAGAAAACGATATGTGCTCTCTCACGAGCCCCGGTAGCTCTGCGTCTCAGCACGAGAACATGACAGGCGATCAACATCGCTGTTTACTTTCGGAGCGTCAAAGCGAATGCGCCGGGTTGCTTTCATACTGCAGGTACATTCAGATTATCACGACATTCTATTCACGCAAAGTTTCAGCTTCAGATTTAGTCGGCCTTCGCCCACGCCTCCCCGGTGACGAGCTCCTCGCGCTTCTGCAAGACAAAGTCAGAATCTCGATAAGCTGAACCCTGGCCACGTACATCTGCTTGCGCCCAAGCGATATTCTGGATGAGCTCCTCAGGCTCACGCTTCTATTCAAGTCCGTCAGCAAGGTCTTCCGCCGTACGCGGTACGGAAACCAACTCACGTCCGCCTTGGCCCATGCCTCCCCGGTGACAAGCTCCTCACGCTTCTGTACCGCTGTTCAGCCAGTTATTCCCGCGCCTGAGAACGACTTACGTCAGCCTTCGCCCATGCCTCTCCAGTAACGAGCTCTTCGCGCTTCTGTATCAATAGTCAGACTTGCATCGACGTCCACTAAGGTACGAGCCACTTACATCGGCCTTCGCCCAAGCAATTGCTTGAACGAGCTCCTCGCGCTTCATTGTTCGAAACGTGAGCTATATGCCCGCCTCAGAGCCGACCTTCACCAGACTTACCTCTTCTACAGGCGCGGCGAGAGCGACGGAAGCGAAAAGGGTGAAGAGGGCCAGGTAGAACTTCATGACAACAACGGCGAGGTGAGGACGGGCCTTGCTTCTTTCTGGTCCCCGCGCAGCTTATATACCGCCTCGCAGGTATGCACTGGGTGTAATTATACCACACCAGACGCTCTATCTCTTGACAAACAGGGCCGTTCGCCGGAGTACTCTGCCGGACGAGGAAGCAGCGCTGCCACCCACACACCTGATATGCGTGGTCCATATGCTCGCCATATCACGCTATGGATTCGAAGAAAGCCCCCGGTCTCATCACTGGACGGCGAACTCTGAAGCAGATGGCCGACTTCGATGCATACCATTGCTACGCTTCTCTACGATGGACAGATTGCTCTCTCCTCACATAAACAGCAATCTCAAGGCCTTTCTCCGTCTTGCAAGGGAGGTTGCTTGGATGTTTAGCTGCCTGAACAACCACAGCTCTAACAACGCGCTAGACCGTCACAACGGTCCTTCCAACTCCGCATCAAGCACGGTAAGAGATAATCAACGGCGCTACTGATCCCTCCGATAAGCGCCTGTGGCCCGCCATTGCACCTTCCACTGAGCCCACATCTCTTTTTGCCCAAAGATGGCCCGCGGACTGTCCCCGGTACCTGGCCCTCCCTCATGCTTTGGCATACTTGGACATGGGCGCGTCGTCTCGTCCCGAGCGCCGGACGGCACTATCCCAAATACTTACTACCGGAGCCTCCCTTGACACTCTGATTTGCACCCCGCGCACGGGCATGGACGCGCACCGGCCCTCCCTGCTATCGCTCAAACACCCCTCGTGCCCCCCATTACGCATGGTCGCGATTACCGACGGCGTTTCCAGGCCACATCTCGCGATATCGCACCGGCACTCGCATCATGAACGCGGTCAAAGTCGGACACTCCGGTCTTTTCGAGGCGGGGAAGGGGAGGGGTCGGCATGACTGTATTGGGTGGCCGTGCGATGGGGGGAAGCTGATTAGCTGGAGGCTTCTTTCACGGCTGGGCGCTTCTTGACTTCTCCCCTCACGAGCTACGATGGGCGACAAGGGCGAGTACGTCCCGCTCGCGTCTGCGGTCGATGCATCGGACGACGTAGAGCAGCTTCCATCGGCACAGCAGCCGTCCACGTTTAGAAGGGTCTGGCAGGCATGGCGCGTGAGGCTACTACTGGTCGTTGTGCTCGTGCAATTCGTGGCTATCGTCCTGCTACTCCCTCGTTCTTCTTCGAAAAGGCGATCACCAGGAAGCACGCACTTCCTATACTGTGAGTATTCGGTTAATTCAGATCACTTGACTTATCTCAATCGGCCGCATCCGAAGCACCAGGAGAAGAGGCGCTCGAGGACGAGCTCGTCGTATTTGGATCTGGCACAGAGCACCAGTCTCTGTATCAGCAACTGACCGACGAGGCCGATGAGGCCTGGAAGGACTTATACGATCGTGAGTACCGTCATGGCAAGTCTATTTGCACGGAAAAGCTCATCATCCCTTCATAGCATCTATTGTCCGACTTTCACGCGACGAGGCCGTTCTTCTGCCTAATCGTACACACCCCATCACCATCGGTATGGACGGTTACCTAGGCCAACTCGACGTTTTCCATCAGTTGCACTGTTTGGTAAGCTCTGCCCCGTCGTGTACGGCGGCGGTGTCCTGATAGCGCGTTTGCAGAACTACCTACGCATGAGCCTCAGTCCTGAGAGGTATAAGCCCATCATCCGAGCAGACCTGCTCGAGTACGAGCATCTCAATCATTGTATCGACTCCATCCGGCAGTCTCTGATGTGCGTATCCCCATTTCATACAGCTCTTCATCGTCCAAATTTCCACCTAGGTGCTCATCGGACATATCCGTCAACGTCTGGCAATGGTCCGAGCATTATGAGTTTGTTGCTGGCCGCGTGAACGTTGCGCATTCCTGCCGGAATTTCGACAAGCTCAAGGAGTGGACACGCGAGCGTATGGCTCCAGAGCATCCTATCGAGATCTACGAGCACGTCGAGAATGACCTGCCATATCCACCGGTCTATCACTCAGCGGCGGAGTAAGTGGTCCTCGTTTATAGACGTGAGCTGTACTGATCTTTCCCCAGCGTTTGAACATCTGGAGCGGTATGCCCGCATAGGTGACGACGAGAAGACGGTGCCGGCGTTTGTTACTCTATTGTGTAGGCACATCACATGAAGATACACCGAGGAAACAAGCAAGAATACAAGTGGAATACAGTCGGAGTACAACAGAATAAATCACTCCATGACACAGCGCATGATCAGCCCATAAGCCTCTTACTCCCCGATCTCCACGCTCAGTACACGTTCTCGTGACTCCCTCCTTCCGACTCGAATCCCTCGAACCGGACGCGTCCTTTATCGGGGTCGCCGTAATTGGAGACGTCGGCGCCCGCAGTGGCGGCCTCCCTGAACCACAGCGGGGAAGCCCAAAGCACCCTACCAAAGATTATAATTAACACCACTTCCAAGACGCGTCGCGCAGGCGATGATGGTGGCCGCCACCGAGCCACCAGTTTCCCGCCGTCCGACTCACGGTCTCCGCGTCTTCCGCGCCGGGGGCATCGGCGACGTCATGCAGTTGTCGGGGAGGCGCACATGTCGGGGGGTGCAAAATATATCGGAGAATTTGAGGGCCATGGAGAGGCTGCGGGTCGCGTGCAGGACGGGGCACTTGTCAGGTGCGAAATAGAGGCACCTGCGGATATATTGAACTCCATATCGCGCTCGCGACGACACGGACACCCACCTCGAGCGCGAAAGCGCGTCTCGTTGTCGTGCAAGTAAAGGTGAGAGAGGAAGGGAAGAAGAGCACGCAACATTCTCCGGTGCGCTCTTATACTCTGCGAGACAAAGCACCGCCTCTAGCATCCTCCATTGTTCCCCTTTCCGGCAAGTAGCGGCCTCCGGTAAATCAACCGCACGTGAGCGAGTTTAGTCTCCGTGGTGTCGTCAACATGGGCTTGCGTCCTGGTCTCCACTCCACACAGGCGAGCCGGTTGCTATCACGCAATAGATTCAGTATCACAAACCGACGGCTCCACCATGCATCCCGACAGGGCGAATGCACACGCAGGCGATGACTGGAGTATGACAATTGCAGGCATATAAAAGGTGGTGGTGGCGGGTCGTTGAAGCTACCACCCCGCCTAGCGCATCCGCACTCTACGCTGCTTTTGAACCTATAACGCATCAGCCGATATAAACGATGGCGACCACCTCTACCACCTTCCGCGCACCTCTGCCCACCGTACGTCGGCGCTTACTTCCTTGCGACCATCCTTGTCCTGACATGACTAGCAGATCTCCGAGAAGCAGATGCTGGCACCTCCTCGTCCATTGTACGAGCGTATACCTAGCTTCGGCAGGTCGAGGTCCCGGTCGCCCTCCACTGGTCCGCAGACGCGAGAGAAGTCCCCCTACCGGGCTACAAGTGCGTCAACCTGATCTCCGGCCGCTCTTGCCACTGACCTCCTTCGTAGACCTCTCCATGAATACCCATCACGCCTTCGTCGGCCACGATACCCTCCCGGAGAAGATGTGCTTGTGCGTTATCTTGCTTCTTGAACTTCCATCGACCGCAGCTGACCCACGTATAGGGAGCGCATCGCCTCCGTCTTCTCTCACCCCCACGACGAAGACTGATCCGTCGGTCCTTTGGCGCAAAGCCGTTCTGCATCTCACCGTCTCCTTGATTCTGTCCACTTGCTGTATCATCGCCTCCTAGCATCGTTAACTTAAGATCCATCCATCCATGTACATTAGTAGTATGAGCTGCAATAGCAGCGTATATCCGTCCTTTCCTGTAGATCCCTGTTCTCGTATTAGCTTAATCATCTCAATCGCAATGCATCTCAGATCGTACCTCCTAGGATACGAGCGGCGTGCTTTCCGAGGCATCCGCTGCGTCGCTTTCCTCCGTGTCCGATTCGTCCGTCTCTGATCCGCTGTCATCCTCGTCCTCGTCGGTCTCGGACCCCAAAGAAGGTGGATGCGAAGGCGGGCAGTAAGTGTTGAGGCAGGGCGTGCGCCGGAGACGCTCGAGGTCGGCGTGGATGATCTCGCCGCAGATTAGGTCGAGGTCGAGGTCATTCTGGGAGGAAGTTAGCATGGAGAAGGACAGGATGGGAATAGAACATGTCGTACGTCGTCGTAGCCTGAAGACGAAAGGTGGTCAGCATCGCAGTCAAGGCAGTTAAGGGAAGAAAGGCTAACGCACCGAAGGGCTGCTCAATCTCTTCGCCAGCAGCGAGGAATCCGAGGTATATGAATGCGGCGACGGCTACGCCGGGTATAGTGTACCAGCCGAAGTCATCCACCAGTTGGAATGGCAGGAAGAAGAGATAGAGCCATACAGTACTGCAAGTAGGATGTTAGCTACGTCACATATGTCGACTGGTCGAACACACTGTCTGATATGGACTGAGAAGGCACTGCAGAAGATGTTAGAGGTGTATAGTTCGCTTCAGAGACCGACGCACAATGGTAGCGGTGTAGTCAGTATCTTTTCCAGTGCTATAAACGACATCAGCCTTCGACGCTTTGCTGATCAATCGACTCACTGGATAGATTGTCCTCAAAATTAGTGAGCGTAGCGATCATATTCCCCATACTCGTCCCTGGCACCGAGCCCCTCTCCTCCAGCACCGTATACCACTCCGACAAGCACCTCACGATCTCCAACGGCAGATTCTCTCCACCGCCCGCGACCCTCGGCCTCCTCTTCATCCCGCCCATCTCCGGCTTGCTCCAGTGCTGCTGCACCCCGCCCTCCTCCTCGCGCTTCAGCGGGAACGTCTGCTGCTTGTACAGCAGGCCGCGCACCCACTTCTGCGCGTGCCAGAAGAAAGAGGCGAAGGGGATGAGGTCGCCGGAGACGAGCGCGAAGATGCCTGGGCGCTCCTGCTTGGCGGAGGGGAGGAGCGCGGTGGCGCAAGTGCTGGAGGCGGAGGAGTCTTGGTGGCGGAAGAGGTGCCGGCGCTTGCGTGAGCGGAGGGAGTCGGCAGGGGCGGCGGGGTTGAAGGTGCCGTAGGCGTTTATGGGCGGGATGATGGGGTCTTTGCCGAACATGGCGCTGGAGGCGTTCGACCCGTTGCGCTCGGGGGAGGGCTTGCTGGGCTCTTTGGTTTTTGATGAGGTGTTGGTCGTGGGGGAGGTGGCGGTTTTGCCATCGGCAACTATAGTATTCTTGTCGGTCTTTTGTGGCCCAAGGGAGTGTGGCGGGTGCGAGTTGCGCGTCACCCAATGAGGCGGTTTCAGTTGGATGGGCTCGACGGGGCGCAATTCCTCTGCGGTATTGTGCTAAGGGACTGTAAGCCGCGGTGTCGTGTCAATGAATGTGGCCCATACCCCATGCTCGTGGAAGGGACGGAGAAGGTGATACATATCCTCATAATAGATGCCGAGCTCGCCGCGAATGTGATGCTTGAGCGCCCTCGAGAAGCTACGTGATATGATAAGACGACGAAGTGCAAGATAGAATGGGTGGGACGCACGCTTCGATGAGGTCTAGCGCCATCCGCTTCTCATTCATGACCTGTAGTAATTCCTCCTCTGGCCTGATCGTCTGGGCCTTCTCGGTTTCCTCGGGGGTCTTTGGTGAGAGACGAAGGGGAACATGAATCCTGCAACATCTGAGCCCAGTCCATAGAGCTAGAGCAGGCGCGTCATCCACACCAAATGAGACGCGACTGGGCGCGCGAGTTACGAATGACCTCCGTCCAGCATGTCTGCCCCATCCAGTAGCAGTTGTACCTACGCGTCGTCAGCATCTCCCACATCCCAGCACACAGTTTCCCACTCACCCGCTGCTCGCCCGGTACGAAATCACGAAACCGATCACCACACCTGCAGCGCGACGCCACCGATCAGAACGAGCGCGTCCCCCTTGCCCAACGCGACGCACCAAGCACTGTAAGCAGAACCTTGGGTATCGCAAGGTTGACATCCGTCCGCAGATTTGTCGTCACGACCGCTGGCGCGTGTTTCAGCAAATAAACGCGTCGTGGGTCGCGTGCGCGTCTTACCAGCAGCGAAGAGGGTGTGCATAAGTACAGCGGGCCAGATGCGCCATATCTGATGGGTGTTAGGCTACAGAGTGAAGGGGGGCAAGGCCACGCACGACTGAGCCGCGTCCGAAGGTCCAGGTGAGCAGATTATAGGTTTGCGTCCGAGGGACGAGGTCCACCTGGCTGACGCCGGGAAGATGGGCAGGGAGTAGGGTGTGGCGCCCGGTCGACGAGCGCTTGGTGGTCTTCTTGCGCGCCATGGCGGAGGAAGGCGACTCCGGCGCTCGTGGAAGGGAAAGGCAAGGAAGAAATGAATGTGGGGAAGACAATGGGAAAGACCGAGGGAACTTGGTGATTCCCCATCAGACGTTAGGCGCCCGTACACGTGTAGGTTACAAGTATAGACGGACCTACAGGGACATATGGGGACCCTCTATGTCTAGTGTGTATGCCTAGGGGACTATGGTATCAGGCGGCAAGGTCCTTGAGCTTTGACTCCTGAGCCTCATTGCCTGCCACCCTCTCGAGCACCCGCCTCAGAACCTTCTCCACTTCCTTCACCTGCTCCTTCGTCACCGCTGCCCCTTCCCTCCACACTGTCACGATCCTCAGTCCATTCCCATGCCCAACCACGTTCGCATTCAGCACCGGCGCACACGGCCACGACGCCGAACTCCACAGTAAGTCCTCTGCACCCTCCGGGAGGGCCGCGTACCCCAGATTGCTGACCTCCAATGATCCTCCGAATGGGTCGCTCCCGTGCAGCTTCCCGTAGAAGTGCTCCTCCCACCCCGTAGGACGATCCGTATCTGCCTTCGCTGGGTCTGGGATGGGGTCCGGGAGGAACGACAGCATGCCCATATTGTATCTGCCGTTCTGAATGCCCTCCGGAGAGCCGAGAGCGTGCGCGACGTAACGAGCGGTAGCCCAGAAGTCGTCGCTCGCCTTCAGCTGCACTTGCACGTCGGTGGACGCGGTGTAGTTCGATGTGCAATATGCATGGCCGAGGCTGGCCTTGCGCTCCGTGCGAGGCGTGTTGGCTTTGAGAGGGAACGGGATGTCGGGGGAGTTGTGAGCGAGGACGGCCCACATGGCGACGAAGTGCGCGGCTTTGAGGATGGGGTGGAGAGTCTTGACCTCATGGACCTTTCCCGCCGACTTTAGCGCGTCAACGAGCGAAGGCGCCAGCTCGAGGAGCGACAGACCCCACTCGCACTCCGCTGGCGAGCGCTGAATGTTCGAGCCGGGCCATGGCTTCGGCTGCGCGACGTATGATTGGAGGAAGGAAGGGAGCTTGGGGACGAGAAGCTCCTGCCAGACGACGGGCAAGAGATACGAGTACGGAGGGCGGATGTCTATCGTGTCCTCCATCAGAGGTATTTGCGCCAAAGTTTCCGTCGGGAGCGACGAGATGTCGGGAGCTAGCAGCGCTTGGGTGAGAAGCGCGAGTCCCTTGCCGTCGATGAGGATGTGGTCCGCAGAGAGTGCGACATATCCCCTGTCGCTGGGCGAAGAGGGCGTGAAGAGAGTAACCTGCCAGAGCGGCCGCGTGAGGTCCTCGCGCGTCATTCGGTCCAGTTCGTTATATAATATGCGCTCCTTCTCTTGAGTCCCGTCGCTGCCTTCGACAAGAGTAAAGCTTGCTTGCCTGAGTATCTCCTCAGGGGCGTACGAAGTCGCCCGCTGTTGAAACGCCGGTTCCCTCGTCTTCGCATTGACGACTTCGCATCGTAGGAGCGGGAAGTGCTCCTGCAGCTCGGTTATACGTCGAGAGAGGAAGTCCGCGGTAGGTAGAGACGCAGCAGGATACGCGATCAACGCAGTTAACGGCTGGGGGAACGAGAGGTTCCGTCTCATGAGAGAGAAACGCTCATGCAGTGATACTTCGAGGTTCTGGGTCAGCCCGAACGTATTGAAGGAGGACTGGAAGTAGACCTTACACTTTCGAGTAGGCGCGGACATGTTGACCTCGGTGCGCAGGTCGTGCAGGTCGCAGCCAAGTATCAAAAGGAGCACAGCTGGTCCCTTTCATATAGGCAGTCGGCACGCGTACGTACACGTTCTTTCCTAAGCAAGGAACGTGCTTTCCCCGGTAGGGGGCGAGGTGTCGACGGGTGCGCAGTTGAATTGAGTGGTGAAATGCGCTGGAATTTCGCGCGTGGCTCCCGCGTGATTCCTGCAGGCCTTGGACCTTCGGAGAGCTCAGTGAACGAGACGGCTCATTGATGAGCTTTCCCTGTCGCAGGATCAGGATGAAGCCTTTCGAGTTAGAGTCTAACAAGCGCCGTGGAACCTTGACGTCGGAATGAGGACTGTTTGCGGAAAGAGTATTTCTCACGAGGGCCTCTGAATCGGCAACTGCCGACCCGCACCGGCCTGGGCCGCGCTGGGCGTCTTCATCGTTCTCGACGTCCTCGACGAAAAAATCTCTTACTGCTAGCGCGACCACCCCAATGGCCGTTCCCCGCCTCGCGCGCCCCCTGCGGCTCGCAGGTAGCGGCGTACGACAATACACGTTCGCGCGGCATGCTTCGACGCAGGCCGCCCCCGCATCCAATGCCCTCCGCACGGGCGCCTATGCGACTGCTGTCGCCCTCGGCGCGGGGCTCTTCGGCGTGTACTACTTCGACGCGCGCTCCTCGATCCACCAATACGTGGTTCCTCCACTCGTACGCACGCTGTTCGACCCGGAGACGGGCCACAAGCTCGCGGTGCAGGGTCTACGGCTCGGATTGGGCCCGAAGGATCGCGAGCCGGACGACGAGCGACTAGCTGTGGAGGCGAGTGTGTAGGACATGTGTCTGAGGGGATGCGAGCTGAATTGGATAGACAGCTCTGGGGCCAGGTGCTCAAGAACCCGGTAGGGCTTGCGGCTGGGTTTGACAAGGACGGAGAGGCGATCGACGGTGCGTGTGCGAGTCATTCCCGCGTTAATGCATACTGAACGTCTTTGCAGGCCTCCTTGACCTCGGCTTTTGCTGGGTAGAGATTGGGAGCGTCACCCCAAGACCACAGGTGCGCATCTACTCTCCCATCACTCTCCTGCCCACCTGACCTCACCATCCCCTAGCCAGGCAACCCCCGCCCGCGCTTCTTCCACCTCTCCGAAGACTCTGCCGTCATCAACCGCTACGGTTTCCCCTCTCAAGGGCACGCCTCCGTCCTCGCCCGCCTCCGCGCGCGCATCCCGACCTTCCTCCTTCCCGAGCAGCAGGAGTCTGCGGCCTTCCGCCCGGGCACTCTCCTCGCGGTCAACCTCGGCAAGAACAAGGACTCGCCGCAGGAGGCTGTGGACGACTTTGTCGCGGGCGTGCGCACGTTCGGCACCTCCGCGGACGTGCTGGTGGTCAATGTGTCGAGCCCGAATACGCCGGGATTGAGGGGCTTGCAGGAGCGCGACTTGCTGAAGAAACTTTTGTCTGGCGTATCGCAGGCGCGCAAGAAGCTCCCCGCGTCAGACTTTGTGCCCAAGGGCCCGAAGCTGCTGCTCAAGATCTCCCCCGACCTGACCCCGGAGCAAATAAAGGAAGTTGCGCAAGTCGTGCGCGCCAGTCACGTCGACGGGGTCATCGTCAGCAACACCACCATACAGCGACCGAAAGGCCTGCGCGATCGTACGTCCAGTACAATCCTCTACCATCACCGTACCTAACCACGGTGCCTGCAGCCAAACGCGACGAAGCCGGCGGCCTCTCCGGTCCCCCACTCAAACCCATTGCGCTTGCCGCCCTCCGCACGCTCCGCGGCCAGCTACCCGCCGAAATCCCCATTATCGGCTGTGGGGGCATCGCGTCCGGCGCCGACGCGCTCGAGTATGCACGCGAGGGCGCGGCGATGGTGCAGCTCTACACTGCGTTCGGGTACGACGGCGTGGGCACGGTGCGCAGGATCAAGGACGAGATCACCGAGCTCCTAGCGAAGGAGGGGCGGACGTGGATGAGCGTCGTCCGCGAGGCGGTAGCAGAGAAGAGCTGGGTGCCGCCTGCGCCGAAGCCGCGGGCGAAGCATGCGGATACGGAGGCGGGGATGCTGATTGAGGAGGCGGAGGAGCTGAAGAGGATGTTGGAGGAGTTGGAGGCGAGGTTGGGGTAGGGGTAGCTATATATATACATAGCAATCAATTGACCCTCGTGATGAAAAGCACTTTCCTTTACATGGCTAGGCATCCGCGCTCGTCGGGAGGGATACTTCTGGTGAAGAGCAAACGTGTCGTGAAGGGCATGCGAATGTACAAACAACATGAGAGCGAGACGAAGAGAGTAGGTATCATGATCAAGGTTCCATGCCATCCGAGAACTTGTATGAGGGCGTGTTCGTATGTGGCGGAGACAGTGCGTGTCCGACCGCGAGGGCCTGAGGCATTATGCGTAGGACACAGGGGTCATGATGGAGTATATGTGGATGTGCCCGTATCCTCAGGACCATCGGCGCGCCTGGGGCATAACCTGTCGGTACATATGCTGGCGATCTGCGAGCCCTTGCAACAGCTTCTTCATCGTCTTGTTCACGGGCGGTAGGTAGACGTCGAGCGTGCGCGGGGTCTGATCCTCAGCCAGACAGTTCTCAAGGGAGGAGCGCAGCTCATCTGGTATTTTGAGCAGGTCACTAGAGGCTGATTAGCGTCGCGTGAACAGATGGGGAATCTGAGTGAGGGTAGCGACCCGTGGCGACGGGGGAATGTGTAAGGTATGCAAAGGGCGATGTTTGGCGGACAGATCTCGTATAGGACAAAGTAGGAAGTACCAGCACGCACTCCATATCGATCCGCAGAGCGCGAAACTCGGTAATCGTCGTGTTGAAGTTGTTGCCAAAGTTCACGTAGGCGTCGCTCACCTGCGTCTCGTCCATGCGCTCCTCGCTCCACTGACGAAGCGCGTCGAGCAGCGCACGGACTGAGAGCAGAAGCTGGTGCACGGCGTGCCCTGCCGCCGTCTGCGCCATGCGGGCCGGCGGGAGGGTAGATGGGGGCAGGTGTAAAGAGGCGGTTTCGTGATGTGTTCCAAGCGCGCTAATCACAATCGGATATCCGGGCCGGGCCACTCATCCAGAGCATCGTACTGAGCATCTTGTCCGTTACGACCACAGTTTGCAGACCTCGGGATGACGCTCTATCAGGCATACAGTCCTGAGGAGAACGGGTCCGGAACCAGCCACGCGAATTCTAGTGACACCAATAGTACCAGCACGACAGAAAGATTGTGAGTAGGTTGCAGACATCCACTTTTGCTGATAATCGATGCCGTTCTGCAGCGCAGGCTCCGGCACAATAACACGCATCCCTGACGAAGTCCTTGCCATCGTCTTCTTTTACTACGCTGTCTCCCTGCATGACTCGTTGTATACACGCGCGTGGACGTGCACACTCCTTCGCATCAATCGACACTGGAGGGAACTCGCGCTTCACACTCCCATTCTATGGAGCTTCTTCTCTTCTTGGACCCTCGATTCCACAGATCTCGGAGAGAAACAACTACGATTATCCTATGCGCACCCCCTATCACTCAAGCTCTCGCCCGCAATATCCTCGCAAATCGACAGAGCATTCGCGATCTTGGAGCCTCACAAGGAACATGTACACGACGTCGAGGTCAATGCAGAAGCGCTGATGATAGAGTACATCTCGCTGCGCCTGCGACAAAACTGGAAGAACTTGCGGCACTTGTCCCTATGGTCGGCGAACTTTCGGCATGATATGCCTGCCCATGTCGCGCAGTACCTCATTCCTGGTCTGCGCACACTGAGGCTCATCAACGTCCGGCTGGACTGGACATTCGTTCGTCATGTCTTGCACTTGAGATTGGGAGGAAGTTCTGAGCTGGGCTCGATCACGATCAACGCTCTATCCGACGTTCTACGGTCGTGCCCCACTCTGCAGACTTTGGAGTTGTTCGATTGCGTATACAGAGGCCTTCATGAGCCGAACAAGGTGCACAGGCCCGCCGAGCTCCCCCAGCTGCGCAGGTTCTACATCCGTGCTTCTGTCGATGTCTGTGCATCCGTAATGGGCCTGATGAGCTTGCCTTCGACTGCCGCCATCCTGATTGTCGTCAATGGCACGACCGATGCCATATGCGCCCGGCCGCTGTTGGTACAATTATCCAGGCATCTGCACGCTCGAGGTCGCTCACCCCCTAAACTGCGCTCGCTGCAGTTTATCGCAACATGTCCAGTGAAAGGCTATGCAGTCAATTGCTGGATGCGCTTTATGACGGAGAGCTGCTTGCCCTTTGTATTCAACAAAGGTGCCGAAGCGATCGTCGAAACAACCCAACTGGAGCTGCGCTTGGTCATCCCCAACGCGCGAGGGCTACGCCGCGTGGTGACGAAGGCTTTGAACGTTGTGCGCGCCCCCAACGTCGAGGCCCTCGATGTGCGCTTCTCTACCTACATGCCGACGGGAACGCTTCGCGCGCTACTTCACGGGCTCGCTGCCGTCCGGTCTATCTACCTGACCTCGCGCACGGTCAGCGTCTCTGTGTTCCAATCTGTCCGGTACCTTATCGAGGATGGAAACCTGCAAGGGCCGACCTGCGCGCCGTACAAGAAGCCGCTGAGGCTGCCTACGCCGCAGCAAATCTTCTGGGATACGCGAACCTTGGGCGGCGCAGACAGGCCTGTTGCCGGTGACGCGGGCCGCGAGATAGTGAAGCTTCTGGAGGCGTACGAGAGCATGGGCATGCCCATACAACAGGTCCTCGTTTCGCAGCGCCCTGATATGTCTGCGCAGATTTTTGAAGTACGTGTCCAAGATGCGCGGCGCATACGACAAAGATGCTTATGCAAAGTGAACAGGAAATGACCATGAAGCTCGGGGACGGTTTCGTCTGTCCTGGTCTGACTTAACATTGGCAAGGATCCACGAAAGCCTTACAAATGTGTCAGATACAATACATAGTTCAAAATTCCCGCAATCAATGGTAGATCTCTCTACACGCCTCCTTCTCCTCGTCACACCTTTACCTCCTCATCGATCCAAGAAATCCCGATACGACGCCCGATAGACTATGCTGTGAGTAGTGCTGTTGCTGCTCGCCCGGAGGCGGCGGCGGGGGTGGCGGTCTGGACATGAATGAGCCGTAGAAGCTGCTCCGCTGAGGTGGTGGTGGCGGAGGGGCCGTGAAAAGGTACGGATTATTCAGCTGCGACGGCGAAGGTGACGGCTGGTGAGGATGTACTTGGTGGGAGTGGACGCGAGGGGAGTGTTTCGGTGGCGATTGCTTGGGCGGCGATTGTGCTGGTTTGGACTGCCTTGCAGGCGATTTCGAGCGCGGGCGTCGGAGTTTGGCTGAACGGTCGAGATGTCAGTGTGATCGTCTGGTAGTGATTGTTCGAATTCTACGAACCCGCATCCTTGCTCTTGGCTTCAGCACTCGACGAGGAAGGGACAGGCGGGGGAGCCGAGCGTCGTTTGCTGTCGTCCTTGTCTTTCACCGAAGCCTTCGGCTGAAGCTCGGGCATAGGTATCTTGCTCAGGTGGACGCTGAGGCTGTTCGGAGGGGTGTACTTAGCCTTCGCAGGATCTTCGTCGTCCAAATTGATTCTGCGAGGTCCCTTCGCCTTAACGGTGTCGTATACAACATATTGATGCAGCTCATCTTCATCGTAGATGCCTAAGGGGTATTAGCAAGGGATCAAGTACGAACTGAAGCGATGAACTGCACCGGCTTTATGTCGTATGCGCTTAGTCTCCTCGACGACCTGCAACACCTTCGGCACCTGGCTTGCCTCTGATGAACGAATAGTGATGAATAGCATAGCTTCGTCCTGTGGTCAAAGATTAGTCTACAATGGTATGGAGTGGCACAAGTAACCACTCACAGCCAGCAGGTTGGCGGAATATCGCGCATAGTCTTCGAAGCTGCCCTCATCCTCCACGGTCACTTCATTCAGCTCCCCACGTATAGCTTGCAGCTCCGCTATCCGGTCGACACCACTCTTGGGTTCAGGTCGTGGAGGGGGCGGGGGAGGTGGTGCGGATGTCTCGATTGGTGTGGGACCGGAGGACTGGCGGGACGGAGTGGGGGGTGCATGATATGTGTCGTTGGCATCTTGGAAGGTGAGGAGAGCGGTGAGAATGACTATCTCCAGCCCCTTCCTGTCTTCCACGTCGAAGCTATGCAATGTCGCATTTAGCGCCCAGCGACCATACTTCTCGAAGAAGGGAAACGCACCGGTTGATGTTGTAGTCCAGAATCTGCACTGTCTTCGTCTTAATCCTGCCAGCAGGTTCCTTCGTGATCGCCACCAGCACAGGCGGATCTGGTTTCCTCAGCATATAGCACTCTTCGCGCTTCCATTCGAATTCGTGGCTGTTGAATGCCACCGTCGTCAGCGTGTTCGTCCTCCACTCTACGGGAATACGACGCACTCACTCTTCCCACTTGAACGACCATCGGAAGCTCAGCGTACCCGTGTACTTGAGCTCTACGATGCTTGTTGGGTTGCAGAGCTCGAGGACCTTCGTCTTGCTCGTAGTCGCCGGAGCGCTGACCTTGACAAGCAGGGACTCGGACATGGGATCTGCGACGCAGCTGTAGCTCACACCGAGCATCGACATTGAGCACGCAGACGAACCATACACCTCGACCGCATACGTCGACCCCGGGATGCGCTGCTTGCGATAGTGGATCGTCCCCGCGGGGTCAACGAGATCGGTCACATTGGGCGCATCCTTGTTCGGTGTGAAGAGTAGCGTGAAGAGGTTCTTATCCAAGCTCATGATAGGGCGGGAAACCTCGTCAACGACAGCGACGAAGGACACGTAGAGGGCAGCACAGGAGTCGGCGACAGAGGGAACGAGCCCGAGGCTGCAGCGCCACCGTCAACGACGACCGGCATCAGATCCGAATCACCGGATTTGTGCCTGCCTTTATGTGTCCGGAAGTGGAAGGTATTGTACTGAGAGGTTGGTGAGGGTTGGTGCCACAGATGGCGCATGGAAGATATCCAAGGTTTGCTGGGAGATGAGATGGAATGAATCAGATATGCTACTGCTTCTGCCCGAAGCCCCTCAGCACCCCCTGCAGACCTGTAGCTACAACTCCCGGGATTCCACCACCTAGCGTGCGTGCCACCCCAACAGCCGTACTCAGATTCTCCAAGCCCGAGGCCACGACACCCCACGCAGTTGCCGCAGGATTTGCCTCTGTGGGCCTGGGCCTCGGCGACGAACCTGCTGAGAGCATCATCGCCGCCTTGATGGTGTCCAGCTCGTTTAGCACCTCCACACCGACCGAGCGCGCCCAGACGACAGGGGCGAGGTCCGTAGTGTAGATCTTGTGAAGCTTGTCCATGGCAGACATGAGCTTGTGGTTCTCAAAGTAGCGCTCCTGCGCGTAAGGGAGAAGGGATGTATAGGAACCTGCAATCATTTGTAAGCGCCTGCAATGAGCTCACAGCGAGCTTACGCACCAATATCGCCACCAACAGAGACAGCGCGTTCTATGACACGCGCAAGGCACGCAACATCTGCTAGCCCGAGGTTTAATCCCTGCCCAGCAAGGGGGTGCACGCGATGGGCCGCGTCGCCGACCAAGACAGTGCGCGCTCCAGCACCCTCGCCGAGGTAAGTCTGCGCATGGCGGAAGATCAAGGGGAACGATGCAACGGTGCCAGGCTGTATGCTCGTCACTGGCGGCGGCACCATCTCCGCGTCCGCAGGCGGCATAGTCCCCTCAGTCGTCACCACCGCCGACGAGAACGCCGAGTGCTGGTCAATTGCATGCGACCTCTCACGCCACGCAATCTCCTCCGCGATCTGGTTTACGGTAAGCGGCGTGTCAGCATTGAACGCCTCCACGACGCGCGTCGCCAGGTAGTCCATCGAGAGAGCAGGCAAGCGGAATGCCGCGTTGATCATATGCCCGAGGGCCTGGGGGTCGCCTTTCGTGAGCGCGCTAGCGATGTGGGGGCGGGTGGACCAGACGAGGGTGGAGGCGGTGGGGGAGAGTGGGAGGAAGGCGATGGGTCCAGTGGGCAGGAAACGCTGATATGCGGTGGTGTTGGGGGGCTGGTATGCGCCGCGCGGGGGGTGGAAGAGGGTGGCGACGATGGCTTGGGTGTCGTACGACCAGCCGAAGGTGTCAATGCCAGCAAAGTTGCGGACGGGAGAGTTCATGCCGTCGGCGCCAATCTGCATGCGCGTAAGACTTATTTGTGGGCAAAGAAGGGTGGACACACCAAGAGCCTGGCGCGGATAGAGCGTCCATTGTCGAGGTGGAGTATCGGCCAGCTGCCGGTAGCACCCTCGTCGGGGGTGATGGTTTGCACCTTCGTCTTATCCAAAAGCTGAATGTCGGGGAAAGTGTCGAGATGGCGCAAGAGTCCGCGTTGCAGGTTCAGGTTCTCGATGATGCGGGACATACCCTGCAAGTCGCACTCGCTCGCGTCGTTGTAGAGGTCAGTGACGGAGAATTGTATCCTGGCGTCCGAAATGCCATCCCAAACCTGCGCGACGTTGGTTCAAGGGGAACCGAAGTGCTGTGGATTCAAGGTGCGAACCTGAAGTTCCTCGACAGGACAAGTACGCTGCTCGTCGACATGAGAGTACGCGCCGATGTCTAAGTGTAGGTGTAAGATTTGGAATAACCGAGAGTACATAATCTACGCACCTCGAAGGAACCGTGTCGAATCGTTCGTCAACGAAACGCAGCGGTTGGAATAGCCCTCAGGCTGGGTCCAGGCTCGGACTTTGGACAGGTCCCCTGCCTCGACGAGTGTTATACGCAGCTTCTCGCGCACATTCCTACAGGATGCTGCATGTCGTATGGGGTCAGTAGTGCGTCGCACGCGTTTCCGACGGACGCACCTAACGCGCTTGCAAGCGCGAGACCCGCAGGCCCGCCTCCGACGATGACCACATCAGAGTGCTCCGGCGCCACGGTCGACGCGCATCTGAGCGAGAGTAGGTTATGCCTTGCGGCCCGTGTTGTCAATCGCGCGCAGTGGCGCGTGAGGGTCAACGACATGAACGCCCGGAACAAAGTAGGGATCACGCCGCGTCTATTGTTCTCTCGGAATGGAGGTAATTGTTACCTGCATTCATCTTGTTTCTTACGCCCATCGACCTCACGCCACTGTACGACACTCTCCTCGCATGAACCTCTGATACACTACACGAACATCGTCTTCTACTACACCCAACGACTATGGCTGCAGCTGCTGGCCCCGCCTCCGCCGCGCAGGCGATCGGGGAGTACCTGCAGTCTCCTGACGATCTGGCCAAGGTCTCCGCATACCGGAAGAAACTCGAGAAGGAGAAGGCCTCTATAGACGCACGACTACGAACAGGAGTGAAGGAGCAGCTTACTGCGACGCGAGAAGGGCTCCGAAAGCTGCTGAACACGCGGAAGAATGTGCAGACCATCCGCGATGAGATGGTGCAGATAGACCGGGAGTGCAACGATCCCCAGAACCATGTTGCAACATTCGACCAGATCAGCAGAGTACGTGGCATCTTCTACATACCTATAGAGGTACTGACCGCACCTAGGTGTCCATGGTACACAGAAACTTCGAGCAGACGGAGGAGATGGTGCAGAACCTCCTCGAGATGAACTCGCGACTGGACATGCTCGAGAACATGCTCGAGGAGGACAGCCAGGACATCCTCGGACCCGCCCCCAACCTCCTCGTCATCCACTTCCAGCTCAAACAGCTCGAAGACTTCCGCAATGAGACTATGCACCAGGCGAAGAAGGCGTCGGCGCAGTCGCGTGCGACCCTCTCGCAGTGGTTCGAGCGCTTGAACGGCGTGATCGACGCGTTCGACCAGTACATCATTGGCCTCGCGTCGAACGTGCTGAGCATCGTGCGCGCGGGGAACCCGGACGTCGTCGTGAAGCTCATCAAGATCGCCGAGACGGAGGGCAGGGAGGACGAGAAGGTGCGCGGGCCGCGGAGTGTTCGCCTCATAGCCTCACGTCGCCGCCGCTTGCAGGCTATCGCTATCCGGCTGGTGAAGAAGGCCGCGAAGATGGACGCCGCGTCGAAATTCAAGTCGATGCAAGCCAATGCCCGTGTCATCAAGCACTACCGGTCGAAAATTATGAAAGCCATCTCGGACTCCATTCAGGCGACCTTCAGCGACGCGTATGAGCAGTACGCGAACGACCCCGTCGGTTTCTTGAACGACATTGGTTGGATGTACCAGGACATCATTCGCATAGAAAGCGATGTCGTGCCGTGCTTCCCGCCCAGCTACGAGGTGTACTCATTCTACATTCGCGAGTACCACAAAGCCCTTAACAACACCCTGAAGAGGCTTGTCGCCTCCGACCCCGGCGCCAGCGTCCTTCTCGAGCTCTTCAACTGGATCAAGAGCTATAAGGCCGACATGAAGGAACTGAACATCCCGCCAGAGCTGATGGAGCCGCCACTCTTGGATGGCAAGGAGCAGGACCTCATCGAGGACTACGTCCAGCTCATCATCAAGAAGCTCGACGAGTGGTCCGCCAACCTGATGAAGACCGAGGTCGGCGAGTTCACCACGCGCGCAGAGCCTCCAGAAATCGACAGCGACGGCCTCTACGGCATGCAGGGCGCGGTCATCCTCTTCCAAATGGTCAACCAGCAGATCGACCTCGCTACGGAGAGTGGCCAGGGCGCGATTCTCGCGCGTGTCGTCGCGGAGACGAATCGCGTGATGCGAGGGATCCAGGAGACGTGGGTGCGCACCGTTGAGGCCGAGTTCAAGAAGCAGACGGAGAAGCCGGAGGAGGTTGCATCTGGTCTGATGGAGTACTGCATCGCGCTCGCCAACGACCAAATCAAGAGCGCGGACTACACGGAGGCGCTGCTCGCGCGCGTCGAGCCCTTGGTATCCGAGAAGTACCGAGTGCCGATCAGCGAGCACTTGAACAGCGCGTTCGACGGGTACCTCGATGTCGCGCGGAAGTGCACGCAGACGCTCATCGACATGATGTTCAACGACTTGCGGCCGGCGACGAAGACCCTGTTCCAGCAGGCCTGGTACGAGGGCGACGTCATGGCGCAGATCGTGGCTACATTGCGAGACTACATGGAGGACTTCCAGTCCTACCTGAACCCATCCTTACTCGACCTCCTGATCGACGACCTCATCGAATCCTTCCTCGTTACCTACCTCACCGCGCTCGCGAACGCCTCGAAGCTCAAGATGCCCAGCGCGGCAAACAAGATCGGGGACGACATCGAGGCGGTGTTCTCGTTCTTCTCCGGGTACAAGAAGCGTGAGGAGCTCGAGGCGGCGTTCGATATCATGAACCTCGTGCTCGCGATGCTCGAGGCATCGAAGGACCTCATCTTCTTGTCGTTCTTCGAGTTCGCGAAGATACACGGGCCGAACCTGCAGTTCGTGGAGGGATTGGTGAAGGCACGGAACGACCTGGACCGCTCGGCGGTGAGCGAGGTCATGGACAGCATCAAGCGGAAAGCGAACTCAGAAGATCTGACAGAACGTGAGTATCCTCATGGCATGCAATGTCGGTCATGACTGAAGATGTTTTTGCAGCACCTGCACCTACGATAATGAAGAAGATCTCTGTCCAGAGTAGCTTCTCCCGCTTCCTTCAGCGCGCCACGTAGGCGTGCGGAAGTACGCCGTGGCTGCGCGCTGCCCATATCACACTGCATGCCAGGCGCGGTCTTCGCCAGCTTGTACCATCATCGCATTGTATCCTTATTTGCACTATTCACGATCGATTCACGACTTTGGAAAGGACGGCATTTGCATGTATCGCGAGAACTCAACTTGATCGTTGACGAAAGCATTTCTCTACCTGGTCACGCAGAGGTATATATACCGTGGTGTGCTGCTAATCTGCTGTCACTCCTCCAGCGGGCGATAGTACCGGAGGTCCCTCTCGTACTTCCATACGTCCTTTCCAACAAATCGTCGCACGAGATTAAGAGCGATAAATCCGACCGCGCCCGTCTCGTCCTGTGACCACTTGGCTTCGATCCACTCGTCTTCGCTCTCGTCCGCCTGCCGCAAACGGCATTGCCCGAGGTCTATCAGGACCACTGCGCCGTCTAGTGTGGCGGTATCTCCAGACTGAGCGTACGAGGTCAAGAATTCCTGACGGATGAGAAAGTTGTCCACCCGCACGTCCTCGTTGAGCACCTCGAAGTCGGAGACGCGATCGACGACCCTTACCGCCTCAGCACATACGGCAGCCAGGATGGAGTCAGGCAATGGTGGGTCGCGCGTCCTCCAGGTGGTTATGAGCTGACGGAGAGAGAGCGACGAGACGTATTCGAGTAGAAGCCCCGGGACCATTTCCGTGACCGTTCCGCTGCCGTCGCGGACGTTGGGAATGACAGCTTCGTATTCGACGGCTCCATACAGCGTCGGCAATATCTTCCCTTGTAGCTCCTGCAGGCGCTCGTATGCGGATCTCTCGGCGTCAAACGTTCTCTGCGCCATATATCGGAGATATGCCTCGAACTCGCCATCCGAGACGTCGTTGTCATAGAAGAAGGTCGGGCTCCCGAAGTCGAGGGGTGTTGCAGAACCGTTAGAGACATCGTCGAGGTACTGTCTGTATTCCTTTTCCTTTTCGAGGGACCACGGCTTGCCTTCGTCGAAGTCTGTGCGAATATTGGTGAAGCAGCGTCGATCGTAGAGTTTGAAAATGGCGGTCGAAGGAAGAGGCGGCCCATTTTCCAAGGACGCTGCAGGTGGGGGGATGGAGACGAGGAGGACGGGAGACATGGTGAACGGGCGATATGCCTCTACAATTTTGCCCGTAATAGAGGTTCTCCCCGCAAGAGTTGGGTTTGAATCTTTCAAGAACAATTGCAGCTCCTTCCCCTCAGAGTATTCAGGAAAGGGATCCCTAATAAACTCTGTGAATGAGGTCGATACAACGGTCGTCGATTCAACTTACGGCTGAGCCGCGTCAGGAGCCATAGCTAGTGAATAAGAGATAGCGTGGGGCAGGTGGAAGCCCTGCACATGTGAGGACAATGACCCAGATTTCGGGAAAGACGTACACACGTACTGCCGCTCAAAGGTTGGGGCACTCGCCTGGTTAAGGACAAGTTGCAGGCGACATGTCACACACACATGCAGCAACTTACGTAAGTTCAACCGTGACATGGGACTATCTATATAAGGTAAGCGGTGACTGTCGGCCTGTCACAGTGACACAGATAGTGCCCCTATCCCCTCCTACGCTCCCTCCACCATCGAGACTTAAGGCATGGCCACTCCTCGCAGCTTCCAATCATCCAAGAAGGAGCTGAACGCTATTGTCATTGAATTTGCAAAGTTTCAACCCGCAGACTTTGAACGCACCGACTCGCCGCGCTTGCGACCGTTGCTCAAGAGGCTCGACGTGCTGCTACGCCACGGCTTCCCATTCGCTGAATTCGACAAAGGACCGCCAACGCGCAAAATTGGAGACCGCCGTCTGCTCTCTCTGACTGACCCTCAGATTGACAAGGCGATGGATTCTCTTCTTTGCTTCGCCGCAATATGTGGAGATCTTGGCAGCTTCCCCTTCATTCCAGCGGCCAGCGGGGTGTACGGTCACCTTCGCACTTACATTCCTGCCGTGCTCGATTGGATGGAATTATTGCACCCGATGAACGGTCACCTACAACCCGCCTCAGGCGCGAACGGTTATCAGGATCTTTGCCGTCTTATATCGGCGCTACTGCACGCCGTCTGCCTTCCGGGCATGTACGGTGGCCGCGAACAGATGTACGAATACATCTTCACTACTTCCATCATAACTTATTTGGTCGACATGTGGCTCAACCTCTTCCGGTATACCGCCGATCCGACATGGGACGCGGTGATGAGGCTCGTGAAGCTCATGTACGACCTCGCAGAAAATATCTACGCGGAGAATGGGCCGTCGCGCGTCGCCAGCGAGCTCATTCTCAGCACAGTGCGCCAGAGGATACATAACAAACGGCGGCGCCTTTGCCATGTCATCTCAAGCTACGGCCTTTACCTCAAGGATGTGACGCGATTCCGCTATGTCTCCCTGCACCTCCTCGCTCTGGCCAGTATCTTGACGCGCGCCCCTGAACTTCAAGTTTCTGCCTGCCCTCGGGAAGACACACGCATCCTCGTCCATCTTCTGGATCACCACATCACCACCTGCAATTGGCCGGCGCTGATGATGGGATGCACCTACCTCAGCAACCTTTGGATATCTTCACTCAACAACAAGGCGGTCGAGTGGGCGATCAATGACGGCATCATCGCCACGGTTCTGAATGCCCTGAAACATTGCGACTATCAGAGTGCTCTGAAGTCCGTGCAGGATGTCGTCCGTCGCATCACAGATGAGTTCAACTCCTGGCGGATACTACGCGCCTTCCACCAAAAAACGACGGACCTCATACCCGAGCTAGAGCGAGCGAGCGAGCGACACCTGGTCATAGTCGAATGCCTGACTGCCTATTGCGAACGCGCGCCCGCTCTCGACTATGCGAGGGTGGTTTTTAAGGAAGGCAGAGAAAAATGCTCGTACTCGGAGGTTCAATCTGTTTCTCCTCGTCGTTAAAGCCTCCGTACTCACAATTGCTTCGTCAGTGCGCCCAGTCATTGACTGAACCCGGGATTAAAACATTGGCGTGCCAAGGCAGAGATGCCTGGTACTGCTCGGAGCGGTGCCAAAGGGCCCACTGGAAGGAAAAGCATCGCCGAACTTGCTACTTCGGGACCGTCAGTGAGTTATCAGCTAATGGCGAGTGGATTGGGATATGCTGACCTATTCACGCAGCTCGGATGTCCCAGCGTGATTGGCGCTTCATCTGCGTGCTCGCCGTCGCTCACATGCAGAGAAACATACGCTCCATCGTTGAGGAGGCCCTAGTCTTGGACCCAAACCGCTGCCATCGAATGGCACTGCATGTCGATCTTCGAGAACCGGCAATCACGCACAGGGTGGCAGTCGTTGAGGTGAAGGCGCCCGAAGATGCCTGGACGACCAGACTCGTCATACAATGGCGAGAGTGGGGAAGAGATTCGATTGAAGACGTGGATACTGCATTCCCATTGGACGTGATGCTCGAGGACTACGAGAAAGATGTGGCGGACGCAGAAGACAGAGTAACTTCGGGGCTCGCGATCATGGACACGTAGCTATGGCTTTCTGTCACTGATCGCTCCTTCGCACAAGTCTAGCATGTTTACTGCCTATCTTCATGTAATATATTGCTTTTCCATCATTGCACGACTATCGGTCGTGCACGAGAACATTGGGAGGAGGAATATCGACGTTATCCTTCCCAGGCTGACTTTCATGCTTCTCCATACCCATCCTCTTGCTCAAAACCTTCCCCAATAAACTGACCCGCCCTTCGCATACATCTTCCGCGGGTCGCACGCCACAACCTCAGGGACCTCGTACGCGGCAAACCGTCCGCCCTTGTCGTGCTTCTCTTTGAAGACGTTTCGAGGAGCTTTCGGGTACCAGGTCAGTATGCGAGACGCTACTCAGCATGCGGCTCTCAAGCATAGACCACATCCGAACTTCCAAAGCCCATCACATCACAATCTTATCTCTCGAAGTGATGAGGACCGGGCTGCCGGCTTCTTGGCGGTTTCTTCGTCGCGTCCAACGTCGCGGACGTCGTCTCCCTCTCACCAGCAACCGCTGGCCCTCCCTTCACGGCCACGGGCACCTGCTACCATACGACACAAGCACCCAGGTCACCTGGACGGCAAACCACAGCTAGCAGCTGTCACCAGTGCTTCGATCGATACTAGCCAACTCGCGTGATCTTGCGCACAAGCGCCCCTGCCCTTGGCCCTTCCCGCACTCATCTGCCGTCCACCTCTCTCCACATCGCGCCCTCGGCACATCTTCATCCTATTCTCAGCTCCTTTACATCGTACCGCACCTTGCTCTACACCCCTCCCACCATGCCCTCCTGCTTCGGCGCGCTCCCCAATCCCCTCCGCGGCCTCAAGTACGCGATCCGGCCGACGCAGAAGCTCTTGCAGCATGAGAAGTACGGCGGAGACGGTGGAGATGGAAGGAAAGGAAATACTAGTGGACACTCAACGGAGGATGATCACTCGCCGGTAAGGGAGAAGGACCCGGTCGCGTATCGAGCACTCGCTTCATCAGCGTACCAGCCGGTCCCCACTACGTCGGCGGATGCAAGGCGCGCCACGGACGCAAGTCGTCCCACGGATGCGAATGCAAGTCATCCCACGAATGCGGATGCAAGTCACCCCACGTACAACGGCGCAAGTCACCGGACCGTCGCTGGCAAGCCCGTCGAGGTGATCACTGTGCCGGAGAACATGCCCGACGTCGACCCCGAGGCAGAGGCGAAGGAGGTCGCGGATGCGCTCACGCGGCTTGTCGACCTGTCCGCGGCTTTCAATCGACCAGGAGCTGTAGATTCGGCTCTACCCTCCGCTTCAGCAGACTCGGACGCCCTTTCAGCTTCAACCTCAGCGGACGCCTCAACCTCAACTCTCCCCACACCCACCCTCGCCACCGATGACCACTCCGCCGTCCCCATCCTCGCCGTCGACACCATCTTCGCCACCACCGCGGACCTCGAGACGATCCAGGCCCTGCGCATACCGTGGTTGGAGCGCCTCGCGGCGAGATATCATGTCGGGAACTATGTGATCGTGCGCGAGTCGGGCGAAAGGGTGTTTGAGTATATGCCGTTGTATGCTAGGTGCGTTGAGGGAGGTGCACGGTTGAGCTATGTCCGTTCACACAATGCTCACGCGACCCCGCTACCCACCTACCAAGGATCGGCATGCACCTGCTCTTCTACGGCGCGCTCCAGAAGAAGATGCTCCAGATGGACTGGCTACAGAATCTGCTTAAGGAGCAGTCCATCAAGGTAAGCTCCCTTCCCTTTCACCACACGTCTCACTCCCGTCAAACTGACCACGCCCCCCCCCCCTTTCCCTAACGTTTACTCCCTCCGTCCACTCGCCACATTCGTGACCCCATTTGACATTCATGCGTCACCTCTCCCTCCCCTAACATACCTTCCACCTATACTTACCACACCTCCCGTTCCCCAGCAAGGCCAGACCTACGACTCCCCCGCCTCCACGCACGCCATCCCGGGCTTCATTCAGACGTACAAGATCGACACGGGGGAGCTGCTAGAGCAGGATCTGAGCAAGTACGGTTGCTTTAATGAGTTCTTCTACAGGTGTGATTATATGCCACGTACCTGACTCCCTCACTCACATCCAGCCATCATAGGCGACTCCGCCCCGACGCGCGCCCCGTGCAGAACGCGGCAGATGAGCGCGGCCTGTGCAGCGTGGCCGACTCGCGGCTAGCGGTGTACGACGACGTGGATCTGGCGACTGAGTTTTGGTGAGTGGCAGCGTTGTTTACAATGTGTATTACTTCCGAGCTGCATATCCCCCTTACACTCCGCCCTTTCTCCCGTGCGCCCATATTTGCTGCTACGATAGGCGCATACCCCACTCCCCTTGTATGGCACCACTAACCTCCCCTTTCTCCCCAGGATCAAAGGCCGCAACTTCACGATTCCCCAGCTCCTCAACGTCCCTGCCTCCAGCGCCGCGGCCCGCGCCTACGACGGCGGGTCGGTGGCCATCTTTCGCCTGGCGCCGTCGGACTACCATCGGTTCCATAGCCCGATCGATGGGGAGGTGCGGCGGATTGAGGATGTGGAGGGGGAGTATTTTACGGGTGAGTGGGATGGGTTGGGTGGTTTTGTGGTAGAGGGTTACTGTGAGAAGCTCATGAACACTATTTCAGTAAACCCCCAAGCGATCAATCAGCCCGGGCTCGACATCCTCACAGCGAACGTCCGGTCAGTTTTGCATATGCGGGAAGCGCACTCGGGCGCGGCGGTCGCGCTGGTCGCCGTCGGTGCGCTGCTTGTAGGTAGCATTAGATGGACCGTGGGTGGGGACGGGGGTGAGGAGGAGGGTCATGATGGGGATACCTACAGCGGCAAGCAAGTTCATCGTGGGGACGAGCTGGGCTACTTCGCGTACGGCGGGAGCACCGTGATTGCGCTCTTCCCGCGCGGTGCGGTCGCGTACGATCAGGACCTGCTGGATAACTCGCGCGTGCCGATGGAGACGCTGGTTAAGGTGAGTTCCTCTTGGGGGGGCGGTTCTGGTGATGCCTGTCGTTTCTGCTGATGCCTCTCGGTCTTGTGTCACGATTACTCTACACGATACGCTTCTCCCGTTCTGGTCCCGAGATGACTACAGTGCACTTACTGACGGGCGCCCACAGGTCGGGTGGTCAATTGGGCGGATACCGAATGAATGGACGCCGGAGCCGGAGCAGCTGGGGTGAAGATGTCCATCGTAGGATGCTTAGACGTCCATCGCTTCAACACTATATCACGACTATGACGACTGATAACTAATGGATTGAACTCGCATACTAACAACTTTCGAGTAGATATTGGATAAGGGAACTGCTTTATGCAGATGCCAAAGACAACGCTCGAGCGTTCGCATCTAGTCAGAAGTCCTCTGAGAGGGAGGACCGGCCTCAGAAACGATTGTTGTGGGTCCATGTCACGGCTTCAACGTGCTCGTGCGGCTCGGCACGTGCGTTCCCGCGGGATTTATCCCCGGATCCGCATTCCGATCTCTGTTTGCTATCCCTCCGGTGCCGGTTATGTTTCTGCTGAATTTCCCATTCTTCTTGAGTCCTCTTGTGTCAATACCGTCTTTGACTCGAGCGCGCTCCCGTCCTCGCAGAATTCTGGACCATGTACCGAGGTGCAGCAGCCAAGAGCTTCCGCGAATTGGGCTCGGGAGTGCGCACTGATCAGGCGCTCACCAGCTCGCCATAGTCGAGGTGGGTTCGCATGCGCGGCTGTGTATGAGATTGGGAAACCCCGATATAGCATGGGGACGCGCACCCTTTATAAGAGGACGTGTCTTGCGTCCTCCTCCCATCCGTCCCACTTCTCAACCATATACACTTGACACCCCCATCATGTCCGAAACCCCCTTCAAGATCGCCATCCCCGACGACCGCCTCGCGCTCCTCCAAAAGAAGCTCGAGCTCACCATCTTCCCCGACGAGCTCGAGGACGCGGGCCGCGACTACGGCTCCCCGCTCGCCGACATCAAGCGCCTCGCCGCGCACTGGCGCAGCGGGTTCGACTGGCGCAAGCAGGAGGCCGCGCTCAACGCGGACCTCCCCCAGTTCACGCGCGACATCGCCGTCGACGGACACGGGACGCTCAACGTGCACTACGTGCATGTCAGGAGCGCCAAGGCTGGCGCGATTCCGCTCCTGTTCGTGCATGGCTGTGCGTGTCGTGATTGGCATTAATCTCCATACTTCTATCCATCCAACGCTCGAGTTGTGGAAGTGAATCCTGGGTCGGGGTGGACGCTTATCGATTGCTATCCACAGGGCCGGGTAGCTTCATCGAGGCACGGAAGATCGCGCCGCTTCTGGCGGAGGGCGCGGAGGGCCAGCCGAGCTTCCACGTCGTCGCGCTCAGCCTTCCCGGCTTTGGCTTCTCGGAGCAGCCGCATAAGAGGGGATTTGCCATCCCTCAGTACGGCGAGGTGAGAGTCAGCGTAATTACGCTTGGAAGAAGCTGAGGCTTTGTCAGGTCGCTCACAAACTGATGCTGGCGCTTGGGTACGAGACGTATGGTGCGTTTTGTTCGACCATAGACAGTGTCCGGCTTGTTGACAACCGTCTGTTTAGTCACTCAGGGAGGCGACTGGGGTGCTGGGGTGCGTCCCTACTTCCTCAACTGTATTCGAGAAGGCTTCTGAGGTCTGTCTGACCGTCCAGATCACACGCTACATGTCGCTAGCCTACGGCGTCAAGCACGTCAAGGCGTGGCACACTAACATGCCTACGTAAGTGTCCAGATGCGTCGCTCCTTTCATTCCTTAGCACAGCGGCACGCCTGCAGTATACTCTCTCACAGCTCATGGCTTACTAACTATGACCAGTTCCTTCGGCCCCGATCCCCCCAACGTCCAGCTTACGCCCGAAGAGCAGGAACAGGCCAAGTTGGGCGTGCAATGGCGCGAGAAGGAGGGCGCGTATCTGCGGCTACAGTCGAGTGAGTTCCTTTGCCTACCTGCATTCATGGTGCTTGCTTTCTCTCGCCCTGAGGCCTCGCTTTCCCGAATTCCACTCATTCCCCCGGTTTTGCGATCTTCGTCTCTCCGATATAAGCTTCTCCTTTTTTTCCAAACCGGGAGCTAACGCCCGCCATGTCCAGCCAAGCCGCAGACCCTCGGCTACGGCATGACCGACTCGCCCGTCGGGCTGTTGGCGTGGATCTACGAGAAGCTGGTGTCGTGGACGCACAACTATCCGTGGACGGATGATGAAGGTAAGTCTAATGGGCCGTCGTACTTACCCGATGTGCCGTCGTACTTGGCCGATGTGTTCGCCTGCGCCCGCTCGCCCAAGTACCCACACACCACCATGCTAACCCTCCTGACCACCATCCTGACCATCATCCTGACCACCATACTAACCCCCCACCCAGTCCTCACCTGGATCTCCATCTACTGGTTTTCCCGCGCCGGCCCCACCGCGTCCTTCCGCATCTACTACGAGTCCTTCTCCGCGATCGCGAAGGCGGCCGCGGCGGGGCAGGCTCTCCCGCCGCCGAGCTCGATCCCGCTGGGCTTTACGATCTTGCCGGGCGAGATTGTGATTTCGCCGAAGCCGTGAGTGTTTCTTTGCTTTGCGTTGTTTTCTATGTGGTGCAGAGACTGGGGGTTGCGCGGAAGGGATTGTGTCCTGCGAGGGCGTGAGGGCGTGGCTTGTACCTCCACGCCGCAGCCCGTTATCTCTACGTTGCGGCCCCTACGCCTAGCTACCTCCTACTTGCTCACCCCCTCCCCAGTATCCGCGACCTCCTCGGCAACGTCGTCTTCGAGGAGAAGCACGACAAGGGCGGGCACTTCGCCGCGTACGAGGTCCCTGAGATCCTCGTGGGCGACCTGCGGAAGATGTACGCGAAGGGCGGACCGGCGTATGGGGTGGTGGAGGGGAAGGATGGGTATTGAGTATGGTGGGATGAAGAATGAAGAACGTAGCAATGTGTATGTGTGTTCAGAGTTCCGGCTTCGACACCTCACTAATCAGTCTTGTACTTTCAGATGTAACCATGTAGAATAGCTCGACGAATCAGGAAGTTTGCTTGGTCAGAGTCGTTGGGCTTCATGCTCTGGGTGCAGCATGAACAAGGAAGCCTCTGGGCCGGAACGCCACGCAGCCCTCTCCATGTCGATTGTGTGAAAGTACGCTAAATTCGGTCCCATAAGCGGGTAAATTTCAGCCGCTGCTTGAACATGTAAATGGTCACGCACCCACGCTGACAGACTCACTCTTCTTCCTCGCGTTCACTGAGGAAGTCACCCGCTCAACATCACATGTACATTTCTCAGTCGGTGATTGTTTGGCTTACAAAGACTATGGCCCAGCCCTTGTAGCGTACTATATAACCCTTGCTTGCCTTGAGCACGAAGCACAGACAACCACTCACCGCGCTCTGAACTCACACCATGTCTACCACAGTACATCCCTTTCGCACCAACCCTCCGCTGCGCAAGGGCCTCGTCAACGTGCCCGGCGTTACGCCCTCCGCTGCCAAAGCCACTCAAGAGAATCTACTGGCCGACTACGAGAAGCATCACTGCTACTTCAACAACAAGGGGTTCCATAACCATCTTTCGCACCAGTAAGGATCCATTCTCCTCGCGCGTTTGTTATCTCGTCCCTCTCCGCGCCGTGCCGATGGTCATGTCGCCCGCTTCCTGTGTGGCGTTCGCTCATCCATATTCAGCCTTCTTTCCGCCTACGACCTGGGCGCGTCGGCAAGCCTACTGCAAGACATCTACGAGGTGGAGTCTGCGTCGCAGCGTCCCCTTGTTCAAGCGCCCGAGGATAAGATCCCACCACTGACAGAGGAGAATTGGACGTCTGCACTTGGGCAGGAAGAGTACGTCCCAGAATGATCAGGAGTGGAGTTGGAGGCCACTTCTCACGTCAACTTACAGAGCCTACGCCACATACCTAAAGTTCTTCGGCGAGCAAATCTCACTGCATGGCGCGCAATCGACAATCGAGCGCTACATATTCTCCCCTGCGGCGAACGGGAACGGGACGGTGATGCTGGCGCGGTTCGTGAGCGGGTTGTAAGTGTTGGATATGATTGGGCCTACGTACCGGGAGACTGACGCGCGCATCGAAGACTGCATCCATGGATTCAAACTGGCGTAAGGTGTACCTGCAGCTTGCCGAATGATGCTCACAGCGCCCTCAGTTCGGCGTCGAGTTCAAGCAGGACTACCTCACGGCTATGGGACTTGCTCTCGCAGCCGTTCATGTCCCTGACTGTCCGGTCGAATATCTCGCCGACTTACCCTCCGGCGACCCCAGCGTGTCATTCACCACTAAGCCATCAGCGACGCTTAACGAACTCTTCAACGACCTGTATGCCTCCGACGTCCTGAATCCGGGACCACATAACAAAGACCCAACATACGTCGCGACACTGCAGCGCATCGACGAGTTCTTCTCGGACTCAGTGCGCTCGCGCGCCATCCTCGACCTTGCCAATCGCTGGACCTTCCCTTTGACGGAGGACGCCGCCGCCTTCACCTCTGATCTCCAGCACAAGATGAAGGAGGTCATCGTGCAGGGGACGCTCCTGCTCGCAGGCACCGGCCTTCGGCGCGATGCCCAAGGCCGCCCACCTCTGGTCGACTTCCACCTCATGCACCTGGTGACGGCGGGAACATTCATTCGGCCACTCCTCGCTGTCGCGCGCGAGCCGATGTACCAAGCGCGCCTCTTGCACATCCTTGTGCGCATGATGCTGGTGACAACGATCATGCGGGGGCGCCCGAGGCCGGATATCGAGGCGCTGTACGCAAGGCCTGCGACGCTGGACTATGAGGACGATAAGTTGCTCGGTGGTCCCCGTTCTGACGCGAATGGCACGGTGAAGGTGCACGACTCATGCTTGCCCTCACCAGGCGGGTGGCCCACGATCATCGACAACGCCATTCACCACCCGGAACCGCATGTCTCGAAGGTGGCGCGCTCGCTTTACTATGGCGCGCAACTGTACGAGACGGAGCGGGATCTTGGGGTGCCCGGCGTTGACGGGTCGGTCTTTTTGCGTGCGGCGACGGTTATGCTCGATGGATTGGGGTGGGTGAGCAAGGGTGAGGAGAAGCGAGGATGGGATCATAGTGGGTTAGGTTGGGACGAAGCGTGGGCGGATTCGAAGGGCTATGTGGCGGTATCGATGAAGTGACTGTTGTCCTTCGTTCTTGCAACCGGTAAACTCGCTATGAACCTCACGAATAGTGTACAATAAATTGCTGGTATCCCGTGCACATTACGGCGAGGGTCGACCTTGTACGGCCTCGTGTACAGTTACCGCCCAGGAATCGAGAGTCTCGACAGGCAGCCTTTCGAACTCAGCTATGACCTGTACTTTTCCGTCAGATGAATATGATCCCACTACATAAGAGAGACGTACCTTCTCGATAGCGTCCATTATCTCGTGCACTTGACGATCTGCAACCTCTGCCGCGGCGCGATTTTCTGCCACGACGCGTAGCATTTGGGCGTTCCTCTCTCGTTGCTGCGCCAGATATTGATTCAGGTATATTGTCGGATGATCTCGCAAGCGTACCTCAGCCAACATAACCTTGAGCTGGTCTCGATGCTGTCGTAGGAGAGGCACTGTTCGCGCAGCAATAGCGTTGCGCGGGGTGGTTGACGAAGACCATACATCGGGCGGAGGAGGTTGTCCTGCGCAACGTGTCAGTATCTAGGTCTTTAGGTCACTCCATGAAAGAGTTTGGTACCGGTCGCTGCGAGAGCTTGGTCGCGTTCCTTGGCTTCATTCACGATGCTATAAGAACTTTGAGTGGGCTGTTCGGACGATATAAGAGAGGACGCATACCGATGCAGCGTGTCTATGCTGGTTTGCATGTCATGCTCTTTGCATATATCTTCTATCATTCTCTGAAGTCCATTCATCAGTCACTACCACCTTGACAAAGGGAGGCCTGCGCGTGTACCGATATCTGGCTCTCGATGTAATCAGAGGTGCGGTTGAATAGCTGGGACGCGGTGTCCCTGTCTTGTTCAACAAATTCCGGGAAGCAAAGAGCGAACTCGTCGAAGCTGTACACATATGAGCGGTTTGCAGCCAATAATCCACGCATACTGACGTCCATTTGTGTGACGCGCGCGAGACGGCAAGCTGAATGGCTGAGTGAAAGTGGATCCACCGGCGACTTGCTTTAGAGTTCCTGTCCATGATAATAGTATCTTCCGGTTGTTATCGCACGTTGCAAACGTCGGTGGCACTTGGCAGTCACGGTTATGTTCAAGTTTGGCACTTTCCTTTTGGAGCCGAACGATACAAATGGCACAGCCACTGGACACACAATGATACACAACTAATAAGTCTCCGAATGACATTAATCCGCCTCCGCTCTCTCCTTAAAGAATATAGAAGGCTGAAATATAGTGAAGCGAAGATGTGACCTTCAGATGTTGACCCATCATGGCCGAAGATCCTGCTTCTGATTTGCGAGGCGGCAGAAGGATTCGAACCCTTCAATGTCACCTGATCCTTCACGTGCATGTTGATATTCGAGCTTCGGCGAAGGCGGGAAGTTGAACCCCCCGGAAAGCCGCCTCGTCAGAATGCATTGGCGCGACATCTGCATTGAGCGGAAGGTGGCGCACCATTGAATGGGGACATGCTCATGTGAGCTACGCCGCTTGACGCAGGTACACGAGTCTAGTTCCTCAACGCGTGTAGATATCCACTCAATGAGTGCCGGAGCGTCGCGCTCCGCGAGTCGTAGCGCCGTTCCGCTCCAAGGACGCGTACAGCATTCGACTTAGCGGCGAAGCAGCGATTCCATCAAGGTTGGCGTAGCCCACACTGCATGCGCACTGACAGCTGTTCTGGAGCCCCATGAGCTACAATAGACACGGACTAAGTTGTCGACGCACCTTCTCAGCATCGCGAAGCTACCGAAGCCACGGCGAAAGCCTACAGAAGCGCAGATGAATCCGCGAAGGCACCGCTATGATGACATTCGGGTGTCGCACGAACGTTCAAGTGCAAGCACAGCGGCGCAGGCCGTAGGCGAGAATGAATGGCAGTATAGGCTTGCCGAGGCATCGCAGGATAGACGGCCGAGGGATCGCTGAATGGACTGAGACGCTAGCAATAGTCACCCCTCGCCACTCTTATACCCTATGCGCAAGAGATCGAGAAGACGAATTTGAAGGATAGGATCAAGACCAATAGACGAAAGCCCATGGGACCTCGCAGTGACGTCCCGCGCAGCACCTACTATCCAAAGCTCTGCCAGCTGACGCCTCGTAGAACCCGGCCTACCACCGACCCTGACGTCGGCCACTCACCTGAGCGATGCAGAATACGTTGCGCGCGTCTGCGCGCCCAATCGAGCTGCATTGCCACCCTGTCTGATAACACAGGACCAATCACTTTCAACAGAGCTAACGAACCCTGTCTTGGACGACGTTGGCAATCAACAAGTCTGACCACGGAAAGCACAGCTTCCATACCAATTACAAACAGAAAGACACATGATACCAGTACCAAGCCCTTATACTACATTTTGCCTTGGGACGCGCAGCCGCGCCTCCGGTAATTGTACACATATCTACAGTCCTTGAAGAGAGTGGGGAAAAAGTTCGCGTGTATGAATGCGATATTCCAGGATGAAATGCATGGAGTGAAACTGTCAGGCGTGTCAGCTAAGGGATTCGCGGTGAGCCAAGGGCCAAGAAGCCCCAAGAGACGCACCTGTGAGAGGCTTAGCCTCGCCTGCGCGCGCCCATGCCCGCGAAGCTGCTGACGAACAGCGGGGCCTTGCGCTCCAAGCCCCCATAGCCCCCATCGCCACCTATGCTCCCCCGATCGCTGAGCGAGATGCTGTGGATGCTCGCGAAGCTGCCGAAGCTGCTGCGGTGCCCCAGCCGCTTGCCGATGGACGGCGGCGGCGTCTCCGGTGAATACGATAGCGCGCTGCCGGGCGAGCGCGAGAGGGAGTGCGTCGACGTGAAGCTGCGCCCGAGGCCGTCGCTGAGGGAAGATACCGAGGTGTCGGAGAATGTGGAGGGCAGGCTGGAGAGGATCGACGATGACATGCGCGCGGGCGAAGTCGGCGCATTGGACGAGTTCGTGCGGAACCGGAGGCCCGCGATAGGCTCCTGCGCCGGCGGGCTCGCATCTGCGGCCTCATTCAGCTCCTCCTCGTCAGCCTCAGTGATGAGGCCTAGGCCGGGTGACCGCGGAGAAATGGGCGTCGGCGAGCCAGATGCAACCAGCGTCTCGACAGTGAGTGAAGAGTCGAGTTCGTCATCACTGCTGCTCGTGAATCCATCCTCGACCGGCGGAGAGGCCGCCTGAGTCGTGATCGTCACAGGCGCGCCCGGAGAAGCACCCTGGGGTGTCGGCGACACCGCGTCTCCCGCCGCAAAGTACTGTTTACGCTCGACCACCGGCGAATCCCACGCAGTGTCCCACCCCTCCCAGTGGCCACGGGCCTTCATACCCTCATCGGATGAGAGATCAGAAGCCTCCGCAGGGTCGTCATGGTCGAGCTCCGGGGGCACACCCAGCGCGCCCTTAATGCGCTCCCAGATGAGCTCGGAGCGGGGGAGGATGCACTTTCGGATGTTGGCGACGAACGTTGGATCTGGATCTGTTTCGCGCGTCGCGGTTGTCAGATAGTGATGGAGCTTCTTATAGTCCCAAGTCGCCGGGTCTCGATCCTCCACTGAATCCGTTGATTTAGGGAAGGTCTGCGCCAGCAAAGCGAACAGCCTCGCGGTGGGTGGGGTGGAGACGAGGGCAGCGATCTCGGTGGGCCTGTCGACGAAGGGGAGGTAAACTGAGTCCGCGAGCGGGGTGAACGTCGCGGGCTCGAGGGGCATCTCCGTCGCGTTCGACTGGGGGCGACTGCGGAACTGCTTGTTGTGCTTCACGAGATCGTAGAGCTGATCAGGGGTGAGGTTCGGCCTGGAGGACAGGGAGAGCGAGTGGGTGCGCTCGCGGGAGCCGGAGTTGGCCCGCATTCGCGGGGATGAGGTTGGGCTGGAGGGGGTACGCTGGCCGGGACGCGCACGCTCAAAGGAGGAGTGTGCGAAGCTGACGCGGCTGTTGCTCATGTCGGACGACGCGCGCTTGCGGTGAGCATGGCCGTTGGTGGGCTCGAGTTGAGCCGGCACCTTGACGAGGGTAAGGATGCTGTTCGAGGGAGCCTGCCCCGCGTTCGACAGGTGCCGCGCGAAGGGGTCGGGGGCGGAGTTGGAGCCCCTGCGAGCAGAGAGGCGGCGACCGTTGGGGGAGGACATGGCGATGGTGGTGGGAGGCAAGAGGCGAGGGTACCCCACGGGCCCATAATGCTTCCCCTCTTATAGCCCCGGACGGACAGAACTCGTCCCCCACATGCTCCCACGCTCGCGATCGACGGGCGAAAAGCAGTTCATGACGTTTCGCTGATGCATTCCGGCGTGTCCACGCAGGTTCCGAGACCTTCTTTCCTTTGCTGTGCGTCCGAGTACACACCGCTGCTAGTCGCAGCACGTTGAGCGAACATCGGGCGCGCTCGGAAGCCAGCAAGGAACGCACCACCGCTAGTCTAGGCCACGCAGCCAGAGTACGTGAGAAACACAGGTGTGGCCTGCAGAGTCGCAGAACATTTTGATCTTGCTTTACGTCCTTCAGAAGCTCGACAAGGTCGTGGACCACAAGCGAGACACCGGCCAGACACCGGAGAAGTCGCGCCAGATTCGGTCGCAGCGAACATGGCGATGAACGTCCAAGACAAAGGGAGAATCAATCCGTCTCCAACCCCATCTGAACAAGTCGGCAAACGCGTAATTAACCGCTGGGTCCCCTTCCGATGCAACACTGAACTCTTAGGCTTGGTAGCGTTCTATCAGAGCAACTCGGTAGTGGCAATCTCCCTGGAACACTACTTATGGCCAACGATGGTTTATTAACGTGGGAGCATCGCCCCTATATCATTTCCCTATCCTTTCCTCGTACCGAGCGAGATATGCAAGTCGGCATCTACACGAGCACGGGTCAATCTTTCGCTAATCCGTATCGTACAATGATTGATCCTGCTCGGATGATAGTCTGCCGGGCGGCAGGCTGACCTGTGTGCTGCTCACAAACGTTTCCCCAGACTACCACTTTCGGTCCTAGTGAACCAGTCTCGAGATCACTTCTAGCTGCAAAGTTAGGTACGCTGGGCTTACCCCTCACGACGTTACACGTCCCCTACGTACCCATTCAATACATGTATCAGCGCCTTGTGCCGCGATGAAAAAGGGGAACGATGCTTTTGCCACTGGTGAATGCGAAGAAGCGAAGGCCAAGATTACGCACCTCTGAGGATGCCACGCAGCCCGCGTATCGTTCGACATCTACAACTACCTACGATCTTACCAAGGCACGAACAATGAGCTGAAGCGAGAGGGTTAATAGCGATGGGGACATCATTCATGATTTGTGCCACAATTGACCAGGAATATGTGGCACAGGAAAAATCGAAACATCACAAGCGCTGTCGATAGAACCAGGAGAGTTGGCTTCAGAAGCTGTTTTATTCTAGTGAGCCTATATGCGAACATCTAGAGTCAGGATCTTCAATCCTGCTAAGGGAGCGAGCGCGAAAATGGACTACTGTCCGCAGCAAGTCCATGTATGGATCAGGGGACGGGAAGGCCCGATAAAGAATAAATATAGTATCCCATTCCGGCGAAAAGTAGACTGTCCAGGCGCAGGCCAAGGCACAATTGAAGACGATTGTCACGCTGGAGCCCGCGGCGTTGGGCTATTGAAAGGATTCCGCAGAAATTGCCGGGGAGGAAGAGTCACTCACTCCCGTGAACCTTGGTCATCGCTGAGCCGCCGCGCCGAAAATTGCCTGAAAATTGCTGGAAGAAAAAAGCACGTTCACGTGACAAAATGAACTTGTCCACGCTGTCCGGGCCGAAGACGCGCATGTTCGACTTGGACGGTGTTTTGCCTGCCAGCCACCGTTTAAGTCCTCGTTCCCGAATCCACGTCGAAGGAAACAAGCATGTCTCGAGAGGCAGACCGAATTACGTCGGCGCAGCAGACGCTGGACCGTAAGGAGTCCGCACCGCGCACCGCGTGCCCGCCGCTGATTCCGGACAGTTTTGCACGAGTTGTCGCAGCTTCTGAATACGCAACTCGACAAGGAGACACTGGCAACTTGCGTGCAGCTCATTGAGAGCGGCGCGAGCCCGGAGGCCCTCGCTGTACGTGGCAGATGACCATGATCGATAAGGGTAGTGGCTTACGGTGGCGACAGGCCGTAATCCAGGAGCTGAGGCGAGAGCAGGCGACTTTGGCAGCGAGAGGAGTGGCGGGGAGCCTAGGATGATCGAAAGAGAGAGAAAAGTCGAGTTCTTGGAGGTCTACAAACTTTTGGGTGGGCAAGCTGCGCCAATTCGAGCGATCTTGGACGAGCTCGGTGGGACGGTTATAGCAGCCGGCTGTAGCCTATGCCGACTGTCAGAGCCAGGTCCGAAGCTCCACCGCTCGAAATGAAGTCGTAGAGTCGATAGATATGCACTTTGTCGTATACACCAGCTGCATGAATATTGCGAGAAAAGAGGTTGAAGCTAGCGAGGGCACTTCGAGGGAGGACGGAAAGTTCTGACGGCCGGAAGTGGATCCGTCAAAACTCCCTAATTTGGCAGCAGCGGCGCCGACTGCCGGCTTGCGGCTCGCCCAGTCCGCTTGGAATCAACTTGCACGACGACGACGGCGACGACGGCGCTGCTCAGCCTGGCTTGCGACGGTCCTAGGTGCGTTGACCTCGCTGCTGCCTGCGATGGCGGCCCCGCGCTCTCCACAGCTTTCAGCATCGCTCACAGTGCGCCTTCGCAGAGTCCCGAAATGCAGCAGCCGTCCCAGTACGACATTCAGCGCGAGGTCGAGGCGCTGCGCGACCTCAAGCGGCGCTCGTCTACGCCCGCGACGATAGACCCGGACCTGCCCGCGGCGGCGGCGGGCGGCGGGTCGGGCTCCCTACACTGGTCGGGAGGGGGCGCTAGTAGCGGCGGCACGTCGTCCGGCAGCGCGCACTCGCACGAGGACGGCACCACGGACGATCACAGCGAGGAGTCCTCCAGCACGTCCCACAGCGGCAGCTCAGAGGGCGCAGCGTCCGCCGCGGACGATCCGCTCCACCTCTTCTGGGTCCCCGCCAGCCTACATCCCGAAATCGCGCCTCAGGAATTCCGTGCGTTCTTAAAAGAGCACTCGCGCAATCCGCCCACCGATGCCTCCGCCACGCTGTCCCGGTCTCCGTCCATGTCTTCCGTCTCGTCTGGCCTTGGCCGCCAGAAATCGATGCTCAGCCGGCAGTACCGTCCGCGCGAGGGTGACGACGTCGAGAACGAGGAGGTCGTCCCTCTTCGCCGCAATCGGAGCAGCTACTACCAGTCTCAAGGCCCACAGCTCACCATCAGCGACCTCCAGAAGCTCGAGGAGCTCGCCGAGGAGAGCAATGATCCCGGCCAGCTACGCACCATGCTTCGGCGCAGCCTCAGTCTTAATTTGTCACCGACCGGTCAGTTCTCCTCGGCTGTTGGGCTGGCGCGATCATGCGTTTAGTGCTACAGAACATATGCTGACTCTGTTACAGCTCTGACGTCGATGGACAAGGTCCCAGATATGCCAGACGAGGCAGATGCGCCGATCATTGTACCCCCTCCCGGCCTCATCCTTCGGCGGGCAGCCCGCACCAAAATTCGCAAACCAGGCTTACCAGGTGACGGTAATGGACATCGCTTCGGCTCGACAAGGAAGGGAGGGCGGACGCGGCGGTCCAGTGACGTGTCTAGTGATCACGGTAGTGCGGAGAGCGAGGAGGTCGTTGGACCGAGCACCATAAGGCGAAAGCGCACGCTTTCCGAGGAACAACCGCAACCAAGACCGGACTCAATCAGCGACACCATCTACGATGCATACGTGCGCGAAGATGAAGAGATCCCGCCTGTCCCCCCGGTTCCCATCATCACATCCCCGCCGCCTGAAGAGCCCCAGCCTGAGCCAGAGGCACCTCAGGCCGCGCCGGAACCCGTCGCACCAATTGCTGAGCCGGAGTCAGAGCCGGCGGTCCGACCAGATCTCCTCGAAGCTCTTGGACCCGTACTTCATCAACCCCAGCCGCAGCAGCCCTATCTCTCTCCAGAGCCCCCAGAGCCTGCTACTCCATCACGCACGCCATCCCCCGCCGAGACTACGACCTCACCGCCACCTACTCAACCTGCTGGCGCGGAGCCAGGGCCCTCCCAGCCGATCTTCCCTACTCCCGCTGGCCATCGCAAGGAGAAGGACAAGAAAGGCCTGTTCGGCAAATGGGGCAGCGACAAGAACGCCAAGAAGCATCACAAGTCAAGCGAGAGCCTTGCGCGCGACCGAGCAGCGGAGAAGGAGAAAGAGAAGGAAAAGGACTCTGGCTTTTTCGGCTCGCTGTTTGGCGGGAAGAAGAAGCAGGATGATAACGTGCCTTCGCCGCTGAGCAGCGCATCGGGACGAGAGGCCGCGCAGGCCTTGCTCGGTGCCTCGAAGTCCAGCAAGACTTACCAGCCGCCGCCCTCGCCCAGCCAGCCGAGCACGCCTGGGATGAACAACTGGTCGCGGTACCCGATCCATGTCGAGCGCGCCATCTACCGCCTCAGCCACATCAAGCTCGCCAATCCGCGACGGCCGCTTTATGAGCAGGTCCTCATCAGCAACCTCATGTTCTGGTACCTCGGCGTCATCAACAAGGCGCAGAACCCCACCGCGCAAGTAGCGGGTGCTGGTGCTGGCGCGAATGGCGCGAATGGCCAGGCCAATGGGGCGCAGCAGCCGTCGGAGGAAGAGCAGGCACGGCAGAGGGCGGAGCAGGAGGCGAAGGAGAAGGCGGAAAGGGAGAAGGCCGAGCAGGAGCAGCGTGAGCGCGAGGAACAGAAGAAGCGGGAGCAGCAGCAGCCGCGGAGGGGTCCACTGACGAAGCCTGCTCCCGCTGGTCAGGCGGGCGGGCGACGCGCGGAGATGCCCATTAAGGGTCCCCAGTACGACGTGCAGCATCGGGAGATGGAGCAGCAGCAGTACGGTGGCGGGTACAACGGTTCAATCCAGCCTGGCATGGTCATGCCTCGCCAGCATCCACCCCAGCAGCAACGCGGGCCGCCACCCAATCAGTACGGCAATGGGCCGCAATACGGGAACGGGCAAGCACCGGGCCAGTATGCGAACGGCCCGCCGAACCAATACGGGAACGGCGTCCCCGGCCAGTACGGCGCGCCCAAGCTCGTGCAGCCGCAGCCTCAGCAGCAGCCGGACAATTACTACTACCAGCCCGACCCCATGCGCAGCGGTGGTCTACCGCCCGGTGCGATGCCGCCTATGCAGCGTCCCCCTGGTTCGCCCTCGCCACCTCCAGGTTCGCAGAACCCTCACAGGAGCTCGCGCTCGCCGCCACCGATGGTGCAGAACAACGGGAGCAAGCCGGGTCGCTCTCTGAGTGCGACTGCGGTGCCGTCTCCGCCTCCTCAGGGTGGCAACGTGCTGGCGAAGCCGCGGAAGGGGCAGAGCGCGCATGCTGTGCCCGCGGGTCACCGCTCAAGGACAGTATCCGGCGGTGGTGGCGGTCGGCCAAACGGCGTCCAGGAAGAGGACGTCCCGCTAGCAATGTGGCAACAGCAGCAGCAACGGCGACGTTGAGAGCCTGCGTCGGTGCCCTTCTGTCATCTCCTTTCCGCCATCTCACCTCTCCCAATCTAGGTGCCGAACATTCCTTGCTCCCTCCCACCCTATGCATCACCCTCATGCCCGGCGGTTGCCTGCTATCTGCCCAGCCCGCCCAACGTATATAGCCCTATTATCCTATTTACACGCACGCCACGCTCGCGTTTTATCACATCTCCCCCTCATGCACAATGCCCCCGTAATCCGACATTCACGACATGTACCCCCTTCCTTTGCGCCCCGTAATCTCCCTGTACACCCCCTTGGACAAGGTAGTTGTGATGATTAGTTTTTATAGTGGTGGTGGTAGCGACTTGCTGGTGGTTGGTGGCGACCTGATACTGGTTGGCGCGCGACTGCGACCGTGATGGATGATGGCGGAGGCTTGTTGATTATAGCATTCGCGTGCACGGCGATCGTGGTGGTACAGTTGGTGGTGGGACGACATCTGACTTGGACTATCTTTCGTTTTCTCTTTTCGTTTTACGCTCCTACCTACCTTAGTGCTCACGCTCAGTTGCATCTGTGTTCTGCAATATGTATCAGCATGGAATCTTTATACTGTCCTTTAACGACGCATTTTGGGCCTTTGGAAGACGCTGAGGGCTATGAAGCCCTGGGTCGAAGTCAGGCACGCCCTTGCTTTCCAGATTAGGAAGGTATTGAAAGCCGAATTAGGCGATGACGTCGTCTTCGAGCCTCGAATTCCCCTCGTACGACCTTGGACGTGCAACCAGATAGGAAAAAAGGACGAATGGGTGATTAGAGAACGAGATCCACATAGTGCTACAGAGCATGAACAAACGCAGGGTAATGTGATACATGTACTAGAAAGCATGAAGGCGAAAGATCAGTACGGAGACGGAGGAGTGGGCGGCAGCTCGTCGTCGACGGCTTGACGAGCTTTCGTCTCAATTGACAATGGAAGGTCTTGCTCTGGTGGGTATGCTCCGTCGTCAGCCAGTTGTGACGGTGGCGGCGATTGCACATTTGGAAGAGGCCGGCTGTTCTGTACGACGGGCGTCGCGAGACGGCTCTGGGGCCGCGTTACGCCAAACGTACGGCGCGTGGGGATGACTTTACCTGTTGACTCACGTCAGAGGGCGGGCATAGCGAGGTATAATCTGACATACCGAGGCTCTTGACAGCGTCATAACCGCGTAGGCGCACCTTGTCGCAAGCAGGGTCGACGGAGGTTCCCTCGTCGATCGCGACATAGTCTATGCGCCGACCAAGAATGAAGGCGTCATTGAGCTGCCAGGGTGCGTCCCCAATGACTTCGTCGACCCAGCGGCAGTGCCGCACGACCTCGCATCGTTCGACGTGCGGCGCCATCGCGGGGGAACCGTGCTGACGGCAATCGTCGTCCGAGAAGACGCCGACCATGAGATAGACGGAGGGGAATGCGAGCTTCGCCTGGCGCAGCTGCAGCGCATGCCTGCATAGCATTCGATGATCAGTCAGTATCAGGTAATTGAGTAGATATCAGATAAACGCACGCTGTGTTAAACCCATCCCACAACCCATCGACGTACACCCGAACGTGCTCGCGTCCAGAGCCCTGGTTGTTGTACTTGGAGTATGCCGACGCGTCTAGTGCCCTCCTCACATGCTCGCGCACGTCCTCCGGCGACCACCGCGTCGTCGGCCAGCGCTCCTGCGCCGCCGCGGACGGCGGAGGTTCGAAGATTTCGCTCGCGGAAGCGCAGTGTAGGTTGAGGTCGGCGAGGCTTGAGTCAAGCGAGCGTTCCGAGATGACCTCGTAGTCGCTGTCGTCGCCGAGCACAGATGACGCGTCCATGGGAATAAGTTCGAGGGCAGGTGGTCGCCTGCGTCAAGGGGCCGGTCTGGGGCCCCGGTTGAGTGCTTCTGCTGGCACGATAGCACCACGAGGCTTTCCTTTTGCGTTCGGAGGATTCATGTCGGTCCTCTCCGCAGCGCGCGCGAGGCCGGACGCCCACTAGGAGTGTTTGCAGAATACAATGGGAGACGAGAAGGAGGAGAACAAGGGACGCGGACAGAAGAAGATTCCGCGCGTCGCGCGCCATGCGGCATGATAATCGATCCCGCCGATTCGAATTAGCCAGGCGAGCTCAGAAGTACAGAACATCGCTCAGAGAAGATGTATAGTCCGCTTCTAATCGTGTATGTGCAGTTACAGGTATGTGCTTGAACTTACTTACGATGCAACAGTATTAGTATTATTACCGATAGATAGTGAGACCGCGACGGTGGATGGGATAGCACTGTAGAAGTACAAGGCTTTCATGCAAAGATTTTGCGGAAGTACCGCTTGACGCCCTCGGCGCCGCGCACGATACCACCTATCATGCCATCTGGCCGGACGATGACCGTATCGCACCCGCCCGAGACGGTGTACGCTCGGAACGCGTGGTCCAGATCGTCCTCGAGCACGTACTGTACTCCATGGACGTGAGGCGCAAGCGCCCCGCTCCGGATGATGACCGCTATCCGCACGGTGTCCCTGGGCTGCTGCCGCAGCGCCTTGATGACGGACTGATATGACTGCTCGGGTGAGCTGAGGAAGATGAGGGCGGTGTGATGGGAAGCGCTGAAGAGGTCGAAGAGGGTGTGCGAGACCAGCGGGCCGTGCTCGTCAGAAGACTGCGTATCCGAGAGGTCGGGCGCGTCCGGGGCGCGATCCCCTGCGCGAAGCTGCCCATCGAAGCCAACCCCATAAGAATCAACGGCTTGCCGCCGCTGCTCCGCGAGTTGTTCCTCGGCATCCTCTTCCTCGTCAAATTCGTCAAGCTCGTCGATATCCTCAAGGTCGTAGTCTTTTTGCTGTTCGTCGAGGATGATCGAACTCCAGCGGTAGTTGACGCCAAGCTGGAGAAGGCTACCACCCTTGATCCAAGCCGCGGACTCCGGTCTCCTTGACCGGAATGTCTGATTCAGCAAAGTGGTGGTCTGGTTGAGCATTTCTGCGATAACGGGGAGGCGCTCCTCGTTATAGCTGTCAAGGAGCGACATGGGGGAGAGTCCCTTGTACACCAGGGCCATTTTCCAGGCAAGGTTGAAGGAGTCCTGAATGCCTAGCCACGAGGTCAGCCCACCGTTGGAATAAATCAGAAAAATCATAGCATACCTGTATTCAGGCCCTGGCCACCTGTAGGGCTATGCACATGAGCAGAATCACCGGCCAAGAAAATCCGGCCTTCGCCGAACTTGTCGACCATCCGCATATTGGGCCTGAACAAAATGAGGGTCTACCACGGAGCGATTCGGAGAAGCACTGACCGATAGTGCGACACCCAGTGGAAATCGCCAAAGGTGAGGTGACCCGGCCCTCCTGTCCCGGCGATCAACGCCGAGCGCAGGCCGTCTGCGTCTTTTGACAGCGCGCCGTGGTTCACCTCCTTGCCCGCGAGCATGAAGTTGAAGAGATTCGGCGTCTCCGTGGGCCGCAGGCTGACCATGTTCGTCGCCGCGTCGCCCCACATGTGCCAGTACTGTTCCCCGTCAGATACGACTGCAACACGTAGGGCTACTCACGTTGCTCTCGAGGCCATCGACCATGATGTCGCCGATGATCAGGTTTTCGACGTTCCGGGTCTCGCCCAGGAAGGTCATGCCGAGCAGCTTGCGGCAGACGCCCCGCGCGCCGTCGGTGCCGACGACGAAGGGATAGGTAACGACCTCGCGGTGCTCCCTGTCAGTGCCAGAGTGCCTGACAATTGTTGCGGTCGCGCGATCCTTGTCCTGCGATATCGCGACCAACTCGGTGTCGAGCTCGGCGTAAACACCGTAGACGGCAAGCGATGCTCGCAAGACCTCCTCAAGATGATCCTGGCCCAGCATGAGGATGTTCATCTGAAACGAGGTTAGGTGAATCTGCGAGAAGTATGAGGAGGGGACGAACATATGGGCAGGATGGGGTGGGCTCAAGGACGGGAGACATCTCGAATGTCTGCAGCGCTTTGCGGCCCTCAGGCATTTCGTAGAGCTTTACAACGGGCGTGGTAATTGCGCGCTTGGTGATCTCGTCCGCGACACCAATCTGGTGGAAGAGCTCAAGGGAGCGTGGCTGTAGGGATCTTCAGTAGATGTCCATAAAGCTGTCACGCGACACACACCATGATCCCCGCGCCGCGCTGGCCGATCCTGTGTCGGTCGGCCTTGTCGATGATGCGCACGGGCACCCCATTGCGCAGGAGAGTGAGCGCGGCGACGAGCCCGGAGGGCCCCGCACCGACCTATTGCTTGATTAGCTGCCGCTATACACGCGCGTGCCGCAAATAGCTGCCGACGTACGACGAGCACTTCAGGCGAATGGCGCGGTTCAGGCTCAGGCATAGAAGTCGAAAGAGGTCAGGAAGGCGGTAAGGAAGGAAAGGGGAGGCTGGCGGACGATGGTGGCGAGAGGCAAACAAGTCGACAGACCGGGGTCGCGCTGCGCGGGGATTTGACAAAGCCATCTTCGCCAATATCAGCCCGCCGTCATAGAAGATCCAGTCCGTCGGTGTCTCGCGGAGGCGCGCCGAATGTGGCAAAATTTCCTGCCCCCCGTCGTCCACGGCAGCAGAGTCCAGGCCCAGGTTTGAACTTTGTTTGCCGCGTCGTCAACGAGGGCGGGGTGTGCCTAGCCGTTCCTAAACGGACCTATTCGTGTTCCGGCGGGGGTCAGCAGATCTTATCACACCCTTTGTATTCACGGGGAATAGGCGCAGCGGCGCCGTCATGCATGGATCTGCAGGGGATCTGCGAGAAATACAAACGCTGTGCTCGCCGCGAGCGTCGACGACGAATGCGCCCACGGATGGATGCGGGGGAACAAGCGCGCCTGCGCCACCACACGTGCCAACCTCCATCGTTGCCGCCGGAGCGTCGGGTATCAGCCCAGTCCGAAAATCAACGACCAGTTGTCGGGCTTGGACAAGCTTCAAGTACACGTTGCACGTGTTTGAATTGGAGAACTGCCTTCAATTGAACGCACTTGAAAGTCTGGAAGTTTGCCTTGGAAATTCACTGCAGGCGTGTAGACGGCTCACTTTCCGACTGGCTGCTCGTCTACTCCTCCCCTCATGTGGCGTGAACACTGACAGGCAGACGGCATCGTATTTCGAGCACGGTTGGACCTGGATCGTGCCTTTGCAGTCCGACCCGACGGCCGCCTCGCGCGCAAGGTGGTACGTCCACTCCTGTTGTTTGGGTGGAAGATGCGCGACGCGGCGCATACGGGAGCACTGCCCATTGAGAGATATCGACAGTGCGGCCAATACAGTCGGCATACCAAGGCAGTAAAGCCGCCGGGCAAGTCGGGAAGGATGCGTATGAGAAGGATCCCCTCTTCCACTCGACGTTCTCTCTGATGTTCCCTCGCTTGATTACTGCCATTCCCTCGTCAGCAGACAGGACGGATACCGAAGCGAGACCCACTCACGCATTTCCCTCCCCGTAAACCCTAAACGTAAAGTACCGTCAATGAACAGCGGCAGAACCTCCCAACGGGTTACGTTGCGTCCACGTCCATATGGGCGTCTGCGCTCGGGTGCGCTTGTAACTGCACCGATGAGTCTTGGGACTGTGCCGAGGAGTCTTGGGGCTGCGCCGGTTGCAGCAGAGGGTGCTTTCCGGGTCTGGAGACGGCCACCGTCTCGGGGCTGGCGCCAGATATCCGTATGAAGCGTAAGAGATCCGTGTAGGCGACCTCCTTCTGGTCCCACTGCCTGAACACCTTCACATTGATCGGGTGCGTCAGGTCGATCACTTCTGCAGTAAAGCGTAAGTCGCGGTCAACAAGAAGGGGGAGACGAGGGTGCGAGACGAGGAAGTAGCGGATGCAGAAGAAGGTATGATCGGCAGAGATGAGAAGGGAGAAGGCGATCAGACGCACCCAATCCTGTCCTGTACCCCTCGGATTCCTGCAGCTTCAGGTCCTCCAGCTTGATCTCCTTCGCGCTCTTTGGCCTCCCCTTCCTCCGCACTGCCTGCTCCTCCTGCAACTCCTGATCATGTCGCGTCAACCACACATTCCTGATCACTGCATGCAGCTCTTCCAGCGTGAGTTCCCCCTCCTCCGGCAGCGCCTCGTATAGGAACGTGTAGAAGTCCACTGTTCGTTCCAATGATGTCAGTGAACCATCCTTCTGCCAGCCGATCATACCACGCACGCATAACATTCTGCTTCTTGCTCCTCTTCACCGCGAGGTTGCCCATCTTGCCCTTCCTCAGCGCCTTCCGCGCGATCTGGTTCGCCTTTCGCGACTCGGGGTGAAAGACCTTCTCCTTCTTCGGCGCCGAGGTCGACGCCTTCGCGGCTTTTGTCGTGCCCATTGTGATGATTGATCGAAGGGGGGAAGCAAAAGTACAATGCCTGCCAAAATAGGCAGCGTGATCGAGATGAAGAGGTTCGGCAAGTTCCGATGTGGACCCACAGTTCAAACCTCAGCGCGAACGAGATCCTCTTGCGTTCAGCACTTCTGATTGATGAGACTATGCTACCGCTAGCCTCTTCTCCACATCATCTCGTAATGGTATGCTGGCGACAGTCCCCTTTTTCTCAACGCACATCCCTGCCGCTTGAATCGCGCGCGTCAAGGCCTTTTCCAGCGCGTCCCCCTCTGCCGCTACCTTCGCCTCCTCCAGCTCCATCAAACCTCGCACAAAGTATCCCGTGAACGTGTCACCCGCTCCAGTGGTATCTCGAATCTCCGTGATCTTCGCAGCAGGGAGGCGGATTATTCTCCGCTTGCCAGCTTCCAGAACGCACGCAGCCAAGCCATCGCCACCGAGGGTGCAGATGATGTTCGTCTTCGACAAAGTTGGAAGGTCGGTGAGGTCTTTGAGCAATGCCTCAACGGAGCCAGTCTCCTTCTTCCCATGGAGGATGGAGTACAGCTCCTGCCCTTCGCCCTGGTTGATGAGGAGCCAGTCGATTTGGTGCCAGGGGAAGGACTTCAGCTGGTCGGGGAGCGGCATGGGCGAAGGGTTGAAAACTGTGACTACTGGCGTGATTGGGCTCGCCTTCGCAGCAGCAAGCGCGGTGAGGGTGCTCCGAAGCGTGATCTCGTTCTGTAGCAAGAGGTGTGTGGTCCCGGCGGGCAAGTAGGATGCCGAAGGCGTCTTGTCCTCGTAAGACTCGTCGAAGTTCGCCCCGGGGAAGAGCACTGCGAAAAGGTGGGAGTAAGTACAGTCCCGGAACACCAACAACTAGCCACGCACATATCGAATTCTCCCCATCCTCCGCGACCTGGATCAGCGCGCGCCCCGTGGGGGGCGCGTCCCCCGTGTTCGCGAGATGATCGACGTTGATGCCCCACGCGCTGAGCTGCTCACGGATCCATTTGCCATCGGAGCCCACAGCGCCGACGAAGTGGACGTCGTTCTTGGTCGCGCCGCCAGCGCGCGCGACTGCGAGAGCCTGGTTCGCGCCCTTGCCACCGATGCCTTTGGTGTAGCCGAAGGAGGAGATAGTCTCGCCTGGACGGCCGATGGACTTCACTGCGTGGGTGTGAGAGCTGGAAGGGTATGAAGGAGAATGTCGCGCACCATTGAAATATTCATCGCAGTCTAATGAGAGGGGGCCTTGATCAGTAAAGTGGATGAGAGATCTTGAACAAAATACGCACTGACGGAACCGCGAATAGCACAAAGAGGCATGCCGTAAGGCTCAGTTCGTTTCCTTAATTATGCTGACGAAAAGAGTTATGAAGGTCGAGGAGGGCAAGGAACGCGAGGGAAGGGTGCAAGGCCATTTCATGATTGCCTGCTATCTCCGCGGGCTGTCGGAGATCCCCAGGAGATCCACCGGAAGGCGGGCCTTTCCCCGGGCCTATCCACCGGAATCCGGAATTGCGCCCACACGGACAAATAGACGCCAATACCCGGATGCCACAACATGGCGAAGTCATCGCATTGAACCAATGATACAAGTAAGATAGACAAAACATTCCCTGAGGACGTAACAGTATTCCTGACATTGTGACAATATTTCTGAACGTCGTGACGATATTTCTGGACGTCTTGACGATCATTTCTGTACGCCAAACCCATCATTTCGACGGCTGAACCCCTCGGTAATCCTCCAGCCTCTGCTCGAGCTGCTTGATATCCCTCTCCGCCTGAGTAATGTCCACCTCGCCCTCAACGACCTTGTCGCCGAAGTCGGCCGCGATGGCTTCGAGGGTTTTGCCCTTCGTTCTGGGAGGAATGAGGTTAGGCGGTCAAGCGAGGAGAAAATGTATTTGACGCAAGAAAGAGAGAAGACGCACTCGGGGAAGAACATGAATACGCCGATGGCGGAGACGAGCGTCGTGCCGACGAAAACGTCTGCGGGTGTACGTTAGCGTGATCCCCAGGGGGAAGGCTGGAGAGGCGCCTACAATAGTAGTTCTCGCCGATGTTGGCGAAGGCCTGAGAAAGAGAAACGTGACGCGTTAACTTTGATCGCGGTACACAAAGCCCAGGAAACGTACACTTGGGCCTGCCTCCGTGATGGCGATGTTGAAGACGAAGTGAGACGTTGACGCAATGCCAGTCCTGCGCACACGTCAGTCAGCGAACAGGCCATCGCTAGCGGTGTGAACGCGTACACTCTACTTCTCAACGAAATCGGCAAGATCTCGACACCATATAACCAGGTCGTGCTGTTGATGCCCGTATCTACAGGGGTATATCAGTATACCAGTCCGGCACTCAACAGAGATCCGGCGCTCAACAGAGAAACAAAGCCACTCACAATAGATCGCCGTATACATATAAATCCCCAAAATCGCAAACGCCTTCCCGACCTTGTTATCCGAGTTGGTGAACTCCCTCGCCATGACCGCGGAGTAGATGAGGTCGATGCACATGCCCGCGGAGGCGAAGAAGAGGAGCTTCACGCGCCCGAGGCGGTCGACGAGGTTGATGGAGATGATGTTCATCAGGGCGCCGACGGTGCCGTAGACGCCGGAGAGGAGGAGGACGTTCTGGCCGGTCTGGCCGAGCTTCTTGTAGAGCGTGGTTTGGTAGTAGTCTGGGTGGGTGGGTGTGAGCAAAAGAAGTGATTGTGGGACGAGGGAGGTGGGAGGATTATGAAGGAAAAGTAGAAAATAGACGTACTGATCACGTTGACGCCGGAGAGGGAGGTCATGGTCTGCACAGCGATGGCGATGAGGACGCGCTTCCTGTACTTCTGCCACGCCTCAGCGAGACTCGTGACCTCGTGCTGCTTCTCGAACAAGATCTGCTCCTTCATCTGCTCGAACTCGATGACCGCTTCCTCCTGCGCTCGAACATCAGCTCCTGCCTTCACCCCACCCACCCGCCCAACGAACACCCACTCACCGTCTGCAACCCCCGAATCGACTTGAACGCCTCCAGCGCCTCCTCGTACCGCCCCACGCGAATGAGCCATCGCGGCGAGTCCGGGAGGAAGAACTGCAGGCCGATGAAGAGGATGACGCCGGGAGGGATCTGCAAGGCGAGGGGGAAGCGCCATTGGAACTCGCCGTAGGGGGCGAACCCGCAGGCGTAGCCGATCCAGTTGGCGAGGAGGCCGCCGATGCAGATCATGTAGCCGGAGAGGCCGCCGACGAAGCCGCGGGATTCGGGAGGGCTGGGGAGGGGTGGGTAAGGGCCTGTTCGGGTGGAAGGAAAAGGGCAGGACGAACCTGATCTCCGAGTTGAAGATGGGGACTGTGCCGACGAGACCACCGCTGCAAGATGTATCAGCAAGATAGAGACAATAATATCATTGTTGTGTGGACGCACACAGCGATACCGGTGAGGATACGTCCGGCAAGGAACATGCCATAGTTCTGCGCCGCGGTTTGGATGACCGTCCCTACAGTGACCTGTATAACTTCAGCATCGTACAACTCTAGCTAAGGGTGCACCACCTACAATCAAGCACATGAGCTGCATGAAGCGCTTGCGCCCAAGCTTGTCGCCGATGACCGACTGAGTGATGGCCCCGACCGCCTCGCCAGCGATGTAGGTTGCCACGATTGCGCCAGTGGCCGCGTCGTTCGGGTTGTTCATGTCTGTATGATAGATGAGACGATGGGTAGACAAACAGATCTTTGATACAGGACGCACAATCCTTGAAGCTGTCATGGGCGATACTGGTCGTGATGATGCCCGTGTCATATCTAAGCAGGGCTGAGTATCTCCCTTTGCACAGACGGAGCGCGTCGCCTACCCGAAGAGGAAAGAGCCTGTCGAGACGTCAGTTCTAGTTGGGAGGACGAGTATCTGGCAACGCACCGAGGCCAGCAAACAACCCAAGGAAGACGATGTAGGGACGCATCGCGGGGCAAGGTGCGGGGGAGGGGCTTCCCCACGGGCCTCCGGGTATATATAGCGGGACAAACGGACGCTAACACCGGGCCTCGTTGTGCTTCTCCAGGCGCGCTCGCGTCGCCTATGGGGAGAACAGGGGGAAGAGAGCGATACGAAGTCCGTTCGCCGGGGTCAGCTGTCGGTGGAGAACCATTCAGGCTCTTGGAGCAAGGCACGCGGGGGAGGCGGTATTGTGAGCTTTTCGGGATGAAAAGGCGGGGGAGGGGGAAGAGGAGACCGGGGGATCGGGGTTCGGGGATGCGATCGTTGAAATTGGGCCACAGAATCGTGGCGGCTCTGGTGGACTTGTAGGTCGCTGGGAAAGCTACTGAGCAAGTTGGCTCTGGGATATCAGCACTTCACGCGTCAGAACTAGCTCGTCCAGCTGATAGAAGTGTGGGTTATCGTGGAGCGACCAGCTAGTGACTTTCCCTCGTACAAACTGGTTCCTCTGCGTCCAGTGGAATTTCTCTGACCCTGGAGACGGCTGTACGGGTTTCTGAGGCACATATTTCATCGAAAAGGCGACAGCTAAGCGCCTAAACTCATCGGTGACGAGCCGACCCGACGGAGGGATGATTGTCAGGTGATGGTTGCGGAACAAGAGAAGTCTCCGCGGACATAAGGGGCGGCCCGGAATACCGATGCGCGCCATTCAAACCAGAACGCCCATGTCCTCCCACCGGCCTGCGGGGAGCACTTCATCCGCACCGGAGCGGGCATCCGTTATAAGTATGGGAAGGGGAAGAAGATAGCGCGCCAAGAGCTGCTTGACAGAGATGCCCGTCGATATCCCCCTCCGCAAAGTCCTTTCTGCTGGCCAAAAAGCGCCTGGCGCGTGGCTGACGCTTCCGAGGTGTGTAGCACACAAGATGGGCGATTGAAGGAAGGCTAAGATAATGTGATAGCACAGCGATTGCAAAGTCCATTGCACGCACACCGGGCGTGACATGGATATTAGTTGACGCTGGTACGCCTCGTCCATGAAAGCCAGCTACTCAAGTACTGACCCCCTTCGTCAGAGCATGGCTTGATTACTGGTGCGAATGAGGTATCGACAATCTATGCCGCTTCTTACACAGCGATGTAGATAGAGATTACTACGACTTGACAAACACCATCGCATCCGCCGGCGTGTCCCCTATCATCCGGATACCAGACGAGAAGCCATGGATGATCAAGGTGAGCCATTCCGTCATCCACAACCTTGAAGACATACTCACCTATCTCAGCGCGCCCTTGACTCAGGCGCACACGGCATCATGATCCCCATGGCCAACTCTCCAGTACGTTCACCATCTTGCCCCTTCCTCGTCTACCTTCTTCACGATCCTAACCACCACTCTCCAGGAAATCGTCCGCAACGTCGTCTCTGCCTGCAAGTACCCGCCAAACGGCATCCGCGGCTTCGGGCCCATGTTCACTCACGCCACTGGCGCTATCGGCGGCGACTACAAGGCCGAGGCGGACCAGCAGCTCGTCATCTCCGTGCAGATCGAGCATCCTAATGCTGTCCGGGATATCGACGCTATCCTCGCAGAAGGAGTGGATGTGGCGTTTGTAAGTGTCTTGTACTCCTGACGAGATGTCCATGCAGAGGCTGATGGACTCGCAGATCGGCCCCTTCGACCTCTCAGTGTCTATGGGCGTGCAGTTTGGCGGCCAGGAGCACGAAGACGCGATCGAGAAGGTGCTCGCAGCGTGCAAGAAGGCGAAGAAGACGTCGGCTATTTTCTGTACGTCTCTTTTCGACTTGCCTATCTCGTCAATATGCCCATCTCGTGCTCGAGCCGGCCGTCTTTCTCCCCCTTCCCTCTGCCACTTTCGACCATGCGCTAAGCCACCTTCGACCATGCGCTAAGCCACTTTCGACCTCTCGCTAACCATCCCCTCAGGCCTCACCGGCGAGCAGGCCGAGAAGCGCTTCGCGCAGGGCTTCGACATGGTCAGCGTCACGACGGACATCGACACCTTGGTGGACGGGTTCGCCTCCGCGCTTGCGACGGCGACGGGAAAGTTGAAGGAGGGCGCTGCGAGCTCTGGGTACGCAACGTAATATATATTTTCGTCGAAGTCCTGTATAACCTACCATACTAAGCTGTCTACTACGCATCACGCGGGAGCACGGGAAGATGCATCGTGCTGAAGCACAAGCAGATGCATCGCGCTGAAGTGCTGGCAGAAAGTTCCTGATTTTCTCGTTGCATGAGCAGCCTCGCTTGCTATTGCCAGATTTGCTGCCGCAGGTCTTGAAGGTCACACTTCCGCAGTGCCAGAAACTTGGTCCGTTGGGAGCCCGAACATTGAAGGGAGCTCCCTCCACTGCTCTTCTGCCCACGAATTAAATATATCCATTATGTGAGTCGTGCACCTGTCGCACACAGCAAAGTACCTCTCGAACAACCTGCGCACGTCGTTGTCCTGCCTCGAGATCGCAATAGCCGCATTGAAGAGTCCGTTTAGCTGATATTCGGCGAAGTAAAAGCGAACGCCTCTCGTGCACCAGTCATAACATTCAATACACTGTCGAGGTAGGCACCAGGTGAGCTTAAACATAAGGCTCGCGATCATGCGATCTCTGGCCTCCTTCAAGTCCGCCGCGAACCGGGGTTGAAGCTTGCGCGCGCGCCCGTGATGTTCGACTTGCTCAAATCGCGCACTGTTTCCGAGGATACGCAGGTAGATGGGGGGAAGCAGCCAGAAGGCGCCGACCTCATGCGCCAGCACGCAAGCGGCTTCGAGGTCACGGTCTTCTATCAGGTCTGAGTTTTCGGCGCAGACGCTGAAACCCACGCCATCAGGTGTCACAGCGAAAGCTAGCGCTTCGCAGAAGATGAGCAGAGCGCGCTGACGGAGCTCTTGGTCCCTGTACTTGTGTGCTATCCGGAGGACGCCTGCGACCTTTTCGAACCACAGTTGACGTCGCGGTGGTGAAAATGGGACGTATCTAGCCCATGCATCGATCAGTGGTGGATTTGTGGCCGGGGAGACTCAGCGAGCAGGCGCCGTGCGTACCCTTCGTTATACACAGCGAGGAGATAGTGCCGCAAGTCCTGTGGATCGTCGTTGAGGCGAAGCGCTACGTTGCCTTCGTACGCTGCCTCGAGTACTGCGTCACGTTGCGCCGAGCGCAAGAGTTTGGGGATGGCGATACGAGGGAGGAGGACGCTCAAGTGCACACGGAAGAGTTCGGACCCAGCTGCTAGGATGAGGCGCCTGTCGGGAAACCATGGATCAGCGGTGCCCGCCCGGCGCTCGAAGTCGGCCATAGCAGGCAAAATATAGTCGTGGATCGCAGGGAAAGAGAGGGAAGGGCGCGCGATCCCGCTATAGTAGATCAGCTTATATACCTCGTCCTGATCTGCGAAACCTGTGTCAGCCTTGGGCTTCTGTAGAGAAGTGCACCGCAGTTTACACAGGTCGTGATCCAATGAGAGCGTCGCCACAATATGAGGTCTTGCCATCGTGGGTGGCGGAGCCAATGAGTGACCAAAAGTGCATGCATGCTAAGAGGGTGCAGCGATACGAGCTCGAAGCATGCAGCTCATCGTGTAGCAGCTTTTTTGCGGTGCAAGCTATGAGCACAGTCTAGACGCTGCAGCCGCAGTGCAAGGAAGCGCAAAGGGTGGGAGATGGTCGTGGGACTGACGAAATCGGCAACGCATCACGTGGTCGTGTGCCACAACAAACCAGAGTCCAGACGCAACACAAGTACCACTTCGACAAGAACTTGATCGACCCTACACATCTGACCACAGCATGAGCGCACGTCCAAGAAGTTGTAGAAACAATATGATCTACCTACCAAGAAAGCGATACATTACACCCAATTCAAGTTCAAGCATCCTCATCATCACTGAAGGTCCCAACCCCAGTCCCAAGCCCTGTAACGGCGTGGATCTCCTCTTCATCGTCGTCGTCCGCATGCAAAAAGCCCTTCTCTTCCCCGTCTGCCTCCTCCCCGCCCAAAAAGTCCAAACACCCCCACGAGCACCCCCGCCAGCGCACCGGGATCGCCCCACCGGGGATCGCCAGCCCAAACTGCGTCTCCCACGTGAAGCGCACCTCGAGTGGGTGAATGAAGACAGGGCCACGCTCGTCGTGCGCCTGGCTGCTGCCCTGGGAGGAAGTCCGGCTTCGGCCGTGCGCGGGGTTCGGGCAGCGTAGGACCTCGTACTGCTCGTCGGCGTCGATCGCGCGCACCTCGTTGGGGTCCTCGCGCGCATCCTCCTCCGTGGTGAAGTCGGACATGAAAATCGAGGCGGGGCCGTGAGCGCGGACTGGCAACGTCAATAGGCCGTGTTGTTCGGTCGACGAGCTCTGTCGTCCAACAGGGACGGAGCGCGGCAGACAATCGGCGAGGACACGCAGAATATGAGGCGGGCACGGGCGAACAGGGGAGAAGTAGTGTGTGATCGGGAGGGTGAACTTCGCCTCCATATAGGTTTGGCACTCGCCAGTGGAGGTCGTATGGTGCGGCGCGAGTAGTTTGCGCAGCATGAGCTCCGTGAGCTGGGGGACGCTGCTCTCGCCGAAGCAGTGCGTCTCGTCAACGGTGCGGTGCGGGGAGCTCTTGACCCGCATCCTGCTGTTGGGGAAGAGGAGGAGGTGCTTGAGCTTGTGGAGATGGAGAATCTCTGCGGGGAGGTAGCGAATTGGGTTGTTGCTGAGGCAGAGGTTGTCGAGGTTGATGAGTAGGCCGATGCCTGCAGGGACGTGGGTGATACGATTGTGGCCTGCGAAGACGTTAGCGGGATGCAGGGCAAGGATAGTTGAGAATGAGTAGACGCACGTAGATCAAGGGTTGTTAGTCGTGTGAGGTCAAAGAGCTCTCGCGGCAGCTTCGTGATGGCGTTCTTAGACGCCATGAAGCGGATGGTATGGCTGGGCGTCCCGGCTAGACTAGCCGAGGGCACTCGGCTGAAGGACGTCGACTTTGAAAAGGTGCGCGACGACGCCGAGCGGGCATGCACAGTCTCCTGGTCCTGAGGAATGACGACCATTTTCTTGAGCTGTTGCAGAGGATCCGGCCTCAGCTCGGTCAGCCCCTTCTCCCTAACATTCAGAGCTCAATAACCTATGCGTCGATGGCATGACGTGACACTCACGAGACATCGATGACAAGGTTCGTCGCCTCGAAGGCGGCATCGACCGCATCCTGCAGCGGGTCGGGCTTGAGCACGGTCGAGCGCACAGGGCGTGATGGTCGTGACGTCGGGGGCGGCGGCGGCATCGATAGCTTCTGACGCTTCGGCTCCAGAACGCTCTCGCTGTCTCCGTGCGGCCTCTTTGGGGCGCCCTTCTCCCGGCTGGGCGGTTTCCACTTGTCATTCGGGCCCGTTGCGGCGTATAGATCAGAGATGCGACTGGACGTGCTCGCTGCTGGGGCTGGGGCCTTGGGCATCTCCTCGTCTTGGTCGTCCAAAGCATTCCCCATCAGGCCAGGAGATGACGGCGGCGACGAGTCGACGGGACCGCCGGGCGATGAGATTGGCGAGGACGCGTCAAAGGAGTAGCCCTCGTCATGGGAGTAGGAAATGTCGATGCTGGTGTCGAAGATATCTTCGTCGTCGTTGCTGAGGACGTCCGTGCGCTGCGACGACGATCGCGACGAGCTGGCGAAGGGGGTAGTGTGGGCAGACATGGTCGTGTGAGCTGAGATGGTCGTGTGAGGAGGGGAGAGTACGTCCGGAGCCAGGCCGGAGCGCGCTAGGCGTCTGCGTGCATACGCGGCCACGTGATGGAACATTGTACCCCGTCACATCAACAGTCCGCGGTTTGGACTTGGAGTCCAGGCTATATAAGTAAGTAGTAGCCATTGACTTCGAACTTTCGAACTTCTGGTAACGTTCGTTCATGATTCGTCAAATCTATCATAGTGGTACAACAGGTGCTTCGCCTCTCCTCCTCTCTCGCCTCACAGAAAGTCATCTTTCGCCTTTGCGTACGCCCGACCGACTCAAATAACCCCATACGCCGGCCCACCCTTCCCAAGCATCTTGCGCAAGTCCCCCGCGAGCAGCTCAGGCACCTCGTACGCCGCGAAGTGCCCGCCGCGGTCGTGAATGCCCTCGAAGACGACGTTGCCGAGGAGGTCGCGCAGGCTGGTGAAGTGGGTGATCAGTACGAGTTGAATGATCAGCACGACTTAGGCGAGTAGCGCGACGAGGATGGACGAAGCCGACAGCGAATATGAGCGGAAGAGAGTTGGATGATCAAAAGGGAATTACTCACGGTTTCGGCGCCAACACGATCTCTCCCGGGAAGATGGAGAAACCCAGAGGGATGGGGCTGCGTTCATTGGAGACCGGCGGCGCGTGCGTCTTCTCGTAGTAGATGCGGAAGGACGCGGTGGGCCCGGCGCGCGAGAACCAGTAGATGGAGACCCAGGTGAGGACTGGGGAGGGAGGGAAGGGTCAACATTCACGAATTTGGTAGGGAAGTGCGAGTAGCCATGTGGGAGAGACGGGTATACCAAGAGGATAAGAGGACGTACCTTCATCGTCCGTCCAAGGATAGTTATCCGTCCACGACACCAGCTTCTCGTAGATCCAGGCGAGCAGGCCGACGGGCGAGTCGCTCATGCCGTAGCCGAGGGTCTGAGGCTTAGCTGGCAGTGGTTGGTCAGTCGATGTCGCAGTGAAGGGAGATGCGATGGAATGAACATCGCTTCGGATGACGCTTCGTGGAAGGCGACACGATAGATGAAGATCCAGAGATCAACTCACTACTCTGCAATAGATTATACCCCGCCTCCGTCGCGCGCCAATGGTCGGCCTTCTTGATGAGCTCCTTGTCTTCGGGGGAGAGTTGCGAGTAGAGCTCGGCCTGAATCTCGTTGTTGAAGACGCTGGGGAGAGGATGAGCAACGGGAAGGGATGGAAGGGCGTGGTGAATGGATGGGAGAGTGTAGTGCGCGGGTGGAAGAGCGTCGAGTACTACTTACTGAGGCATGTTCGTATGCCAGGCCTTGACGTGCTTCTCGCCGTAGGCTTTCGACATTTCGTGCGTGATCTGTGGCGTGGTTAGCTCCGTGCGTATGTGTGAAGCAGAACTCTCGCACCCGCGAGCCCCAGTCTCCGCCTTGCGCGACTGTTTGGGGGTTAACTGATCGTCAAGGAAATCACAGACAAAGAGTGATTCTTACCATACTTATCATAGCCCAATGCTAGCATGAGCTTATGGGCGACCTGTGGCGTGTTCAGCATACCAGGTGCACGGTGGCGTCCTTCCTCTCGCTCGCACCTCAGCGTACTGCGGAATCCCAAAGCCCCTCTTGCGCGGCTGCTCGGAGAAGCCGTAGCCAGGAAGACTCATCGCCACGACATGGAAGCTCGGCTGCCCCTTGACACCCTGCGTGAGCAGCGGGCCCAGCTTCCGCACCTCGATGAAGCTGCCCGGCCCTGGTGGTGGGTTAGATGTTAGGGCACGATGGTGCACGCAGCAGATGACTCGATACGACTTACACCCATGCACAAAACAGAGCGGAATTGCGCCCGGCTGCGCGCTCTTCAGATGCACGTAGTGGATGTTGAGCGTCCCGTGGCCGTCGACGGCGATGTCGCGCGTGAACTGCGGGAGGTCAGCGTTGAGCGCGGCTTCTTGGGCGCGCCAGTCGAAGCCGTCGCGCCCGTTGGTCGCAAGTCCGTCGAGCCACCGCGCAGCCAGCCGCTTGACGTCGGAGAGCGGGGAGCCGTAGTCGCGGCCCGAGTCTTCGAGCTCGTCGGGGAAGATGGTGAGCTCGAGCTTCTTCTGGAGGAGCGCGAGGCGGTCGTCGGGAACGGCGATCTTGAAGGGAGTTTCTGACATGGTTGGCGGAGTGGCTCTTTAATCAGCGGTTCAAGTGCTGTTCAGTGGGTGAGGCAGGGTGATGAGGATGTGAGGTGGAGGGGATGCGAGATGGAAGACCAAGGCAAGTTGGCGCCCTCTATAACCGCGCCCGTGGAGCACCTCATACCCACGGAGAAGCCCTTCAGCAATGCTGGTCGGGCATGTTCATAAGCTGGAGGGGTCCCATGATCATGTATCTGAATAGGCCTGACAAACCCTCTTAGCAAGACTGAAGGCGGGCATCGACTCGACGTCAATGTGCACTTCGGTGCCGGCGGTTTGGAGCGGAGACTGAAAGTCGGTCCCGATGCCACGCCATGGGCACGTGGATTAGCATAGGTCACGCCGGCGGTCACCGCCTGTTTGATCAAGCATGATGCCAATGTATGCAGCCTGTCAGAGGTTGGCCTTTCCAACAACGCACAACCTTCTCTAGGCTTGACGAAAGGCATGTATATGTCACTTCATACTGGGAGTAATCTACTAACACTTGAAAGGGTGATATCTACACATTTACTCCGACTGTACGCCGTTCTCGGGTGCCCCGCCTCGGATTTAGCTTGTCCTTTCCGAGTTCCCAGCACGTCTTCCAGTCAACGCCCACGTTCTCCCCAGCCTTCTTTGATCTGCTGATTGTTGGTGGCCAATGCGTTTTCACGGGGTCGGGAAGTTGTGATTCAAGCTTTGAGCACAGCAATGGATTGTTTGCAACGTAACGCATCGCCGCACGGGTCAGGTTTGTCATACTCGCGGTATCCGGATTGCATACGGTATCTGAGCGACAATCCGGGTCACTGTACAAGCGTGAAATGTACAGTGTTTGTGGCTGTTCAGGCGGACGGAAGAAAAAGAAGGTGGTGTCGCTGCAGGAGACTTCCATGGCAGGCAGCGCCTTGCTGACCATCGCAGTCCAGACTTGCACAACAATCTGGACTTGGGCCGTCAGACGAGCTTTGGTTGTCGTGGGCCAGAGGAACCTGTAGGCGAAACCAGGGCAGTTGCACTGCTGATCAGCTATTTCCTGATAATTCGGTTCCATATCATTTCCATCACTATTGAAGAGGGTGGCCATGAAACTCTTGTCGATCGACAAACGTGTCTTGATTTCGGTTGCATGTACAACAGACTCGGAGGAGTTCAGCTTGTGCTTGATCACGTCTTCCAGATCAGGCAGGGGTGATTTGACATTGCCACCATTGCCTCTGTATATATTCTTCTTGCGGTTCCCGCCTGTACCATTCCGCACGTAGTATGGCAGGCCAGGAGCAATGTGGTGGAAGAAGACTTCCAGTATATCGCCATGCGTGCGACGATGATGGTGCTCGAAGTCTGCCTCACGTGACGACTCGAGCGTGTGCAGCATGGCCTTCTGTGCGCCAGTGACTTTCTGCTGAGAATCTCTGGAAAGTGTCCCGCCTGCTTTGAAAGGAAATTCCCCACGGAGCGCGTTCACCACAGCCGCATCTGTCATAGTTTCATTTCCATCAGTACTCCACTTTACGATATCCCCGAGCATGAGCTCCTCTGCGATGTCCCCGAGTATCTCATGGTGTACAATGGTAGTCAGGCGATGGTGCGCAAGGAGGGCGAGTTCGCATTTGCGCGGATATCGCATCGATGGTGTCTTGAATTGCAATCGGAGGGGTGCAGGAGCGGTGGTCGGCAGACACAACGCCAGTAAAGGAGACAATTGGGCCTTAGTCACGGACCAGTCACGCAGTACATCATGGGCTACACGCCGGATGTACGCTGAGGTTTGTAGATAATTGATGTTAGAAGGATCGGGGGGTTTGAGAGCCTTGTGGAGGTCGCGATTCTCGAATTCACCCATGTTCCAAGTCCACTGCGAATCCTTGAATGCAACATCTCCTGGAAGGCGGGCGTCGTTCCCGGTGTCCAGAGTAGTATTAGTACCCGTTATGTTGTCGTCAGTGGGTTCATTCGTGGCGTTGCCAAAGGCTCGATCGACACTAGAGCTACGCATGGAGTGAGGCTAAATGAGTAGAAGTGAGATGATCATCGTGAAGACGCACTTGTTGGACATCATCGGCCAAACGTTCGAGGGATGAGAGGGTTGAGCACTGGTAAGTCAGACACCCTGTCTGCGTCTGAGGCGTTGGTGGAGACGACCGGATCCACGAGGGCTTTTATAGGGGCCTCAAGTGCTCTTTGGCGCCCGAAAAGTCATTGAGCGGTTCGATTGTTTCTACACTTCTATGCACGATCCAAAGATCTGGCCAATCGGGCCACCTCTACACAAAAGGGCATGAATTGCGCCCCCTGCGGTATTGTCATGCATGCCATTCATTCGGGATGTGAATTGACATTAGCTCTTCTTTCACTACCAATGATCAACCAGAGATGGATGATGTAAAGGGACATCATTAGAAAAGATAGCTTAGAAAGAGATCATGCCCGGGCTGTGCTTGTTCGATTCCTGGTCTGCGCACACGCGGCGTGCGCGTGGCGACCGCGCGAGACCTATATAAGACGCCCGAACTTGCCCCTGGCCCCCACCACCGCTGTTCCCTTGTCACATTTTCCTCCTTTCTCGATTAGTGGATTAGTACCATGGCTGCGCCTTCAACTCCTGCAGACCACATCTCTGTGATGCTTCCAGGCGCCAAATCTTTTACACACCTCCATCCCATCACGTATAGCGCCCGCGTTGGCAGCAATGTTGACTCGACTTCGTTCGTCTCCATTCCTCCCGAGAAGCGGTTCCTGTGTGCCACGAAAGTTCGCGTGCACGGACAAGACCTTCCTTTTGACAGGCTCAAAACATGGTCCTTAAATTGGTCCACCCGGTCGGCTGTCGTCCTAAACGTCGCGGCTGTGCCCAGCAACTATACTCCCGTTCCAGACGAATCACTACCTGTCCCGGCGAGTCATCCTCCCGTCCGTAGGGAAGATCTCCGCCCATGCTTCGCAATCAAGCTCGCGAATCACGTTCATGATTCCGGGCCCTACGGTCAAGGCGACCTATGGTACGAGATCTTGGAACGTGAAGCGCTCTTCTACCAGCGACGCCTTCGTCAACTTCAGGGTGTGGCTGTCCCTACGCACTATGGCATGTGGACCGGAACCGCGCCCTGGGGTGGTACTATCGCGTGCTCAATCATGGAGTGGTGCGGGGAGCAGTATATGGAGGATGCAAACGATCGTCGTCTGTATAGTATTGAGCGAAGGTGCGGAGCTTTGGTTTCTAGTCCTTCCGACTTCCTCTTTTACGCTGACGGCAACCAGTCTGAAGGTCGTCAACGCTGTACGTGCACTGCACCTAATAGGCTACCTGCATGGCGGCTTTTTCGTAGAGGAGCAGCATCGGCTATTCCAGCACTTCCTGTACGATGAAGTGCGCGAGAAGGCCTTCATCATCGACTTCAGGCGCCGTGCTCGTCATGACTGTGATCTTGCCTTTGAGCTGAGGGAGTACAAGACATACATCCCCGGATATCTGTTCGGATGCGGCGAGCTGTATACCATGGCCAAGGCCCTCGGTCTCATTAGACGTCGGGATTCAGGTGAGTTCTTGTCTGGAAGTCATACGCTCGGGCTGGGATGCCCTACGGTCGATTGAGCTGACGCATCGTTCTGCAGAGGACCAAATCGAGGACAAGGTTGTTATTGATGCGCTGAGACGCTTTGAGGAGGACGATGACTATCCGAAATCTGGCTATCTCTCGGAGTACAGCGACACCGATAGCGATCCCTACGCATCTGACTAGCTACAGCAGGTTGTCTGCTCATTCTTCTCTGCCCCTTGTTGAGTCATCATCCGAGAATATCTGAATCGACCCTTCTTGATATCTTTAAAACGACCCAATAGTGAACACCGTCCGGGCGGCTTTGAGCTGAGCAATTTGCAGTGCGCGAGAAGGCCTTCGTAATCGGCCCCAGGCGTCGCGATCGTCATAGATGTGAGCTCGCCTGCATTCCTAGCTGGGACGTCGGTCAGTTGTAAGAGGAATGACCTTTTAATTCCCAATCCGCCTTGCTGACTAGGACTGCTGGGAGTAGACGAATATGACCGCTAATGTGTCTATATGAGCGGAAGATAGCGAATACCGCTCGTGAGCAGAAGGTAACACAGATTATGTATGGTAAGAGGTCAGCGTGGACTGCGCATGAAAGGCGACGCGGGCCAGGAGAAGGCTATCCATATGACACATGGGCACAAGTCGACGCAGACTACATACGAAGAGAAGGCGAATAGACTGCTTGCGAACGAGGGGGAAAGGCGCTTCAGTCAGTCTTGGCGCAGGAAATCTCACATTGATCTAAATCTCCGTATGAATGTTATTCCGCAAATGTTCATCGTCTTTAGATTAGCACGTACTGAATTTAGCTAAGACCCATCCTTGCCTTGGACCACCCCATACGCGGGCCCATGCTTTCCAAACATCTTGCGGATGTCTCTCACGAGCAGCTCGGGCACTTCGTACGCGGCGAAGTGCCCGCCCCTGCCGTGCATCTCGGACTCGAAGACGACGTCGCCGAGGAGGTCCCTCAACCTGGTAAAATCGGTGTTAGAAGGACAACGGTATCGAGATGGTGAAGTCGGATATAGCCAACTGGGACTCACGGTTTCGGCGTCGGAATAAGCTCCTTCGGAAAGAACGAGAACCCCAGTGGGATGGAGCTCGCTTCGTCTTGCGGGCCAGGGACGTGCAGATTCTCGTAGTAGATGCGGAAGGAGGACGTGGGCCCGGCGCGAGAGAACCAGTAGATGGAGATCCAGGTAAGGACTGAGGTTGCAGGTGAGTTGAGATTGGGGCGCGGTGGTCAGAGAGGAATGAACGGTGCTCAGCTAGGAAAGGGAGAAGAGGGCGTAGTCGGCGTAGATACATGGTAGCCGCACCTTCATCATCTGTCCAAGGATAGCTGTCCGTCCAGGTGACGAGCTTTTCGTAGATCCATGCGAGAAGTCCCGCAGGGGAATCGGTCATGGCGTATCCGAGGGTCTGCGGTTTGGCTGTCATGATTAGCGTCAGAGGCTTAGAGACGTTAAGAGTGACATTCAAGGCCGACGACGTACTGCCCTGCACCGCGTAGTACCCGGCCTCTTTCGCGCGGAACTGCTGGTCCTGCCTGCGCATCTCTTGTTCTTCTGGCGTGAGCTTGATGTGCGCCGGGATATCGGATTTGAAGTAGCTGCAAACGATAGTCATTATAAGAAGTAGAGGGGATGAAGCAGACGTGTACTGAGGCATGTTGGTGTGCCAGGCCTTCACGTGCTTGCCGCTGTAGGTTTTCGATAGTTGGTGGGAAATCTGAGGGAACAGATTGGTAGGTGAGTAGACTTGAGATAGATTGGCGTACCCTTGCACCCCAATCCCCTCCCTGCGCGGCTGAACATACGTTAGATAAAACGTATGGAACGGCCAGGAGGAAAACATACCATACTCGTCGTACCCAAGCGCCAGCATGAGCTTATGCGCTACCTGGAATCCTCCATCAATTGAAGACGAACGAGTCAGCGACCGTTCACACCTCAGTGTACTGCTGAGTACTGAACCCTCTCTTGTGTGGCTGCTCCGAGAAGCCGAATCCAGGCAGACTCAGCGCGACGACGTGGAAGGCCGGCTGCCCCTCCGCGCCCTCCGTGAGCAGCGGCGCGACCTTGCGCACCTCAAGGAAGCTGCCAGGCCCTAAAGTCGATAAGCACCGGCTTTACGAGACTACCGGCATGGATACGATGGATGTTCGAACCGGCAGGGAAACTCACACCCATGCACAAAGCACAACGGGATCGCGCCCGCTTTCGCGCTCCTCTTATGCACGTAGTGGATGTCGAGCGTGCCGAACCCCTCGACCTCGATGTTGCGCGTGAACTGGGGCAGCTCGGCGTTAAGTGCGGCTTCTTGCTTGCGCCAGTCGAAGCCGGTGCGCCAATACTCGACAAGCCGCTTGATGTCGGCCAGAGGCACACCATAGTCACGGCCGGAGTCTTCGAGTTCGTCGGGGAAGATGGTGAGGTCGAGCTTGGTTTTGAGGAGCGCGAGCTGATCGTCGGAGATGGCGATCTTGAAGGGCGTCTCCGACATGGCGTTCGTAGATGATGAGAGGTGTCAGCAAGATGGCAGAACCGCGAAAGACGGGGAATTAGTGAGGTAGGTCTGCCGCTGGCCGTCCTATAAGTACGCCCAATTGAATCATTCTGGGGATACTGCATGTGCAATCCGAAGGCCGCTTGGTCATACAGAATACGATCCTCCCGACTGCCGCTCAGCGATAAACACAGCAGGCGGGCTTCTTCCCGATCCGGGAGCTGGATCTGCCCGATTCTGCCAAGGTGTGAATAGGGAGTCGGGGCATTCGCGTTAGGCACGCCAGCAATAGCATGAATTCTACAGCCTATTGACAAGGTGTGGTGACTCTGGACTCAGCTTCCTATGCCACCTCGGTACTCGCGGACGCAGATGTCGAGCACCGGTTCAAAGAGGTGTGAATGTATCCACCTGCGTTCACCTCGGATGCATGCCCAAAGATCCTTCCATCGAGCACGACTGGCAGGCGAGTCTTCAAGACGACATCGAGAAGCAGGTTTCCGAATTGTACAACGAGATACATGACATTTTCCGCGTCCATACGAGTACTGATCCATTCATCGCGACACCATCGTACGACCGCTGCAAAAGAAAGTCAGCAATCCCTTCCAGACCAAGCTCAACAGACTTGGGTCGAAATGCAATGTCCAAAGCAAACAAACAAAAAAACGCACGTCACCGTCTTCTTCTCCGCCTCCGGCTTCTCCATCTTCGCCCTGTTCAGCACCTTCTGGAACTCCGCGACGCGGAAGCGCATGCGCGAGTGCATGTACGCCTTCGAGCACTTGATGTGGTAGTGGAGGTAGTCGCGGAAGAGCTGGATGTGCGAGATCGTCTGCGCGGCGATATTGGGGTGCGTGAAGTGGCGGGGGAAGAGGACGAAGGTGACGTAGCCGATGTCCTCGGAGGGCGGGGGCAGGGGGAGGTGCCGGATCTCGAGCGGCGGCTCGCGGTTGGTGTAGAGGACCTGGGGCGCGGTTTGGATGGTGGGGAGCCGGCGGGCATCGACAAATTCCTGTGTGGGGTGTGAGTGGATGGGTTTAGGATTGTTTGGAGAGGTAGTGGGGTTGGGTGGGCAGGGGTGCCACGCACCTGCAGGAAGACCTTGCCGTAGACACGATCTGTCTCATCCTTGAAGATCGTCGAGAAGATGACAGTGACACGGTCGGGGGAGGCCTGAATATAGATGGCTTCCTCGTCGCGGTAGTGAATCTGCATGAACTGGCCCTGTCCGCCAGATGCCTCGAGGTCCTTCTGCTCGGCGAAGGCGCGTTCGAAGGGACCAGCCATGGCATTGCGCTTCAGCAAGGCGACAGACTCGATGAAGGCCGCGCGATCCTCTGCATTAGTGATCAGCGAATTGAAGCCGAGTAAGGGCAGTTACACGCACCCGGACCGGCAGGGACTTGCTCGAGGTCAATCAACAGGCTGACGTTGTATTCTGGCTCCGTCGCGCTGGGATCCTGCAGCAAAGGGCCGTACTCGCGCTTGAGGATGTCTAGAGCGCCATACTGGACGAGCTCTCCCCAGCAACTGATGGACATCGAGAGCAGCAGGAGCGTCTTCTGCTGGGTGTTGGGGGTGGAGATGTGGAAGCGGACGCCATCGAAGTCGACAAACTGCACGTCCAGAGATGAGGGCCTGCGGATGCGCGTGAGATGGTCAGCCGATTTATATGCGTAATTCCGCCGTACTTGACGAGCTTGTCGTTGATGGTCGTCTGGATGATGGTATTGTGAGGCTGCAAGTGGGCCATTTCAGTCTCGATAACATTCTATTTTCTTCGCAACGCACCTCCAAGAGAATCATCGTAGTCGTAAGAGTCAAGAGAGATGTAAGAGTGTCTGGAGCCCCGCGGTGGTGGACGTGACAGAGATGGACGAGCGGGACGACGAGTAGCGCGTCTCCCTGCGGATGGGAATATACTTCCCAATCCGGCTGCTGCGATGCGGCGCGGACCGGCGATCCGACCGTTAGCGCCTGCCCCCCACCGACGTCGTTCTCGCCCACAATCGACCCACCGAGGCGACAGAATCTGAGACGCGTTCCCCTCCCCCGTTCTCTCCTTCTCCGATCATGGTGGTGGAAAAGACGGGTGCGTGGTCTGCTTCTCATGCCGCCAAAACGCTAATTATCGCGCAGACTATAGCCTGTACGGCGGTGCTGAACACACCAGCCCCGCGGAGCAGGCGAAGGCGTCCCAAAAGGTCCACAGGTCACCACGAAGGACGGTGGTCATTACCCCCACCGAGAAGGACAATGGTGTCGCGCACCCTGCGCCTCCTATGGATTCGTCCGACTTCCTGTGGCTGATGACTGAGGAGCCCCATCGTTCGCGCAGGGCTGCGATCATGAAGGCCCACCCCGAGGTGCGTGTGAATCATACCACTTCGACCTTTACTTATTCTCCCGCGTAGGTGACCAAGCTCATGGGCTACACGCCCGTGACAAAATACGTTGTGGCGTTCGTGGTCGCGCTGCAGCTCTCCATCGCGGTCTACCTGCGGAATACACACCCCCTCTCGTGGAAGTTCATCCTGATTGCCTACGCCATCGGTGGAACTGCGAACCACAATCTCTTCCTTGCCATCCATGAAATTACGCACAACTTGGCGTTCAAGAGCATCTGGGCGAACAAGTCGCTCGCTATCTTCGCCAACTTGCCCATCGGTATTCCGTACGCGGCAATGTTCAAGGTACGCGCCTCATCCACGCTATCATCATGTTCTCGCTCTCTGACTTTTGTCCCAGCGTTACCACATGGAGCACCACCGCTACCTCGGCGAAGACGGCGTCGACACCGACCTCCCCTCCCACCTCGAGCTCATCTGCCTCAACAACGTCCTCGGCAAGGTCTTCTTCGCCACCTTCCAGATCTTCTTCTACGCCCTCCGCCCCGGCTTCGTCCGCTCGCAGACCCTCACCAAGTGGCACGCCGCGAACTTCGCCGTCGTCCTCCTGTCGGACTACATCCTCATCAAGAACTTCGGGATCGTCCCGTACATATACTTGCTTATGAGCTCGTTCTTCGCGGGGAGCCTGCACCCTTGCGCGGGCCACTTCATCGGGGAGCACTACTTGTGGGACGGCCTGGAGCAGGAGACGTACAGCTACTACGGGCCGCTGAATATCCTGGCGTACAACGTATGTATTTTTTCCTTCATCTCGTCCCTCTCCCGTTACTTTTCCCCCTTTCACACCCTATACCCCTCACCCTTGCCGACACACGCTATACCCCTCCGACACACGCTCACCCCTTACCAGGTCGGCTACCACAACGAGCACCACGACTTCCCCTCCGTCGCCTGGACGCGGCTGCCCGCGCTCAAGGCCCTCGCGCCCGAGTTTTACGACACCATCCCCTCGCACCCCTCGTGGCCGATGATCATCGTCAACTTCATCCGCGACCCCGAGGTCGGCATCTTCGCGCGCGCGAAGAGGCGGGCGAGGGTGATGGGGGCGGCGAATGGTGGTGGGGTGGCGAATGGTGGTTCGGCGGCGAATGGGGGAAAGACGAACGGCGCGGCGAACGGTACAGGCGAGAAGGTGAATGGGGTGGCGGACGGGATCGCGGTGGCGAATGGCGTCGCAGTGGCTAACGGCGCCGCGAATGGGAAGGCCAACGGCACTTGCGCCGCCAACGGTGGCACGAAGGTCAAGCTCGCCGCAGACACGCCGGGCGACCTGGAGAACGACGATGCCTACGACATCAGGAATGCGTAGGGTAGAGTTGTATTTTCCGAACCGCGATGTGATCTGTACGCCTAGGTAAGGCAATCCCGCTCGCATGCCCACGTTTGTGAGCCGTACTAGTCCTTGAATAGCGCGTGTGGGTTGTCACGCAACTCTTGTTGAGGCATCAAGTATGGCATAAGTATTCGATATCAATCCTACAGCCTGACATCTGCCTCGACTAATTGCTACTTCCATCCGACTCGGAGTCGTCCTCATAGATACTGGCCCACACCTGCCAAAGCTCAGGTTCGATCTCCTTGTTCACTGAGATGCAATCAGTTACCGAGCTACGACTGAAGACATGCACATACTCGGCGTAGAGTCACTGAACAGCCCGACGGACCTGCACAACGCCCACATTTCAGAACAGCCGAAAACGTACTCGGGCACCCTCGTCTTGTACTGCTTCACGGGGACGCGTATGTTGCATGGATGAAAGCCACTTTCCTTGAAATCGATGATGAAGGCCTTCTCGCTGTCCGTGTCGTAGAGGATATGGTGAAAGTCCGGAAAACCTATGCCAAGCCTGAAGTGCTGTAGGCCGATATTGTGCAAAGCATGCGCTGCCTCCACGACCTTCAGGCTACCGTCGGATGTAAGTGACGCAGGTGAGCTGAAGAAGGAGCTTCGTACCTTCTTTCAATCGTTCGAATGCGGCGCGTGTAAGGATCACCGGCCCATTGCATGATGGCGCATGTCACTGTGGCACCCCATGGCGCAGAGCCGGTCCAAACGCCATAGTGGATGGGTACGGCCTCTCCTTGCAGTCCTTTAAGCGTCTCTGCGTAGAATACAGCTTCCTCGAGATATCTCTCATGGAGTATGTTGCCAAAGCCATCGTGTCGAGCGCCAACGCGATTTGCGAACTTCAGGGCGAGACGCTGGCTGCGGACTTGAGTCGAACCGGAGGTTGACGTTTGAACATCATCATCAGGTCGTCGATCGCCACAGAAAGTGACAGCCGGCCATTCTTTCTCGGACCAGGCGGTGTAGTCAAAAGTGGTGTTTTCGCCATCCTTGCGAGGCGCCGAGGCCAGGATATGGTATTCCTCGTCGTCACCTTGGGATAACGAGCGAAACGAACGATGGTCGACACCCGGATGATGGTAGTCGATTGGGCGCATGGTGAAGGGCAGGGAACCGGGGAAGTGAACCGTAATTTCCGGTGCAGGGCCTTTACTGGCGAGGAGGGAGAAAAGGTCTGAGGACATGCTCGGACCTACTTGTTGCCTCAGATAAAACTCTGATGATGGTGGAACAAAACTCGTTACTTACAGGTGGCCCAGGTATGGGAATTCGGCTCCGCATATCGGCAAGTGCCGAGCGGAAGCAATCGTACGCGTCACGTCACGTTAAAAGCCGCCATAATCAGGTCGACTCCGCGCGTCCTCAAGCCACTTTATCTCATCGTCTTTCGTCATGGATTTCTATGGACGAGGGAATATGCTCGTATCTACATTGTTGCACAGAGATCTATGATCAGCTGCGAGCTAGATGAGCCACCAGTGTAGTTCTATATTATATCAAGTTCTCGAGAGGCTATGTGGGATTGGGCGTCATTATGGGCGGCGCAGCAACGAGCGCTTGATGAGAAGCGTGTTTCTGAGTGTCAGATGCTGTCGATGTTTTGACTCTTCTGGTGGCCAACAGCTCAGCCACTTCGCGCTTCACACGCGCCTCATGACGCTTCGCGCGCACGTATTCCATTGCTTGCACAACTAGAGGGTCCGCACCGGGGCCAGAACCTTGAAACCATGAGTTTTCTGAGATACGAGGATGCTTCATGCACTCACGTGGCCCATCACCGAAGAGCTTCATATTTCCCGCCACATACCAGAGCTCGTCGCAGCCGAAAACATCCTCCGGAGGAGTAGAGGTGTATGGCCTCATCCGCATCCTCTGATGGCACTTATGGGCCTCGGCGGTCGAGAAGTCAATGACGAAAGCCTTCTCGCGAAGTTTGTCGTATAGGATATGGCGAATGGGCATGTCTATAAGGTCGTTGTGCCGGAGGCCGGCGTCGTGTATGGCTTTGACGGATTCCATAATTTTGACACTATTGGAGCATCAGAAGGTGACCCAGACGCGAGAATTAGTTACGCACCTCCTCTGTGGTTTACCGAGCTTGGGATCGACGATCGTGTAGTCAAATGGTCGACCGCCCCATTCCATGATCGCGCAGGCGACGGTGGTATCCCACGGAGTCCAGCCTACCCACACGCCATAGTGCTTCGGTACAGCGGTACCCTGCAGCTTCGCGAGATGCTCGTTGTAGAAGATAGCCTCGCGGTGGAAATAGTCCAAGAAGGCGCCTCCTGGACTGCCGCTACCAGCCGTGATGTTAAACGCCACCTTGAGCGCGAAGCGTTGGCGGGGAGCGGTCTTGTCCTGGCGTGATGCCTCTGCATAGAAGACCATGGCACCGCTCGACGACCACTCTTGACAGAATATTGTGTACCGATCATATGGGATGGTCTTGCCGCGGATACAAGGGAGAGCAGTGAAGAGGCTTGCGGGTGGCGTGTTGAAAGAGTTCGCGTCGATTCCTTTACGAGCGTACGTCAGAGGACGGAGAACGGAGGTAGCGCTGGCGCCAGAGAAGGTAATTTTCACGCCAGGCTTTCCCTTGTAGAATGGGAGCTCGGACATGTTGAGAGGCGGCGATGTGATGGTGGTTGGGGTAGAGCAGGTGGCGGCGTGACAAGGTGGGAGATGTCACGCGAGGCCCGGCCCCGCACATCGGCAAGCACCAAGCGAAGGCACGTCAAATTGAGACTCAAGTCTATCGACCACCAAATGTGCTGCATGCGCTAGAACTCAGCTCTCGCGTCATATAGATAACACTGAGATCCGCCAGTACCAGCATGGCACAATTTGTGGCGAGCTTTAGCGGCGCCAAGGCTCATTAGGAACCTCTGTCATTGCGCAGACACGTTCGCGTCAAATGCAGATTCCAATCTATTCTCCATTTACGTAGAGGAGATATCATCCGTCAGTATGAGCAACATCTGGCCTAGGACGGGAGGCGTGTCCTTGAGCATCGGCTGTTGTCGATGCTCGGACTCTAGGAGGGATCGGTATCGTCGGAAGCCCCCGCCTTGCACGCGCCTTGAGGCGTTCCCGACGCACGTATGCATTCGCTTGCAGGACAAGCGGGTCTGCCCCTGGGCCAGAACCTTGCGATTATACTTAGGCGCCTGGAAAGATGGAGCCAATCGAGATACTCACATGGTCCATTACCAAAGTAGGATACGTTGGTGGCGACATCCCAAAGCTCGTCGCAGCCGAACGTGGCTCGAGAAGGTGTTGTCGTATATGGCCTCATCCTCATTATCAGCGGGCACTTATGTCTCTCGGCGGTAGAGAAGTCGATAATGAAGGCCTTTTCGCAAGTGGTGTCATATAGGATGTGTCGAAAGGTGTCGTCTATAAGGTCGCCGTGCTGGATACCTGCGTCGTGGATAGCCTTGATGGATTCCATGATTTTTCCGCTGTCAAATCTTCAGAAGGATTCTGAGTCACGTAAGCGTAGCACTCACCTCCTCTCCGGCTTGGCGATCTTTGCGTCAACAATCCTCTCATCAAATGGATGACCGCCCCATTCCATGATAGCGCAGGCGATAGTAGTGTCCCAAGGAGTTCGACCGACCCAAACGCCATAATGCTTCGGCACAGCAATGCCCTGCAACTTGACGAGATGGTCATTGTAGAAGACGGCCTCACGGCGGAACGACTCCATGAAGGCGCCGCCTGTGCTGCCATTACCACCCGTGACATTGAATGCCACCTTGAGCGCAAAGCGTTGCCGAGGAGTTGCCTCGTCGTAGCGCGCCGCTTCAGCATAAAAGACCATGGCGCCTTCTGAGAACCATTCCCGACAGAAGGTGGTGTATCGGTCGTAAGGAATGGTCTTACCGCGGACGAAGGGCAAGGCGGTGATTAGGGCTGCGGGTGGCACGTTGAACGAATTTTCGTCAACTCCGGTACATCTGTATCTCATGGGGCGAAGAACGGTGGCTAGAGGAGCACCTGCGAAGGTAATTTTGACACCGGGCCTGTCATCATGGAGCGGGAGCTGGGACATGGTGAGCAGCAGCGATGGTGGTGGGTTGAAACTCGGACACCGTCAAGTCGGTTTAGTGGCGACATCACGTGGGAGTTTTGCGGCAAGCGCCGAGCGGGAGCAACCGTCGTAAAACTACTCGAAGGTGTACCTGATGATAAATTCAAGTCCTTCGCCAGATAATAGCTACCCAGGTCAGTCAGGGCGAGCTGCAAGACGTTGTTTTTGTTTTGGATCCTCAGACACGAGCAGACAAAAGCTCAGCCCGAATTATCACGCCTGGGCCGCGCCGTCATACGTAGCCTTCGATTCGTCGAGCGTCCGTCATCAGTCTATATTACATTGATTGTACTAGTGTTTATCCTTTATGTGCGCGCGCAAAAAGGCGCTGCATGTCCTTGGGCAGGGCGGCTGTCGATGTTAGTCTGATATCGCCGCCGCTCCGCAGATGTTACGCTGGTCGATGCGCTCCCTGCGCTCGTACGCATACGCTTGGAGCAGAGGGTCAGCGTAGGGGCCGGAACCTGAGATAATGAGTACCTTTGAGTGGCAAGGGCAATCGGAATACGCTTACCCAAGTACTTGATCACCGTACATGAACCGGGGCCGCCTCGGTGACCTCCGGCGGGCGTCGCGCAGCCTTCTCGGCGAGTCGCTGACGATGCTGCTCAAGACGCGCGTATAGTCGTGCTCGAGCCTCCTCCACGCGTTTCTTCTTGTTATACTCGTCTAACGCCTTCTGATTCGCTGCTTGAACCCTGGAGTCAGCTTCGGGGCCAAACGCTGCGCATACGCGGTGAGTACATGGGTATGACGATACGCGGAGGAACGTACATGGACCATTGCCGAAAAAGTGGACGGAGCAGCCGATCTCCCATAACTCCTCGCAGCCAAGGATGTGGGGAGCGGGTGGACCGCTGTATTCCTTCAAGGGCATCTTCAGACCGCACTGGTGTGGCTCTACGTATTGGAAGCCGATGAGGAACGCTCGTTCGCGAGATTCGTCGAAGAGGATGTGTCGCGTATCTTCACCCAAGCCGTTGTGTTGAAAGCCGGCCTTGTGCAGAGCCAGCACCGCTACCACTGCCTTCATTCTACGTCGATCAGCACGAGATAGAAGATTGAGGCCGGATGCGCACCTTCTGTCCGCACGCTCGAAGCTCTTATCCATCTTGGGACTGCTGTATGGCAGGCCCGCCCACTCCATGAACGCGCAAGCTATGCTCACGCCCCACGGCGTAGTCCCGATCCAAATCCCATAGTGCCTTGGCACACAGCGCCCCTGCAGCTCAGCTAGATGCTCCTGGTAGAAGACAGCTTCTCGGTACAAGGCCGCCAGGTGCGGATCGCCATATTCGCCGGGTTCGATGTGGAGAGCGGCCTTGATCGCAAAGCGCTTGCGGGTGGCGGAGCGGTCGGACGGGAAAGTTTCCGCGTAGAATACAAGCGAGGAGGATGTGCACCAGTCGGTGCACCAGGTTTTGTACCTCTCAAAGGGTATCTGCCTGTGGGATATGCGGGGGAGGGCCGTTACGAAGCGATGGGGAGGAAGTGCACGGAAGGAATTGGCGTCCAAGCCTCGGCCATACTTGCAGGGTCGGAGGATGATGCTCGTAGCGGTTCCCGCGAGTTGAATCTCAACACCAGGCTCGTCGCCGATGAGTGGCTGCTGGGACATGACGGTTCAAGTACAAGAAATGCTGATGTCTCGCCGCGTGTTGTTGAAGGCGTGACACCCACGTGGACATCATGTTTCGATGGCTGCACCTTGGAGGGCGAGCAGCGACGGTGTTCCATATCGACTCTAGCGGCAATTCAGGTCGATGATGGAACCATGTGGAATGCGATATCGATGCTGCTTCAGGGAACAACGGTGGAGTTGATCATACAGACAGAGCACGGGTATAGTGTACAACGAGAAAACATAGCATCTACGATAGCGGTGTTCATCCACGAACATGCACGGCAGTAGACGTCTGCGCCATATTCTGTTGATCGCGGGCCTGAAGGCGTGCATGTCTTGCCTTGTTTTCTTTAACGCGCTTTAGCCGCTCCTTCAGCTCTTGCTCTTCGAAGAATTTTTCGTTCGCTTCCTGCACTTCAGGGCACGCTTCAGGGCCGAACACTGTAAGGGTATGTGAGCGACGAAGAAAGGCGAGGAGCGGAAACACGCACAAGGGCCCAGACCAAACAACCCGATGGCCACGCCCAGATCCCGCAGCTCCATGCACCCGAAGACATAGGGATCGGGAGGAGTCTTGTACGCCTTGATCGCCATCCTCGGATGGCACTTGTGTTTTTCTCCTCGCGAAAAGTCAATGATGTAGGGTCGCTGGCGCTCGGTGTCGTACAGGAGATGACGATAGTTTGGTTCGACGAGGTCGGTGTGTTCATAGCCAACGTCGTGTATGGCCTTCATCGCGTACATGATGTCCAGACTGTGAGCAGAGTGAGCACCTTGCGTGTGTTGTAAGTACCCATGACGCACCGTTGCTTCTCTCCTTGCTCGCCCGGGCCAATGAATTCTTCTTTGAACGGTACGCCGCCCCATTCCATGATCGCACAGCCCATCGTTCCGCCCCAAGGTGTACTGCATGTCCAAACCCCGTAGTGTTTCGGTACAGACTTCCCTTGCAGGTGCTTCAGACGTCTGGCATAGAAGCGCGCCTCTATACAGAAGTTGCGCAGGAATTGATGGCAAGGCTTGCCATCTACGACGTTGAACGCCACCTTGAGCGCGAACCGTTGAGATGGGACGGCCGGGTCGGATGGTTTCGTCTCCGCCTGGAATACGAGGCAGGAGGGCGAGAACCACTCGCGACCGTATGTGCTATACGTTTCGTATGGAATGAGCTTGCCGCGAATGCGGGGCCAGTTGGCGTATAGGCGATCTTGGGGGAGAACGTGGAAGCTGTTCTCGTCGACACCGTTGAATAGCTGGGGTCGAAGTATGCAAGCGGCTTTGGTGCCTGGTAGCACGACGGTGGTGCCGGGTGTACCATTGATGAGAGGCTGCTGGGACATTATGGCGATTTCGATGGCAGCAGTGTTGGTGGTGGTGGTTGGGTTGAAGGTGGCGCACTGCGGGCCAGCGATCAACAGACGCTTGGTGCTCACGTGATCGCGCCTCGAGGCAGTCATTTATTCCAACCGCATTGTTCTGACTCAGCTCTCATGCCTTTTTTGGCCTTCGACGGTCAAACACGCCTTCGAACATGGCCAAAGCTGTGCAACAAACATCGATCATCATGTAATCCAGAGACCGGGGTATGGCCTCTAATATATAACGTCGACCTGCGCGTACGCGACGATCCACTTCACCATGTCTGTTGCTACGGAGATCTCCCTCGACCATGTACACGCTCTGCTCCTTCGACTGTCCGAGGAGCTGACAGAATTCAAAGCGATGCTCCCAGACAGATTTCAGAGGTTCGTCGGGCAGGCAATCTCGGACGTGTCCGATTGTATGTGCTATATCAAGCCCCCATCCGAAGAGCCAGGACATTCGGACCCCGCTGCCCAAGAGACGCGCGCCGCCTCCCCCGATCGCTCATACGACATTCTCGATGGCATTCCTATGCCTCAGAGTCGTATCGACAGGTGAGATGCACATTCCTGCCCGTTAGTCCTCCATGCTAACGACAGGTTCTCAGTGAGAGGCAGATAGCACAGGCAGTGGATCGATTGCGTCTTTCTCTCACATTTTCAAACGACGACGAGCCCGAGAATGACAACAGGTGAGTCTAAGCGCTTCCTCGAGGCAGAGTACTCATCTCAACCCAGCACACATTTTGAATACCCAATCAACGTTAACGCTCCTGATGAGCCTCTGGGTGCGGGAATACGCACAGATGGCCATGAAACGGACCACGGACTGGAGCTCGTCGAAGCGGAAGATGAAGATCCTGAACAAGAGATCGAAGGTTCCGAAGAAGTCTGCGCACGTCAATGCCTCACTCTCGACGATTTCGACAGGACCTATTCGGCTCTATTGGATGAGATTAACCGCGAGGACCCTTCCTTCGTACTCGATGAACGAGCGCCAGCACGAAACGACGACGACGGCGACGGCAACGGCGACGGCGACGACGGCGACTCCGCCGTATCTTTGCTTGATTCCGCTTTCGAAGGTCTATATGTAGTGGACTCTGGGCATGAACCTGTCGCTGGCAGAGACTCCACTTCGGCATCCATGACCTCCACGATACTAGATTTTGAGACCTGGGATAGCTTCTCTGCCCTTCTTCGAACTGCTGCCTTCGCGCGACGACAGAAGGTGCCAAGTCCCGAGCGTCCCTTGGTGTCTATCTTGGATGCATTGATCGCACGGATTCCTCCCACGGCACCCCTCCTTCTAACCTACCTATGCGGCCATCATCGACGCGTACGCAAAATCGAAATCTCTGTTCCAGAGAAATTTCGTCTGACCAAAATCGTGTTTCTCGACAACCTTGGCGACTTGGCGGAGAAACTGACGTATTCTCATTTTCTGCTCGGAAAGGCCACCACCAATGTCGACGAGCTCTCCAAGGACGTGCTTGAGCAGGCTTTCGAAGGCAAGCTCGAGGGTGGAGGCGGACAACCTCTGGGAGATGACGGCCGTGCTACTGTCCACGGCGTTCAGAACTCGATGAACCACCAAAAGGTATCTGCCAGAGAAGCAGACATCGAGCGCCACTTCTTCCGCGGTTCTGGTGAGCTCTTGACGGAAGCCCTCAACAAGGTGCCAGTGCCGGGAGGCTATTACATGCGCAACGGCAACAGTGCGTTAAAGCAGGACATTGAGAGCGACCTCGTCCCTGGCGTTCGTGCTACCACCGACATCGACGACATATACGACGACTCCCCGGAATCTGGCGTGGAGATGAAGGGTAAACTCGACGCACTGTTCCTCGTCCAGCTTCTAGGCGGCATGAACAAGGTCCTCGCTGAACACACGACTGCGCTCGCGGAGCAGCAGAGACGATGCCCCGGCTACGCCTACAAGTTCTTCTGGCCGTCGGAGGACTTCTACATGTACAGCGCGCTCCAGATGGTCGTCCAGGTCTATACCGCCATGTTCTACAAAAAGTACCGAATCATGGAGCTGTCTAACAGCGACCGTTCGGTCTTTTTCTTCCGCCCGTCCGTGGAGAGCACGACACTCTACATCTCGCGAATGTACACCACCCCGAACTACCGGCCAGATGACACGGATGCCTCGGAGGGTACGGTGCTGGACTGCATGACGAACTTGACGCGCTTTGCGATGCGATATGTCGTCGCCTATCCCGAGTTGCTCGACGAGCTGGCGAAGGCCGTACCTGAGCCCCGGACGAGGCACTGGAGTGCACTCAAAGGGAAAAAGAAGACCACAGAAGCGGGCATTGACTCCAGGTCTTGGTGGTCGCACGGAGCAAGGTATTACCCTGAAGACGAGAAAAAGCCATCGCGACTCACGGCCCGGCAACAAGCGATGGAGAAAGCAAAGGCAGCCAAGGACGGGGACAAGGGCAAGGGGAAGACGATGTCGTAGACATTTGTGCTGGATCTGGATTGGACTGGACTGAATATGGTTGCGCGTCTGACATTCATCATCACGATATTAGGAAGAGTACCACGCAAGGCGCGTTGATTACATCTGGAATGTATCATGTTATGACTCGGTGGCAACGCCATTTGCTTCCGTCCTAGTATAATAACCTCATCCCATTCCTGTATACATCCTTGAAGTCTTGATACAATATCCCTATTCCCTCCCTTACAAACTCGACTTAAACCAAAGGTTGCATCACCGTCATCACTGGTAGTTGACCGTCGCCTTCGTATAATTCGTCTCCGCGAAGCCAAGCTGCGCGTTGGCGCTATCGTACACGGAGTAGAACCGCTCGAGGAAGGCGTAGCCGTTGATGAAGTCGAGGCCCTCGCCGGACGACGTGCCCAGATCCGACACCACGAGGTACAGGCTGTCTGCCGAACCACCTATCGCCTCGTTGAGCGCCGTAGGCCACAGCTGGGCGTCGGGGATGAGCTCGTAGGTGACCTGCGAAATGGCGCAGATGAGCGCCTTGTCAAAGAATAAACGCGGAAGATGAGCGTACCCCATTGATGTCAAAGAACAAACTCTCCAGCGCGTCGAACTGCGACGCAGAGATGGAGAGCAGGCCCGTCGTGCTGTCCAATGTGGCGCCCGTGGCATCGACGTACGCGTCATACGCGTCCGTAGCGAGGTAGAGGAGAGTGGTGCCGGTGTCCGTGATGCCAGCAGTGAGCGAGAGAATTTCTTGGCCGCCATATGAAACGGTCTGGTCATAACCTGGGAACGCTGTCAGGCGCAGATAGACAGAAGCGCCGAAAGGACGCACCCCAGTAGTAGGTCGCCGGCTCCGTGGCCGTCTTGGGGCTGCCAGCAGAAGGGCCGCGTCAGCTATGAGATCGAGCGTGGAGGTGTTGGATACGCACAAGATATTGAGATCCCCGGTGTAAAGCGAGTCGTCGACGCCGCCTATAGGACGTGTGAGAACGCAGATAGACGCGATGCTGGCTATAACGCACCGAAAGTAAGAACACCGTTCTGAACCTCCTCAGAGGTGGTTGGTGCGAACGAGATGCCCAAGGACCACTCGCTGATGACGCCGTTGTTGTACAGGTTGTCAGTCACGGTCGGGATTTCCTCGCTCGAGGTCAGTAGCGTCCCTGGGACGAGCTCAGTGTCTTGAGAACCTGAGACCAACGAGGCGTTCCAACTTACCAGAGGTGAGGTACGTTGGCCCAATGCTTCACAGGTCGCTCTATCAGCCAACGCATGATAGGAAGAATCTGGGAGGCTCACCCAAGGATTCCATCGTAAGGGCTGAAGCCAGAACTGCAGAAAGAGGTTTCAGGGCGATAGCATTGACCAGAGATGAAAGGGTACGCACGCAAGGAACGCAACACCGATGGATTGCTCAGGGATGACCAGCTCATCGGTCAAGGTGACCGTGTCGATGTACTCGAGCCCTGCATTTCCGGTATCAAGAAAGATGGCTACTGTGAAGGGGTACGAAACACGCACCGATGAAGAATCCGGACCCATAGGTAACCTGTACGATATCCCCGGTCGACTGCGACGAGCTCGTCGGCTCGTAATCCGTCACGGCGCCGACCTGAGCAGGGATTATCAGACCTCGCTACATTGCCCTCCTAAGCCCTCACTCACCCACGTGTTTGAGCTACCGGTATCGACGATTAGGTTGTCTTCGCGCCGGGTCAGCTGAGCACATCGTCCGCCCATCGCGCGCAGCACTCACACGTCGTCGGCGGCGACCCCACGCCCACCTCCGCAATATAGATAACCGCCTCGTTGATAACGGGCTCAGACAGGTTCGCCGCAGCGACCGTGCCCGGGCTCCTCAGCGCCTTCGTCTTCAACGCCTGCGCGCGCTGCCGCCCCGACGCGACGAGCTGGTGCCCGCTCGTCACGTTGAGCTCCTTGAGCAGCGACACCGACACCGGCGCGCGGGGGATGATGACCGGGCTGGCTATGGCGGCGAGCGCCAGGAGGAGCGAGCTGAGGAAGCTGAGGGCGGCCATGACTCGGAGGTGGTCTCGCTGGTTCCGGGAGGAGGAGTGAGCCCAGGGTGTCCGGGCGAGCGCATCAGGGTTATATAGCCAGCCTCCCAGAGCATCATGCTCGCGATGTGCTTCTTAAGTGGCGTAGGGATTCCTATGTCGAAGGGCTGCAGAGTTCCTTGCTGGCGTGCGCCTCTGCGTGTCGCGCCACAGCTGTGGGTATGTAGTGGCTGATGAGTCCGACGGTGCGTACCTGCGGCGATGGGAGGCGCTCGACGATGAGTGCCTGTGCATAAGGATGAATATTCGTGCTTACCTATACCTCAGCACGCAGAAGCAGTGGTCGCAACCCTGCGTACCGGTCTAGTACCGTTGCGCGCTGAAGCGTCCCTTGCATGCCAATGCTTCCCTTTCCGAGCAGAAGGGCAACACCTGCTCTGCGTTCCTATCACCGCACACCACGCATTTCAATGTCCCGATGACGCGCATGTTTTCGCATGCCAGTGCCCGCGAGCTTCGCAGGAGCCAGTGACCCACGTCCTTCTCATGCACCGTGACTGAGAACGTCGGGAAAACGCGATAGCAAAGATAGCAGGCCTGGAAGAGCAGCTTGAGACGTCCCGACTGAGGAGGTGGGCAGTCTCACAGTTGAGCCTAGGGTGTTCATCCAGCTGGATATGCCGCGAGGCGCGATGGTGACGCGGAATGAGATGGTCGTGAAGGGCTTGGCGCAGATAGCCATGTCCTAACGGGGACAGCGCCTTACATTTCCTAATGGGGTCAGCACACGAACCGTAACGCGCCCACGTACCGTGACTGTGCGCGAGGGGTGTGCAGTAAAGGTTCGAGGAAAGCACCAGTACTATTCGTTTCTGAGATCAAAGGAGCGGTATGGTACGATGAAGACAATATAAGAGACAGAACAAATCGGCGTACGAAGCATGAGAGACAACGAGCGACTGGACGCCATTGAGGTCCATGCCACTACTGGGTCTGGCTATTGACCGTCGCGTTCGTGTACTTGGTCGTAGCGAATCCCATCTCCGCGTTTGCGGTGTCGTAATACGAGTAGAACCGCTCGAGGAACGCGTAGCCGTTGATGAAGTCGAGGCCTTGCCCCTCCGGGCTGCCCATGCTCGCCACTACGAGATAGTACCCTTTGGGCGTGCCTCCAATATCTGCATTGCGGGACCGCGGCCACAGCTGCGCGTCGGGAACAAGCTCGTAGTCCACCTACACGACCGTCGGTATTGTGCAAGCATCGCAAGGAGCGCATGGTAGAGAATGAGACGCACCCCGTTGACGTTGAAGACCAGGCTTTTCATCTGTTTGAACTGCTTCTCCGTAACCGAAAGCAGACCCGTGTTTCTATCGGGCACTGCTCCAGTTTGCGCTACATACATGTTGTACGCATCCGTGGGCAGGTAGATGAGGGTGGTACCGGTGTCCGCAATCCCGGATGCTTGTGAGAGGATAGTTGTGCCATTGTAGGTGATAGATTGATCGTAGCCTGTAGGGCGCCTGTCAGTGCTGACGCGAGTGAAGCGAAGCGAGTGCCTCACCCCAGTACGCGCTCGCGGGCGAGGTCGTCGTCTTCGGGCTATAGATCGCCGGTCAGCAGTATACTTCAGCCCATTGTTGCGGCAAGGAAGGACGCGCAAGCGATGTAGCACTCCCGTATACAATGTGTCGTCAGCACTGCCTGCATAATTTTTCATGAGAGGTATTGCAGACGTGCGCCGACGACGTAAGCTCACCAAATGTCAGAACCCCTCCAGGAGACTGAGAGGCAGCGGGCGCAAAATAGACACCCAGAGCCGGTTGCTGAATATTTCCCTGTGTATACAGATTGTCCGTCACAGTAGGGATCTCCTCCCCCGGGCTGAAAACGAGTGATCCTGATGCGAAAATCAGAATGTCGACGGACTAACGCCGGTCTAGGTCCTACCTGCGGTCAGATCCGTCGGCCCAAGACTGCAAAAGACGCTTTAAGCCGAAGGACAGGGCATATGCACCACCAACGGTGCTTCTCACCCAAGGATACCGTCAAATTTGGGCCCTATTCCTCGGCTGAAGGGGCCTCAGTATCGAAACAACAAGGAAAAAATGGGGAGGTTAAACTCACGAATATCTGGCGACGCCAATGGATTGTCTATGGACAACAAGCTCCCTCGAGAGCGACACTCTGTCGATCCACTCCGTACCTGCGTGCGCAAATGAGGCAGTCGCTTCTCGTGGGAGACCTTGCTCACCCAGAAAGAAACCAGAGCCATACGTAACCTCGACCGGCTCATCCGTGTCCTGGGAGGTGTCGCTCGGCTCGTAAGATTTCGCAGCGCCAACCTGAGACGGACGCGTGAGCGACGCACATAGCGTTTGATCAAGTACACTCACCCAGGTGTTCGAGCTCCCGGTGTCGACGATGAGATTATCTGCGGTTCTTTGTCATTGGCTTAGTATCAAATTTCTTTGGGACTGTACTTGCAAGTCTCCCCAGCGGAGCCTACCCCGACAGGGGCGGTGTAGACAACATTTTGGTTGAAGACGGGCTCGTCGGCGGGATGGTGCCTTTGACCGTTTCCATAAGCTCTCAGCGCTTGAGCACGCTGTCTGCCAGCCGAAACCATTTCCTGACCACCAGTGACATTGCGCTGAAGGGTCAGAGGCAGGTTGACCGTCGCATCCGCTCGGGGCTCAACCACGGGGCTGGCCACAACAGTGACAGCCAGAAGAAGAAGGCAGTAGAGACGAGAAGAGAACATGCTGAAGCGAGTGGCTAGGATCCGGGTGTAGAGAAGAGCCTGACAAGACTGGGCGAGCGCACCTGTGTTTTATAGACGACTTCGTCGCCTCCCAAAACAAAGTGCATCCTGTAGGCGATGTGTATCCCGCTGCAGTAGCTTCCTACTGTACACCATATCAGAGTAGGACCCGCTGGCATACGACCTACTTGAGCTGGAGCAGCGACTTACAGGCCTATAGCAGTAGGATAGTCCCGGTTTACGCGATGGCGGCGGTGAACGAGACTGAAAGACCACCTATGCACATCCAGTTGATGCTATATCTTCCACCAACACAAGAGTCGGTAAGAGCAGGTGCGGACTTTGTGTAATCGGTCGCGGACCGCATCGCATTGTATGTCCCAAAAGAGCCCCAATGCACGTCGTCGCCCGTTACAAGGCCGCTCTAGTAGACATAGTTGCAATCAGTCGGAGCTTCAGGCAGCGAGAGTAGATTGAACGAGAAGTCGGAACGGCCGTGCCAGCGTTCTCGCAGAACGAGATGACTGCCCTGTCCAAGAGCTCTTCGGGCCCAGATTTTGCCCAAATCCGGATGAAACGCGAATTGTCACAAAGTCACGTGATGTGACTGGTCGCGTTTGCCGCCTTCTACTCGAGATATGACGATAGATATTCTGATGATAAGAGCAGCCAAGGCCTCGTCAGCCGCGCCAAGTATGCGAGAACATATGGGCATAAAACATGCAACAACCACAATGTACTAACGGAAACGGTAACCAACTACAGCGGTACACAGGCAAGTGCGACAACGGCATACCCACAGCGAACGAATGGTACACCAACTTGAACGAGGAGAGGGCGCAGTATACAGCCTACACTCGACAGCAAGGGACAGCGACAGATAGCGTACACCACTCTGCATGCTGCGTACACAACAACACAACGTCCGGAAGCCAACCAATGATGAGAACATGTTAAATGCGGGGAAGGGGAGAGGGGGAACGAAGAGAAGAGGTTGCCATAACAAAATCAGAGCGAGGATGCAGGCAGAATACATACGGGTTAATATAGTACAACGAACGTCCCATACGTGGGGGCGCTCCTTCATCGTGTCGGCCAGCGTCCGCATCATAGTCATATCATGTCCGGTGTTCGCCTCGAGAGCGAGAGCCCGCCTGGCACTAGTAATACCGCGGGCCCGCCGTCCCGGGACTGGTGTCCAGCGCGCCCGGGCTGTCGTACAACAAGTGGCTCCTCCCCTTCCCAAAGAACCCGCCCGGGCTATCCCCCATCCCCCTCAGCGCGCTCCGCCGCACCTCCTCATCCAGCAGCGCGCTCGTGTCGTAGTCGTCGAGCACCAAGCGCCCATTGGGCGTCCGGAACGGCGACATGCCCGGGTACCCGCGCGTCGGCGTGCGGTACGGCGATGTGTGCGGCCACAGATTCGCGAGCGTCACCGACTTGCGCGGGGGCGTGACCATGCGGCGCGGCGGGGTCGTCTGACGCGTGTTGCCGTTGGGCGGGCTGCGCATGTGCGAGGAGCTCTGGCCGGCCATGGGGTGGTCCAGGTGCGACTTGTAGTGCTCGAGGCTGGTGACGGGGCTCATCTGCGAAAGGGGGGAGCGGCCGCCAGAGGGCGAGTATTGGAGACTGCGCTTGCGCGCCTGGCGGGGAGGAGGCGTCGATGGTGGACCGGGGCTTACTGAGCGGCGAAGAACATGCACACGGGTACTCTCCGAGTGCCGATAGCCGGGGCTACTAGGCGAACGAATAGGTGGCAGAGGGCGAGGGTCCTGCGTTGGGTCAGTACCGAAGGTACAAGGGGCAAGCGAGAGGCTCACATCAGGAATGTCGATCAAGTCGTTCAGGCTAAGCCGTTTGCCAGGCAAGCGACTACTTGACGAACTACTAGAGCTGCCTGCCGATGGAGGCCGCGCCGCATCCAGCATGATGCCAGGCTGCAACGCGCTCGAGCTACTCCGCGACCGAGTATACAGCGGCGCGGGGTGCATCAGACCGTCAGAGGTCATATCACTATCAGGCGGAAGCTCGATGTCCAGCTCGGTACCAGTGACAGTGTCGTTACTGCTCCGATGTTTATTGCTTGAGTAGTCATCGTCGTCCTCCGCCGCACTGAAGTCCGCGTCGCTCGAGGGCGGCATAGAAGATGGCGGACTGGACGAGCTGTGATTCGGCGTGAGGGCTGGGACGGATGGCAGGGAGGATATCGAGCCCGTCGAGCGGGGAGGGCGACGGCGCATGGCGGGCGGTTCCACGGGCGAGCCGTCCTCAAGCTCCTCATCCTGTTCGCCATGCTCCGAACCGTTCTGCGATGCAGGGAACGAGCTCGAAGATGACGAAGCCGCAGCAACAGCGCTCATCGCCACCCTCTGGAAGTTCGACGTCGCCGGGAGCGGCGGGAAGATGATGCCCGGAGGCTGCTCCGTCGCCGCATAGTACGGCTGATGATGCGTCGCAGGGCGGGTCGGCGGGAAGAGAGGTTGCGCGTGCAGCGCTGGCACAGCCGCCGGTGACGGTGGACTATCCAACGCGGGCCTCGCCTTCTTCGGCGCCCGCTCGGCGGTTGCGGCATCTTCGTCTTCCGCTGCACGTTTCCTCCTATTACTGCGGCTCGGCTCCTTCACGTTGGCGTCCTTGCACTTGTGCTTCTTGAAGCCCCCGCCCTCGAAGCACTCTAGGTCCTGGTCCCATATCGCCCAGAGACTCCTGCCGACCGACCGATCGCGCGGCACCTTGCGGAAGACCACGGTCGTGCTGAGCACATGCCGGATGCTGTTCATCCACGTCGTCTCGCCGCGCTTGAAGTACGGGTACACGATGGTGATCCAGTCGTAAATCTCCTGCAGGGTCAAGCGGTGCTCCGGCGAGGATAGGATTGCTTGGCCGATGATGGCCGCGTACGAGCGCTCGGGCTTGAAGGGAGAATAGGGACCAGGTGGCAGCTTGAACGGCATCGCTTCGTTGTCGGTCTCCTGCGATGGTGACCCGTTCGCAGGCCCTCCAGGGGACGAGACCAGGTTGACAATGCCATGGGCGGGGGAAGATTGAGGCGACGCTTGGGGAGGGGAAGACGGCGGGAAGCTATTCGATGAGAACGTGGTGTCTCTGGGCAGGGTGCGGTTCGCTTGAGGTGTCACAGGCTGTGCGCCAGAGCCTCCGGCGGCAGGGTATGGCAAGGGCAAGTAACGCGGGTAGGCTAAGTAAGGGTTGTAGGAGGCCGACGAGGATGGTGGCTGGGAAGACTTCGCGGCAGCTGTTGACGCGGTGGAGGTCGCGCTTGATGTCGAGGCAGGGGCCGTCTATGATGATCAAGCGTTAACACAGCACTACTTCGGGCATGCACATTCCACATACCATCGTCCGCGCAGATGCCTTCATCGGCTCGACTAGGGTATGTTCTCTGTAATATTTGCTCATGGAGGGGGTGAATAGTGACGCGCCCATCTGTATAGAGAATCAGAGCGATTCATATCCAGTGTATCCACACTCACCTGATTGGCGTTATCTGTCGATCTGCTTGCTTGTGGCTGGACGCTGACCCCCCGTGACGATGCCACGCTAGCTGCCCGCGACGCGCTAGGGGTGGGCGACGGAGGATGGCCCATCGGCGCGCGGCCGCTCGCCTTCTCCTTGCGCTTCTTCTCTCGCCGGCTCTGGTTCTGCCGTTCGATGACCGCTTCCATGGACAGCGGCACGGTCGCATCACGAGGCTCGGCCTTCACTGGGGTCGCGGGGGGCGACGCGTCCCGGCCGGTCATCGAACTCGCGCGGGACATCGGGCGCGCGTAGGCAGCCTGCGAGCGGCCCAGGCGCGTGCATGGCTGGGCTTCGGGGGCGGGGGCGGTAACGGAGGGGACGACGTCGGCACCTCGTGCACCGTCGTTGTCGAGGAATTGGCGCATTTGGCGGCTACGCTTGTCGAGGTCGTCACGCGTCATGCCGAGCGTCTTGAGAAGTTGGTCAATGGGGGAGAGCTCCGGTGCTGGCTGCGCCGTCTCCGCCATCTTCGAGGACTTTGGGCGTACTATGCGAGCGTCGCGGATCGGGTGCGGGTGAATGCGACGCGCTTCGCCGCCGGAGAAAATTTGTGGGTGGCGGACGATCTGTATCGCTTGAGCGCTGCGTGATGCAGAGAGGGATGGGGGCGGTGGGGAAAGTGAGGAGTCTGGGCGAAAACGATATGATGGTCGGAGCGAAGACTTGAAGAATTCATCTGCCTCGTTTCCTCCGGAAATTCCTTCCTTTTTCGGCGCGCCTCGTGTTCCCCTCCTCAAATCATGCTAAGTCTACTTCGACTCCGGCGATCCAGCGCTTCATTGGTATGTTGCCTGCTCTACTTTACATATACAAAGTCCTTAGATATCCTACCCGAATTTGCTAACTCCAAATCACTTGCAAACCGGTCTACGGCGCGAAGTCTAGGAAAAGGGGGATCAGCAAACGCGCCTGCACACCGCGGTTATGCGTGCCCTAGCTCACCATCTTCGTCCAGTAGCGTGTTCTCCTCCAGACACGCGTCGATATACGCGGTTAACACGAGATGCCGGCGTTTCGGCCTGCATAGGGTCCATTAGTTCCTATACAACAAACATTGTCGTACACATCGCTCACTTCGACGTGCGCCTCATGAGATCTATCCTCCTGCTCAAATCCCGCTTATCCAGCACGACATGCGTCAACTTCGGCTCGCTCAGGTCGACCACTCGGCCTCCGTTGCTCTCGATCTTCGATCTCAGCTCTTCAAAGCTGCGTGTTTGGGATCCACGCTGATTAGATCCTACGTATTCGGGCTGAAGACTAGCAACACACGCACCTCTCGTTGATCTCATCCTCATGTGCGGTCGATTTAACGGACATGCCGGATGCGCGTGCGTTGGAGGGCGAGTCGAGGTAGAAGCATCTGCGGGCGGGGTTCGCGTGAGTATCGCGGGCATCGTGGTCTTGGTGCACTCACAGGTACTTGAATATGAGCTCCTCGTCGTAATGCATCGCGTTGTCGTCGCCCATCTTCACTTCCGGTTGCGTCGTGGGGGCGTCATCCCCCTTCTGCGTGTCGGCGGTCGATTGTGTGGTCTTTTGCGTGGGAAGCGTGGCCGTGGCAGAGTCATCTCCGTCGTCCTCGTTGAACCAGAAGGCCATGTCATCCTCTTCCTCTTCGTCCTTGACATCTTGATTGTCCGAGTCGTTGTCGGACTCGACGTCGTCTCGGCCACCGCGCTCGTCTTTCTCCCCTGCATCGTCCTCCACTCCCGCCGCGTCGTCCTCGTCATAGCCCAGCCACGCCGCAAGCCCCGGGTCCAGGTCGACCTTGGGCTTCGAGGGTGCAGGTGTGGCCTTCTCCTCGTCGGCGGTCTTGTCCTGCGTTTCCGGTTCCGCCGACTTGCCAGCTCGCTTGCGCTTCTTGCTGCTCTGCGACGTCTCCGCGGCGGCCTCATCATCCGACGACTCCTGCGTCACGCTGCCGCTCGATTCAGCACCGCCATCCTCGCCGTACTCGGCGGTCTCTTTGCGCGCTGTGGTGGCGAAGAAGAAATATCTGTTGAAAAGCTCAAAAAGTATGTTGTGCGAGATGAAGACCGACACGCACTTCTTCTCCATCGGCACCAACTCGCCCTTTGCGATACAGTCCATCACCCACTGAGGGCGCACCACGTCATTCGTGTCCTTCCGGATGATGAGTTGGAGGTCGTAGGCTACATCCTTCGTCAGCACATATCGCCGCCAAATCGACTATTCGAAACCGAAACAATGATTACAGCGTTTTGCATAAACCTTGTCTGGTCCGCGTCGAAGGAAAAAAGAAAGAGTTTGCTTGACTTAGCCGCGAGACGCGCATCCGGACTTTGCCGCGCAGCCTGGCGCGTGATGCGTCGCTCAAAGTTGACCGATTTTGCTGCCCCAATTCTTGCCAGACCAAATCAGGGCCTTTGTGGTGTCTCCAGAGAGCATGTACACCGTCACAGCACTTGCGAGAAGCCGCTTCACACTGTATGAGTGCCGTTCCAGTAGGCGAAGCGTTGCCCCGCGCCAAGTGACGTCACGGTTGGCGGATGTGCTGGCCAGTGTCGTCTACGGCTAAGTCAAGCAAACTTTTTTCTTCTTCCGCGGCGAGCACCAGACAAGGTTTTCGCAAAATGCTGTAACATCCAACTTACGCGTCGACGTCCCATTGTACACCACAATTGCAGCCGGGTCCTTCGCGAACTGCGGGCACTGTCCCCCATGCGAGCGGATGAGCTTCATCAACTTCTTCCTGTCCTCCTCGCCCGTCCTTGCCTTCGGGTCGGAGATGACGACTGGCGAAGGTCGCATGAGCACCCGTTCTTCGAGCAATGCACGGTAGACATACCAAACTTCATTCCCTTGAACAAATCGCTCTCCTCCTTCACGTCCTTCATATCCGGTCCGTCGAAGCGCGGGAGCATCTCCACCTTCTTCTTCACGACCTTGCGTTTCTTCGTGGACGAGCTAGACGATCCAGTCAGCACTTGATTCTCATCAACACTGACCGACACAACACGTACACCTTATTCGTCTCCATCTTGCGCTTTTTCGCGGTCTTCAGCTGCTCGACGACGGCTGGGCGACGCAGACGATCAGCTTCCGCCTTGGGGCCGTCAACAAAAAGAAATCACGCACCACTCGCCGTCATGCAGTCCCCCGGAGCCATCTCCTCCCGGATGGACAGCGCGCGAGGAAAGCGCATCGTGTAGCGGACATGGTACTGGTCTGTGAACCGTCAGCGAGGTGCCCTATACGACCCGAGCGAGAAACGCTCACCAGACGGCGTGATTTCCGCTGCCTTGACCTTCAGGATGAACGTGCTGTGAGCACATAGTCAGCTTCACGTCGCCTGTACATCCCCAGCACCACCTGTACACTTACTCCTCGTACTCCAAATACACATCCCCCTTGTCTTCATGCGACCGCTTCGCTGTCTGCAAGTACGTCGGCGAGTTCTTGGCGTCCCACGTCTTCCAGTTTTTCGCGCGCAGCCACATGTAGTCGGCGTACGTTAGGCCAGACCCGACGCGGACAAAGGTGCTGAATCTGCGAAGACACGATTCAGTGCATCTTCCAGTATGGCACATAAAGACTACGCGTACTTGGATTCATTCTCGTTGAAGCTGCCTGTATTCCGGTCGTCGAAGACGGCGCAGATGAGGGTCGAGACGCCGCCGGACCGTCTGCCAGACCCGTAGTTGCCGGCGACGACGAGCACGTCCACGGTCTCGCCCATGTTGTCCTGTGGTTCATGTCCTGTATCAGCTGCGACTTTCTACAATATGACCTCGGACTCACCATATACTCCGGCTTCACCTTAATCCAATCATTATTCCTCCCATTCAGCACATACTGCGACTTCGGGTGCTTAATCACCAGCCCCTCCCCCCGATTCGCCATCACCTCGTCCATCTTCTCCCGTATGTCCTGCGCCGTCCGCCCCTTGAACTCGTCGACGAACTCGATCCGCCCGGGCAGCGCCTCGATGACCAGGCGCATGTTCTTCTTGCGGAAGGCGGTGGACTTGTCGATGAGGGACTTTCCGTTGAGGTACAGGAGGTCGAAGACTTTGAGGCAGGGGCGGGGCGCGGCTTGCTTTTTGGACTGGTCGAGGGCGGCGGTTTTGAGGGTGCCGAAGGGGAGGTTGCGCCCGGAGATGGGGTCCCAGACGAGCATTTCGCCGTCGAGGATGGCGCTGGGGGTTGGTGAGCGACGGACGGTTGGAGTGTGAGGGTTTGCTTACGAGTCGGCCTGCTTGTGGAAGCGGTGCGCGATGTAAGGGGTCAGACTTCCGGCGCCAACGTGCGAGCCGTAGAGGTAGGTGTAGTCCTTGCCTTTCCTGTACAATTGTCAGAGATTAGAAGGTCCAGGTTCACAAACGCCAGTTGCGCAGTACCTCGAAGAGTAGTAGTACTGGTTCCCCATCTTGTGCAACTGCATTCGCTCGCCGTCCAGCTTCTCCTCAATGATGAACTCAGAGCCGTCCATCTCCTGCGCCGTATCCTCAATCCGCTTCATGGGCCGCTTGCAGAGCATGGGCATGAAAGGCTGGCCGAGCTTTACTTGCTTCTCCTGCAATTGGTGTTAGTATGTGGTCTTCGTGAGCCGATGCTGGTGTCCCAGACTGACATCTTCATGGAGTCGGATGCTCGGATCTGCGAGCTGCCATGCCACCTTCTTGAGGTCGGAGCAAGTGTTGTAGAGCGCCTGCGCGTCGGGGTGGAAGACGGCGAAGACGGTGGTCTCCTTGACGGAGATGTTCATGTCTTCCCTGGGCTTGAGTAGGGGAATCGGATGTTGGAACATATCCACTTACCCTTGAGAATGATGCGCGCAAACCAAAGCTGCTGCTCGGGTGTCGCCTCATTGTAAAGTCTTTGGATGATCTTCGACTGCTTCTCTCTAAACCGGCGTCAGCAGGGGCACGGCACAACAACATGCAGACTTACGACTTGTTCGACATGTCGGCAAGCTGGTCGAGCATGTCGTTTATGTCGTCGATGGTCAAGGTGCTCTGAGTGACCGAGGAACGCTTGCTGACGACCTCGTAAAGCACGGTCGGAAAGTCTCCAGATGCAGCCTATGCGTAGGTGAGCGAGCGCACAACAGAGCTTGCGCAAGTACTTGCATGCTTCTCTGTCGGTTTCTTCCAGTACAGCAGCCGCATAGCATCTGGGTCGTTCTTATTCAAGGGTATCACCTTGATGTATAACTTGGCGAGTGCCTTCTCTTTCAGGCCATACACATTGCGTTCTCGGTCGCGCTGGGCCGTTGGTCAGCTAGTAGATAGTAGTAGCAAGTCATATCTTACATGCGGAAGAATCAGTCTCAGTACAGGATACAGGTCTGGTCCATTGTCTTCTCTCCATTTCTATCGCACTCGATGAGCACAACGAACAACACTTCAAGGATATGCATACGTTGAACCAGTGGTTGAGTAGCTTCCTGCGCTTCTCCTGCTTACGCTCTCCTTGTAGCTTCTCAAAGAATGCGGTGAGGATATGGAAGGGGAGGGTGTCGGTGTTATAGGGCTGCTCAGGAAATGGTTGTTGCGAAGCTGTTGTTTGCGAAGGCTGCGGAGAGCCAGGGGCTTCTGTGGGTGCAGGGGTCGCTTGCATATTTGCCACTCGCCGTCGTCAGAGTCCGAGGGAAGCTGGTCGGTGTTCGTGAGATGGCGGCGAGAGTCAACAAGACGCGTGTGGCGCGCCGGTGACGCGACCTGTCACGCCGCGATCGTGACTGCGTTCCGGTTCCGGTCCACGTGGTTGCTAGCACGTGTCGCGCTTCGCAGATCATCGGGCGGATTGCCGGCGAGCTCGGGTGCTGCTTGCCAGACGCCACCACGGCCACAATCTACCTACGCGCCCACCAGCTAACTCGCCATGTCCGCCTTTCCGACCCCGCAGAAGAGCGACCCCAAGATGATCGGTCTCTGGAAGATTGGGCGCACTATCGGCAAGGGATCTTGCGGTACGTCCCCGATCCCATCTCGCCCAGAGCGTCCTTGCTTATGGCTTCTCGCAGGGCGTGTGCGCATCGCTAGACATTCGAAAACAGGGCAATATGCCGCTATCAAGATTATCTCTAAAACTATCGACCCCAACAGCAGCATCGCCGACACGGCCGAGCGCTACAAGCTATCCATTGAACGCGAGGTCGTCATCATGAAGCTGACCGACCACCCCAACATTCTGCGCCTCTACGACGTCTGGGAGACGTCCACTGAACTATACCTCATTCTGGAGTACGTCCAAGGCGGCGAGCTCTTCGATCACATCGTCAGCAAAGGTCGACTCGCTGCGGACGAAGGCGCGCGCTATTTCCAGCAGGTCATCAGCGCAGTCGAGTACTTCCACCGCTTCGACATCGCTCATCGAGATCTCAAGCCCGAGAACATATTGCTCGACCAGGACGGCAACATCAAGATCGCTGACTTCGGCATGGCTACGCTCCAGGCTGTCGACAGCCTCCTCACCAGCGCCTGTGGGAGTCCGCACTACGCTGCTCCCGAGCTCCTCGTCGAGAACGTCGTGTACGATGGAGCTGCCGCAGACGTCTGGTCCTGCGGTGTCATTCTCTACGCAATGATTGTCGGCACTCTCCCCTTCGACTCTTCCGACTTGCGAACTCTCTTCGAGCTGATCAACGACTGCAACTACGTTCTGCCTCCCGACATCGACCCCTTTGCGCAGGACCTGATTTGCAAGATGCTCGTCAAGGACGTTCGCAAGCGTATCACCATCCCTGCGATCAAGAAACACCCGTTCTTCTTGTCGCTACCTTTCAAGGAAACCCCGGAACCTACCTTCGGCACCTCTGCTCTCGAGCCTATTCTTGGCGCCGACATCAAGGAGCCTGAGCTGTTCGCCAACCTGCGCACACTCTGGCACGGACTTCCTGACGCGGATCTACTCGCGAACCTTGAGTGCGCTAAGAAGACACAAGAGAAGACCATCTTCCGGCTCCTCCTTGCTCATCGCCAGAAGGTCCTCGATCAGTATGTGCAAGAAGAGCAAGAAGCGGTCGCGCGAAGACATCAGCAGCAGAGACGAAAGCAGAGGCGGCGGGAGAAGGTCGACAGAGCTGCGGCGCCTCGGAACGACGCTCCTACGCCGAAGCGCGGCGCACGGCACCGCGTGTACCCGAGCGAAGATTCAGCAACTCCTCGCAAGGCTGGCGCCCCGCGCATTGTCTGCTCGTCGCCGTCGCCCCAAGGCAACGTGTCGCAGGTGTGGGATATGCTGGACGACTTGCCTCCGGCTGATGTCTTCACTGCCTCGTCTGGCGACGGCGACTACGACGACGTCTTCCATGCCATCTCCGAGATGGAACCGCTTCATACGGGTGGCACCGCGCCGCTCACGATCAGCCGCAAGCAGAACGTGAACATGGACGCTTTCTGGGGCACGGACAAGGAGAACGCCACGCCTACGGTAACGCCGAAAGCTCCCAAATCCCGCCGCGTCTTCGGCGACCTCAGGGTGCAGACGAACCTGGGCAAGAAGAGCTCGTCCAAGCCCAAATCGAAGAAGCGCCGCGATGAGAACATCGCCACGCCCACCTCGTTCTTCCTTGAGCCGCCCTCGCCCAGTTCGCCGCTAGGCGCGTCTCCGAAGCACAGCTGGCTCCCCGCGCTCTTCCGCATGCGCACGCCGCCGCAGACGCTGCTCTCCACGCATGGCGCCGCGACCGCGCGCTCCGAGGCGCGGCGCCTGCTCATGCGCATGGGCGCGCACGTCGCGCTCGAGGACGTCGCGGGTCCGGGCATCCTGCGCTGCCGGCTCGACGACACGCGGGACGCGGCGGGGGTGATGGGCGCGCTGAAGGCGGTGCGCTTCCGGGTGGAGGTGCGCATGCTGGGTCGGGAGGAGGAGGACTTCCGGGTGGCGTTGCTGGTGGTGCACGAGAAGGGGTCGGCGGAGAGCTTTAGGACGATGTGGAAGAGGTTGCGGCAGGAGTGGACGTTGGATGTGGTGGGGGCGGGGACGCCGTGTGAGGTGGCGCCTATTCCGCCGCCGAAGGATAGACGCGTGTTGGGAATGGCCCTTTAGACATCTTGACTGCACCCGTTTACACAGATGTATATTCATGCGCATAGAAATATCTCCTGGGATACTTTGGCCGCAAGAGAACTGCCTTTCACGCGTCGGACGAAGGCCACGGATAGGATGACGCCTGCTTGTATGAGCGATCCATTCATTGTGAAACTGACCGTGCGCCTGGATGTGTTCTGAATTCATGGACTTCTACACCTGGCTCCGGGATGGTTGACGGTGAGTATGTTGATTCTATGAGTATATGGAATGAGCACACTGATAGTACAATAATATTAGGTGATTAGAGGCGTGCCTCGTATAGGAAAATGTACGCTATCCTAGATGGCGTCTACCGATTCTACGGCGTTCGAAGGAAGTAGAAGCCAAGATACCCTCTCTCAGCCATGCCGATCACGGTCCGTGAGGTTTCCGTAACCTCTTACGCTTGATCGGTCGCTGTTCGACGATTGGTTGCTGCTCGGCGGGCGCGGGGCTGTAGAACGCTTGACCGGTTGTTGCCCAGTCCGTCCGGGTATCGATTCCATACGGAGGGCCATACCCATGCTCGGCGACACTGACCGTATTCCAATGCTCCTTCTTGGCTGGCGGTAGGAGCTTTGCAACTTCGTCGTAGAGGTCGTTCGCAGCGATGTATCGCATGGCGAACCGGGTGAGATTGGTCATACAATCCGGCGTGTTGGGGTCTTCGCTGGTGGCGTGCAGGTCCAGCGTGTTGTAAACACGCGAAACATACAAAGTCGTGCTCTCGAGGGAGTCTCGGAAGAAGAAGACGGAGCGGTCGCTGCTTGAGAGTTCGTAGACCCTGAGCTTCTTGTAAACCATAGCGGTGAACACCTGCACGATCGCTTGTTCTTCCACGCGCATGTAGACACCTGCCTCAGGCCAGACGAACCGATGCGCGAACCCGGGACAGTGGTGAAGCTGGTCCTTGAAGGCTTTCACGTTCTCCTCGTCGAAGAGTCCCACGCGCAGGAGGACCGTGATGAATGCATTCTTGAGCGAGCGCTCGGTCTTCATCTCGGTGGCGGATGTCACCTTCTTGCCTTCGCGGCCAAAGACATCTTCCACGTCGGGGCTTGCATTGACACTAGAGTTGAATTCACCCTCGTGGTCTTTGCTGGACGAGCTTGAGCCACTACGAGCATAGTGCAATATACCGAGGCATCTAAGGCAAGCAGAGATGATCTCGCAATGGGTCCGGCGATAGTGGTGTTCGATGTCCGCTTCTCGGGAGGCGTTGAGGACATGTTCCATTGACTGTAGAACACTCTCCAGAGTAGCGATTGCTTTATCGTCCAGCAGACCCAGCTTGATGTCATCGAGAGGGCCTTCGAAGGCCTTGCGAACCTCTGCCTCCGTCAAAGCCTTTGATGAGGTGGGCTTGAGGATGCGGGTGTAAACCACCTGTTCGTAGAAGTCGCCCAGGTTCTCGCAGTAAACGAAGGTCTCCAATCGCAGGTTCTTAGGAATGACGATTTCGACCTTGCGCCCCTTGCGAGATCGTGGGCCGGCGAAGCTGTCGACAAGGGGAGGGGTCGAAGGGGTGAGGAGAGTCAATCCCTGCAAGAACGTCTTGGGAGAGGAACTGCGTCCGAAGCGCTTTGCGACGCAGCGAAGGATTAATGAGGTGTCCCCAATCGGTGTCAGGCCAGGGTAAAGGATTCTGAAAGCAGCTGCGATAGACTCATACGCTGAATCTTCGGCGGGGCCATGATTGCTCGGATCGTTGTGATCACCGTCGTGGTGATCATCGTCGTTGTGGTCATCGTCGTTGTGGTCATCGTCGTTGTGATCATCGTCGTTGTGATCATCGCCGTCGTGGTCATCGTCGTCGATATCGCTATCGCCACTGGTTTCGTTAATGTTGAGAGCAGAGACGATGCGCGAGAGCTTGCCGTCGGCGTCGTCATCATCTTGGTGGGGATCATACGGACCAAGGGATGGATCAGCTCTCCTGACCATCTCCAATATGGATGGGATGCTGGCGTCGAATTCTGCCATCGACATCTCATTGATGCTGCTGTCGCTGCTGTCGATGTCCTTGTACGGAGAGAAGACATCCGACGGCTCTGGGTCCTGAAGAACCCTGGCAATGAAATCCTCGCTTGTTTCAAGCTGATCTGAATCAGGCTCGACGTCCGACGCGTTAGGGTCCCTGCGAAATTGCGTAAGTGGCATTCAGACGAGGGGAATGTAGAAGGGGACTGACGGGTCGAGGATTCTCCTGGGCAAAATGTCGTGCGGTAAAGTATCAGTTGGAAAGGGGACTTCGTTGGCTGTCCTAACCATGGCCGACTTCCTGGATAGGATTGCGTTCAGCGACGATTTACACGAAGACAATTCGATTCGCACCAGCGCTCAGCAGTGGGGGAGGCATGAATACTCGATGGAATGACAGACGACAATTCCTCGATCCCCTCAAAGAACTCCGAATCATCTGCGATGATGACTTGGGAGGACTCGGGTGATGAACGGTTCCTAACGGCCTCCTGGCATGCTTGCAAATGTTCGATGGCGCCCCTCACGAGTTCGAGAGCCAGTGGATCGGCATCGTCGAGCAAAGACGCATCGAGAAGCCCCTGAAGCTTTGAAAGAGCAGACGCCAAGTTATCGGAGAGCGCCTCGGGTGGGGTATCTGAGCGACGGGGCATTGCGGGGTGTGATGGAAGATCGTAGAGAGCCCCAGTGGCGGGAGGGGCGCGTCATATATATGAAGACCATGGCCATCGAGTCATCGGTAATTATCGGCTGCGGACGACGCCGCGCTGCGGCAAATGGGGGCTGCGATGTGTTTGTTGGCCCGGTGGTCAAAGATGCCCAGATGAATCCGTTTGTTCGTGACACGAACAATGACAGACAATCACGCCGGGAACAGTCACGCCTGTTACCCGGGCCTCGTGATGCAGACAACGCGTAAACAGCACGTGTCCTCCTAACTTGAATCACAACCACCATCCTCTCCATCATCATCGCCATGTCGCAGCTGCCCCTCTACAACGATAAGCCGGGCGTGAAAATAACTTTTTCTGGCGCCGGTGCAGCCACGGTTCTTCATCCCCTGACATACGGTCGTGAAGGAATCGACGCGGACTCTTTCAACACGCCACCCGCAAGTCTCATCACTGCTCTCCCGTGTATCCGTGGCAAAACCATTCCATATGATCGGTACACCACATTCTGTCGGGAGTGGTCTTCGAGCGGTGCCATGGTCTTCTATGCAGAGGCATCACGCCAGGACAAGACAGCTCCCCGCCAACGATTCGCGCTCAAAGTGGCGTTTGACATCATGGGTGGTAGCGGCAGTCCGGGCGGCGCCTTCCTGGAGTCATTCCACCGCGAGGCTATCTTCTACAACGAGCATCTCGCGAAGCTGCAGGGTATCGCTGTGCCGAAGCACTATGGCGTGTGGGTTGGTTGGACTCCGTGGGACACCACTGTCGCCTGCGCGATCATGGAATGGGGCGGTCGACCGTTCGACTCCACGGTTGTCGATCACAAGCTCGGCAAACCACAGAGGAGGTGCGTTACTGACTCTCGCGTCTGGGTCACCTTCTGACGCTCGAGTAGTGCTATAATAATGGAATCCGTCAAAGCCATACACGACGCCGGCCTCCGCCACAACGACCTCATAGACATGCCCATTCGCCATATCCTTTACGACAAACTTCGCGAGAAAGCTTTCATCATTGACTTCTCGACCGCCGAGGCCCACAAGTGCCGTCTGAGGATGCGGATGAGGCCGTATACCTCAACACCCCCAGAAGATGTCTTCGGCTGCGATGAGCTTTGGTATGCAGCACGAAATATGAAGCTCTTTGGCCATAGACCATGTGAGTGTTTACAGCATCCTCATATCTCAGGAATACTCATGGCTCCAAGGTTCTGGGCCCAATGCGGACCCTCTAGTTGTGCAAGCAATGGAGTACGTGCGCGCGAAGCGTCATGAGGCGCGCGCGAGGCGCGAAGTGGCCGAGCTGTTGGCCACTAGAAGAACCAAAATATCGACAGCATCTGCGGCTCAGGAACGCGCTCCTCATTCGGCGCTCATTGCTGCACCTGTTCATCATGATCCCCCATTCCACGTAGCCTCCCGAGAAATCAATGTACTATAGAACTGCACTGGGTCATCACGTAGCTTACGACTATATTTGATCATGATGTCTTCGCGCGACAAGGTCATGAACTTCCATAGACGAGTGGGAAAAGCTCCTATCAGCAAAAACGACGAGAGCAAGTAACAGCCGCATCAACGCTGACGATGACCGTCGGTTCACCTGACAGGCACGTGGCGGTCACGATGGTCTTCCTTCAAGCACGCGGCGACATCCCTTGTACTTGAACCACCATCATGTCCCGCCAGCCACTCATCGGCGATGAACCTGGAGTCAACATTCGCCTCTCTGGCTCGGGCGAGAACCTCATTCTTCGCCCATACAACTACGGCCGAGGCGTAGATGCGAACTCCTTTCGTGCTCTCCCTCCCGATCGCTTCGTGACGGCGGTCCCTCGCATACATCACAAGAAGGTGCCATTCGAGAGATACAGCACCTGGTGCACGGACTGGTGCACACCTTCCGCACTTGTCTTCTATGCAGAAACATTCCCATCCGACCGGTCTGCCATGCGCCTCCGCTTCGCGATCAAGGTTGCCCTCCAGACCCATATCAACAACAGCTGGGGCAGTAGACATCTCGGGAGCCTGCTTTACGAAGCCATGTTTTACAAAGAGCATCTCAACGAGCTGCAAGGACGCGCGGTGCCGAAGCACTACGGGATCTGGGTCGGTAAGACATCGTGGGGTGGGACTATTGTGTGCGCGATCCTGGAGTGGGCGGGGCTACCATACAGCATTGACGAATTTGACAAGAACCTCGAACGGAAGGATAGACGGTGCGCTTGCTATACTTTAGACGTCCTAACCCGTACTGATATCCAATAGAGTGAAGGTGATGGCGGTGTTGACGGCACTGCACAGGGCCGGGTTCCAGCACAACGCCGTGGGCGAGAGCAGTGGGCACATCCTGTTCGACGAATCTCGCGAGAAGGCCTTCGTTGTCGACTTCAAACACGCTCAAGAACATCACTGCCGCCTGAACATGAAGTTGAAGCCCTACCGCACTCCACCCGCGCCACACATCCTCGGTTGCGAGGAGCTATATGAGCTCGGGCGCACCATACAATTCTTCGGCATTGGTCCCTGTACGTGTCACTGCTCACCTCTGTATCTTGGCGTGCTCACGCGTGTCCGCAGCGTTTGGGCCGGGAGCGGATCCCGAGGTCCAGAGGGCGAATCAGGATGCGTACTACAAGCAGAAGCAGCTGCAGGAGGCTCGAGCACGCTTAGACGCGTACCTTGAGCAGCATGGTAGATCTGTCCCCGGGGTTCCTCCTAAGCGACGCTCTCAGGCCATCGAGGTGAATACTGCTCATGTACGTGGGTGAGCGTAGGAAGCTTGACCTATATTTCTTTTCGACTGTTACCATATACCCTCTGAGCCAGCGCCGCGAGGGCGGGAGTGCCGCATCTGCAAGTGCAGCAATGTCCCGAGCGAGGCAGCCCTCATGCGAGACTGCAACCGCCATCGAACTGCGGCTTCTTGTCTTTCCGCAGGAATCACGCGTTCCACTACACGTAGCCTGGGTCCTCCGGCCTTCGGACATGCGTTTTACCTTGATTGTGTAGCAAGTACCTGAGGGACTTCGATGTAGGAATAGCTACGTCACCGAAGAAGAGCCTCGTGAGCATAATGCTCTGGCAGGCGCAACTTGAAGCATCGACACTGACCGGGTCTAGTGGCACCACGTGACAGGAACGTGTTATAGTCGATTCAGGTCCATCCTTTGTTGAACCCAACCACCATCTTCTCCGTCGTAATGTCGCAGCAACCACTCTACAACGGCAAACCCGGTGTGAAGATCACTTTTGCTGGCGCGGAAAAGGCCACCGTTCTTCGCCCCATGCCCTATAGACGCGCTGGAGTTGACGAAAACTCGTTCAACACGCCACCCGCAAGTCTCACCACCGCTTTGCCGTGCATTCGCGGCAAGAAGATCCCATACGACCGGTACAATACATTCTGTCAGCAGTGGCTATCAGACAGTATTCTCGTATTCTATGCAGAGGCAGCGCGCCCCGACAAGTCAGCTCCCCGCCAACGTTTCGCGCTCAAAGTAGCGTTTGACGTTGCGAAAGGCAGCAGCAGCCCGGGCGGCGCCTTCATGGAGACCCTCCGGCGCGAGGCCCTTTTGTACCAAAATCAGCTCGCGAAGCTGCAGGGTGTCGCTGTACCGAAACATTACGGCGTATGGATCGGGCGGACGTCGTGGGACACCACCGTCGCCTGCACGATAATGGAGTGGGGAGGGAAGCCATACGACGAGAAGCTCGTAGACCCGAAGCTCGGTAAACCAGAAAGGAGGTGCGTACTGGGGTTCAGCGGCTGAACCACCTTCTGACCATCGAACAGTGTCGAAATTATGGAAGCCCTCAAGGCCTTGCACGACACAGGTATCCGCCACAACGACCTCATAGACCTGGAAATCCGCCACATCCTCTACGACACCCGCCGCGAGAAGGCCTTTATCGTTGATTTCTCCACCGCCGAGAGGCACAAGTGCCATCTGAAGATGAAGATGGAGCCCTACACTACGACGCCTCCCGAGGACGTCTTCGGCTGCGACGAGCTCTGGTACGTAGGCATGAACGTGGACTACTTTGGTGATGGGCCAGGTGAGTTGCGCAGTAACGCTTCGTCTGTCGGAGTGCTCACATTCGCAGATTCCGGTCCGGATGCAGACCCTCGGGTAGTGCAAGCAACTTTAGCCGAGTACCAGGAAAGTCAGAGAGAGCGTAGACGGCGCGATCTCGCTGCTGCAATAGACGCCAGAAGACTGCAGGCTGCGAAAGCCGCCACTGCCCAAGGACATTCCGCTCGCCCTGGACCTGTCGTTGCCCCTATCCACGAATGATCTCAGTATACCAACCTCGAGAAATCAATGTGTCATAGTATCTCACGGACGCTATCAAGCTGCCCTGATCGTGATGACCTGCCGCTGGTGTGACTATGTAGATCTTGCTTTGCGCCTTCCTGGGAGCTCAGTGCTACTGATTGAGAGCTAATTCGGCGTCGCCATCACAGACAAGACGAAGAATAAGGTCAGCTCCCAGCGAAGATGGCCATGCAGCGTCGGATGGAATGAGATCATAGCGCCCCCAGCCTCCACAGACGCACCCGAAATGCAGCGGTCGGGGATGTGTGGCGTAATCTTCAGCCATGTCAAGTCTACAGCGTGGGAAGTCCACTGAGCACTTCGAAGGTTGATAACTTAAGTCTCCTGAAAGGGCTCCTCATTTGTTGAATTTGGACCTGCCTGAAGTGAGCATTGCCACCGAAAGTTCAACTCTGCCACCCACGTGCGTGTCACGCCCTCGAAATTACGTGATGAGCCGCTGCCAACATTCTTTGTACTCGAACCATCACCATGTCCCAGCAGCCCCTCATCGGCGACGAACCTGGAATCGAGGTTCAGTTTTCAGGAACTCGAACAAGCGTCATCCTCCGGCCCTACGAGTATGGCCGAGGCTTAAACGCCAATTCTTTTCGCCCAGTTCCTCCGAACTCCCGCTTCGTGACCGCTCTTCCTCGCTTACGCGGCAAGAAGCTCCCTTTTGAGCGATACAGTACCTGGTGTAGCGACTGGACGACTCAATCTTCGCTCGTGTTCTATGCGGAAACCTTCCCGTCTGTCCGGTCCCGGGGCGCCACCCGCCTACGCTTCGCGATCAAGGTCGCCCTCAACATCAGGCCTGATAATTATGGACATCCACATCTGGAGGCCATGTATCACGAAGCCGTGTTCTACGCGAAACATCTAGGTGAGCTGCAAGGGCGTGCCGTGCCGAAGCACTATGGAATCTGGGTCGGGACCACGCCGTGGGGCGTGAGTGTCGCCTGCGCGTTCATGGAGTGGGCGGGGCTGCCTTACTGTAGCGCGGCTTTTGACAGGAACTTTGAGCGCAAGGATAGAAGGTGCGTCATGCAAAGCTGTCTGCCGAGGCTCGTATTAACGGATGGCAGAGCGAAGACGATGGCGGTCCTGTTGGCGCTGCACAGGGCGGGCTTCCAGCACAACGGCTTGGACGAAGACACCCGACATATCCTCTTCGACGAACCTCGCGAAAGGGCCTTCCTCGTCGATTTCACCAACGTCGAGCGACATATCTGCACCAATACTGGCCGGGTTGGACCTTGTCGCTTGAACATGCCTTTAAAAGAGTATAGCGGACCGCCCGCGCCCCACATCCTAGGATGCGAAGAGATCTGGCAGCTCGGGTGCACTGTACACTTCTTTGGAAATGGACCACGTACGTGTCTTTGCTTTCTAAGACTTTTCTGATCTCATTGCACTCTACAGCGGCTGGTCCCGAAGCTGACCCCGAGGTCCAGAAGGCAAACCAAAAGGCGACTGACGCGTATCTCAGAAAAAAGCGCGCGCAAGAGGCAACAGCGCGATTGATGAAATGTCTTGAGGAGCATCGTCGCCAAGTCTTAGATGTATCTGCTCCACGACCTTCTGAGTTTGCCGACGCTACTAGCGCTCAGCGTTGACGAGAATTTCACCGCAAGTTGTGAGATAAATATATGCCAGCTATAATCCCCATGTGCTTCCGTATTCCAATATCGCTGCTGCGCTTCCAAGCGTTTACCAAGTCTTGGTGCATGAATTGTTGCAGGTCGCCGCGGACCACGACCCGTTTTTTTCGGCACTGGCGGAGGACGGGGCCGAGCACAACGTGATAGCCACGTTCCAAAAATCGGGTCACGTCGCAACATCGTTTGACCACGACCACCATCCTCTTCATCGTCATGTCGCAGCAGCCGCTAAACGGTGGCAGACCACGCGTCCAGATTAGAGCGCGAGGCGAGAAGTAAACGAGGCAGTGGCCCCAAGTAGACGAAGGCTACCGGTGCTCAGGATGCCTTTCGTCTTGGAGCCGTCGTTGCACCCGTTCATGAGTGATACTTTCACCATACATACTCTCTTAGAAGCACATAGTAGGGTATTCTGACAATGGACACCCATCTTCTTCAATCGCTATGCCCCCCTGTTCGACAGCAATTTCGTGGAGACGAAGTATGCCAAGGCGACGAACAACCACATACTCACTTGAGATGGCGATGGAACATAGGCTGGTATGTGAGTAAGAGATGTATTTCGTGCATCAGGACGAATGCGAGCCATGCCACGTCCTGAGGCCCGCCACGATGTCAAAGCCAATTCCCATCTACATCGCCGGTCTCCCTCAGCAAGTGAATCAAGCGCAGTCTACGCCGGACACCTGGTCTTCGAGCTGTGGTTTGTGCCACGCACCGTCCGCCACGGTCAACGAGCGCGCCTTCTGCAACGGCGTCACGTCCTTGTCCAGCAGGTAAGCCGAGTCAGCTTGGTGCAGCGACTCGAAGAGGCCGCGTAGCCGTGAGGCATGCTCCGTCATGATGTACGCCACGGAAGTGGCGACGTTTAGGACGTCCAAAGGGTCGCGGATATCGGCCTTCGTAGCTTGCTCGTCCGCGATGTAGATGACCTTAGTTGACGAACGTCAGTTCTACTATTCAAGCACATACGTATCAGCAAAAACTCACATTATGTATCTTCTCGGTCACTTGACCTCCGAGTGACGCAGGCGTCGTCGTCACGTCGTTCCACGCGGATGACAGTACACCAACTGGTCCGTTAGTGACCAAGCCAAAGATAGGGAAGCGGGCGATGTTGAACAGCTTCATGAAGGCGCATGCGGCGACCAAGGAAGTTCTTTCTTGATTCGTCGCAGTTTTCTCCTTCCCCCATCCCTTGAGTAGCGCATTGAAGTGACAGAGGAGCAAGGGAAAGCATGCAGCTGAACGTAGAGGGTCAACCTGGTCCGATCGGGGTCGAATGTGAGGGCGATCCTGAATCTCACAGCCCGTTTCGCCATCAAGAAGCGGCGCGCCCGGAGAAGCAGAGCATGCTTCAACTGCAGGCTGTTGATCCGGAAAGGGCTGGACATGCATCGAGTGCTGGTAAGCAGCGCAAGCTTGCGGATCCAAAGGGCGACGTGAATCGGCAGTGGCGAAGACACTGTCACCGTAGATTACCCACGGAGGCCGCTCTTTGGGTTCCTCGGGAGACCCGACCTCCACGCCATCATCGTCTTTCGACGAATCGGAGGCGATGAATGGAGCAAGGATGGACACAGCATCTGCGACTTCCTTGTCAGCAAATAGATCGTTGATGGCTAGAAAGAGGGTGCCATCCGCTCTACCCGAGCGCGGCTCCTCTTGCGCTGCAGCCACAGCCGCAGAAAGCGTCGGGTCCTCGTTAAAGACGGCATCGTGCCACTGGAAGGCCAAACAGCCCTCCCAGCCAATTTGCGCGAAAGGCAGTAATGTGATGTATAGGTCAAACAAGTCACTTCGATGATCGCCGTTGATCTCGTAGACCTCGGGACTGGGGCACTCTGGATATTTGAGTGTCATGTTCCTCCTGGTCGTGTCAGTCAGCCTATGGAATACCTCCCGATTCAGAACATACCTATATCTCGCGTTCGCGACTTCGGCGAGGTCAGCGATGGTTTGAATGAGCTGGTCCCAGATGAAGCGACATCTTGTCTCGTCTCCAAATGCGTCGAGCCTGTGTTCATCGACATCGCCACCTTTGACATCGGCTGGACGAACCGCACGGGCCGTTTGTAGCGCATGGAATATGGCATGCAACGATCGTTGAACGATTGCTTGAACCCGATCGGACATATAGCCAATAAAGCAAGAGGAATGCCGCGCATAAGCGTCAAGAAGTTCAGTGAGAAGGCGCTCTTGATCAGTGCATATGAAGGGTCTCAGCGCCTGAGCAATGCATTCGTAAAGGCACAAAAAGGATGGGTCAAAATTCGTACCGTCACCGATCCACGGAACCAGACGGGCGCTAACGCATGGATCGACTCCTTGCGAACCGTACACCAACCGGGCAGTCCCTTGCGCGCGTCGCAAAAGACAACTTTACGCATTATAAAATACCGCTGAGGGAGAGGAGGGCGAGCAGGTGGCGTCCATCCAATTCTAGAAAATAATTGTCCGCTCAGTCACCAGATCCGTTTGACCAAGAGACAAAGCTCACGTGGGCACGGTGCTGGAGGGGCAAGGAATAATGAGATTCATGACGCACTTATCGACGAGACACTTACGATTCGGCGAACACATCACCGTCACTGAAGGATGATGCGGATTCTTGCGCAGGCCTGAAGACACTCAGCGTCGATACCAATGATAACGCTTCGCAGAGAGCTTACGGAAGTGCTACGCTCGGCGACAGTGAGCTTGTACTTGATCCCGAGGAGGCATCCGATGTCCTACATCGCGATGAATTCATGAGGGCATGCGCATGGGCAGAATACGCACCCCGTAGGAGGATGAGATGGGTTGTACTCCCTGTCGTCCCAAATGTTCACACATTGCAGGCTGCTAGACAGGAATAAGGGGAGATCGCTTTCGCAACGCAGGACTCACTGATCGACAGCTGATATGTATACCTCATCGGCCCAACGCGCTATCGCCTCGGAATTGTGGAAGTCGACGTGGAAGAGTGGCGTTTCGTCGAGGATGATACGAGCGCAGATGTCCGCTCTCCAGGGCAAAGTCTCATTCGCGGTCTGTAGGGACCACTCGTGGACAGACGATGCGCGATGCAGAAGTAAGGCGAGCTTTAAAGCACTGAGAGGCTCCGTGAGGTCGAAGGGAAGTGGGGGAAGGATGTGAGGCTTTGGCTGTGCTTGGTGAGAAATGGTATGAGGTGTCGACTGGCACACCTAACTCACCAGATCATCGTCTTCTTGCGCCGCTTTTTCCAGCCATGCGACATACGCATGGACAGTCGGGCTTGTCTTTTCGTAGGATAGCCCAATCAATGGTCCAGAGGCGCCAACGGCGAGGCAGTGGTAGAGCGCGCTCGTCAACAATGGCTGTATGGTGGAGAAGCTAGCCACGCAGGCGTCCATAGGGCCTTGTGGATCCGGACTCCTCGAATATAGCAATTGTTGCGGGTGACCGTACTGCGTGACGCCGCTAAAACAGCAGTCATCCTGGCCTTCCTCCATGCAACATCGGCATCAGGATGGTTTCTCTACACTGGACATGCGCTCACTGTGTCAGATTGAGCGTCTCCATCGGCCAAAGCATCGAATTCCTCATCAACATTGGGCTCATCATTGGTGAAGTCAAGCCGGGTTGTGCCCCATCTACGGCTGACCACCAGCTCCGCCCGTCGACGCAGACCAATGGCAGAGTGTTCATTGGGATTACTTCCGGGCTCTCTCGAGACCGCGAATAAGGCGGAAGCACTGCACGTACGAGACTTAGTACAGCAGACAGGTACACACTGGAATGCGCTCACTGGTGTTCGTGTGTGCTGGAAAGAAAGCATTCGCTTAGGATGATGGACGCCATCACAAGAACCTCCGGAAAAACGATTTCCTCTTCGCATCGTTCTTGAACGTGCCCTTGCACCGCCATAGCCTGCCGTAAGACCGGCGCGAAAAGGTTCTGCAGCAATTGCTGCTCTTCGAGGCTGAATTCCTTGTCTGGTGCAAACACGGCGCGGTCCGCGCAAGCTATATGGTCTGCGTAGAACTTTCGCAAATCTTCGCAACGAAATAACTTGTCCTGCGAGGCTTGTCTGAATGAATGCATGCACAGATTCAAAGACCGTACATACCTGGTCTAGCACGCGCGCAGGCAGGCAAATTTCCATAAGTTGCTCGTATTGTTGAATCGGGTGCGGTAAAATTCCCAAATTGTCTATGGTGGCAGACATCGCGAGGCTGTCAGACCGTGTACGAAGGGAGAGCTTGAGGCGTTCGCAGCGCGCGGTAGTCGAGAACAAAGACGTTTAGTGCCACGCGCCATCCTCGACGCATTGTGGCACGCAAATCACACGTGTTGAAGCTGGATCAACCTCAACTCACAATCTGTCGCGGATTTTGACGAGCGCATAAGACTGGCGCGCGCCTTCAGAAGTTCTAGGACAGCGTAGGTATCAATGCAGACAGGTAACAATGTATATCCACCTCTAATAGAGCTTTTACAACAGCATGCACAACACGGAAGGGGCACACACCACTCGCTCAGCCCGTCAAGCCTAGTGGGAAACCAGCGAAGTCCACCTGGTCCTGTACAGGCCGCCCTCCAATAGTGTAGGATATCCTTAACCTCAAGCGCACGTTGCTCTACGAGTATTGTCAGTTTGCGTCCGTGCGTCGAAGATAGGGCAGCGACTTACGCCCTGCGGCGCAACTATACGCATCTGCTGCGTCTCCGTCGCTCCCGGTGCCACATCCGAGTTCGACATAGGCTGCATCTGCAATTGTTGTGACTACAACATAACGTCAGCGCCTGCATGACCGGGGAGCAAAAGACGTAGACCCACCTTCGGCACCGCTGCCTGGAAGTTCAATCCCGTCGCAGGCGTGTTCCCCGACACCTGGAACCGCGCCAGCACCAACACGATGCCCGGCTTATTCGGATTCGTTTGCGGCGTCAGCGTAATCTTCAGCTCGTTCCGCTCATACGCCGTGTACGACGTCAGTTGCGGCTTCGGGGGCGCGGCGGCCTGCGGCGGCGGTGGCGCCGGCGACGAGGACTGCGCGGCGAGCGAGAAGAGGTCGCCGGAGCCGCTGCTCGCGAGGGCAGGTGATTGCGAGGCAGGCGGGGGTGTGGCGGCGGCAGGCGCCGTCGTGCCGAAGAGGCCAAGAATGTCGTCGACGGTGGAACGAGGCTTGGCGGCAGGAGCACCGCCAGGAGCTGGGGAGGAGGCAGTCGGGCTGGCAGAAGAACCAAAGATGTCGGCGAGAAGGTCTTGCGTGTTCGGCGGAGCAGCACCGCCGGGGGCGGATGGTGATGTGATCTCGTCGCCCAGGAGGTCCACCTCCTGGTTCTTGGTTGAACCGACAGGCTTGTTCTCGCTCACTGGAAATCGTCAGTATGAGAGTACACCAACGACAGACGCAAGCAAGTACTCACCCACGCCCATGACCGTCGCCTTCAACTCTGGCGGTGGCATGCGCTCCAGGACACCTTCTCTGAGCTCGACCTGGTTGTACAAGCTCGCATACTCTACTGCGCGCTGTTGCAGCTCCAGCTCCGGGTTCGTGGTATACCGCAACAGCAGCTCCGCAATTCTGTCCTTCTCCCCCGCACTCGTCGCAGGCCGACTCGCAATCTTTGTCACCGCCGTCAACACGAACTGTCGCGTCACCTGGTTCGCGTACGGCGAGTCCAGAATCGAGCTCAACAGGTCCACGAGCTCCTTGTCCGTGACCGGCTTCGCCGTATCGTCGTCCACGATCCCACTCTCCAGCACAATGTCCGAGTACTCGCCCAGGATCCACGTCGCCGCGAGCGTGAGCGACTCCTGCGAGATGTCTGCGTGGAGCGCGACATACAGTCGGGACGCCGTGTATGCCTGCAGCTCGGGCGTGTGCGCGACAAGACGAATGAACGCGGAGAGGATCTCCTCGCGCACGAAGTTGCCCGCGAGCTTGAGCACACGGAGCACGGTGTCGATGTGCCAGCGCTTGTTCGGCGCGAAGCGCTCCGCGGCGAGGCAGATCTGCGTCGTCATCCCGAGCTTGAACTCGTCGTCGGCGACCTCGAGGAAGGCGAGCAGCTCGCGGATGAGTATGCGCACGTTCTGCTCGTTGATGAGCGCATAGGAGAGCTCGAGTGCGCGGCGACGTATGGAGATGTCTCCGTCACGCAAGCACTCGAGAATAGTGTTCCGATGCCGCTGCACGGCGTTCGTATCCATCGAAACGACCTTGTTGAGCGTATTCAATGCGACGTAGCGAATGTTGTTGTCCCGGTTCGTCAAGAACTTGCCGAGCAAGTTGATCGCCATGACGCGCAAGCCTGAGTCCGCCTCAATTTCGAGGACAGTGAGTACAGTCTCGTACAGAATCGAGTTCCCGACGTTCTTCGTCGAGTCTGTGTTCGTCGCGACCTGCGCGAGGATATCGTTCATCGTCTCGCTCGCGTGTACATTGCCGCGACCGAGGAGTCGCAACAAGCGTAGGATCTTGACCTGCAGGAAGGGATCGGTAATGCCAGAAACATCGTGCTCGGGACTGTAGCCGGTGGTGACGAGTGACTTCAGGTTCCGGACGAGCAAGGGAACGGCATTGCGGAATTCCTCCAGCACAGCCGCGTCCAGCTGGCACATTTCCGTGACAAGGGTGATAGCAGTGAGCAGCACACCGTGATTGCGGTCAGTAAGGAGGTTCTTCGCTTTGCCGACAAAATGATCAGCAAGGTCGGGGACCTTCTTGATGACACGCAGGGCGCAGAGAGATGCCTTGTGAGGAGTCAGAGGCTGAAGAATGGAGGGTGGACTGTTTGCACCTTCTTCCGAATGTATGTGTTGCTCGACCCGAGTAGCTTCTCTATTTCATTCGCGAGATCGCGCGACATTTCCTCCGATGCAATGTTGGCGAATGTGCAGAGTGCCAACCCGACGGCATACATGTTCGAGTGGTTCATGTCACTGAAATACCGTTAGCTAGCCCCACAGAGATCCCGCATATACGCACTTCTTGAGGGAATTCGTAACCAGTGTCAGTACTTCCTGATTCTCGTCAAGCAGCAGCATGATGCCCAGGTACCCTAGCCGCTTGTCCGCGAATCGCGGGCTCGCAACCAGCTTCAAGCACTCGATCTGTCCGAAATGCGCGGGGGAGCCGAGCATATGGATGTAGAGGAGTTTTGCGATGTTATTGTGCCGCGCGAACGAGTCCTCCTCGCGGAACGACGCGCGTATCGCCGCCGATTCCTGCTGGATGAGCGCGCGCTCGTCGGCGACCGTCTGTCCTCCCGTCAGCGCCAGCTTCACGGTTCCACCGCGCGACCGACCTTGCATGATCGTATGCCCTTGATGAGGGCTGCGTGCGCGCTCGGTCAACGACCCGCAGGGACAGCAGGCTAGCGAAACAGCGCACCCTTAAGATTGTGGTAAACCATGGCGATCCCGACGGCGGTCGCGCTCCGTGTTTTGGCGGCGCGGGGAGGGTAAAGTGGGGCCCGCGACGCCGCGCGAGACGATGATGGGAGGGAGAGAGAGACGCGGATGGCGCACGTGGCGTGCACTTCTTGCGTTTCGCCGTCATCTCGACCGCCCGCTTGTCGGCGCCATGGCAGACTCTGTCCCCAAGGATCGCCCCTTCGAGCCCGTCACTGACCCGAGGATGAATGCGACGCCGTTGGACTACAAGGAGCAATTCCAGGTGCGTGACTTTACTGCATTACCCTTCCCCCGCTCATGCAATATGCCCAGGGAGCGATGACTTCCCAGTACGTCGAGTGAGAGCACAGACTCCGTTCCTTCGGAGACTCTCGCTAATCTACTCATAGTCCTTGTAAGGCGGCGCAGAAGGCATCACTCAAGTGTCTCGACCGCAATAACTACGAGCGTATGCCCTGCCAGGGCTACTTCGAGGCGTACAGGGAATGTAAGAAGGCCTGGGTACGTCCTCAACTAACCTCAACTTGTCGCGCTATCTGAACTATCGTCAACTAGGTTGAACAGCGTAAGGCTGATCGTAGAGCGGGCACTTACAAGGATTGACTTGTAATCGCATCGACCAATACACCCCACTCACCTGAAATCCCAATCAAGGGCACATTCCCCCTTCATGCAGCCTGGGCGAAGATGCGTTTCTGCTCCTCAGGGCGGATCCAAATACTTCATAGAGGGCTTGACGCTCCTGCCATCAGGGGAGCTGAATGCGCGCCACCCGGTCTGCTTTGGTTGTACAAACGAATACTTCTATGTACTATATAGGGCTGTAGCTCTGCACCTTGAAAGGGACAATCTACTGAATGATTTGCTTGTCTGCAAGCTCAGAAAAGTCCAAGGAGCGGTAGGCTCTGCGGCGTACGCTGAGCCTGCCGGAACCCTACGATCACCGGCCCGGCTCCCGCGCATCTTGTCCTCCACCACCATGTCCGACCCAGTCTCCTCCCCTGCTCCATCCCCCACACCCAATTCCCCGCCTCCCAATAAGCCCTCGAAGGATGGCAGCATAATTGACTGGTACAAGGTATGCAGGGCCCCAGGCACCTTCCTCCGATCATCGCTCACCACCGACACGCCCAGTAAAGAGTAGCCCGCCCCTTGAGAAGATTCCTTGTGCACGGAATAGCTTGTTGAGCGGCCTCGCGAGCGCGGTCGGCTTCGGCACGCTGCGTGGGATCAGCGGGGGTGCGTCAAGCTGCATAGTCCGCGTGGGTCTGGAATACGCTGACCGTATACCTCCAGGTCCCCTTGTCGCAGCGAACTGGGCTTTCGGCTCCTTCATGATGGTGTCTATGGGCACTTGGTGCGTCTAGTCGTATATATTGCCAGGGCACCTCGCTAATTCGGCCATAGGTGGATGTGCTGGCGCAAGTTCGAGCAGGAGAAGGAGCAGGTCCGCCTCGTCATGGAAGCGAATGGCAGGCGAGCGCAGCGCGAGGCGGAGGCGGCCCGCAGAGGCTCAGTGGCGGCCGAATCTGCTGCTCCTCCAGTATCGTAGTCATGTGTCGCACACCCGCACCGAGTCTGCAGATATCAAGAGTTGTCCCAAACCTCTCTTGCGCTATTCGACTCTTCAGCAGGTTCTTCTGCTGCATGTATTCGCCATCTACGCCACTCATATTCAACAATTACACTGTTTATTCACGTATATTCACGCATTATGCGTGCCCGCTATACCTTCCGGTCATGCCATCAACCCCTCAGAACTTCGTCGACTCATCCGCGTTGAGGATCAACAACGCAAAGAAACGGACCTTCTCCACAAGGTTGTCCGCCTCAGTGTCTACAGAACCTTGTCAGCACCTCTAAACCATCCCCCAACACGAACCACTCACTCTCGTTCACCGTATGCGCTCCGCCAAACACCTGCCCCTTGCCCTTGCCCTTCCTCCCACTGCTGTGGTTATACCGGAAGATATGCTTCGTCAGGTTCCAGTAGTACTGCGTATCCGTGTTGCCCGTGCTGATGCTCGGCGCCACCACGATGTTGTCGTCGCCCTCGATGTTGCGGTGCCCGTTGTACGTCGCCTTGATCACGCCCGAGAGGAACTCGTACGGCGCGGCCTCGGAGCCGGCGATGGGCGTGACGGGCGCGGGGTTGAGCGCATGTCCGAAGGCGACGGAGAGGTTGAGGTGGCCGTAGGCGGTGGGCGCGTCAATGATGGTCTTGCCGAAGGCCTCGACGGTGAGGTTGTGGCGGGCGGCGATGGGGAGGAGGCGGGAGGTGTCGAGGGCTTGCGTCTCGGCCACGGAGCTCTGGGTGAGGATGCGGTGGTTGACGACAACGTAGGCTTGCTCGGGGAGGGCGTTGGACTTGACGCCGCCGTTGATCACTGTGGGATTGGTTGTGAGTTCAGGTGCGACACGAGATTGACGGGTTTACTGACTGTCGATGGCCTGCGTGGTCTGGAGGTTGACCCTGTTGAGCTTCTCTGTGATAAGAAGCGTCTCGGCCTCCTTGAGGGCCTCGTCGTCGGAGACGGAAGCCTTGATGGCTGCGCGCAGATCCTCGTCGATGTTGGGAGCATATGCTGCGTAGCACTTCCACGTCCAGTAGAAGGGCTCTTCGCGAGACTGACAAGATGGGACGATTAGCAAGGCTCTATAAAGTTGCATAGTGAGTCTCACCAGCTTCGGCGTGAAGGGCTCCTCTTCGAGCTGAACGATGGCGTCCGCAAGGATACCAATGGTCTGAGCCTTGTTTAGCATGCGACCGGCGACAATGCAATGCCTCGACGTACCGTATGCGGCGGTGGCACACTCGAGTGTCCACCCGGCGAGTCCACCTGGATGCGCACATCCAGATACCCCTTCTCCGCGATTGCAGGCGTCGCAAACACCGCGCCCTCGTGCTCATCATACCCTCCACCCTCATCCACAAGGAGAGCGAATCCATCCTTGCCATACGTCTCTTCGAGTGCCGGACCCAGCGTCGCTGCACCGTACTTGCCGAAGGCCTCCTCGTCGATGCCGAAAGCGAGCACGACACTGCGAGCAGGAGTGAAGTTATTCTCGAGGAGCGTCTCGATAGTCGTCATGATGGCGATGAGGGACGACTTGTCGTCGCTGGCGCCGCGGCCCCAAATGCGCTCGCCGTCAAAGTAGCCAGAGTACGGCGGGTGGACCCACTCGGCAACTGTACGCGGCTCGACGGGAACGACATCCTGGTGCGCCGTGAGGAGAATGGGAAGCAGGGAAGAGTCGGTGCCGGTCCACTCGTAGACGAGGCCATACGTATTGACGGTCGACTTCTTGAGGGTTTTAGTGCTGAACAGGGTGTGTTAGAGGGTGAGGTGGATTTGGGGTAAGGAGGGGGACTCACATGAGGGGGAACTTCTTGTCGAGGTAAGCGTGGAATTCACCAAAGATCTCCCATCGCGGCTCCTCTCCAACCGGGCCCATGTCATCGAACGCCTCCGTCCTGCACATCAAGATCAGCTCCCCATCCTTGCGCCACCGTCTCATGAAAGAATACTCACGGCACCTGCACCGCGCCCGACAGCAGGTCGATCACGCGCTTCTTGAAATCCTCATCGGTGACCACGCTGTCGACATACGCGTTGTAGAAGACGTCGTGCTTCTTCGGCAACAGTGCCCCAGGCTGCGCACACAGGGCCTCATTCGAGACGTCCGCCGCCGCTGCTGCAAAGGTAGCCTGCCCCTCCGCCTCCACCTCGAAAGGCTTCGCGACTGAGCGCGCGTGCACGTAGCTCAGGGGGAGGGACGCGAGCGCGGCGAAAGCCAGGAGCTTCCATCGGCGCTGCGAGCGTCCCGTAGCCGAAGCTGGCACGGAGGGGGGCAAGGGGAGCGCGTCCGTCTTCGTGTCCGCCATCCTGGGGGTTGGGGGAGGTGGTGGAGGAAGTCAAGAAGGCTTGGAAGGGGCGCAGGGACCGCCGTCGTTCTTATTATTCATGCTATCCTGCCGCTATCGAGGGACCCGCCTGACTCTGGACATGGCGGTCGGGATGTCGGGGTATTCGCCCGGCGTCTATCAGGGTGATAAGCACGCCGCATGATGCAATTCAAGCCAATCCAAGCCCGCGCAAGCCGCGGCGGTCGGAGGGCGCCGCGGCGTGGACAGAGAGAGGACGCGATGTTCGACAAGTCCGACATGAATCGGTCGAAGTTGGGTTGTAATCGACCTGAATGGGAGGGGAATGAGGGAATGAACTTTGGCACGTGGATGCAATGCATTTCAAATTGGTAATTGTGCGTACCATTGCTCACACGTGGTTGATTTGCCTTGTCTTTCCGTCTTGTCTGGGTAAGAGAGCGTTCGGGGATGGATGATGCACAGAGTTGCGGTAGAGAAGAATTTGACTATTACGATAGGTTGATCTGGCCTGAGTAATCTTTTCGGCGCTGACGAATGACAGCGAGCAGCAAGTCAGTACTTCGGGACAGTCCAGTATGGGGAGTAGTCCATGCCCTGACAGAGTAGGAGAAAGGAGAATTTACAGCGAAGATTCTGGCACGAGGAAGTGACGCAGTTCGAGGAAAGAAAGAAAAAAGGCGAGATTAAAGTCAAGAGCAAGTCGAAATTTGTTTGTGCATGTGTACGAGGTACTTGTGGGCGCTCATCATTTCACCCACGTGCGCACACGGTCACGCACTCCCACCCAGATGTTTCACGGAAACTGCCGGATGCCCCTCCTCCCGAACTGTGGCTCGCAGTTGACCTCCTCGCAACCTTTACGCATCGGCACCTCATATTCTGCGCTTCTATATCTGCTTCTTGTCTTTCTTGCACTTTCAAACAGTTGATTATGTGGCCATTCTCGAATCCCAACCAGCACATCATCGACGCGAAGCTCAAGCAGCGGGCTAAAGCGTTTGCTTTGGCCCCGTCGTTTAACGAGGCTGCCTATGAGCCCTACCTGAATGCCACAGGTGAGAGCTTTGACTTGTACGACGCTGCATGAAGCGATATGGAGGGCGCATCCTTCAAAGCTGCAGTCGTCAATTCCCGCCCCTCGCGTCCGGATGCACGTGTAAGTTGTGTTGGGCGCTAACCTTCCATGTTTCTTAGCCTGCGAGATCGTCGCCAACATCGAGAAGGGCATCTGGACAGCGTCCGAGGTCCTCGAGGCGTACATCTCGCGCGCCGCCAAAGTGCAGGAGGCGACCAACTGCCTGACGGAGGGTAAGCACATGATTTCCGACGTCCGCTAACGACGACGCTCATGCGGTCTCAGTGCTCTTTGAGCGTGCTCGGGAGCGCGCGGCGGCGCTGGATGCCGAATTTGCGCAGACGAAGCGTCTGAAGGGGCCGTTGCATGGCGTCCCTATCAGTGTGAAGGTCGGTGTTCGGTGTATCTGTTTTCGGGCTGAACGGGATTGACGACCTGGCTCTATTTTTCAGGACCAATGTACGCGTTTCTGCTTGACTGGCTTGACATTTCGCTAACTTCAGGGTTACAGTTGACATCGAGGGAGTCGATACCACCATTGGCTTCAGCCAATGGGCCAAGCACGGCCCTGCAACACGCGACGCCGACGTAAGTTCAACCGTCGCATGCCCTTGAGTCCTCGTACTGATTAGGATAACTCTCAGCTCGTTGCAACCATGATCTCCGCGGGCGCCATCCCCTTCGTGAAGACGAATGTCCCGCAGACGATGTTCGCCTTCGAATCTGTCAACCCCCTCTGGGGCCGCACGCTGAACCCGCATAACCCGGCCTTCGGCGCTGGCGGCAGCTCGGGTGGCGAGGCGGCGCTGATTGGTGGCGGTGGCTCGCCGCTTGGCTTGGGTAGCGATGTTGGTGGTAGCTTGCGTATTCCGACTGCGTTTTGTGGGATCTATTCCCTGAAGCCTGGCGCGGGGAGGGTAAGCGCTTTTGGGGCGCGAGGTGAGTAAATCGTATTTGTTGACATAAGGGGACGAGTGTTCATTACTGACACAAACGTAAGGCCCAGTGAAGGGCATGGAGGCCCTTCGTACGACCATGGGTCCCATGGCGCGCTCGATCGAGGACCTGGAGCGTTTCTCCCGCGTCGCTTTCGGCCAGACTGGGCGCTCGGCGGATGTTGCCCCGCTGCCATATCGCGACGTTACGCTGTCCGAGAAGTTGAAGTTTGGCTACTACACGTCGGGTGAGTCGTTCACTTCCACGAAAATGTCGTCGTATTCATTTGAGGACGCTCAGATAACATCATCAAGGCCTCACCTGCGTGCGCGCGGGCGGTGCTGGAAACCGTCGAGGCGCTGAGGAAGGCGGGCCACGAGTGCGTCGAGGTCGTGCCGTACGACGGTAAGTTACTTGATGACGGACGGCGGAATTTGCTCACAAGGAATCGGCCCACAGCCCCGCGCGGCTTCAAGATCTTCGTCGCCCTCACTTCTGCGGACGGATACGAGACGCTCACGAGTCATATCTCGCCGGACCCCAAGGTGGGCAGATTCATAGACTCAATGCACTGCTATGTGATTCACTTGGCTCCCACAGGAGGATGCGCTGTTCCTTGTGACTTTGGGACCGAAGGCGGGCTGTTAGTATTTGACCAATGAGAATCGTTTGAGCCGTGGCTTACCCTCGCACCCAGCTTTCCTTCGCGCTATCGCCGGCTGGGTCGTCACCAATGTGATCGGTGACGCGTTCTTCGCAAGCCTTCTGAAGCTCTCTCGGGCCAAACCTGTCAAGGAGTTCTGGCAATTTACGGCGGAGCGGGATGCCTACGCACACAATTTCTACGAGCAAGTGAGTGAATCCGGGTTGGGTCTCTCTTGTCCTCAGCTGATACGTGCCTCATAGGTATGGGATGAGTATCAGCTTGATGGTATAATTGCGCCGGTCTTAGCGACACCGCAGCTTCCACACGGGTGAGGATTGCATCGTCCTCAATTCACGAAGTCATAGTCACTAGATCATTGCAACAGTGGCTGTAAGACGCTAACTCCCATGGCGTGCGGTACTGCGCTGTACAATTTGGTAGACAGTCCTGTTGGCATTCTGCCTGTTGGCCGCGTCGACCCAGAGAAGGATGCACTGACCGATGCATGGCGCTCGGAAGGTGGCCACGGAAGTAAGATGCTTGAGAGCGAGCTGTGAGTCCCTATCTTCTTTCATAGCTTTCATGATGCTGACGCTGATGACTTCTACAGCTACTCGAAGTTCTATGACCCTGTCGCTATGCAGGGGATGCCCATAGCCGTGCAAGTTGTGGGACGTAGGTGGGAGGAAGAGAAGGTCGTTGAGATGATGAAGGTCGTTGATGGGGCCGTTGGCGCGAAGGGTTTCGGTATGGATGCCTGGAAAGCGCTATAGATATCCTCCATATTAGCCTCGTCTTCTTGTGCTGCTTCTTGAACCTTCTTTGGAATGCATCTGTGAGGCGGAGACTTGAACTTCAACCGTGGGAGTAAGGCCCCTCGACGCTCGGAATTTGCCGTCAAATTCGCCACGGCTCACCGGACCGTTTGGCTTTGTCATCAAACCTTGCTCACCTTGACTTCGTCCTTCACGTCGTCGGCCAGCCACATTCCTTCCTTCTCACCACCATGTCCGCGCCAAATTCCCCCAGATTGGTAGACTCGTTTACCGCTCCTAAGGAAGTCCTTCAGGAGTTTGCTGACTTGGCTGAAGAAGAGGACGTCGACCCCTTCGCCGAGACAGCCTCCAAACGCCAAATTGCCGCGCGGCAGTCGGATTACCACAACCGCCGCTTCAACCGTGTAGCTGTCGACAGCGGCGACGCATTTAAAGAGGGGGAAGATGGCCAAGCGGGAGAGAGCGGCTACAAGGACGCCATGCGCCTCGCGCGTCTCGAGCAGGAGGAGCAGCGGGTCAAAAGGGCTATCGAAGAGAAGGAGAGGCAGGAGAGAGAAGAGGGGAAGATGAAGATGGATCTCGACAAGACTCCCCCCGCGTCGGAGCTCAAGGACGTCGCCGAGGACTTGGAACCGAAGGAGGCGAAGGAAGCGTCAGCTGGTGCGAAGCGCAAGCGTCGTTGGGACGTGCCCGACTCAGACGAGAATCAGGATCCTAACAAGGGGGAGAAGATGGACGAGAAGGCGTCGAAGAAGAAGCGGTCGCGCTGGGACGCGCCGCCAGCGGAAGGTGCTGCAGCGGAGACACCAAAGCGGTCGCGTTGGGACCAGGCTCCCGCACAGCAGGACACACCCATGATCCCCATCATCATGAACGCGCCGAGCTACATGCACGACGACAAGCATAATCGCTACCTCACGGACGAAGAACTCAATGCCGTCCTTCCCGCTACTGGCTATGCCATCGTTACTCCCCCTCCCGGCTACGGCCCCTCTATTCCTCCACGGCATCTCATGGCTACCCCTGTCACTGAAGTCGGTGGTTTCCAAATCCAGGAGAGCTCTGATGCTGCTGCTATGGCTGCAGCTGCCGGCCTAGCACCCGAATTGCCCACCGAGATTCCTGGGGTTGGTAACCTCGCCTTCTTCAAGCAGGAGGACGCGCAGTACTTCGCGAAGATCTTGAAAGAGGAGGACGAGACGGAGCTGTCAGTGGACGAGATGAAGGAGCGCAAAATCATGCGTTTGCTGCTTAAGATCAAGAACGGTACCCCGCCCGTGCGTAAGACTGCGCTGCGCCAAATCACTGACAAGGCGCGCGAGTTCGGCGCCGGCCCTCTCTTCGACAAAATTCTGCCGCTGCTCATGGAGCGCACTCTGGAGGACCAGGAGCGTCACTTGCTTGTCAAGGTTATCGACCGCGTTCTCTACAAGCTCGATGACCTCGTTCGCCCGTACGTGCACAAGATCCTCGTTGTCATCGAGCCCCTGCTCATTGACGAGGACTACTACGCTCGTGTTGAAGGCCGCGAGATCATCTCCAACTTGTCAAAGGCCGCCGGGCTAGCGCACATGATCTCTACTATGCGCCCCGATATCGACCACGCCGACGAGTACGTCCGGAACACCACCGCGCGCGCTTTCTCCGTCGTCGCCTCTGCTCTCGGTATTCCGTCGCTGCTGCCCTTCTTGAAGGCCGTTTGTCGGTCCAAGAAGTCATGGCAAGCGCGCCACACGGGTATCCGTATTGTGCAGCAGATTGCCATCATGATGGGCTGCGCCGTCCTGCCACATCTTCGCAACCTCGTGGACTGTATTGCGCACGGCCTGACGGACGAGCAGCAGAAGGTCCGTACTATGACGGCTCTCGGTCTCGCTGCCCTCGCTGAGGCCGCTGCGCCCTACGGTATCGAGTCCTTCGACAACGTCCTGAAGCCGTTGTGGTTGGGTATCCGTCTGCACCGTGGCAAGGGCCTTGCGGCCTTCTTGAAGGCCATTGGCTTCATCATCCCACTCATGGACCCCGAGTACGCGTCCTACTACACGAAGGAGGTCACCGTCATCCTCATCCGCGAGTTCCAAACTTCCGACGAGGAGATGAAGAAGATCGTGCTCAAGGTGGTCAAGCAGTGCGCGGCCACCGAGGGTGTCACCCCGTCTTACATCAAGAACGATATCCTCCCCGACTTCTTCCGCTCGTTCTGGGTGCGCCGTATGGCCCTCGACCGGCGCAACTACAAGCAGGTCGTCGAGACGACGGTCGAGCTCGCACAGAAGGCCGGTGTGGCGGAGATCGTTGGGAGGATCGTGAACGAGCTGAAGGACGACTCGGAGCCGTACCGGAAGATGGTCATGGAGACGATTACGAAGGTCGTTGCCACCCTCGGCGCCGCGGACATCGACGAGCGTCTTGAGGTCCGCCTCGTGGACGGTATCATCTTCTCCTTCCAGGAGCAGACGACGGAGGACCAGGTCATGTTGGACGGCTTCGGCACGGTCGTCAACGCTCTTGGCATCCGCGTCAAGCCATACCTCACGCAGATCGTGTCGACCATCCTTTGGCGCTTGAACAACAAGAGTGCGAAGGTTCGCCAGCAGGCTGCAGACCTCACGACACGTCTCGCTGTCGTGATCAAGCAGTGTGGTGAGGACCAGCTCTTGAGCAAGCTCGGGCTCGTCCTGTTCGAGCAGCTCGGTGAAGAGTACCCGGATACACTCGGTAGTATCATCGCCGCAGAGGGTGCTATCGCCAACGTCGTCGGTATGACGCAGATGAACCCGCCAGTGAAGGACCTCTGTGAGTACCATACTTGTGGTTCGTTTATCGCCATCGCTGACCACCTATCTTCGCAGTGCCGCGCATGACCCCTATCCTGCGTAACCGACACGAAAAGGTGCAGGAGGCGTCGATTAACCTAATCGGGCGTATCGCGGATCGCGGCGCCGAGTTCGTGCCGGCGCGCGAGTGGATGCGTATCTGCTTCGAACTTCTCGACCTCCTGAAGGCGCACAAGAAGGCTATTCGCCGAGCAGCCGTAAACTCCTTCGGCTATATCGCGAAGAGCTTGGGTCCCCAGGATGTGCTCTCGGTCCTCCTGACCAACCTGAGGGTGCAAGAGCGCCAGAGTCGTGTGTGTAGTACGGTGGCTATTGCTATCGTGGCGGAGACTTGCGGACGTGAGTGTTCTAGTCTACTCGTTTCATCGTGCGTTGTGCTGACCGAATTTGCAGCGTTCACTTGCATCCCCGCCATCCTGAATGAGTACCGCACGGCGGAGCTGAACGTCCGCACTGGCTGTTTGAAGGCGCTGTCATTCGTCTTTGAGTACGTCGGGCCGCAGTCTGCGTTTTACGTGGACTCGGTGGTGACGATGCTCGAGGACGCTCTCACGGATCGCGACCTGGTGCATCGTCAAACGGCAAGCACGATTGTCAAGCATCTCGCGCTCGGTGTCGCCGGGCTCGGCTGCGAGGATTCGATGATGCACCTGATGAACCTCGTCTGGCCGAATTGCTTCGAGACCTCCCCGCATGTTATTGGCGCGGTCATGGACGCCATCGAAGCGATGCGCGTGACGCTGGGTCCGGGGGTGCTGCTAAGCTACGTCTTGCAGGGTCTCTTCCATCCGGCGCGCAAGGTGCGGGAAGTGTATTGGCGTATCTATAACTCGCTCTACCTGGGTGCCGCTGACGCGCTCGTGCCCTTCTACCCCGATGTCGGCGAGCTGAGCGAAGGCCAGAACGTGTACGATAGGCACCCGTTGCAGATGTTTGTGTGAGGAGGAGGACATGTACTTTATCGATAGTTAGAAGAGTTTGTTGCTTTCGGGATCTAGATTCGGTTACACCTCCTTGTGGAGAAAGCCAAAGTCCGTGGCCTCGAGCACGAGCGTTCCTGAGAAGATCTCGGATGTGAAGATCCCTGGTCAGGGCGCGAACATCAACATCCCACGTGACCTCGTTCGCTCTTGATTCCGACGAGTCGCGCTAGCCAACATTACGTCTCCCTTGACCGCACAATGAGGTTTGGGGTGCAACCGGGGTGCGTCTCCTTATGTTGGAGCCCAGCCCAGCCTACTCAAGCACCCTTGTCTGTAGCATGCGCCGCCGAGCTCACAGCGTGATCACGCGCGTCGCCGTTGATAGCCTCCCCAGAATCCGACTGCCCGGGGAATACATGCGCCACATCTCGCTCGGGTGTTCCTCGAGTTCGCTGCTGATCCTATATCGATTCCACCTTCGCTGTTCCCGCATGGCTAGACGCAATCCCCCTACGGCCTTCGCGTAAGGGCACGACACAGCTTTGTCGAGCATTCCCCGACGTTTCCCAGCAGCCTCGCTGTCAGGCGGTTCATAGGTTTAGTGTCCATACGGCCCCCGGGCTCGTCCAAATGAACAAAGGCTTTTGCTTCCCCTGTTATCTGATTCAAATAAACTCCACCCAGCGGCCACCATGTTGTGCCCCGCCGCACACCCGGTCAGTTTTCCGCGTACAAATTGACGCTAGGTTGGTGATGTCATTGCGCTCTCCTCGTCCTGAACGCCCACTAATCCCGCGCCAGGTGCCAACCACGATGCACCACTTCACGAAGAAACTCGCGGACGGGATCCACAAAAAGGTCGACCAGTTGGACTTTGGCAGGAGCAGGCCCTCGCTCTCGCGCATATTTTCCCCTCGTCCGGACGAGGGGAGCAGCAGCATCACCCAGATCAGCGAAGAAGTGCTCTATCGCTACAGGAAGCAGAGAGGTGTGAATTTAGGTGATTTTTTGTCCCCTTTGGAAGCGCTTCCTTTGTCTGAATGACTTCTACGTAGGCTCGTGGTTCGTCCTCGAGCGCTGGATATCAGAAGAGCCTTTCCGTTTCGCCGCTGCTCCTGGACAGAGCGACCTCGACGTTGCTAGAGGACAAAACGCAAAAGAGGTGCTCGAGCACCATTGGGACAGCTGGATTACAGAGAGCGACTGGGACTGGATCTCGGAACGTGGTATCAACACAGTGCGCATTCCGGTACGTGCGCCACACATATCTTCCCTTCCTTCCGACATTAAATCTGGAAGATCGGCTACTACCACCTTTGTGGCATCGACCGGTCGGTGCTAGACCGCACGGAGTTCAAGGACTTCTACCATGTCTTTTCGGGCGCCTGGACTCGCATTGTTATGGCCATCGAGGCAGCACACCGACACGACATAGGCGTGCTACTTGGTAAGTACCCCGATAATCCTCGTTGCCTCCGCTGACCTCTCTAGACCTCCACGCTGCACCAGGGAAACAGAACAATGACGCGCACGGCGGGACCTCGAACCCACCGACTTTTTTCTCCAACTCTCGTAACAGAGATCACGCCGTGAACGTCTTACATATTCTGCTTCGCACCCTGAACCACGTCTGCCAGACGCACGAGCCGCGCCTTACGAACGTGGTCGGCATCGAGCTGCTGAACGAGCCACACCCGCCGTCCGACACCGCGCTCAAGGACTGGTACACCACCGCGATCAACAAGCTCTCGGGCGACGACCCGACGATGCCCCTCTACCTCGGCGAATGCTGGCGCACGGACAGCTACGCCAAGTACCTCAAGTCGCTCTCGTCATCCACGTCGACGCTCCTCGTGCTCGATCATCATCTGTACCGCTGCTTCACAGGCTCTGACATCACGACCACGGCCATGCAGCACGCGGGCGCGCTCGCGGACCCGAACGCGCAAACCCCGCAGATGCTCGCGCGCATCTCGGAGCAGCTGTCCACCGCGGGCTGCGGCATTGTCATCGGCGAGTGGAGCGGCGCGCTCAACCCTGGATCACTCACGGGCCAGACGGACGAACAGCGCTCGTTCGTGCACGCGCAGCTGGATTTATTCGAGCGGTATTGTGCCGGGTGGTTCTTCTGGACTTACCGCAAAGGACAGGGTCGTGATGAGGGGTGGTCGCTGAGGGATGCGGTATCTGGAGGGGTCTTTCCCGGCTGGATAGGTCTGCGCGCGAACCGTCGTCCGAACAGCATATCGGAGACGTTTGGACGGCGCGATGCGCTCAAGGACCAAGCGACGAGTAAGCTCCTCGTGTTCATCATCTGAAAAGGCGCTAGAACTCACACATTCCGCCACAGATGCCCACTCTTCGTATTGGTCGCAGTATCCAGGTTCGTCGATGTTTAATTAATTCAGAACTAGTCTCATCGGTATTCGAAGGCGATTACGCCCATTGGAGGTTCGCAGAGGGTTTCGCCCTTGGCTGGGACGACGCCTATACCTTCTTTACATCCTCCGCCTGGCGGCCAGGGATGGCAGTGTCGGAACTCGGCTTCAAGGGCGCCTGGGCGAAGCGCAGGACGCAAGACCATGGAAAATCATTTTGGGAGTTCGGTATGTCGTCTACCTTCACATCACCTCTCCTTGCAACCCGCTCAACCGCTTCGATCAGCGCACGGATTCAACCAAGGCGCGGACGCGGCGCGCAACGACTTCATGCAATTCTACAGTCAGTGAACAAGTGGTATAGGTAGTATTGTGATGGAATGGGGATATTGGGCCTTGCGAGATCCCAGATGCGGCTGTCGCCAGGGGCGCGCAGCTCGTCCGCAGCAGGGCAGGCGCCAAAGCCTGCGCAACGCCCCTGTACCCCGAAGAAGCGTCCAAGCGCGAAATCGCAAGCCCAAAGAGGAAGCGGTAAAGCCGAGCAAGGGAATCCGTTACTCGATTCGTACAAAGGTAGCGGCCCGGGAAGTGCAAGGCTCAGGCAGGCGCCGAAGATGGTTTCATCTACGACTATCGTCTTGATTTGCCTGCTTGCTAACTTGTGGCTTACCGTGTTAGCAGACGCACTCTTACCTGCATCGTGTTGTTGAGTGGCGCGCGAACGTTAATCATAGTGTGTGGCGGTCTGGGGCTTACGGTACGACGACGAAGCACATAACAGGTATGTAGATCTAATTCTCTCTTCATGATACGCCAGGTCCCTAGACTAAGACGGATAGCGTTTACGGTGAAGCGACACCATCTACCGTTGGTGGAGGGGACAACACTGTCTGGACAGAAGGGTTGGTGAATGTGGTTTCCTTGAGACCGGTGCTCCTCGCAGCGAACCGCGATATCCTCGCCGGACCTCCTTTCAAGTCGCTCTTGCATCTCAATCTGCCCGCTTACAGCCTACCATGATTATATCCACCTTGGCCACGCATTACTGCCTGCTCGACGGAAAGTCATCAACAAATGCATCAGTGCATAGCAATTCATAAATATAAGGCCTACAGTACGACGACGAAGCACATCACATAGGTATGTAGGTCCATTCTCGTACTCATCATATGCCACCTCGCCAGCAGGAGGCCATTGTCCCATTCTCGATATCCACACCTATCAGTTGTTCACAATCTCTTCCTCCGCGTCGCTCGCCATGGTCCTCCGCGAGAACGCCGTCGAGCGGCCGAGCATGCTGTTTGGCCGCGAGGATGTAGTCGGGCTTCCTGGAACACCGCCGCTGAAGCGCTTAGAGGTCGGGCTACCACTCCTGGGCGGCGACGACGCCAAGCTGCTGCGCTTGTTGAGGTTCTGCACCATATCACCAACTTTTCCGCTGGGTGGACGAGGACCGCGCGTTCCGCGAGGACCACGCACGCCTGCCGAGGTTTGGCGCGAGATAGAAGTGCGACCGGTGCTCAAAGGCCTGTCCTCGTTGGGTGACGCCGGGGACGCGCTACGCATGCTCTCGGTCGGGCTTCGGACTCCGCTGGCACGCTTCGTTGGGCTGCCGGGCGTCCGCTGAGGAGTCGGCGGGATGACCGTCGTCGATGGGCTCTGGCCAGCCGGAGGGGACGAAGGCGGCGAGGTAGCCACGCCCGGCGTTGGCGTATCCGAGTCCTCAGGGGGAGGCTCTGCGAAACGGCTGGGCATGGGGGGCGACGATTCATCGGGCTCAGGAGGAGGGTCCCTAAACTGTGGGCGCGGTGGCAAATCATCATCCTCTGGAGGCGGCTCCTTGAACGCTGGACGCCTCGGGGTGGATTCCTCCTCTGGTACCGGAGGAGGCGTAGGTAGCTTCGGTGCCTCTTCGACAGGTTTTTCCAGAGGGGGTGGCGGCGGCACCTCAGGAACCGGAGCTTCGTCGTGGACAGGCTTTGGTGGCGGATTCTTCGCCGCCTGCTGCATCGCGAGCAGCTGCTGTGTGTCCGCGCCCAAGGATATGCGGCTGCGGCTGAGCCTGACATCTACCGGCGCAGTCCGCTTCCGCAAGGGGACCTTACGCGTAGACTCGCGCTTCTTCCTCGCGATGGTCGGCGGGATGATGGCGTCGTACTTCGTGAGGAGGTCAATGAAGAGCACTACGGCAGTACATCAGCACAATTCATGGGTCATAATCACTTCGCACTTACACGTCGGGTGACGATCCTGAATGGACAGCTCGGTCTCAACCTTGGGCCTGATGATCGCTGCGCAGGCGAATGTCAACGTTATGAAGGTACCGCAGTGATGAAGACACGTACTGCGCCCGATCGACAACGCCAGCTTCGTCACATATACCTCCTCGCTCTCGTCAACATCCGTCCCCTCAATCAGCCTGCGCAATCAATCAGCACTTGCCTTTCAGCGGGACTCTCCCAAGAACCACTCACTCCTTTAGATGCTTGACAAGCGTGTCGAGCACGTAGAGGTGGACTCTCGGCAGCCTCAGCAGCGCCGTTTGCAGCTCCTGCACATGCTCCTCCTCGCTCTTTTCCGCCTTTGCGCCGACCGTGCCGTACAGCTTGCGCACCTCGTCCCAGCCTTCGTAGAGGGCAAGCGGCGGATCGAGCTCAAGGAGCCACAGCTTGATAGTGGCCGCGACGACAGGGGCATCGTACTGCGCGAAGAGCTCGGCGGGGATGGGCTGCTCGGGTGGGATCGCGTTGAGCGCCTCGCGCAGGAAGTGCACTGCCGGCAGAGGCACTTCGTAGATCCACGCCTTCCTTTTCTCTGTGGTTGAGGTGAGCTTGCATTCCTAGCGGTGGAATGGGCCTATTGCTTACCAGCATCGCTTGGCGCACGCTCGTATGCGCCCTTGACGCCATCCAGCAAAGCGCTGAAGACGGGCGGTAGCGTGTCATGCTTCTCTTGACCCGTCGTGAGCGCGTCCCAGCCGCCCTCGGCCCACTTGCGCAAGTCGATACCGAAGACGACATCGCACTCGTCATGCGAGACGCTCTCGTAGACCTGGGGGTCCGGGCGGAAGGGGCCGGTGCGGTAGCGCTCGATCAAGGCCGTCAGGTCCTGCTCGGGTTGGTACGCGGCGATGAGGGTAGCAGAGCGCTCGAGCGAAGGCTCAAGGCCCTTCGGGAGGTTGGACAGTGTGCCGTGGTACTGCAGGAGGACTAGAGGCAGGGCGTTAGTGCGATAGTCACGCCGAAATAGACTCTGCTCACCCGTCTTCACGGCCCGCAGCCGCTCGATCTCCCAGCGCTGGAGCGTCTTCAGCGTGTCCTCAATACGCTCCTCGAGACCCAGACGCTGCCGGTCTAGCTTGCGGACCGCTACCCTGTATTCCTTGTCCGCTTCCTCCGCCTCTTGCCGGGCACGGATGTACGCAGGCTGGTTGTTGGCAGCAGCGTTCGCAGCCAAAGCCTTCGAGACCAGGCCAGCAAAGTTATTGGCGCGCTTGAACAAGTTGTTAGGCTTGGTGGGAGATGGAGCGGATTCGGTGGGCGGCTCCTTGGCGTGCTGGTTCTCGAGGTCAAAAGCCTACAGAGGTTTGCTAAGTAACAGAAGAACGTTTGTGAGACGGCTGCGCACCTTGGGTCTGAATTGGTAGAAGGCATCGTCGGAAGACTCGAACTCGTTACCGAACTCGCCGATACGTCTAAGCAAACCTTCTCTCTCGGTAAGGTCCTTCGCAGCCTCCTCCGCACGGTCGAAGCTGCCACCGAAACCGTCGACATTGTCGTTGAGCCACCGCACGAATTCGTCGCCCGTGAAGCAGTCCTGGTACTCGCCGAGCAGCGGCACGCGCACCGGACGCAGCGGCAGCTCCTCCGCGGCCTTCGTCAGGAGCTGCGAGATTGCGGATACGGGAAGCGAGAGCCCGGCAAGGAGCATAGGCGGAGGGGGCATCGGGGGCATCGGCGAGCTGGGTAGCGGCGGAAGCTCGAGCTTAGCAGCTAAAGGTGACATGGCTGTTGGTGAGGCGAGCACCGGGGACTGGGGTTCGACAGCGCGACCTTTGCCTTTGTCCACCTTGGGCGTCGGAGTTTCAGAAGCCTCGGGAGAGGGCGAAGCAGCCTTCTCGTTGCCGTCCTCCTCTTTCTGAGCCAATGCGCCAGCGCTGCGTTTCTGTATCTCCTTGAGGCGGGCAGCAATGCGCTCGGAGACGCTGGGGGTGCGCTGGGGTGGCGTGCGGTGACTGTCCGCTGGACGCATGTTGGGGGATGTGGTGTACGTGTCCGCAGGCGCATTGGGCGCGAATTTAAGGCTATAGGGGGATTAGTAGAGCAAAGGGGAGGGGATGGTACCGCACTCGTCCTCGGCCTCGTCGGCTTTGCGCGTCTTTGCGAGATACTGATGCTTGAGCTTATCCGCCTCGCCTTGTGCATGCTCGTAGGCGCGCAGCCAGTGATCCATGACGGTCCCCTTGTTCTGATGGAGGCGGTCCTGGGAGACGATGAGGGGGAGATAGGGAATGGTGCATTGTACGCACTCTGTACCCGCGAGCCCAATCCGCGAAAGGATCGGCGACCAGAGTCTCTAGCTCGTTGGCGATCGCCTTGTGGACTTTGCCCTGGGTCGCAGACTCTTCTTGCAGGCCACGGAAGGCCATGAGCAGCGATGCGCCATCATCTGCACCAAATCCTGCGCCTGAAGGCATGTCAGAAGGGATGGATGGTTACTGCGCGATAGGCGCACCCTTCGGTCCAGTCAACGCGGGGTTCGTGAGCGATGCAGCTAGCTGGTTCTCTGCATGCGCGCGAGCCTGTCTTCGTGTCAATCATAGCACGCATCCCCCTCATATGTTGCTCACTCGGATGAAATTGACGATTTCTGCATTCTCCGCGACTCCCTGCGCGCGGCGATTCAGTATCTGGCTCGGGATGGCGCGTCATCAGAGCGCACCTGTTCGAGCTTAGTATACAGAACTTCCAGCCCCCTCCTGTAGTCCTGGGACCAGAATGAGTTGTTGAAGCTCAGCGGCAGCGACAAGACCGCCATGGTGAGAGGGAAAGGCCCGTCGCAAGAACAGAACGGTTCCCCTGTTACACGCGCGCGCGGGGCTGTGTCGCCGTCGGCGTCCTGGATTTATCTTGTTACAGACCGCCGCTCAGTCTCTCGAGCGTCGAAGGCGTTGGCAGAAATCCGCGAGCGCCAAATGAGTGCGAGAGCCAAGGAATGCGCGGGTCTCGTTGAATCCTGGGTGACGACTGTGCATCGGCATTTGCCGGTTGAGTGGTCGGCAATTGACTTTGAAGCTTGAAGTCCCAAGGTGAGGTACAGCGCGGCGCTGCTCCCATACACATGCGACCCTTCACTTGAAAGATGTCCCTTCATGGTGAACAAGCCAAAGAAGAAGCTAACGGAGGGCGTGTGACTATGTATCAAGTGCAATGGGCATCTGCACGATTTGTACGCCCAGTAACTCTTGTCTAAAACAGTAGGTGACTCTTGATCAAGCTCGGTGCTAGCCTGGGCCATGCAGAGGGATATTCTGCGCGCTGCGCTGGTGTGCGATGCGTGGTGTAGCTTTGTGGACACATTACGGCGTACGCGCTTGACTTGAGGTGTGACCTTCGACTGTCACAGTTCGACTAGATCAGACTCCTACTGACTGATCATATTCCCCCATTGTAAGTTGATACATCAGCTATAGATCCCAGCTGAAGGCTTCACTCGGTTTTCCGCGACTCATTATCAGTCGCGCGGCCATACAGCGGAAGGGTGTGACGCCCCCCACAGCCCCCACGTTCGCACATCTTGATCCCCCCATCCTCCTGTGCGAATGGCGGACGTAGATCTCATCGACAGCAGTGACGAGCACAGTGACATCGATGACCGCGACGAAGAAGAGGACGACGGGCCGGTGATAGACTGGGTCGCACAACGGCAATTGGAGAACGTGGTGCGGGCCCTCCTGCGCTCGGTAGCGAAACGTGGCTTGCATGGAGAAGCTGCCGTCAGAGGGCTGCTGAACGATATCTCTGCGTCCGAAATTAGGTCGATCGCCCTCCGACTCAGGCATTACTATGACTCGCCCGCCTCGCTCCTGCATGCGGGCATGAGTGCAATCCTCCAGGCCGCCCTGGACATCCGCTCTCCGGACATCATCCAGCTCCTGCTAGAGCACCGCACACCAACGTCGAAGCTCCTCTACTCGCCTTCCGATATCGACTGGGCCCGCGGACAGCCTTGTTACAGAGGTCTGGTTGCCGGCTTGACTGATCGATATGCACTGTCCAATAACGATCTGAAGGACGTCTTCGCTGTGCTCTCTCGCCTGGGACTTGGCGAGGTGGGCATAGTGCTGGACATTCTTGATCTGGCGCAATTCTGGTACTGCACCTCCGCCGAGCGCGCGGACTATGTGAAAGTTCGCAAAGACGATCAGCTCGTCTATCTCGCATTGCAGGTGCCAAATACGCCCGTGCGCGCAGTCACATTCATCACCGAGTCTAGGGACCAAGGTACGTCCTGAATACTGGTCAAAGCTGCGTGCTCATGCAGAAGCGCAGGATGGAGTTCATTCCCCCGTCGGTACGGCACATACAGAAGATGTCGGTCGTGGTTCGAGGCTGGCATCGAGGGATCGGACGCACGGCTGTTTGTACAAGCAAACATACATGCCTCACCCCACTGCCAACGCCACGTCACCACATTTGATCTGGCTGCACCGAAAACGCAGAGGTGGATGAGCAGCTTGCAGCCTGGGAAGGAGTTGCAGTTGATCGCACGCGCTGTTGAGTACGGATGGGAGAACAACGTCTACGAGGCAGAAATTCGTATCTACTCCCAGTTGACGCTGGGGAAGCTGGACGAAATCTGAGGAGACACTCACGGAGGAATGCGATCTGGATATCCACATACTATGTTCAGGCCATCGATAGATACCATTGTTCTTGACCCTTTCGTTCTTGCTCTCTCGCTTTACGCACCCAACGACCCACCCGCTTGCTAGAGACAGGGATAATAAACCCATGGCTCTGCCTCGTAGACATGGTTCACCCAGCCCGGGTAGCGAGAGCACGCTATCAGGCGCAGCTTTTCTCCAGCCTTGAGGATAATCGAGGATGAGGCTAGGTTCGGATATGCCGAGGCGGAGGAGCCACATCGTAGACGTCCTGTAGGACACGTTGGGATTGCCAGGGAGCATTTGGCGGAGTTGAAGGTGAGAGGGATGAGACAGCGCGATGAGAAAGACAGGCCTATTGTATTAGGATCCGGCGTGTTTGTTGCGGTCGACCGGCAAGTGAGTTATGGGGTGGGACTTGAGCAGTGCGAGCGGTGATTCAGCGCATAGTCATGACATGCACCCTCGGGAGGGAGAAGATGGACTTGATCCTGAGGACTACACCTTGAGGTCAGGCTGCTCTTGTGGCATTGCCACCTAAGACAGAAATCGGATAACTCTGCCGAACTTATGAGGTCTACACTGGCACGAACCCCCAATTAGACCGCGGTTCATGCTGTGAGCATAAGGAACCATATCAGCGCCGCTGGTATAGCATCAGGATGGAACTGGACGTACCACAGTGCTTCCTTCATCGGTAGTCCAGAATGTGCGGGTCGACGTTCTTCCTTAAACTCAAAGAACAGGTCGGAAAGATAGTACTCGGCCTCGTGAATGAGCTGCCTTCGCAAGGACACATGCGCACTCGGTCCCAAATTTCGGCACAGAAAGGTAGCCAGAGCTGAGAGGTACCGTCACACACACCTGAGTCGTCACGCCTCTGAACGGATTCGCAGAGCAGATGATTAGATGCATTTCTATAATACGCGCCACTCTGGCCCCTACTCCGCGTCGACAGTCAGCCCTGCGGGACCCTCCCTCGGCACTGAGCTCCTCCCGCCGCTCTCGTACATGATCTCCGAGACCACCAGGTCCGGCGGGGAGTACGGCTGCTCGGGCCCCTTCTGGAAGACGTTGAAAGGCTGCTCCATGAAGACGTTTTCCGGACCGGCGGGGAATGTGGACGTGGGCAGCTGGATATCGTCGGGTGGTCGTTGCGTGAGGTAGACGCGAAGCAGTGCATCCTCGGCAGCCTGGAAGGGCTCAGCGAAATGCAGTGAAGTAACGAACACGCACTCACCCTGTACTCCGCCATCTTCAACGAGCTTCCAAAGCCCTCCCCTATCTGCTCCTCCCCAGAGAAGACGCCGACGAGGTATACGGGGCTATTTGAGAAGCGGCCCGTCTCCTTCAATAGTCTAGACACCGGTCTCTCGCGATCGAACTTGCGTACGAGCTGCAGCAGCGCCCACTTCGGATTCCGGAATTTAAGCATGGAGCGCAAGTCGACCTGACGGGAGAGGAAGAAGGAGTGCACGAACTGTCGGGCAGCCGGAAGGGAGCGCTTTTGGTAGATGAGTGCGGTGAGGGCGCGCGGGATGGAGGCGAGGGCGTCGGTGTGCAGCATGACCTGCGGGTGGGAGGGGTTCCTGGACTGCAATAAGGTGAGTATATTGTCGAGGGACTGTATCGGGCACATACAATTGTCCTGTTCCACCGCAAAAGCTGCGTCGCGCCCATCTCTTGTGCAACATTCGCGCAGGTGAGCGGGCCGACGTGCGCGGTGACCGCCGCCTTGAGGACCTTCGTCGGCAGGTAGGGGTACTTCGCGGCAAGGTACTCGCTCGCGAACAAGCCCATAAGCGCATTCCCGACCTGCTCCAGCTGCGCGTTCGTCGCGGGTGCCGGCGCATTCGGGTTGACCTCCTTCTGCAGCGCGACGAACGACGCGTGCGTGCACGCTTGCTGCACCAGCTCCGGCGTCGTCAACACATTGCCCAGTCCCACTCTGTGGGCGAAGGCGGAGAGGGCGGTGCGTGGGGGCGGCTGGGCCGCCGCCCACGTCTCCGGCTGAAATGGCGGCTTGGGGACGGCGCGGTTCTCGAAGATGGCGTCCTTCGGAGGGAAACGAGGGAGTTGGGAGGGCGCAACGGTCAGCACCCTGGCTGCCGTGCTCGCAAGTCGCCGCTGGACATGTCTCATCGCCGCCGTTGACAATGAGCAGGTCGTAAACGGAAGAAGGAAAAAAGCCGCCCGGGACATCGGGCCGTGATGCGCCGCGTCTTCAACGGTCGTGCAGAGTGCACTTCGCCGTAAGCATTCCCAACCACCTATCGCGATTTGTGTTCTGTACATAAATCTTACTTCGAAGACTCTACATCTGGTAATTCTGACTTTTGGCTGGCGGCGCCGACAGCGCCAACTCTCGTGTAGAGGTTATGCGTTGGCATATCGTTTGCTCCCACTCAAAACTCTCGCCAACATTCTCATTCCATTAGCACGTACTAGCAAGCAGACAGACAGCACAGATACGACAGAATATCCCGACCCAATCAGGCCTACTCCTCCATAGGAGGCGCAGGGAGAGGAGGCGGCGCCTCGGGCTGGGGGGCGAAAACGACATGCAGCGGCGGGTTCGTCTGACTCTCGTCGTTCAGCAGCGTCGCAATGATCGACCTACCCGCGAACGAACGGCCAGCAAGACTCTTCAACGCCACCGCCGCGTCCTTCGCATCCACGAACTTCACGTACACACGCCCCACGCCCGCTGCCTCATCCGCGCGCTGCGCCTCGACAGCCGCCTCCCTCCCGCCTTCTCCAGGAGCCCACTTCTTCTCCTTCTTGACCGGCCTGGGAACGCGCAGGTCCTCCACGGGCCCGAACTTGGAACACTCCTCCTTGATGTCCTCGAGCAGGTCGCCGTACTCGTCGTCGTCGACCAAATCGTCTGGCGTAACCATGTTGAGCATGAGCAGTACGCGCGCATCGCCGGACGTGTCTGTCTGTCCCGCAGGCATAATCGGCTTCGGGATCGCGGGCATGAGCTCGGCCGGGAGATTGGGTATCGTGCCGTCCTTCGCGCCAACAGACGCGCGCTGCACAACGAGGAAGCGGTCGCCCAATTCCATGCCGTTCAGACTCTGGATTGCCACGTCCGTCACGTTCGGGTCGACGTATTCGAAGAACGCATAGCCCTGCTCCGCGAGGTTAGCTCCTGCGAGGCCAGTGTGGGGCAGGGGATTCACCTTTGATGCACCGGTGCCGGTCTCGCGGACGAGGTTGAAGGCCTTGAGCTCGCCGAAGCTGGTAAGCAGTTCCTGGACTTGCTCTTCGTTGAGGTACGCGGGCAAGCCGCCAACGAAAATCTTGTTCGCGGAGTCGGGGACGTTGGTCGAGATTATTCCCGGGACGTGGATCATGGGTGCCGACGCGACAGAAATATCGTAGTCCTTGGGACGACGAATCTTGAGGGGGCCGTTTAGGAAGATGATGCCGTCGAAGGCCATCGCGGCAGTCGCATCGTCGGCGCTCCGGAACTGGGACAGGGTCAGCTATGATTTTATCAGTGGACGAAAGCCAGCACCCACCTCGACGAACGCGTAATTCTTTTCGTAGTTGCACTGCACCGCGAGCACAGGGTTGCCAGGCCCACCCGTGCCAATGTTCATCTCCGTCATCTTGCTGTTGAAGAATTCGGCCAGGTTGTGCTCGTTAATCTCCGGCGTGATGCTGCCAATATACAAACGGCGAGACTGGCGCGACAAATTCGGGTTGCCTCCTATACCCATGCCGAAGCTGGCGACGGGAATGGGGGGCGGGAGACCTGGGATACCCAGAATGGGCGGAATTTGCGTGCGGTTCGCGCCGGGGAGGTTGAACAAACCTGCCAGCGCATCAGCAAGGGGAAAAGTATGAGACGTTAGCACGCACCGGTCTGCTTGGCTTGCATGGCCGAGTACTGCTCGTAGCCCGGGGCGTGAACGTCCCAGCCCGTGGCCTTGCGCTTGCGCTGCGAGAGCGGGACAGCGCCCTCGGGAGTAGGTGAGCGCCGCTCGGGCGTGCCCTGCCGGCGTCCTCCGCCACGACGATCGCCGCGGTCGTCGTCGCGCCGGCGAGGGGGGCGCTCGTCATCGTGCGGCCGGCGCGCACCCCGGTCGTCGTCCCGGTAGCGCCGCGGCGGCGGCGCATCGTCGTACCCACCGCGCCGGCCTCCATACCGGTCGCGCTCGTCCACCCTACGACTGTACCGCTCGCGGTCCCGGTCCCTATCTCTGTCTCCCCTGTCACGCCTCTCCCTATCCCGGTCCCTGTCGCGGTCGTCGTGCCGCGAGCGGTGGCTGCGCTCTTCACGGTGGCGATCTGTGGGGAGAAAAGAGACACCAGGCGGCTAGCGTGAGTAAGGGTCGCTTGACATGATGCTGTGGGTCGCTGCTAGCTAGCTGCAGGAGGGGGGAAGGGAAGGGGGTGCACTATGAGCGCCGTCGTCTTTGTAACAAAGAAGGAAGAAATACGGGGGATGAACTGCTCGAAAGGGTACTCCAGCCAGACGCTCGATACGAGCGCCGGAAGTGGAGTGAAAGCTGGAGCCTGCGCTGCTGGGATTGACAGTCAAACAGGAATGAAGCTTACCGTCGCGTTCGCTCATGCTTCACACTTTCGAATGAGAGTTCGGAGCAAGCTGCCTGCAGGCCGAACGTCCGGTTTTGGAAAAGTTCAGCACGGAGAGTAACAAAGCCAAACAAGCATACTGGAGGAAAGCTTTGGCCAGCTGTGTATCGGACTGCGCAGCTGACAGCTTCTCAAGGCTAGTCCAACTATCACAAAGTCAACCATGGATGATGGAAGGTCTGCCAGATAGCAGGCAGCGAGCTGCAGATTGCGATGATTGCTTTCCAGCAACTAGTCAACCAAAAGGCCATTGCCGTTCGTCAATGTCATCAATTATCACCACGGAGTAGAAATACATTGAAGGGGGATGTCCGTCATTCATTGGCCACTGAGGTTAAACAATAATCATGTATGAGATGCATCGTGCAAGGAGGGTAGGAAGGGGATGGAGACCAGCAATATGCATGAGAGCCAGCACCGTGTGGGCGTTGAAGCAGCACGTTATGTAGATGAAGACCGACAACCGGCAAGCGATGAACGTGTATGTCAACCGGCACAGGGCCACGACCCAACAGGGAATCACATCGAGGCCGAAAGGCATAGGACACGTCAGGAAAGGCGCAGCGTGCAGGGAGGTAGGCCGTCAGCATTGATTGGGCGGGATTACTTGCGTGCTGCTCGCCGTATGAGGCCTGCGAGAAGTAAGGTACCGACGGCCGCAGCGCCGCCTGCGAGTGCCATGCCGATGTAGCCCTCTACCAAGCATGTCAGCAACCAGTACAAGACCCAGCGACGAACGACGCACCTCGCGTAACACCCTTGTCGATCAGCTGCGCGAGGCTCTGCGCCTGCATGTTCCCGGGCTCCTTGTCGATCAGTAGGCCTGTGCGGGATGTCAGCTTCTCCATGGCATGGCGGTGTAGGAGCATGCAGGCATAGCGCACCGTTGAACCGTCTTGCCTCGTCGAAGTTGCCCATCTTGTAGTGCCCGAGTGCGAGGTAGTAGAGGCACTCGCGTCTCCGGAGGGGCTCTTCCCTGTAAATTTCTGCACGCACATACGGCGTTCAGCACCGAATGCCCCACACAACGGCATGGGGAACGACACACCTTGCAGCAACCGCACGCCCTCCACCTGATGCTCGCGGATCGGGCTCTTCACCAGGCCCCACGCATAGTTGAACTTCGTCTGCACCGTGATGTGGCCCAAAGCGAGCTCCTTCTGGTACTGGAGGCGGAGGACCTGCATGGAGATTACATGTCAGTTCGGTGGGCGTGTGGGATGGTGACGGTGCTAGCGCACTTCAAGCTCATCGAAGGAGAGAGAGACCTCGGCGTCGGCGGCGTAGGGAAGGTCAGTCGTCATGTCGGTCGCGGTGCGGGGAGTGGACAAGTTCGGCGGTGGGCAAAGCGATCCCGCTGTGGGCAGCCGACGGAAAACGTCACAACAGGCGCCCGGCCGGCAGTTTCCGGGTGTGCCTTGTCTGCAGTTGAACTTTCTGCTCATCCTTTCGCCTTGCCTCACTACCTCTAATCCCCGAGACTTTACGATGTCGATTGGCATCACTGAACGCAGTGCTACCACCTCAGAAGGTCTTTCACAGGCTGCTTAATCCAGACGATTTGCGATGCATGAGTTGGCATGGATAGGCTATATGTACAGCGACTGGGGATATACGAGGATAATTTACAACAGCGCAGAGCAGGGGCAGGAACGATAAGTACGCGAGGAGGCAGGATAAGTACGTGAGTGTAGATACAGGACAGATTGCGGGTGGCGAGTTCGATGTGGGCGTAGGTTCAGCTGTGATGGGTGTAGAATGTACAGGCAAAGAAGCGGGCAAGCAGTCTCAAAGTGGATGGACAGCCCAAATGTACGTATTGCTCTTGAAGTCGAGATCCGGTGGCTAGGCTCCGATTTATGTTGGCAGGAATTTATCTGGGGCAATTCAATCCTCGATTCCTCCTGTAGAGGAAAGGAACTCACCTGCCTCGACGCGCATTTGCTCCGAGTTCATCTGAATAAAGGTAGGCGTATAGTTCTGTCGGGGCTATGAAGTGGCGCACCTTTAGCGGGATGAGCCCGATCATTATGAACGCTACTAGGGTCCCCATAGCGAAGAATATCCACAGGAGGGCCCATACTTTAGGAATGTTAGTCTAGTAGCCCATGGGGGGTAGGGAAGGAAAGAGAAGGGAAGGGGTGCAGAAAAAGGGGAGTGCGGACGTACCGTGAGCGCTCAGTGAAGGCCACAGTAATGAGAACTGCGTCGCGTCGGAGTCGTTTGCTTTGTGGAAGAAGCGGTCGTCTGCGACGTCCCCTGTGACATGATGAGCATACCAGCTCGAGTACGAAATAAGATGGGCGCTCACAAACGACGTAGAATATGCTGTCAAGGACTCATCAGCAAGTACTTGCGCATCAAACGCGAACACGCACTTCATGATCCCCACTAGCAAGCAGTACCATCGTAGCGCAGACGCGTGGTCGATGAACCAGAAGCCGATGAGCAGGGCTTCGTATACCAAGGTCAACAATATCGTTCTGCGCGTGAATACTGTCAGTCATACGCGCCTCTTCACCAAACAGGCGACGCACAGTTTGTCTCGCACCAGCGAGAGCGGCGCTATCAGCCCGACCGCAAGCACAAAGCTCATGATCTTCGCTACGAGTGTGTCAAAGCCCGCAAGTACAAAGCATGCGCCCATCAGCGTCGAGCCTAGGTAGCCCGCCGGAAGGATGAGGCCGGGAATACCGTTCTCAACGATCGTCGCGCCGCCCAGTTGCGGGTCGATCGTCACCTTGAGTATGCGCCCCCCACTGAGGATCGTCTGCGCGTGCGGTCAGGGCGGCGTTCATCTCGCGGGTTGGAGCGCGCGACGCACGAGGAAGATGTGGAAGAGCTCATGCAGGCCGATGGTGAAGAGCTTGAGCGGGTTGAGCAGCTTGCGCACGATGGGCACGTTCCAGAGGCCGAAGATGACGACGGCCATGGATATCATCTGCGCGGGGCGGGGAGATGAGATGCGGGGCGCTTGGTGGTGCTAGAAGCGACGCACGACGTAGATGACCACGATCTGCGGCGCGCGTCAGCTGGGGCGTGCGCGCGAGTGGGATCGTCCTGCGCACCTGGTCCTCTGTCGGGTTCACCGCGCCCGCGTCCGCCGTCGACGTCGGGGGCGGGGGCGCCACGACGCGGCTGCGTGCCGCGATGAGCGCGGTTCTCGTCGCTGTTTCGTGCAGGTGCATCGCGGGTCGTCAGCGGGGCGTGGGCATACACAGCTAGGCTGTAGAGATGGGAGGGGAGAGCAAGACGGCGCCGGGCGCGGCTTAGCACCGCCGGGCAATTTAATAGTGTATGGCTCGGGCAAAGTGCTGCTCACGTTGGGTGATCGGGCGCCTCGTGTTGCCCGCGCTGCTCCCCGGATTCTGAAGCGATCTCACGTGTCCGCGGCGGACAAATATTTGCGCGTCGGAGGCGCAGATCTGAAGCCGTCTTTTAAGGCGTGATAGCTCAGTTGGGAGAGCAGCAGACTGAAGTTCTGAAGGTCCCGCGTTCAATCCGCGGTCATGCCATCGAAGGCCGACAGGGAACATTTTTTCTTTGCATGTGCTGGATTCCTTTCCTGATCGCTTGCTAGTGCAGGCTGTCACTGAAGTTCACAATCAAGACAATGATCCTCATCAAGTATTGGAAGAATAAGTACAGCGACGATAGAGTTACAATGCCCGCATCCAGTTGCCAACGAACATGTCGATGGTGACTGTAACGCTAGGAAGGAGGTACAGTAGATAAGTGGGACATGTGCATGGTGGTATAGTGGCAACAAGCAACGGGTTACAGAAATATACAACAGGTGTCCGCAACGACGCTGGTTTCCCAAGCTTGGATTTGGAGTCAGGTCCCCCAATCTTAGACTCGAGGGAGGCGACCAAGCTCCGACCGAGAGCGAGAGCCTGCATCCGACGCGTAACGAATTCCATGGTCGGGCAACAAGGTCCATCGCCGTATAACGACCAACGAAATAGCCTCGCGTAGCGCAGGAAACTCGCCTTTGGGCACCTCGAGAAGCCAGTCAGAAGCGAAACGCGGTCGCTGGCGGGGAGACCTGGCAACGCGCATCAGCAACACAGCCTACTACACCTCGCCCACAGGCCACACAGCCTACACCTCGCCTACACAGCCTACTAGTCAGGCCTACAGGCTACGCAGCCCGCTAGTCCGTAACATAGGAGAAGACACTCACTGCGACCAACGGCGACCGCCGCGACTTGCGGATCGACGGGAGCGCGCAATGTGCGGGGGCCGCCCGCATGAGAGGAGACCGCGTTGGCCGTACGGTCGGTCGCAGAGGCGGAGAGATTGGCAGGCCGTTCTGCGTGAGGGGGTATGGCAGCGCACGTGGGGCGTGCCCCGTCCGAGGCGATGACAGGAGCTCCTTCCGAGGCGATGACTGAGGCTCCTTCGACGACGGCGACAGCGAGCTCGATGGCGGGAAGGGGGACGTCGGCGGCGTCGACGCGGACATAAATAAGGGTATCGGTGCGTGTGTGGAAGAGAGCGGCGAGGGTGATAGACGCATGGGGGACGGCGCGGGCGATGAGTGGGGGGCAGCCGATAGTGTGAGGGCGGCGCTTGATTGTGCATGAGCGGCGCTGAACTGTGTATGAGCGGCGCTTGATTGTGGGTGTGGTTCTGGCGTTCGGATGGTATCTATCGTATCCTCTGTAGACATCGAGCCGGCCGATGATGCGAAGAAGGGCGGTGGGGGAGGAGGTACGACGGTGGGAAACGGCGGGCATACGAGGATGGGCGACGGCTGTGGCGCGCGGCGGCGCTGGCAAAGGGAAGCTCCCTCCCGTGGGTCCTCATAGCGATTGGTGTCATCGCGAGCGTCGTGGGGTGCCGTGGTCTCCAGATGCACTGGTCCTTCACGTACGTCGCAGCGCGTTGGGTCGTAGCGCGTCCGCGTTCGTGAGATCTTGGGTACGCGCGAGGGCCCGGCGACGTGCGCAGACCCTGCCGCGCTCGCAGCCCGTACGTCCGCAACCCAGCTCGCGACGCGACGCTGCGCGGCCTCGAAGCGCGCTCGCGCGGCAGCCTTGTCGTGTGCAGACATCATCGGTAGTGGGGGGCAGTTGAAGATGACGATGACAGCAAGCAGCAGGGTATAACAGGCGATGAGGATATCACGGACGAGGGAGAAGTCACACACACAGGCCAACGCGCAGAGGCTAGACGCGCGACAGGCGGGCGGGCAGATGGAGGAAGATCAGGTACAGGACCGACGCACCCAAGGTTTATATGCGCCGCTGCGGCGAGCTGTCGTCTGGACACGCCGCTATGCGGCGCAGCGCACCCAAGTGTTTGGGCGCCCAAACGGGCCCGCGCTGCTCGTGGCGACGGTGACGCGCCTACGCTCATGGAAACAGACCTAAATTGGCGGAGACAAGGTGCGTCGTGGAGACGCAAATGGACCTTTACCGCTCCCCGGGCTCGCAGCCATGGGGAAGTTGCGTGCGTGCGCCGGTCGCGCCGGAGAGGCGCCGCGCGAGGCATGATTCGAGGAGGAAGTCGGGGAATTCATGATGGAGGCCATCAATCTGTTGCTGCACCATCACGGGGATCGGGGCATCAGTTGCGCTTGACGCCACCGCTTACCCGATTGGGTGATCTCCTTGTTCTCTGTTGCCGCCGGAGTCGACCGCTGGAACATGCATAATGTGGACCCTGAGGTCAACTCACCGGTGCCGCGCATTCGCAAGCTGCGTGAAGACGGGAAGACCTGCGCTAGGCTCGACCAGCTGGACATAACTGAGAAAATACCTCGAGGACGGCCGCTGCATCGCAACTTGCATCAAGCGCTGCCAAATCGACTTAGCAACCTTTCCCTTGAAGGTGAGTCCGCGAAAGCCCCGAGGATGACGCACGGGACGCGACTGGTCGAGCGATCCTTGATGTGCCTTGCGCGTTCCGAGGTACCCGACGATGTCCAGGTCCCCGGGAGGACTGGTCAACAAACTCCGTCCATGTCCTGACCCAGAGCGACGCAGGATCAACAAGGATGGCAGGCGCTGTCAGCCTCAGGGCGAGTAGAAGGACCAAGGTTTCTTGATCGCGGATGGGATATTGGATGAGCAGGGTGTTCCCAAGGCGAGTGGTCTGGAGCGCGAGAAATTGTTCGGCCGCTCCGTCGACGAATATTGAGCGGGGTGTCGTCAGGCGAAGCGCTCGAAGAAGTGCAATATGTACTGAGAGGGAGACAGCCCATACCGGAGCCATCCGTCGACAAGTCACCATCTCGAGGCAGTATCTTCATGTGGTTGACATGATCTTGAATAGTTTCAATCAATTAGACGCGAACTTCATTATTTCAGCACAACCACCATCAATTCAATACGATCACTCGCTAGTCGTATCGACGAAGATGACCGCGCCGACAGAGGCCAGGACGTATCCCACAACGGCGCCGTAGGCAGGCGGTAGTGGGTAGGCCTGGACGCCAGAGGTTAACTGGGAGTCGACATGGTTGTCAGGCGTTCCTCACCTGCCAGCTGCGGTCCCAATCAAGGGCCAGTGCGATAGAGCCTAGCCAGGCTCCAAGTACTGCCCCAAAGGGCGGGATGGCGAGCGCGCGTTCGATAGCGGTTTTCGACCTGTGTTTCGTCAAGATAACGCTAGATCAGAAGGAACAAACTTACTCAGATTCGACGAACAACCTCAACCAGCTGAAGCGAATGACCATACGACGCGTTTCCTCTTTCCGTTGCTCCTTCGCTTGTGCGTCACTCGTTTGTGACTTGGGCCATGCGATCGAAGTCAAGGATTGGACCGTGACTGGCGAGCCGAGCACGTATGCAGGGACCAGGACGGTCAGTAAGGAGACCAAGAGAGAGAGAAGGTAGGTGTTGACCGCGTGGCTGTGAAGGGTTAGAACAGTATGAGAAGGCGGAGATAAGCATTTTACCTGAAGAAGGGCGCGCCAAAGAATACTATAATAGTATGAATGAAGACGGAAAACAATAACGTCGTCTTCAGCGCGTCGACGGAGGCCTGATATTCGCGGTCAGTGAGAAAAAGGTGGTTATCCTGTCGTTGACCTACACTCCACGCAACCTTGTCGTGCGCAGTCTTGGCCATTGCCTTGTCGTACTCATCTGTAATGAGCTTCAATATTCACACATCCACACCATCCAAACCCTCCCCTACCATTTTCACTGTTAGTGTACTCAGTCCACCAATTCTTCATGAACCCCGCCCACCACAGCTGCAGGACCGCAGCCCCCAGACACATCCACACCAGCGTCCACGTCGGATTCACAACCAGAGGCACCAAGAATGGATGCGTCGGCTTGTCCAGCGACGTCTGCGCCGGGGGCGGGGGCAGGATGGTCTCTACCCATCCCCAGCGCGGGGAACTACCCGACGGTTGGCTATGCTCAGGCAACTCTATTCGCGGCAAAAAGAGCGCTGCAAACAGTAAGAGAGACGTATGCGCTCCAACCTGCGCGGTATAGCGCCCGAAGGACACGTGCAGACTCGCGTCCGATGCACTGGGTTTGTCGCCGGATTCGAGTCTGTTCTTGTACTTCGCTGCGAGGGCCTGCAAGTTGGCGCCTGCGCGGGCGGCCGCCTCGGGGAGCGGAGAGTCCTCAGCAGCAGCCTTTTGTACAGGAGGGTGCGCTGCTTTGCGTCTGCTCGCGCGGTTCATGGGTGGTCGACAAGTTGTTGATGAAGGAGTGACGGTGACAGTCGGAAGCAAGAATGAATTGCCTTTTACGGCTCGCGTTCAATCACCCAACCATGCCAACGCCTTTGCACGAGGCGGCGAGACACTTACCACCAACGAGGCCGGTCCCTATCTCCCTCGGGCGAATTTACACGTGTAAGCAGTACATTCGATCTACGAACTACCGTACACGCGCGTCGTATATACTCGTTGTAAGCACATGCACGCGCGCCCCCACTCTGGGAGGGCGCGCGGCGGGCATCGAAAGCAATGTACATCGCAAGCAGACATAGCACGTAAATATTCGTATAGCGATTCGATATTCATCAGCAACATTCAGACAGACATTCGACACACAAAGCAAAGGTAAGAAAGCGTGCGAGACGTAATCCACATTCGATTCGTGTGCATGAAGAGAAGAATCATAAAGGACGTTAAATAGAGGTGAGATCGGGATTTGGAATGAGATTGGTAAGAGCACAGACAGTGAGCTGATCGTCCGTGCGGTTCGTGGTCAGTGGTGGTACAAGCTTGGCAATGGCGCGAGTATGCTTGATGGTGAGAGGATGGTAGAAGTCGGCAAGATGGAGAGCATAGGGGCATAGAGAAGATGCATAGACCGCGTACTGGAGCAATTGGAGTTTAGATGCGAATAGAGCGTGACTGGGTTGCCGGAGTCTGACGAGCGCGAGGACGAGCGCGGTTGATGCGCAGCGAATCGCCAGGCCTGCGGAGGGTCAGAACATGCTCGATAGGTAGGAAGAGAGTAGACTTACGTGGCCAGCGTACCCTGACCCACGTTCTCCTTTTGTCCAGCCGATGATTTATTACTTCTCTTTGTCCACCCGAGAGCGGCCCTACGCGCAGCCGAGCCGATCTTGGGACGAGCGTCAGGAGCCAGACCCCAGGCATTCTCAGCCGAGGGCTCGACGGCAGCGTTCTTCTTCTTGGGGCTGAGCGCCGCGGCCGGGGAGGCGTTCTTGTCGATGACGACCTCGCGCAAGGGGCTGTCAACCGCGACGCGGTTAAGGTCTTTGACCGAGGGGTTCCGCTCCTGGAGAGACACGATGGACTGCTTGCTGATGCGACCGGCCACGCGCTGAGGGTAAGGCGACGGGCGAGACTCAGTCCGAATGCGCGCACGGGCAGCGCGAAGGTCCGCAGGCAAAGGCACATAGTTCTGGATCGAGTGCTCAAGCAGGGCTTGCATGCCGGCCGGATGACGAGGCGGATCGAATGCTGGGTATTCGTCAGTCTTTACTCTTTCCCGAGCGATAGACAACTTACACTGCAGCGCGAACATCGAAAACGGCGTGTCCAACCAGATCCTCTTGCTCTCCGCGACGGTGCTGTCCGCCTCGTCGCGCAGCGCGTAGTACTTCCGGAGCGCAATGATACCGCGATCGTCATCCCAAAGCGAGATCGAGTTGCCGGACTCGATGGAGCGAGTGTCGTCCGCGTCGACCACGTAGACCGGCTGGGACGCCGGTGGGCTCTCCACCTTGGACATATTGCTGCCGGACACGCTGCTGGACATGCTGCTCGACGCCGGGGACATCATGATGGACGACTCTTCCTCGATGGTCTCGTAAACCGACGACCGGGAGATGTGCGAGATGTGCGCCTGACGAGAGGCCCGACGGCGATGACCATGACCGCGGGGACGAGAGCGACCGGCAAGACGGGTGATCGGGTGAGTTGCGTTCGTGAGCGACATGCTGAGCTGGGACAGGTCGATGCTAGACTGCGAACCGCCATCCGAGATCGAAGAACCGTCAGAAGCCGACAACGGAGGCGTCTCAGTACCCGAGCTCGCCGTGTACGTGCTCGACCGCGACCGCGACTTAGGACCAGGCCTGCTGAATACCGGTGCGAACCCGACTAGAGGATGGTGTAAGTGACTGGGCATGACATCGTAGGGAAGGCTCTTACAGGAAGCGGAAAGGTCCTCGCCTTCGGCGATCAAGACACTTTCCTCCAGACTCTGGCGCTCCAGAAGACCATGACGCGCGCGGATCATGCGCTCATCTCCGAACTGATGGGACGACGTAGAGGCGATGGACGGCTTGGATAGAATGCGAGCCTTGGTGGGCGACTGCATTGCCTGATCCCAAGCGTCCATGTCATCCTGGACCAGGTGCTTGCGCTTGCCGATACCGACACAGGGGGAGCCCTCGATGAGCGAGTCGATAGACCGACGACGGACGTGACCGCCACCCAGCATCTGGAGAAGTATAAGCAATGTATAACACGCTATGACAGGAGAGAACGTACGGTGATCATAGTATCGTCGTCCTTGGCAGGGCTATGCATACTGTAGTTGCTGATCATGGACAAGGGGCGGAACTGGTTGGGCGGCAGGAGGTGACCGCGGTACGAGTTGCCGTGGTAGCCGAAGACAGACTCGTCCGAAATCGAAGAGTGGTCGTCGGTCTTCTCGAGGATGGAATCCGTCGTGTACCGGTGGTCTTCATCCAGAATCGAGTCGTAGGAGTACCTGTCACCGGGCATGCGCCGCTGAATGCTGTCCATCTGCTCGTCGATGCTGTCGCCGGGGCTGCCCGGGGAGGCCGAGATGGCTGCCAGAGGCTGGCCGACCTCGGTGTCGAACATCTTGTCTCCAATGCCAGGTCGCCCAAGATGCATCGCCGAGAAGTCGCTCATGATCGAGTCGACCGACGCTTCCTGCCTGTGCCGGGTCGCCCAAGCCATACGACCGCCGTTAGCGCCGTGCATGGCGTATGAGTGAGCCATCGAGCTCATGCTCGTGTCCGAGTCCTTGCGACGGTGCGCAGCCCCCGCGAAGCTCCTATTGTACAGACTGATGGGCGGGCCTTGCGACATTGCCGACATGGCCGAGTCACGACGACGATGCCCGCGGGACGTGTTCAATTGAGTAGGCCGGTAGTAGAAGCTCGAGGCGTCACTGTCGACGCGGCGGCGGGGCTGGTGCCTGAGGAAGGAAAACGTGTCATCGACGGTCATCGACATGCTCATCGACATGTCCTCGGAGGAGGGACGCTCCCTGAGGCTCGGCAGACCCATGTCCTGCGCGAAGCCAAAGGGATCGGCAACACCGCTGTTGATAACGCCGCCGTACGAAGAGACGGACGCGATACTGAAGAGCGACTCGTGACGGTTGTGGCTGTTGTTGCGCGAGCTAGGCGGAGGGTAGAACGCAGGGCGGTTGTCGTTGAACTCAAACCCGCGGCGGACCTCCTCGAACGAGTCGAAGCCGGTGAAGCTGATGCCCGACGCAGGGCGGGACAACTCGGCGGAGTGTGAGTCCTGAGCCTGGCGCGAGTAGTCCTGGAAGAACTGCGAGCTGGCGCTCGAGTCCGTGCGAACGCGGGGCATGTCCTGGCCTGGCAGGTTGGTAGCCTTGGCAAAGATCGACTTGAGCACGGAGTCATCCTCAATGGAGCTGTCGGCCTCCTGCGACTGCGATGAGTTCGATAGTGAACGAACATGCGACGGCGGTGGAATGATGTCCGACAACGTCAGAGGCTTATCCTGAGGCTGCTCCTTGACTGGCGAAGGCGACGGGAGGCCACCGAACTTGAAAGCCCTGTTGAGCTGACCGTCGGAAGGACGGGAGCCAGCAGAAGACGACGACGAGGTCCCACGAAGGGTACGGACTGGCTCATCACGAGGTTCCTCCTGAATCTCAGAGCACTCTGGCGGCGGCATGAAGGTCGGCTCCTTCATGTGCAGCAACTGCGACTGCGATGTCATGTCCATGTTTGCGCTGTCGGTCTGGCGCGAATCGTGCATGAACGTCGGCGCCCTGGCATCAACGATCTGAGAGACCGACGGGATAGAAAGGCTGTTCGAGTCCTCCGCCATGCTGCTGTCGGCGGAGGAGCATCCCACGTTGAGCGGCGGAAGAGGCGGCACCGGCGGGACGGCATCCAAGAAGGGGCCCAACCCAGTGAAGTCAACCTTGGCGGGCGTACGGAACGCATTCTCCAACTGCTCGACGAAGCTGCGGCGATCGGAACCACCTGACTCGTTCAGGGCCTGCAGCTCGCCCGTGAAGTCGAACGACTTGCGGGTGTCGTCTTCCGACCCACTGCTCTCCTCGATGTCGGTATGTTCTTCCTCGTCATTCAGGCGGAACATCGGCAGCTGCGGGAGCTCCTCCATAGGGGCAGGCAGAGGCAGCTCGGGTGGCAGACCAGGCGACGGCGGCGGCTTGCTACCGCCCACGGGGAAGGACATCGTGTCATCCATCTCGTTGTCCGAGTTGTGCAGGATAACCTGCAGCTCCTCGGGTATGTCAGAGTCGGGGTCTGATTGGTCCATCTTTTCAGGTCTGTACGCCGAGGTGTCCGAACCCCCCATAGTGCCGGACATGCCAAGGACGCGCTTGGTCTCGGAGGTGATAGGCAGACGGGAGTGGCTGGAGAGCACGCTCTCTTGGCTGAGGCGGCTGCGGCGCGACCCCGTTGAGGCCTTCTTGCCCTCGGGGGCGGTGAAGACGGGCGGCTGGAAGTCGGCAATGGAGCTCTTCGAGCCGGTGCTCGCAGACGCGGATCCGAAGGTCGTGGACGACATGCCGCGGCGGTGGCGCAGGGTCGCGGAGGGCGGCGTGTCGCTCGCCTTCTTGCCCATCACAGGCAGCTTGAACGGCTGGAGCACCGGACGCGACCGTGCAGGACGCAAAGGCTGGAACACCGGTGACCCATCGCTCGCAGGTGATGGCGTGGCGCTCGAGTTGTGCTTCTGACAAAGGCGGCGGGCGGCGGGGCTCTGCTTCTCCTTGAGGGGCGACAAGTTGTTGAGCGTCGACCAAGGCGCGATCTGCTGACCAATTTGCTGCCCGATGGCGTTGGTCTTGTTGGCCTTCTGGTAGCCGCGCGACTGCGCGTACGGACGCAGCGACTGAATTGAGGGGTTCGCCGGGCGAAGGGACCCCATGCTCGGGTGCGGATTTGTCAGAGCACGCCTGAGAGGGCTTTCTTGCGAGGCAGCATAAGCCTGTGCTTCCGTCCTCCAAGGAGACACATCGTAGTTGCTGGACGGCGTCGCCTCGAGGTCGAGCGTCGTGATGAGCTGCGCAAGGTCGTTCGTCGCCGCGTCAAGGACGGAGATGACACCTAGCAATCTGTGAGTATGTATTTCTTGACGCGCAGTGACACCGCGTACCTTCACCATCCTCATGCATGGCTTGTGGCCTGCTACGCCCGAGTAACTGCTCCGACACCGGACGCCTCCGCGCTGCCCTGACAGGCGTCGACGCCTGGCTGTACGCACTGTGACCATCTGAGGTCGCCTCTTCCACCGTCACCAACGGGTACCCTGGCTCCGTTGACTGCATCGACTCCGCCGACTGCATCGAAGCGGGAGAATCCGGCTCCTCCCTCTGCGCCATCTCGCGCAGGACTGCTGAGAGCGGCGTGCGGCGACGTCCCTCAGCGGAGTGCTTGCTCTCGCGGCTCGTGCGGCGCGCTGTGAGGTCTACGTCTGCGACGCGTTGGCTCTCGACACTCTCACGCTTATCCTGGCGGTCCTTCTTGATCTGCTCCGACGCGTGCTGCAGTCCGCGGTCATCCCAACGCACGGAGCGGAAGGAGCTACCCGACGAGAGGCGCGAGTCGCCGGACGCTGTAGAAGGCGGGCGGAGAGACGACGCGGTTGACAGGACGGACCCTGCGCGATCACGACCACGAGGGATGCGTGCCGCCGCGGACTCCACGGAGAGGCGGTTGTTGTCCTTCAGACCGGCCGCGGGCCCGATTGACGAGGCCGTGGACCCACCACGCACGGTGGGCAGCCGCATCGACGATGGCAGGCCCAGTCCGAGAATGCTACGCTTCCTCGCGCCCAGTGTCTTCGTGTTCTCAACCTTCTCCGGGCTGGCGGACAGTGCGCCCGCCTCGAAACTGCTTGTGGACAGATGACGCGGCGCCTGCGGTTTCTCCTTCTTGTCCTCCTTCTTGCTCTTCTTCTTCTTCTCCTTCTCGAGCGCCTTCTTGCTCTTGGTGCCCTTGTCGCCCTTCACGGTCCCCTTGTCCTCCTTAACGGGAACTTTGTCCTTGGGCGGCACCATGTTCTCGTCGTTGCGAAGTTGTGCCCAGCTGCCGATGCGTGCCAGGGACTTCATCGACCGAATAGCGCGGAGCGCTACAGAGCCCTGATTCGAGGCATTGGTGCCGCTGAACTGAGTGTTCATGGAGTCCGCGCTCGGCGGAGCGAGGAAGCCGCCCATGGTCGGCGTCGCTGAGCGCATGCCAACGGCCGGGCCGCTGGCAGCCCGCTGCATCTCGGGAGCCTTAACGCGAGCGGCGGCAGGGTGCTCCGCCATGAAGGGTGTCGGCGGCGCGAAGGTCGCCGGAGAGTTGAGAAGGATGCCGGAGTCGAGCGAGTTGAATCTCGCACGGCTTTCTTGAGGAGTGATACGAAGAGGCTCGGGGGCTGTAATGCAGTTCAGTATAATAGATGGAAAAGGCTAGGACAGGGCGCCCACTCTTTGACCTCGGAGGGTGTGGAGCACAGTTCTCTGAGCCTAGGAAGTATGTCAGCGAGAGCGAGGAAGTATGGCGGGTGAACATACCTTGAGCACGTGACTTGGACTTGGACTTGTCCCTCGGCGCCTTCGCCTCCTTGTCCTTCGAGTCCTGGCGGCCTCTGCCGATCGTCCACCACTTCTCCTTCCCGTTCTCCTCCGTCTTCGGCTTCAATGTCGTCGTCTTCGTGTTTTGCTTGTCGTGCTGAGAGTTCGTCGTCGTTGATGCGATATTCGTCTTCTCCCCCAGCGGCCCCCAGGCCAAGTTGTTGAGTCCCGCGCGGGACTTTTGCTTCTTCACCATCAAGATCTCGCCGAGCTCCGGGTCGTTGGACGAGTCGACGTAGATGTCGAAGCCGCCGCGCTGGGAGAGCGAGGAGGCGCCGACGCGGCGGTAGACGTCGGACAGGTCCTTCGCGCGCGCGCTGTTCTCGTCATTGGCCGACTTGTTCAGCAAGCCGAGCTTGGACTTTTTCGGGACGAGGCGGCGACGCGGGGTGTTCGACAGGGCTGGCTTGGGCGCGAGGCCGGATGCGGAGCCCACGGATGCCCAGGAACTGTCGGCGGTGATGTTACCAACCGACGAGTTTGGTTCCGATGCTGATAACCCCGTCGCGGACGGTGTCGAAGAGATGAGCCGGATGGTGGGGGGTGGGGGTGGGGGTAAATATGGTTCCGCACTTGGGCGCGGCATTTAGATTGTTGTCGAACGAAAAACGTGCAGAATTCGTATAAAGATGAGCCCGGCCGTAAGTCTTGTGGGGCGTAAATGTGTATAGATCGTTGAGTAGCAGATCGTGAGTGGATCCGAGGCGGCTTCGTGAGTCGAAAAACGCGTTAATTCGTCGAGAACTGGCGGAACTTGGGGCGCGTCAGCACATGGGGCGGGAAGTATGGAATTTGCAACGCACCTGGCTGGTCTGTACGCACCTCTTCCTACTCCGAAGGCATGAAGCGATGAGGACGGCGTCGAAAGACGGAGAATCCTGCAGGCTCTTGCTGGCGAACGACAAACTGTTTCCGAGCGATTTCGAACCCAATCAACGAACTCTCACGTGACGGTGTCCGGCCGGCTTCCTCGGCCACGTGCGTCGGCAACGGCACTGAGCTCGCCAGGTGCCCGCCTCGCGGTGGACTTCTCCTTGCTTTCTTCCTCTTTCCCAGATAATGGAACATCGTTATTAATTCACCTCATATACCTCCGATGTCACCACCGATACCCTGTCTGTTCTACTTGAAGAACGCCTGCAAACGTGGGAACCAGTGTCCCTTCCTGCACGAGGAACGACCAGACGCGATTGCTCTGCGTCGTCCACCTTGCACGTTCTTTGCCAAGGGGAGATGCCGGTATACTGCTGAGGAATGTGTCTACTCTCATGAAGTGAGCAATGCGGAAGTATGCGAGGACGGTAGGTTGAGAAGGAGTGAACGAAAGACATCATCGCGCTCATCGTGCGTGAGCCAACCCAGATGGTATTGAGAACGCCGCGCGGGACCCGGATCAGCAAGTGGAACACAATGAGGAGGAATGGCACGAGAACAATGGAGAAGCTGATTGGCAGGAAGACAGCGGAATCGAACAGGACGACAACGGTGAATGGCAGGAGAACGGAGACGATGGTGGCTGGCAGGAAGACGCCGACGATTGGCACGACGATAACTATGAGCAGCAGGAAGGGGATCCTTGGCAAGACTACAACTACGACCAGCAAAACGAAACACCCTGGCAGGATACTGAACACTCTCCAAGGACCGACGAAACGCTCATCGACGATGCGCAGCCTAACGGTGAACCATCATTCCTTTGTGTGGATGCCCCAGCCTTTCAACCGAAGTGCACAATGGCCGACATGGGATACTGCACAAACTCAGGGTGTATCTGTCGCCAGTTTCAGACGCTAGATGTCAGCGCGGACGTGGATGAGCCTCCCCTGCACGAGGCGGACGCGATGGATCCTACCTCTGAGCCTCCCACGGAGTTTGCCGAAGAGGCAGAGTCCGCCGCGTTCGACACAGATCCATCGACATCGGCGGCCGGCATGTCCTGGGCGGACGATGTCGAGGATAATTTCTACTCGGCGAATGCGCCCGATGCGGCTAACGAATACGAAGCCGGGGCAGAGTCCGAGGCCGTCGTCGAGAACAATGGAGGGTGGGATGACAATGCGGGTGGTGATGATGGGGACAGGGATGGCACTGCAGGGGCGACCAACGACAACGATGGCTGGGGCGACAGCGATATGGGGCCGGATCCGTGGTCGATGCCCGAGCCGACTACGCAAACATCTGCGAAGAAGGCATCCCAGTCATCTGTCGACAAGGAATGGGGCCAGCCGCCCCCCGCGCGCAAACGCGACCGGCCGCGATCCATATCCAGCAAACCTTCATCGCGCCCGTCGCCCCGTGACAGCTCTGGATCCTCTCCCGCGCCAGGGCAGGATGTCTGTCGTTTCTGGCTGAAAGGGACCTGCATGCACGGCAAGAACTGCCGCTACAAGCACTCGAATGAGTCGAGGAACGTCTTTGATAAGTCGCCCGCACCGCGGGGCAACTCGACATCGCGCGCATCGCCGCGGGGTAGCTCGACATCCTCCCCAGCCCCGTGGGGAAGCTCGGCATCTGCACCAGGTAGGGATGTCTGCCGCTTCTGGCTGAAAGGCGATTGCAAGTATGGCAATAGCTGTCGCTACGAGCACTCAAACGAGTCGAGGGAGACAGCGCAGCGAGGATACAACTCGTCCAAAGGCCGAGGTAGCGATCCGTCCAGGGGCAGGGGTACGCCGCGAGGGTACGACTCGCCCAGAGGACGAGGATCCACGCGCGGAGGGTACGATTCTCCGAGGGGCCGAAGCGCCAACGGGCGGGGAGGGAAGTCGCGCGCATCCAGCACTTGGGGTGGAGGAGGATGGGCATCCAGCGGGTTGGGCGACTGGGGATCACCGACCGACGACGCGCAGAGCAAGGACGATGGGAACGGCTGGTTTGCCCCTGCAGATGTCTGGAACATCCCGCAGACCGACAGCAATGCGACTGTGGAGACCGACAACAATCCGTGGGACAACCCTGTAGGCGCGTACGACCCGTGGGGCGAGCCGACGAGCACGCCAGCAGTGCCTGCAGCGGGTGAACGGGAGGCCAACCACGAAGAAGTCGCCGATTGCAGTGTGGGGGAGGAATCGCGAGCGCAGCTTCCCGAGTCAGACTCGGACCGCCGCCAATACGTCGGCAATCTCGACCTGCCGCCGCATCTGCAGAGCGCAGGCTCCGAGTCGCCGGCAGGGACTTTGGGGGAAAAACAATCAACGATACAAGCTCCTGGGCCCCAGCAAGCATCGGCCAGCTCGTACTTAACAGGAAACATCGATGAATTCATGGAGCCGCCTGGCTTGCCGAGTCGACTCGCCAGCCGTGTGGGATCCGCGAGCCCGAATGTGAAAGGATGGTCGACGCCTGCCCGCGGGACTTCTGTAGACGGATCTGCTAGTAGGCAAGAACCGAGCGCAGCCGCCGTCGACATCGGCACTTGGAAATTCAACCGTGACGAGTTTATGCGTGACACGCCTGTAACGACAGACGTTAGTCAATTGCCTCCTTTTGCGGCGATCGCTTTCTGACCTTCCTCATAGAATGACAAAACTAGTATGGCGACGAACGGACGTTCGAAAGCAGCGGACAAAGTACCCATCACTCTTGACGCCCCATCCTCTGCGATTGACTCAGAGGTGCGTATCTTGCCATAAGCTCGATGTCGAGTAAATGTGGCTGACACATTGTAGCCACCGGAGGAGATACGCTGTCCGAGCCCACCAAGCCCACGCCTACCACTCATATCTCAAACAATAGATCCAATCGAGTTACCGGACTTCGTACGTGGTGTACACCTCGTTTTCTGGAAATCTCAAGCTCATGTCACGTCAGGGGCCAGATACTGGGAAGTTCGACGATATCTTCGGGTGTTCCGTGCGTATAGGCAGCGGCGGTGTGGTTCACAGCGTGCGCACCCCATTCGACCCCGACACTGTCGAGATCTCCGGTTATCCCAAAGACACGCCGCTCGACCAGCTATGCGAGTTCCAGATGATGTTCCCGGGGATTCGACAAGTCCGCTTCGAGCCCACGTACTGCATCCAGTACTCGGAAGCCTCGCAGGCGGCGCACGTACGCGAAGAGCTGGACGGCAAGGAATGGAATGGCCACATCCTCTCGGCTTGCTTCGACATGACCGGCATGATTGAGCCCGCTGAGCATGACGGGCGCAAGGTCGAGATCTCGTATCCGTATCCGAAACTCTCGGCATGGATCTACATGAGCTCTATGACACAGGCGCGCAAGATGCAGGAGGACTTCGAGAAGGAGCCGCGGTATGTCAGGGGCTGGAAAGTCACCGTCACCGTGCAGAAGCGCGCGCGCAGCGTGGAGTCTGTCGCGCTCAAGCTCGATAACTTGCCCACGTCAGCTACCGACGAGGACATCAGCTTGCTATGTATCGGGTACCCGGTGACGACAAGGGCGATGAACAAGCCGACGTACAAGCGCGACGCGCTGGAGCAGGTGAAGCAGCTGGTGGATGCCGACGGCGAGCAGCGCTTCCTCTCGTTCGTCAAGCTCCCGGATGGCGACCCGCCGACGACCTGTCGTGCATTGGTGGAATTCAAGGAGGCAGCTGATGCGCAGGCCGCCATAGCCAACCTGAACGGGACGCAGCAGTCCTTCCTCGGCAAGGAAGATAAGTTGCGCCTACGGCTCGTATCGGCGTATCGGCGCGAAATATCGCGCAAGCACCTCGACGTCCTTCAGGAGGACCTTGCACAGCTTCCTCGTACGCCAGGACTGAGGATCTTGTTTGGGAACACGAATTTCGGTGCTCGGATTGTCGTAACTGGCTCCGACGCTCGCGCGGTGGTCATCGCGCGCCAGAAGGTCGACAAGCTGCTGCGAGGGCATGTTGTCCGGCGGAAAGACACGATCTCGTGGCACGAGTTCTTCGTGACGGCCCCAGGCGAGAAGAAGCTGCAGGAACTCGACCCTTCGCTCGTCGTCGTCGCCGACCGCCGCCTGCGCCAGCTGCGCATTGTCGGCGGAGCACCCGGCACCCCCGCCTTCGACAAGGCGCAGAATATGATCAACGCCATGATCAAGGCCCTCTCGGCCGGCCGTGATCAGCTTGTTCTCCCGCTCTCTTACGATCAGCTCGGATACATCGTCAACTACGGGCTGAGACGCCTTCGCGACCGCTTCGGCGACGAGGACGGCGTGAAGCTGGTCTTCCGCCCTGCGGATCGTACTCTCGTCGTGCGCGGGAAGGCCGACTTCCGGGATAGCGTGCGCGAGGCGGTGGAGACCCTCCCGAAGCGCCCGCGACCTGCTCAGCCATACCGGCAGTGCCCTGTCTGCACAGGCCAGCCAGAGGATGGGCGCCCGCTCCCTTGTGGGCACGAGTACTGCCTGACTTGTCTGCAACACGTCCTACGCGCGGGGGTCAGCGAGCCCTTCGCGCCGCTGAGTTGCGTGGCTGCTGGGTGCGGGACGCTGGTCCCCTCGAGCATGATTAAAGACAAACTCTCAACTAAGGAGGCGAAGGCGCTAGTAGGCGCATCCCTCCTCAGCTATGTCCACGATCAACCTGGGGAGCTGCGCTTCTGCCCTACGGGGTGTGATGTGCTGTATCGGCCGTTGACGGACGGCCTCATTATCCGCTGCCCGTCCTGTCGCGAACGCCTGTGCGCTTCGTGCGGAGTAGTTTGCCACGAAGGCATGACCTGCGCAGAGTATCGCTACGAGGGCGGGTCCTGGGAAACGCTGAACTAACGCACTAACGTCGTGTTGTATTTATTTGCTGTCGCTTTCTTGCATTGCTCTTTTTCTTGGCTGTACGTCTTCGCTACAGTGACGCCTTGCGCATCTGCTTAGATATAATGACATTTACGAAACATACCCTCCTTGCAATCACACCGAACAATGGTCGAAGGATAATGGTTGGTCAAACGCGTGACTTCTGCGTGACTCACGGTTCAGTTTTCCATGTCCGGTCCACCGGGCCGGTCCTGTCAGTAGCGCGAAAAGTTTGACCTTCAAAAGGATGCCAAAAAAATTACTTGTAAACTAGAGGAAGCCCCGGCTTCGCCGGATGCATACCTTGCTTGCACCTCGCGCGTGAGTCTGAATCCTGCTATCGTTGGCAGAGCTCATCGTGTGGTGCCGTTCAGGACTTGTGGACGAAGATGTCGGCGCGTTTACCGATGTTGTCTTCGGAACGTGCTACGCACATGGGGTCATTTTTGATGGGGTCAATAAGAAACGGGAAAGACCTTGCAAGCAAGGTGAGGGTCTCCCGAGACGTATCTGAACCTTGAAAGAGCAGCAAAAAGGGCCCAACCGGGAATTGAACCCGGGACCCCGTGCAACGATGCTCCTGTGAAGGAGCGAGTGACTGAACACCCGAAGCACGTATCATACTACTAGACCATTGGGCCGATGGTTGGCAAGGTCTTCCTTGCGGTGACTGCCGTATTGACTTTGGAAATCATTCTTTCACGGTGGTCAGAGCAATCGAACTCATCTGAAGTGCGGGGGGCAGGATGAGGAAGTAGGAGAGGAGAGAAACCGCTTGGAGACGAAGCTGAAGTTCACGACAAGGAAGATGGCAAGGGAAACGCGATCAGGATTAATCCAGGATGATACATAAGGGTTTGGATACAACAGAGTGAGCGTGATAAGTATAAGTATGTCCAGAAGATGCTGAGGATATGGGTCTAGAAGGGGGGTGCGATAGTAGTTCGATGGAGAAGCCCTCGATCAGACAAGGCGAGGAGGGTTGCGACGCTGCTCCTCAAGCTTTGCCTCATACTCCTTGCGCTCTTGCTCGCGACGTGCACGGGCTTCGGCCAGTTTCTAATGATGCATGAGAAGGGGGATTACCGACGGAGAACGTGCAACGTACCGTCTTGAGGTTCTCGACGGAGGCAAGTACGGAGTCGATCGTGGCCTCGGACATGTCAGCCATCTGTGGTCCAGTCAGCACTTGCGCGTGTTCGCTTGGCTATGCACGCACTGCCTCGGATGCCTGACGAGCCATCTGCGCCATTCGCTCGCGCTCCTCCTGGAGGTTCTTCTCCTGCTCGGACGTGAAGCCCCACGGATTCGCGTGCCAACCCCACGGGTTCGCAGGTGTCGGGCGCTGCTCCGCTTGTTGCGACGGCTGCTGCTGCGAGAAGGCAGGGGGGATGTTGTTGATGGTCTCCGATATCGTCTTCGGAGACCATGGTGATGGGGAAGGCTGAGGTGCTTGGCTCGCGTCGCCCTGCGGCTGCGGGTTGAACTCCCGTATACGAGTGCGAACGCAGTTCGCGTAGGCGGACTCGTTGCACCACTCCTTGCGCTTCATAAACCATGCCGTCGCGAGCGCGCCGAAGGTAAACCAAACGAGCCGGGAGGGGCCGCGATGGAAGCGATGCCAGTGGTGGAAGCCGGGGTATGGGTACATCTTGATTGTGTCCTCGAGTGGGGGACAGCAAACGAGGCGCACAGGTTATACTTATAGGTGAGCGGCGGAGACAAGGGGCGCGACGAATGGGCTCGGCGGCGGTCAAAGCATGTTGCCGGCTGTGTGCGTGGACGGAAATACACAAGATAGGCGCCGGCAGGATGACGAGGGGTCGGGCCGGTCAGCGGCGTCATTGCCGCTTGGTAATTTGCTTCCGCTGATTGGCACGGCGTTTGCCGACCAATATTTGCCCCCGCGGCTGAGCCCCGATGTGGCTCGCCTTTGTCGACTTCAAGCCACCGAAGGACAGTCTTAGCAAGCATTTGCGCGTCAAATAGGATGGTCTGCGGTACATTGAGACGATTACCAGCGATTACTACTGTAGGTTTACCGATTTCTAGCCGAGCTAACCGGATTTCCTTTCTGCGATCTCAATCATTCACTATCCTCCTCCTCCTCCTCCTCCTCCTCCTCCTCCTCCTCCTCCTCTTCCTCTTCCTCGTCGTCCTCTTCTGCATCCGTGTCCTCAAAATCGGGCTCCATGGGGATTCCGACGTACTCATCAGTCTCGTTCAGTATCTTGGCCAGCTCAGCGTCGGCCGCATCGGGCCAAACGGGATCACCGGTCGCTGTCAGGAGCGACTGCATCTGTCCGAATGCATGGCTTGGAAGGGGCCACGGAGCGCAACGATCGCCTGGTAGGTGCCAGCTGTTGGTCGAAAATGCTCGCAGAGGCCGCAGCGCAACACCATGATGGACTCGCCTCATCCGTCTGGACGCAAGCATGCGCCATACAGCGCGATACAGCGGCAGCGGAGAATATGCCACTCCCTCCGGCGAATCGTCCGCAGAAAACGGCATGATCATGCACATCTCGAATTCAAGCGTAAGCAGGGTAAGAGACGGCAGGAGCGCCATAGATCGGTCATCGTCCGCGCGGCGGGTCAGAGCCTGTACGACTTCAAAGCGGAGGATGCCTCTTGGATAATCATCGTTGTCCGCCGTATCGATCACGAGCTCCTCCAGAGCTGGGACGCTCTCGAGGCACGTGAGCAGGTGGCGGACGCGCTCGAAGCGCTGAGGGGACAGGTAAAGTGATCGAAGCTGAGTGCAACCTCCCGGACGCGTGAGCAAAGACGCGAAAGCCTTCAGAGGGTGCGAGTGCACCGGGGGATTCCAATATGTGGGGTCGTCGCTACCATCCGCTTCGAGGATGGCCTGCTGCAACTGTGGCGCTACGAACATTCTCGACACCTCGCACGCATCGTCGAGCAACCTCAGCCAAGTGAGTGCAGGGAACGTGGTGGGTCTATCGTCTAACAACGCCGAAGGGTCCACCACAGCGGCAGAAAGCTCGAGTTCTTGCAACCAGGGGCTGGCGCCAAAGAGAGCAGGCATGCTGGCGTAGATCGAAGGGTATGGTGCGTCGTCTGGAAGAACGGGACTATAAACACGTCCGAGCTGACCAGCTGCTGTCCTCCCTCGCCGACCTCCTGCCCAGATGCTCAGGCGTCGTGGTCGCCACGTATGTGGCAGCTGCAGGATCAGCGGGCGGGTGACATAGCCAATTTCCACACACTGCAAGAGCGGTGCGTGCGCAAAGAAAGTCGTGGGTATGTCGTAAGCCCCGTTGCCGCTTGTGGCTGGTCGTGCAGCAAAGTGCCAGGTGAGGGATGTGAGTGTGGAGAATGGAAGTTGGGCGACGGTGTCGAATGCGTCTGGTGGAACGACGAATGCGTCTAGGGGAACGGCGTTCAGCTTCACCGTCTCCCAGCGGTGGGAGTGATTGCAGAGCGCTTGCCAGCCATAGTCGAAAGAGGGGAAGTCGTCGGTGACCCGGCCGGTGTCGCGGGCGCTGAGGTCGATGATGATATGCAGGTTGGCGTCTCCCGATCTTTCAACATACGCTGCTACAGCGTGGCCCCAGATGTTGGGTGGGCTCGCCTCGTCGTCGTCGCCGAGGCGAACGACGATTCTGTTCCACAGCGTCGACATCCCCAATGCCGTGGCACGCCAGAAGCGGCATACCTGTGCGAACGGGAGACGTACTCGGCCTGCGCAGTGCTCCTCCCACTCTTCGGGCAGCGCGAGGGTGAAGATCTCGCCGAGGATGTCGGCGGGGAGCTCGGGGTGCTGTCCGGTCTGGTCGCCCATCTCGACATCGCCATTCGTCTGCTGCATGGTTGGGTGTAATCCTGGGCGGTCCTGGGCTGGTGCTGGAGTTCGAAAGGGTGGTAAGTGGGCTTCTTAAAGAAGGCGCCATGAGTGTGCTCTGGCCTGTGCTATCACTGATGATCTTGGGCCGTGAGATCCTCTCGGTGCGCGTCGGCCACATGTTTGGTTTGTCGGTGCGACCCGTTTGCCGTAAGGTGCGTGAGAGTGAATGGAAGGGCCGCTTGCCGCGCCCGGCTTGCGTTGCTGTGACCGGCCTTGACAGTTTCAGGACGACCTGCAGGGACCCTTGACGCTTCGGTTGGCTCTGTATAATCACCTGTAAGTGCACGAGCCGACCTCACAAAGGAAGAGAAGGAGGGCGATCACGATTCATGACGGAAGAGTTTGCTGCGTGGACCAGGAGGTGGCAGGAAGCGACGGCAGTCGCCGGGGAAACCCTTTACGTACGGTCACATTAGCGCCACGTTGGTTGGGTTTTGCGGTCCCGGGTTAGGTTTACTCGGCGATGGTCAAGGCAAGATCATTGCTTCTATTGACTTCCATTCAATGAAGGCAAAATTTTCGATGTCATCGTGCGCTAGTGCGTTTGTTCAGTGCCTGTCGTAACTTCGCCAACTTCATTTTGCTCCTAATCTCCTCGTCACTATAGCCTCCGAACCACCACCGTCCTTTCGCCCGCCTTCAGTTTCCATCCTCCTCCGCTGTACTATATTCAGAAGAGTCGGTAGCGGAGTCCAGAAATACATTCCATTCAGCTTCCTGCTTCAGCACTTCGGCCATCTCCTCCTCAGCCCCTTCGACCCAGACGACGTCGCCGGACACCGTCATGAGTGGCTGCGCTTCTCCATAGCGGTGTTCAGGTAAGGGCCAGTGGCCCTTGAACGACTCCCTCCCGTCTGCGCACGAAGAGAAAGCGCGCAGTGGACGCAGCACGCGTCCATGGTACACGCGCTCGGCTCGCCGAGACGCCAGCATGCGCCAGACCGCGGCACAGAGCGGGGCGGGTGAGTACATCTCGGTTGTATTCGCGAAGGTCATGCACATCTCGACATGCAGCGTCAATGCCACCAGGTTTGGGAGGAATGCAAGGGAATGCTCGTTGTCGTCCTTGCGCGTGAGAGCCTCGATCACGTCAAAGCCAACGACCTCGTCGGGGAACTCTTCGTTGTCCATGGCGTCGAGAACAAGCTCGACGAGGGTCGGGGTGTTCTCGAGGCAGACGATCAGGTCGTGGGCGCTTTCGTCCATTTGAGGTGAGATACGCATAGCGCGGAGCTGGGTGCACCCGCCGGGACGACTAAGGAAACGTGCCAGCGACTGCAAAGGGTGACCGAAGATGTGGGGATAGTAGGTATACCCGTGGGTACATCCCATATAGGTGCCGTCCGCGTCGATCTCGACCTCCTCTATTCGAGGCGTGACGATGTATCGAGCGACCTCGCACGCGTCGTCGAAGAGCGCCAGCTTTCTTAACACAGGAAACTCGGTACCGTCGAGGTTGACAGGAAGATCCATGGCAGGCAGCGTCCCAACGGAGAGCTCGAGTTCCTGCAGCCACAGCCTGGAGAGGAGCACCGCGGGAAAGCTGGGCGCGAGCGTCGGGCAGGGCGTGTCGGGTTCGTACCGAGGGTGAAAATTGTCCTGAAACGCGCTCCCCATGAGGCCCCTACGACAACCGGCCCAGATAGACAAACGCGCTGGGCGCCAGCTGAGGGGCAGGACCAACAAAGATGGCTTCAGGACATACCCAATCGTGACGGACTGAGCTGACGTCGCCTCCGCAAAGAAGGAAGTGGGCACGAAGCATTCGTCCGATTCTGGAGGGGCGTACACCCGCGTAAGCCTCAGGATGATCGTCGCGAGCCTGCGAAAGGGGAGGAGAGGCGCGACGCTGTAGGCACTCATGGGCAGCGCCTCAAGACGGGCGTATTCCCATCTGTGAGCGTGCGCGCAGAGCAGCTCCCATACTTCATAGTCCCAGAAGACGTCGTTGACATACGCCCTGGAGATGTAGCGTTGCTGTCGCGAGCTGGCGTCGCGCGTATCAAGGAGGAGGGAGAGGCGCAGAGGGGCGTCCGCCGACCGGGCTACGTACGCCATCACGGCCTCTTTCCAGTGCTTCGGCGGGCTCTCTTCTACCTGCACCCTTATGTCCCTCCAGATAAAAGGCGTTCGGAGTGCGACAGAACGCCAGAGGTGACAGACCTGGGTGAACGACAATGTCACGCGCCCCGCGCAGTGAGACTCCCAGCCGCCCGGAAGAGCGTGCATGAATATGCGAGAGAGGATGGGTTCTGGGAGACATCGCGGATAGCGCTTCTCAAGTGAGCAGGCGGTGTCGTAGCTCCTGTCGTAGATCCGGCGCGTGGTATCAATCTGCGAGAGCTCGGCGTCGATGCGTTGTATCTCATCCTTCATATCGCGGATGCTGTCGGAAAGGAAGGATTTGTACTCTGGCGTGACTTCGGCGGCATCGCGATGAGTGCGTAGCAAAGAGCCATGTATAGTCCTGAGAAGGTCGTTCAGTGCATCGGTGGTTGTCGGGTACATCGGCGAACAAGTACAGGGGAGAGGAGGGGTAAGAAACGATACCTAAGTGGCTCGAAATCCAATTTTGAGGGATCCGGTACATTCACGACGAAGGTGGTCGACTCAATCGGCCTTTGCATTGGGCGGAAAGCTCTATGACGACCTTTCGAGCGGCCATCGCGCTTTCTGATTCGATTCAAAGGCTAACGTAAGTCAGCCAATGAAAGGAATAGGGTCGTTACCATTGTTGGTTTTCGAGCAATGGTTAATATCGCTTGGAAGGCAGGTAAATTCGCAGTGACGGTCGGTGACAAGTTTATCAGCGGCGGAAGTACCGGTCCGGAGGTTCAGCACACGATCCGGCTAATTCCGCGGGTTACTTACTGTACCACCCGCCACCGTCTGACTGTCGTCCCAACTTCCTGCTCATTCCAGTCGAGAAATCCTCATGAACTACAGTGAACGATGCTCAGTCATGACCGTCGTTGGAATGACCCTTTCAGCGGTCGTTCAGGCGGTCCGGTCAAGTGCCGTGACCTTCGCAGGACAATGTCAATGCCATCGCAATGAGCACTAGCAATGAACACTATTCTTTACTTGCGGACCAGTCAATACCAACTGGTATTCAATGGGGCAGCTTTCAGAGTGCAGGTTAGCTTTTCTCCCGCATACCTTGCTCCTTCCCTGCTCCTTGCCACCGCATCCAAACTGACTCACTATGCAAATACTGCGAGCTTGGAAGTATCCAGATATGTGGCACCACATCAACAATCTCTGGGGCTCTGTCCTCTCGGCCCTTCGAAGCGTCAAAGTCCCCGATGAGACGCATCTCTCCTCCGCCTGGGAGTTGACCGCCTTCGCCTCTTCCGAATTTTACTTTGGCGACCTTGAACGCCGACGCGCTCAGCTTCTGCAGCGCCGCACGCTCCTCCTGGAGCTTATCGACCTCCAGCGCGCAGTCATCTCTCCGATACGCATTTTACCCGTCGAACTACTCAGCGAAATCTTCGTCTTCGCCACTCTTTCCGACCGCGACTGTCAACGGTGGGCGGGCGCAGAGCACGTCTTGGCGTCCGTCTGCGTTCACTGGCGCGACGTCGCGCTCGCGACGCCAGCGCTCTGGGCCTGCATCAACGTCCGCGCATCGTCGCGCCCTCCATCGCGATGGCGCGAGGGCGTGCGCATCCGCCTCCAGCGCTCATCAGGCTCACCTCTGAACATCGCGTACGACTGCGTCCGATCAACACCTCAGATCGGCGTCTGCCAGGCGGACTTCGCGTACTGGGACGAAGGTATCTGGAAGTTGCTTTGCGCCCACGCGCAACGGTGGCAGAAGGTTCTGCTCGGTGGCCTCCCGATTGAGGCTTTCAAGGACCGGCCGCGCCTATCGTTTCCGATCCTCAATGAGCTCGTATTCTATCCTTTCGGGACTGTCGTCATGGACTTCTTCGCCGACGCGCCCAACCTGGGCAGCCTATCCCGCGCTGGCTGGCGGCCCAATAGCGGTCCTATTCCCTTCCCCTCGGCCTGGAAGCTCTCGGCGCTGTCGCTATACATCAAACCCCTCACTGGCGTGCCATTCTATCCCAAGGAGTGCATCGAGGCGCTGGGTAGCTGCAGTGCAAGCCTGCGTATGTGCTTGCTGCACATTCTGCATGAAGGCGAGCTGCCCTTGAGCCCGGAGACGCCCACCGTTACGGTGTTCCCTCGCCTCGAGCGGCTGCACCTCGTCGAGAAAGCGGTCTCCGTCGCAAGTTACATAGCCGCGCCGAAGCTCACGCACCTCGCCGTTGAGCACCCAGACGTATCGCAGGACAGCACGTTTACCGCCATGGCGACCTTGCTCGCGCAGTCGGATGCAGCGGCGACGTTGAGGTCGGTCGCACTACTCGCCGTCGACGTGAAGAACCCCGCGCTCATCAGCGGGCTGGCGAAGGCGCCCTTCTTCGACCACCTGGACCTCCTGGCGCACAGCGCGATGAAGGGGCGCCCGGAGGCGAAGGTGACGGGTGACCTGGTGCAGGCGCTCACGCGCACGGGCAGCGCGGAGTCAATGGCCTTCCTTCCCAGGCTGAAGAAGTTAACGATCCGCTTCCTCAACTACGACAACTTCCCTACGGAGCGGCTGCGAGACGCGATGGGGCGGATGCTTGATTCGCGCATGAACACCGCCTTGGTTGAGGGCAGCGACCAGCTAGAGACTTTGGAGGAGGTCAGGACGGACTGCGAGTGCGCGTATCTTGTAGGTCTATCCGATGCTTTGCGTCAACGGAAGTAGCTACGCAGGCATGGACACTGCCCGGACTCAGATGGTAATATTATATCTTTCTTGAACATGGCTCGTAGCATAGTAAACATCCGTAGCAGCCGCTTTCAGCAGTATCGTATCTCTCTCACGACCTCGCTACCCTGATCCGGCGCCCGCCATTCCGCGACGGATTCCTGCCTGCCTATGCAGCCGGTACCAGTGACAATGGGAAAGCCACGCAGAGCGAGATCTCCGGTTGCGAAGCTGCTTTCCATGGTTCCTTGAAAGGCACTGGAGGCCCAGCCAGGTGGGAGCAGTGGCAAGGAAGTCGAGAAGACGAAGGGTTGCGTCTCGAAGGCGGGAAGGACAATTGCCGGCAATTGCCGGAAGTCGCTTCCTTTCTGCTTCCATTGAGCTGCACCCTGCCTCGAGACGCGAAGTTGTTGCAGTCCCGCCGTTGCTACGCCAGAGCGGGTCTGTTGCTAAGCTGAACTGTGTCTGGTGCTAGCCTGCTCGAATCGCCGACTTCACTCAATAGTAGCGATCGATACTGCAAGGTCCTGCTCTTCCCATGGTTATCGCGATGGCTGCCATAGGCATCGCCTCGCATTCGCACAAGAATAACCGCCGATGTGCCTGCCGATATTGAGGGCGCATAGAAATAGGTGAGCCTGCTCGCAATGGTTCCTCGTCGTTTTCTTCTTCCTCCTTGCGTCGCGGGACCTCCTACAATGGACTCACCTGCATCGTCTATTTCTTCTCTAGGCTCTGTTGGTTCGTCGTGCTTGTCAAGCAGTACCACGAGCCATTCTCGCTCTTCCTTCAGCAGCGATTGGGGACCCGAAGTAGCTTGGAACGGCTACGATAGGGATCCTGCCGCTGACGGGAACTCCGACTCTGCACACTCTTCTCCCCTCGCGCATACCATCGCCGAACTCGTTCAGCAGGATCATGCACCCCATTCCCCCATCTCCCAACTTCCGATCGAGCTACTGAGCGAGATCTTCGAGTTCGCCTGCCTCTCCGAGCACAATGACCACGATCACTGGCTCGATGGAGAGCTTGCTCTCGCTGCCGTTTCCCGAAATTGGCGTGCCGTCGCACTCTGGACGTCGCGTATCTGGACGCACATCACTGTACGTGCTCAGTCCAACCCCTCGCCTGACTGGAGGGAAGGGGTACGCGTGCGCTTGGAACGCTCGTCGAACGCGCTGTTGACCATCACGTGGACGCTTCAATGGCACCCGCACGCGAGAGATACGGAGGTCAACTTGGGCCACTGGGACGCCGAGATCTTTGCCTTGTTGTGCGCACAGGCGCACAGATGGCATAGGGCGGAATTGGGCTTCCTGCCGTTGCTGGATTCGTATGGCGCTCTACCGCGGCCATCTTTCCCACGTCTGCACGAGCTCATCGTCTACCCCTTCCTTCCGCTGGCTGTAGAGTTCTTCGGTGACGCGCCGGATCTTACGACCTTGCCTTGGGTCGGTTATTGCTGGAACGACCCGATCACCCTTGTCCCTGGTTGGCGTATTGCCTCACTGCACCTCAGCATTCAGCCTCCTATGTCCACGGAGTTCAGGATGTTGACGTGCATGAGGGCCCTCCAGAGCCTTGCGGCGACAATTATCCATTGTCACCTTACAATCTCGCATTGGGTTAGCGTCCAGGATAGCCCATGGCCCGCCGTCACTGTCTTCGATCGACTCCGCCACCTGCGCCTGTCCGAGCAGGCCTTCCTTGTCGGCGGGTACATCTCCGCGCCCGGACTCGTCGACCTCATCGTCGAGCGCCCTCGACCGCAGGACGACGTTCTCACGCACGTGGCCACGTTCATCGGCCACTCCAGCGGGCTTCCCGCTTTGCAGACGTTTGTCATACGCTACGCCAGCATCTGGCACCATGCGCTCCTCGACGGGCTCTCCATCTCGCCCTATATCACGGAGCTCGATCTCATCGTGTATGGTGGAACGGCCCACGCAATGGCCACAGTGCTGACCAAGATGATGGTGTGGTTCTTGACGCGCAACGGCGACGCGACGTCGGCGGCCTTTTTGCCGCGCTTGAGGAGGCTGGGGATGTTTTTCCTGCAGCCCGAGGAGTTGCCCAACGAGAGGCTGCGCGAGGATATGCGCGCGATGGTCAGCTCGCGGCGGCAGGGTGGCATCTTCAACGGGCAACCTCTGGCCGCGCTCGAGTCTTTCGAGACGGATTGCGGGGGCGATTGGCCCTGAGCGAATTTCTCGGTCGGGGAGACCGTGTGCATTTTGTTTCTTCTTCTTCAAGTCGGTTTTCCTCCTCTTGGTTTCCGGTTATCTGCGTTCGGTTTCGGTTTCGGTTTCGGTTTCGATTTCTTGGCTCTCAGATGCGGTTCAGCAAGCTACGACACCTCACGCTCTTTCACGTGGTCCCGCGGCGCAATGTATAGATACGACCACCCATGGACAACGACTGCACAGGCTCACTTACGATATGCGACCCCTCCTCCTCTAATGACCATCGGTATATCTGCAATCACTCAACTTGTATTCTGTCACTACGCACGCATCTGTATTATACTCCCACATTCGTTGCACCTTACCACATTCATTGTATCCTACTTACACACCACACTCATTGTAGCATACTTATAACCACACTCGTTTACTCTCTGTTTTTCTTTTGTCACGCAATAACGAGCCTGTATGACGATGTATTCGAGCGAGGGCTGATCTTGCAGTTCGATGCTGACTGTCGACGAAAGGTATTCCGCTGCGAAGTCGCTTCTGGCGCAGACAATTTAGGAGAGGCCATTGTCCCGAAGGCGTGCAGTCTTTTGACGGCGGTGAGGGCGCGGGAAAAGAGGTGATGGTTTGAAATCGTAGCACGTGGATCGCGCGCGCGGGAGTAACGGCGAGGGGTGTTCGGGGACACCGTCTGTTTCCGTCTCTATCTCTCTGGAGCTCGTGCATAGGCGCCAGAGCTGTACGAGCACCCGTCTGGTCCCCGGCGCGGGTGTATGTTGACAAGGCCCCTCAAGTCCTTCTTTTGATTTCTTCTCTTTTTTCCTTCTCCTTCATCACCTTTTCGCGCTCGGCGTCGCCGCCGACAACCACCATCCCGACGCCGCGTCAGCCGTCGCCTACACCACCCCGCGGTCGCGCACGATACGACCACTCCCTCTCTCCCGCCCCCGCACACGTCTCGCCCAAGTAGATCGTGAGGATCTAATCCCGTAATCATAATGTCCCACTCCGCGTCGTCGTCAATGTCCCTGTCCTCGCCCAATGGCGCTGGGGGCAGCGGCCAGAACCCCCTCGCCGAAGGCAACGACGAGAAGAACAGGTACGCGCGTCGCCGCCCTTAACGCGCAGCCCGATGTCTGAGCGTCCGGTCCCGCAGCGTCGTCATCAAGGTCGGCATGGTTGGTGACTCGCAAATCGGCAAGACCAGTCTCATGGTCAAGTATGTCGAGGGCAGCTTCGACGAGGATTACATCCAGACGCTGGGTGCGTGTGCTAGGATAATGCGCCGCGGCGGGAAAAACCTGACATGCTCCGCAGGCGTCAACTTCATGGAGAAGACCATATCCGTGCGGCGAACAACCATCACCTTTTCAATATGGGATCTCGGTGGTCAGCGAGAGTTTGTCAATATGCTCCCATTAGTGTGCAATGACGCTGTCGCCATCCTCTTCATGTTCGACCTGTCGAGGAAGTCGACGCTCAACTCCGTAAAGGAGTGGTACCGACAAGCAAGAGGGTTCAATAAGGTGCGTCCTCATGCACGACTTGCATATGCAATCTGTCTGACGGCTTCGACTAGACTGCAATCCCGTTCCTTATCGGCACCAAGTACGATCAGTTTGCGACGCTACCGCGAGATGAGCAGGAGGAGATCACAAAACAGGTGCGTCCGGTCAACATTGTCATGATGCTCGCGCCTATCATTCCCCTAGGCGAAGCGGTTCGCAAGAGCCATGCACGCTTCCTTGATCTTCTGTTCAACATCCGCTTCGATAAATGTGCAAAAGATCTTCAAGATAGTACTCGCGAAGGCGTTCGATCTCAAATGCGTCATACCAGAAATCGAAGGTGTCGGCGAGCCCATCCTGATATACGTCGACGTATAAGAGACATCTCGCCGTGAACGGCACATGTGGGGTGCGGGTACGGAGGGCGAAGCAGGGCCGCCAGTCAGTCGTAGCATAGAGGTGCAGTCAGGCCCTCGGAGTGCTCAATCACAGATCAGGGCATGTGTCTATACGGAAGGACCTGAAGGAAGGAGAGGACGGCCTGCTCCACATCGTTAACTGTATGTACTTCTTTGGCCTAATCGGACATTGTATCTCAACCGCAGCAAACACGCAGGGCCTACGCAGGACGAAGACTGAGTCCGCTGTCGTGTCAGCCGCCTGGCCGGCCACGCCTACTCGGCACCCGCGCCTCGAGGCTACGGACATTGGTTAGATATAAACGGAAACGGACGATCGGCTGCCGCCTAAACCGTCCCCTCCCCTCCCCGTTTGCATGCATCATAATCTCAGATGTGCTGTCCTCTACTTTCGCCTTCGAATTCCTGCGTAGCATATCCGTTCGTTTTTAGGGTCATAGTTCTATCATACGTATACTTCCCCCATCCGTATACTTCCTCATCCATCTTCCCCTCTTTAACATATACTCACTGTACACCTACTCCTCCAAGCCGTATGCCACACCCTGCTCCTCGGCCGCGACTGCATGCCGCCTGTGCGGCTAGCGCGCTCGCTTGCCTTCCATTGCCCCGCCTCATCGTATTGCTTACTCGTCACTGTTGTCGCTTTTTGCAGTATTTACTCTATCTCGTCGTTGCACGCTTATACCGTATGCCTCAACCGTTCTTGCATTTCATGGACAAAATCGCCTGCAACATCCACTCTCCGCTGCGATCCATGCCAACTTGCGAGGCCATCGCCACTGGCCCATTGTCAATGTCAAGTTGAAGTTCGGGACGCGGTCATGTGATGGCACGGGTTCTCCCTTCGGCGTTTCCCGAAATCGGACCATTTCCCAAAGTCCCAAGTACTTCTCCGCAGAGGTCGCCGCGAACCTCTCCCGGACCGTCATGTACAACCGTATAGACGCGCCAGTCTCAGGCGAGAAGCCTTTCACTGATTACAACCGCTGGCGCCTGCTCGTCAACGATGGCGGGCGTCACACGTGGCATTACCTCGAGACGGAAGAGGAATGCGAGAAGTGGCCCATGAACGACATCGACAAGTTTTGGATGGGCATACCTCTTGTCAGTATTTCTCTGCCTCTCAATTGCTTACTAGACCTTTACAAACGACTGTCTTTTTGCAGAACCTCCCTGCTCTTTCGAAGCCGAACACATTTTTTGAGGCGGCGCGGAATGGGATGGAGTTCTACAAGCACCTGCAGGCGCACGACGGACACTGGCCAGGGGAGTATGGAGGACCTATGTTCCTGCTTCCAGGTTTTGTCATTGGCTCTTACGTCTCGGGCATGCCGTTCAAGGACCCTGAGCGGCGCGAGATGATTCGCTATCTCATAAACATGGCGAAAGAGGACGGCGGGTGGGGACTGTGAGTGCGAACCCTCTCTTGTCTGGCGTGCCTTGCTCATCTCCGTATGTAGTCATATAGAAGGCCAGTCTACTGTCTTTGGTACAGGCCTGAACTACGTTGCATTACGGCTTCTCGGCGTGGACGCTGAGCACCCGACCTGCGCAAAGGCAAGGGCGAAGCTTCACCAACTGGGTATTAACTTTGTTTGGTAATGTATTGTATCTCGCTCACGAAGTTCCAGGCGGTTGCGCTGCGATCCCTGCATGGGGTAAATTTTGGCTGGCTCTACTGAACGTTTACGACTGGGAGGGCGTAAACCCGGTGCCCCCAGAACTATGGTATAACTATGGCCAAAAAATGTAGGTACACTGTTCTGACCCGCACTCAGGCTTCTACCCGAGTGGCTCCCAATACACCCCTCGAGGTGGTGGATTCACGTCCGGCAACCGTATCTGGCCATGAGCTATCTGTACGGTGTCAGGTTCAAGATGCCCACAAACGACCTAACATTGGCTCTGCGTCAGGTCAGAAAATCTCCCCGTACGTATCGACTCGATGCTGATTGGCCTACAGGAATTGTACACTGAGGACTACTACAAGATCTACTGGCCCGCGCAACGAAACAACATCGCCTCCGTCGACCTCTACGCCCCGCACTCCAAGATTTACGACCTCATCAACGTCGTCCTCACCACCTACGGCCAATGCCCCTTCCCACCGCTACTCAATGCCGGCATCAACCGCGCCTACGAGCTCATCGTCATGGAGGACGAGAACACGTCCTATCAGACGCTCGCGCCCGTGAACAAGATGTTCAACCTCGTCGCGCGCTTCCATCGCGAGGGCGCGGGCAGCGAGGCGTGGAAGCAGCACGAGATCAAGCGACATGATTTTATGTGGCTGGGGCCGGAGGGGATGCGCATCTGCGGGACGAATGGGAGTCAATTGTGGGACATTGCGTTTATTACCCAAGCGTGTGTGGAGATGGGGCTGGCGGAGTTGGAAGAGAATCGGGAGTGTATGAAGAAGGCGCTGGAGTGGTTGGATGAGGGGCAGATGCTGGATAATCCGAAGCACTTCAAGGAGGCGTACAGGATGGCAACGAAGGGGGCTTGGGGCTTCAGGTAAGGTACATGGTATGCGCTCAAGTGCCCGTGCTCACGCGTTCACAGCACCAAAGAGCAGAGCTATCTCGTTTCCGACTGCACGGCTGAGGGCATGAAGTCCGTAATGTTCTTGCAAAACCATCTCGAGTGCGTCGATCTTGACGTCTCCCAAGCTAAGACAGTTGATCATAGAATCTCAGCTACATGCCGAAGCGCGTGTCTGACGAGCGCTTACGCTGGCCTGTCGACCGCCTCCTCACTATGCAGAACCCAGGTGGCGGGTACGCCAGCTACGAGGCTATCCGCGGCCCGCAATGGATGGAGCTGCTGAACCCTGCAGAGGTTTTCGGTAAGCTCGCCCCTGACTTTTCATCCCTGCGTCGTCTCATATGAATTTTGGGCAACATCATGGTCGAATACTGCTACCCCGAATGCACCACCTCCGTCGTCACCGCGCTCTCCCACTTCCGCAAATTATACCCCGACTACCGTGCGCAGGAAATTGAGTGCGTTCTCCAACCTCTACCTCTTCTCTCTACCTATTCCTACCGACCAACACCAACACGTCCAACCTTGACACCTCCAATACTGACACCCTCCGTCCCCAGCCGCACAATCCGCGACGCCATCGAGTACATCCACAACGCGCAGACGCCCGAGGGAGGCTGGATCGGCTCGTGGGGCATCTGCTTCACCTACGCGGCGATGTTCGCCACGGAGAGCCTGTCGCTCGTCGGCGAGACGTACGAGACGAGCGCGTGTGCGCGCAAGGCGTGCGACTTTTTACTTCGTCATCAGAGGGAGGATGGCGGGTGGGGGGAGAGCTACAAGGTCAATCCCCAAGTTTCTACACAAGCCAAACGACAGGACAAAGATACTGACACTGCGTATAGTCCTGCGAGCAGAGCCGCTGGGTCGAGCATGAGCAGACGCAGTCCGTGCAGACCTGCTGGGCGGCTATGGCGCTTATGCACGCCAAGTATCCGCATCCAGAGCCCATCGAGCGGGCGGCGCGCCTTGTCATGTCGCGGCAAAATCCTGTGCGTATTCTCACCATAACTATCTCTCCGCATATCCTTCCTCTGCGTTGCCCCTCGTCTGAGTACACCCTTGTACTAACACATCCTCAACAGGACGGCTCCTGGCCCCAAGAAGCCATCGAGGGCGTGTTCAACAAGACGTGCGCGATCTCGTACCCGAACTTCAAATTCGCGTTCCCGATTTGGATGCTGGGGAAAGCGCAGAAGTATGTGGATGGGCTGCGGGCGAAGGCGAATGGGAACGGGGCTTCGCACGGGGAGTATTGACTGCAACACTCTTTGAGGGCAAGGCTGTGAGCTCTGCGGGCGGAATTGTAGTGCTCGATGTTGCTTTGCTTTGGACATATCTTACTAGCTTTGAATAATTATCTTTGCGTGCATTGCGGAAGGAGGAAGGAGCCGGATAGATTCAGCAAGAAGGTACACAGGTGAAAGCGCCTTGTCTACTCATCCTCCTCTTCCTCAATCTGCACGCGACGACGCGAGTCGCGACGCAGCCTGATCCGGTCCTCCTCTTCCTCGCTCTCCACATCCATGTCGCCCTCGCCCTCATCCGACTCCTCCGGCTGGGGCGAAGCTTTGTGTCCCTGTTTCCGCTCGTCGCGATTCCGCCTCTCCAGCTCCCGTTCTGCCCGGTCGAGATCGTCCTCGTCATCATGATTGCGACGGCGTTTCGACGATGGCTCCTCCTCTTCTTCCGACTCGTCCGCGACAACGAAGTCGTCTTCCTGATAGTCCCCTCCGCCTGTATCGTCCTTCGTGCGGCCCGCCTTCTTATGTCCGCCCCCGCCCCCACCGCGCCTCCCGCTGTTATCCTCATCGTAGGCATACCCCTCTTCCTCATCGTCGTCGCTCCACATATCGTCCGTCCGCCTCGACCGCCGCGACCGGGGCTCCGACCTCGTCCGCTTCGTCCTCTTCGCGTCCTGCCTAATCAGCTCCGCCTTCTCCTTCTCCGGGTCCACCGTCGGGTCCGGCGCCATGCGCACGCGCACGCTCTTGTTCCGCTTCTGACTGACCGCGCTCACGAGCAGGCGGTGGCTCTCGCTCTGCATGTCCGAGGGCGTGAGGGACATGAAGCCCGTGATCGGCGCCTCGGCCTGCAGGACCTGCGAGTGCTTGTGCTGCGCGACGAGGTAGGTGAGGCCCTGGGGGCGGGTATGTTGCGAGGGCGCTTGAGAGGGCCGTTGGGAGGCGCCGCCCATGGTTTGGCGGGTGGTGGTGGCGGAGTTGTCCACGGTTTGTTGGATGTCGAAGAGCTCCTTGCCGAGGCGGAGGCTGAGTGAGCCGTCGGACCAGCGGATGATGCGGCTGTTGGATTGGCGGACCTGCGAGGATATTAGGAGCGGGAATGAAGCGGATCAGGGAGTGAACGCACGTCTTCGCCTAGCTGGTTCTTGGCCCATCGCCAGCGTATGGTGTTCTCAACTTTGAGCTTGATAGAGAGGCTTTGCTCGCGGATTTCTGCCGCCGATCCTGCCATCTCATTTTCTGGACCCTCGTACGTCTCTGAGTGAAAAGGCTTGGTATCGAGGGTCAAGAAATTGGGCATTCTGACAACCCATGTCTGCGTGTACGGTCAGCGCGGCAAAGGAGGGAGCTGGGGGAATGCACGCAACTGATCCGTCTGTGCTTCGGGGGAGGGGGAGATTCGGCAAGGACACCTCAGCTTCCTTGAGCGCGACGGGTGCCTCGTCTTGCAGCGGCTCTGTGTCCTCTGTGTACTCCAGGGCCTGCCGCCGTTCCCTTTCTGGTGTCGGGAGACGATCAGAACCTCCAGCAGGGGACGCGGGACTGTAGCGACATGAGGACGCGTTGGAGTCGTAAAAATGCTACGCACGCTTCTTCTTCATCCTCCCCGAAGAGATCATCCGCGCCCCCCTCTTCACTTTGTCCTCCGCCGTGACCCTGCTCGTATTGCTCTTTTGACTCGAGGGCGTTCATGTCGACGTCTTCACCACCCTGGTCGTGGCCATCCTGCGCAGACGGTTCCATGTTCTCCTCGTATGACGACATGCGGGCCGCGTCCGAACAAGTCAGCCAACGACTAGAATGCGAATTCGCGGTGAATGCAGATGAGAGAACGATAGATTTGTGGCGTCGTCTGTGCTTTCCACGCGCCGTGCCGCGTGGACTTTTGATCGGACCGAGCTCCGTTCTCGGAAGAACACCAGATTTGATTCCGTCTTGTTCCCATGTTCGTCTCCCGCGCACATGCGGGGACAATGCGAACGGAGCGCGTCCGTCCTTCTAAGCCGCGTCTTCCATCCGGTGACATCGTCGGATGTTGATAGCAAGCCATTCAGGAATCTTCAACACACCGCGAACGCGTGGGCAGAGGCCCTTTGCCATCCGCAGGCCCAAACTCGAAGAAGCGTCGGAGGAGGAAGGCATGGGGACACCCGATGCCTCTGCGATTGAGTCGCCCGCGGCGGATATCTACGGCAGCATCACCGCCCCTGCGAGACCCCTCGGAAGGCCTCGAGAAGGGGGTGATCGCCCACCTGCCCGCTTTATCCTCCCCAGATCGGCAATTGGCTCGTAATTTGGGACAGCGCCCGGCGCTTGTTATCTGCCCTCAGCCCTGCATTGGGCTGCGCGGCGCCGCCGTCCCCACGGTCAGGCGAATTTTAAGCGCCCGTGAATCGGCGTCTCCGTCACCCAATGGAGAAGACCACGATCGGTTGATGACATCGCCCATATTCAGTTGGCATGAGGCGTTGGTTCTCTCGTATATTAGATCCTCGCAGTCATTTGCTGTGTTCCACCTCACTCCCTTCCCCCCTCCCCCTCCCGCTGTTCCGCTTTCTTTATTCGAGGCCTCGGTGGGGCCGTCCCCTCAGACCCCTTGGGAGGCAAGCGCTGTGAAGCTTCAAGTCGTTCCACACCTCTTCACTGCAGGCGCCACCCACACACCCTCCCCTCATCCTCCGACTATCTCGGCCCGCGATGGCCAACTTTGCGTACGAGTGTGTGTTCGTGTACTACCGCGAACTACATTCACTCATCGCTGCTCACAGCAATGACTCTCGGTTAACCACTTTCTTTACCAATGATATCGACAACGGGGAAGACCTCTACCGGGGTGATGCTGGCCCCCAGCAGGTGTGTGTTGCCGAAGAGCATCGGACGGGATTCTCATTCATCTCAAGGTCCCTTCCCCTGACGATCTTGACGCCCTCGACATCGCGCAGTTTGATTACAACTCCTTAGGCCTCGACCTGCCACTCGACCTCGGCTTCGAACTTCCGCGATGGGCTCCTGACACTGGAGCATCGACCATGGCCTCGTATTCATCGCAGTGGAACTCTCTCCCTCCCTCTCTCCCACCGCATGCCCACGCATCCACGCCCTACGCCCCTCACTCCCGCCCTGTCCTGGGCCCTGTCGCACCTTGCGGCGATTACGATCAGTTTGGCGCCCCCCAGCGCTTGGACACCGTCGGTCACTACACCCAGCCAGGGTACTCTATTCCAATGCAATCTATCACCGACCCTGCGATGGATGACTCGCAATGGTATTCGTATGGCGCACATGCCAGCCCGGCCTTGGCCAACTCCTCGCCGAGCAGCGGCTCGCCCTCTTCCGCCGACTCTCCCCTCCCCGTCACACCCAAGGTCACCGTCAACGACCGCGACGGGTCTTACTCACCTGTGCGTGACATCCATATCCCCCGACCCATCCACTGACACCCAGCAGGGAGCCCGCTACCGGCGCAGTCCCTCCGCGCCCAATGCGAGCCGCGACGACTTCGAGGCCGCGCTGGCCCTCCCTATGCGCGCCGCCGGCCCGTTCATCCCGCAGCGGATGTACACGCCCACGACGCGCGCGGACCGGCAGCGCTACGTCGAGGACGTGCACCCGGAGCCCTCGATCTACTTCTGGCACAAGGACGGCGAGAACTGCGGGATCTCGCTCGTGCAGGCGCTCAAGCGCGCCACGCACGAGCTCCGGGATCCGGATGCGTACATCTTCAACGGCGTCCGCCCGAGCGTGAGCATCCGCCTTGAGGTGAGTGTGGGGGGCGGTCGGGGGTAGGGCGCGGAGGCTGACGGTCCTTCGCGCGCAGTGGCCGGGGTACCGCCAGTGGACCAAGCAGATCCCGGCCAAGGACTTCAAGAAAGTGCCCGCGCCGATCACACGCGAGAAGCTCGCGAAGGAGGTGGCGAAGTGTGTCAAGCGGTTCATTGAGGTGCGTGAAATTCCTCTGTACAGCTCGGACGATCCGGACTGACTCTCTCACTAGAGCCAGAAGCCACTTCCGAGCGACGAGGCGAACAGGCGCTGGCGCGTGGGCGGCGCCAACGGCATTAAACTCGAGGACCTCATTCTGGTGTCGATGCACCACGTTTCGCGTGGGTCCTGGCAGCCTCAGCTGCGGTTGCGCTCTCCGCGCAACTGAGTGGTTCAATCCACATGCTAGTTTCTTGGTGGGCCCGTCCTCAGCTAGCCTCTCCGGCGGAGGCTCTCTGCACGCGGCCCTAATCACGTCCTTCCCTCATCTATCACCACGACACGGCTAAACATCATATATCTGCATTCACCAGCATCTATCCCCACCCCACCCTCTTGATTAGTTACCATCCACTCTCACTTACTACTTCACGTACCCCGATTTTAGTAGGGATCCCCCGGTGTGTAGGAGGCGCCTCTGTCGGGATTCTCGAATTGTATCGTTAGCGCGGCGGCGGCCGCTTTGTTGTAGCTTTACACTCTTTCTGATGTCCAATGTTGTATTCCCCTCCCAGCAGTCTGTTCGGCGACGCTCATCGTCGACTGCTGCTGGGTAGGCATTCACACGGCCTATTTTCTGCGAGCGAGGAACCCGGCGCGGAGGATCCCCGCCGCGCGGTGAACAGCAGGTAAGCGTGGACCAACTTGCACTATACTACGAATAGCAAGCAAGATCAGCGCCTCGTCATGTCCCCCCTGGTCATCGGCGCGACCCACTAATAATTGAACGCCGGTGAGTTAGATGATAGCAACCCTCGGGAGTACCTTGCAATTGATTTCTGTATTATACTGATCCACACATGCCAATGGGCGGGAGGCTTGTGTATTTGATACGGCGCGATTGCAACCAATGTACTGTGCAGCAGCACCATCTGCCACTGGCACCACTGTGCCCGGGGATGGCCGTGAGACGGTGCTGCCGCGCGTCCTCAGCGTGCTGTTTGCGGGGGCGAGTGATAGTGAGCAGTGGACTGCCTTCCCTCTTGAGTTGTTCTTCTCCCGAGATGAAATGAACGTGCAGCGAACTTCGAGAAGGGCAGTGACGCAGCGCCCCCAAACCTGCAAGTTGCGAGCGGCGGTGGCACTGGCTGGCCGCCGATGGGTGAGGGGGTATACAAGATGAAGACGCGGCAGCGCGTGCGGTGGAGTGCTCGACGTGATACTCGACGCTCGCTGCCGTATTCGGTCGTGGTGGACATGGAAAGTTCACCGAGGTGTACGAGTCAGCGGCTGTGAGTAGAATCAGACTCGATCTTCACGCATCTGATGAGTGCGAAGAGAGGTACATGAAGCCCGATCCTCCCCAATCTCGTTTGACAGGTTCTCATGTCTTCCCTTGTCTTCCTACGGGCAGTAGTCCCCAGGCTATCGCCATCTATTCATCAATCTCTTGAAATGGTGGGAGTAATTTACGTCTTCTGAACATAATAAATTGAGGTCCGAGCGCCCAAGGTATCCACTGGGGTGGTGGTGGCTGGCGAGGAAGCCATCGCGTCGGACGCCGCCTGCACTCTGGTTGCAGGTAACCTGCCCAAGTTCAACATGCCAAGATGGCAATTGCCGGCAACGTCACGTTTCCCCAACGGGTATCGGCGGTCCGACGGCCCGGGATATGAAGGGGAGCTCGCCGTGCGCCACGGCGCCTCCTTCAGACCGCCAACGATTCCATTGTCCAATGGCCGCATCACTCCCACCCTTAGCCGCGCTTCGATGTAGCTCGGACTCTCATGAAGCATCGCTAGCCTCTACGCTTTCGTTACTTCTCGAGCCGTCCCCGATACTTCTGAATCGTCTCGTGCCAGAACTCGCGCAATCAGGACGCACGAATGACCTCCATTCATACGCCGCCCTCATCGACCTCGCGCTGGACGTCGTATCTCACTGGCCGCCCGACGCACAGGCGCAATTTATTGCAGGTCACCCCCGGATCGGGGAAACACAAGCTCTCTCTCATCTCAGCGCCAAGGAGCAGGCCGCAAAGGCGACGCCGCCCGAGGTCCTCGCGCGCCTCGCGCACCTCAATGCGTACTACGAGCGCAGGTATCCTGGCTTAATATACATCACTTTTGTCAACGGGCGCTCGAGGGCGGAGATTGCGCGCGAGATGGAGGACAAACTTGGGCTCGAGCACTCCCTGGCGGCAGATCAGCCGCCATTGAGTGGAATTGAGCCTGTGGAGGTAGAGGGGGAGGAGTGGCTGCGGGAAGTGACGCGCGCGGTGGGAGACGTCGGGAAGATTGCGAAGAGCCGGTTACGTGCGTTGGGTGTGGAGGAGAATTAGTAGGTACGCTAGTGACCAGTGTCAAAAAGTCCTCAAAGCATTGACACCCTTTTTAGTTTATAGAGAACCTTGGAGCCAAATATGATGGCTTACGAGCCAGCAGGCCAGAATACAGCTTCTGAATAGAAGCTTGTAGAAAGCCTTCCGATCGCGGGATGTCGATGTCTACCATGAAGATCGATGAATGCGTACACCAGCACGCTTCTCTTAATTCAATGACGACGCCGATGTTCTCCAGTCCGTAGTGGCTGCTTCGTGAGACGAATGGCTAGTAACTGTCTGGCTATAGCCAACTTGTGGCGCTTGTAGGATTCTGGGCGACATGTTCACGGCCATTCTTTGTATCTCTTCTCGCTCGGCGGTTCCCAGCGGGGACTCATATGAAAAGTAGTCGTGCTTCGGCGGGGTAGCCTGCCTGAAGCCCCTTGGAGGACTTGGCTATGACCTTGCTTGCAAGGTCTCTCCCATGGTCAATTGCTCGCATGCACTTGCGTACACATGTACAAATAACCCTTCGCCTTCGCCGTGGTTCGAGCCCCGCCCTGTCCTGACCCCTCCCTAATACACCACCTTGCGCTTGTCCTGTCTTGCCTCCACCTGACGCGCCTGCATTGTCTAACGCGCGCCCTACCGCCCTCCTCGTTCCCTGTGTATCCTGTTCCCTATCCCTGCGCTCTCCTGGCATGTTCTTCAACAAAATATATACATCTCGTTCTTAGCGGCAGCGCCCATCCGTCTGCAGGTTCCCTAAAAAACTATCGTCCCCATTGCTTCACGCCGGTCCTCCTCCCAGGGGGTCCGTTTCATTACCAGGACCCGGACGAAGTTACTTATAATTTGCTTATAAGGCAAGCTCAGTGTCCAGCGTCACAGTGGAAAAGCGTCACGTGTGACATGGGTTGCAGTGGATCCAAACCTATCAATGGCGTGCAGTTCATGGACGCACGAACAGGGTAGTGCCCTTCGAGTCCCTTCAACACGCAGATCAGGGTCCGTTGTGCAAGCAAGGTCAAGGCCGAGCGCAGCCGGCGCTTCCTCTAGTGACACTAACTCATCAAATCTCTATACCATCTTCCTTCCTATGAGTCCCTGTCCCTGGTGCTCTTAGCCTGGACAACATGGGCGCTCGCCAGGGCTGTCAATGCAAATCAAAGGTGTACAAATCTACGCCTCGCTGATCGACATAGACATAAGACTTACATAAATGCAGATACTTACTGGTCTTGCTCCTGGTTCCTTACAAGCTCGCAGTCCGTCGTTCCTGGCTGGCCATATTGCGCACGTGCCGTCTATTGTATTCCCATTTTGGAAGTCTTTTTGTTTCCGCTGACGGCTGATCGGATCGGTTCCCGATCAATCAGCTACTTCCGGAGCATATGGCACCGAAATTTGGAGAACGCTTGCTTCAGGCGCCCATCATCCCCTCCCCTCCTCCCGACGCTGCTCGTAGACATGGCCAGCTCACCGCAGCTCGACTACAAGGAGTCTTTGGACGGTCGCTCGGCGTCTCTGCGCCGATCGGACGAGGATTCGCTCGTCAAGAAGCCGCCGCCCATCGTATTCACATCACCTGCTGCTTTTGCAGGAAGCGTCTCTGATAGGCTCCGGAGCGTCTTCACGAAGCGGTTCATCTTGGTACTTCTGGGGGGACAGCTTGTGTCGCTGTGTATCACCTGCACGAACGTTACGACCACGGAGTTGACGAACCGGAACTGGGCTCTGTCGACGACTCAATCTGTATTCTTGTGAGTAGCAAGATGCTTCCCCTCTATCAGACGAGGAAGCTGACGTGCATGGAGATACTTCTCACTATTCATGATCTATGCCCCCTACACCATGTACCAATGTACGCAGTCCCTCTCCCCTCATCGTCGCCAGCTCATCATCGTGCAGACGGAATCAAAGGATACGCAAAGATGTTACTTAGAGATGGATGGAAATGTGCGTGATCACTCCTCTATACCGAACCTCACACTGACTGCTAAAAAGACCTTATCCTTGCCGCGTGCGACGTTGAGGGTAACTTCCTAGTCGTGAAGGCTTACCAGTACACAAACCTCTTATCGTGCATGATGCTGGCCGCGTACGTCCACTATACACACTTATATCTCTGCGGCTAAATTCCTCACCCTAGCTGGTCAACCCCAGTATGCATGTTCTTCACCTGGGTATACCTCCGGACACGCTACCATTGGACGCAATTGCTGGTGCGTCCACATTCCCCTCAACCCAACGAGTGCCGTTCTCATGTTTGGCAGGGTGTCTGTGTCGCCATTGGCGGCCTTGGGATGCTTGTCGCGTCTGATGTGATCACCGACAAGGATTGGCAGGCCGCTGATAAGGGCAAGGGAGATGCCTTCATTATTGCGGGCGCTACGTTATACGGCTTCAGTGCGTACCTCTTCACGCTCCCGTGTCGTCCGCGCGGGGCTGACATGCACATCGCAGCGAACGCCACGGAGGAGTTCCTCGTGCGCAGGAGACCTTTGTACGAGGTGGTCGGTGCCCTTGGGCTCTTTGGCTTCATCATCTGTGGTGCGCAGGCTGGAGGGCTCGAGCATCAGGGGATGCTGGAAGCGACGTGGAACGGAGCGACGGGTGAGTAGAATATCTTAACCTGCAGCACATGTCCTCACCTGATGCCCCCAGTTGGCCTGATCATCGCCTACACATCTGGTCCGTACATATCTAGACTTCACGCATCCGGCATGCTCACGTTTTTTCCAGCGATGTTCATCCTCTACACCGTCGCACCACTTCTATACCGCGCTGCGTCTTCGACATACTACAACATCAGCCTTCTGACCGCCGACTTCTACGGGCTGCTGTTTGGTGCGTACTTACCTTTTCTTTCACTCATTCTATCCGTCTGACTTCTCTGCACAGGCCTCTTCCTCTACGTAAGCCCGTCGCGTTACAGTATTGTTCACAGATCTCTGACCTGCCACGCAGCACTACACGCCATACTGGCTGTACTTCATCGCCTTCATCACCGTCATCCTCGGCCTCGTCGTCTACTTCTGGCACTCGAGACGTACGTCCGCCGTCCTTTTCTCGCTCGATGTCTGATCACTAATACTTGTATAGCGGAAGAGCAGGGCGATGTCATCGCTGCAGCGCCAGGCTACGTGCGTAAACGCGGGGAGCAGAGCGATGAGGAGAGTGGCACGCAGGCTTGAGGGAATTGGGCTGGATGTCGTATACTTATATCACGCTGAGCTTGTAGGGCTTTGGGTCTCCATGTTTGTCTTTTGTGTGGTTCATTGTAACGAGACGCCCGTGTCTGTCTGGATGTTTATTCGTCAGACTTTGACTACTACTTATCGTGTCCACTGTCCAGCACATTGTTTGAGCGCGATGAGGCCGCACCACATTTGAGAGGTTGAGATACTCAAGGACGTCCATGAGTATGAGATATATCTAAACATACAATACACACTGCATACAGCACAGCAAAAGGAAGAAGTGATAGATGGAATCAAGAGGAAGCAAGAAAAGTACAAAACAAATCTTAGCAGTAAAGTATGTAGCGTATAAGGATACTATGGAAACAGAAACAGGATAGACCTCTACGGTCAGGCCACACCTCACGAAGCCTTCGTCGCCGTCGGATCGCGGTAGACCTACAGACAACGCGTCAGCCCAACATACCTCACTCTTGACCCGCCAATCCAATCCACAACAAAAAAAAGTCGAAAACTCACCTTGATATCCCACAAATTCCCCACCTTCTTCGGCGCCTGCGCCGCCTGCTCCTCCACCTCGGGTGCCGGCGGCGGCTCGAGTTTAAGCCCCTGCTCGTTCGCCAGGTGCAGCAAGCAGATGAAGCAAAAGCTCGTGCTGATGTCGTCGAGCTTTTCTGGCTGGTACTTGGACTGAAGGCCCTGGATGACGCTGCCGAACTCGCGGCCCTCGCCAAGGGGGGCGTCGACGTCGTCGACGTCCTGAAAGGATTACAATGGTCAGTGACGAGCAGAACAAGTGAAAGGTTACGATACGCACCATCGACTCCGGGTCCTTCGGCGGCGTCGCGAGGACCTCGAGGCCTTGCCAGATGTTGTCCTTGAGCTTGCGCACATCGACCCGCTTGGCCCGGCGGGCATAGTTGATAGTCTGGGGCCGCAAGCGGCGGGCTGTACCCAGCGTGCTGGCCGCCAGGTCCTGCTCGCCCTCGTCAATGTCGTCCTCCATGAATTGTGTGGAGAAGGGAGGCGCTGGAGGAGCTGTCAACTTCGTTGTCGGGAGGACGTTGCGATAGTGGTACTCACGATCACCACCGTCGTAGTCATCGTCAGCGCCTCCGTCGCCAGCAGCCTGCTGTTGCCAGTAGTCGTCGGCAACTTCGCCATCGCCACGCTCGTTGATCACCGGCTTGCGCCCGCGAATCTTGATCTGCACATCCGTTTAGTCCATCTCCCGTTTGTATCACGAATACCACACGTACCGCAAACCTGCTCTTCAAGAACAGCGTGATGAGTTGCCGACTCGAAAAGTGCATGTCGTCCGGCAGCAGATGCTCGTCGCGCTTGCCGTTCTTGCCCAGTCTCTGATTCTTTGAGAGGTTGATGCTCGTCTTCGACGTGGCGAACAGCCTCGCGTTGACTTCCTTCATGCTCTCCGGGCGGTCGCCGAAGGACACCTTGAAGGGCTCCTTCTTCTCGCGCGGCTTCTTGGGCTTCGCGTCGGCGTTGGGGTCGGTATCGCCTGTAGCAGAAATCACCTCAGCAAGGGTCGCATAAGGAGTGAAAGAACTGTATGTACTCACGCATACGCAAGCGAGCTAACCTGCTCATACCGTTGACCGGGGCACCCGGTCCCATCCAGTTAGCATTGCCCCGCTTGTCGAACTCCTCGAACATGTTCTTCTCGCCATCGGTCGTCATCGCCATGAACAGCTCGCCATCCGTGCGCGTAGGGTCGAACGGCTCCTCTCCACCTGGGCCCATCCCCATTGCGGGAGTACCGCGGCTATAATCGCCTTCACCGCCGTAGTTGCTTTGTTCGTTGTCGTAGTCGCCACCGCCTATAGGGCCGTCCTCATAGTTATCACCAGCACCATCGTCGTTGGCGAAGAAGTCTTCTTCAACTTGAGGTTCGCCATTGTTGTCGACGTCCATGCCGGTGTCGTTGAAGCCACCCGCGTCGTCATCGTCATCGTCGTCCATGTACGTGCTCAAGGGCTGGTTGAGGACGGCGTGGTCGGATTTCGTGAAGGAGAAGTCGGTGAGGGCGTGCGAGATTGCCTTGTTCTCGAGTATGGATAGGTTGGGTAGGAATTTGGCTGGTACGAAGGTCAGTCGTTGATTCATCGGAGGGCATTTCTACGCACTCTTGATCTCGGTCAAGTCAATAAGGTCTTCTGGCTCATCGCCCTCGTGCTCTTCTTCCTCGACGACGCGGCATACAGAGTCACTGGCATCGAAGATGATGCGGAGCGCACTGTCTTTGCCCACGCCTAGGCTGAGATGGTTCATGAGCAGCCCCTGCGCGCCACCCTCGTCGAAGTCTGCGCATGTCTTCTTGAACAGGGGGTCGACGCTGAACTCCAGCTCCAGCTTGTCAGCGCGAAGCTTAGCGGCATTGCCGATGGTGTTCTCCGCCTTTCTTGACTTCCTCTTCCTAGGCTGACTGGGATCCGCGTCGGGGTTGTCCGACTCGGCCCCCTCCTCCACGTCCTCATCCCCACCCGCCGCCAGATGGGTCGCAAGTTTACTGGTCTCGTTGCCGACGCTATCGACGCGGCTCGTCCAGATCTTGACGCAGCCATCGAGCGTGCAGGAAGCGCGTTGGAAGTTGATGGAGTTATCGTCCTTGTTGCGCAACAGCTGTCCATCGTGAAAGTAGTCGATAAGCTGGAAGTTCCACGAGTTGCCAGCGTTGATTTTCTGTAGCCACATCCATTAGCAATCGGACGCGCAGGACAATGGGAGCAGCACGCACGTTATCCGTCGCCAGCTTCATCCACTCCTCGAAGTTCTCGCTCATGACATCGAGTGGCACGTTGATCTTCGCCGCGGGCGCGGGGATGCTGGTGAGCGGACGCGACGTCTTCGACTGGCGCGACGACTCCGCCTGCTGCTGCCCATCGGCCAGGTCCTCTGGAAGCACCGTAATCTTCGTGCTCTTCCGCCGCCGCCGCCTCTCTGCCGCGTCATCCTGCATGCTGGACTCCTTCAGCGCGGCGCGACTGTCATTCAGGCTTGAGTCGCCCTCGGAGGGATTGTACTCGGACATCCGCCGCTTCCCGCGCGACTTGCGCGCCTTGGGCGTCGCCTGGTGCTCGGAGCCCGAGTCCGAGTCGTCGTCGTACAGCGGCTGGGAGGGCTCATCGTCGGGGGGAGGGCGACGCGCCGCGGTCGTTCGCGCCATAGTGGTTCCAAACAAAAGGCGTTGGCGCACGTGATCGATCCATGCGCGCGTCCTGTCACACTCAGCGTCACACGCAGCTTGAACTTGGCGAAGCCCACCCATGCGTCCACCTGTCTGGGCTCCCTGCCAATACAGCACCACTGATTCGTGCTCATGCGAGCTCGACATCTCTGAGATGCACGGTGCTTTACTTGCTATCGATCCTGTTCTTTACACACGCAGCTACCAGAGTGTAAATTGAATTCATTGTAATACAGTCCAGAGAGGCAACAGTAAACGATACAGTCAGGAATTCGAGAGCTCGAGGTAGTATATAGAGTGTAGAAAGATAGGAGGAGACATAGGGATACACAAGCCAGTGAGATATACGAGTCAGTGATACAGTCCGGGCGCAGTCAGTACAGTTCCGAGGGATCAATGGGATAAAGAGGAAAGGCATGGGGGTCGTGACAGGTCGTGAGGTGTGAAATGAATCTAAAGGGTGCACAGAAAACCGCGCGGAAAGGATGAGAAGGGCACGTATGAGCAATGAGGCATCCAGAGGCAGCGACGACGACGCGGGGAGTACACGAGAGGTGGCGCGTAGCGGATCGCAAAGAGTGCAGGTGAGGTCGCACAAAGCGCATACGCGGGCCGGGTTTGCACAAGGCGGGGGGGAGATGAGCCAGACAGCCACGACTGGGTCAATCAAGTCATGAAGGTCGAAACCCGCTCGCCGAAGGTGAAATCCAGCCCTGCCAAATCGAGGGTATATTGATCGGGCAGCATGGGTTCCCAGCCCTCGGACTGGACAGCGGTGTAGAGGTCATCCTGGAAAGGCGTCAGCAATGGATAGGGACAGTGTAGGTTGCAGAAGCTACTCACCGGACCACCTAGGTTCTTGTCGTTGGGTACAGAAGCCTCGTCCTGGGCGGAGGTCGCGGGGTAAGGCTCGGATGTCGGGCCGGCGGACCCGTCGAGGTCGTGAGCAGGTGTCGCCTCGGCAGTTGCAGCCTGTGAATCGTCCTGGGCAGTCGCGCCGAGGTCGGCCAAGAGGGCGTTCAAATCGATGATTGCGGCAAGATCGTCGTTCGGCGCATCCTCAGCAGAACTCAGCACACCCTCGCCAGTGTACGTCGAGTTGTACTGGAGACCGTCTTGGGCGCAATCGCCGTCGGAGGCGTCGGAAGTACGCTCGTCAAGGGTGAGCAGCAACGCATTCGACGCGGTTTGGGTGGTACCCGACGCGTCTTGAGTAGAGCTTGACGTGGTCTGAGCAGAGCACGACGCGCTCTGGTCGGCGTTCGACGCGGTCTGAGCGACGGACGACGCGTCTCGGACAATGGATGACGCGCCTTGAACAGCGCTACACCCATCCTGAATGATGCACGACGTGTCCTGGACAGCGGATGGTGCCTGTTGGACAGTGGTTGGCGTCTGCTGGGAAGTAGCAAACGCCTCATTGCCATAGTACGACGTGCCTCGAAGGTGCCACGATGCGGCGGCGCAAGATGCGGCCTTGGTCGAGTGGGACGCGTTCTGCCCAGGGTGTGTCACACCATGAGCAGAGGAAGAAGCGCCTTGGGCCGATGAAGACGCGTCGTGATTGTTGTACTGGGCGTACGGCGCTGCCTTGGGGTCGTAATGTGTTTGCTGGACCGTGTACGACGCGCTCCGAGCAGAGTACGACGCATCCTGCACAGGATAGAACGCATGCTGGACCGCGTACGTCTCCGGAGTGGGTGGTAAGTACACGATCCCAGAGTTGGCCGGTGACGCCATCGGTGTCCAGGACGCCGGGCTGGCAGGGGCCGTAGGGCACCAGTCCGACGACGGCGTGCCAGGGTACGCGCTCGGCAAGGGGGTAACAGCATATGCACTGGGTGAAGGCGTCGGAAGGGCCCATGGGCTCGGTGAAGGGGCAGGGTAAGCCCGAGGACTCGACAAAGGGACGTGGGCCATTGGGATCGGTGAGGGGGTGGGGGCGCCTGAGCGCGATGGGGTATGGATGCCCGAGTATAAAGGCGTATGGACGGTTGAATGCGGTGGGGTATAGAGGCCCGAGGGCGGCGGGCCGTACATGGCCAAGTTGACAGGGACGTACGGGCCCGAGGTGAAGGGGGTGTACGCGTTCGAGTTGAAAGGCGAGGGGGAGGGGGTAGGAAGACCAAAGTCCGAAGGAGTAGAAGGGTAGGCAAGGGCCTGAGGGGTGTGCGAGTACGGGTAGCCGCGAACGGAGTCGCCATCGTTCTTCGGTTGTTCAGCGGAGCCGCGAGGCGCGTCTTGCGCGACCTGGTTGATCACGATGCCGGCCCCCTCGATGCCTGCTGGCTGATCGCGGCGCGCCGGGCGATGCTTCCGCTTCGGAGGAGCAGTGGACGTTGAGGAGGATGCCTTGGAGGACGCATCCCTCGTTCGGTTATACTTGAAGTCCGGATATCTCTCCTTGTGCTGTTTCGCCTCGGCCTTTGCCCTCTGCACGTAGACAGCCCTTTCTTCAGCAGGCAGCGCGCGCCAGGCAGCGCTGGCGGCCTTGCTGATATCTGTCTGGATTGCTCCCTCGACGCCAAGGTCCTTCTGCTTCTTGATATAATCACTCCGGAAGTGAATGTACTGATTGGAAGGGCGCTTCGCAGCGTTGGGATCCTTGCGCTTGGAAGAGCCTGGAGAAAGCAAGATAAGTATGCGTCACCACGGACAATGCAAGGTGCGAGCGCACCTGTGCGACCCTTGCGGTCTCCAGACGCGTCACCGGACGTGTTCTTTGTCGAGCGAGTTGGCGGCATTGGGATAAAGGGCAGAGGTTACGGCGGGTGGGGGCCGGGGCGGGAACTGTGATGACTGGGTTCTGGACAAGATAGCAAGTCGAGTGGCGAGCCTTTATACGGACGGGATCCCGGGTGCATGACCGGCATGGTAAATGAACGAAGTATAGAAAAAACAGCTTATAATCACATTTTGACTTTGTGACCCGGCGGAAGCAAGCGGAATCAGAATCGGGCAAGTCCCATCCAGCACTGGGATCGGCATCGCTCGGCAGGTAGACCACGGTATGAACACCTGCTTGTCGTAAGACCGTTGTTCAACATGAGGTGCGGGGTCCCATCGATATGTCCTACTGACACGCGAGTGTACGCGGTCTCAGGGCCCCTTCGGCTTCACAGCGATCGCCTTGAAATGAACTCGGAGAAAAAACCTCTTCACACCAGTCACTCTTCCATGCAAGTCGGGGATTGAGGGTGAGGGCTGTACAAATAGTAAGGTCCGAGAACAACGACTTTATTACGTGCACCACCCCATCATCGTAGGAATACGACGTCAGCCGTACACTTATCCTGGCGGATCATGATGAGTGAAGCCCTTCCATACATTGACGTGGCCCTCCGGATCCTCCAAGTAACGCGATCCTTGCCTTTTTCACTGGGCTAACAATAAGTAGGTAGGTAGGTAGGTAGGTAGGTAGCTAGTTGAGCTCTCGAGCGACAATGTTACGAGGATATGGTCGCACGCTTTTCTCTTGCTCAGACTTGATCTTGGCCCGCGACGGGCGATAATCCCAAGTTAGATCCATTTGCTGGCGTCTACCAGTAGGACTTCTCGGGCTTCTCATTGAGGTGTTCGATATCGGACGACGGCGATTGCCTCCATGTCCCAGAATCGACCGCCCGGTCTATTTTGCTGTCTACGCCGAGTCTTTGCGTATGTCCCATGCATCTTCCGGGAATGTCGTGTCCCCGCAACACATCTGAAGTGCTCATCTTGGGTCACGTTCCTGTACAGCAGTACCCTATGCCTGTAGGTCATATGAGCAGTCCCCTGAATCCAGAACAAGGTCATCCTGCTTGAAGGGGCCCATGCAGCATATACGGATGTCGACGTCGTCGCCTAAGTACGATGCAGGGAAGTTCAACTTGAGCCACATGCTCGCCAGAAGTTCCTGATACTGTACGAGAGTCGACAGTAGTGAAACGGCCCTGCCGATATAGATGATACCATATCGAGCATCCTGGGCGCGCCCTGCGTCGCTAAGTTGGCATTCAATGAACGAACGTCAGCGGCAAGGCAAGGGGTGAGGATATACAAATCCGGAGACACGCGTCTTTCGCTCCTTGGCGCGTTGCCCCGGCGCTCTGCTTCTTGAATCCTTGTCGTTCCTGTTTGTAGACGCTGATCTTGCCGGAATAACAGTTCCTCCCAGCAGCTTCCTTCCTGGGAGGTCGTAGAACGCGGTTGGCTGCGCGGCTGCTGCTTGTCGTCGCTCTCAGCTCGGGCTACGGGGAAGGAACCTACCAGAGAATAGATTCTTAGGCCGAGGCGCCGTTACCCCGTACCGAAGAGTCACGACGAGTCAATAGCGCAATGAGCGACAGGCGACAGATTATCCCCATCGGTCACAAAGGGTAGCAGATGAATGGAAGCCATTGGAAGGAAGGAGATTTGGTCATTCGGGCGAGGCGATCAACGTCGATAATACTGTACTGTATGCGTCAATCAGGCCGGCAACTCCTCCTATACATGGTCGTCGGACTCTGAATTGTATACCTTCTGGACTTGGAGAGTTTTGTACTGTATAGCCGGAAAGGATGAAAGCGGCGTCGGTAAGCTAAGTGGTAAAGTGGTAGATGTCCGACGAGGGACGATCGTGCGCGCCGCCAACGTTCATGGGGCGGAACAGAGGCGCGTACGCAGCCTGCAGAGGTAGAATAGTGATAATCGGAGAGTCGTGCGAGGAGAGGACATGCACGACGGTTGTCACGGCGTCTGTGACTTCCAGCAACGAGGAGTGACCTGTGATGTCCGTGAGAACCAGCGAAGACCAGACGACAAGAAGGAAGGCGTCGGATACTACCCACGCACACCGAGCACCCCGGACGACCTTCGCTGCTTCATATACGCGCTCGCGGTGCGCGTGCATGCATACTGTATAACGCGCCTTATGCACGGTGTGCGCACGATTCCTTCCATAGGGTGAAATAGATCTGGATTGGGGAAAGCTGGGATCAACACGTAAAGAGGCAGGGTGAAGCGTGTAGCCGACGCAAATCTCGGGCACTTGCGACGAGGCCCATCGCCTCTTGAAAGAGTCAAGCAAGCAAAGCCGAGCCAGTTTGAAAAGGTAAGCAGTAGCCGGGCGCATTTGCGATCCACGTCCGTTGATTGGCCGACGGTCGGGCGTCCATACTTCGATACTTGCACAGGGCACTTGCGATGTTCGCGCGACGTGCAAAATTAGCAGCGACTAACAGCGAAACGACTGACGTGGTTCAAGCAGATCTGGCGAACTTTCGAAGAAGAGGTCGATCCTACGGCATTCAGATGAAGGACCGAATATATTGGCAGACGACAAGCAACAGCACGAATGGGTTTATGACGTCTCTTCCTCTGCTGCACCAGCGCTGTACTTGGCCGGGTCCGTGCCGTGGTAAGGGTGGTTGACGAAGTTGAACCTGAGGGAAGGAATCGTCGGTGACATGTATCATTTTGTGAAAAAAGCGAACGTACATCGGGATGGCGCCTGTAGGAGGAATAGTAGGAGATGCGAGGGGATAGGATAGGAAGAGTTCATTAGTAAAGCATACTTCCCGAGAAGGGATGTCAATACGCACTGAACTTGAGCTGCGTCCATACAGAGTTGCGGAACGCGGAGCCTTGGACCCACTCGGGCTGGTCCGACTCGCCGTAGAGCGCCTTGCCCTCCTTCGCGCGCTGGGAGAGCTCAGCGAAGTCCTTCTCCTCCTCGCGCTTGTTCTCCGTCCAGCCCCAGAAGCGGACTGTGGGGGTGGTTAATGGATGGATATGCGAGGGCGGTCAGGGATGAGGGAGAGGGCGAGGGAGGGAGAGGTAGTGTGTGATCGGGAAGGGTAGCTGGACAATGGGAAGATTGCCAGGACCGAAAACGAATGCATGGGAGGAACAGTGATATGCGGAGGCGGTAGGATGCATGCAAGGTGTGGGGGTGTGCACGTACGGGATGAGCGCTGGTATGCGAGCATGAATCCGGCGACAAAGCCGAGGAACGCGGTTGCCTTCATGCCCATCGCCTGCGAGGGGTGACGGCTGGGCATATGGCGCTGCGCGTTTTCTGAGGATGATTCGTTAGCATCATGTCGTCTCACATCCCCAATCAGCCTGCTCGGCATCCTTGGATTCCTCCTTCCTGTCTCCTTCTCATCGCCCACACTGTAATGCCTCCTTCGACGAACGAAACACTACGCACCCCAAGTGTACATCGCTACTGGCCCAGCAGCGGTCGCGGCGGCCCAGACGCCAAGGTCCGAGGGGCGCATGTAGCGGATGACGCGCGAGACATGGGGGTCCTGGTCGATGAGTGGGTACGCGTGCTTGACTTCTTTGTTGAGAACCATGACGGGCGCCGCCGTCGATGTCGTTGAACGCAGAGCGGGTGCTCGACGTCGGACGCCGGAACGGGGATCGGAACGTCACGTGTGTATTCCCACGGGTGAGAATATATGCTTTCAATTGCACTCACACCTACTGTCAGGCACGCCATATACCTTGCAAAGGCCATCTTACATCTCTCAACGCGTACAGATGCAATATGGCTTATACGGAGAACCATAGATCTTTCCCGGAAATTTCGCCTGGGCGTGACCCTTGTCACAGTTGGTGCGAGGCACTCACGTGAGCTTTCCCACGTGTTTGCGCACTGACCGACGGCCATCTGAGCGTCAGACTCAAGTTCCTTGTTCTTAACGGTCACCGAGACCTATGCCAATGGTCATGGACGACGCGCGCAGAACAGAAGCGTCGTCCGCACGACGAGACCGCCGCCTCAAGACCTCGTCCCCTTACGCGCGCCCGGCGAAGAAGCCCCAGAAGACTTCGGTGAGCCGAGCGCTGGCGTCGATTGCGCGGTAGCTGACCGCATGCTAGGGCTGGGGGGGATTTGGCAACATCATACGAAATCTGTTCGGGCGCTCCACTCAAGATGAGGAGGATAGCGCGATGGACGAGACCCAGGACCAGCAGGAAGAGGCTGCCCACGAATTTATTCCCCAGAAACCTGCGAACAACGCGGCGCACTCTTTGTCGCAGCGCGGCCATCAGGTGCGTCGAAGGAGTAAACTGCTTGTCAAATGACTGACATCCTTGGCCAGATGACCAGCCAACTTGCGACGAACGGTCGCGCCACTGAACACGAGGGCCCACGCTTCGCAAGGCCCACCGATCCCCTCCCACCGCCACCTTCTAGGCAAGCGGCGACCTCACCTACGAGCAGCACCTTCTCCGACACGGCAGACGACGATCTTACGAAAGTGAAGACATTCTTGCGCGAAAAGCAGGGCCAGCCCATGTCCGAAATCGAGACAGAGGGCATCATCGCCGTCCTTGCCAGAAACGCCCCTCGTATGTGGCCCTCAGATGTCCTTGGATCTTGGCTTACGCGATTAGTAGCCAAGGAAGCCCCCTTCCGCTTCTCAACCTCTCCAGGTTCAACACCCGGCCGCGGGAACTCTCCCTTCAACTTCTCGACCGGGTCGTCGGCAGGCGCGAACGGGGAAAGGAGCACTACGCCTCGCAAGCCTCTCACGCGAAATCCTAATGGGCCGTACCGCTGGGAGGGCGGCGGGTCTGCTAAACCACGCACACGTAATCGCTACCAGTCGCCCGCGTTCGGCGCGTCACGATCGACGCCCGAGCACATCGTTCTGAAGGACCCATCACCCGCGGAGGCTCCGAAGCGCGAATATGGCAAGCGTAGGCGGGTCAGTGACGAAGGGCAGTCGACCTTTCCTACCGCCAGCAGCAGCGCGAATGGCTTCAACTTCAAGACGCCTGCGAAAAACCCGCCACCGCGTTCGCCTGGTCCTGCGCCGACGCCCGGACGTGCTGCACTCGGTCAGAATCTGTCTATCCAGACACCCGGCCCGTCCAAGTCTGCTGAGGGCAAGAACGGCATGGCTTCGTCGTCTTCCTCCAACAACCTCTTGTCGCCCTCCGCAGCACGCACACCGAAGAAGCCTAGCTTCCCCGCAGTACCCTCGCCGCTCAGGCAGACCTGGAACGGCGACGACTCGTCCAGCGAGGGCGGCTCGCCGCGCCAGAAGTCGAAGGCCGCGGGGATGATGGAGGACCTGATCAAGGAGGTGACACCCCCGCAGCGCAAGGCTGAGATCGTCAACCCGTACCAGTTAGCGGTGCCCGGGGGAAAGCCAATGAGCAGGCCGAAGCGGGCGCGTGCAAAACCGGCGAAAGCCGCTAAGGACACGAGGACTGAGAAGGAGGAGGCGGACAAGGGGAAGGGCAAGGATAAGGCGAAGCCCGACCTCCCGCAGACAGCCATTGAGCTCACTCTACCCGCTGTGAGCAATGTGCTGTCGTTGGCTCGTATCAGCTGCTGACTTGTCACACAGGGAAGCAAGCGCTCGCGTCCACCACCACACTTAGCTTCTTCGCATGCGCCGCCTGAGCCTACGGAACCCATCATCGAGGAACCGTCCGATGAGGATGACGCTCCAGCTGCGAAGCGCCAGAAGGGCACCGCGACGGCCACCAACGGCGACATCGACATCACAGAGGTCGATGAGGACATGCCCGTTCCTCCGTCTCCCAAGCCGGCGGCGGCGCAGCTTCCCGCGAAGCGCCCATCTGCTTTTGGGAACGGCAACGTCAAGCAGAAGGTCACATCTGCGCCGAAGGAGCCGTCGAAGCTGCGCTTCAGCATCCAGCCTGAGGCGACGACGAACGCGAAGGAGGACGAGGCGCCTGCGGCGAGCGATCCCAAGGCTGATGCGCCCAAGACGGGCTCCTTCACCTTCGGTGCACCTGCTGCGTCTGGGAAGCCCACGCTGGCCGGGTTTGGATTTCCGTCGACGCGTGCAGATACGGCGAAGGCGCCGGCCTCTGCTTTTGGGAAGCCTGCAGCCGAGACGCTGTCGCCCTTCACCTTCGGTCAGCCCGCGCCAGCTGAACCTCCCAAGGCGACCCCGACGTTCACCTTCGGCAAGCCTCAGGAGGCCCCGAAGGCACTGGACAAGCCGCAGATCGAGGCACCTAAACCTGCTGAGCCTCAGGCCAACAAGCCTGATGTCTCCATGGCCGGGCCTAGCGACACCTCTGCTCCTCAGACTGTTGACGAGGCCAAGGCTGCCGCTCGCGCTGCGCCCGTCGACACCCTACCCAAGTACACGTTTCCGAAGCTGCCGCTCACGACGTCGAGCGGGGCCGACGCGACGCTATGTGCAGAAGCGAAGGCGGTGCCGCGCGACTCGCTGCCCAAGTTCGACTTCAGCGCCACCGCGGTGAAGGCGAATGCGGATGCCGCAGCGAAGGCGGGGCCGTCTACGCCCAGCCCCGCTGCGCCGACGTCTGCGTCGGGCGGCTTCAACTGGGCGGCAGCCGGATTGAAGAAGCCGGAGGTCGCGGGGTGGACGTGCTCGACATGTATGTTGCCGAATAAGGGCGAGGTGTTGAAGTGCGTGGCTTGTGACGAGCCGAAGCCCGGCGCGGATGGGGCTGCGAAGCCGGCGGGCGGGTTCAACTGGGCTGCAGCGGGAATGAAGAAGCCGGAGCCCATGGGGTGGACGTGCTCAACATGCATGTTGCCGAATAAGGGCGACGCGACGCAGTGCGTGGCCTGCGAGGCGCCGAAGCCATGACGAGGGCGAGCGGTATAGGGATCTTGTGTGTGCGACGCGTCACTCGCCTTCGTGCGTGCGTGATGGTCTGCCAGGTGCACTTACGCTGGCCCACCGGCGACCCCTTCTCTATGCGCTATGTTATGCAGAAAGTTATCGTAGGTTATGTTGCAATTGTCCTGTCTTGCTTCTCATACAAAACGTCCGCTGCTCATATGAAGATACGCTGACTCTTCCTGCATTTTACGCACGTACGCTTGCTCCTGTTAGTGCACTACACGATGTATGCTTGCGATCCGGATAGATACCACTCGATAATGCCATGCCATAGGGTCTGTAATCTGTTCGCCCCAGCCTTTTCTGACACGGGTAATTAGCAACTCAGTGTTGTATGGTTGCCTGGCTCAAGGTCGGATGTGAGGACTCTCGGCAGCGCCCCGATGGCTCTTGGAAGGGAGTCCCCAGAAGCAGGAAACACGGACCTACATCACGCACGTGCAAAGCACGAGGTTTATCCGCTCGGCCCGCGCTTGTCTCTTGTTTCTGACGCTCGTGTACATTTACTTCACGAACAAACGGCCTCAGCGTATATACCATGGACGCAGTCGAACGCGAAAACGAGGCGCGCCAGAAGAGATGGTCAGCCCTCTCCCTTCTTCTCAGCCATGCAGCCACTGACGGGATCCCAGGATCAAGGACAAGAAGGTCGGGGAGGGTATGTACGCCGTGGTATACCAAGGTCGGTATCTTGAAGCGCATTCCTGTGTCGTATATCTGTTTATGGGGGTGTAGGACGAGAAGCGGCTAGTAAAAGACGATGCGCCATAAAGAAGATTAAGGTCGGACAATTCAAAGACGGCCTGGACATGTCCGCCATACGCGAAGTGAAGTACTTGCGCGAGCTGAAACACGTCAATGTTATTGAGGTAGGTCTAGTGACTAAACCTTGCTCAGCTTTGGCTGACGACTGCAGCTCTTGGACGTCTTCTCGTCAAAATCGAATTTGAACCTGGTCCTCGAGTTCCTCGACTCCGACCTCGAGATGATCATCAAGGACCGTAATCTGGTCTTCCTCCCAGCTGATATCAAGAGCTGGATCGCTATGACCTTCCGAGGCCTGGAGTACTGTCATAGGAATTGGATCCTCCATCGCGTAAGCCGTTAGACGTCTGTTACTCGCTGGTGCCTAAAGCATTGTTCTAGGATCTGAAGCCCAACAACTTGCTCATCGCCTCCGATGGACAGCTCAAACTTGCCGATTTCGGTCTCGCGCGCGACTTCGCCGACCCCGGGCACAGAATGACCTGCCAGGTCATCACTCGCTGGTATCGCCCACCCGAGCTGCTCTTTGGTGCGCGCTACTATAGCAGTGCGGTGGATATCTGGTCGGTGGGGTGCATCTTCGCAGAGTTGATGTTGCGGATACCGTACCTCCCTGGCGAGAGCGATATGGACCAGATAAAGACGATTTTCCGCGCGCTGGGCACGCCGACGGAGCAAGAGTGGCCGGTAAGTGAAAATTTGCGGCCAACCACTATATGGAGAGCAGGAGCTGACCGGTCGAAGGGACACACGAAACTGCCAGATTATGTTCCAGTGGGCCAGTTCCCGAAGCCACCGATGCGTGACCTGTTCACCGCCGCGAGCGGTGACGCGATCAACTTGCTGGCGAGATGCCTCACATATGAGCCTCGAAAACGGATTAGTGCACGAGAGGTAAGCCTTGACTAACCGCTCTCGTCCCTCCGCTGTGCTAATGTCGCAACCCGCAGGCCCTATTCCACCCATACTTTACCGCACTACCCAACCCTACGCATCCATCCGCTCTGCCCAAGACGGAGGCGCAGCTCACCGCCCTGAAGGCATTGGAGGAGGCAGAGGGGAATGTGGAAATGGCGTCGACAGGTCCTGGCGTGCGCGCGTTGCCACCCAACAGGCTGAAGCGCAAGCTGTCAACGGCGACGGACGAGGCCAAGAACCGTGCTATCGCGCGGAAGTTGGATTTCTCGAAGGCACCGCCTACGAGCTCACCTTGAAATCTTTGTACTCATCGAGTGCAATACAGACTGGCGAGTCGACAAGGTCGACATGGATGGTTGGACCGCGAAGGAACGCTTGGATGCACGGGCGCATCCGCCGTCCCAACCTCACGAGTAAGGGGTAGTTTGAAATTACATGTAGCGACAGTGCTTCAAGGAGAATATATATATTCGAGGAAAAGCCGATGCAAACATTGCTCGTACAAAGTTCCCAAGTGTACAGACATGCAGATAACAGTTGGTAGCTCATTCTCAATGTACAACGCGCAGTTCTTCAGTCTATAAGTACCATACACCATACTAGAGTAGTTCAGAACGCGTTTAAGTCCTTGTGACTCCTACAAATTGCAGAAGTCACTCACGAGCATGACACGGCAATGCGGTCACGTGACAGACACCGCCACCTTGTTCTGACAATGTTCAGAACAATGTTGAACGTCCACGGTCACAAACCTCAGCAGCGACATGCGCGCCAGGTAGGCCGTCGCCTTCACTCAAGTCGCCTGCCCTGTGTGAAAGATCCCTTACAGAGAACGCATGAACTACTCGCCTCGGGGCTTTCCTCGTATCCTCGAATCAGTCTCCAAACTCCGCAATCGGCGCTTGCCAAACTGCTACCCCAAGTACGTTTTCGGCTGGGCCATCAGCGGCGAAGAGCTGGAAAGGGTCTCCGACGAACTCTTCGGTCTCGATGCGCCTTCCAGCACAATCATCACCTACTACTATGACCGCTGGAGAGAACGTGCGGATGCGTAAGTCGGCATCCGCTGCATCGAGTCCAGTCCAACTGACCGATTCCTTCGTTTGACTGATTCCTTCGGCAGCCGCTTCAAGTTCAAGCATACGTTGTATGCCAACGTCGAGACCATGGCTAATGACGAGCTCTTCTACATCACTTCGAACGAGACGGAGGAGAGCTTGGCGAGGGCGAGTGACGAAGAGTTTGTTAAAATGGCAATGGAGGTCCTGCAGACAGAAGAGAAGGGGAGGTGGTTCCACTTCGACCTATTCTGAGTCTTTCCACGCACCCCGTATATTCCTGTCTACCGTCTTGTCCGGACTCTGGAAGGGGAATCTGTACTATAGATGATTTCGCGTTTTGGCCTGGGTCGCCAACAGTCGAGACTTGTAGCGATCACTTCCTCTCGTGAATATCTGACAGTAAGTTGCTCTGTATGATGGCTCGCATGTCAGGCCTTGGCCAAAGAACCAGCAAGAGCGCATGGGAAGTTCGAGGGGCGAGCGGCACGGAGATCGTCTCGAAAAGGAAACCCTTGTTGTCTTGAACGGCAATCGCCCCTACGCAACCGCCTGCTGCCAACGTGCAATGCACTCTGGCTGTCTGAAGTTCGTTCGAACCCGTACAAACTAGCGATGAGCCAACATGCACAAAATCCGACAACGCTTATCTGGGGCGCTGAGACGCAACGCGGCACGCACAGATACACCATATTATAATGAGAGCATTGTTGGGACTATATGGTGCGCAGTTGAAGCCCATATCAAACGCTTTCAATTCCCATATAAGACGCAGGTAGATTAAGGGAGCGTAACATATGCGAGCGTGAAGATATCCATGCGTATGTAACCTTTGGGGGTGGGGGGTATATATTTATCTTCTTCGGACAGCGCGGTGAGCTATCCCTACACGTCCTTGAGCACCGCACGAGTGGGGAGGAGTAACCCCCGCACCTACGAACAGGAATATATGAAGCACTACACGCCCAGGAGCATGGGGACCGAGGGCGGGCCGCGCTGGAGTTCTCTTCCGTCCTAACACCTGTGTAGTGTGGTCTAGGACGGGTCGATGGGCCGCTTGGTGTGACATAGTAGGGCAGAGCAGTTTGACAGGTCGACGAGGAGCGCCAGCGCAGCGACGGTCGGCATGGGAGACTAGACTGACGAGAGCGAGGTGCGCTACATGACGCAACACGACCCGCCACCTCCCCTGCCTGATCGAGTGGACAGTGACACGCGTGCGGCCTCGTAGAACACTTCGTTAACGCCGCGGTTGTGTTTGGAGGAGCACTCTGGTCGGACGGAGGGGGGAGGCGAGTAGTACGAGGGAGGAAGCGAGGAGGGGAAGGAAGGTAAGTGTAGTTCGAGGCGAAGAAGTGGCGATACGCACCTAAGTATCGTGAAGCTCGTATTCTTCGCGCGACGCCGAGGCCCTCTTCATATTGTACCGTATGTGTACCGTATCGTTGTAGCCGATCGAGTACTGCAGGGTCGTCGCGTAGATCACATTTGAGTGCTTCGATCGAAGTGAGGAACAGCAAGCGAGTTCATGACGAGCAACACGTACCGACCAAGACCAACTACCCAGAGCACCGTCAGACGTGTCGTACACAGCACAGAAACGCGCAACGCACCTTGACCCCCGGACAGTACTCCAAAATCTCGTCGAGCCACTTGCTCTCCACATTCTCGAGCGACGTTGGATTGTCGACGCTGAAGCATATCATGATCACATGCGTTTCTGCATACGACAGGCTCCGTAGCCGGTCGAACTCCTCCTGCCCCGCCGTATCCCAGAGACTCAGCTCCACCAGCTGGTCGTCGATATACAGATCGTGCACGTAGTTCTCGAACACCGTCGGTTCACTGTACACTCGCGTCAGCTCTGTTCACCGCTACTGGTGTGATGCCCCACTCACTAGACCTGCGTGAAGAACCCCCTCGTGAAGACGTTCAGCAGACTCGTCTTCCCGCACGCGCCGTCGCCGCATACGACAACCTTGCGCTGGATCGGTCGGCCCCTGCCGCGCCCTTTCGACGAACCGCAGAGCGCCATCCGGGGAGTGTGTACCTGTCACTGAGCTGGCGGAAGAGGAGGAGGAAGGACGCGAGGGCGACGGGCCGACAGCGCCGAGAGTGGGAGGAGAAACGTGGGTGCGCGTGCGCGTGGTGGAAGAAAGGACGAGAGACCAGAGCGAGCGCTGGGCAAGTTACGTAATGGTATGCGCGCATTGCTCGAGGCGGGCCGCGTGCCGGTGCCTTGGGCGAAAATACAATGGCGCCCATTGTATTTCTGGGGGGAGCCCAAGGGCCGGAAATACACTACTGTACATGTACTAGAGAAGCTCCGGCGGCGCCAGCTCCTAACCTTGCTTGCGGAGTGGGTGTGTGCTCGACACCATTAGCTGAACACCGGCTGCTGAGCAACGATGCCGACGTCGACCCCAACGGCTAGTGAGAGGGCGGTCCTTCGTGACCGTCTTGACTTCATCCGCGTCGGCATTGCCAACCTCCGAGTATACTTCAGTCACCGCCTTCTCCTTGCACTCCCTTAGAGGGCATACAACGTGTGCCTCCATTCTTGCTGATCCTTCGGCCTGTGCTCCTGTCAACGCATTGGCAGACTCTTCATATACCGCACGGAGTGACCATGCACGACGCTCGCGCGTACAATGTTTTTTTGGCGGAAAGGGATCTTCAACAGTGGTATATTTGCGAAGGGGAAGCAGTTTCCCCCCTCCCCTTGGCTCTGAGTCGTCTCTTAAAGGCAAACTAGACGAAACGCTTTTACCAGCGGAGCGTCTAAAGCCCCAGATCATTGACCCTACGTACTTCCGTTCGAGAATTGCATTCCCCAAAGTCCTCTCGCTCCCCTTGTAACCTCCGAGACCAAAATGTTGGCTCCATAGAGAATAAAGCTAACACGCTTCTCTTGCTCCTCCTCGCTCTCCCTCTTGCGTCTCCGGATAGCAGAAAGTCGGGCACGGAAACGAAGTGATGGAAAGGTCTGAAAACCATATCCAAACGAAAGTCGACGTACAAAGCGTATAGACACAGTGTAAGGGGCTCCATAACCTTGTAATCATTACGGACAATATAGTCCTCTTGCGAAAATATGGGTAGACTGTCTTGCGCACGCCAGCAGTCTGCATATTGTTCCACGGAGTTCAACTGGTCAGGTGATCTGCCGGTACCGACATCGGACTTTGCCCCACTATTCCAATACCTCTGCAATATCAAGCATTATGCGCTTACGGGCTCTGGAAGTCCTCTGCAGGCCTTCATTTTTGTCAAATGCACACCCTCAATTATTCAGAATGGTCAGGACGGCAATTCCATCTTAGATCACCCTAAGCGCCGAGAACTGCGATACTGAAGGCAGGTGACGGGGGACATCTTTTGTTTGTACTGATTGCGGGAGCTCTGATCCCGCGAGTGGGGATCTCGCCAGTCGAGCGGGTAGGAGTGAGCGCAGAGTGGTCGCCCGTTGGCGACAGTCGGGCGCGGGAGCGCTCGGGTAGCGTGTAGGGCGCGTGTAATGACGCGCGCGCGTGAGATCGAATATCTGAGTGACCGCGTCGGAGTGAAGCTCAACGAAGAGGCGGGAAGTGGCCCTTCCGGTGCCTGCTGCTCAAAGCCTCTCTCCGAGGAGGCGGGCTGCAGACGATGGTAAGAGTCGAGATAGTGATTCTTCCTAATGCGGCAGGCCGCAAGGCGGCCTGCGATGTATCTATTCTAATCTACAATGTACGTGAAATACGAGCGAAAGAAAATATCGTACGTACGAGCGTGACTCGAGAGTACCCGGGTAGTGTCTCTGACCAGGATCCCCACACTTATGCCGCACAAAAACTCGTGGTGGGGTCAAAAAGCATGCTGTAGATACCTTGCAAGCAAGGTGATGTATGGAATAGATATGCTACATCAGGTTAGTGGTACTTGCACGGGCTTGAGAACGCCGTTCTCATCCGCTTCCCGCACTGGTTGTATTTCGTCAACGAGAGCTTGGTTCGCTGCGTTCCCTTCGAGCAGGTTGTGCAGCGTAAATATTGCATGCTCTCGCAAGTCTATTCGGGAATGTCAGCGTGAGTCCCTAGCCATCACGAGTACGCACATGGATTTCTCTCGTCCACGACACACAAGTTCATCACAGTTTGGATCCCCCCACACTCGCGCACCCGGTCCTGCACTGCTCGACTTCGATGCACCAAGACGCCCAGTAGACGCACAAGGTCGCGCTTGAGGTAGAAGAAGCCAGGGCTGTCTGGTGGCGGCGCGCCGTTCGTTGCAGTCTGCCCAACGGGTTTGCCGAAATTGATTCGCGGGAGGAAGGCATCAAGAAGGCGAAGCAGATCTGTCTCTCGGTCAACCCATTCTTACTCGCAGCAGAACAATCTTGACTCGTACCAACAATGCTCTCCACCATCCCAATCTCGGCCGTGCGCGCCTCTGCAAAGTATTTTCTCCTGCCGAGCGCGTCGCTCGCCGGCCCTTCCGCCACCAGCGCGACAGACACGATGCACTGCGTCAACAGCACCAGCGCCTCGCACACCTTCGGAAGCATCACGTCCAGCTCAGCAGGCGGCGCGCTGGCGTCGCCAGCCACCGATCTCGAGATCGACGCGCGGGCAGACTGCGACAGCGCGAAGAATACCTCGCTCAGCACAGGCATCAAGCCCTCGTGGATGGCATCGCGCCGCTCCCGAGAGGGTGATTGAAGGTAGGAGTCGGTGAGCTTGAGCAGCGTCGTCTGGTGCGGCGTTACGACCTCGCCTTCCATCGCCAAACGGGCGTAGAGTTGCGGTACCAGTCCGTGCTCGATGATTTGCGCGAAGATGAAATAGCCGTAGTTGAAGGTGCGGCCGGCGTCAGTGTCTTCGTCGGCGTCGTACGATTTGGTCATGGTATCGAGAAGGATGACGGTAAGGCGGATACCGATGGGGTTGGAGCAGAGGGCAGTTCTGGGTGCAGCTTAAGTGAGATCATGGCAGAGTCAAAGGAAGGGGGAAGGGGGAAGGGGGAAGGGGGAGAGACAGAGACACTGACATACGAGTTTCATTGTCCTTGATGATATTCAACATGAAAATGAGAGTGGAAAGGACGATGCGAGAGTCGGGATGTGCAAGAAGTCGTCTGCAACAATACGTTAGACGCAGGCGAAGCTGGCATGACGGACCACACGTACAACAAGATGACCTGGTCCTCTGGAAGAGCAAGGTACGTCTGCCATAGTGAGGATAAGAGGGCGTCATTCCCAGTGACGAGGTTAGATAGCGTCTGCGTGAGCATGCGAGCGGTGGCGACAGCTGTTCAAGGTGAGTACTGGACTCCCAAGGGACTCTGGATACGCACCATGCGCATCCTCCGCCATAGACCAAGATGTATAGTAGTGTAGCAGTCTTCGTATCTCCGGCTCATTTTCACTGAGCAGTACGAGTCTGGCTTAGACACCCATTTGCATCCTTCCAATGGTCATCACTCACTATGCCCGGTTCTGATTCTCGGGTACGGCAGCCACGAGATTACGCGTGAAGCGTGCGAGGCTGAGGCATGCGCTCTTCATCGCACGCTGCTGCTCGCTGTCTTCGGAGGATGCCTCCCCGTCTTCATCATCGTCGCCTTCGTCCGCCCAGAAAGTGAGTTGCGCATGGGAGAGGTCGCGCCAAAGCTTGCGAAGGGTGAGATAGATCGATGGGTCTGAGCCGAAGGAGACTCTATGGGGGAAGGGGGGCGCGTCAGTAACCAAACATGGAGGGGAAGTGAGTGATCGCACCTGAGCTCAACGTCGCTGGCCAGCGGCGCCGAGATGGCGTCCAGTGTGGACGAAAAGGACGATAGGGAGGCAGTATCGCGTAAGTCAAGTGCTTCTGCGCCTTGCTGGAAGCGCTGAACGTGCTCAATGACGTTGGCCATGGTCGGGCGCTTAAAGATGGAGGGAGGTGGCGCGCCGTCGATCACTTCGATGCCGTTGCTGATGGCGATCACGGCGTCGGCGTGTTCGCCATCTGCTCATTGACCACCACGAACTGACTCTACTGGCACCTATGCTGACCGCTGCTCACCATCCACCGTTCACGAATACCTAGCTGACTTTGCTTCGAACACCATGGGTGCCGCCCCCACCGCTCCCGACCTCAGCGTCTCCCTCGAACCCCACCTCCTCGACACGCTCCGCCCCCTCCGCACTCGCGTTCCTCCTTCCCTCGCCGCAGACCTCGAACCGTACCTCGCTACCCCGCCCCCATCCGAAATCCCCTACGCCATCCTCCTCCGCGTATCGCAATGGGCGCGCGCGGCCGACCTGCACTCCCTCGGCCTGAAGCCATCCGACTACACCATGATCTCCCTCCTCGCCGGCGCGCGCACCGCTCCGGGCGCGAAGCTCGGAAGGTACGTGCCGCCGCAAAGCGCGGAGGACGCCGCAGCGCAAGGCGTGCGGGACCGGAAGGCCATCACGGCGCTGCTGAACGCGCTGCTGAGCGTCGGGGGCGCGGCCTTCGCGGCGTGGTGGGCGGCGGATAAGACGGGGTGGAGGAATGAGTGGGTGAGTGGTTGAATTTTTTGTGTTTCTATGTTGGATTGTGTTTTATGTTGGAATGGGCAAGCGATATGCATTCATACTGATACTGTGTCTATAGAGGGTGCTGTTTGCTCTGGCCGTGGGCGCGGTCGTAGCGATATCGGAGGCCGTGCTCTACATCATCTGGCAGTCGCGCGCCACGGGCAAGCTGAAGCCTCTCAAGCTCAACACTCAACGAACTGCGCGCCACAAACGCATTGACGCGCCAAATGAGGATGTTGACGACACAGAGCAGCCTCCAGGCGGCAAAGGCAAAGGACAATCCACAGACCTCCAAGATGCGTCGGGCGACGGCGACTTGCGCAAGCGGATAACCCAGAAAGGGTCTGCGGAGGACTCGTAGCACCATTCATAAGGATTGAGCGCTCGTGAACCTCTCTGTGGCCGGCGCATATACATGGTCTGCGTGTGCACGAAACCCATTGTACAACAGCATCAATCCATCCCATTATCTATACAAAAACACTTCCTGTCGCTGTCTATCTCACAGGCCGAGGGACAGGTCGTCGAACTATCCCTCAGACTTGGGGAGGGTAGGTTCACTGCAGAAACAACTCCTTCAGTATGCGGATCGTGTCCGCCGGGCTCGTCACGCTGTGCCCGATGGTGCGCGGATCTTCGTAAATTTCGTGGTCGTTGCCGCCCTGTGGAGTCGTCCGTCAGCCCATGTCCATCTCATACACGCAAATAGTATGTAAGAAGTTGCAAGCTGTCAAATGGCTCGCGGGTTGCAAACGGCTCGCAACCTGCCAAAACAACTCGCGAACTACCAAATGACTGGAAAGCATACCTTGTAAGTCTTGTCCCCGAAGAAGTGAATCTCCTCAAACTGCTCGTCCTCGACGTGCCTCAAGGCGTACGTCTTGTCCCACCCGGTCGGGAACACGTCGAAAGAGATCTGGCCGCCGATGGAGAAGGTGAGGGAGAGGTCGGCAAACTTCTCTCGGAGGGCATTAACGAAAGCGGCGCGGACGCCGTGTTCCTTGAGAGGGGGAAATGAGAACAAGCCTCAATGCAGATATGAGCATATACGTACCTTGTCGTACTTCTCAAAGTCGTGACGCTCCTGGACGCTGGAAGGACGTTAGCCTGGAGGAGGATGGGCGCGATATGAGCGTCTACTCACGTAGCATTGCGTCCTATGGGGCTAACGTTGATCATGCCGTTGCGGAACTCGACGAACGTGCCACTGCAGAACAGAGCGCACGATCAGCGACAAGTCAGGCTGCGTCCCCCTTCCCTCCTCACGCACCGCTTGATAGGGATATCCAGGTCGGCGAGGTAGTGCAGGATGAAGTTCACCAGCGGCTTATACTTCTCCTCGCCGAGCCATTTGATGAAGGACTGCGACGCGAGCTGCTTGCCCTGCTTGTACGCCGTCAGCCCGTTCTCCGCGAAGCCGTAGTCCCACTCCGAGAGCACTGTAGCGAGGGATGCATGGTCAGGTCCTGCAGGAACAGTAGGGAAAGGGGAAATACACAGAAAACGCACCGTCGATGCCGGGCACCTGTAGCTGCTCAGTGATCTTAACGAGATCGGAGCCGCCGACGAAGCCGATCACGACCTTCTTGCGCACGTCGCGCAGGACCTCGAGCATCTCGGGGGAGATCCCCTGTGCGATGGGCGCGTTAGTGGGCAGGGAAAACGCGTCGGGATGTAATGTACGCACCTGACGCGCCGGGGTCAGCGTGCCATCGACGTCGAAGAGGACGAGCTTCTTCTGCGGGCGGTCGGCGAAGGCAGAAGAGACCATATTGGTGCTGGGCAATGTTGTGGGGACGGGAAACGATGGTAGGGCAAGGGAAGACGTGAGGCGGGGAGGCGAAGTACGTGGCAGGTCGTGAGTATATATGCGGGCGGGCTATGCGGGTGGCGATCGCGCAGTCGTACCAGACAACGCGGAAGTTGCCTCCCTCCGGCTTCGTTCTGACCTCCATCATCGACTGGCTCCCTCGACCTTCCCTTCAAGGATATAGCTCGCTGCCTCAACTTCTGTGTGTATCCCAGCTTAGGCTGCAATACAATGCCTTTTCGGACCCTTTTCGAGCTCGCGTACAGTGGCCGGACGAATGAAGAAGCCTACTACGATCTCCAAGAAGCTGCTCAGCAAAACACTAACCTTGACCGAGGAAAATCCTCGCTTTTTGCATCACGGCGGGGCACTCAACGCTCGCGATAGATATCTAATGACGATACGTATCGCGCTAGACTCCGGCCACCGCTCAGTGAGCTTTCCCGTCATTCATGGTACGAGAATCCTCCTGACCATCTGTCGCGATATGAAGACCTTATAGAGAGCATATGAACGCCGCTATGCTTGCATGCGCTTAGTAGAGCAACTGAGGGTTAGGCATGGCAACGTTCGAGGTGAGATGGCTGTTGTTCGTAGCAATGCCCAGCCACTAACGAAGCTTGTAGAGCGCGGCGTGCTCTTCCTTTCTATTTGACGGCTGCGGGACCTCTGGTACGATGGTGAGTTCTGTAAGTATTTTCTCGCGTCGATGGCTCCTTCCCTGTCTTCGATGCAGTTGGGCTCTTCATGATCAGTCTTCACGCGCTTCATATAGACACGCAAGCCTCTTACCTTGTGTACCTCGCTCATCCCTTTGGCACCCAAAGTGACATGCAGCGAAGGCCGAAGGCATTGGAGTCAAGCTTCGACTGCGTCGCTTCGCGCGAAATTGAACTTTCCACGTGATCGCGTCACGCCAAAGCACGAAGTTCTGCGAAATTCCGCTTGCATTAGGGTCGTTCAAACCTGGCGGAATTTTGCGAAAAGGAAAAATTCGGCTCTTTCGAACAGAACTTTTGGCGCGGGATTCGGCCTTTTCGAGTGATTTTTCACGAGAAAAGGAAGAATCCGATTATTCTGAACAGAGGTTTGAACACAGAGGAAGGACATGTGGCTGTGTTGAACAGGATTCTCGCCCGTTTTCCTCGCCAAACGGTACCTTTTTCAGGGTTTTCCCTTTGCGCACAGGAAAAATTCGAAGACACAAAACGAGCTCTGAGGGACCCTATTGTCTCTTTTCCGGACTTCGGAGTGCAATATTCGTGCGCTAACTCGCCAATTCGCAGAGCCTACCGCCAACCAGAATATTCTCGCCTGCTCGCCATCTCCAGACCAGGCATCGCACATGCGTCACAACCGCGTGACGTCGGCGCCGCCGAGCGCTCGTTCTTGGCCGCAGTAGGCACGAGGGGGGACGAGTCGCCGTATCGATTGAATCCCACCCTTCATGCGTCTTCCCGGACCGCCGAGAGTGTCGACTACTTCAGTACAACGTTCAGCTGGCTGACAGCCTCACGTACGCTCCACACATAACCCTCGACGATACGGCGTCTTCCCCCCGCGCAATCCACACGAAGACCCCGAGAGTCGGCCGGGGTGTCGCTGCTATCAGGCTGGGCATTATAGGCAGACAGGGAACACCGGTGGCAGTCATGCGGATCAGAACCCAAGATGCAGCTGCGTGGATGCGTGGCTAACTATGTCCTCTGATCCCACGAGCCTCGCGCGGCGACGCTTTATATGAAGGCGGGGCGAGGCGACGTGCTGCCCCCCTTCCATCCTTCGCCTCTGTTGTGGACTCTCTAGCGGGTACGGCTCACCACTCGTTGGCTCAGTCGCAATGTACATCCCGGGCTTCTTCCCGATGGCGAGCGCCCTGCTCAATAGGACGCTGCACAGCGGCCTGCAGACCCCGGTCGTGGAGCAGGTCGCAGGCAATTTGTGGGACAGCGCGAATAAGAGGTGCGTCTGCTGTGGAATCATCTGCACTGCTGTCACTAAGCTGTCTGAATAGTTGGGAGCTGGGTGTTATGGCGGAAGCCCTGACCGAATATAACTGGGCTTCATACTCCGTATTTAGTGACGCCGCCTTCCCCCCGCCCGACACGCTCGACAACTCTTCTACCCTCGAAGATGTGCTTGACATCGTCAACAACGTCCTCGCGGTCAAAGAGCCCTACACGCTCACCCTCTTCGCGGACGAATCTGCAGGTGATCCCGCAAGTGCGTTCAACTTCCATCATCGTCGCATAAGCCAAGCCCGTCGCGTCATCCCTGCAGCTGTCATCCCGGCGGCTGGCAGTGCATGCATCACTAGCGTAGTGACTTGAGGTGCTGATTCGCTGGTACTCTATAGGTTTGGGCGTCGCGGTGCTTCTGGCGAACTGGACGCGCGGTGACAAGTCGGACAATTCGTACTCCACCGCCGCTGCCGACCAGCTCTCGTACTTGCTGGACTACGCGCCGAAGACGGACGATGGCGCGATCTCGCATAGGACGGACCAGGTGCAGTTATGGTGAGTGAGGACGTGATCTTAATATGAGATGGTGATGTGTGACTGACAACCTTTGAAGGGCAGACTCGGTTTACATGGTGCCCCCTTTCCTCGCATACTACGGTGCGCTGCAGGGTGGGGACGAGGGCACGAAGTTGCTGCAGATGGCATATGATCAGATTCGTCTTTACCGCGACGCGCTGGTGGACGACGGCTTGTGGCGTCATGTCATCTACGGCGAGTGGGAAGACGACACGCATTGGGCGACAGGTACGCAATGCGACGACATGTTCGTGAAGCGGCGACATGTTGTATCAGGGCTCGCTTATCTGATACTCATCCTCATTCTAGGCAATGGCTGGGCCACGGCTGGCATGTTGCGCGTCTTGCAGACCTTGAACCGCACGGAGCAAGCGGGGGACTTCGCCTCACAGCAAGCCGATCTCGCTAGCTGGATACGCGGGACCCTCGACGCGGTTTGGGAGTACCAGGTAAGCATCCCACCCTGCATACTTAGTCACGGCCATAACCTCAATATGCGTCTCACAGACTAGTAACGGCACGCTTCTAAACGTCGTGGACGACGGCACCTCCTTCGCCGACAGCGCCGGCACCGCCCTGCTCGCCTCCGTCACCTATCGCATGGCCGCCTTCGACGGCGACACCTCCCTGAACCGCGCCGCCAATCGCGCGCTCTCGCTCGTCGAGTCGAGCATGGACGAAGACGGTTGGCTCTTGAACGTCGTCGACCCGTACACCTTCAGCAGCCGCTTGGCGGACGGCGAGCACAGCCCGGAGGCGCAGGCCTTCGTGCTGCTCTTGCACTCGGCTTGGCGAGATTATGCGGCGCAGCTGAAGGAGCTGAATGCGCGGCGGAGTTGGTGATTAGGCCGCGCGTCAGGAACGTGCATGAAGGGATGCATGCGAGGCGATGAATCACGAATATTTACGTCGGCACGTCAGGATTGGCGGCCCACGCCATTGGTGTATTCTTGGTATCTGGGTGGTGTATCTCTAGATATTGTACTTGTAGATCTTCTGTTCGTTGAGTAGAGGAAGAATTTATGGGCATTTGTCGGTCAGTACCTATCATGGCTCTTGCCCGCCTGAGATGGATAGCTAGGGTTCCATGATATTGTGCGAAATCTGGAGCTTGACACTGTATCAGGAGGATAGGCATGGGCGAACAGAGGCGTGCCGGTGCTACAGTACATGTCTTCCCCATTAGGTAACGTCAAGGTTCAACTTGCCACTTTCTTTGTTCTGAGTGAAGCTCAATGGAGATCTAATGGGTCGTACAGTTGAATTTATCTATGCAGATTCAGGATACACCGCTATCCTACTGCCTCGCCTTGAATGCGGTCAGAATCTTGTTCGCCTCCCTTTCTCCACTCAAGATCGCCCCTGGCACACTGCCATGGTGGTCCAGCTCTGTATGCTCGCCACCGAAGAACAGATGATCATCCCAGACCGAGCGGCTGAGCTCGATGAAGTCCAATGGGCCATCGTTATCCACCGTTACAGGCGTTGAGGCCGCGCCCCGCGCCCACGGGTCCGCCCGCCAGCGCGTCACCAAGATCGACGACGGCGTCGGCGCCGTAGTCCCTGGCCCACCGAGCTTGCGGACAAGGAAGGCATGCAGCGAGGCCTGGATCTCCGCGTCCGTGAATCGCTCGAGCGCCTGCGCGGCGTTCGCGCCGACCATGAACAGGAGGACCGCCTTGTTCGCAGTGCTCGCGCGGGAGGAAATCGACGCGGCGACGTTCTCGGCGATGAGCGTCGTGTGCGCCCAGATGTCGTCCGGGGAGGCGAGGGAGGAAGGGGAGGGGATGGGCGTGGAGGGGCCGAGGAGGACAAACTTCTCGTCACCTCCGGGCCACCAGACGGAGGGGTAAGAGAGGTAGATCTTGTTGAGGTCGCCGGATCTGGAGCGCGAGAGGGCGCCGAGGGTGGAGGGTGGGAGGGTCGGGGAGAAGAAGGATGTTAGCGCTCTCTCCTTGAGGACGCCGAGGGGGATGGTGCTCAGGACAATGGGGACGGTATACGTGGTGGGGGCCGAGGCGGAGTCGCGCGGGTCCTTCGTTGTCACCTTCACCGTGCCGGCCGCCACAAGATATTCAAGCGCTGTCACTTCCGCGTTCAAGATCACTTTGACCGGGTTCGTGGCTGCGCTCTCCACACTCTTCCAAATATCCTCCACCAGTGACGCGTATCCCTTCACCGGCGCAGCATCCACACCAGCAAGATTCCGCTCGTACTTCCAGTACTTGAGCGAGATCGTCTCGAGGGGGATGCCCGGACCAAGCTCGTTGAGACGCAAGAACGCGAGGGCGTCCTTTGGAGGGGAGTGGGAGGCGAAGTGATCATAGAGGGACTTGGTGTTCGACACGGTGGCGCGATCGACCTGAGACAGGTCGATGCCGCCTGCACCGGCTTTTCCCGCCTCGGCGACCACAGCGCCAGCCTCGAGGGTCTGCGTGCCCTCCCCGTGAGCGATTAAGCGCGGCATAGATCCCTGTAGCACTTGCACGTCCTGCGATTTCATTAGCACACCCGCTCACACCCCTTCCCACCAAACCGCACTCACCGCGCCGAACTCCTCCGCGATCTCCCTCGCCGGGTTCCCCTTGTCATACCCGTGTATCATGCTGCACCCAACGTCCACGATCATCCCATCGATGGTCTTCGAGAGCGCGCGTCCGCCCCGACGGTCCTGCGCCTCGAGCACTAGGACCTTCTTCCCCTTCGCCTGCAAGACGCGGGCTGCGGAGAGGCCGCTCCAGCCGGTACCGATGATCACTACGTCGAATTCGCTCATGGTCCGTGATGAGGGTGGTTAGCAAGCGAGGGGAACGGGGATTGAGCGGGTTCCCCAGGCGCGAAATCCGAAGCTGGGGATTTGCAATTTCGGTCCGCTGGTCCTCGGCCATCGCTGTCATAGAGCGCCTAAATCTGAGGGACTCAGGAAAGCCATTGCTACAGTCACTGTACGTGTGAATGACGGAGAGGGAAAGAGAAGGAAGCAAACCGGAAGATGTGTTCGCAGATGGAGGTGAAGAGCAAGCATTACCCCGGCTCTGACACAGCCATGAAAGTACACAGTATACAGCACAACATACACACAGAACAGCTACCAGTTTGCCAACGCCTCCTTCGACAAAGGCACGCTCTCCATCTCCTGCTCGTACTCAACCTCGACTCTGGCTCCGCCTGCAGTGTACAGTTAGCGAGATATTGATTGCAGTCGGAGAGAAGCACGTACGTCTGGGCTTCTTTTCTGGCCGCTTCTTTGGCGGCTTCGCCTTGGGTATAGTGTCCGCTTTCCGCTTGCCAAGCGCAGGTTTTGTTGGTGCCTCATCATCTTCATCACCCTCCTCATCCGAGCTCGCTTCCCCAAACTCATCCTGCGGGTCGTCAGTTGCTGCCTCTCACGTCTTATGTTCATCCCACTCACCGCCGCATCCTCCAAATCACTCAACCCATCCTCGCTCTCGCTCAGATCGCTCACGAACTCCCGGTCGCCCCACCCCTCCTCGTCCTCGAGCTCCTCCTCGTCCTCCAACTCCTCCTCGCTCTCTTCGTCAAGCAGCTCGAGCTCGTCCTTGTCGCCCGCCTCCGCGCGCTTCTCGCGGTCGAGCACGGCCTGCCAGACGGCCTCGTTGACGTTGAGCGGCGCGTCGCCGTACGCTTTGCTCTTGAGCCGGTCGAGCAGCTCCTTCTCGATCGACTTCTCGAGGTGCGCGGCGGAGAGGGCCTTGCGCTCGCGCACGGCTTCCCGGCGGTCGAGCTTCTTCTTGATGCCGATGAGTTTGGGTCTGGGAGGGGGATAGTCAGTAAACAGTAGAATTGACATGCGGGGGAAAGTAGGGGAAGCGTGGGGGAAGGCGATGCGCACTGCTGCCTGAGCTTCATCCGCCGCATCTTGATGAGGTACTGCGTGATCTTGGTGACCCTCTGCTTGCACTTATGAATCGTGAAGTTCGGCCAGTATTGCAGCTCGTTGTCGATCTGAGCAATGCGGGGGTCAGCAACGCGCGCGACCCTCTTGCGGGGATACGCACCTGCTCCAGCGCCTTCGTGTAGTTATTCGACAGCTTTATCCTCTCCCACATATGCGCCGGACTATGCGCGCGCTCAATCGTCTTCACGAAGAGGTATAGTGTGCCTGCATGATGTCCCGGTTTGGTCAGCCTCTCCTCTTCTACAGGGCGTCGCCCCACGCACCCTCCTGCTCCCGCACCGTCGCGTATCTCGAGTTCGCCAGGGGACATGACTGCCGATTGCACAGCCCCGTCACATTATACTCATTCCGGCAGAAATTCTGCGTCGTCGTTCTGCAAGTGCACACCGAATGTTCAGATCACTCTGCATTATACCGCGGGGGAGGACTAGATGCGCACTTGACTTTGTAGGAGCAGAACTGGTGGTTGATCACCGACCATATCACGTCGTCGCTCTGCATGGTAAGGAAACGGGAGGCGGAGGTGGGGACCGTGAGGAGGGCGCTAAGGTATAGCACAAGGCAGAATGGGCGGGAATGTGAAAAATCCTGATGCGGGTGATGGTGATCGAGTGTCCGGCCCGGGGTCCGGTGGCCATAAACTCGGGTGGCACGAAAGCAATTGGTGAAAAGTGTGAGGGGTATACAAGAGCACTATCCACGGCCATGTATGCATAAACACCGGTATTACTCTATGGTATAGTGTATAGCATATGCGTGTCCCCTCTCAAGATCTCACTGGGCGTCCCTATCCCTTGCTCTCGGCTGTAGTACCGTTCAGCACTGGTCCTCACTCCGCTACTACATATCCTATGGGCTCTCCCTCCTTGCCAACGGCAGCGCCGGTGGTGCCTGTCTCGCTTCCTCCTTCTTCTGGTTGTTCTTAGCAATCGCATAGAGCACGCCTGCAAAGAAGCCCATCGCGATTGCGGAGACGGAGCCGAAGGTGACGGGGTCGCCAAAGAAGAGCATGCCAGAGAGAGCGACGGGCAGCTTGTTGAGGGCGCCAGTCATGCTGCGTAGAGGGTGAGTATCCGGCTCATAGCGACAGAGGAGGTAGCAAGTAAAAGGAGAGGCAAGGAGGAGCATGTCAGGAGGGAATTATGGGCTTACCTATATGTCGTGCTACTGGTAACACGCACGCACCATGCTGTGGTATACGAGATTCCTACAGCCGCTGCGCCGGAGAAGGCGATAGCGAAGAGCAGCGTTCCCCTTGTTTCTGGAGGACTGCGAAAGACGTGAACATCGGCCCTTTCAGCGGAAACAGTCAAACGCACAAGTTACGCGTCAGATTCTCCGAGCCCCAATCCTCAATGATGAAGGAAAAGAGGGCAAGCACAGGAATCGAAAGCATGTTGTTGTAGAACATGCTATCCCAGTCGCTGAACCCGGTCGCCTTGATGCGTTTGCGCATGAACAGGACCTGCAAGGAGCGAGGTGAGCACGCACAGGCACGTAGGCTCAGGAACACCTCGCTATACGCACATACGCCGCGCTCGCTAGGCAGTTAATGAGCATCCAGAAGTAGCCAACGTTCAGGTTGCGCACGGCCGAGCCCATGCCGTCGAGGTTGAGGGGGGTGCCGGTGCTTAGTGTGGTGGGTATAGAGAAGGATAGGTCGGATGAGGCGGCTATCAATGAGGAGAATACCTGCGCGTGTGGTTAGGAGGGGATGGGGAGACGAGTGGGGATGCGAAGACGCACCATGAAGATGAAGCTGATGAATGTGAGGGTGGTGATGCGTCCCCCGAACCATATCTTCTCCCCGTATGCGATCAGGATAATCGTGAGGTTCTTGAATATGGTGTAAATGGGGATGGAGAGGAATTGCTGGATGAACATTCTGTCAGCGCACTGCTCAGCAGGCTCATTGGCAGGTCAACCGCGCACCAAGCTCTTGCTTCCCGTGTATATCACCCAGACGAGGAGGAAGCTGATAGGGAACCAGGCCTTCGCGTCCTTCATGTCGAAGTCGCGGAAGGAGATGAGGCCCGCGGCCTTGCAGCCGTACACGACGGCCGAGCACACGCTGCTCTGGATGCAAAGCAACAGGAAGGTCATAGAGAAGTGGGTGCCGGAGACGACGTACTGGAGGATGGTGCAGGTGAGTTCAGCGGGGCGAATGCGGGGAAGGGGACACAGAACGCACTTTATTGACGAGCGTCATGAGGATGGACGCGACGCAGTAGCATAGGACGGAGAGCGCTGGAGAGGTTCATGTTCAAAGATCATTCTAAGCGCTAAAGTGACCCCACGCACTCGCTTGACTCGCAATCGGGCTCTCAGCGCTCTTCACCGTAGACAGCTGACGCCGCATATCGGCCTCCGAGTCCTCCACCGTCTTCGTATCTCGTGGGTAGTCCGTCGAGCGCGACGGGCTTACGGATCGTGTGGCCATGGTACGTGGGGACCAGTGCAAGCGCAATACAAATGAGAGTAGGGGACCAGAAGAAGCCGTTGAGAGTCGTGTCGCGCAAATCGACGCGACGGAGTGAACGAACAAAGCTGCAGGGAACGTGGCTGGCGAAGTACCTCCGGCCCGGAGATCGCGCAGAAGGACTTCGATTGCCCCGTCGGGCAATTTTGTGGTTCAATTTCGGCGGCAGTTCGACCGAGCTCAATGAGTTCAATTCATTGGGGGACCTCGCTGCAGGTCCAACTCGCGCCTGCAAGAAGCGCACGTCTCCAGAGACAAAGGAGCGTCTTCAAAAGACAGGTATTAATTTCCTACTTAGGATGCACAGCAACACGGGAAGAAAGACATCTATGTAAGTATGCGATTGAGGGAAGGCGATATAGGTATGTTGCATAGGGCACCCACCACCGTCGTCAGTGGTCCTTGACCACTATCGCGGCGGCGGGCCACCCCAGCGGATTATTCGTGCGTCATCTACCAGCGGAGCACAGACTACTCACAAACAAAAGTCCCAACAACATCCAACCCGACACCCAGGGGACCGTACATCGAAAGCCATCGACCCGACCCGTACACCACCACCACGGACCTGAAGTGCAGGTCCGACCCTAGGCAGTACACCAGACCGATATCGACATCCCAACGCAGACCCCAGGGTCCTAGCCATGTACATCTTGAATCGTTACGTCGTCTTTGCTGTCATTTTGCAGAGCGTCTGCCACGCTCCCAAGTTGGTTTGTGGGGGGTATGCGCGTCGAGCGAGGTGGCTCGTCGCACGGGAAGCTGGAGGGTTGTCCTAGCGCCTTGATGGTCTTACAACGACCTTCCCGGCGCCGTCATCCCCGACAACCCCGCCCTAAAGCTCCCCGCATTCCCCAGGTCCTCCCGGCTCGGGCTCCACTGCCCCTGCACCGGGCCCGACCCATACGGCGTCCTTGGCAGCGACACCGGCTGCACCGGCATCGTGTACCGGATATCGAGCTCCTCGAGTATGCCCTTGAGGTGCCGCATGAACGCCGTGCGCCGCGTCCAGCGCCCGCCCCAGTCCTGCCAGTTCGCGCGGTGCTCGACGGCGATGGTGAGGTGGATCGCGTTCTGGTACTCCATCTTGTCGATGTAGACGTCCGAGCCGTTCCACTCGCGCGAGTTCGCGGCCATGTAGGCGCGGATGCGCTGCTTGAGGATCTCGACGGACTCCATGGGCGTGGTGTAGGCGACCATGAGCGTGGTCGTTTCCCAGAGGGAGTTGGAGCGGCGGATGTTGTGGATGGTTTTGGCGGTGGCGAGGAGTTTATTGGGCGCGATGATTTCTTGGCCATCGACTCGGCGGAAGACTGTTGAGAAGAGGCCGAATTCGCGGACGACGAGGGGCTACAAAAAAAATAAGACAGGTGCCACAACATCGCAAATGAAGATAACATACCTGATCGTCAATCATCACAAGGTCACCGACGTCGAAGACGTGAGTGGCGAAGATGAAGATGAGCGACTCGAACAGCGTCTGCGCCGAGTTACCGAACACGAAGGAGAAACCGAGGATGATGGTGGCGAGTGGCACGAGGGACGCGACAGTGTTGCTCCGGTTGAAGATGAGCAGGCAGATGAAGATGATGAACACCAGTGCCACACAAATGCACACTGCGTCCAACTTCGCCACCGCCGAGCCCACATCCTTCAAGCTCGCATTCAGCGCCTTGCGCTCCTTGTAGATGCGCTGCACGGCCTCGCGCATCTCCTTTTTGCTGATATCGCCATTCCCGTCGCGGTCGAAGAGGGCGAACGCCGCGTGCGCGTCCGCGGTGGTGCGGAAATACGGGTAGAAGTCCTCGACAGTGAGGAGTTGCGCGACCTCGCCGCCCTCAACGCGCTGCCCGTTGGCACCGATGTCGTCCGCGTAGCCGTCGGCGGCGAGTGCCCGGAAGAGCTTCTTGGCAAGCTTGCGCGCGGAGTGCAGGTTGTTCATGCCGGCCTCGCGATGCAGCTTGCTGTTCTTCAGCGCAACCTGACCGATGGCAGAGCCGACCTGGAAATGATCATTAGTCTCGCCGGAAAATATATTATGGGGAATGAGGACGTACTTGATCAACGATGACACTCGTCATGGCCTTGCGGTTCTTCCTCGCCTGGCGCTTGCTCTGCTTCTTCGGCGGCTTCTCGCCATGACCGACATTCGAGGGCATGCCATCGACGCTGCTGCGCTGCGGCTTGTGACCGTTCTGCTTGCCCTGCGGGCTCTTTGTCCGGAGCGGGGTCGCATTCGAGAGGCGGTCGAGCGCCTTGAGGCCGAGCCGGTTCTCCGCCAGGCGATCAGCCAAGGCCTTCTCGTGGAAGTTGATGGCTACGAAGTTGAGGAACGTCTTCTCGGCCAGCATAATTATTGCCGCCGAGAAGAGGGCCTGCATGACACGATTGACGATGTACCAGTAGTTGCCCTGCGGGTGGTGTACGGCGCGGATTACCGAGAGCGCGATCCACATCCAGGAGACGTCGAGCAGGAGCTTAAGCCAGGGGGAAATAGCGAGTGTGAGCTATAAAGAGGTTAGATGACAAACACGGGTGTCAAGAGTGCACGTACCTCGAGCTTCATCTTCAACCGCTCGACCTTGCCGCCTAGCATGTTCGTGACCGCGACGACGACGTGGGGGGCGGCGTCGACAACAATGTAGGTGGCGCAGCCGGCTGCCCAAGTAATCGCGAACCACAGACTCCACGCATGCACCTGGTTCGTTGCAGGGCTGTTCTTGAAGCGCAGTTGGAAGACGAGGAGGGGCGTGATGAGGATGCCGGCACCGAGCAGGGCGACGATGAATACGCGGAAGGGACGGGAAAGGCGCATGTAGGCGAGGTAGATCGCGCGACCACGTCGCGCACGTATGCGCCGCACCTGGCCATCGTTGCCGGTGGTGACAACGGTCTCCTTCTCCTCGTCCTCCTCTGACCAGTCGAACTCGTCGGACGAGTTGGTCGCGGTGTCGTCGCTGTCCGTGTCGGAGAGGGGAGCGGGCGAGCGCTCCTCGTAGTGGTTGTCGACGGCGCGGGCGCCGGAGGGGGTGTCTGGGGCGAAGTCGCGCTCCTTGACGGAGTACGCCATGATGGGCGGAGGAGAGGAGAGAGCGGGAGCGCAGCTGGGCGAATGGCCGCACCCGATCTCGAGCAGGCCAGTTTCCAAGCGCGGTTATGTAATGAAATAGTAGCTGATCATTCTTCCCGTTTTATTTTCCCTGACATCAGTGGAGCCCCAGTGATCACTATCCCAACATGGCCTTCCCATTGCCGCCGCCGCCCCCCCCCCCCGACCAACTCTCTCCATCGTCTTCCACAACGCTAGCGACGGCGACGGCGACCTTTCGCGCATTTTCCATGGCCTTCCCAGCCCGCTCGGACCTTTCTCTTGGCGGCGTGCGGAGGTCATCACGCGTGCCTGGCGACGCCCGACGGCTATTGAATGCACTTCCGGGAACTCAATCTATGGCTGTGACCCCGGCCTGCTATTGACCGTGTTCATAAAGACAGAGTTCAGCAACCCAGCTCGCACCGCGTTCCTTCATCCCCCTCTCATCTCGCTCACTCGACGCTGGGCCATACACCGAAGCTCGCCCGCATCCGCATCCGGTCCCACCTTCCGCTTGTCAAGCGCTCCACGCTGGCGGCCCCGAGGACGATCACAGGCTCGCGCGCCTTGCATGGGCAGCAAATTCGCCCTCGATGCACCCCCAAGAAGGCGACGTGGACGGTGCGCGTTGCGTACTAGAAGGCGTGGGATGGAGCTGGCTGTCAATGGACAACGCGCTGCGCAGCGGGCTCCTTTCGGGTGGGTGGGCTGACGCGCGGTGGCGCCTTTTTTGGTGTCCCCCTCACATCGTTGAAATCGCTGACAAGCACCCCTTCATCTGCTTCCGCCAGCTTTGTTCGGTATCTCGGCGCGATCGTTCTTTATGCTGACTTTTCCTAAGCTTGAGCTGCTCGTACTGCTTGGAATCATACTTCCAAGGTTTCCAATCTTCCCATCGTCGTCAATGCGCACCTTCAGGCGCCTCCAGAGTCTTTCGCTCACTCACCCTCAAGATACTAATCTCCGTCTCCCGGAAACCGGGGTACTGCGCTCTCCCACTAACATGTGCATCTTGCTCACGCCTCTCTCCCACCCCTCATGCCCGCAGCAAGCGTCCTATCTCTCCAAACCACATCGCTACCAACGACAGGCGTCTCACTTGGCGGACGTGGGTGCTTGCTTGTTGACTGAACCAAGCAAGCGGAATGTGGAGTTTCACGATATAGTTATCCCCTTTAGGAAGGCCTTATGTGCGCTCAATATATCCATCGGCGTCAATGGAAGTGGTTAGCGGCACCTTTCCGCCACAGGAGGCTCAAGGTCGACAGCTAGCACGTATGGCATAGCAACGAAAGTGTTACGGGGGTATATGGGTTGTAGCGCTATAGTCTACGGCATGAGGTCGTGATACAAGTACAACAGTGAGGGTCCTCCATAAATCCAAGGTCCTCTTCCACTATCTTCCATCACTAAATCGGTTGATAACCACAACACCAAATCACAGTCCAGCTGCTTGTTTGAGAAGTGCCAATAACTTGAACTGCGAGCAAGGTCAGCAGGAGGATAGGGTGAAAGCGAGGGGCCACGCACCTTCTCTTCCTCGTTGTCTGCAAAGGCAGACCACGACCCACGCTCGTCCTTGAACTCGATCGCGAATGAATACGGAATGGATTCCAGCTCCTCGTACCCCTCGTTCCATTCCTTCAAGCCGCGCAGCTTTCCACGGAGGTAGACCTGATCGAGGTACTGTGCGCGATCCTGCAAGCACCTCGTCAACCGCTTAGCCAGTCCCACCTTGGTCCTCACGCACCTTCTGACTGCGATACAAGAACAGCGTATCACCCATAACCTTGTAGAACCGCCGCCGCCACTCAAGCGGCCACTCCGGCGTCTGCACCGTCACCCAGCCCGTAATCAGGGCGTCCGACGCCGCCGCCTTCACCTTCGCCTCCGCCTGTTCGATCTTGCGCTTCCTCTCGACCTCGAGACTCTTCCGCGTCTGCTCCTCCCGCTTCTTCGCCTCCTCCGCCGCCCGCGCCTGGTCCGCGCGCCACTGCTCGAGGCGCCGGTGCTCCTCCTGCCGCCGTAGGCGGTCGAGTCGCTTGCGCTCTGCGATCTCGCGCGCCTTCCGTTCCTCCTCCTCCCGCGCCTGCTGCTCGCGCCGCCGGCGCTCGGACGTCGCGCGCTTGATCTCGAGCTCGAGCGAGGCCTTCCGGGCTGCCTCCTCCTCTTCCTCGCGCCGGCGCTCGGCTTCGCGTTCTGCTTTGAGGCGCCGCTGGCGCTCCTCTTCTTGCCGCATAGCTTCCTCTTCCTCGCGGTCGCGCTGGCGCTGCAGCTCGATGCGCCGGCGCGCGCGCTCGGCGGGGTCGGGGATGACAACGACGGAAGCCCATTTGTCAGGCAAGGGGACGACGTGATGCTGCACAGGCGGCGGCGAGGGTGCGCGGTGCGTCAGCGAGGACTTGCGCGGCGGGGGCACGAAGGCGCTGGGTATAGCCGTGGACTCGCGCGGCAGCTCAATCATGGTCGGCGTGCGCACGTCGCCACTGTGCCCAGCGTCCGCGAACAGCTCGTCGTCCGTCGTGAAGGACAGGCTGTTCGCGTCTCCATCCCTGTCCTCGGGCTTCGGCGGCAGGGACGGCGTTGGCGAGGGGCTCGTCATGTGCGCGTAGTACTGCTCCGCGACGGGCGGGCTGTAGTAGTTACTCGCGTGCACGGGGTAGTGGTCGAGCACTTCCGCGGTGCGGGGGCGACGGGGGGACGCGCCTTTGTCCTTGGGCGGCGTCGGCGGGGGGAGGTCCTCCGAGCGGCCGCGCGCGCGTCGTTTGGAGCGTCGTTTCCCGAGGAGGGAGGAGAACATGCTCCCCGCGCGCGAGCGTGAGGGCGGCGACGGCGACCGACCATACGGCGGCGACGGCGATCGCGACCGCGGCGAGGAGTACTGCGTGGAGAAGGATCGGCGCGGGGGCTCCATCTGGTCTGCTTCGTGATGCGGCGGGGGGCGGTAGTCCTTGATGGTGCTCTGATCGACGTCCGCGCTGAAGCCGCTGTCGGCGGGGAATGGCTCGGTCTGCCCGACCTCGATGACGAGCGGGTTGCGGGTGTCGGAGAGGGCTTGGGCGATAGCGGTGGCGGTGAGGACGGCGAGGCTGTCCACGGTGAGCGTTGTTTGGTGGGCCTGGTGCAGGGAAACAATGACGAAAAGTGGGACATGAGGAAGGCCTCGTGCGTACCTTGAGCAGCGCGCCGAGGCGGCGCGAGTGGACGTGTGTGCGTGCTGGAAGGGGGATGGTCAGTGGGAGGGATATATGGGGGTGATGATGGCGACGCACCTCGCAGGCCAGCAGACGTATGTGGGGGTATGTAGTCGATGAGGAGGCAGCTTGCTGGGTATCGTGAGTTGTCTTCGCGGTAGAAGGCAACGAGGGCTTGATCAGGGTCCTGCAGCATGCGCCGCTTGAGCTCAGGGAGACCACCTGGGCCGTATGCGAGCAGCGCGAGAACATCGCGAGGGTCCTGCTGGCGTTAGCCTGGGAATGTGACGCTGGCATTGAAAGGCGCGTACAGAGGGCTCCGTGTGACCAAGGAGCATCCTGAAGATCCCCTAGTTAGCAGGGGAAGCATGTTCGTCTGTTGAGATACATACCAATTCGCGTCTTCTCGCATGACCGCGTCGTACGCTGCCATGACGGCACCAGGGTCGGCCAACTTTACGGTCGCCATATTTACAGTTCAGTCCCAGATTGTGCAGCGCTCAATAGCAGATGCTTGGGCTGGGTATATGCAAGGAATGAGACCAGGGACAGATATACAGGAAGGGGGCTGATGAGGGTATAAACAAAGGGAAGAAACTGCGGGGATACTAGGAACAATGGTGACCTGGCAACCGCGATGAGAACAATAGCAACTGCCTAATCACATTTCCACGTGGCGGTATGCACTACGAGTGCAAGGCCCACTGCGTTCGCAAAAGACTACCAAATTATGCGAGAGTATTCGACGAGTAAGGCTGGTAGGGATATAGATGAAGGTGAGGAACAGATGCCATATCGAGGCGACCATGAATATAGACATTGTTTGCACATGTGTGCGCGAACAATGGACGACGGTGTGAAAGCCCTAGTTGGCGAGTATCGTACACGAGCCCCGACAGGCAGTGTATGAGTTACTGCCACAGCCAGACCTTCCTTATAGTCCTTGGTACTCTCGTTGAAAATTCTCTATGCTCGATGCCACATCTCGCTTTCCATGCCACAAATTATGCACTATACAAAATCTTGCGGTACAAACATCCTCAAGCGTCATATAGTCCAGGGTATTATCATTCTACACGAGAGCAGTCGTATACATACCATCCTTACGCTCACCACCTCATTCTTCCCCTAGCACGAGCGCCTGCTCCAGGTCGTCGTCGGGTGCGGCGAGCGAGACGGGCTTCGCAGCGCCATATATGATGCGCTGGACGACGATGACTGAGGAATGTTGAGCATGGCATTCAGAAGACCGCAAAGAGCGACGAGGGAGGGATGATGGATGGAGGCTTCGTCACTCACCACAATCGATCGACAGTTGGAAGATGGCGCAGACCTTAAACTGCAGAGGAGATCCCTGAACAAAGAAGTATACGGCCCTGGTGGAAGGTGAGATCAGCAAGTGCGGCTGACACAAGCGTGGGACTGCAATTATTTTTTCAGGAAGGCTCACTTGAACGTATCTCCACCAAACCAGCCCAACAGCGTCGACATGCGGAAACCATACAACGAGCGTTGCTTGTAGTTGCTGCATACAATTGTCAACGACATCGCGAAAGGAAGGCGAGAAACTCATTGAAAGCGGCGAATGAGCGTGTACTGACGTGATGAGCTGCGGTATTGGCAGCGTGCTCTCGAGGCCGAGGGCAACAAAGCCGAGCACGGACACGTAGGTTTCAAACCCAGAGAAGATGAGGAAGAGGATGGTCTGGACGAGGCTACGGGGGAGAGTCAGTTGACAGTTGACAAGCGTGCATAGGAAGGGTAAGGCGAAGGCAAGGGGACAGTAGTGTCAGTCCAGTATACGATACGCACATGAAGCCTGCCAAGAACTCAACGTATTGCGTGTATGTAGGCCATTGCCAGAAGTCGATGGGGCGCTTGGAGGCGTGTAGGGTCTCGGGACTGAGCGCCGGGCGGTACAAAATGCAGATGTAGAGCAGGGCAAGCTAAAGGGGGATTTCAGTCATATTGGCCGGAGGAATCCTACTGAGGAGTAGAGGGGCAGGGAACCGTGGATCAGGGAAGGGGAAGCGAGAACGCACCTGCGCCAGGATCATGAAGACGGACTGCAGCAGGAGCGCAAGTTCGAAAGGCGCGCTGTAGACATGGTTCAGAGGTAGCAAAGTGCACCAGATATGGTACGCACCCCAGCCAGAAGAAACAACGTGTTATGTTCGCAAGTAGCCTGTGCACCTTCATGAGCGGTGCATCCTAAATGCTAGCAGCTCATCCGCTGCTCACAATATCGCACACACATCCCGCGAGAAGCCAGTAGAGTCCCTGCACGGTCAGTCAGCGTCTGCGCATACGATCTTGCACACGCATCGTCGCTGCTGACTTCTTGCGGACGATGTACACTGCTTGGTCTGCGTAGACCTGGCGTGTCGTTAGCGACTGTGGCCCGGCATGATTATGCAGACTTGTACCCACCAAAGGCGGCCCGACGGCCATACCTATCGCCGCAGCGGTCGATAGCCACGCGGCTACCATTGTCGTTGTCGTGAGTGAGGGGAAGAGGTGAGGCGCGCTGTCTCCGGACGACGCGGGGCAGCGCCATGGCTCCGGTCCGATGTACCGGGGACGCGTACGGCGCACGCGCTCGCCGCCCGCAGCCTGGACGCGCTTTCGTCGCAAGCGCCCATGGTGGACGTGGACTGCAAATACCTATCCTCGTATCGTAAACGTCCTCGGCTGCCCTCATCAAGGCCCTGGAAGCAACGGAAGGTGCTGGATCAATTCATGTGGCAATGCCCTACCATAAGAGGCGGCGACTCCGCGGTGCGCGAGGGCGGAGCTCGAAGGCCATTCCTTATCTCGCTCTTCGACCCCTTCCTTCTCTTCTGCAGATCGTTGCGTGGGCAAATAACGGCAGCAGAAGTCTTCAAGAGCGTCTTGGATCCGACGCATTTCTTCCCCTCAACGTCGTAATTCGGACGATCTGATTCGTCGCCATGCTCGCCCTCGCCCGACGTTTGCCGCGCTCGGCGCGTATGCGACTGGCCCCAACAGCGAGACCTTTACCCCGCGCGTACTCTAGCTTGGTCTCGCTAAAGAACAAGCCCAGCGATGGCAGCGAGCGTCAGCTCCCCGAGCATGCCGTCATCTCCACGTTCGACCTCTTCAGCATTGGCGTCGGGCCGTCCAGCTCGCACACTGTCGGTCCTATGCGTGCGGGGAAAATCTTTGTGACGGACTTGAGGGAGATGGGCGTTCTGGACAGGGTGAAGACGGTGAAGGTTGTACTGTGAGTGATCGGGCTCTTGTAGTGGCAGTCCTTCCGGGCTGCGCTGAGCTCACGTATGATTCGACAGATATGGCTCGCTGGCCGCCACAGGAAAAGGGTAGGCACATTCATCTCTTCATCACTCACTGACATCCTGTATCATCCATCCGACACCAAATTCCCCAGTCCATCTGTGCCACGAATCTGACTCCACCTTCAGCCATCACACACCTCAGGCCATTCTTATGGGCCTCGAGGGCTCGGACCCAGAAACCATTGCCCCCATGACGATACCCTCGCGTTACGCGACGATTCTGGAGACGAAGCAGTTGCTCCTCGGTGGTTCGAATCGCATCACCTTCGACACGGACCGGGACATGCTGTGGCGTTTCGACCAGGTCCTTCCTACGCACCCAAACGGCATGCGCTTCACCGTGTTCGACGAGGGAGGCGACCTTCTGGCTGTGAACGAGTACTTCAGCGTTGGCGGCGGGTTCGTGGTGAATGACAAGACGAAGGGTGAGTGGGATTGGTAATGGCGTTTCACGGCAATCCAGCAGCACGTCTCCTGGGCAAGACGTAAAGAGAAAACTGATGATTGTCTTGATAGTCGACGAGAACTTGTTCTACAAGGCAATTAACAAGAAGGACGCCGCGGGCGCGCGGATACACCAACAACACCACTCCGTCTCCGATCCCGTCACCGACGCTGTACCACCACCATCCGCCACGGGGTCGCCACCGCCGCCGCCTCCTGTCACTGTGGAGGGGACTGATACCAAAGAGGAGGAACAGACGATACCCTACCCTTTCGACTCGGGCGCATCGCTACTGGCGTTGACAAGGAAGCATAACGTAGGTCGTCGGCCCGTCGCTTTTTTATCTTTGCATTCTGATCACTTTTACCAGATGACCATTGCCCAGATTGTGTACGACAATGAGAAGTCGTTTGGCTATACGGATGATGAGATCCATGAGAAGGTGGGCTGCTTGCGTGGCCTCGTGCCACCTTGCCGGTGCTGACCTTTTCCCTTGCGTCGTTTACAGATCCTCAACATCTGGAATGTCATGGACAACTGCATCCGCGCAGGCGTGTCCTCGTCGGAGCGTACGCTGCCTGGGAGATTGGGCTTGCGACGGCGAGCACCCTTGTTATACCGTCGACTGATGCGGGGTCTCTACCCTGGCATCGTCGGCCCCCACCATGACTTCGCCGCGATCGGTCCCGGCCAAACCCTCGACGCCATCGATGGGCCCGCCGCTCCTACGTCTTCCGGGCCCGACGACCCCTTCGCCGACCCCAGCGACCCTGCGCCCTCCTCCTCTGCCTTCTCTGCCTCCTCCTCCCACACCTCCCAAACCCCTTTCCCTCTCCTCCGCCGCCGCACCTCCGCCCCGCACCTCACCGGCTCCCCCACGCACCCCCTCCTCCCCATGCCGCCCCGCAAGACGGACATCCCTGCGGTCGACTTCCTCTCGTGCTACGCCATCGCGGTGAACGAGGAGAACGCGGCGGGCCGGAGGATCGTGACGAGCCCGACGAATGGGGCGGCGGGGGTGATTCCGGCGGTGCTGAAGTATATATTGGAGTTTGTGGCGGATGATAAGGAGAGGAGTGTGGGGACGTTTTTGTTGACGGCGGCGGTGAGTGAGACACGGTTATGCTCGTCAGATCGCTGCTGATGAGAGAGCTTTGCAGGCGATTGGGATGCTCTTCAAGCGCGGAAGTACAATCTCGGCCGCGGAGGGTGGGTGCCAGGCGGAGGTGGGAGTGGCCTGCTCGATGGCTAGTGCTGGATTCGCGGCTTGCATGGGAGGTATGTCACCTTTGTTCGAATGCTACGCGCTCGCCTCAGGCTGACGAACATGTTTTTCAGCATCTCCAGAAACCGTAATGCAGGCTGCGGAAATCGGGATTGAGCATAACCTCGGTCTGACCTGCGACCCCATCGACGGATTGGTGCAGGTGCCCTGTATTGTGAGTGACTGATGTCTACTCAACAAAGTACGGTACATGGTCCTGACGGCTCTCAGGAGCGCAACAGCCTTGGTGCCGTGAAAGCCGTCACCGCCGCGCAACTCTCGATGGCCAGCGACGGCGTATATAGTGTCACCCTCGACGAAGCGATCGAGGCAATGCGCCTGACGGCAGCGGACATGTCGGTGAAGTACAAGGAGACCTCGCTCAGTGGGCTCGCGCGGACGGTGAAGATTCCTCTGACGGTGCCCGCTTGGTGCGTTCCGTGTTATCCTTGAGTGGATGGTATCGCTAACGGTGTTACAGCTGAGCTGGAATGATGCAGGAGAAGCCACACACATTGCTTTGGTGACTGCCTACACCATGTCTTCCGTGAAATGGATCTTGAAAGAATGTATGGGTTGTAGACATAGAGACAGGGATAGTACACGATAGATGAGATGGACTTGCTGGTAATCCGCCCCTCTAGCATAGAACGCTGCTGTAATGCTTCTGCTTGGCACACGCACACTGCTTTGCCGATTCGACGAAGAGTAGGCCGCGTCGCCGCGAGGTCGCGCCGGCCTTTGCCGATCATCGAACAAATATTTGTCCCCCTAGCTCGGCGCTAATCAGCGTCATTTCCAATGCCTCTTACGCTCATCGTCAATTGACCCGCAGCCCACCCGACGGTCCCTGGCCGCAATCACGAAAGCGCGAGCCGCAATCAGCTGGCCAGGTGCAGATACGATGGCTGGATTTGAGATGGCTGCCGATCTCCGCTGCTCTTTTGACTGCCATCTTCGCTGCTGCCAGTGCTGCTTTAGTCGACCAGAGCCCATCTCGAACGAAACCTGACTGACCATGGCGGCGACTTTCACCATTCCAGAGACGATGAATGTGTTCAAGTACTATCCGGGGAGCAAGAATCTCGTGAAGGAGACGGTGCCGGTGCCAAAACCGGGACCTGGTGAAGGTGCGTTTGACGGATGTACAATGCGCGCCACAGTGGCTAATAATCGATTCTTTTCCCTGGCCAATACTCTGAACCCTTCCTCTCTTGACCTCCACGCTTCCATCCACCAAAATGCACGCATATATGCATCATCACCTCATCCTCAGTACTCATCAAGATTCTCGCTGCGGGAATGTGCCACTCCGACCTGCTATACTTCAAGTATGATAACCTGATGGCCTCGCACAAATCCTTTACCATGGGGCATGAGGTCAGTCTTCTATTGTCAATCCAGCCCCCTCCTCGCATTCTTGACCTTGATCCACATTCATCCTTTCCTCTACCCTCAACCCAAATTCCACCTCACTCACCAGATCCATCCAGGGCGCGGGCCTCGTCGCCTCCCTCGGCCCCGATGTCTCGACGTACTTCCCCGACCTTACACCTGGCCGCTACGTCGCCGCCCTCGCGCGAAACGCCTGCTTCGAGGCCACCTGCCCCCACTGCGGCGTCGGCGCGGACAACCTCTGTGTCGCGAACTTCCCGATTGGATTCGGCACGGACGGCTTCTACGCGCCGTACTGCGTGGTGAGGGCGAAGACGGTTGTCCCAGTTCCGGCTAGTCGGGACGAGCTGCCTCCTGAGATCGTGGCCGTCTCGACGGATGCAGTGCTGACGTCGTGGCACGCGCTGAAGGCGAATGCGAATATCCAGCCTGGGCAGACGGTGCTTATCATTGGCGCGGGCGGGCTGGGCCTCAATGGAGTGCAGATTGCGAAGGTTGGGCAAGACGTTTATGAATTCATTATGTGCTCAAAGGATCTCAGAATGTCCTGGGCGCGAAATGCGTGATAGCATGCGACGTGCGAGAATCCAGCTTGGAAGATGCCAAAGCCCTCGGCGCCGACTACACCGCCCTACCCGATGCGCTCCCCGCCCTCCTCACTGACAACCACCTCACCGTTGACGTGGCCTGCGATTTCGTGGGTCTTAACGATACATTCAACGCTGCCCTCAAAGCTGTCCGGCCGAAGGGAATTTTACAAGTCATCGGCCTCACTGCGCCTACAGTCGACTTGCCCCTCATCCCCGCGGCGGACAAGGACCTGACGATCCGATTCAGCATGTGGGGTAAGTTGAGCGAGCTGAGGGAAGTACTAGAGTACGTGAGGGAGGGGAAGATCACGCCGAAAGTGGAAACGCGGCCGTTGGGGAGCTTGGTTGAAACCTTTGAGGATTTTATGGCCGGGAAGATCAAGAGTCGGATGGTGCTGATACCTGAGCATGAGGGATGAGGGGACAGGCAGAGTCAGACTGCGCTTCGCGGGATGGAGATTACTCTGCTAATCTAGTAAGACTCATTTCACCTGTCCGAGGCTCACCACTAAGTGCGCCGCATTGACAGTGTGCCGACGTGTATTTATGACCGACGCCTGGGACGTCACCCCAGCTATCGTCCGAGATATGAAGCAACACGGCGTACTATGTCAGCTCAAGACAAGTCCGAAGACTTCGTGGGTATGGGTAGCCTTCTCTGGACAGAAGAAGGGCTGCACTGCCGCCCATGTCCGCTGCCTGATGCGCCAGGCGCCGCGTTGAATGAAGGTGGGCAGGTGTTCTTGATTATCGGGGTCATCAGGATCGGGCACGCCGCCTGTGCGCCAGGGTGCGCCCTGGGCTAGGGCCTGCGAAGTCGCCGGCGCCTGCGAATCGTCCTCTCGGGAGGGCGTGCCGCGTACAAGGATCGGGACGGGGAAGGCACCTGATCCCGATGCTCGCTGTATCTCGATAGGCGGAACAGCCGGGAGTGGTACCACGGTGACTGGATACCGGGTATGTGCTTCAGCTAAGGTCGAGTCAACGGTCGTCTGGGCATGCGACAGGCATCGATAGCCACAGGGGAGGGGTGCGATGGGCTGTTGGCGGGGCTGATGGTGTGAGCGCGGGGTACAGAGCGCGATGTGGGCTGCTGTTCCAGGTAGGCATGCTACCCATCAGTCGATCGTACCTTTGGGAAAGGAAGGTGCGCACTTACGCAATGGCCGAAGACCTCGTACTCGCCTTCGTATTTTCTTTTGTCCCATTTCCGCGCTAACAAAGGTTGCTCCAGGCAGAACGACATCACGGAAATCAAGGAAGGTCACCCTGGATGCTGTGCTCGCCCCCAGGGACAAGCGAGCAGCGAGCGAGGTGCGTGGGCGCTACACTCAAAAGTTGAACCTCGGGGCACTGCCACTGCACGTGAGTCGGATGCGGAGCGCGCGTTAGGCGCCTATGCTTTCAGTTTCGGACGTTTCGCATCGCCGACTAGGTGTCGCTACTCGGCAGCCCGTACAAGATGAGACCGCTTCTTGGCTCCCCCCACCATGTCCTCTTCCGCATCCCCTACGAACACGCGCGCCGACACGCACAGCGATGCCATGCCCAAGCGACGGAGGAAGGGCGCGGCACGGTATGTCATCGAGCTCCTTGACATCGGCGTATGCTGATTCACGCGAAGTCTGAGCTGCGCAGAGTGCAGGAGGTGCGTTGCGGCTGGTAGCGAATAAACGCAGTGGCTGACCATGTCTCCAGGTTGAAGCTGAGATGTGACCGAGCTGTCCCCTGTAGTTCATGCGTCAAGCGAGGGTGCAGTGCTATTTGCCCAGACGTATGACATTCATCGTTCCCCCCTTGTGTTGATAGCTGACTGAGGGTGTGTTATATAGGGTTCTCTTACAACTGGCCAAGGGAATCGGTGTGTTGTTTCACAGTGCAGCAATACCCTCGCTGATTCGACGATCTGTCTCGTTCAGGTTCGTCCTCGCATCGACGCAAGAATTGCATGAAAAGATCTCCGAGCTGGCAAACCGCGTCCGGTCTTTGGAAGATGCCTTGCGGGCGGACCATGCACAACTCACTTCGGAGCCGCACCCGTTGCTGAACGACGACTTGCTGAAGATCAAGGCGCCCTTACAGCGCGAAGTGCCAACCTTTCGAAGTCCACCCTCAAATCAGACCAAGGACGAAGAGGGCGGCCCCGAAGTCGTGGACGCTTTTGGCTCGCTATCCATAAGCTTGTCCGGGCGCACAAAATATTTCGGTCACTCGGCAAACTCCTGGGTGAGCGTGCTTCTCTTCCCCTTCCCATCACAGAGCTAGTCTGAACTGACGTATCGGCGCAGTACTTCCTCCAGGTATGCCCTTTACTTCCTCGGAGTTATCGTGCTTACCTATCGCATCGTAGAACGAGACCTCCGGCGATTGCGCCGACTCAGAGAACGATGACCCGTTGACCTTGCTCCAAGAGATCTTGCCGGCGCAGATATTGAATCGGGCTGCATCGTTCCCCATCGCCGAGATACCTCCTTCGATCGAGCTCCAGCCGATACAGCTACGTGATCTGCTATGGTACTTGCCAGCTGTAGAGCAAGCGTCACAGCTGCGCGCTATCTACTACCGACATGCTGCTTGGATGTGAGTGTCTTCCATTATCGACGTGTGCGTTCACTCATCTATGCACTAGGTACAACCCAGTGTCCTCAGACGCCATCGACGAAATCTTCCGCACGCTATACGACCCAAGTGTCGCCCATCTGACGACGCATGATCCCGTAGTCTCCCATGGCCTCTCTATCCTCTTCATGATCCTGGCCATCGGGTCGCTGATGGATACCTCTCACTCGCCATACAATCTAGAGGCGGAGAAGTACCATCAGCTAGCCCGTGCTGCGCTCTTCCAGCATGCATTCATCCGGGAACCGACGGTTAACGCCGTGCAGGCCTTGGTCAGTCCTGTGCCCGCTCGCGCCCTCTACCGCGGGATACTCACACTCCGCAGTTCCTGATGACCTTCTACCTCTTCCTATCTGACCGCCATGGCACAGACGCCGGAGCGCGATGGGCCATCATGGGGATAGCGACGAAGGTGGCGCAGAGCGTGCGTCCCATCCTCATCTTGTTGAATGCCCACTCTGACACGAGACCATAGATCGGTCTACGTAAGCTGGTCATCGGCCCGTAGGGTACTCGCCTGGTTGACCTTTATTTTCTTTAGACCGGGATAGCGCGCGGTTGAAATTGATAGATACGGCGGAGGTGCAGAGGCGCCGGGAGCTCTTCTGGGAGCTCTACACGTATGATTCGTGGCAGTGCCTAACTTTCGGGCGGCCACCATCATTCTCGCTAGCGCATGTGGACTGCAAGATGCCCTTCCCGGGTAGCACTGACGATGAGAATAGCTGTACGTGCCTTTTCTGTGAGCAACCCTATCCTTCTCACTGACGAGGTATCGTCCTTCAGATCATGCCTGGAAGCATGCTTTCACCTCCGAGTGCATGAACCTCCTGCACGACCAGGCCTTCAGCGCGAAGACGCCCAGCTACGCCACCGTCCTGCAGCTCGACCGCAAGATGCGCGCCTTCCCCGTTCCACCCGTTCTCCAGGTCGCCGGCTTCGGGAGCTCGGACCCGCGCGCAAATTCCTACCCGGAGACCGTCATGCTCATGCTGCAAAGGCACGTCGTGCTGGCGATTAGGGAAGCTAGTGCGTATTCCTTTTCATCGTACTCGGTTGGCGTGGTCCCTGCGCGGGAGTGCTAGGCCGCACGAAGGATGCCCTTGATGCTGATACACGTTTTAGACCTACTGTACTTGCATCGCTCGTTCTTCGCGAGGGCTATAAACGACCATCCGAAGGACCCGCTTGGCAGCCCGTATGGGACGTCGGTTATTGCTGCGTATAGGAGTGCTGGGTCGCTTGTGGCGTTGATGCGCAATCTGCATACGCAGCTGAAGGACCCGAGTGAGAGGATCTGGTTCTTGTGGTATGTTGGTTTCGTCTAGAGGCCTTGGAAGGAGGCTGAATTAGTTACACAGGACGCATATGTTTTCGTGCTCGATTGTCCTTGGCTCGATTGTGACGAGGTGCCCGTCGTTAAGCTTAGCGCCGTCTGCACTCGTTCAGCTGGACTCAGCTTGCGAATTGTTTGCGAAGGCCGCCCATGGATTCCGTGCGGCTAAGGTCCTGGTAAGCCAATCTGAAGAAGATATATCTTCTGCGTCGGAACTCATTGCGCGTAGGACATCATGCTCCGCCTCCAGCAGAAAGCACACACCAGCCTCGAGCAATGGCGCCGCGGTCTTGCCTTGCAGCGCGAACCTGGCGCTGCAGGAGAGGAAGACGAGCTCACCGTCCTCGGCGGTCAAACCCGCCTGGTCAAGAAGGAACCCATCTCGCCGACCATCATTGACCGCTCACCGCACTCGCACAACCCTGTCGTTCCGCTCCCGCTCTCGCCAGCCGCCGAGGCACGGTTGGGCCCTGGCGTCCTCGACTACCTGACCAGCTTCGGGCATCAGAATGGCGGAGGCCATCCACACGGGCAGCATCACCATCAGTCATTCAGCGAGGCGGTGGACATGTCACCGTTGTCCGCGCCTGGATACCCAAGCTTGATGCCGCCCTCTGCCTACGGAGGCGGCGAGGGCGCGTACGGCTCGATGCAGGACTCGAACGGCATGATGGGCAACGGGCACGGGATGCAGCACCAGCAGCAGAACGGCACATTCGGGCCCGGGTTCCCGCAGTACTTCCCAGTGTTCGACTACGGGTCGGGCGAGGCGGGCGGGTACGGCGCGAGCGATGGGTACGGGAAGATGGGCGATGGCTATGGCAAGGCGTACGGCGAGGGCCCGTTCGGCAACGGCGTGCCCATGATGGACCCGCATCCGATGCCGAATGGGAGGGCGCATGGGATGGCGGGGGTGGATGGGGGCCTGGGGATGGATGAGGGGATGGGCGTGGACGGCAGGCGGGGCTCGACGGGCTCGCCCGAGGCGATGACGTGGAACGACTTCGTGAATGTGGTGGCGATGAACTGAGGGTCGGGGCGGTGAAGTGAGAGTCGGGGTGGTGATGGCGAGGTGTGTGGGAGGATAGACTTGGGCGTGGTCGACTTGATGTCGTTCGCTGCGACACAGTTGCGCGCGCCACCTTATACGAAAACCTGAAATTCCTATGTATATCCTCAATGTATGTATATCTGTAGCCTGCTGGTCGTATGTTGTAGCCTTCCGTGTCTTGTACCTTACGCTTGTTATCCACTAATGATACGACTTCAGACTCGCATATCTAGTGGAGCATTCTCGGCCTATGGACAAGTGCGAGGGAGAACTTCACCTTGTCATCTCTTCTCCCTATCCCCATCACAAATACAAGGGGAAGACTCTAAGGTCTCCCAAAACGTCAACATAGTCATTACGCGTGCATACATACACATAAGTACCCTCCAGCTTCCAAATGAATGAAGATTAAGCGTAGACATCAATTGTTCCCGGTAACAAAAGTCAAGTGAAGGTCCTGGCGAAGACATTAGAGCAGGCGCCCGATGACAAACCAGAAACAGAAGCAGGATGATGTAGTGAAAGAAAAGGGGACGTGTTCAGACAATAGAGGAAGGGCGTAATGGCAGGAGAAAATCGGACAAATAGACCAAAACAAGACGAGCAAACACGTCAAGACAACACCTAATGTTTGGTCGTTTAGCATGCGTACACCGGGAGGGTTGCAAGACTTACAGCGAGGAGCACGATGGCGACGACGAAAGCAAGGATGAGCAGCAGACACGCCGCCCGTCGTCCTGCCTTCCTCTGGTACTCTGCCGCGGTAGTGAGCTCTTCTGCAGCTCCGCCGGTGTCAACGGCCACGGAAGAGATGTTTGACTCGATGTTGTCTGGAAAATCAGGTCAGTAGCGTGTAAGCTGATCATCCAGCTGGACCTCACGTAGCATCTGCCCTTGGTCCTGTACGAGGTGTCCGAGGTCATTGAAGATCTCCGCAAGCTCGTGAATGCCGCTCTCAATCTCGCGAATCTCCGCCTCCCGCTCCTGGATCAATGATTCCTGGTACGCAAGCTCATGTGGTGACAATTGTTGCTGCAATAACTGGGTCTGCTGTTGCTGTTGAGGCGTCTGAGTATGGTCGGCGTCTGGCCTGCAGGGCGTGTGAATGTCGGTAAGCAATGGCGTAGCAACGCGATAGAGGTGTGGCGACGCACGACTCGTCCTCGTCTAGTGCATGCTTGACGCCTTCCACGACGTTGCGCTGGCGCTCGGCGCTGACTTGCTGCGCGCGCTGGAAGCCGAGCATAGCCTGCTGCATATCGTGCGTGGTCTTCTGCAGTGGCGTCTTGCGGTGTGGCTGAGGGAGGGGGTGATCGGTAGGGGAAACATAGTCGTACGGGTAGCCGCGCACCAGATTCGTTTGCAAGGCCGTGAGCTTCTTGAGATCCTCCGATGCGCGCTTCACCATCGCGCGCGTCGATTCGGTCAGGTCGTGTCTGGCGTGCGCGTGAGCTTCGTGGGTTGGGAGGCCATACGTCCGGGTTCACTGACAATCTCTTCCGCAGCGTCGCAGAGTCCTTCGGCGTCCCCAAGCAGTCAACAAGCTTGTAGATCCCCTGCACGTTTGCGTTCATCTTGAACACCTGAAGGGACAGGGACGATTGAAGGTCGAGGAACGCGGAGTCCTCGCTGGACTGCGGCGCGCTGGCATTCGTGAGCCGTTGTGGGGAGTCCCCCGTTTCTATGTCGGCAAAGCTCATGGTGATTGAGAGAGGAGGGCGCAGCCGAGGCGCGCAGGAGGATGATGAGGGGAAGGAACAAGGTGGAATTTGCCTAAGCGGGGCGCGCGGGCCGGCGGCTTCATGCTGACGTCACAAGCACTCATCAATCGAACCGCTGGCTTGCGCGTGGCAAGTGTCAATTTGAGGCAACTTCAGGCAGTCCAGCTCACAGGCAAAGACTAAGATGTTACAGAAATTCTCCATTTGTTCCATATTTACGTTGTATAAGTACAGGCCACATTCACATATTCATCGAGCGGTACATTTAGGCGAAGACTGCATTTAGGCGATCCGCGCCACCCAGAACCAGAAAGCGAGCTCACGCGACCGAGATCTGCTGCGCCTGCTGGTTCTTGATAACGGTCTCGAGCTCCTTGTCGTAGATCTTCTCCTGCCAGCCAGGGAGGATCGTCGCAGTGTAGTGCTTCGGGTCGTTCTTGCGCGAGCGCTGCCAGGCCTGCTTGCTGAAGGTCCATTCTGCGAGAGGAAGTGAGCGAGGGATGCAGAAGACGAAGAAAAGGGCACGTACGCTCCATGGTAGGGACAGGGTTGCCGGACTTCTCGAAGTCGTTCTGCAGGTAGCCCTCGCGCTGGAGGACGGGCGACTCGGTGATGGTCTTGAGGACGACGTCGTTGTGCGGGCTAAGCGCGTTGTCAGATTAGCTTAAATCCACTGGCAAAAGAAGTACGTACCGCGAGAAGTACAACAAGCCGAGACGGTCGACGTGCTGCTGGTCCTTCGGCGGCACCGTCACGCGGTGGATCGTGCTCCGTACGTAGCCGCTCGTCAAGAAGTTGAGCGCATCGCACGAGTTGACGGTGATGGTCGCGTCCTGCGGCTTCACCCACTTCCACTCGTCCGTGAGCGGGTCCTTGATCTGCAGCGCGGCAACGGGCTGGCGGAAGAGGAGCGTGAAGGAGCCGAGGTCAGTGTGCCCGTACGACCAAGCCTTGATCTTCGCGTTCTCCTCTGGGGAGCGCTTGCTGTACTTCATGTAGCGGAAGTGGTCCTAGGGGAGGGTTAGGTGAGGGGGAGGGGAAGAGGTGGATGGAGTGAGCGCACCTCGGACTTGGGCTCGTACGAATGGATCTTGGTGAAGTAGTCCGCAGGGAGCTCGAGCGCGAGCGCGAGAAGCTCGTAGAGGGGGTCGAGGACCTTGTTGTGCAGAGACTACAAAGCATCAGCTTTGGATGTCCACCATTCAAGAAGGATGGTCACCTTAGCAAACTCCTCGACCTCGCCGAGCCGGTCCTGAATGACAGGGTGGTGGTTGTGCTTGAAGTCGGGGGTGAACTCTGGAAAGATGTGAGCTATGCGATTGGAGCGATTTTATGAACGACGTACTCGGGATGTTGTAGATCTCCGTCTTATCGCGGATGCCCGACTCCGGGTCGATGCTAACGATGCAGTCAATATCCTGGACTACATGACACAAGTTGAAGCTCAACTTACATCCGACGGCCCGCTGGCACGTAGCCGTTGAACTGACCCTGCTCTGTCGACTCGGTCAGCTTCACCTCCAAGGTGCACAGTCTATCTCCACTCACCAAGACCCTCAGGGGTGTACTGCTGCTTCACCTCCAGCGGCAGATCGTAGAACTGCTTGCCCAGAGCAAACTGGCGGTCGACCTTCTCCTGCGGGATGTCGAAGCCCTTAACGTAGAAGAAGCCCTTCTCGCGGATGGCCTTGATGAGCTGCTTCGCGAGCTCCTTCTTGCCCTCGGGCGTGTTGAAGGTGGTGAGGTCGATGGTGACGAGCTCGGCCCAGTCGAGGTTTTCCTGTGCAAAGGTTAGTAAAGGAAAGTGAAGTGGAGTAAGGAAGAGGTGTGAACGTGACGTAGGAGAAACATAGGGTATGAGAGGGAGAACATACCTTCGTCTCCTGGACGTGCTGGTAAGAACCGAGGGGAGGGACGACTGCGGCCATTGTGCTCGTGTATCTGTCTGAGGTTGCAGAAGATGCTGAAGAGCCCCGGACCGCAGAGCCCACATCTTATATACGCTCGCAGAGCTATTCGGAATAGCTGCATAGTCATGCTGCATTAACGGGGTCCCATTGTCGAAGTCAACTGACAGCGTGCGCTATCGCAGGCTCTCGATGGCACCATCGCACCTCACGATGGCATGAATTGGAGACGCGAGTCCCTATCAGCGCTTACTGAGACGCCGTCCACGCTCGGAGAGGCCAATGGGCGGGGCCGAGTGACGGAATGGGGTAGGGGCCTTCGATTCTGGGTCACTGGGGGACAATGGGACTTCTGCTTACGCGCGGTGGCGACAGCAGAGTCTGAAAGCCGGCAGAATCACATCAGCGAGAGTGGATCAGTCGGCCGACGCAGAGTATGCCGCAGGGTGTAGATAGGCAAGCTTGTCGGGCAGGCCGACATGCGCCATTGAGCGAGGCGAGAGTCGCCAAAAGGGAGGAGGATGAGGTCCTTGTCAAGTTGCTGATGCGCCGCCGAGTCGAATTGGAATCGCCCCGAGCATGGAGGGTCTCAGGCTATGACTGGGAGTCGGTAGGGGATCGGATGATTAGCGGAATTTGAGTAGGGTGTTCTGGCGAAGCAAGCTTGGTTCTCGCCGTCGCTGTGCCAGTCGACGAACTCGACCGATCCTTCGCGGAACTTGCCGGGAATTTGTGGCAAATCCAGGTGCCCACACGATCAAAGCTGAGTGCCACTGTCCAACCCTCCACCGCTTTGTCGATGATACAACTCGTAGCTCCCCTCCATCGCCACCCAACTACCAAGTGAACCTCCCTGATATGCGTGGGAGACCAACAACGTCACGCGCGTCCTTGTTCCCAATTTGGCTCAGGTTGAACTTGGTGGTCAACTTCTGCATCTATTATGGATGGCTGGCGCGTTACTCAGGCTACTCCTTCGCGGTCCCATGTTATCTCATGCGCGTGCGGTCGGGGAGTATGGAGGCACTCTTACTCTGGATAAGCACAAGAAACGGGATCCCGAGCGTGCAAACTCCATCACATCACGGCCACGCCATCCTCCAGCCTCTAGCGTCAGCCACAACGGCCTACTCAGTCCCTACTCGGACTCGCTACTTCCCTACTCCAAAGGTCACTAAGCACGATAGCTCTATCTGACTTGACCGTCGCCTGACTGCGCGCGGGGTCATGGCGAAGGTGCGCTTCGGGCTGACGCCATAGTGCATAGAAATGCACGCCTATGGGCACCCACCAGGCGTGCTTCGGCCTGCGAAGATAGCGTCGCCCCTGGGAGTACGCCTGCGGCTGGCTGGGTGACGACTGGCGCCAATCTTACCGATTCTGATTATAAGTGGTGTTGCGGCACCCACGCCTGCGCGCCGTCTCTTGCACGGCCCCATCGCGATGTCGTCCTCTGTGAGCAGTGTCAGCGAGCTGAAGGCGAAGCGCCCGTGGACGAGCTACGTCTGGTAAGTGTTTGACGGAGACGGGCTGGGTGTCGGTTGACGCTTGGCAGGGATACTTGGGACAAGCCGCCTGAGGAGCGGCGGTTCTTGTTCAAGCTCGACTGCTGTCTCTTGACATACGCAGCTCTGTCGTACTTCAGCAAATAAGTAGTGCTTTCCATCTACGAGAGCTACTTGGCTGATGAATCTCGTCATTCACGTACCTCGACCAGCAGAATATCACGGTGCGTATTTCCGCCATCTTTTCCCTCCACGATGCTGAGTTTATTTCCTAGAATGCCTACGTATCCGGGATGAAGGAAGAGTGAGTTCGCGAGCTTCAGACCGACAATTCCCGCTGATATACCCTCCCCACAGCCTAGGACTGTGAGTAGGTTGCCATTCAGTAGAGCACGCCTTCAATTCCTCCCAGGGAGGGCAATCAGCTCAACTACATCACCACGGCATGGACATGCGGTTACGTTATTGGGCAGATCCCTTCCAAGTGCGTTCGTTGTGAAACTCAACGATCCTTCCCTTGCTAAATGAACTCCCCAGCCTCCTGCTCACACGCATCCGCCCGTCGATCTGGGTGGGTCTCTCCATAGCCAGGCCATCTCGCGGCACTCAACAATCCCAGATCCCCGCCATGGAGCTCCTTTGGAGCGCCCTCACCATGATCCTGGCCTCGACGAAGAATTTCAGCAGCGTGCTAGCGATTCGCTTCTTCGTGGGTGCGTTCCGAGGTCTCGATGAGGTGTTGAACGTCACTAATGACTGCACAGGCCTCGCGGAATCGACCTTCTACCCTGCCATCCAATACGTGATCGGTAGTTGGTACAAGGGCGAAGAACTGGCCAAACGAGCTTGCATTTTCCACGTACGTCTCTTGCACTTTCTTGAATCGCTGGCCGTTGCTTACGGCCGCGCAGACCGCCAGTGCCATTGGCCCGATGTTCAGTGGTTTCTTGCAAACGGTGAGCTGGTTAGGCTGTCGCGCCAATTGAATGTATCTGACGGCTTTACAGGGTGCCTACAACGGCCTGAACGGCGCGCATGGGCTGCCCGGGTGGAAATGTGCGTTGCGCCCCTTAAAACCTTATGTCTCCTCCTCACCTTCACATCGCAGGGCTCTTCATCATCGACGGCATCATCACCGTGCCCATAGCCCTCCTCGGCTTTCTCATTATGCCTGGTTCGTCTCGCCTTCGTTGTGCTTATGAAGTACGATGAACTCACCTTGGCGTTGAGACCTCCCGCACACCATGAAGCCGAACATGTTCTACGACGAGGCGCAGCTGCGGATAGCGGTGGCGCGGATGGACCAGGTCGGGCGTAAGCCGCCGACGCACTTCACAAGGGAGAAGGTCATTGGGTTCTTCAAGACGTGGCATCTTTACGTGCTTGTTCCGCGTGCGTCTTTCAAGCTTTGTCTCTGCGAATATTTTTGACTGACGCCTTTCCGCGCAGTTTACATTCTGGTACGCTTGGGTTGCTTTCGGACGCGCACTCTGTCTTGTTGACCCCTCTTATGACAGTTCAACAACGGCAGCTACGCCTCGCAGTCGATGATCTTCTGGTTCAAGAGCTTCAACCAGGAGGAGCACGGCCGGTCCTTCACGATTGGCCAGATCAACACGTATCCCCTAGGACAGAATGTCATGCAGGTCATTACGAGTGCGTACCGGTCCCACTTTTCCTCTTTTACTTGCTCCAGGTTCGACTCATGGCTGACCTGTTTGGCAGCCCTCGTCTGGGCCTGGTGGTCCGACGCGGTCGAGCTGCGGTGGCCGCCGATGCTGTTGGCTGGAGTGCGTATCGAAGGCGCATTCGAGATATTTCTTACTTATGCCGCACAATTGGTAGACGTGGAACATGTCCGTCGCGATCGCCCTCGCAGCGACGCCTGTGTATACGCACATCGGGCGGCGGTGGGCGTTGTACTATATGGTTCGCTCGCTGCTGTTTTGGTCCTCGAATGATTGACTGACCCATTTTCCTCTAGACGACCGTGACGGGTGGCCTGTCCGGCCTGATTCTGGCGTGGGCGAACGAGCTCACGGGCGGGGATAGCGAAAGTCAGTCGTCATCATCTTTTTTGCGTGGTATCTTGTCGTTTGCTAACGATGCGCGCAGAACGCTCCTTCGTCGTCGCGAACTGCAACGCCTTTGCCTACGTCTTCCAGGCGTGGTTGCCTATGTGCGTTGTTTGTTTTGCCGTCGCACCCTTGTGGTCCGCGATGCGGCTATGAGGAGTGATCGCTGACCCTCGCCCCAGCCTCCTCATCCCCCAGGTCGAGCAGCCGAGGGTGCTGAAGGGTAACATTGGCACCGCGTGTATCAACTTTGGGATGAGTGAGTCTTGTTCTCCGACCTTTCCTTCCACCTACACATCCACCTTCACCTTGTCTTGATCGCCTTCACGACCCTGCGCATTCACCTTCACCCTCACCCTTACCACCCAAAATATCGCACTCCCTAACCGAGCAGAACGACACACTAACCCCTCCCCCAGTGTCCTTCGCCATGCTCACCCTCTACCTCTCGCGCCGCGACGAGAAGCGGGCGGCCGCGAAGGAGAAGGTGGGGCTGGAAGAGGGCCCTGTGAATGCGGTGGAGGAAGATCTTTCGAGGAAGAATTCGATAGACAAGGTGCTGCCAGCGGCGTTGCCGGTATTGTAAGGTGGCATGGGTGTTGTAGGCGTGGCCACTCACTCACTACCAAGTGTTGAGATTGAAGCGGAAGGAATAAGGTACTATGTTCTGTTCTGTAACACTTCATGTTTGTTGTATGACTTTGATGAGATGGTAGACGCAAGGATGTATGAAGAGAATGCGACGAATGATGTACGCAGAGGATCCGATTACCATTGCTGAGCTTTGCCTCAGACTCATCAGCGCACTTTATTATCCTTCATCGACGAATGCCATCCAGCCAGTGCATTCCACGCCAAACATTACATTTCTCCTTGCATGATCCTCGTCAGCAACGTCAAGTACCACCCAGTCAGGCCCCAGATCTCCAACTTCGTCCCCGGATCCCCACTCGGTCCAATCTCCGAGTCGTCCTCGTCTGACTGCAGAGGCGAGTTCCGCGTCTGTATAATATATCGCCCAGGCATAGCCAGATCGGAGACCTCTATGGCATTGTAGGGGCGATGGCCGCGGAAGAACGAAGGCCGGATGCGGGAGGGGATCTCGGCGAGGGGGAGGTGGAAGACGTCGGCGACTTCGGTGGGGGCCTTCTGCAACCTGATGGCTTCGAGGTCGACGGAGGGGAGAGGGGTGTCGGGGGAAGGTTGTTGGGGACGTGTGGGGGATTGGTGAATGAAGCCCTGTGGGGAACGGTGTAAGTGGATGAGGAAGAAAGAAGAGGAGGGGACGTGATTGGGAAGAGGGGAAGGGAGAGGGAGAGGGACTAACGACGTATGGCCAGACGCGCATGTCACCTCGAACTGTGCGCTCGATGGGGCCGAATTCGCCGAGGACTTCGACGCGTTCGGGGATGATGCCCAGTTCCTCGTGGGTTTCCCTGAGAGCTGCGTCCAGGATGGACGCGTCCGTCTGAGTTCAGCGTGTCAGATCGCGGCGAAATGACGGTATAGAGTATAGTGAAAATACATACATCGTCTACACGTCCGCCAGGGAAACTGCGTAGCAGATGAATTATACCGCGATGGAATTAGAGAGGTAAATACCTGACTTCGCCTGAGTGAGTGCGCAGAGCCTTCCCCCGAACCTCGAAGAGGATCCCCGGCACATCGTTGACATTACAGAGTGGCACGAGTACCCCAGCTCTTGCCCGTACAGGTTCTGCATCGGCCTGCACGCAGACAACAGGAGCGCGAGCCTTCAGCGTTTGGCTGATGGTGGAGAGGATCCGCGGTGTGAATGGCTGCCGGAGAGACAGAAACTGGCTTCCAGCGAGTAAGGGACCAGTCATGGCTCCATGTAGATGATGTATGGGTCCTTCTGCCAAGCAAGCTAGGTAAGGTCGACCGGTTACATGAAAGTCGGGTCCAAGCTGGAGATGAGATGGGGAATAAGCGCCCGCACGTGCACGACGTCACAAACACGGCCACACGCGTTGATTACTCTTTCCCAGCTGCCATCGCGCGTCGACGCGTCTACCGCGACACTTGTCTTCGACCTCCATCATGACCAAGGAGAACATTCCTCTCACGCGCCCGAGGTAACAATTGCGCGTCTTCGCCATTATGCAGTGGTTGACAAAGTCTCCAGAACGGAGGACGACGACACGGAACGCGCGACGAAGAAGCGCAAGCTCGAGCCGTCGCAAAGTTATAATGCATCCCAGCCGACTGGGGCGTCCTTCGCTGAAGTACTGGAGAGGATTAAGGAGGAGTCCAACGACGGAGCTGGTGCGTGCATATCCAGCTTACAAGGGTGTCTTGTTGACGCGTCTATACAGGAGCCGAAGGTGGTGCAGATGCATGGGCACGACCCGCGTTAGCACCTATAAACCCCCAAACAGACTCAATTGGTAGCTACAACAGCACATTCATCTGAACTCGGGCTCACCTTCTACTCAGTCTTCCAGCAAATCGACGTGGAGCATGAGATCGACCGCAATGCCAATGGATGCACCAACCTTCGGATGTTCGGCGTGACAGACGTGCGTTGAATGGTTCTATCCTCCGGAATATTCCTGCTCATACTCTGCTCAGGCCGGTCACAGCGTGCTTGCCACTGTGACGGACTTCCTGCCCTATTTCTACGTCGCACAACCTCGCGGTTTCACGAACGACGACCTGAACTCCTTCAAGGGCTATCTTAACGTTAGCATCCTCCTCCCCTTGCTTCTGCATGTCCTCATCTCTTCTAGAACGTAACAGGCGGATGTGTCATCAAAATCGAAATCGTGAAGAAGAGGAGCTTATGGGGCTACATGGGAGATGCCGTCTCGCCCTTCCTCAAGCTCACTATCACTGAGCCAAGGTCCTTGCCTCGCGTCCGAGATAAGTGAAAAGTCATGTATCAATGTGCTTGTCCTGACGTCCCCATTACGCGTCTTCGAGCGAGGCGAGTGCGACTTCAATGGCCTCTTTCCCGTTGGCGACCCCATCAAGACCTACGAAAGCAACATCGTCTACCCCCTGCGCTTCATGATCGACACCAACGTCGTCGGCATGAACTGGCTCGAGCTCCCCGCCGGCAAGTACGACCTCATCCCTGACAAGCAGAAGAAGTCGCGCTGCCAAATCGAGGTCAACGTCCGCTACGACGCCTTCATCTCGCACCCGCCGGACGGCAAGTGGCAGCGCATCGCGCCCCTGCGCATCCTGAGCTTCGATATTGAGTGCGCGGGGCGGCAGGGCATCTTCCCCGAGGCCAAGGTCGACCCGGTGATCCAGATTGCGAACATGGTGACGCGGCAGGGCGAGGGGCAGCCGTTTGTGCGGAACGTGTTCACGCTAAATACGTGCGCGCATATCGTGGGGTCGCAGGTGCTGTCGTACAAGAATGAGCGGGAGATGCTGATGGCGTGGCGCGATTTCGTGGAGGAGGTCGATCCGGATGTGGTCATTGGGTACAACATCTCGAATTTCGACTTCCCGTACTTGATGGATCGTGCGGAGGCCCTTAAGCTCACTGAATTCCCTTTCCTTGGCCGGTTGAAGAGTAAGTTTCGACCTGCCACTCCTGATTACTCGTTTATGCGTTTGCAGACAAGCAGACGGTCGTGAAGGACACCCACTTTTCGTCGAAGGCGTACGGTCAGCGCGACTCCAAAGAGACCCCCCTCGATGGTCGCCTACAGCTCGATATCCTCCAGTTCATGCAGCGCGAGCACAAGCTGCGCAGCTACTCCCTCAACTCCGTCTGCGCCCACTTCCTCGGCGAGCAAAAGGAAGACGTGCACCATTCCATCATCACCGAGCTCCAGAACGGCACAGACGAGTCCCGCCGCCGCCTCGCCGTCTACTGCCTCAAGGACGCCTACCTCCCGCAGCGGCTGCTCGACAAGCTCATGTGCTTCGTGAACTACATCGAGATGGCGCGCGTGACGGGCGTGCCGTTCAACTACCTCCTCGCGCGCGGGCAGTCGATCAAGGTGCTGTCGCAGCTGTTCCGGAAGGCGAATAGCGACAACTATATTATTCCGGCGCTGAAGGGCGAGGGCTCCGACGAGCAGTACGAGGGCGCGACGGTGATTGAGCCGAAGAAGGGGTATTATGATGCGCCGATTGCGACGCTGGATTTCAGCTCGCTGTATCCGTCGATTATGATGGCGCATAATTTATGCTATACGACGTTGGTGGATAGGTCGACGATTGAGCGGTTGGGGCTAGTGAAGGACGTGGATTATATCCAGACGCCGAATAATGGTGCGTATTTGCCTGTCGCAGCGAGGGGACACTTATGCTTAATACGTTTACTCTCTAGACTTCTTCGTGAAGGCGACGAAGAGGAAGGGTCTGTTGCCCACCGTCCTTGAGGACCTGATTTCGGCGCGCAAGCGGGCGAAGGCGGACTTGAAGAAGGAGACGGATCCCTTCAAGCGCGCGGTGCTGGATGGTCGGCAGCTAGCGCTGAAGATCAGTGCCAACTCCGTGTACGGGTTCACGGGCGCGACGATCGGGAAGCTGCCCTGTCTTGCCATCTCGTCCAGTGTTACCTCGTACGGCCGGCAGATGATCGAGAAGACGAAGCAGGTCAGTCGTCGTCCTCGCTAGCGAGTAGCCTGTGCTGAAACTCGGACACAGGAAGTCGAGTCCCAGTACTGCATCGCGAACGGCTTCAAGCACGACGCTGAGGTCATCTACGGCGACACGGACTCCGTGATGGTCAAGTTCGGGCCTGCGGACCTCGCGACGGTGATGGAGATGGGCGCGGAGGCGGCGGACTTTGTGACGGGCAAGTTCGTGAAGCCGATCAAGCTGGAGTTCGAGAAGGTGTATTTCCCGTATTTGCTGATTAGCAAGAAGCGGTATGCGGGGCTGTACTGGACAAAGACGGAGAAGTATGATAAGTTGGATTCGAAGGGGATTGAGGTGAGTGGGAAGCAGTGGTGTGAGGGGAGGAGATGTGGCGAATGGGAGCTGATGGTTGTTCCAGACTGTGCGACGAGATAATTGTCGGCTGGTGTCGACGGTTATCGAGACGTGCTTGCATAAGATGCTTATCGACCGGGATGTGAAGGGGGCGGAGGAGTAAGTTGACTATTCTGAGGCTTCAACTGCTTCTGATCTGCCTTCAGCTACGTTAAGCACACCATCTCCGAGCTGCTGCAGAACAAGGTCGACATGTCGCAGCTGGTGATCACGAAGGCGCTCGCGAAGGCGGACTACACCGGCAAGCAGGCGCACGTCGAACTGGCCGAGCGGATGAGGAAGCGCGACAAGCACTCGGCTCCCGCGCTGGGCGATCGTGTGGCGTATGTCATTATCAAGGGCATGAAGGGCGCTGCCGCGTACGAGAAGGCCGAGGACCCGCTGTACGTCCTGGAGAACAACGTGCCCATCGACACGCAGTATTACTTGGAGAACCAATTGTCGAAGCCTCTCATGCGTATTTTCGAGCCGATTTTGGGAAGCAGGGCGAATTCGCTACGTATGTCATAACACTCATAACTCTGGGCGTCATGTCTGACCCCTTCGTAGTGTCTGGAGACCATACGCGCACTATCCAGATCGCAACACCGACAGTTGGCGGCTTGATGAAGTTCGCGGTCAAGACCGTTACGTGCTTGGGATGCAAGACGCCGCTGCGTGCAGGGGTCAACAGTCAAGCTGGTGGCGCCGTGTGCAACAACTGCAGGGGGCGGATGCCCGAGCTGTACCAGAAGCAGGTCATGACGGCGTCGGAGCTGCAGACACGGTTCGCGCGGTTGTGGACACAGTGCCAGCGGTGCCAGGGCTCGTTGCATCAGGTGAGGGTGGCCGTGTTCGCTGGAGGTTGAGTCTCTGCTTACACGCGTTTGAAAGGATGTCCTATGTTCCGCAAAGGACTGCCCTATCTTCTATATGCGCAAGAAGGCACAGAAGGACGTGGAGGATGCGAATTCGACACTGGAGCGGTTCGATAATGATTTGTGGTAACGGAGTATCTTCTAGACTTGTTTCGTATCTGTAGAGCTTTTGCATACCCTGTTCTGGTCTGAGCTATTGACACTAGCCTTATTACTTCGCGTACGGTTGTCTTGTGTGGTCTGATCACATGATCGCGCTTGTTCAAGCCACGAGTCTATGGCGAAAATCAGAGTGGGTTGCCTCTTCTCACTTGACCTTCCCCCGCTTGTGAGAAGAGGCTGATTGGTGAGACTATGGGTTGCCTTCTATTCTGATCCCTCTTGCTTGGTCCTCGCTCTGTAATCCTGTCACAGCCATCTTCATGTCCTCTCGTCCTCTTCGTAGTCATGGGAACACTGCACAGATCAAGCGATATCTGCACCAGCCTTCGAGCTTCTCATATCTTCGTTTGGATCCTTACGCCTTGGAAGCGGACCACTGGGAGCTGCAGTCGTCTCAAGTGCTCGGCGCGATAGCCGATCTCGAATATCTGAACTATGTTCTGGAGGGTAGAATGAAGGAATATAGAAGCATCGATGGTGATATCCAGGAGTGCATCACCAGTTTATGGCCGACTCTTTTGCTCTGGTTGGACTTCCTGCATCCAGTACACCATGCCCAGGATCGCAAGGAGAGGGTGCCTCTGGAGACACTCTGTCGCACGATATTCTATTTCTTCAGCACGCCTGACCTCGTCACTTATCTGCGATCAACCACACCGTGCCTTCACAACATGCTCCTCCTTCTCTGGCTTCGATTTGACGAGTACCGGAATGTGAACTGCGACGCATACCAGTGTATAAACGGCCTCGCCAGCTCGGTCCGTATGTCGATGTGGATCAAGGACAAGCGCTTCGCGGAGGATATCAACAGTCCAGAGGCGATGTCCAACTACGCGAACGCCGTCGTGCAGAACCTGCACCCGCACTTCCTGCCCGCTGCGCTTGGCGCGGTCAAGAACCGCCCGAGGCGCCTTCTGCACCAGATGCTCAAGCAGACGCGCCTCCTCATCGACCTGACGTTGGCGAGGAAGCCCAGCTATCTCGACGACGTCAACAACCATTGTATCGCGGTCGCGGAATTTTCAAACGAGCTGCTCCCGCTGGACACGCAGGCGAAGGACGTCGTGGCAGGTTGGGTTGACCTCCTGCGCTCCATACGCGGAATACCCAATCTGAGAGCCATCGCGATCACCGTCTGCTCTGTGCTACATGGCATGTGGCGGTCCAGTGTCGACGGGCGCCCTCTCGCGTGGTCCATTCGGCGAGACGTCATGCAGTCCATATTGGGGCTCGATGCGCAAGCGCACAATGGCCAGTTGACAGGAAGTATGCGCCTCCTTACGACTCACGGGGATCATGTTTGCGTCGTGCGCGCACTGGCAAAGAAGGAGGTGTCGTTCGTGGGTACGGGGCTGGGCGAGTCGGTCGAAGAACAGGAGCGAATCGACCAGTGGCTGCGTAAGCGGGCGGCACTCATTCGACGCCTATACAAAGTTCGTTGCTCTCGTGGCGCTGAGGTAGGTTGGGCTTGAGCTCCTGCTATGCCCAGAGACTGAAGAGGATCCAAATTTCGACAGTGTCCGAATCCTGGTCGGCTGTGCCCCTACCGCTGCGTGTGCTTTGACGCATTCTACTGCGGTGAAGAGTGCCAGCAAAAAGACTGGCCCTCCCATCAACCTCACTGTCTCAAGGGGAAGGAGCGTCACTGCTACAGGCTTGAACGAGGTATGTTTGGAGAGCACCACACATTCGCCTAGCTAGTCTAACTAACGGCTGCCTTCCTAAGGGACAATCACATCCCGCGACGAGCGTTATGTCGTCGCCTTCTCCAACGAATTCATACGTGACCACGCACAGACTATTGTAGTCGCCATACTGGGCGCCTACAAGCGCGTTCCATCGGTAGGCCCCGCGGTCGAGCTCGTCATCAACGTTAAGGACGTTGTCCCAAAGGCCATCGTCAACGCGCGGCGAGGCGAGCTGGCGGCAGAGAATGAGGACATCATTCCCGTCTTTGCATCAATCAGCTCAAGCGGGAGCTCTGCGCGCATGGAGCTGACGCGCACGACGCTCGCGGAGCTGCAGGAGAAAGCACGACCGCGTCTTGATGAAGGGTACAGTGCTGGTGGGATCGAATACCTCATCCATAAGCCCGTCACGGTATTCAGGAAATTCTGATTGACTGGTTTGCTCCTGATACCTGCGGGCAGGTTTCAGGCCATAGCATGCATTGATGCTCGACTTCAATTTGAAGACTGTCTATCGACCTGCTATGCCTTTCAGTCGCGCCTCTGCTGCCCTAGCCCTTCGTTCGCGCTCGACCTTGGCGCGCATCTCCGGCGTTAACCCAGCTACTCCCTCAACCGCACCCGCCGTTCCACCCAGCTTCCGTGGTCCCGCCTTCGGCTCAGCACGCACAGGCTCCACCACCCGATCAGGCTCAGGCTCAGGCTCCGGCGTCCCGCCCCTCTCCTTCTCCCGCGCCTCCCGCTCCTTGATCTTCTCCTTCAGCCCCTTCCGCCGCATCTTCTTCTTCTCCTCCCGCGCGTCCTCCGCGTCCCGCGTCAGCGCGCTCGGCACGTGCCCCGCGCCCAGCCAGTCCCACCGCTCGGGCATGTCCCCCGCCGCGCGGCGGAAGACGTCGCGCACCTCGCGCGTGCGCGCGAGGTCGTATGCCGTGCGGTTGTCGGCGTCGGGGACGGTGGGGTCCGCGCCCGCGCCCTCGAGCAGCCAGCGCACGACGTCGACCTGGCCCTCGCGCGTGGCGAGCTGCAGCAGCGTGCGCGCGGTGCGCGACTCGGGGGCCCAGGCGGGGATGGGTGCGTCGGGGCCACCGAGGGCGACGCCCTCGCGAGCGAAGAAGGATTGCAGCGGCTCGAGGCGCCCGCGGGTGACCATGTCGAGGAGGCGGGCCCACTTGTCGCGGAGGGCCTCCTCTTCGGAGGAGAGCTTCGGCGCTTTGGGTTTCTCGGCGGGTGGTGGGGCGATGGGTGCTTGTGCGACTGGCCGGGGCTTAGGGCGGGCTGCTTCGTCTTGCGCCTGGAGCTCTTCTTCGGTGAAGTGGGAGATCTTGACGCGAACGAGCTCCTGAAGGCAGCGGGCAATCTCTGCCTGTGTGGGGCGGCGAGTTGGAAAGGGGAAGGTGCGGAGGCGAGCATCTCCCTTGTCGATAAGTGCGCCCTCATAGTCGAGGAAGATCTTGCGATTGGACGTAGAGGCGCGGATCCAGATGCGCTCGCAGGCAGCGATGTCTTCTGCCCACTCGTCGATGAGACCACGGATATCGTCGCGTAGAGCCTGCTCGCCGTATCGACGTAGCATCGCACCGGCACTGACTGCTTTCGACTTGGCATTGTCATTCAGGCTTTGCGAGCCACCCTGCTTCCTGCGTGCTGCGAAGGTGAAGGATATTCATTAGCGAAGTGCTATGGAAGTACAGGAGGACCACTAACTAGTGTAACGGTGGAACGTCTTATGCCTGAGCACCTCCGTGTCCGGCTTTGGCTGCTTGAGCTTCTTTTTCTTCCTTGCGGTAGCGTCTTCCGCTTCCTCGTCCTCCGGCGGGGAGCTGACGCGCACGATGGCGGCGGCGAAGTGACCCCCTGCGACCATGAACATGGCCCATCGGCGGCCTTCTGATGGGGAGACTTGAAGTTCCTTTAGTTCATCTAGTTGTGCGGAGGGGGTGTCGTCCTTGGCGGCGAATATTGCTCGGTAGACGCCTATTTGCGTGGATGGAGGGGAATGGAACCAAGTGATAGCCTGGCGCGGGGCAGTGGGGGTATCGTCTGACGGAGATTCGGGTCTCGTATGAAGGCGTTTCGTCCTGTTCACGAGAGTGTTGACCGCGTCTGATTCAGAGCCTTCACCGTCCGATGAGGATTCAGACCCAGATAGCGAGTCTTCCAAGCCTACGTGTGGGTTAGTATGTGGAAGCGATGCTATGGAGCGAGAACGCACGATCGAGCATAGACGCAAATTCTGCCTCAGAGACAGCCTTGCTTCCGTTTAGACGCGCTTTTACGTTGTATCGATGCCAATCGGATCGAAAGTGCGCTCGCTGATCGTCGACGTTGGCGAAGGATGCTGCAAGACATATGTTGCATGCTCGGGAGGAGTTATCGGTGACTGTGGGAGGGGGAGTAGGCGGGGGAGTCGGTTCTTGCACTGAAGGTTGATTGATCAGAGTTCGCGGCGTGAGGCTAGCGAGCAGCTCAGCAGGAAGCGAGAACAAGTGGTACTGTTGTCGGGGCTGGTAGACCATCGCTCAAGACGGGTAGGGCGATGGTGGGTGTTGGGAGCAAGGAGTACCGCGAGCGAATATATGAGTCGCGCTTGATTCTGTCTGACGTAGGCGAGAGTCAGGAGCAGTCAGGCGCTTATAAATTTCCATATTCGGAGAACAATGGCGCGTGCAGCACGTGCTCGCCGCCTTTTCCGTCCGGCAATCATCCATGTCTTTCCGCGACAACACCGTCGTTGTCCTCGAGACCGGCCGCGACGTAATCTATGCAGGCCAAGGACTGCACGAACTCCTCAGGACCCCCGCGGTCTATCTCAACGCTCGGGTTGGACTGCGAACTCAGAATGCGCAGAGCAGTTCCCCTGCCGTGAGCGATTACCTGGTCGGCAAAGAGCTAGAGGAGGCCCTCTCGAACGGTCAGGACAACATCCAGGTCTCGTATCCATTTGCAGATGGAGACATCGGTGACTGGACGCAAGCAGAGGCAATATGGTACGTGTTTGACGCGTCGACCGAACAGGTACTAACGCGTCGATCAGGAAACACGTACTCTTCAAGCAGCTCGGCTTGCGCCGGCTTCAAATGGAATCTCCTGTCATCCTTTCAATCTTCCCCGGCCTCTCGCGCGACGCCTACGAACGCATATGCAAGCTCTTCTTTGAGCGCTTCAACGTCGCTGGCTTTACCATCATCGAGCGCCCTGTCTCCCAGCTATATGCCGCAAATGCGGTCTCCGGCGTAGTTGTCGATATTGGAAACCATGCGACAGACGTTACGCCGATTTACGACGCCGTCCCCATTTACGCAGGACGCCTGACCACCAGCATCGGCCTACGTGACTGCGAGCGCTACCTCGCGCACCTCCTACGCGCCAACCCATCCGTCATGGGTGCAATCTCGCCATCGGAAGCGCCACTACCCGAGGACGCCCTGGAGACCGCACTCCTCGAGCTCGTGCATATGCTCTGGGAGCAGGACCATATCCGCCCGCCCTCACACGGTGAGCAGGCCGCGACACAGGAGGACGAAGGCATCACCGACATCGGCGCCATCGTCGCCGCCGGCAAAGAAAAGGCCATCATTGAGAACGGCATGCGCAAGAAGGCGACCGCGAAGCAGACCCAGGCCGAGCAGGCGCGCCAGCGCGAGATCGAGGCGCTCGACCTCATCACGGTGAAGTTCCGGGAAAAGGAGATTACGCTTGGCAAGGAGCGGCACCGGTTCTGCGAGCCGCTTTTCGATGTGGAGCTGGTGGACCGGATACGAAAGGTGGAGGCGGAGGAACCGAAGCAGCCACACATATCGCTGCAGGAGGCGGTGAACCATGCAATCTCGTTGGGTGTGATTGACCAGAGGCAGTATTTGTGGCGCGGGCTGTTTGTCACGGGCGACATAACGCGGCATGTGTCAGGCATAGGTGCTGGGCTGCGCTCGAGATGTCAGCCCTTCATTGTGAAGGAGGATGTTGCCACGGACGTGCAGCCTCGCACAATCCATACCCTCCACATTCCGGAGTACTACCCAGAATACAGAGATAGCGGCGATTGCTATGCTGCGTATCTGGGCTCGAGTATCACTGCAAAGGTGTGTACATCGACTTACCCGCGCTTCTTTGTGGCTTATTCGCGTTCACAGATTATCTTCCACGACCCTCACGCGAAAAACTTCGTCTCCAAAAGCGACTATGCGACGTATGGGCCGCGCGTCATCCTCGAGTCCTCTACAGCTCTCTTGTGATTTATCGTTATTCGCGAAATTTGCTATCTGGTACACGTCCGCATTCTGCTAGGCTCAGTCTCCCCCTGGGCATCTGTGGCACTCGCGCCCGATTTGACGCTTACTCCGTGACGTGCTCCACGCCAGGAGGGAATTTGTAACCTCCTTGCTTGCGGACCTGTATTGTGAGGCGCGCTGTTAGCCTTCCTTTCAATGTACCTATCTCCCGCTTTCTCCGCCCTACCACAAACCACTCCACTCACCTCATCAAAGATCTCCATCTCCAAAAGGCTCTTGTCATGCCCCCACAGCGCGCTCTCCGTCTTCCCATCCCGCACGCACCGCGCGACCTCGTCCGCCTGGAAGTGCCACCCGCCGCCAACGTACTCTGCTTGCTTTTCTTCCTTCTTCTCCACCAAGCCCTTCGCATCCAGATACTCCACGCTAAAGGCCTTCGGGCAGTAAATCGGCGCGCTCACGCGGATCGTGCCGCGCTGGAAGCGCACGATGACGCCAGGGTCGATGGCGTTCAGTGTGGTGTTGCAGGTGAGGTGTGCTTGCGCGCGGAGGGTTTGGTTAGGGGAAGAAGTGGAGGAGGATGACTCGGTCGGGGCGAAGGTGAGAGTGAAGGCGGAGCTGGCGTCGACGCCGGTGCGCGGGGTCTTGAGCATGGAGCCGGAGATGGTGGCGGGCTTTGCGCCGGCGTTGGCGGGGTGCTCGTAGAGGAGCATGATGGCCTGGTAAATCCGTCAGTGAGTTTGTCGGATCGGCATGGAAATTGTAAGAAGCATATAGGCTTGGTATAGGCCCGATATTGGGGCAAAGTCCGGAATCGAGGTATTGTGCAGATGCAGAAGTCCGAAGCGGGCAAGCGAGGATTACTCACCCATACAAGGGGATAAGGGCCTCTGGTAGGGGAAAAGATCAGCGTGGTTCCTGCAGCGTCATAGTCCATGGGACCAGCGGCGACTTACAAATCCAGAAGCGCGCCGCCACCAAGCTGGGGATCCAGGATCCGGTGCGTCGTCGGGATATCTGTGTGGGGATCAGACTTTTCTCAGCGCGCGCGTTCCGCGCGTTCAGAGCGTGGGGACGCGACAACGTCTAATACGACGTTGATTCGCATCGCAGTACGCTTTTGAGTCTATCGCCTAACAGCGAGGGTAAATCAGTGGGCATGGAAAGCAAGTGCTCACTCTCGATGTCAAAGTCGCCCGACAGATCCGCATGCAGGGCAATCGGCAGCCCCAGCTCGCCGCTATCGACGACCTTCTTGATCTCCTGCGCGAGCGGCTGGAAGCGCGTCCACATCGCCTCCATGAAAAAGACGTTGTTCTCCTTCGCGGCGGCGAGAAGGGACTTGAGCTCTGCGGTGTTCGAGGTGACGGGTTTTTCGCAGAGGACGTGCTTCTTGGCTTTGAGGGCAGCGAGGGCGGCCGGGTAGTGGTAGGTGTGTGGAGTACCTGTGGTGGGTTAGAATCTAGTGGAGACGTACGTCGGAAGGCTTGCCGATGTAAACGCCGTCGACGTTCTGTATGCGTCAAATAACGGTCAGCTCGTTTGTACATGGGGAAGAGAAAAGAGAGACGACGAGAGGGAAGACGGATAGTTGCGATTCTCACCGGGTCAGCAAAGACCTCGTCGTACGATCCGTACGCCTTGATACTCTTGTCACCGTTTATCTTTGCGTCGATGAACTCTTGTGCCTTGGGAACGCTGCGAGAGCCAACAGCGACGATCTTGTGTGATACATCGTCGACGGTGCGACTGATTCAAGGGTGAGCACAAGACTCGACAGTGTACATATACACACTCACGTCTTAGGGTCTACGAGCAGGTCCTGCGAGATTTCAGCATATATGATCGGTGAGGCATTCCTATGGTAGAACAGACGCAAGCGTACCTCAACGAACTTGGTTGCGATCTGATGTGAGAATCAGAGACCTTCGGGAGAGCACGGATATCGAGCTAGTGAGGCAACGATAAGCTCAGTGCTCGGTCTACGTAGTGAGAGAGCGACTATATTCACCTAGTGAGGCAACAATAAGCTGAGAGAGAGTAAGTAAACGGTAAATAAGGAGCGGCTTGGGCAGCTCACCTCAGTGCTCGGTCTACGTAGTGAGAGAGCGACTGAGGAGAGCGGCCGATCGGAAAGTGAAGATATACGGAGGCTTATGTAAGTATGTGGGACCGTATGGGTCCGTTTTGTGGGTCCGTGTATTGTACCCTATAAGGAAAGAAAAGCATACGTAACGGACTTGCGTCCGGATTGTCCATGGGTATATAGGTAAGTATAGTAAGTACTGACCTGCATCTCATCACTCCCCCTCAAGCCGGACCAAGTCCAAGCCCAGCAGCGAAGTGCTTAGCCTTCGCGCTTGGCAGCGCCTTCGTCAACGCATCGGCAACCATCTCCTCGGTAGGACAATACACGAGTACGATCTTGCCGTCATCAACCACATAGCGAATGAAGTGCAAGCGCACATCCATATGCTTCGTACGCCCGTGGTACTGATGGTCTCGGGTAAGCGCGATGGCCGCCTGGTTGTCCGAGTGCAGTGGCGTCGCGCCCTCGATGATCACGAAGACCGGCTCGAAGGTCTGCGCGATGAGCGAGCGAAGCCAGAGGCCTTCTTTCGAAGCCTCGGTCGCCGCCACGTACTCGGACTCAGCAGTCGAGAGCGACACAATCGTCTGCGAGCGCGAGCTCCAGCTGACTGCACCACCGTCGATCATGAACGCGTAGCCCGTGATGGCCTTGCGGTCGTCGTTCATGCTGCCGTCGGCGTCGACGAAACCCACAAACTCCTCGCTGGCGTGACCGTAGGTCAAGCGCCAGGCGCGCGTACCCTTCAGGTAGCACACAACGCGTTTGGCTGCGAGCCAATGGGCCTTTCCAGGCCGAGCGACGAACCGCGACAGCGAGTGCACCGCGTACGCGATGTCGGGACGAGTACCGATGGACGCGTACATCAACTTCCCGACGATCTCGCGGTACGGGATATCGCGCATCTTTCACGAGCTAAAGAAGCGCAGGACGCGCAAGACCTCAGTCTTCCTGCTAGTGGAATAGCGACTGATATTCATACCTAAAGAAGCGCAGGACGCGCAAGACTAAAGTACAGTCAGTAAATAGTATGAGTATAGTAAGTGAGAAACATACCCTCAGTCTTCCTGCTAGTGGAATAGCGACTGAGGGAAAAGAGATGTACAGTAAGGATAAATACGGACGCCCCTGGAGCGGCGTGGGAAAGTTCTTCCCGAATAGGAAGGCGGACCAAAAGCGTGGACGCGAGGCAAACCGTCCGCCCATGGGAGGAGGCAGACTCGCCCCTCTATACCCTACTTTTGACACTCCCACTCGAGTCTGGCCGTAAACCCATACCTTGGCAGAACTTGAGATGCTTCTCATGAGGTAGTGCCTTGGTAAAGATGTCCGCAACCATCTCGTCCGTGGGGTACCAGAGGACGACGCACTCGCCGGTGGCCACCAGCCCATCGCGGATGTAGTGGTACTTCCGCTGGATATGCTTGGTCCGAGCACGGAACTGAGCATCCTGGCTGAGGATGATGGCCGCACGGTTGTCGCACCTGAGCTCGGTGGCGCCGGCCTGCGGACGTCCCAACTCCTCGAAGAACGAGCGGAGCCACGCCAAGTGCTGGCCAGCATTAGCGAGACCAATATACTCCGACTCGGTAGAAGAGAGAGAGACCATGGACTGGCGCTTGCTGGACCAACCAATGGCACCCCGACTTGAGATGAACACGAAGCCGGAGGTGGACTTGGACGTGTCGTTGCATCCGCCCCAGTCTGCGTCAGTGTAGCCATGGAAGTCAAGGTCCATGCCAGCGTCGGCACCGTCATAGACTAGACACCAGTCGCGTGTCTTCTTGAGGTACCGGAGGACGCGCTTGGCCAGTTCCCAATGGCAAGCCTTGGGGGCGGCGCTATAGCGGCCAAGAACCCCCACCACATAGGCGGTATCCGGTCGGGTGCCCATCATCCCGTACATGAGCGAGCCCACTACGCTCTGGTAGGAGACGACGGGACCTCCGGGGACTAAGGCCATATGAGTGCGCACCTCATTGTCGTTCGGGTCATCGGCGGAGATGCGAGTGCTTGTGGACATGGGGGTGCTGACGCCCGTGCAGTCAGACATGCCATAGCGCTCAAGCACAGTGTCGATGTACTTCCTCTGAGAGAGGGAGATCGTGCGCTTGCCCGGGTGCCGGATGATCTCGATGCCCAGGAGGTACTTGGCGGGACCCAAGTCGCGCATCTTGAAGGAGGCGGTGAGCTTCTTCTTGATGCTGTCCATGAAAGGACGCGAGGTAGCGGCGAGGAGGAGGTCGTCGACATAGACGACTAGGAAGCAGACCTGCTTGCCGTCCCGGAAGACGTAGAGGCAAGTCTCCGAGTTGAGGCGCACAAACCCGAGCTTGTCGAGCTTGTTGTGGAGCGTCTGGTTCCACGCGCGACCGGCCTGCTTGAGGCCGTAGACCGACTTCTTGAGTCGCCAGCAGTAGCCTTCCCGGATGTCCACACCAGTCGGGGGAAGCATGTAGAGCGTTTGTAGCAGCTCACCATTGAGGTAGGCGGTGTTCACGTCCATCTGGTCAGTGTAGAGACCAAGGCGGACGGCGAGGGCAAGGATGATCCGGATGGACTCCAGGCTTGCAACGGGCGCAAAGGTGTCCTGGTAGTCAACTCCTTCCTGCTGAGTGAAGCCGCGCGCCACGATGCGCACCTTGTACCGCTCGATGTTCCCTTGAGCATCCTCTTTCAAAGAGAAGACATGCTTGGAGGTAATCGGCTTGACGCCCTCCGGGATGGGTACCTCCTCGTAGACGTCGTTCAGCTTGAAGCTGTTCAACTCCTCCGACTGCGCGTCCAACCACTTGTCGCGCTCTGGGCTCGCCATGGCCTGCTTCCAAGTGGTGGGAATCTTCCGCGCGCCGCTGCTCGACCGACCACCAGATGCTGCGCCCGCGAAGAGTTCGTCATTGAGAAAAGCAAAGTTCACTGACTCGCCCTCTTCGTCGGGTTGACCCGGGGGATCCCCACCCCCCTGGGTAGGCACTGGTGCAGGTTCTGGTTCGGGAGCTGGTGCCGGAGGTGGAGGAGGAGCTTCCGCCTGAGGTGGCTGCTCTCGACGTTGGCGATTTTCCTCGAGTTGCTGCTCGCGCGCGCGGATGTTCGCTTCGCGCTGCTTCCGCTGCTGAGCGGACACCTTCCGGTGGTTCTCCTGCCGCTCCCGGGCATTAATGTAGCCCTGGTCCTTGTGCTGGTTCGCTGTTCGCTCTTCTGGCTTGCGAAGGCCAGGGCGGCGTGATGGACCAGCGGCGGGGGCAGGAGCCGGCGGTGGTGTGGCCGGTGGCAGAGACCGGCGCGGTATGCGCGTCTTCGGTGGACGCGGAGGAGGCGGTGGCTCATCTGAGTCAGGTGAGGGCGGACGATTATCTCCCACTGGCTCTGGCGTGGGTGGGCGAGGTGCTCCCACTGACCCAGCTGCAGGTGGCTGGGCTGGCGCATCGTCGTCGTCATCGTCCTCGCTGTCACTGCCTGCATCTGGAGCAGGAGTGTCCTTGGGCGGCAGACGGAAGTACTTGCCAAAGTCCTCCCACTGCTCGGCAGACACATCGTCTTCGCCCGCGCGCATCTCGTCAGGAGAGGGGGAGGCGTCGTCAAACTTGACATGCCGGGAGATGATGACCTTCCGAGTGGCGATCTCGAGGAGCTTGTACGCCTTTGTGCCCTCAGACCAAGCGTAGCCTATGAGGATGCACCGGCGGGCGCGGTCGGCGAACTTGCCCTTCCGCTTCTTCTTTGGGATGAGCGGGTAGGCGGGGCAACCGAAAGGGTGCAGGGCGTGGATGTCAATTGGGCGCTTGACCTTGCGCATGCGGTTGATGGGCAGTTCTCCCTTCTGGCGGCTGGCGGGCGACAGGTTGATCATGTCGGTGGCGTACTCCATCGCGTACATCCAGTACTTCCGGGGAAGCTTGGCCGCGCAGAGGTTAGCGATCGCCCGGGTGACCAGCGTCTGGTTCATGCGCTCCGCTATGCCGTTCTGCTCAGGCGTGTAGGGCGCCGTCGTCTCGTGAATGATACCGCGTCGCCGGAACTCGGCCTCCATCTTGTTTGAGCAGAACTCGCCACCGCCGTCTGTGCGGGTGAACTCAACCCAGCCGGGGAGCCACTCCCACTGCTCGATAGAGTCGCGGTGCTGATGCTCCATGTCGATGCGCCACCGTCGAAGCTTCTTGTAGACCTCCGACTTCTTCTTCGTGAAGAGCGTGTAGACGCCTGAGGAGTAGTGGCAGACGATGACGATCCAGTAGAGGTAGCCGCCGATTGCAGCAGGGTCGACGGGGCCACCAACGTCGCAGGAGACGAACTGTAGCGGGCGCGAGGCGGGCGTGGTGCTCCGCTTGAAGGGGAGCTTCTTCATCTTGCCCATGACGCAGGGCTCACAGAAGGACGGGATGCCGGTGAGCGTGTCGACCTCCCCGAGCTGCCCATGTCGGACCATGTTGCGCAGGCTCTCGAAGTTCGTATGGCCCATGATCTGGTGCAGCCGGTTGATGTCGATGGCGGTGAAGGCGCGCTCATCTGTGCCGATGGGCTGGCAGTCGACGTGATAGAGACCGTGTTTGCGCGTCGCGACACAGGCGATATCGCCGGAGGAGTCGCGGATAGTACAGGCGTTGTCCTTAAAGGACACGCGCAGACCACGCTTGGTGATCTGGGGCACCGAGATGAGTGTCAACGCGAGGTCGGGGACATGCAGTGTCTTCCGAATAGTCAGCGCGCGCACACCGTCCGGTGTCTTAGAGGCGAAGCAGGCGGTGCCAATGCCTACTGCCTTGATGACGGACTCATTCCCGAGGTAGATGTTGCGCGGCGGGTCAAGGACACGGTAAGTGCTGTCGTCGAAGAGGCGCTCGTCGGGGGTCATGGTCTTTGACGCACCCGAGTCGACGATGTGCGAACCTTGGTGTCGCTGCGGTCGCTTAGGATCAGACTGGACATAGGCGGAAATCTTCTTGTAGGCACGGCGCGAGACGGTTACATGTGTGTCGTCTACATCCGAGTCCGAGTCCGAGTCCGAATCCGAGTCTGAGTCCTTCACCTTGTTCGCCTTCGCCTTCTCTGCCGCCCGCTCCTTCCGCTTCTTCAGCGCCTTCTCCTTCTGCCCAATGATCGTCTTGCACTCCTCGGTGGAGTGCCCCTCGCCGTGGATGACACAGGATGCCTTCGCCTTAGCCTTCTTCTTGCCCTTGTCCTTGGGCTTGCGCGGTGGGGGCGCGCGAGAAGAGGAGGCGGCGTACGCCTGCTCGTCGTCCGAGTCCTCCTTGCTGGTCACCTGTGCCATCAGCTTCGCCTCGACGTAGGAGAAGGTGAGGGGCGCGGCCTTGGAGCTGCCCGCGGAGATGCCGGATGAGACGATCTTCCACTTCTCTGAGCTGGGAAGGGAGGCGAGGAGGATGAGGGGGACGAGGTTGGCGTTGAGGGGGTAGCCAAGAGTGGCGAGCTGGGTGACCGACTGCCGGACGCGGTGGATGTGCGCGCTCATCGCCTCGCGGGAGACGTCTCCATCGTCGCCGTCGGCGAGCTTCGCACGGAAGATCTTGATCAGTTCGGTGACCGCCATCTCGCTGGTGTTGGTCTGCTCGAACTTCTCGACAAGCTTCTCCCAGAGTTCGCTCGCGTGCTGGTACTCGTGGAGCTCGAGGGCGATGTCGTTCGAGAGGTGCTCCCGGATGGTGGAGAGGGCGCGGGCGTTCCGCCAAGACCAGGTCTCCCTCCGCGCAACTTGGTGAGTGGTGGGGGAGGAGCCCGATCCTGTGGATGTGGTGGTGGTCGCCGCAGCGCCGGGTGACGTGGACGGGGGTGAGGACGTTGTCGGCGTCGGTGGAGTCACCGCAATCTCAGGGGGAGGGGATTTTTCCGATCCAGTCACCACGGAGGTGAGATCGTCCCTATTGAGGGCGTCGGTGACCCGGAGGCGCCAGAGCGGCCAGTCCGCCGCGTCGGTGAGCGTCGGGACCTTGCTGTCCTTGGGAGCCATGGCGCAGAGTGGGATAGAGTGAGTCGCAGATCAAAGTCTTGCTCGATTTAGGCCACGGGGCTCATAACCTTTCACGAGCTAAAGAAGCGCAGGACGCGCAAGACCTCAGTCTTCCTGCTAGTGGAATAGCGACTGATATTCATACCTAAAGAAGCGCAGGACGCGCAAGACTAAAGTACAGTCAGTAAATAGTATGAGTATAGTAAGTGAGAAACATACCCTCAGTCTTCCTGCTAGTGGAATAGCGACTGAGGGAAAAGAGATGTACAGTAAGGATAAATACGGACGCCCCTGGAGCGGCGTGGGAAAGTTCTTCCCGAATAGGAAGGCGGACCAAAAGCGTGGACGCGAGGCAAACCGTCCGCCCATGGGAGGAGGCAGACTCGCCCCTCTATACCCTACTTTTGACAGCATCTCGGCCTCCTCTTCCGCGTTCCGAGGGGACTGCGACGCCGACAAGCGGTTGTGCGTGTCCATGGGGATTGCTGAGTCCTTCGCGGACTCGAGACCATAGTGCCGCACGACGGAGTCGATGTAGGCGGTCTGCGAGAGCGAGATCATCCTCGCGGCGCGATCACGATGGACGGCGATGCCCAAGATCCAGTGGATCTCGCCCATGTCCGTGATCTCGAAGCACTCGCGTAGCTTCGTTTTGACGAGGTTCATCAGCTCCAAGGTGGAGGTGAGGATGGTCAAATCGTCTACAGAAGTAACTATGATGATCAGCTCGTTGCCTCGATGACGATAAAACACAGAATGATCGACTTCACACCGCTGCATGCCCAAAATCGCCTTCAACGTCGACCCGAACTTGATGTACCAGTAGCGGCCCGACTGCCGCAAGCCGTAGATGGGGCGCTTGAGGCGCAAGGACGTGCGGTGCGGCTCGGAGGATAGCGGATAGCCGGGGGGATGCCGGAGGTAGATCTCCTCGTCCTCGATGAGATCGCCGTTGAGGTAAGCGCCCTTGACATCGACCTGGTGGATCTCGAGGTCGAGTCGCGCACCGAGCGCGAGGCACGTGCGGATGGACGAGAGGCGAGCGACTGGGGCGTAAGTCTCGAAGAAATCCACACCTTCAACCTGCGTGAATCCCTGCGCCACCAGACGCGCCTTGTACCTCTCAATCCCTCCGGCGGCGTTCTTCTTGATCCTGAAGACCCATTTCGTGCCGACGACGTTCGCGTAGGGCGGCGTATCCACGACGTCCCAAGTTCCCATCCCCTGAAGCGTCGCTAACTCTTCCTCGATGGCACCCTTCCACTTCGGCCAGTCTGCGCGCGCCTTTGCCTCCGCCAACGTCCGCGGCTCGAGCCCCTCTGACTCGGCCGTCGCCGCCATCATTGCCTGTTCCTCCGTGGCGTCCTCGGGCAGCAAGATGCCGCGCGCAAGACGACCGCCGCTTTCGACAATGTCGCGCACCTTCCGCGAAGGCTTGCGCGCTCGGGTAGGTCGGCCAACATCCTGCTCGTCATCTCCTTCGTCGTCCGCGTTTTCTGGGGCAACGTCGGGCGCGTCGGGCGCGTCGAGCTGCTCGCCATCGCCGGCGTCGGCGCCGCTTTCGGAATCCGGTCCGACTTCCGGGGATTTCCCCATTGGGCGATTTGGACGACGCGTCGTCGTCGCCTCGTCGCCGCCAGCGAGCACAGGGCTGCCAGCACCTCCCTCCCCCTCAGACCGAAGCTCGGCTGGTGAGAAGGCGACACTGCGCTCCATGGTGACCGATTTGGTGTCCTTCCAATAAACGCGGTGTCCCTGGGACTGGTCCAATGCGCCCTCATCCTCCCCAAAGCCAACCCAGTAGCCGACGCGCGCCCGCGGCGCCAGCTTCGATTTCGGCTTGTGGTGCACGAAGACCTTGGTGCCCCACTCTGGGAGGTGAGCAAGGTTCGGTTTCCGCCCGAAACGAACCTCGTAAGGAGTCTTGCCACCAAGCGCGCGTGTTGAGGTGCGGTTCTTCAGCCAGCAAGCGTGTCGGACGGCCTCGTTCCAGAGCATGCGCGGGAGGCCGCTCGCATGGAGCATAGCGCGGACGCGCTCGAGGAGGGTGCGGTTGAGGCGCTCGGCGACGCCGTTGTGCTCGGGGGTGTCGTGCGTCGTCCAGTGGTGGACGGTGCCGCGGGATGCAAGGTGAGCGCGAAATTCATCGTCGATGTACTCACCGCCGACGTCGGTCACCAGGATCTTGATTGCGGCCTTGACGTGCTGAAGCATCCACGCCTCGTACGCCTTGTACGACGCGAATGTCTCGTCCTTCGTCCGCTGGAAGAAGACCGTCGACCATCGATCGTGATCGTCGGTGAACGTCGAGAAGTAGCGGACTCCCCCTTTCGCCTGTGTCGATGCCGGCCCCCAAACATCGGAGAAGACCTTCCCACCAGTCTCCGCCGCGCGCTCCCCTTCACGCTCCTTGTGCACCGGCCGACGAGTCTGCTTCGCGAAGATGCAAGACTCGCAGAACGTCTCGCCCTCGCCATCGTCCAACTCCACTCCATCGACGAAACCCTTCGCGACAAGGTTCTTCGCCGCCTTCGGCGCGATGTGCCCCATGCGCCGGTGGAAATCGTCGACCGTGAGCTTCTCGACGACCGCATGCGCGCCGCCAACGTCGGACTCGTGCACGACACGGTACAGGCCGTTCTTCGACTTCGGGACGGAGCCGAGGACCTTGCCGTCCATGTCGCGGATGACTCCATGACCGCCGCCAAAGGAGATTGTATAGCCGGCGTCGTCGAGTGCGCCGATCGAGATGAGCGTGTTGGAGATGGCAGGCGCATAGAGGACGTCGGTGAGGTGAATGGACTCGCCGTGACCGAGGGGGATGTCGACGGGCCCCTTGCGCGTCGCCTGGAACTGCTTCCCATTCGCGGCCTTGAAGGTGCGAGGCTCACATGCGGTGGGTGGTGACTTGAAGCGCGAGAGGTCGTTCGTCATGTGGCGTGAGCAACCGGAGTCGTAGACGTCGATGCGCGCGCCGCTGCGCGGGGGATCGCCTGCGGGGTCGATGCTGAGGACATCATCACCGACATACTCGCCGTCCGGCGAAATGAACTCGAGGTCGTCGAGCCCGACAAAGACATCGTGGAGCATGTTGAGGCTGGCCGACTCACGCGCGGGTGAGGGCTGAACAGGCTCCTCGTCGGACTCGTTGTCGCTGTCGAAGAAGTTGTCGCCATCGCCAAAGTACGTCTTCTCGAAGTCCTCGCCTTCCCAGTCGGGGTCGTAGTGGGAGCGCATGAATTCGATCCCCACCATCGCCGCCTCGACAGCTACGCGCTCCCTCGCGCAGATCATGTCCACATCCGGCCGCCTCAGCGGCTCCTGCACCGGCGAGTCCTCTGTCTCGCTGTGCTCATCGCTGGCGCACGATTCCCAATCGTCGCCGCTGATGCTCGCGCTCCGCATGTGCTCTCGCAGAGCCTCCATGCGCGCGACAATCTCTTCCTCGCTGCCGAGCAACCCGTGCTCGACGTCGACATACGAGGAGAGTGAGGAGGTGGGGGACGAGGCACGCGTGGAGTCCTCGCCCTCAAAGTCACTGACATCGCTGACGGGCTGTAGCGCGGGCATATCGTCGTCCGTTGCGTCGCTCCACGCATCCCAGCCTTCGTCGTCCTCCTCGGCGAGCCCGGCGAGGTCGTCGACAGCGTCGGACGCATCCTCATCGTCATCGGGCAAGCCCTCAAGGTCATCAACCTCTTCCTCCGCCTCCGCCTGGTAGGCGTAATCTTCATCCTCCTCTGCAACGTGCGCCTCACCCGGATGGCTCGGGCAATCGCGACTGATGTGCCCGACCTGATGGCACTTGAAGCACCGGCGCGTCTCCCTCGACTGACCGCGACCACGACCACCGCCGAACTGAGGACCACCGCGCGACATGCCACGAGGGGGCGCGCCGCCGCCGCGACCACCTCGAGGGAAGCCGCGTCCGCGCGGTTGACCACCGCGGAAGCCACTGCCACCGCCACCATAGCCACCGCCCGTCTCAGCCGCCGCAAGAACGACTTCCCGTGGCGCACTCGTGCGCATCGTCGAGTTGACCGCCTTCTCCGCGTGAAGGTACTCATATTGGCCAATAAGCGTCTCGACGATCTTCTGCGTCGGTAAGATCTTGCCGGTTGATAGGTGGTAGCTCTCGATGATGGTGCTGATGAACTTCTTGTACTCCGCGGGGATAGCGGCGAGAACGTGTGATCGACGCTCTGCCTCGGTGACGGCGTCCTTGCCGCCAGCGATGCGGATGGTGGTGATCGTCTTGTCCGAGTCCTCGAGGAACTTGCGCAGGTTCTCCTTCGAGTCGCAGGACTGCGCCGCCCAGCGGTTCTTCATGAGGGTGACGTAGATCTCGGACTTCTCCGCGAGCTTCTTGATGATCTTCACCCAGACGTCGTACACGCGACCGGCTTCCTCCACCACGGCCTCAGCAACATCGGTTGTGAGCTTGGTGCTGAGGAGGAGGAGGGCGGTGTTCTCGAGGCGTGTGTACGCGTTGTACGCCTTGAGATCGTCTTCGTACGTCGAGCTGGATGGATTGGTGGGCTTCTCGGGAGGGACGTAGTCCTCGTCGAAGAGGTGAGCGATTCCTGCACTCTTTGCGCCGATCGCCCATCGGAAGCTGAACTCGCGAAAATTTGAGCCATCCTCCTTCGCAATCGGGACCGATGCGAAGTGATCGATGCGCTGCCCGGTCTCCTTCAACAACGCGGGATCGACCGGTGTGGGGGTGACGAAGGAGTGGGCGATCCGGGAGGGGGTTGCAGTGCTGACGATTGTCGAGATGATCGGGGCGTCCGAGCCAGTGTCGGCGTCGGCGGATCCAGCATCGCCGTTGTCACTGCGGGAGGCGGAAGACATGATTTTTGAGTCGCTAGTAATTCTGGGCTAGAAGCTTGACGGCGGGGCTCATAACCTGTGAGAATCAGAGACCTTCGGGAGAGCACGGATATCGAGCTAGTGAGGCAACGATAAGCTCAGTGCTCGGTCTACGTAGTGAGAGAGCGACTATATTCACCTAGTGAGGCAACAATAAGCTGAGAGAGAGTAAGTAAACGGTAAATAAGGAGCGGCTTGGGCAGCTCACCTCAGTGCTCGGTCTACGTAGTGAGAGAGCGACTGAGGAGAGCGGCCGATCGGAAAGTGAAGATATACGGAGGCTTATGTAAGTATGTGGGACCGTATGGGTCCGTTTTGTGGGTCCGTGTATTGTACCCTATAAGGAAAGAAAAGCATACGTAACGGACTTGCGTCCGGATTGTCCATGGGTATATAGGTAAGTATAGTAAGTACTGACCTGCATCTCATCATCTGACCAGTGGAAATGATCCCCCACTTGAAGGTAAAAGGCGCTGAGGACGACATGTTTATCGGAATATGGGCGATGGACTATCTATCAGCGAGCAGTAGATGGTTCAGAGCAAGAGCGAGCTTCGTATATGCTGTATCCGGCTCGGAGATCGCCGAAGTTGAACCGCGGTCAGGTGACGGTGAGCCTGTGGGACCATTTCGAATCCAAAAAGAGCATGAACGAAGCAGGCCAGCGTACACTGGGCCCTGAAGACCGGACAGGCTTGCTGGAGGAGGACAAGTACCCCATCGCTGTAAAGCAAGAGAGAGAAGTCATCATCCATACAAGGACCTGCCTCAACCTCACAACGCAGGACGTCGGTGTCGGACTTGCCTGGCGGTGTAGAGTAGATTCAGAGCAGAAGCTACATAGGTATGATGTCCGACACCTCTGAGCCTCATCGGCAACACCAATTAGTCGTAGACCAGGGAGGCGCCCAATTATAATATGAGGACATGTTCAATATTCTCAAGTATTGGTTCCTTGCTAGTGTGAGCCCTGCTGAAATGACTTGAGCTGACCGTGCGTACAGTACACATTCGGGGACAGAAAATGTATGGCTAAGGACAAAAAGTGGAAACCTGGAGGACGCTTCGGCAATCACCGAAGTTGAACATGTCACGTGGATTATGAGTGACAACGCTCATCCGCATCTTCAATCCAAAGAGCCAGCTCATCTCGTGCTTAAGCGCCAGGAGTATAACATGCAGTATTTTGACTCGATAGCTGATAAATGCAGATATCCAAGCAGCGGAATGGATATGACACGCCGAAGTTTGAGTTAGCTCGCGAAAGAAGAATGCTCACCATGAGGCACGCATCGATGTCTAGAGCTCCCTGATAGACATAAGAAGAGCGCTAACTCATAAATAGTGGTCCACTGGCGTCACCGCTTTCGCGAAGAACGCGATAACCGAGAACATGCGTCTGCCTTGCCGCAGGACATAGAAAGAGATGGATGGATGAGATGAACGAGAGAACCCCCCGTCTAAAACCGCCATGGTAAGAGAGTGCATCGATGTTGTTGCTGAGCTCACTGTGGTACACAGTGGCAGCGCACTGCGTCGCCGGCGTCGCCATGGAGGGCGTCGCCAACCAATCCGTTCGCGGCGCGAGCCGGACCGTCGCCCGCGCCAAACTTGCACAAATCGAGCTTCAGTACGCACCGCGCCTTCTCCCCTACCCCCACGGTCTCGCCTGCTGCTCCAGTCATGGCAGCCGTAGACATCTCCAAACCCATCGCATTCTGCGAGCACCTGCAGCTCAGCAGCCTCGGCATTCAGCCGGGTGCAATATCATTCCAGGTGCGCACTGACGTGGACTGCATTTCGAATTTGACTGACGTTTCTACGCGTCCAGGTTCGTGTAGGCGAGCGAAAGACGCGCAGGCAACTGACATATACCTAAGAACTTGACGCTGGAGTCCGACCACTTCATTTGCGTGCGCAACGAGCAGAACCAGCTTGTCATCATCGACCTTACCGACCCCAACAATGTCCTCCGCCGACCCATATCCGCCGACTCAGCTATCATGCACCCACACCAAAAGATCCTCGCGTTGAAGGGTGCGTGCTGCGCTTCGTGCGCAAGAGGCAGGAGACCCAAGCACCGCGCGTTACGGCTCCCACCCTTGCGTAGTTGTAGAACTCCCCTCTGACGCGCTCGCCCAGCCCAGCGTACGCTGCAGATTTTCAACATCGAGACGAAGCAAAAGGTCAAGTCGCATGTTAGCAACGAGGACATTGTATTCTGGAAATGGGTCTCCGACACGACTATCGGCATGGTCACCGAGACCTCCGTCTACCACTGGACAATCGCCGACAGCACCTCCCCGCCTCAGAAGATCTTCGACCGCCATGCCACTCTCGTCGGCTCGCAGATCATCAACTACCGTGTCACGCCTGACGAGAAGTGGATGGTGGTCGTCGGCATCTCGGGCAACGCGTCGAACCCCTCTGCCTTCAAGATCAAGGGCGCCATGCAGCTCTACAACAAAGACCGTGGGGTCAGCCAGCCTATTGAGGGTCATGCTGCAGCATTCGCAGAGATGAAGCTCGACGGGCACCAGCATCCCACCAAGTTGTTTACCTTCGCCGTTCGCACAGCCACGGGCGCCAAGTTGCATATCGTCGAGATTGACCACCAAGCGCCCGACCCTCCGTTCACGAAGAAGGCCGTTGACGTCTACTTCCCTCCTGAAGCGACTAACGACTTCCCTGTGGCCATGCAGGTGTCGAAGAAGCACGGCATCGTCTATCTCGTCACCAAGTTCGGCTTCATTCATCTCTACGACCTCGAGACCGGTGCCTGCATATACATGAACCGCATCTCTGGGGAGACCATCTTCGTCACCGCAGAGCACGAGGTCACTAACGGCATCATCGGTGTTAACAAGAAGGGGCAGGTCCTCTCCGTCAATGTCGACGAGCAGACGATCGTTCCCTACATCCTCACTACCCTCAACAACACCGAGCTCGCATTTAAACTTGCCAGTCGTGCGAACTTGCCTGGTGCGGATGACTTGTACATTCAGCAGTACCAGCAGCTGTTTGCGAGTGGGCAGTATGGCGAGGCGGCGAAGGTCGCAGCCAACTCGCCTCGTGGCATTCTCCGGACGGCACAGGTCATCGAGTCTTTCAAGCAGGCGCCCGCTCCCCCTGGCGGTCTCTCGCCCATTCTCCAGTACTTCGGCGTGCTGCTCGAGAAGGGCGAGCTCAACCACTACGAGTCTCTTGAGCTCGCACGCCCCGTTCTCCAGCAGGGCCGCAAGCAGCTCCTCGAGAAGTGGTTGAAGGAGAACAAGGTGCGTGACTACGTTGTATATATCTGGCCTCTTCGCTTACCCATCCTTCCAGCTCACCTGCAGCGAGGAGCTTGGTGACATCGTCCGCCTGCACGATATGACGCTTGCCCTGAGCGTTTACCTGCGCGCGAACGTCCCGAATAAGGTCATCGCATGCTTCGTCGAGACCGGCCAGATCGACAAGATCGTGCTATACGCGAAGAAGGTCGGCTACACGCCAGACTACGTTGCGCTTCTGCAGCATGTCATGCGCGTTGACCCGCAGAAGGGCGCGGAATTCGCCGCGACGCTGGTGAACGATGAGACCGGGCCGCTGGTCGATATTGAGCGGGTACGTGCTTCCTTCAAACGAAGGTGAAGGTACGATTGATGTGACGTGCTATAGGTCGTCGACATCTTCATGTCGCAGAACATGATCCAGCCGGCGACGTCGTTCTTGCTGGACGCGCTCAAGGACAACAAGCCGGAGCAGGGCCCGCTGCAGACGCGCCTGTTGGAGATGAACTTGATGCACGCGCCGCAGGTGGCGGATGCGATCCTCGGGAACGAGATGTTCACCTACTTCGACCGCCCGCGGATTGCGAACTTGTGCGAGAAGGCGGGCCTATTGCAGCGGGTATGTCCTTCGCGGTGAGAGAGGAGGACTTGATGCTAATAAGTATACAGGCTTTGGAGTTGTACGAGGATCTGGCGGATATCAAGCGTGTCATTGTGCACTCGACCGCTTTCCCTGCTGATGTGGGTGTCGATCGCTCAACAAGTGAGGATGTGGACTGACACCGGAGTTTAGTGGCTCGTCAACTTCTTCGCCAAGCTTACCACCGAGCAATCGATGGCCTGTTTGCAGGAGATGCTCAAGGTCAACATCCGCCAGAACCTGCAGGTCGTCATCCAGATTGCGACGAAGTACTCGGACATCCTTGGTCCAGTCAAGCTCATCGAGATGTTTGAGAGCTTCAAGAGCTTCGAGGGTGAGCGAAGCAACTGCACACATAGCGTAGAATTACTGAAGGCGCGCAGGTCTGTACTACTACCTCGGCTCCATCGTCAACCTCAGCCAGGACCCGGAGGTACACTTCAAGTACATCCAGGCTGCTACCCGCACCGGTCAGATCCGCGAGGTCGAGCGTATCTGCCGAGAGAGCAACTTCTACAACCCGGAGAAGGTCAAGAACTTCCTCAAGGAGGCCAAGCTCGCGGACCAGCTCCCGCTCATCATCGTCTGCGACCGCTTCGACTTCGTACACGACCTCGTTCTGTACCTCTACCAGAACGGACTTGTCAAGTTCATCGAGGTGTACGTGCAGCGCGTCAACTCGGTGCGCACGCCGCAAGTCATCGGTGGTCTCCTCGACGTCGACTGCGATGAGACGACGATCAAGGGCCTGTTGGCGTCGGTGACGGGCAACTTCCCGATCGACGAGTTGGTACAGGAGGTGGAGCAGAGGAACCGGTTGAAGTTGATTCTGCCGTGGTTGGAGGCAAAGGTGCAGGCTGGGAGCCAGGACCCGGCGGTATACAACGCCATTGCGAAGATCTACATCGACAGCAACAACAACCCGGAGCAGTTCCTCAAAGAGAACAACGTGAGCTTACATGACTTGTTGTTCGGTCGGGTACCCATGCTAATCATGTCATGCAGTTGTACGAGCCCTTGGTTGTCGGCAAGTTCTGCGAGAAGCGCGACCCGTACTTGGCGTACATTGCGTATGCTAAGGGCTTCTGCGACGATGAGCTCATCGCGATCACGAACGAGAACTCGATGTTCAAGCAGCAGGCGCGCTACCTCGTGAAGCGTCGCCAGCCTGAGCTTTGGGCGCAGGTCCTCGTTCCGGATAACATCTACCGCCGCCAGCTCATCGACCAGGTCGTTGCCACGGCCATCCCCGAGTGCACGGACCCGGACGATGTCTCGGTCACTGTCAAGTCCTTCTTGCAGGCCGACCTTCCGATCGAGCTCATCGAGCTGCTCGAGAAGATCGTTATCGACCCCTCGCCGTTCAGTGACAACCGCAACCTGCAGAACCTGCTCCTGCTCACCGCCATTCGCTCTGACAAGGGCAAGGTCGTTGGCTACATCAACAAGCTCCAGAATTACGACATCAACGAGATTGCGCGGATCGCGACGGAGCACGGTTTGTTCGAGGAGGCGTTCACGATCTACAAGAAGTACGAGCAGCACGCGCAGGCGATGAATGTGCTTGTTGAGCACATTGTGTCGATTGACCGTGGGCTGGACTACGCGAACAAGGTGCAGAAGCCGGAGGTGTGGAGTCGCTTGGCGAAGGCGCAGCTTGACGGCTTGCGCATCAAGGACGCCATCGGTATGTCTTGAAGCTGGCCAGATGGTATGTACCGTACTCACGATGTGACCAGACTCGTACATCAAGGCCGAGGACCCGAGCAATTATGCGGAGGTCATCGAGATCGCCGGTCGCGCCGGGAAGCACGACGACCTCGTCCGCTTCCTCCAGATGGCGCGCAAGCACCTGCGCGAGCCCAAGATCGACACCGAGCTTGCGTATGCCTACGCGAAGACGGACCGCCTGCACGACATGGAAGACTTCTTGGGCATGACGAACGTCGCGGATATCCTCGAGGTCGGCGAGAAGTGTTTCGAGGACGAGCTCTACGAGGCCGCGAAGCTCTTATTCCAAAGCATCTCGAACTGGGCACGGTTGGCGACGACACTTATCTACCTCAATGAGAACCAGGCTGCTGTCGAGAGCGCGCGGAAGGCTGGCAACACTCAGTAAGTCTGATTGGATGCAAAGGCTTCAGCAAATGCTGAGGCGCGTGTGTCTAGGGTCTGGAAGCAGGTGCACGCCGCTTGTATCGAGAAGGGCGAGTTCCGTCTGGCACAGATTTGCGGTCTCAACATCATCGTGCACGCGGAGGAGCTCAGCGCGCTCGTCAAGATGTACGAGTGGAGAGGGCACTTCGATGAGATCATCAGCTTGCTTGAGGCTGGTCTCAGTCTTGAGCGTGCACATATGGGTATCTTCACGGAGTTGGCGATCCTACTCAGCAAGTACCGGCCGGCGAAGCGTGAGTGGTTCCTTTTGCATGCAAGCAGACTACATTGCTGACGCGAATCCAAGTCATGGAGCACCTGAAGCTCTTCGTGGCCCGTATCAACATCCCGAAAGTCATCCGTGCCGCCGAAGAGGGTCACTTGTGGCCTGAGTTGGTGTTCTTGTACATCAAGTACGATGAGTTTGTGAGTTGCCTGTACTACCGATTATCAGTTCTGCGCTAACCGGTGGACAGGACAACGCATCCTTGGCTATGATTGAGCGCTCTGCGGATGCCTGGGAGCACAACATGTTCAAGGAGACCATCGTTCGCGTGGCAAACGTCGAGATGTACGCTATTTGCTTCCATGCTGGTATCATTATCTGACATCGCTGCAGCTACTACAAGGCCCTCAACTTCTACCTCGCCGAGCAGCCGACGTTGCTGAACGACTTGCTCACCGTCTTGATTCCTCGTATTGACCACGCCCGCGTTGTCCGCTTCTTCAAGTCGGCAGACCACATGCCGTTGATCAAGCCATACCTCATCGCCGTGCAGCATGTACGTCTGGGACTCTTGGCCAAGTATTGTTTTGCATCTAACATTCCTCCAGCTGAACATCGAGGCCGTCAACGACGCGTACAACGACTTGTTGATCGAGGAGGAGGACTACAAGACCCTCCGCGATTCAGTGGACAGCTTCGACAACTTCGACTCCATCAGCCTCGCCAAGCGGTTAGAAAACCACGACCTGCTCGAGTTTAGGAGATTGGCCGCCCACTTGTACAAGAAAAACTCGCGCTGGGAAGAGTCCATCTCGCTCTCAAAGCACGACAAGTTGTACAAGGATGCGATCGTCACTGCATCTGTGTCCGCATCGACGGAGGTCGCTGAGGAGCTCATGTCGTACTTCGTGGACATCGGGAACAAGGAGTGCTTCGCGGCGATGCTGTTTGTGTGCTTCGACCTCATTCGGGAGGATGTCGTGGAGGAGCTCTCGTGGAGATTCGGCCTTGCGGACTTCGAGATGCCGTACAAGATCCAGTTGAAGCGCACGATGACGGAGAAGGTGGGATGGCTTCTCTGTGGGATAAGTGCAATGACTAACGTGTTCCTGCAGATCAAGCAGCTCGAGAAGGAGGTGAAGGAGCGGGCGAAGAAGGAGGTGCAAAAGGAGCAGGCCGAGGCCGAGGCGCCTATCATCAACCCGGGTAGCACGCTGCTCCTGACGAACGGCTTCGCAGGGCAGGCGCCGCCACCGATGATGAACGGCGGTATGCCACCGGTACGTTCTGCGTCGTTTTGCTTTGCTCTCGCTCGTACTCATCGCCATCCTCGCAGATGATGACTGGCTTCGGCGGGTACTAAGCGTGTGCTCCTCTCGGACGTTGGGTAGATTTCGGTACTCGCTCTGTTTGAACGCAGCCGGGAAGAGGAACGGCTGGCCGATGCGCTGTCCGGCTTTGTTTAGTGTTATATATGTTACTATGGTGGACATTGTCATTAATCTCATTCTCTCAATTGTCTGGATAGTCGTTGGAAAACCTGAGCTTGGGCGACCAATCGCTGCGTCGATGCATGGACTTCAGTCGAGTATCCTTTATTTTCCGGGTCAGGTCAATATCCAGACAGACTTGAGGTGTTTGCAAGGAAGTAAGATATAGTCGTTGCGTATCATAGTTGCTTCCCATGCTCAAAGAGACCTTTCCTGAAAAGCGGAGGATCTGCGAGAACAATGGGCCAATTTGGCGCAGGTGCCCAAACGCGGGTCAGCTGACTCAGCAATCTTTCGCGCACTCTGAACCACCATCATCTCCAGTCGTGTATTCCTCGAGCTCAATCCCAGCCTCGCCTATGGCGGGACTCCTCTCCCCCAAGCCGGTATCCTACTATCAGCAACAGCACTCGCCTTCGTACAATCCGTACATCAATCGGGGCCTGTCCGCGTACTCTGAGACGCCCCCGCTCGCCGGCGGCACGAACCTCCTGCCGCACCAGCAGATCGGGCAGTACGGCGGCACGACGACGCCCGGGCTGAGTCTGCAGGATGATGGGAAGATTGCGGCGCTTGTGGTGCAGCTGTTGGACCATAACACGCGCGAGGGTGCGCTGCTGGAGCTGAGCAAGAAACGGGAGCAGTACGATGATCTAGCCCTCATCCTGTGGCACTCGTTTGGTGCGTCTGTGTGACTCTACCTTCCCGAAAACTTACTGACGAGACGCAGGTATAATGCCGGCACTGCTGCAGGAGATCATCGCGGTGTATCCGCTGCTGACACCCCCGAATCTGACCGCGCATGCGTCGAACCGCGTCTGCAACGCTCTCGCTCTCCTCCAATGCGTGGCTTCACACTCGGAGACGCGTCAGCTGTTCTTGAGCGGTACGTGAAAGAAAAGAGCCTGCCGATCGCTTGCTGACGCGTACGGATAGCCCACATACCCTTGTTTTTATACCCTTTCCTGAACACCACCTCCAAAACGCGTCCTTTTGAATACCTTCGCTTGACCTCTCTGGGCGTTATCGGCGCTTTGGTAAAAGTGAGTGGCATATACACCATGCTATCGGGCAGGACTGACTTTTGACTAGCAAAATGACAATAACACGGTCATTCATTTTCTGCTCTCGACGGAGATCATCCCCCTTTGTCTGCGTATCATGGAGACCGGATCCGAACTCTCCAAGACAGTCGCGATCTTCATTGTCCAGAAGATCCTACTCGACGAGACGGGTCTCACGTACATATGCCACACATACGAACGCTTCTACGCCGTCGGCACCGTGCTCAGCAACATGGTGAACCAGCTTGTCGAGACACAAGCCGTGCGTCTTCTCAAGCACGTCGTGCGGTGCTACCTCCGCCTATCCGACAACATTCGGTACGCTTATAAGGCTTCAGCGCGTCCGTGAGCAAGTTTCGCTGACGTGACCTAGTGCGCGCGAGGCGCTTCGGGCCTGCCTTCCAGAGCCGCTGCGCGACAACACGTTCGCGGCGCTGCTGAAGGTGCGTGTGTCTCGATCTGCGGGCATGCATCGTACTGACTAGATTGGTCTACAGGGCGACATGGTTACCAAAAGATGCCTTACGACGCTACTCAACAACTTGAACGAGCCTTAGACGCACAAAATGGATTTCATGGGTTTATATCTATCTCAACATCGTCGCAATCGCTGCCTGCTCCTTCTGGACACTGCACTAAAATGTATCTCCAGCCCTTGTACTTCTGTACCGTACATATCGTCTCCTGTAACTCACTCAACCTTCGGCATCTAATAGTACCTAATGGCGTATCTATGTGGACTTTCGGACTGCGTTTCCCTTTCGTCCAGTGTTGGCTAGTTTGCGTGTCTGGGTCCGCGCGGACGCCTGGCACGGGCTGCTCTGCGCGGTCGACGTCCAGAACCGCCGGCCCTCCGGTCGAGGTAATGAAGCTCGTCAAATCCGGAGTGTGTCAGCTGATATTTCGGCGCACTCTAATTTCGCTCCGCGCGATCGTCAGTTGCACCACCCGCTCCTTGCCTCCTCCCACCATGGCGAACACGACGGTGGCCCTTAACGGCGAGCACATCGCGCTCCCCTTCCCGACGACCGCGCCCCTATACTATGTCGACCGACCGAACATCTTCGACGGGATCTCCGACCAGTGGGCGTCGCTCGCGGGACCTCTCATCGCGTACTGGGGCCTGTCGCTGTTCTTCCATTGGCTCGACATGTCCGAGTGGAAGTGGCTGGACAGGTACAGGATACACGAGTCGGCGGAGGTGAAGAGCAAGAACCTCGTCTCAAGGCGGGAGGTATTCGTCGCGGTCGTCTTCCAGCATATCGTGCAGACGGCGCTCGGATACTTGTGGCTGGATGACGAGCAGGCACCTGCGGACCATATCGCCGGCATGGCGAAGATTGCGAACGCATTGGCCCCCGCGACTGCTACGATCTTGGGCGCGTCGCGCTCCCTCATGTACCTCCCCGACATCGCGTACTTCGTGTATTGGTGGGCAATCCCCACCGTGCAGCTGTTGGGTGCTATGTGCGTCGTGCCCCCCTTCTCTTTATTGCGTTGAGCTGACCTCCCTCTAGGGTCATCATCGATACCTGGCAGTACTTCCTTCACCGTCTCATGCACGAGAACAAATGGCTCTACCGCCAGTTCCACTCCTGGCACCACCGCCTCTACGTGCCATACGCCTTCGGCGCGCTCTACAACCACCCCGTCGAGGGCTTCCTCCTCGATACCGTTGGCGCCGGCATCGCCGAGGCCGCCACCGGCATGTCCCTCCGCCAGGCGCTCGTCCTCTTCGTCGTCTCAACGCTGAAGACGGTCGACGACCACTGCGGGTACAAGCTCCCCTTCGACCCGCTGCAGCTCATCACGAGCAACAACGCGGACTACCACGACATCCACCACCAGCAGGTGGGCATCAAGTCGAACTACGCGCAGCCGTTTTTCGTGCACTGGGATACGCTCCTGGGCACGCGGATGACGCGCGGGGATATGGCGGAGCGCAAGCGGAAGCTGCTGGAGAAAAGGCAAAAGGCCGAGTAGATGGCCGCTAATGTACTTGTGTTCGCGGTCGTTGTGTGTTTGATACCTGGTACCAGCTTCTCGTCTTCTCGTTCGCCCCTCTACATACGTTTACACCCCTCCCCTCCCCTCGATCACTCGGCTGTCCGTCGTCCCCCGCCCTCCAAGTCGTGTCTTCTCGCCTTCCAGGACGTCTGTCGCCTCTCAGCTGTAATGTGTCTATCATTTATTGGTTATCTGTCGTTCATGGATGTACTCTACCTCCCAGCTCCTTACAGTTCCTGGCATAGGATTAATCGAATCGGTCTCAATGTACACACGATGCGCGAAGCCCTTGTATCTGGCTGTTTGATGCTCTGAGTAAGGAGGTCAGAGTCGTGAGGTAGCCCTACCTTGATCGTCATGTCGCCATGTACGGTTGGCGTCCCTCTCTTCCTTTCTATAATGGTCTTTACTGGTGACACTGCCCAGTGCTCTGCAGTAGCACTTGAAAAATCGTACAGTGTTACAATCGAATGAAGGAGCCGCTGGGTCCTCCCCGTACTCGCAAGGGAGATTGTTTAGATTGATATATCATTGGACGACGTACACGACCACCTCCGCTACCCTATTTCGACCCAAAAAGCTGTCGGAACTTGCTCACTGGGACGTGCTTCTCCATACATATCGTCGCGAACCCGCCCCTGATCGGCCCCAGCTCAACCACCACTTGTACAGCCGATTCTGATGCCATAGAGAGGTCCGGAGCGAGCTCTGACGGACGCACGTTGACACTGTGTACCGGTACGGCTTGGTCGAGAAAGTCGACCGTGACGATGTAGAGCTTCTTTTCCGACGAGTCGGCGAGCTTCGCAGCATACTTGTCGATCACGGGGAGGATGACGGGGCCGGCGCGAAGGAGGTAGTTGAAGGCCAGTCTTGAGGCGTACTGGATCTCGATGGGTGAAAGCTCGCTGGACTCTAAATATGTGGCATATTAGGTGTGTCCGGTTGACTAGATGGAGCGAATCTGCGCACCTTCGTCAAGCGTGAAACGAGGAAGAGCGCGGTCGCAGATCTTTCTATGTGCCGGCCAGTGGACTTTCTGGCAGGCCGGCGAGCAATACTTGATACGGAAACAGCGGCAGTTCTTCAGCTGCTCTGTATCACCTGCTGGATGAGCGTGCGGACACTGGAGGAACTCAGTGAACAGGAACTTAGTTACGATAGCCACTGACCTCGTCATTGCCACATTTGCTTTCTGGGTCCAGCGTCTTCATGATGGCCAGTCGCTCGAGGTACTGTGCGTCTAACGAGAGATCGGTACAGATCTTTACGTGGCTGAAGGTGAACTCGGGGGTGATAGCAGGGTGGATCTCTCCGAGGACACGGGCGACAGGCAAGAAAACGGAACGCTTGAAGATGTATGCACTGAGAGCACTGAGCCCAGCTGTGGTCTGTCCGCCAGCGCTCAGCTTCATCATGAGCGGCAGGACACCCATCCTCAGCGCCCAGACGAGCGAGCGATCGTCTTCCGCTGTAGACCAGATCTTGTGCAGCAACAGGCAGGCATATGCACCAGGGAGCTTCGTCGATTCATCCGTGCCCAGGTTCGCTTCGCGGAGCAACTGCACGAGCAGGTGGATGGTTTCGCGAGAGTGCAGCGGTATGGGCATGGTAGACTGGGCCAGATAATTGAGCGCCCGAAATTGACTTGAGCACATGTCGGGTTCCAGCACGCCCTCAGCGTCTTTGCAGTACTGCAGGTTCCTGACAGCACATCTGTAGAAATGGCTTGGGAGCATTCGGGTCATTAGCATCGCCTCTCTGATCGCTGGGGAGTGCGCCTGGAAAGTCGCGACGTCAGGATAGTAGGTGAGCTTCGCAATGGCCTCCGCGATGGACTCAAAGATAACCAAAGCCTGAGAGTCAAAGTGAACGGTGGTGTTGGTATACTCGGGGAAGTGTAGCCAAAGATCGAAGAGCAAGCTGAAGACCTGTGGCGTCTGCTCGATCAGGTCGAAGGAGGAGCGTTTCACGGCGTAGAGCGAGTCATAGGCGCACGCGAGGACCTCTGCGACCTGCATGTTGAAGGGGATGAATTGCTGCTTGGGATGGATGAAGTCGAGCCAGCGAACGAGTGAGAGCCACAAACGACGCGTGCAGTGCATTGTGGCGTCAAAGAGGGCTTGGTTCTCGGGTTCGCCGTCTGTGTAGGCGACGACACGGGTAATGGCTCGGATGGCAGTCATCGCACCGACTACTCGGGGATCCTTGCTCTGGCGCTGGTGTTCGTTCAGCACAAAGGGATCGACCTGCAGCTCTTGAAAGGTGTCTTTGAGTGTCAAGAGTGTCGTGAGTCTCTCTTCAGCCCGTGCTTTACGGGAGGGGAGGATGTTATCGAGGGAATTAAGGATGCGCATGATCTCAACGGGGCGAGAGACTGCCATGGTCGAGTTGTCCGCCGCGTTGGAGATGAACGTTCAGGACAAAGGGGCGGAGATTGCCGGGGGACGTGACATCGTGGACAGTCACGATCCAAGTGACAGAATGTCACAGTACAATATAACGATATGCACAACTACTGACATACGTTGACTGAACCAGGCGCAATAGTACTTCGAATGGAGCTCACCCATTGGGCAACGATACTGCATGCTCATCACTTGGTGTGGGCAAACTAGCTCTGCCTTGTGCAGTTCAAGCGCAGAGCTGTGGTCATGTAGTTGGTTTGGCTCGCAAATCTCTTATACATCCTCGTGCCATCTTGAGCGCATCTGAAGTGGCAGTCGCCCATCTTGCGTTAGTATGGGACCCCGCTACCTAGCTTGTGAAACCCGGAATTAGCCGCCACATTGTAGGTCCAACGTCACGCCTATGTCACGTGGCATCGAAGTTCAACTTGGGATTCGGAACCCACTGACGTCACCAAGGTTCATCCGATATCCAGACTCTTCACCCATCTTCGCAGCTTCACCCAACAGTCATCTACGTTTCCTGCTGGAGATATGCCTACCAAGCGTGTATGTACTTGCAAGACATGGTGGGTGATGTCTGACCTCAATATCAGATTGCATTCACCGTTCATGGCCTCGTCCAAGGTGGGGATCGTTACCGCGAGAAATCCGAGTATTGTAAGGCTAAATAATATGGCGTATGAACAGGCGTGAACTATCGGTAAGTGCCTTCACAAGCGACTGACCGGTAGGGCTTATGCGACCAATCATGACAACACACAGGAATTTCGCCGTCCAGCGCGCGGTTACTGACCATGTCACTGGTTGGGTGAAGAATGCCCACGACGGGACGGTGAGTTGGCCAAGCTGCGCTGACTCGACATACCTGCTCATGCGATGCTCGTAGGTCGTGGGCGAGGCGCAGGGCGACGAACAGCAGCTGGAAAAGTTCATCAAACACCTGAGCCAAGGGCCGCCTGCGGCAAATGTTACCAAGGTCGAGCAGCGGGAATTGGAGCCGAAGGAGGGGGAGGACGACTTCCAGCGCAGAAGATAAATGTACGCGATTGCCCATAAGGAAGCCCTGATTGAACGTCAGGAAACGCACGACGGTCATACCTAGACGACGACGCGCACTTGAAGATTTAGAGGAGCGAAGCCGTTCGATAGACATATACATTGTGACATGCTTTATTCCTGATGCAGTAAGGCAGCAGTAAAAATGAAGGTCGTATAACATGTGTACATAGGGTTCCATAAAGAGTCCACGCTCGGCCAAATCATAGTATACATTCGACATACGGGCAACGTCGGCTTGGATCGCTCCTGCTCCTTGGCACCTCCAGCGCTTTACGGCGAGTCGATGCATGTACAATCAACAATTTCACTCGTCCCCTTTTAGAATTTTGACGTGCACTGCATGAACATGCGCCCAATACCCTGTCGAGTCCCGCCACTCGTGGTGCGGACCACATAATGCGCATGTATAGCGCCCGTTCAAGTGCTCCAAAGTCCCCATATGGTTCGAGACGCTGCTGTTCTTCAACCCCTTCGGCGGCTTCGCCTCGGGTAGCGCTTCGTCGAGGACCTCCGGCGCCGCGCCCTTGTACTTGTACAGCCTGTAGTATCCCACCGGCCGCGATTGCATCGCCTCGATGGTGCTCCTGCACACGCAGATCGGGCAGAAGAACTCGTCGGCCTTGATGTCGACGCCGTGATCCTTGTGGATGTGCTTCAGGATGGCGGTCTTCGTGGGGCGAACTGGCGCGCCGCAGCGCGGGAAGAGGTCGGTGGAGGTCGGGTATTTGTCCGTCGCTTGAGCGGTGTCTGGGATGCTGGCGTCGCAGGCGAGCGCGGTGAGCACGTCGCGGGCGGTGAGCGGCTTAGACCCGGTCGTGTCGAAGGGGACGCGGACGGGCCAGGGACACGGGCGAGACTCGTGCACAAGGGGGTCTAATCCGGGGATGTGCTCCCACTTCTTGCCACCTCGTGAATTGTAGTGTTCGAACGTCGGCGTGTGGGCGCGGGGAGAAGGCGAGGCCTTCCATTTGATGTGCATGGGACCCTCGGTCGTCGTGGAGGGCGCGGAGGCACAAGATACCGTAGAGGGAACCGAAGCGCAGGAGCCCGTAGACGCGGAGGAGCAGGGTTTCGAGGAGGAGGGAGAAGTCGTAGGGGGAGGATACGGTGCCGCGGAGAAGCGAGCTCGCTGAGAGACCGGAGGGTGCGAGGATACAGAAGCGCGCCTAGGATAGTCGGAAGGTAGTCGAGGCGTAGAATAGGCAGACCATGGAGGGATATGAGAGAACTTTTTTCCGGTTGAAGAGGGGAAAAGCGGCGGATTGTTGACTGTTATAGGCCGTTGCTTGACCTGGGAGGTGCTGGCGAGTCCGGCTCCGTGCGCATTTTCGACCTTTGGAGTCAAGTCTTCGACAATAAAGTCGGTGCGGCCCTTGTGGTAGACGACGACCTTGAACGGATACGACTCGTCGGCGAACCTATAAAGAGGACCTTCACTCAGCAAAGCAGGCTCGGGGGACTCAGGAGTTGGCGGCTCCTCGTCTGGGTACCGGAGAGTCATGCCGTCGAGGTCGTCCGTGCTACTGATGTCTTGCTGAGTTGCACCAGCGTCTTGCTGCACGTCATCAGGGTACTGTAGAATGTCGTCGGGATACTGAAGAGTCGTCGCATCGAGGTCGTACATATTGGCGTCTTGCTGCGTATCTTCCATCGGCGGCGGCAGAGGCACGACAATTCGTGGCGGCGGCGGTGGCATGCTGTCATCTGCGGGCTCGAGCTTGGCCTCCAGCTCTTGCGCGAAGCGCTCGATCTCCTCGATTTTGCCGGTGAAGCCGTCGTCTTGTGACTCTTTGTCTTCGTCGGCGAGCTCGGCGCCTGCTACATTTTCGGCAGTGTCGCCCGCGGGTCGATCGCAGGTATTGTCGCCAGCGAGTTCATCGACTGTGCTTGCGCGTTGATCGATTTTGCGGTTGCCCGCGAATTGGTCGACTTCGTTGTCGTCGGCGAGTTGGTCCATTTCCTCGTCTTCTGCAAGTTGGTCGACCTCCTCGTCGTCGGAGATGTCCATGTCGGAGTCGGTGGCCTCGCGTTTGACCGTAATTTCCGGTCGTGGACAGGCACGAGGCTGAGTGGCGGGCTTGCCATTGGATTGAGTCGAGGGCGTGGGCGCTGCGGCGTAGCTGGGCGTGGCTGGAGGGTCGTTGACCATGACCTTGGAGGGATTGGTCATGCCTTCGGGGCGATAGAACATGTCCTCAGGGTGACTGCGCATGGCCTCTGGGTCATTGTTCAAGGCCGGAATGCGGTTGATCGTGACTTCGGGGGGAGTGTCCATAGCCTCAGGCCGGTCGGAACTATCGATCATGGGTGTTCGCGCATGCTCCTCTGCCTGCCTTTGGAAGTGCTCCATCGCAGGCCTTTTCCCGACTGCAATCCATTCCTTGACGGTGCCGGCGTACTCGACGTCGCCCGGATGGAGTGGCCCAGGGGGATAACGGAAGACAAAGTGCGGCGATGGCGCTTGGTTACTTCGTGAGCTTTCCTCACTGTCCCTCAGCCCGGCGACAACGGCATCTTGGATGCTTGGGGCGAGCTCGTTGGTGAAGAGGATATGTTGACTGGAAATTGCGTCAGTATCGTCGTCGAAGAAAATGACCGAGGCGAAGGAGGTCGACGGGGAAGCCCCGTTGCGGGTGGGTGCCCGACCGTCGAGGGAAGGTATCCAAGGTAGAAGGGAACTCACCCGCGCAATGCATCGTCCGAAATGAAGTCTGGGACGAGGATGCAGCGATATCTGAAGCCGACGTAGTTGTCGCTTGGGCTGGCCATTTCTGAGGTGCAGAGAAGGGTGGGAAGAGGTTACGAGCAAGGTGTGGATCCAAAAGCAACATTCCGCTTGCGAGTCCACGACTTTTATACCTGCCACCGGTGGCCATCGTCCTTTGGCCATTGTCGATCATAAACAGTTCATATATGGAAGGCGGTGTTAATTTCGGGAACAAGGCCATGCATGATGCATGGCCAGCTGCAGTGTTTTTGCTTCGGGATGGCCAGGGGCAGCAATGACAGATGCCTGTCCCCATTCATAGATTGCATGGCCAGAGCGGAGCGGCGCTGTTGTTGCCGAGATGTCGAGAAGATCGATGGTGATGTGCATTCCATAGCCGACAGATTAGGGTGATGCATAATGCTTCTTCGAGGCTTGCGGAGAGCCACAGCGTATCCGGCGTTCATGCTGTCAGCCACCAAATCTCAGCACTTCAGCTTTTGTAGACGGTTCTCAATGACAAGGTCGAAGTCCAAGTCCAAGTTTTGTGGAAATTGTCCAACAATTGCCGTGCACGTGCCATCATCACGTGAGGAATTCTCACTGTCCCGCTCGTTAACGGCGACGACGACCACCATCTTTTCGTCGTCACGAGCGACGACGACGACAACGACGACGACAACAACTGACGCGTTGCCTAAACCCCCATAAACTTCGTCATCTTTTCCTCTGCCTAGTTCCATCGGAGACGACACCGGTATCCGAACGCCGCCCGCTCCTCCTGCTCGCCTTTTCGCTGTAGTTCGTTGCATCTTACCCTGCGATGAGCCCGCAAGCCGCAGATGCGGGCTTGTCCGACTCTGTGGACTCTCGCAGCGGTTCGCGCGAGCAGCTGGCACCCCCAGGTTCCTCAGGCAAATTGCGTGGTTCACCATCGAATACGAACCTTTCCACGCATGGCACGGCCCAGGCGACGCCCGTGTCTGTTGAGCAACTCTTACAAGCGAACGCGACGAGCTCAGATCCCGTGTACGCTGCCTTCGAGCAGGCCGTCAACGAGCGCAACACTTTCGCCGGCCAGAACGCACAGCTCTGGAAGCTCATCGAGAAGCAGCGCGCGGGCTACAACCAGATCCTCAAGGAGTTGGAGCGCGTCCGCACTGAGCGGGACTCGTACAAGCACAAACTTGCGGCCCTCACGGGCGTCGATCCGAAGAGACGAGCATCTTCACGGCATGCCGAGCGCGCCCACACCATCGACTCGTCTGACGGGGAGCACGCCGCGCGACACCCCCAAATCCCCGATGATCCAAGTGCGTCTACAATCACTCCCATGATGCTTTTTGCTAACATGTTTCACGCAGCGACACCGAGGACGTCGCAGCGCCCCTTCACCGCGCCGCGCGCAGAGGACATGCCCCGGGGTCCCCGTCACCAGACCCGCAAATCATCCCTACCGCCCATCCGTGTGCCACCCCACCCCGATCACGCTACCGTGCCCTCCTCCAGTTCAACCAGCTCGGCCGGCTCGCAGCAAGCGCCATACAAGCGCGCCCACAGCGACTCGACTGCCAGCCGAGAAAGTAATGCTAGCGGCTCATCGTCCATCTACTCGCGCCCGTCTGGCGACATCCCGCATCCCACTCCTGATAAGGCGGCATCCGTTCCAACAAGCCATATCGGCTCCCCCGTTCGTTCTCACCAACACCATCCTTCCAACGTCACCGTCACGCCCCAGTCCGAACCGCGTAGCCAGAGCGCGCCCATGGTCCCACCACAGGCCGTACCATCCCCCGCTCTAACACCAACGCAGCCCTCATCGTCCCATCTCTCCCCATTTCCCACGCCCTCCGCGATGGCCCTCGACCCGCGACTTGCATCGCGAGATTCACGCGTGTCGTTACCTGACGAGGCTAAGCGGTACATCGCAAATATGGCCGATTCCCCCATGCCTAGTCCACAAGTGAATAGGGCAGCGTTCTCGCCCACCTCCAGCAAGTTTACTTCATCACCACAACCGCGGAGTAGCAGCCCTTATAAGCAACGCGAATTCCTCGACCTTAATGACGACGACGACGATGACGCTGATAGCGAGGATGAGGGCGAGGACGACGGGAACGACCAGAACTCGATTGCCACGCGCTCAACTCGTCCCGAGGATCCCGTCACTCCTCAGAACAATGCCGTCGACCCCCAACGACAAGCCGAGATACAACGACAGCAGATTGCGGCTCAGCGGCAGCGCCAGATGGAGGAGCAACAACGCCAAGTTGAAGCGCAGCGCCAGCAGATTGAGAACCAGCGGCGCGAAGCGCAGAGAAAAGCCCGCGCGCGCGGCCCGGGCGCCGACGACTTCCCTATGCCCCCTGGCTCGCCTTCCGCCTCCGTGCACGGCGAGCAGTCTACTACCCCGTTGCGCTCCCCACACCCCAAGAGCGAGCGCTCCGGTGGCACGGCCGACTCCGACGAGAGCGACTTTGAGCGCGAGCTCGGGTCGCGCAAGGGGCAGAGCATGGATATGCAACCCGCATTCCGCGAATTGCCGTTGCTGCCGCACGACCTGCCGCACACGACGGTAAATGTCCTACAGTCCTTCATTCGCACGAATGACCGCGGGAAGGAGGTGCTCTCGTTCGTTATGGCGCTAAGCCCGGGCTCAGGCAAGAAAGGGTGGAACGTGGAGAAGTCGTACAGCGACGTGCTCGCGCTGGACACGCGGATCCGCAGCCGGGTCAACAAGGGTATGGGCAAGAAGATCGCGGCGCTCCCGGAGGGCAAGTTGTGGAAGGATCACGCACCAGCGAAAGTGGATCAGCGCAAGGTGGGCGCGTAAAGGAACTTTGACTTTCCCACCACTGACTCTTGATACAATTTACAGCGAACGTTGCAAGCGTACCTCCAGGCCCTGATAAATTTGCCGGTGAAGAACAACGACGAGGTCATCGCTTTCTTCACTACCGACATTGTCAAGGAGACGCGGCAACCTATCATGCAGGTTGGCCATAAAGAGGGCTATTTGACGAAGCGCGGCAAGAACTTCGGTGGTTGGAAGCGGCGGTACTTCGTGCTCCAAGGGCCCGTACTTGAATACTACGACAACGTACGTCCAGCCCATAAAGCAGCTTCTTTCTAATTGAAGTGACATTCACAGCGCGGAGGCAACCATCTCGGGTCCATCCAGATCACTGGTGCACAGATTGGGCGCCAGCAGCGCACAGAGAAAACTCCGGCGACGGATGAGGAGAAGGAATACAGACACGCCTTCCTCATTGTCGAGTCGAAAAGGGGTCCGGGCGGGAATCACCCGCGCCACGTCCTATGTGCGGAGACGGACGAGGAGCGCGACAGCTGGGTGGACATGCTTGTGCGGTACTTCACGGGCACGTACAGTGATGACCCCAATAGCTACGTCGCGGCGGGGGCGCCTTCGCGCCCGAGCATGTCGAGCGAAAGCGTCAACATCAGCAGCACGCCTCGTAAAACGCCGACGCGGGGCATGTCGAGCGATACGATCTCCATCGCGAAGGGTCCTGCGATGCCGCTATCGCAGCTACAGCAAGACGCAAGCAACGCAAAGCTATTCAGTACACCGACCCTCGAACAACAGCGCTCGGAGAGTCCAGCGCATCGTTCGGGGGATCAGTCGCCCGAGGACCGCCCGCCGCCGCAGCATGAGACGCCCGAACACCATCATCAACAAGACCACCGCGAGCGCGAGCGAGATCAGCAGCGCGCACCGCGCAAGCTCGCAAAACCACCGCCGCCACCGTCCGCGCCACCGTCAGGGCAACCGTCCAGTTTGCCGGACTCGTCGCCGCTGTCCGCAGCCACCTCCTTCTCGCCTGAGCCTCTTGTCAACGGTGGGCAGCGCGCCACCTCCGAGATGGGCCACTATCCGGATATGCAGCAGGAGCGCGAGCGAGAGAGGGACAGGCGGCATCGTCACCACAATCACCATCACGAGTCGCCCGACCACCCGCGGCGGCGGGACCACGACCAGCGCAAGTCGTTCCACCCCTCTGTGCACGCCCCAGAGCGTGTACCTTCGCCAGACAAGGGTGCGCTTGCCGAGAGTGCCAGGTCGAAGATCTCGGGCCCCATGAATGGCGCACCCATTCCCGCCGGGTTCAAGTTCGGTGGCAAGGATGCGCCGAGCCCCGAGGTCTCCATGAGTGACCGGCGCGAGAAGGCGAAGTCGCGCTCATTCTGGAACTTTGGGCGACCGGCGGACAAGGGCGCCATCCCCGCTGTGCCACGCAATGTCTTCGGTGTGCCGTTGGAAGAGTCGCTGGACGTGGCACAGATAGCGAATCTGCCGGCGATTGTGTTCCGGGCGATCCAGTACCTGGAGGCAAAGAAGGCGGACCAGGAGGAGGGTATCTATCGCCTAAGCGGCAGCTCCGCGGTGATCAAGAGTCTCAAGGACAGGTTCAATGCGGAGGGCGATGTTGACCTTCTCGCGGCGGACGACTTCTGGGATCCGCATGCTATCGCGGGGCTGTTGAAGACATATCTGCGCGAGCTGCCATCGAGCATCCTCACTCGAGAGCTGCATATGCGCTTCCTTGCTGTCATCGGTTAGTCCATTCGTTAGTTTGCGCTGTTGATTATTGACCCAATCTTTTGCAGACTTTGTCGACGCGCAGGAGCGTATAAGAGAGCTATCGCAACTCATCTCGATGCTTCCGCTTGCCAACTACAGCCTTCTCCGAGCACTCACAGCGCATCTCATCCTCGTCGTACAAAACTCGTCGGTGAACAAGATGACCATCCGCAATGTTGGCATTGTCTTCTCCCCAACGCTTGGCATCCCTGCGGGCGTGTTCAGTCTGATGTTGGGAGAATTCAATCGCGTGTTCAACGTGGACGCCGACAATGATTCCATGCCTGGCGAGCAGGGCGAGGGTGGTGATGGTGGCGATGACACGATTCGGAGGAACAGCCGGCAATATACGGACGCCGCTGCTGATCAATTACTGGGATTGTCGGGGCGCACTCTCAAATGTGAGTTGGTGCAGCAGATGATGTCTTCAGTAACTAACGTTTCTCTAGCGGCCCCCGAAGAGGCACCGTCTGACGGCGACGACTTCTCATCCCATGACGAGAGTGGCAACGAACAGACAGACGGAGACGGAGAGACCATGGAGTCTACCTACTCAAGCTCTGCTCTGCACTCTCAGAACGACCACGCGCACCATCTGACGCCTCCTGAAACGCCGACGGGACCGAGAGGGAAGGCTGCCTCCGCCGCTGCTGTCCGCGGCCTGAATGTCTCCATCCAGCAATCCGACCGCGGTCATAGGCATTCGCGGCTCATGGGCCTGCCCCACGGCGGCCTGCCCGCGTCACCTCGCCCGCCTGCCTCGCCGCGACAGCCGCCGCCGCTGTAGAGCGTTCTCCTGCCGGACGCGCTCTTGCGGTAGATCTCTGGATGTCGTGTACTAGTGTATATTATGTCTGCTGACGGATGGGACGCTCGTTTGGGTGCGTATACGTATATACCGCCGTGCTATTTAGGAGTACGACTCGCAGTATTTCTTGTTGTAGCTAAATTGTGATACCCTCGCTCGATACTATGGACAATCCCCACGCTCCTTGGACAGGCTTTTCAATTGTCTAGATATCGTCACCGCAACGAGTCAGCGCTAGTCAGCCCGTAAGCTTGATTCAAGCCAGTGAGCGATCTATGCAGGCGAAGGAAGAAAGAATGAGATGTTTAATTACATCGCAAGCCTTCTGCCACCGTGACAGCGTGCTGGACCCTGCCAAAACATGGGGTCGTGCGTGGTTTAGACGTTGATCCGACTCTCGCTATGCAACCGGAGTCTGTAGTACAAGTGATAGCTGGTTTGGGGTGGATCAGAGGCGCGACGGTGAACACACGAACAGAGAATCACGATCTTATAAGTTCTTTTCGAGGGGATTTCGGGTCGAAGTAGAACAACGGAGGGATCGTGTATATCATCAAAAAGGGCATGCCATAATTTCATTTTATCGCGAGTTTAAGGACTGACACGGGGAAGAGGCAACGCTGCGACATACATACAAACACCATATTCAGACGAAGCGCACGTAAGTCGGGTGCGTATCCATCGTTCTGTCCAGCAGGTAAGGTGAAGTCCCGTGGCTGGGATATGCGTCGTCAGTCAGGGGTGGTTCACATATTTAGGAAAATGTAAACTCACACAAGCGCCATATGGAACGGCATGTCGCTGTCGCTGACCAGCTTCGTCGTGCAGCCATCCCTGCAGCCCTTATGGCTCTGGTACTCAATTTCGACGCGACCGATTCGCTTCATTGTATCGGCGTCGTCGATCACTGTCCACCTGGGAGTTGTTTGTAGCCCGGTCTTCGCATTTTCGGGGTGCACGTTGTAGGAGTGAATGAGCTGCGCGATCGTCAGAATACTGCATATGCTAAGTCTTAGGTAGCACTCACCGCATTGCGCCACCGCCGCGCCGTACGCGTCCCGTCCGTCCTCGAGTGGCACACAGGCAGCCTGCACTCGAAGCGCGCATGGTGGGCCTCCATCTCAGCGAACGAGGTCTTCTTGGGGTCCTTGTCACACGCCTTGATCAGGAGCTCGGCATGCGCGCCCGCCTGCGCGTCCAAGATCACGGTGTCGGTCTTGTAGAAGGGCTCGTGCGAGCGCTTGCTGCGCATAAGGGCGCCGAAGGATATATCCTTCTTGTCGTCCTTATCGTCCTTCTTGCTGCTCTTCACAACGCGCTGGCAGTGATGTCCGACGACGCGAGCGAAAGGCATGGGCTCGGAGTCGCAGAGGGTGCACTTGAAGTAGGTGGTGGCGAGGTGGAGGGCAGCGTCGGTGTCACGCTTGGTCTCGCTCGTGGCGTTGGCTTCCGGCGTAGTATTGGTGTCGTCGTTCGAAAGCGGAAGCAGCCCTCGCAGGTACTCCATCTTGCGCTCGGAGCACCGCTTGGCGAGGGCGACGAACTCTTTATCGTCAACATCCGGAAACCGACTAGGATGCGCGTATTGCACGCCCTCGAGTAGGATGCCGCGGATCGGCTCCTCGACGGCAAGCTCGGACCAGTGCAGTTTGGGGAAGATCCCATCCAGGACGCCGGAGCCCATCTTGGTCGTGAGCTCCTTGACGCGCTCGCCGAAGACGCGGACGGCGGTCTCCTTTTCGTGCTCCGCAATCAAGTCTGCGATGTGTTGCACGACTTCGGGCTCCATCTCTTTCCAGACTGAAAAAGATGGTCAGAACAAAGATAGTTGAGGGAAAGGGATGCTGACCTTCAGGTGTGATGGGCGTGGGCCGATTGACGAAAGTATTCAGAAACTTTGGCTGCAATTTCTCTAGGGATGCCAGCTGATCGCCAAGCCCTGCGGCTTTGAGCCTGTCGTAGATGCTGTGGCGCCAGATCAGTGCGGGCCATCACAAAGGTGGAAAACCATACGCACAACGCTCGTCGCCCGTCGTGCATCTCTTTCGATAGACGCCTAGTCTCTGCCGCTTTCTGTCGCCTCTCATTGGCAAAGAATTCCTCCACTTCTAGGCGGAACTGGTTACGAATTTAGCAAAGGTTGAATCAAGCAGAACGTGGAAGCGTACCTGCGTCTTCACAGTGTTGGTCCGGCGAAGCCCCTCCTGATACTCTGCAACCATCTCCGGAGGCATACCTTGAAGAATGGGTATAATTTTAGCGTGCAGTGCACGTTCCGCAATGACGGAGACATTCTCTAGATGTTGTGCATGAGTTCGAGTGAAACTGATGTCTGCATGATTCACGTACCGGAGCCGGGCATCTTTGCGATGTCGGTATGAACACCATATGAGGCTTGGCGGTCATTGTAGGACCGTTCGCCCGGATAGGGTTCAATAGAGATATAACTGATGGGTTATTAGGGGCGAGGAAGGTATAGGGAAATTGGAGCACGGACTCTCTCTTGAGGCATTCGGAGCACACCCGAGTGACGAAGGCGGCGAGAAGGTGCTTGCCCTTGAAAGACTTGCAGATCTATGAACTACGTAAGCATTAGCCCGACATCTAGTCTAATTCATACTTACAGAGCATGTCCTTCCAAAAAGGATTGTTGCATACTCGATCACGGTGATTGAGTCACGAACCGCAGGGCACCAAGCGGGGATGACATCCTGGTAATTTTCAAAAGACTGCTGCCAGATCCGCTCCGAGTCGCGACTGAAGAGTGTGTTGTGCAGGTACTTGTTTGCACGAGAGATGCTGAGCAGGACGTCGGGGCGGCACTGCATGAGGATTTCGTCGAAGATCTCTGGCGGCATGTCTTTGATTCCCAATGTCGTAGGTTGAGCCTCTAGCGCTTCGGGAGCGTCGGGCTCCTCCTCTGTGCCAGACGTCTCAGTAATCTTCCGCTTCTTGTTCGACCGTCCTTTCGGCTTCGTCGCTGATGCTCCGGAGGCAGTTGCGCCTTTGTTCTTCGAGCGCGCGGTGCGACGAGAACTGACGGCGTTCGTGTTCGTTGGTCCAGCCGTCGCTTTCTTCTCGGCCAGAGCTTTAACTCTGGATGAGGAGCGGCGTGAGGCCATTGTTGTGAACTACGGGAGTTTAGATGATGATGGTCGAAACCAAGACGAAGAGTGGCCAAGCGGAGTCACGATGCCGCGTTACACCGGATCCGCCAGCACGTGGAATGAAATGCACGTGATTGCCACATGCGCTCAAAGGCATCCAGCAATTTCGTTCGACAGGCTTTCTTTCATTGCTCAAGAAGAAGCAGCGAGCCAGATGGTATCATTGTCACAGAGCTAGCGCACGGCATGTGGTTGCGTCCTCCCAGGAGGCGCCGTGGCTATGCCTTCAACATAATAGTCACCACGAACTCCGACCTCATCTTGCTCAAAGACAGGCTTGCATTATCCAGCTAGGCACACGCTGGTACAGAAATAAAATTTTCCCAACCAGAAACATACATAAAGCATCACCACTGGCCCTCCTCATACGGATCCGGACTATCGAGGTGATACACTTCGTCGTACTCGTCCAGCCATTCTCCGTACTATCTTCCCATGTAGTACTCGTACTCGTCTGTCCATTCGTCGTACTTGCTCTGCCGTTTCGCTGGCGCTGGCGTTTTACCCTTGCCTTTGCGAGTGCCACTGCCAGAGTCGCCTAATGGCTGCACCACATCGACTCGCTGGATTCCCACCACACTCGCGGCGCAGTGCTGCGCAGGGCCGGTCTGGCCAGGTGTTCTTGGGTGCTTATTGGTGCCGCCACTCGACCGTCGCTGCTGCGAGGGCTCAGCCACCTTCGTCGCGCCTATTTGAGACCAATTGTGACGCAAAGCCTCATATATCCCTTTTCTCTTGCCACCGGCGACGCTGTCGACAATTTCTATCGGGTCCAAGACGCGCTAGTCACGGAGCTTGGTCGTGTAAGAACGCGCCATCATCCCAGTCCGACCCCTTTAGATCCAAGACTTCAACGCTCGTAGCTCAAATCAGAAGGTAGCCTCAGAGCGGCAGAGAGCAAGCGTCGTGATGGTTGTATCCAAACAACAGCAGAGTTCAGGTTCAAGCCGGATACTGTGGCGTGACTCAGTGGCCGGCATAGCACGTGAAAAAATGACGCGTGGCCAGCTCGGCCGGAAGGCTCCGGAAGTTCAACTTGAATTGTGCCACGACTTCCTCACCGGCTCTATGCGCATCGAAGACCTCATGCGTATGCCTACCTCTGCACCGTGGGGACTCAAGCCTCGCTGCCCTTCTGATGCTGACCCCGAAAACATGTCGCACGGCCAGCAGCTCACCAGGTGCCCGCCTGCAGAGATGCCGAGAAAGAGACCTTCCCTTCTCATGCAGTCCCACTCGCGGGAGAAGAAGAAGGTACGTGTCACTGCTCACGACCTCTCAGTGGCTGACTCTGCATCCCAGCTTACTTATGACCTTGGGAACGACGAACAGCCGCGGCCAACGCAGATTCCACGCAAATCTATCTCCGTATATACTGTGTCATGCCTGGCTCATACAGATCTCGTTCACTGTCGACTATCAATGATTCTCTGCTGCGGTCACTTGCGCCCAGTATACAAGAGTACCCTCCACAAAGGGACCCGACACACGTCGAAGCTGGTGACGCGCTCGTCCGGAATACTAGCCATCCACCGACGTCCCGTCGGCGAACAACGATGGCACCGTGTGCTCTGCGGCTTCTCCGATGTTTGTATGCGTATCCTTTCTTGCTAAGGGCCTTCACGCTTGCTGTACCTTTCGCTCGCCACATCTGCCCTCCGCAGGCGACGAAGCGTTCAGATGACGCACGATACACCTCCCGAAATCTCAACCTCCACAAGGCGAAAGGCCATCCCACTCCGCAGGCCCGCAAATGACCTACCTGGCGACCGTCAACTGATGCTGCACCTCTGGCAGCTGTCTGCACTCCGAAGTTGGGATTGAGTGTCGTGGGCTCACGTACCGCGGAGTTACGCTGGTGCTAGATCCTCGCTCGCTCCTTTCGGTAATTCGCCAATTGCACCATCCGAGCGCACCCCAGTGGTGCTGCGAGGCCCTATGAAGCTGCTGCGACTCTCAGGACCAAAGCCTCCGAGCGTGCTCTGCATTGCCATACGCTCGGACCTACCGAAGCTCGAAGGGAACTGGCGGCTGAACGTGTATACTTCGTACCGCAGTCTTGCCCAAGCGAATCTGTCTCCTATAGAACGCCCGCGTCTTCCCATTGACTGTTTGGTCTACGGTCACATAGTTCTCAGGTTATACAACTCGAAGATCCCTTGATAACTGGTGGCCAATCTCAACAGTGCGGTTTGCCATTCAATATGTATCTTATTTTCTCTCTCGTCGTGTCCAGAGTCTCCGAAGACCGCATCCCAACTCTATAGACGCATGGACATCCCTCGAGGGATGATGGCGACGCGCGCCGGAAGCCTCGGATTCCCTCGTCCGCGCGTCCATTCTCTCATTCCTGTTCGCTTAGTCTCAGTAGTCTCAGGCCCATGTGCGCGTCCTCTTCATTCCGTGGCCATATTCCCTCCATCTTGCGTACACATCTGGTCAAGTCCGCACATTTCTTCCCAAGTCCGTATACACATTCTCTCAAACGTCTGGAATCGCCGTACAACTGATTATCCTCTGAGTAGCGATTATCCAGCTTTGTGTTCGATTGCTCGGCCCTCGGGCATTTTCTCCCTATGTGACCATGAGCGGCGTGCGTCAGGTTTACAACGAATGAATGAGAAAGGAAGGACCAGCGTCAACTCCCTCGCTGGGTATGCCATTACACGTGGGCGGTCTACGAAAGCTCCAGCGCGCCCGTAGAGCTGCCGTTCAGGCTGGCTTCAGAATGCCCGCGTCAGATTCGACCTGCGGCAGGCGTACTAGACGGCGTTGTCGGATGCGCTATTCTGTATTTCAGAAAAATTGCTGGCAGTCGATTGCAATACTTCGGAATGTCGTTATGTCGCCCTACTTACTGCACGCTAGAAAACATAACACACTAGTCCGTGGTATGCGGATATCCTTAGGCAGCACGCGCGGGACTTGAAGGCAACATGCGGTGCATTCCGACGGTCAGAAAAATCAGAAAGTCTGAGTTGTTAGCGTGTCAACGACATGCGGATAGGTGGGCGAACTCCATGGCGCTCGGAGGCAAGGACATACTGTCGGATGGTCTATAGTCGTCGCGGTAGGTTGGGTATGTTCGCTTCCTGGCTGCCCGAAGCCGCCATGGACTCGAGGCATGTACTATGGGTTTGAAGAACGATCTCAGGCGTGAGGTTGACACGAGTCGAGCGTCGTTCATGAAAAAAAGGCCGAAGGCCGACGGCGAGGTCCCAAGCCCGACAGATGGTCTTCCCGCACATGTTCATCTCGCTGAACATAACCCGGAACGCGGTGATAGAAATTGGGCCCAAACAGGCCTGTCCGCTTGTCGGACTGCGCCCTAGGTCCCACCTTGCCCCTTTAGTGCGTCCATATCGCGCCCCATTCCTGTCGGAGGCGAGTACTTGTGGCGGTACGAGCGAGGGCGACAAGAGGGCGGTCCACTCCTCTCGGGGTGGCGGTGACGACAGGAGCAGCGAGTAGTCCATCATTGACGCGTCTTAGCCTGGAATCAGATTGATAACATGTCAAAGCATGAGCCAAGGATTATACTCCGCGAAGACGGACGCGAACGATGGGGCCTTTGAGGGGAGATCTCGATGTTTACTAATGCTGGTAATGAACACTGGCAGGTCGCATTGAAAGCTAGCAGAAGTATATCAGACGCTACAGTGCATAGCAATCGAAGTAGAAAGGTGTATAACGGCGAAGTCATGATGCGTACGCACCAAGATCATCCGCGGTAGATACAGTCGCGTCCGGGAAGAACGTAGCTTTTCGTCCTGCGCGCGGAACGGACAGCGCCGGCGAGGAGCAGTCAATTCTTGAATCCAGAAAGGCCGATCGTCAGCTAGCGTCGGTCAGGCAGTGGAAGGAAGCAACAGATATTTCCGAGTGAAAGGTTCAGACGCCGCGGAAAGGTATAGTCTTGCGGGTCGTTGTTGGACGTGAGCAATTAACTTCACGGTTCCAAGCGGGCTTTCTTGACATTCGCGATGAACTTACACGCTTCAGATGATGGTTGGTCCGGAAGGCCTTGGGCAAGATAAGACGGCTTAAAGAACAGGATAAAGCGTGAGTACACGTGTCGGCCGCTCGTCGCGGCAGATACTTGAAGGACACAGTCACGCAATAACTCGAGGCCTGGGACTGGGAGATAAGAGAGTGGCCGAATGTTTCCTGGTATGCAAACTCACACTTTGGCGGTAAAATCGCAGACGACGAGTAGCATTTCCACGGAGAAAGCTAGCGAATTGGGTAGTCTCTCAGACGCACGTCGGAAGAGGCAGATCCTTCGGGCCAGTAACATCCGCATTCGCTCAAGAACATGAGGCTCCCGGACCGCATAAGGTAGAACAAAAGACGCGCAAGGCCAGGCCCTGCGAAGCCCTTCTTCTATCTTGCAGTAGGCGTCAATCTCGACCCGCTTGTCTTCCCCTCAGGGCACAAAAGCGCTGCTTCTTCATCAGATTGCGCTAGATCTGGGTCGCCTGAAGTCGGAGGAGGACGGGAGGGGCGAAGATCGAATGTTGACTGCGTGAATCAAAGGAGCTGGGTAGAAGAGAGTAGATCAAAGAAGACGAAGCCTTGTAGACCCTGACCTGAGAGACTTGAACCGGCCCAGACTATCGAATCAGGTCCCCGACGTTGAGTGCATGCTGTCCGCAGAACAGACATGATGGAGGGACGCAAGGAACTCGGCATGCGAAGGAACCTCCCGGCATGCGACGGGACCGGCGGCTACGGCTAGCCACGCGAGCAGCCGCAGGAGGCACAACTGAGTCCGCCCATGATGTAATGTGACGTGTAAGGTCACGGTTCGACTTGACTTCGTCCGCGGCTTTATGACATTGAGAGCGACAGAACGACCGCGCTGGACTGCAGATGTGAGCCTCAAAAAATCCTCTCAATCGACGATTCCCAGACTTACTCGATGGCTGTCCATTGGGCGGCCTGAGACGAAGCGAATCTGAGAGCTCGTTGCTGTGAATCTTCGGCGTTGGACAAGCGTACGACCGATTTTCAAGGATCGCCTGCGCCGAGTCCGTCAATACCGGAATGTTGTATCTCACTGCTGCGCTCGTTGACGACATATCCTCGTCATTCCCATAGTCTGCCGACTGTCAGTGAGCGCACCGTTGCCAGCAACTCACTTTGTCAGACGTTGACATTCTCTCCACTTCAAGCCTAGTGATCAAAGGAGAGTTCTCCTCGAAGGCGCGGCTGTTGCAACATCCCTCGCTCTGACGATTGCCCTTGGCGCGGTGGTGTGCTCAAGGGGTGCTGTACGAATCTCAGTCAGCCCTCGGACATCCCTCATCGGCGCCTCACACGCACCGACAACATGCCTACAAACCCGACCGCGGATCGCCACGTCTGAGCCCTTCGATCGCGCTTCTGTTTCTCGTCTTTTCGATCATGGTCCTACCTTGTTGTTTTGCCCACCCGTCCGCGGCCTACTGAAAACAACAATGCCGGCATGGATATCACCGTCGACTACAACCTCCGCGTCGCAGCGCTTGTTCCCGGTCAGTAGTTCTGCGTCCGCGTCAGTAGGCTGGCGTCCATGCCAACCGCTCGCGTGGCTTCCTTCAACTAGCGCGTGGCACTTCTCAACTAGTGCCTCGTGCTCGCCGAAGAACACCTCCCTCTCGCCGGGACCACTCCTTTCTCGCCGAAAACCTTTCACCGACGGTCTCGCCGCGTTCCCCGTCGACTGCGCGCGGCGGCAAGTATAGGTGTTCTCTCGCGCTTGCCTCCGTCTCGGTATCCCGCAAAGTCCGTCAACGCTGTCCGAAGGACCGAGCCCCAGCCGAGCCTGTTTCTTTGCGCTGGCGGCGGTATTTGATGCCTTTTTCCACACCGTCGCGCTGCTTCAAGGCCCGCATCCCGCATTCCTCGGAGAAGGTCGACGGGACGTAGGGTCGGGCGCCTTGTCTCCGCATTTATCGGCGCCAGCTATTCCACGATGCGCAGTTTGTCGTCGTGGAACGTGAAGGCGGCAGCTGAGAGACGTGGATCAGTGATCGAGAGAGGGGTTATCGTCCAAGAGACGGCAAGCACCGACGCAGTGCCAGTCAAGAGACGCGGGCGCAGCAAGCATTGGGCGCCTCAAGAATCGTGGCGTCGGGTCTCGCACCGTCTGATTTACGAGACTGGTTTGCGAGACTACTCGCACCGGTCCTCCGAGTCGTGGCGCCGGAAAGTTGCGCGGTGTGGCGCCCATTGTTCGTCTTGGGGCGCCCAATGTTCGCTGTGCGGGCACCGTGCCACGAGTGGCGTGCATCAGCGCGTGAGTTCCGCATCGAGCCCGCGCTTGAGGGCGTAAGGCCCGCACAGCAAATCACAAGACCCGTGCTGCAGCGCGCTAGACCCGAGCAGCACAGCACAAGGCCCGTGCGCCTTCAGAGCGGCAGAGTCGCTGAGCAGCGGTCAGGCGCCAGACACCAGGAGTATAGAGCGGGGAAGCACTGGCGCGCGTAGGGCGGGCAGGCAAGGGATCGAAGCCGCCGGGCCAGCGCGCTGGGAGTATCTGCTTCACGAGACGAAAGTTTCTGTCGAATCACTGGCAGCCCCAGCGCCGCCCCAAACTTCCATCCCGAGGATCTCGTACGCACCTCCATCTCCGCGAAGTCGGACTCGTGCGCGTAGCCCAGGAGCGACGCGATAGGGTTGGCTTTGTCGATGTATTGTATAGAATCGTAGATGTATGGGATACGCTTGTCGATGTATACTTCGCCGTGGCCCTGCAGATGAAGGCCAACGGCGACAAATGGAATACAGAGGTCCTGCAAATGAAGTCAAAAGCTGATCAGAACAGGGCAGACGCCGACTGAATGCGTCGAACAGCGTTCCTCGCATTCAGTGGTTGACCGTCTCACAGGCTAACTTACGCACAGTCAGGACACGGACTACGCGCGATCAGGAGACGGATATACACGCGCGGCGATGCTGAGGCGATAGAGATACTCACCTGCGGATGATAGATGGTGAGGGTCAACCTGACAGCGGAGGTGCCCGAGCAGAAAGGCCTGGGCATGTAGAGGAGCTCTCACAAATCTTGAGACGTAGTGCGAGCTCCACCTACCAGCCTCTATCACCGCCGTCGCAAAGCACGGGATGAAGAGTTCCACGCCGAATCCCTGCAGTAAAGTACGGAATCAGCACGATCTCAATGTGCGCGGGTGAGCGGGACTTCCTAATGAACGGCCCTTCGGAACGTTGTATGGCTTCAAATGAAGGTATCTGCGTTCAGTCTAGCAAGCTTAGAGGCCCAGAGGAGTCTATGGACCTTGCAAGCGAGATTAGATGCACAGAGTTAGCCAACCGGACGAAAGACGCACATAACGCACGCGAGCCTGTCGCATTGGCTCGCGACAACACCGGGGTCCAGCGCAGCGGCGCGTTCTGCCGCTGTCAGGCCCGCCGACGGGACGGCGCGGCAGAAAGCGGGGGCAGAGGGTGCTTGCTGGCGAGTGGAGACGCTGGGGCGCGCCGCTTCGATTCGACGCGGGCCCCAAAACATATTCACCTTCGTAGACGTCGTGCGCCCAGGCGCGGTAGCAGAGCGCGACAGACGGAACAGGGTGAGGGTGACAGTCTACTACAGCCTGCTACGTATGATACAGGCCGCTGCGCTAGTCCAGGGCGCGCGCAGGCGAACAGGTTGCGCCTCCGCCGGTGCTGAACCCTCCGGATGTCGGTGGAAATATGCAAGCGTCGGCCACCCCCGGTGGGTTGCCTGCACCTATGACTAGTCAATGCTACTGTCGCCAGGCAAACGTGAGTCCTAGTCGGCTCAGCAGCACGCACCGTCCCCAATCCCACACCATGGCCCAAACTATAAGCCAACCGTTAGGTAACGCGCTCGTCACGGCGGAATTCCGCGCCAGGAGGACTCATTACTATTAGGAGCCAGGAAGGCGGGCCTCCGCAGACTCGAGGCCCAGAGCGCACGGCGCAAGCTACGCTGCGCGCGGAGGCGAGCTCGCGCCGATGACGACAGGATTGGCGGCAGCGCGAGGATGAGGCAATCGCGGAGGCACGCGCGACGTCGCGGAAGCAGAAACGTGGCGAGGAAATCAGGAAAAAACCGCGGAGGCAAAGACAAAGCAACCGCGGAAGCACAACACAGGCAATCGCGGAGGCAAAGTTGCGTCGCAGCGCTCCAGCGCGCGGCCTCCATGCTTCACGGACTGCAAGCGATCGCGAGCCGGGCACTGGGTCCGTGAAGGACGCCGCCACGGGTTTTTGCGACGTGCTGCGACCGGGCGTGCTCAGAACGCCGCCGACAGCGGATGAGGCTTCTGGTGAATATTCTGGGCTGCGAACGTGCGTTGCTGCGAGGCGGAGATCGAGTCGATTAATGGCGGCGCAGTCAGGGATTATTGCCATATTTTCTGCAGGCAATTCTATGCTACTTCATGCCCGTTCCTTGGGCGCCAGTTCGGAGCAGCTGAGACATCGATTTGAGGACAGCTGTCCGAAGCCTGATTCGCGAAGATTGCTCACCTTCATACCGCGTAACCAGTATAGCGTCGATAGGTCGCAGCTACCCTGGACCTGAAGTGCAGATAAAGAAATTTTCTCTCAGAGATAAAAAGCGGAGAACAGCCGGTTCCAGTGTTACTGACCGAGTGTTCATTCATCATCAGCTCGCCATGATCCTGTCAGTGAATCCCATAGAGCATCGATATTGAGGTCGTTGTCGGATGTAAGAGGTCCGCAAGGCCTCAGTCATGGAGCCGATGGCATACAGCGAGCGACTCTTCGGGTGCAGGTTTCGGGAGCACGCAGAGGCCGCGGAAGTATTGAGCGGGCTTCTGGGATATGGAGCGCACGGCGTCGCAGCAGCTCGCCGCGACGACGTTCGAGACGAGGCCGGAGACGAGGAAGTTCGCGAGCACGTGCGGGACACGCGGATCTCACGCGTCGGCCCGGATCGAAATTGTTTGAACAATGGCAGTCGAGCGAACAATGGCTTGCCTGTATATTCGAGTGTCAATGGACGCGTTTATTGCTCATTAATCGGGATCAGCTCAAGCGCGTACCTTCCTTTAGCTAAACTACCATTCCGAGCCTTTGGAAGACTCGGGAAGTACGCCGGACAATCGGTCGGTCCATGGCGCGTGGTCCAGACCTCCCCCCGAGTACCGTCCCACGAGAAGTATCGACGGCTTCATGTCGCACATGCAGCACCCTCGGCGTGAGCAGCGTACATACAAGCAGTGCACAGCTAACCCCCTTCTCGTAACTCACGATCCTCCCCTTACGACCACCTGAGCCCAGACCCCGTGCGCCGCCCGCCGCACCTCCCGACGTTGCCAGCGCAGCGCGCGGGATGAAGCTCGGGCGATAGAAGGCGGGGGACGATGACGTGTGCTATGCGGGGGCGTGCGGTGGGGACTGGGCGGCCGAGGCCGAGGCCAGGTGAGCAGGTGTGGGCTCACACCCAGCACTCGTTGCGGGGGCCGCGGAGGTCGCGCGCACCCCCGCCGCTGCATCTTGGGCCTCAGGTCCAGGCTGCAGAAGCGGCCGAGCATTCGTCAGCAGAAGGACATCGCGGCGCGGATAGGCAGGCGTACCTCTGTTGCTGCTGGCTAGTGTTAGCCCGGCGTATTTCGAGCCTATGCTATACACAGCGCGCACACACTAGCGAAGGTCGCGGGAGGGCGTAGAGCGAGGCCCAGTGGCCAGCGAAGTTGTTCGTATCCGCGAGAAAGGGAGGATGTGCACGCGCGCCAGCCGAAGAGACGAACTTCCGCGCGCTGGATGACTCGCACTTGCTGGGCTATCCGAGAGTCGAAAACCCGTCGAAAGTTCGAAGACCGAGTCTCTTGCGCCGGTGCCTCTTGCGAAGGGCAGGATGTTCCGCAGCGCCCCGAGCGTGCGCCCCCCACGCGCCGCCGCACCCTCTTTTGGGTCGCGCTCTCGCGTACGCTACCCCCATACTGCGCGCGCCCCATAACGCTGAGTCGGCGCCGTTTCGAGAACCTTCATATAAGCGAGCCCAGGCAGTGTTGAGCAGCCTCCCTTACCTACGCCCTACTACCCTGGCAGAAGCATACCCTGACTGTCGACCGTGATCGCCACCGACAAGGGCGGCGCGAAGGGGGCGACACTGCTTGGCGGATTCCCGACGCCCTGAACGCGCGAGCGGTGGCGCTAGCAGACAATCATGGACGCAGCGACGTTGGGTGGACGATCAGCGCAGCGAATAGACGATGAATAGCCCATGTAATAGACGTGATCAGCAAGTCGACAGACGGCAGGGACGGCGCTGGGCAGGGCGCCTGCTTTCCAGCAGCGGGACAATGCCTATACCGGAAATTAGTTGCATCTTTGCTGGCGAGAGGTGTCTATTGTGCGGACGTTACGCGCGTGTTGGTGTTGATGGATGAAGGGCCGCGATCAACAAGTGCGCTGCAGGTGCCAAGGGCTGCCATCACCGACGCACTGAAGCCCTCACCCCATTGTTCATGCCCGTGCGTCCATCGCGAGCGGTCGTGATGGAAGACGCGCATCTCCCGCGACGATGCGCGCGCTGCGCGTGCAGGGCTGGGCGTGCATACAACGGTGACTGTGCGCCTCGTAGAGTTTGACTCGGGTTCGAGCAGTGCCATGTAAATTTTCTGCAATAGATTTGAGCTGGACTGAGTGGGTACACATCGGCGGTGGTCGAGCGCGAAAGATGGCGCAGGTGCGGCGGAAGAAGCTGGGCAGGCGGAGACGGGGATCGTGACACGAGACGTGGGCTGGCCGGACGAGGCGGGAGTCAACGGCGCCTCTGACTCTGACATACGGCGGGTCCGGCGGGAGGCGTCGCGCGTGACGAGTCAGCGCCCGGGTGCTGGGCTGGCGCACGAGGCGTGTCGAGCATCGAAGCACGCCGCCGGCGGTTGCGGGTCGCCCGGCCGGTGCCGAAGCCGCTAATTGCACAATACCTTCCGGGAGGATCTGGGATCTGGATCTGGATCTGACCCTGCGGGGATAACTGGTACGGGTGAAGAAATATTAATAGACGTTCGATCAGGCTGGGAGGGGCATATAAACCGCGCCATCGGCTGGGATTTTCGTCGCCCTCGCCGCCCCGCCCCGTCGTCTGCTCGAGCTCCTCGTCTCCTCCCGCCATGTCGTGTGCAATGGATATGGACTGGTGTCTCGCCTGCAACCGCCATCTCGTACGTGCCCCCCACGAGGTTCCCCCACGCCCCGCTCACATCACCCAGGAGGAGGACGCCGAGTTCGGCCAGTACTGCTCCTTCGAGTGCCAGGCTGCAGCCTGCCCCGCATTCTACAACTCCCCACCAGTCATCGTCGACGCATCCCCCGACGCAAGCACCTCCGGAGACGAAGACGACGAGGACATGATCTTCCACTACATCGAGTCCCGCGCCCCCCGTCCGCCAGCACTCTTCACTCGCGAAGGACTCCGCGACGAGGACTGGATCAACCACTGGGCTGCAACCGTTGACCCGGGCGAGCCGGAAGCTCCCCCCGCCGCGCCCTACACTCCCCCACCAGCATCCCTCCCCTCGTCCTCCGCCTCGTCTTCGCGCTCTTCTTTGGCCGCGCCTTCCCCCACCGCCCCGCACGTGCTCTGCCAGCCGTACCAGCGGCCGATCCCACCAACTCTGTGCATGTCGAACTACAACAGCACACGCTCCGACCCATCTCTGCTCGACATGAGCAGCAGCGCACACATCGCCGCGATTTCGATCAGCAGCCGTGCGTGCGAGCCCTCAGCCAGCATCGGCCGGCCCTCCTTCACGGACTCCTCACTCGCGACGCCCGGCTCGTCGCCAGTACCAGTGCCGGTCGCACCTGCGCCGCACAAGACTTCCGTCCTCGCAGCGGTCGCTTCCCACGTCCGCTCATGGATTGGCGAGGCGGGCCCGCTACGAAGGAGCCAGTCACGAGAAGTATCCGCACTGCGAGATGCCCCCGTGTTTCCTGTTGGCGCAACCGTCGCCCCGACCGTGAAGACCTCGCGAACTGCGAGCCTCACACCACCATTCGACGATGAGAACACCGCACCGTGGTGGCCACGCAAGGACGGTAGCTGGGGTAAGCGTCCGCTGGTCGACCCAACACGAGGCCTCCACGCGACCATCCAGCTCCCGCTCCGTCCTCAGGATCCGTTCAACGCCCGCGGGCGTCGACAGACCCGCGTGGTCGCATAGGGTTCCTGGCCGTCGTGTGTGTCTCGCTGTCCCCATCTCTCCTCCACCTAGACGTCTGTTTTCCTCTTGCATATCACCAAAAGGACTCCCCCGGACTTCCTTATCCATCACTGACGGACGGGGCCTCCGAACTCGGGACCCCGCCCGATGACCACCCCTCATGCCATGCCCCATTCCCCTTCCATCGCGCGTCGCAGGACGTGTATACATATATGCTGCCTTGCCACCGAACCCGATTACCCACCCTCCCTTCATCTTCTCTTATCGCAGCCCACCTTCGCTGTTGTCCACTACCCTTGCGGCATACCACCGCCGTCCGCCGCCGGCGCTGTTGCAAAACCTCGTCTTCTCGCATTACGGAACCCTCTTTCCCGCACCTCACGACCTCATATTATATCGCAATCCCCTGCATAGACGCACCGTGTACTCTACCTGCTTTTTCGCGTTGTTCTGACCGATTGTTTACTCAGTCCGGATGGGCTGACCTTAGAAAGTCGGCCCTCCGGGCTCGACGACTACGTACCTACCTACCTGACTACCTATGTCTGTACTATCATGCGTAAATGAGAGAGCGCACTGCTAGATTTTCTCTCATATCTTCCTGTGGGACGCCCGAGATTCGAGTCATCAAAAGGCATCTCAAGTTATCAAAAGGCTCGATTCTGACGGTCTCGAAGATACTGGCATTCAATTGAGAAGGTCCACCACCTCACTACTTCCCACAGCTAACTACGGCTATGGTGCGACGTCGGGGCGCTGCGAGAGCCGGCCAGATATAGTCGAATCGAGGCGCGTAGTGAGGGAACTCCTTCGCCGCCCCAAACTTGATAAGATTGAGAGCCAGAACTCGGCAAGTGCCAGTGCGCGAACGTGATGCCAATGCGCGACTTAGAACACGACGAGATCGCTGGCTGGCTCGTGTTCTCGCGCCTGACAAGGACGGGCGGCATGAGACCAAGAGCGAGAACCCTCGCGTATGTGCGGTGTCGTCGAAGATCGTCACTATCGACAATAGGCAGTCGGCCTGGGCAGACGACCGACTTAGCACGACCATGGGTGAGTACCTTGCAGTAGCGCATCAGTCACTGGGGCGGACGCGCGCCAGATAAAGAGCCTATGTGCTCCAGATCAGCCCACAGGGAGCGCGAAGATCAGGCCGCGAACGCAATCCAGCATACAGCGGCGGCAAGATCAACATACACGGACAGAAGATATCTCCCGCGCAGTGCGACTGAATGTCACGTTCTGGGATTGTATGCCACGCACTAGGAGTGAATACCACGCACTCGGATTGTATACCACGCACAAACATAGATAGTCGACCATCCCGCGGCACGCGATTATGGGTGAGAGTTCGGTGGGAGTCAGGCGACGCAGTCGGCTGACTTGGGAGGTACAGTGGGAGGGGGCGAGCGTCATGGGAGCGGCGCGCCAAGCCTGGATTCGTCCGACAGAGCACAGCATAGGCGGCCAACTTGCGGCCAACGCCCTCCTTACGCCGCCAGGGACGAGCGGAAGCAGCACGGGAGCACGAGAGGAAGGGGAACGGGAGCCCGAGATCCTGAGGTCACCTCCTCGGGAAGTACGTGCGCACCGTAGCACGTGCGGTCACGAGCACGGTTGAACTTCAACTCTGCACCGAGATGAGCTTCCCGGCCGTTCCACCAGGAAAATGCGCGCGACGGATCCTGCCAGTGGCGCACGTCCTACCGTACCTCCTCGCGGATCCCTCAGACGGTCCATTATGGCCAAGGCACTCCGGGATTTTCTGCTTCGCAGCAGCAGACGCCGTGAGATACGGGGGCGCTGCGCCATGACGCGGCGCGCGTTCATGACGAGCGGCGGACGAATCGCAGACGAACGGTGCCCGAATGCCCTGATGGAGGGCAAATGCACAGCGATATACGTGGCGCGCGCGCTCCACAGGGCGCGATTTGCCTTTTGCGGGATGTAGTGGATGTGACCTCTGCGCTGCGCTAGTCGTTATCAGGAAGGTCGCGCGTGGGGAGGCCTTGTAGCTTGAGGAGGCGCACCTCCCCTGGGCGTCATTCCGAGTGCTCTGAGCGCGATCCTCTGCGCGCTTGAGGTGATCTTGGACATGACGATTCGCGTCTGCGGCCTGGAGGAGGTCTAATCCATATGCGGCGCGTTGGTGACCTCGAGGCACGGGCGTGAGATCCGGGGCGAGAGACAGTGGGAAAGAGGGCCAAGGGATGTGAGAAGATGGCAAAATGGCGTCGAGAAGGACAGGAAGACAGAGGGGAAGAACAGGCGAGCAAGAAGAGGGAAGCGATGGGACTGCGGAGGGAAGGATAGACGCTATTGGGCAGTAAGCAGACCAATTGACGAGGGAAAGCATGGGATAGAAGAAGGCACACCGTACTGCGGACGTGCAGGGCGAGTCTTAGTTGACTCGACTGCAGGAAGGTATTGCCAAGCTTCCTTAGGCTAAGCCACCACGCCCCGACGCCGAGAGTAGACGCGCCTTAGCCGAGAGCACAAGCAGGCGCAAACGCGCCGGAGCAGAGCCACCACATCGAAGAAGCCGTCCGGCTATCGTCCTGCATGTACCCCCGTTTCGTCGGAAGCCTGCCCTGGACAGAGCACTTCAGCATGGATGGTACCGGGTTCAGTGATATCATGTCTTCTTTGTAACCTGCGGTTTGTGGGCGTACCGGCGGCAGGCTGCGGGCGTAAATACGACTGTGACAATGCACGTGGGCGTGAGGGCTTACCATGCATCGGCGCCGGGCGGGCGGACGTACAACGTGTCCTCGAAGGGCAGAAGCATGCTGCGATCTGGAAGATGAAGTGACGCACGCGAATACGCATGAGGACCTCCCGCGTGGCCGTACGACGCCCCCAACGTCAGTCTTCATCGCCTGCGAGGTGCGCTGGAGGAGCAAGCGGCTTGCACACACCGCGCTGCCCTGAGATCCTCTCCCCTTCCTCACGCTTAGCGGTAGCATCAAAGCGTACACGAACATGAGTACGCAGACCCTGCCTTTCCATCGGACGCATTTGGACAATGCGTTTGTGGGTCCTTGGGCGTCCCCTCCCGGCTATATTGATGCCGCATCAGGGGGGAGGGGGCGAGGGGGCGCGTGACGCAAGATAAGCCCAAATGGCACAAGCACATCTGAGGTCCCTTGGAGGGGCGCTTCCATGGCGGCCGCCCAGTGCCTGGGGCCGATGTGAGGCCTCTGACGCTCGAGATCGAGAAGTAAGCAGCCTGGAAGTATGCGCGGAGACTTCGATTTTGCAGAGGCAGAGTCGTGTCCTTCATCGACGAGTGAACTTGAATTCTCGGAGTTGAACTTGAACCTGCGGCACGGAGCCAAAACGGAACGCAAGTTTGCCTCCTTTGCCTCCGGGACGAGGTCGATGAAGAGACCCTTGCTCAGATGTCATGCCTGGTCAGGCGTCATGGGCCGACCGCGCATGGGACCGCGGCGTGAGGGCCAGCCGCGGCATGAGGGGCATCCGCACGCGGGCGCGCCCACCACCAACGTCGCGGAGTTGAACTTACGGACCGCCCCCCGATCAGCACCCGATATCCCAATATCCCACGCTTGAATCGGGCTTGGATGTGTTTTGGTGTGCCTGCGCCGGACGCTCAAAGGACGCTGGCCGGGCGCATCAGAACGTTTTGAACCCGGAAGCCCTCCGCTGAATTATACCCCGACTGGCACCGGAGGGCGCAGTGATAACAGATAGACCTGCGCCCGATGATGCATTTGACGCCACGATCTGACGGTTGGAGGTCTTGTCCTGATCGTGCAGGGCTACCTGCGCCGGGCTTGAGAGCTTTTCACTCAGCAATATATTCGATGACAGACAACATAACCAATGACACCCCGCACCTTTGGCGTGATATGTCCCCGAGCTCGGAATGTGCCTTCAGTCATCAGAGGCGGAGAAGTTGTATTGACGCCCCGCAATCCAGTCGTCGACCGGGGTAGTGGACGAGAAAGTGATTACTCTTTGACAAAGAGCCGCAGCGGTACCGACGTCGGACACTCTGAATAATCCGTTACAGAGCTACAGCCTCTGGTTAGCCTCGGTACTGCGCAAGCGCATCAGTCGCGTATGGCCAAAATACCGCGGATGAGTAGAAGGTAGTCGTAAGCGTCTTATGAGGAAACGCTGACCGACCGGGGGGTTCGGGCAGTACGAGCAAGCAGCGAGGCTGAAGACCTCGCTCTGAATCTCGACGCTGCTCTGGAGTAAGCGGAACGGATCTCTGAGAAGCAATTCAGCATTGTATAAACCAGAAGTTGACGAGCGCAAACCTTGAAAGCCCAATGCAAACTCTCTTAGCAGAGGGGCCTTGTACGACGCCGTACGACTCCGACGAAGCGCCGTTGCGCCTTCAGCTGAATACTCTACTCACGACGGCCTCGAGGCTGAGCGCCGCCATCTCCGCAAAGAGAAGATCTGCCTATATTCAGTGTTCGTGCCTGTGCTATGGCAGAAGAAGGATTTTCGACGCACGGGTTTGGACATTCTCACACGAGTTCAGACACCCCGCAAGATGTCAATGACCCTGGATTGGCGCAATGTCTGCCTGAGATGAAGACGACTTCGAGGTGCGGGGAAGGGCAGTCATGGGACAATAGGTCCGTCCTGAGGTCTGATATCTAATTTTCGCGTCAGCCACAGCGCATTGAGGACAACAATATCTTCCCACCTTCATAATTCGTCGTAGAAATTATCACTTCGCGCAACCAGGCCCCGGTATGTGCCATCAGCAAATCGACAGCACTTCCGCCATGAAAGAAGGCTGTGACCCATGGGAAAAGAACACAGTCTCTAGCCTCGGTTGTTCCTATGATACCAGCCTAGCGCCTGCCACGAGTATGATGAACTCTCGTATCGCCACGAACATGATGAATGCTCGCTCGTACAGCCACGATTTTGAGCTGTCAGACCTCTTGATAGGTCCTATTGAAGCCCTCCATGTCTCCGTATCAGCCCTGACCTTTGAATCGATGGTAAAGATAAGCTCCCTCACCGTCCTTCGACTCGGAGTGACCGAGGTTCATAGCGAACTCCGACGTCGCGAGAGCAAAGTCTTCGGCACACAAACACGGAGTTGATGGTAAGCAGTCTCACGCAGGAAGCAGTCCGTCCCACGCAGGATTCGCTGGGATTTGATGCTCATGCGATCTTCCAAGCGCGCTCAGCGCACGATCTTCTGGGTCAGGGTGAAATAAACGGCTCTTTTCTGCTGACCTTCTGACCGAAGGCATCACAGCGCACTATGCGGCCGGAGCGTCTGGTTTCGGTAATCCCGAAAATGGCAGGTTTGGTTGGGTTGTGGTGGCGCATGGCGCATGGCGCACGCGGCTGATGCAAACTAGAGCAAATCAAGGATATATTCGTGATGGAGTCGAGGAACAGGTGTCTGGTGGCGCGAGATCAGCATTGCATGTTGAAGTTCGCCTCGGGGGACGGTGAAGGTTGGAATCAGGAGAGGCACGCGCCGTTTGGCAAGCGTGACCTGTGACTCGCCCGGAATCTGCCGAGACGCGGGGTCCCGCGAGTTGGCCGGGGCTACAGAGCTACGTACTCGTCCTTGTCCTCTACCACCACCACGACTGAGCCGCTTTCTGCACTCTGATAGGACTCATCCAGCTTGTAAGTGTAGGGGGATTTTCCTGCGAGCTGACAGCAACTACAATGAAATCCTGGTTCTAGTTTGATTTTGCTGCCTCGTTGTTCGTGGAAATCCTTGGCTTATTCACTCTGTGCTGCTAGCTACTCTGTGTTCTCCCAGACTTTGAGCCCTTCTGACGCACGGCACTTTCCGACCCCAAAGACCCACGAAATCGGTATGTCCGAATCTCACGGGGTTCGATTCCCCCTCAAGATCCTGCATACCGCCCCGAGCACGTTTCATGGCCATCTCCCGCGCCGAAAATCCCACTTCAGCAACTCTAATTATGCCTTCCAGCGCTCGAACTGTGCAATTATAGTCCTTCGACGCGATGTCTGCTCTCACGCCGGTCCTGCGCACGCGCCTTACTCAGCTACTAAGTCACGCGAAACACACCCCGCTCGTCGACGCCGACGCGACTGACCAGCATCCTCGCAGATATCCGAACACCCGTGCTCGTCGCGCCCATGGCGGGCGCAAGTGGCGGTAGGCTTTCTCTCGACTTCCCGCTTCGAATTCTCTTTTCTGACGAGCCGCAGGCGCGCTTGCCGCGGAGTGCACCCTCGGTGGCGGCTTTGGGCTCATCGGCGCAGGAACGTCGCGCGACAATGTAATTATCTCCTTACTTCCAATTGCGCTGAGACGCTGCTCCTCTAGGCTACGACTCACCCGAGCAGCTCAGGGACGAGCTGAAGATTGCCGCGGCGCGCCTATCAGCAAAAGCGCAGGGCGCGCGCCTCCCGGTTGGAGTCGGATTCCTTGGGTGGCAGCTGGACTCCGGGACGTGGGGGGCCGATACCCTACGGGTGGCGCTCGAACACAACGTCGCTGCCATCTGGCTCTCCTTCGGTGACAACTCGAGCATCGCCAAGTGGGCGCGCTTCGTCCGCGAGCACGAGACGCCCGGTCCGCGCACGCTGCTCTTCTTCCAGACCGCATCCCCTTCGGACGCGCGTAAGGCCGTCGAACAATGGGATTTTGACGTGATTGTCGCGCAAGGTCATTTTTTTCATTCATTGTACGCTACTCAATCAGACCTTCTAATGTATTCCCATCCTCAGGTTGCGAATCGGGCGGACATGGCTTCGCGGACGCGCCTCCTCTGACGGCCCTGCTTCCTGCGATGCGAGCGGCTCTGCCAGCTGAAGTCCCGGTCCTCGTCGCCGGAGGCCTCGCGAATGGCAGCCAGCTCGCCGGCATGCTCGCTATGGGCGCCGCCGGCGCCGTCTACGGCACCCGCTTCCTCCTCGCGCCAGAGAGCAAGTACAACGATGCGCAGCGCGCCGCCCTCCTCGCCGCCTCATCCTCCGCCACCGTGCGTACCATGGCTTTCGATCACGCGCGCAGCACTCTGGGCTGGCCTGCCGGCGTCGACGGTCGCGGGCTCCGGAACGGTAAGTGCCGTAGTGCTCTTAGGCCGCGCGGACTTCGACTTTATGATGAACGCTTGGCATTGAATGGACATATTGCTTCTAGATACTGTCGCTGACTTTGAAAGCGGCGGAGACCACGACGAGCTGCGACGGAAGTACCAAGAAGCTCTCAAGAAGAACGACACGAGCCGTACCATTGTATGGGCCGGTACAGGCGTTGGCCTCATGGATACTGTCAAACCGGCGAAGGTGAGCTTACCTCTGATCATTGATCGTAATACTTGCTGCATTGCTCCTTTTAGGACATCGTCAAGGAGCTCCATACGGATTGTGTTCGCCATTTAGCGGCGGTGGCAGACGTCCTTAAGCCCGAGCCCGCAGCATCCAACCAAGCAGCGCTTCACGAAGGGTCCAAACTGTAGCATACTTTCTCAAGAAATCTTAGCCAAACTCAAAGTCAGACCGCATCTTCACGAAACCGTCATCCCGCGAAGCGAAGCAGTAAGAAAGTCATTGCTATAGTACACACTCTATGTACTGTGAGACAGCGGTATTCACTTGCGATGGGACAGATATACATTGTACAGGCGACGCGCGGCGTCAAGCCAACTTCTTCATTTCCGACACCAGCAACAATCAGTGCACAATCTCCACGGTCAAGTCGCCCTGGTTGATGGAGTCGCCTATAGCCTCCGTCAGCACCCACGCCACAACTCGCACAATTGAAAGAAGCGTACCTTCGTGCACCACAACACGCTTGATATGCCCAGATACAGGTGCCGTAACGGCGGACTCCATCTATCAAGACGGTCAGAACGATTGCAAAGATACGGGCAGACGGGTTCCTCACCTTCATGGCGCTGAGGACTGTATACAGAAGATGAACATTCAGCAATGTACAAATCTTCGAGCGGGATGAGATACGCACCGCAGACGGGGTCACCCTTCTTAATCTCCTGGCCCTCCTTGACCCGCACCTCTATCACGACACCCGACATAGGCGCGCCAACCGAGCCCGGCTCGTTCGTCGCCTTTTCGCGCGAGACAGTCTCCACGGCGGAGTTCTTGTCCTCGACAGCGACCGCGCGAACCTCGCCGTTCACCTCGAACCATACGTCACGCTGCGCCTGGCCTTCCACGACGGGACCGACAGCCATGAGGCGGACAATCAGCGTCTTGCCCTTCTCAATAGAGATGTGCATCTCCTCCCCAACGTCCGGACGGCTGAGGAAGTAGCGCGTGGGGATGACGCTGATCCGAGGATATCAGTACGCGATAACGCTGAGCAACACTCGCGCAAGACGCACCTCAGGTCGCCATACTTCTCCAAGAATTGCTGGTACTCTTCGAAGACCTGAGCGTAAGGAGTCAGCCGAAGTCCAAGCATGAATCCGGCGATAGCGAACCTTCGGGTACATCACGTACGACGTGACATCCACATCGGTGATGTGCTTGCCGAACTTGGCCCTCAAATCTGCCTTGATCTTCTTGAAGTCGAGCGGGTTCATGGTCGCTCCCGGACGCCCGTCAATCCGCGGCTTGTTGCGAATGATCTTGGTCCTCAGCGGCTCCGGGAACCCGCCGACCGGCTGGCCAAGGTAGCCCTGGAAGAACTCGACGACAGAGGACGGGAAGTCCAGCTCCTCAGCGCGGTTCAGGACGTCCTGCTTGGAAAAGTTGTTCGACGTCATCCACTGCGCGAAGTCGCCGACGACCTTCGACGACGGCGTGACCTAACGTGCGAGATAGGTGGTCAGTACGGAAGATCGTATGGCGTGGCATCCGCAATACCTTGATGATGTTGCCGCACTATCGATAGATACGGTCAGTCCCAAGTCTAATCCGAGCTTATCCCACACGTACCAGCTCATTGGCCTCAATGTACTTCTGCTTGATGACTGCCATACCCCATCAGCATCCCACACTTCGAAGCCAACCTTGATACGCACTCGACCATTGCGTCCCCAGGCCAAGCTGCGCAGCTTGGAACTGCACGACTCCCGTCAGTCTTCCATGCCAGAAGATTGAGGAAGCCACCCACCATCAAGTTCGTGTACTGGCCACCAGGCATCTCATGGTCAAACACACTAGAGTCCGACGCGCGCACGTTTGCCTCGAAGCAGCTGTAAAGCATGCGAACTTGCGACCAGTAGAGGTTCAGCGCCTGGATGTCGTCATAGCGAATGCCCGTCCCAAGTTTGGTCTGCTCGAGCGCCATGCAAACCGCACCCATCGCCGGCTGCGAGGTCAGCCCAGACATGCCTATCCCACCGCATCAGTCCAAATCTTTGCGCGAGGAGATGGAGTACCACTCACTATCGATAGCGACGTCAACAACATCCGCGCCGGCGGCGGCGCAGGCAAGCATGCTGGCAGCAGCGATGCCGGCAGTGTCGTGAGAGTGGACATGGATGGGGAGGTCGGGGTACTTCTCGCGGAGGGTACCAATGAGCCTGCGAATCGGTAAGTTTCAAGGTACAGTATGCACGAGCAGCGATAAGGCGCGGGGAACACATTCAATGCGCACAAGAGGCACTCGTCGCGCGGGGAGATGACGCAACGACGGTGGGTTGAGGGGATGATAATGGGCGAGGCACGGCGCAGGAGGTGGAGCGGGAAACGCCGAGGTTTGGGGGAGGTGGCCAAAAATGCAATGCGACAAGTTCACGTACAACTTCGCCGCCTCAGGCTTCAGCAGGCCCGCCATGTCCTTGATACCGAGGACATGAATGCCCTCCTGCACGAGCTTCTCCACGAAGTCGAGATAGTACTGCAGCGTGTACTTCGTCTCCTTCGGCGACGCGACGTCGCCGGAGTAGCACACGACGGCCTCGCAGACACCACCAGCCTTCTTGGCCGCATCGATACCCAGTTGCATCTGCAAGAGGAGTCAATTGAACAACCTGTCCGGCGGCGAACGATATGCAGATAAACGCACGTTCTCAAAGTAGTTCAAGGAGTCGAAGACACGGAAGATATCGAGTCCATTCTGCACGGCCTTCTTCGAGAAGTCGTAGATGGCGTTGTCCCTGGCGATAACTGTCAGTATTGACCTCAGTCTTACATCACATGCACATACGGGTAGCTCGTGTATCCGACACCGTTGGCGCCACGGACGAGCGCCTGGAAGGGAATGTTGGGGACGAGCTTCCTCAGCGTGCGCTATTCATTGTGTCAATAGTTTCTCCTCGTCCCAAGCTAAGTTACTCACCAACCGCTCCCAAGGGTCTTCGTACAAGAACCGCATCGCCACGTCGAAGGTCGCGCCACCCCAGCACTCGAGACTGTACGCATTCTGCAGCGCCCAGCTCGTCTCCTTCGCGATGTTAACCATATCGATTGTCCGCAAGCGCGTGGCGAGCAGGCTCTGGTGCGCATCGCGCCAGGTCGTGTCCATGATCAGGCAGCCCGGGTACTCACGGACGGCCTTGGCGAACGCCTCGGGGCCCTTCTCAATGATGATGTTGCGCCAGCCAGTTGTGCAGGGCTGGGAGGTGTCGAGGGGCGCAGCGGACGGGTCGTCGCGGTTGTTGAGGGTCGGGATGACAATGTCATCCTTGAGGCCGGGCTCACCCTGAAAGAAATGAGTATATGGTATGATTGCTAGCATAACACACTTACGACTTGGCCCTTGATAGAGCTGCCGTTGACGGCGAGGTCGCCGAGGTAGGCAAGTAGCTTCTGCGCACGGTTCTGGCTCTGAACGAGCTTGAAGAGGTCGGGCGTGTCGTCGATGAACTATCACTCCACCGTGAGCACAGGCAAATCCCAAGAAGAGTTACTATACGCACGGTAGTCCAGGTCTTGCCACCAATGAAGACATCGTGCGTCAACAGACGGAACAAGAAGGGGATATTGGTCTTGCTTATGATCAGAACTTGTCCTACAAAGTGAAATGACCAATACTTACTTTGACACCACGGATACGGAACTCGACGAGCGCACGCAACATCTTCCTGCGTGCAACCTCGTACGTCGTGCCGCTGACCGTGCACTTGACGAGCAGACTGTCGTAATGCGGCGTGATCTGCGCGCCAGCAAAGCCAGAGCTCGCGTCGAGGCGGACACCGTTACCACCCGCGCTGCGGTAAACCTCAATCTTGCCCGTGTCCGGCTGGAAGTTCTGCGACGCATCCTCGGTGGTGATACGGCACTGGATGGCGAAGCCGCGCTTGGTAATAGCGTCCTGGGTCAGACCGAGCTGAGGAAGGGTCGCGCCAGCGGCGATCTGGATTTGTGCAGCGACGATGTCGATGCCAGTGATCTCCTCTGAGAGAACGTAAGCTCAAAGGTGCGGTACCAGGGCTGCTCAACTTACCAGTGATGGTGTGCTCGACCTGAATACGCGGGTTGATCTCGATGAAGTAGTGGCGGCCCATCTGGTCGACGAGGAACTCAGCAGTACCCGCGTTCCTGTAGCCGACACTCTTCGCGAGCTTGATAGCATCCGAGAGGATGGCCTGGCGGACCTCATCTGGAAGGTGAGTCGCAGGCGCAACCTCGACGACCTTCTGGTGACGACGCTGGACAGAGCAGTCACGCTCGAACAGGTGGATCGTGTTGCCCTGGGCATCGGCGAGGAGCTGCACCTCAATGTGGCGAGGGCGCTCAAGGAAACGCTCGATGAAGACGGTGCCATCACCGAAGGCAGACTTTGCCTCAGAAACAGCACGCATGAAGGCATCCTTGAAGTCAGACTGCTCGCGGACGACACGCATACCGCGGCCGCCTCCGCCCATAGCCGCCTTGATGATGACTGGGGTCTATGTTAGTTGAACAAGCCCGCAAACATATAGGAGCGGACATCGCACCTGGGAAGCCGTACTCCTTGATGAACGCGTCGCCGTCCGTGTAGCTGTCAACGGGACCAGGGGTACCCGGGACGACGGGGACGCCGCACCTCATAGCTGCAGAACGCGTTAACATGTGCAACTCGTGGTGACGTCGTTTGCCTACCGAGAGTGCGCGCCTTCGTCTTGTCACCGAGACCATCGATGACCTCCGGGGAGGGACCGACGAAAGCAATACCAGCTTGCTCAACTTTACGCGCGAATTCGGCATTCTCGGAGAGGAAGCCATAGCTAGATCATCAACATCAGTGACGCGCCCTCCGCGCTTGACCGATCGCGTACCCGGGATGAATCATATCAACACCATGCTCAAGGGCGATGCGGATGATATCGTCCTGCGCGAGGTACGCGCCGACCGGGGTAAGGCCCTTTCCGACCTGGTACGCCTCATCGGACTGTACATAGCGCGTCAGCCGGGCATATGCGCAGCAGGAATGGATCGCACCTTTTGCCTGTGGGCAGACAGCCGATCTTCGTACGAGTAAATCGCGACAGTGTGCATCGCGAGCTCGTGAGCCGTACGGAAGACACGGATAGCAATTTCCTGCGTATATGCGTCAGTTATCGCTCGCGATGGTGCCCATCGGGACGCACCCCGCGATTCGCGACGAGGATCTTCGTCAATGGGCCGCTGTGGCCTGCCGCCTTCCTCCGCATCGTCTGGATGGAGTGCACGGGCGTGCCGGGGGCGCTGGGCGTCCCCGCGAAGAGGGGGCCGAGCCGCGGCGGGTGAAGAGTCGCGGGCGGGGTGGACATGGTGGTGGTTGGAAGCAAGAGCGATCCGAAGACGGATGGGGCGGGTCAATTGTCTAGGATGACGCGGGCGGCGCGATGGCTGTCACGGTTCGGCTCGACGTTCTTGGCCGTCGGGGGTGGGCGATGGGTGCTGTACGACGCAGCCGCGCACTCTGCGAGCTTTCTGAGGGAAATAAGGCGGCGAAAGGCAAGGGGGGCGCAGCGGGCGTAAGGCCACCTCTTGGCTGCGATCTTATATCACGCGTACGTCCAGTTCTCATTCCCCCGCAATCGCGGCGCCCGTCGGTACGCGTCAGATCAACCATCTCATCGTGCGCTCAGTCGTCTATCGCGCCCTCCGTCCGCAGCTGGTCGCGCGCAACCAGGAGGCGCAGAAGCTCTTTGCTCTACCGACGCAGCCCTCCGTCTCCACGACAATCGCAATTCCGCGTCGATATCGACCTGCTTGGCGCCACTCGGCTGGCTTGGCACCTTCGACTCCCGCCCCATCAGAACTCGATGCTCAAGCCAAGTCACCTACGTGTCCGCCGCGAAAGACTCGGGGTGATCTGCGGCTTTGTTGGAGGGTGTGTAGGGTATGCGGCGTTAGCGATAAAGGTCCGTTCCGCTGGCCTTGGCGGTAGGTTCACGCCTGACGACGGCTGTACATGTCGACCTAGCTTTCCGTATGAGCGTGTTCATCAGCGATGTCGGCCTACTTGTCAACTCAGTCAAGGACCTTATCCGAGCTGGCTACAACGCAAGCAGCACAGAGAAGCGAGCAAGCTATCTTCGTCCCTATCCCTCGTCCCCCGGGTACTGCGTTCGATCTATGCCTTACAGCGCATCTCACCAATCATTACTGCAACTTCATCGCGGTCTGTTCAGACGCAGGATACCTCTACGGACAATGGACTGGACTGAGGCAATTGCTCAAGTCGAACTTCCGGCCGAAATCGAACTGTGACGTCACGCGTTATAGCAGTCCAATCGTCGCGTCGTAATATGCAAGCTGAGCCCAAATTGCATTGGTTCCTAAACGCTACTGTCCTGACGCTTCTTCTACTTCGTGCTCCCCCTCTATCTTACTGCCACAAGCATTGGGATCGTAGATTCCACACAATCCTGAAACTAAAAAAGGCCTTCGTCAAGGCTGTTCGTTCTTTCGGCATGCGAGCGCAGCCAGCTGAGCGTCCGCCTCCTCGATAACTTTCTGCAGCCTGCAAAACTCAGTCAATCGATCGATGGGCAACAAAAATACGAATTCGCACAACTTTACAAGCGCCGGATTCTTCGCCACCAGCGGAAACAAATGCTTGAAGTCCTCGCGCTTGGGTTCAATCAGCGCTTGCGAAGGCAATCCACCCCGAGGCTGCTGACTCGAAGACGATCCCGAAGAGAGTATCTTTTCAACGATTCGCTCTACGTCGCGTGATATCGGCTTCGCCTCTGCCGCCAGCAACCATTTTGGGTGCGGCAACAGCTTAGCGAGGGCGGAAAGTGTCTTCTGGTCCACTGAGCGAGGCTGAGTGTACTGACCCACAGGAGGCGGTCCCTGGGTGCTCGCCAGACTCTGATGCGCCTGTCGCGCAAACGGACCGCTTCCAGTCGTGATCCCCTCCCCTGGAGTCTCTACCATGATGCATTTTGCACGAGGCATACTCCCCTCCTGCGCTGAGGATAAAGCTTGTCGTTTGTTGCTAGGTGGACGCCCAGGACCGGATGTCGGCATGCGCTTCATCGCCCCCGTAGCCGTCACATATCCTGCCATCTCCGGCTCGAAGAGTGGCGGCGCCGAACGGGATGCAGTGGTCGTATGTCGGCGTTTGCCTCTAGGATGACCGCGAGGAGGCATGTTGGGATGCGACGGGGTATAGGCGTCGAGAAAGTAGATCAAGAAGTAGCAGAAGGAGAATCGCGAACAGACGTAGGTGCGGGAGTGGCATGCAGTCGTCGTCGAAATCGGCAGACTGCCTTTGGTGGCATGGAAGGCTTATATAATAGATTTGAAGCCTTTCGAGACATCTGCAGGTGCGTTTGCTTTCGGTGGCGAAACGTCTGGTCCTGGCTTGAAAGGCGTTGGAGATGGACCCACCCAGAGTACTTGCCAGTGATCAGTCTACACTGAAGGAAAATTATGAGGCAGAGATACCTCAGGAATTTAGAAATCTTTACCTAGACGGTGCCCAGTCAGCCGCACGAGGATGCCGGTGGTGGTCGATAGGAAGTTCAACTTCACACTACGTGTGACCATGCGAAACTCGGCGATTGCCGATACAACGGCAAGCGTGGGCTACACCTCGCCTCCCTCCGCCACAGGCCCGCACACACGACATGCCCTCGTCTTACACACCAAGAAACTGCATTTTGGAATCATCGAGCATCTCGAATCTGACCCTCGCTCTCTGATCTCTGTCGCAGTCACGTGTCAATGCCGGCGTGCAGCGTCTTACACTGCAACTGCGACTGGTTCAGGCAACCACTTTTCTTCTGTATCTGTACAAGAGAAGCCGAATGCGTACTTGACGTACATCAAACAATCTCATATTCATGCACCCACTGGAATTATGTCCTTTTCCTTACTCCCTGTCCATCGTCTTCTTCCTCTCCTCCTCCACCGCCCCCGGCCCATCCCTCGCCTCATCAAACTGATACCACGGGAAGTCCATCAGCACCGTCCTTTTCACCCACAACGGCAGCGGGCGGTAGAGCGCTGGCGGTAGGGGGATCAGGACGGACGTCCGGGCGAGGTGCGCCTTGTAGTTCGTCCAGGCGTCCGGGAAACCCGAATTGGCCTCCTCGGACTGGGGCCCATGGCTCATGAGGTAAAACTTACGCCCGGTGGGCTTCTCGGCAGTGGGCACGCCAGAGGCGAACATGAGGAGGCTGAGACGATGTTAAGTCAGTGGTTTGATCGCGAAAGTCGGTAATGAGAGATGGTGGACGCACATGAAAGTGAATAACGGAGACACGACGGCGCCATATTGCGCCGCCCTAGCGGACGAGGACAGGGTCCCCTTCGTCGTAGGCGAGAGACACAGGATCCAGATCCCCCACCAGCAGAGCATTCTAGGAGTGCGTTAATGGAAGCTTGATTTTACGGTTTGACGCGCGGTGGATACTCGATAGATACTCACTCGCCGAAGTAAGGGGGATGCCTGGACCACGCCCAAAGGCCTTTCTGCTGGAGGTCAGTGCGCGGTTTGGGTAGTTGATCGGTTATGTCAACGCACATTCATCGGCTTGTCCTTCGGGACGGCTTTCTTTGACTTGTAGTAGAACTAGATGTCGCCGTCAGCACTCGCCTGTAACATCGTATTCCGTCGCAATAAACCTTCTGTCCATCCGCCACGGTCTCGATGACCAAGCCGATAGCCCAAAGCACAATGCCTGCGATATCGCGTCCAGTCCCGAAGGCCGGGTCGGACCCACCGAAGCGCGTGTCCGACACAGCGGGCGAGTTTAGAATTGTGACGGGGAGAGACACGGTCCAAACCCAGACGATTTGTCCTGTGAAGGTCGCCGAGTGGATGAGCGCGAGTCCGTGTAGCGGAAGGAGGGAACTGACCGACCCAGAAACCTGCAGAAGGGGTCAGACTTGATACTCATGGCAGAGGGTGAGATTGACGATCCACGCACCCAAGAATTTGAGAAAGTGCGACCGTATATCGTCGAAGCGGGCATCGCTGCCCGTCTTGAGTACGCGGAATAGGAGGAAGCCTACGATGTAAGACAAGTGAGAAAAGCGTTTGCCACGAGCGTGAAGGCCTCGCACGGCGTACCTGCGATGCGGGTCGCCCAGATCATGACGAGTACGCTCGCCACGATGTTGCGCGCATGGAAAGTGTTTCCAATGAGGAGCGTCAGAAGTGCTGCAATGGTGTAAGTCCTCAAGAATCGGACGCGTCGACCACATCCGTACCGAGGAGGAAGAAATTACTGCCTGCGTTGCTCGCCATGAGCAATCTCGGGCGACAAAAGCTGAAGACCACGCACCTCCAGTAAAGTCGGTGATCTTGTCGAACTGTAGCGTCCAGGCGATAAAGAAGCCGAGCATCTGATACCCTATCGTGACAAGCAGGGTTATACCCAGATAATAGTGGTCAAGCGCGTAGACTGGCGCCATCGCGACTGAATATTATTCCTTGCTGTTATAGTTCGTGGCGGGAAGCAAGGGGAGCGTAGTGGTAGGATGTAGATGACGCTTATGAAGCCCCAAAGCAAGTTAGACAAGTTATACCTCATGCGGGAGAGGATCGGGGCTCGGATCGGCGTCATCGTTGAAGGCACTCGCCAACGCGCAAGTCAGGGAGCAGGGAGAGCTGACCATCGAGAGACGTAGGGCATAGAAGTATAGAAACATAACGGAAGATAGCTAGCGCTTCAGTCGCCTAAGACAAGCACCGCGAGTTCGAACTTACGACTTCGATTCGAGAGAAGGAGCCTTTGTCACAAAAGGTGACTGAGTCACAAAGTACGCTCCTATGGCAAGTCACCTGACCGATGCGATGAGCGGCGGAGTTCGCGCCGCGCGCGTCGTGACACTCAACGACGACCACCATTCTTGCTTTGAGCGCCCACGAGTAGATGAGGGTATCGTATTGAAGCAAGGCTTACGAGTCTTTTCCAGACTAATCACCTCTTCGCCATCTCGGACTTCGTCTTGCTTCTCGTGAACCATCATCATGAAGATTCTATGTGTGGCCGAGAAGCCCTCAATATCCAAGTCTATAAGCCAAATTCTGTCTGGAGGAAGGCTCAGCACCGTGCGTGGACCATTTCAGAGTGGTTGGAGCGCGTGGCTGACGCGAACGATAGCGGTCGACGCAATGTAACTATATCAAGAACTACGACTTCGACTACGCGCCCCGTAACGCCAGAATGACGGTGACCTGCGTAGCGGGCCACCTCACGCAACAAGACTTCTACGACACGCACAGGAAATGGCACTCCTGCGCACCCATCGCGCTGTTCGAAGCCGACGTCAATACATTCATCCCACCCGACAAGAAAGCCATTGAGAAGAACCTGCTAGCTGAGGCGCGAAGTGCAGACATAGTCATGATCTGGACCGACTGCGATCGCGAGGGCGAATACATCGGATGGGAGGTAGTGTCCGTATGCAAGCGAGCGAAGCGGAACATTAGGGTAGAAAGGGCACACTTTAGTGCCATCATTGCTCGGTGCGTTGCGTGTGCATGCTTTGGGTGCTATACCGTGCCAACAGACCCTCAGAGACATCCACAACGCTGCACAGAACCCGCAAGAACTCGACCAGCGACAGGTGGACGCCGTCGCCGCGCGCACCGTTCTCGACCTCAAGATCGGCGCCGCGTTCACGCGAATGCAGACCATGGGGCTGCAGGCCCACATCCCCGTCATAGGCGACAAGAGCCATGTCATCTCGTACGGCTCCTGCCAGTTCCCCACCCTCGGCTTCGTCGTCAACCGCTTCAAGCAAGTCAAGAGCTTCGTCCCTGAGGACTTTTCCTACATTCATCTTACCATCAAGGCGCCCGGCTCCAACGACGAGACCCCCTTCACTTGGCAGCGTGGCCGCATCTTTGACCGTGACGTCGCCGTTGCGCTCTACCAGCTCGTTATGCGCGACACGCTCACGACCGTGACCAAGGTCGTCAAGAAGACCACGAAGAAATGGAAGCCGCTTCCGCTCACAACTGTCGAGCTACAGAAAGCCGGCTCCCGCCTGCTGCGCCTCGCGCCCAAGCGTGTCCTCGATATTGCGGAGAAGCTCTACCAACAAGGGTTCGTGTCCTACCCGCGCACTGAGACCGACCAGTTCCCGAACAACATGGACTTCAAGTCACTCATCGAAAAGCAGAAGGCAGATGCCACATGGGGCGCCTTTGCGACGAAGCTGAACGATCAAGGTGGCTTTGAACGCCCACGCAAGGGCAAGCACAACGACAACGCGCATCCGCCGATCCACCCCACGGCGCACGCCGCACAGCTCGCGGGTGATGAGAAGCGCGTGTACGAATTTATTGCGCGCCGCTTCCTTGCATGCTGCTCCAAGGACGCTGAGGGGTTTCAAACGGTCATCGACGTGCTCTGCGGTGGCGAGGCATTCCACACCACGGGCCTCATCGTGCTTGAACGCAACTACCTCGAAGTTTATGTCTATGATAAGTGGAACGGGCACGCGGTGCCCGAGTTCCAGCAGGGCGACGAGTTCCAGCCAGCGCGTGTGGAGCTGCTGACTGGGACGACGACGGGGCCGAACTATTTGACGGAGGCAGATTTGGTGACGTTGATGGACAAGAATGGGATCGGGACGGACGCAACAATCGCGCAGCATATCGAGACGGTGATCAATCGCGAGTATGTTATCGAGGAGATGGCGGGGCAGACAAAGTATTTGAAGCCTTCGACTTTGGGTATTGGGCTGGTGGAGGGCTACGACCAGATTGGGCTGGAGAAGTGCTTGACGAAGCCGCAGCTGCGTCGCGCGGTGCGTAGCAATATGCTTTCCCCCTTCCTCACTCAACATATGTCACTCTTGCAGACAGAGCGTTCGATGAAGCAAGTATGCAACGGGACGAAGACGAAGGAAGAGTTCATCGAGGAAGACCTGCAGATGTACAAGGAAATGTTCGAGGTCTCGGAGCAGGAGATCAACAAGCTCATCACGGTCCGCGACTAGACTGATCAGAATGCGGTGTACTGACTTCGTTGCAGAGTCTGAAGCGTCGCCTTAACCCACCAGGTGGCGGCGGAGGGAATGGCGGAGGCGGCGGAGGTGGGGGCGGGGGCGGGGGAGGCGGCGTTGGCCGTGGAGGCGGCGCAGGCCGGGGCGCTCGAGGTGGGCGCGGACGAGGGGCGGGCGGGCCCGCTAGTCGTGGTGCAGGGCGCGGAGGGCGTGGTGGAGGAGGCGCTGGGCGTGGTACGGGGCCGATCGACATCCAGTCCGACGACGAAGGGGGTGATGACGATGGTATGCTCGTCTGCCTTGACTATGTCTATTGTCTGACCTGACGCGCAACTCCCCTCAGCACCCCCACCTCCCGCTCGCGCGCCACGCAGTCGAGCGCAGCCCGCTGCATCAACGTCCCGCCAAGCGTCGACCTCACGACCTGCGCCCAACTCGCGCGCACAGCCTTCCACGTCTCGCCCAGCGTTATGCGCACAGGGCCCCACATCTAGCGCTCAAGCACCCTCATCACGAGCCACAGCGCCCGCCCCACGAGCCGCCGCACCCACCTCTCGAGCTACTGCCACCAAGAGCTGCGAATGCCCCGGCGGGCGCCCCGCCGCGCGCAAGACCTGGGACAACGCCGGATCGAACCGCGGGCGCGGGTACTTCACTTGCGCGACCGAGGAGTGCGGGTTCTTCGAGTGGGCGGACGAACTCCCAGCGTCAAGCATTCCGGCGAAGAGACCGGTGGCAGCCGTGGTGCGTATACTCATACATTTGTCTTTTTCTCTTCATCTTTTAGCCTCGAGTCATTTAAACTCGTCAATCGAGGAGCAAGGCGCTTACATCCATCGTCCCTCAGGACCTCGACGAGCGCACCTGCGACTGCGGGATCCCCGCCCGCCAACTCACCGTCACGAAGGACGGCCCTAACAAGGGCCGGATCTTCTACAAATGTTCGAACAGCGAACCCGATAACTGCAGGTTCTTCGAGTGGGGCGACGAGGAGCCGAGGAAGAAGGGCGGCGGTGGGTTGGGGTCAGTCAATGTGAGCAATCGGACGACGAGTACGAGTGGTGGGGGAGGCGGAGGTGAGAGGTCGGGGAAGTGCTATAAGGTGCGTGAGCTGAACGTCAGTCGAGAGCGGGGCGCTAATATTGGGGTATAATAGTGCGACCAGGAGGGACACTGGTCGAGCAGTGAGTGGTCCTCTGCAAGGACGGCGATGTGAGGTGCTCATAAGCCCATAGATTGTCCAAATGCCGGCGACTCGAGCTCGAAGCGCTTGAAGACTATGGATTCCGGCAACCGTGCGGCAAGCGGTGGAGGCGGCGGAAAGTGCTTCAAGGTAAGCATGTTGTGCCTCATACCATCCGCATCCTCATCGCCTTCATAGTGCGATCAAGAAGGCCACTGGTCAAAGGGTGAGCTCTACAGTTGAAGTCGAGGTTCTCTATGCTAAGCGTCCTCAAGATTGTCCAAATACAGACAGTTTTGGTGGTGGAGGGCGGTCGAAGAGCATGAACTCCGGAGGCGGAGGCGGCGGTCAGACGGGCGAATGCTACATTTGCCACGAGACAGGTCACTGGAGTAATGGTGCGCTACTTGTGCGTCGATTTGTTATCCCTTCACTGACAAATCTTCGCCTTCTCAGCATGCCCCAACAAGGACGGCGGTGGCGGCGGCGGGCGATCGACCTCGACGAGAGGAAAGAGAGGCAGAAGCGGCAGCACTCGAGGGTCTACGCGAGGGCGCGGAGGGGCGAAGAAGGCGGGGCGAGGCAGAGCAGTGAAGAAGACGACGTTTGCTGCGGCGGACGATTGGTGATTGAGAATGGACGATGGACGGCTGCTTTGGATGAGGTTGCTTCGGATGGATGGCCGTGTTGCTTTCGACTGCTTTGGAAGGATGTATTTGGACCTTCGCCCTGTTGTGCTTGCAATCCACTGACTCTGCTCGATGAGGGGTCCGCATCGGTAGCACTCGCTTACCCGCTGACACTCACTAAATCCGCTGGCACTTACACTCGTGGGCATCGTACAGCAGTACAAACATTGTTCCCATAGCGAGAGCACGAGAGCATAGCATACATCAAAAACCCAGGTGTCCTGTAAAGGGGGTCAAGCTCCAGGCGTGCGGACTGCCCGATCAGTCCGTCTTTGCCGCCTTCGCTTCCTTCTTTTGCTCCCCGAGGAACTTCGCCAACGTCTTCTCGTCCTGTCTCCGCGCGTATTCCTGGCCGGCCTGCATTGACAGTCAGTTTCGACGAGCTGTGTGGTATATGAGGCAGCTCGTACCTGAAGTAAGAGCACCGCAGCGAGGCAGAAAATGATGATAACGTTCGCCGCGGAGAGGATCTGCAGCGACTGTACGCGCTCCGTGTGTGTTATGTCCTCGCGCGGGTTGACGACGTTGCGCAGCATGGGGAGGATAGTGGTGGTGTAGATGGCGATAGCAAAGATGAACGCGGCTAAAGGGGGGAGAACGAGAGAAGAGGGGAAAGGGCGGCAGAGGGTCAGCACGACGTTCGTCCAACAGGGACACCAACACGCACCCAAGCTCGACCCATCGAAGAACATAGCGCTATCATCCCACTTGTGCAGCTTCGCGACGTGCCCAAGGATGCTCACGCCCATCATTCCGTGCATTAGTGACTGTGGGGGAGGAAGGGGAGCGCGTCAACATCCTCGCCGTTGCGGACAGCAGCGCCACGCACCTTGATCGCTGGCGGCGCATTGTAGAACGTCGTGTAGAAGAAGATGCCGTCGTCCTGGACTTCCCTGCTGTTGACCTCCCCCCAGAGGATCCTATAGTCCATGTTGAAGCAGATGAACAGGACGCCTGCATCCTTGGGCTCAGGTGCCTGGCAGGACCGCCTCGAATATGAACGCACCTAGGAAGAAGCAGACCGGAGCGAGCACCGCAGCATGTTTGAAGCCCATGACTGAGTAGTAGACCGACGATCCAGCTGCAGGGGGGAGAGAATACGGGGCGGACAGGAGGAGGACGTGGTCGAGGATAAGACGCGCGCGGCGCGTATCAGGCGCCGCGCCGAATGCGGATCAAAATTCGCGTGCGTTCAATAAGCACAGAAAACCGACATGTGCCTTCTCCAAGTTCTCACCGAATCTCCTTAGCTCTTCCTCATACTATGAGGCAAGCGTATCCTGCCGTCATTACTCGCCATTGTTATGAGTTGGCTCCTGCTACCAACCTGACATCCGTCGAAATGGTAGCCTTATCGCTTCAGCGACTGGGAAACGCTTGTTTTATCACCCCCTAAGACTATGAAAAGTGTGCTTGTGGCTTTATCCTATAGTGCACTGCTTGGTGGGCATTGAGGCAAACATTGAGGGTTGTCTGGTCCCTCCAGTAATGACACAAAGCCAATGGAACGAGATTTCTTGTGGGCACATGTGGCAATCACGTGTCCCTCTGTGCGCCGCGTGGTCACCAAATCCGGTGTGACGCAGCAGTGTAACTCTGCTTGTCTTTCTCTAATTTCTCTTGCTTTCGACCACCGCCATCGAGCATCACGCGCCAGAGTAGCGCCGTATCTATCTCTTTTACCACCGCTACTTTGAGAGGAGTGGAGCGCGAGGGGCCCAGGGCGCACTACAATAAGGGGACTCCATTTTGGAGTGGCTGGCTATCACCGCGTTCCGGGCTATGTCCAGCAAATGAATATGAGCGGGAAGACGATCTGTCAGTTGGGGAACTCGGCGTCGTGATTCTGCTTTTTTGTCGCTCAATGACTCTTGGACAACGTTCATATCGTGTTTAGCATGAGCCTGAGATCTCAATTCGGCCTTACTATCAGCACTCGCTTGAGGGGTATAGCTACGTTCAGCGTTGGCTTCACAGGAAGCAATCATGACAGCAGGCCACCGAAAGACCATCCGATGGTCCGTCCTTGCTGTCGAGCGCCCAAGGGGGGAACTGTTCGTCCTCATGTCGCCTACTTGTTAGCATCCGCATGTCGTTTCGCGCCAGTGGATTTGTGATTCTGTTGACGGTCGTCTTATGCGTGCTGCCTAAGGATATCTGCGTACGACGGGCCAGTGCATAATGGAGTGACTAAACCTCAAGTTCGATTATGAACGGCTGCTCAGAGATTCATACTGGATGTTCTTGAATTTATGGTACGAAGAAATCGCACTCAGGAGCACGACCAGACCTGAACAGAGGCGTGTACATTTCGCAGGCGCCTTGACGGCAACCCGACGACTCGTAGACTGCCCGCGCGTAGTGTTATACACAGCGAGGGAGTTGACGCTGGCCCTCCGCCCAAGTCATCCGTAGAAGATCTGGCACCCAGCGCTCGAAGCCAAACACCGCGCCGCTCGAGGTCCGACGCGTAGGGGAAGGCATTCAGCGCATAGTTAGACGTAGTCGCTACTTGCCAGATAATTCAGTCCTACGGCGACTTCAGAGAATCGAGAGAATGTGCACTTGGGTGTGAGGGAATGCATTCACGGAGCTGAGAAAATATGTGCGGACTTGCCAGAATGTGTGTGCGAGATGGAGGGATTGTGCTCACAAAGCTGAGAAATATGCATACGGAATGTAGAGAACACGGACGACGAAGACGAAGGTTTGAGGGAATCCGTACCCGAACGAGGGAGTTCGACCAGCGTCGCCATCATTTCTCGTGGAGAGCACATGCGCTGCAGTGAACTAGGAAGCGGTCTTCCCAGAATGAAGACAAGAAGGGGCTTGGTGAATGAGTGGCCACGCTGCTAAAACTGAGCGCAAGTCGTTGTGAGATCTTCGAGCTGTATATCCTGCGAATGATGCGTCGAGGACCAAAGGGGTGATGGGAAGATGATGAGGCTTTCAAGTAGGCGGATGCGCATGGGGTAAGACCGCGGTACGATGTATACACGTTCAGCCGCGGGTGTCCTTGAGGCTCTCCGGAGCGTCCGAGGGCGTAAAGACGCTGGAGACGCTCGGAGACTATGGGCCTGAGAGTCGCAGCAGTTCGGACACTCCTAGGAGAGAATAACCGACAGAAATTAGCGAGAGTCTAATACAAGGTCAACTACGCGGCAGAAGAGCACTTCTGCGGCGCAAGAGCCCAACTTCGCGGCGCAGAGGTGCATCATCAGTTGACGGTCGCCAGGTAGGTCACTTGCGGGCCTGCGTGGTAAGATGACATTGCTCGTAGTGGGAGGTGTCGGGCTTGCAAAAGGTCATCGCCCTGTCGTGTGTCATTTGCGCGCTTCGTCGTCTGCGGAAGGGTGGATGTGGCGAACGAGGGGACGCGTATATTCTTGTTCGCCGGCGCTGAAGAGCGGGTCATCGGTCGATGGCCTGTATACCGGACGAGCGCGTCACCAGCTTCGACGTGAGTCGTGTCGTTTTTGGATAGCCCTCTTGTATATAAGGCCCAGGTGACCGCAGCAAAACATCATTGATAGTCGACAGAGAGCAAGATCTGTATGAGCTGGGATTGACACGGTATACGGAGATAGATTCGCGTGGAATCTGCGCTGGCCGCGGCTGCCCATCATTCCCAAGGTTGCAAACGGAGGTCTATGAGAGGACGTGGGTAGTTACACGTATACATGCGTCTTCTCCCGCGAGTGGGACTGCATGGGAAGGAAAGGTACCTTCCTCGGCATCTCTGCAGGCGGGCACCTGGTGAGGCAGCTGGTCGAACGACGCGTTTTCGGGGTAAGCATCAAAAGAGCAGTAGAGCCTGAGTGTCCGAGGTGTTGAAGTATGTATATACATGAGCCTTCGAAGCGCATAGTCCCAGTGAGTTCGAGGTCGAAGTCATGGCGCTGTTCAAGTTGAACTTCCGGAGAATTCCGGCGATCTTCGGATCTGACGTCACGCGTCGTTGCTTCACGTGCTCAGCCAGTGCCGGTCACTGAGTCACGCCGCAATATTCCACTTGGAGCTGAACTCCATTGTTCTTTGGACACAACCATCACGACGCTTGCGTTTCTGCCTCTCTGAGAACACTTGTTGAGCTTGCTATGAGCGTTGAAGTTCTGGATCTGACGGGGTCTGACTGGGATGACGACGCATTCGTATACGACGACGAGCGCCGAGGCCAACGCGTCTCGAAAGCAATGGAAATCATCGACAGCGTTGGCAATAGAAGGGACAAGGGAAAAGCCAAGGAAGATGCCTCATGTTCTCCTCAGCTCTCAATAGACGCAATGAAAGCGCCAAGACCATTGCAGCAGCGACGTCCAAGTGGCAACGCAAATAAGCGCCCAAGAACACCTTCAGCTGCATCGGACGACGTGAGTGCTGCGCCCCTGCCAGAGATTACTGACTCACGAGCGACATTTGAAGGATGAGATTGAGATACTAGAAGCCCCCATCGCAGGGTCGTCTAAGTCTCGTACGCACAAGCGGCAGCGTACTTCACCCAGCGAGAACGTCAAGCCGAAGCCACAGCCACGGCCGAGCACCTCCCACGATACTGAAAGTAGAGTGGCTTCTACCTCCAAGCCTAAGCAGGGTGTGCGGCCGCCTAAGGTTACGAAGCGCACCCTGGCCGCCGACGAGCGCCTCGCGCGCAAGCTCGCTGCTCAAGAGCGCAAGGAGTATGAGGCGTTATGCAAGCAGGTCGAGAAGAAGAAAGTATGTGGCACGAATTTTGCTTTAGCGCTTGGGCTTGCACTCCGGGCATACTGTCCCCTTTCTTTCACACCGAGTCGACCGTGCTCACATTTCTGCAGGAAGGCATCGTGTTCCGAGTCGTCGTCAACGCAGACGGGAACCTGGACGACGGTTCGCCTGCGCATCCGGACGACTTGGACCGATTCGAGCCATGGAGGCAGCTGTTTGAGAAGGGGTCCAACTGCAAGGTCAAGCGATGTACGTGTGGATGCGCCGGTTATGAAGCTTAGAGACTGATTCACGCTCCCGCCTTTCCTCCTCAGTCCACTGGATCGTCAACTACGAGCTCGAGAAGCGGTTCGAGGAAGCGCGTGTCAAGCTACGCGAGATAATGGGTTGCGAGCCCGAGGAGAAGCAACTGTTCCACGGGACATCGGCGGCGAATATCGAGTCGTGAGTAATGACGCCCATTTTGCCTCCATTTTTTCTACGACCTTCCGCATTATCCATTTGCATCTTGTGCTATCATTCCGTCCTCTGGTCCTTTATCCACCCTATCTTCTTCCTCACATTCCACTTCCTTCTGCGCGTGCCTTTGGCAGCACCCGTTAACCCCCATCTTAGCATCCTCAGCGAAGGCTTCCGCATCGGCGGCGTCGGCAAGCACCGAGTCACTAACGGGACAGCCATGGGCTATGGCATATATCTTGCGCAGGACGGCGAGACTTCCATGGATTATGCATTGGGTGCGGATCGGATCTTTGCGTGTCGTGGTGAGTGGTTTTGTGGCACGATCAGTACTTCAAGTCGCAGACCTCGACTACCTGCTACGAGAGCTTGACTCGTTCGTGTAACTCATGCCCTGCTTCACACAGTACTCCCCGGCCGCGTCACACAATCGTACGATGAATCCAAGCGCAAGCCGACTCAAGCTGTTGGGAGCGGGCGGTACGAGTCCTATAACGCCGGCAACGTGTATGTCGTGCGCCATACGGCGCTGGTGCTTCCGTGCTATGTGAGTATCTTGCTTGCTGATAGATGGTACTCGCTTTTGCTGGCCGTGCTCTCGCACACCACCGTGTCGTTGTCTCCTGACCATGACTCTTCCCGTACCCTCTTGCTGACCTCTCTGTTAGATGATCGAGTGGGACGTCGATGAGCTATATCGGAACGCGACCACACAGCACAATCAGATTATGGCGCTTGCCGGTGGGGCAAACGGGCTCGCTCACAACATCAATGCCGGCAACAACTTCAACGCCATGATGGGCACCCTCCTTGGCGGTGCTCCAAACGGGACTGGGATGCCGCCCTTTGTGCCGCAGGTCGGCGCGGCACCTATGCTTCAGCGGGGCGTGGCGCCGCAGACATTCCCGACGATGTTGGCAGCGCCTGCGTGGGCCGGGAATGGTCAGACGCGCCCCCCTCGGGGAACGGCAAGTCAACAAGCTGAAGCGGCAGGGGCACAGCGAGCCGATGCGGCGAGGACACAACAAGCCTCTGGTAGCGGCCCTCGCAAAGACAAGGGGAAAGCGGCAGTGTCTCTAGCAACACCGCCAAGAAAGTACGACGATTGGGAAGAATGCCAGAAATGGAAGGACGAATACGGGGAATGGCCGGACGAGTACGACGAGGTGCATCATCTCGATAGTCCGGATCCGTATGAAGAGTGTTAGTGTTGTAAGTTCTTTGACGCCGAAGCAATTGAATCTTTGAGAAGATGAGGTTGGAATTTACGATGAGCGATGAATGCACGGTCATGATTACAGCGAAGAGCTGGGAATGGATTCGGGAGCATTTGGTCAAGTCCCACCTGGGAAACCGGGCTCTGGCTCGCGAGGTCGCTTAGCGCCCGGATTCAGTTGGCAGACGGCGCTCCTGGACGCGCCTTCATTTATGCTACAGGTTTGCGATGTATATTCCCTACGTAGTTTCACAACACATCAGATTTAGACGCCCTTGATACCTATGACTGCTTCGAATGATCCTTCTGTATAGTTTTCCTCCTGCGTATGCCCGCTTCTTCATGAACAGCGGCGAGTCCGGAGATGCTGCTCAAGGGCAGAATGTGATGTGGAGATCGACCTGAATAAAGAAACGTGTGTGAGAGCGTTGAGTACAAGATCATGAGCGACGTACGCCGTTGACCTGGCACTGAACCTGAGCCCAATAGTCTGTCGGGGTGTGGAATGCATCGTGGCAGTTCGCGCTCGCGCACGTCTTGCCCTGACCGTTGCACCCGTTATAATACTCGAAGTGGACAGCGCGAGTGTACTTGTGGCTGTGGCCGCTGTCAGTCGTCTTCGTAGGGAGAGGCCAGTGCGGGGGTGCTTACGGGGCGATCAGAGAGATGTCCGTGCTGGAGCCTGCGCCAGGCGACGGCGGGTCGCGCAGAGTTGTCTCGACGATGGGGCAATTATCACCGTTGAGGCCGCAGGGGCCGGTCTGAAGGTAGCTTCACGAGTGGCCGTTAGATCGAGACAAGGGCAAAGAGGTAAGTCATCCGACTTACGCGATGGCACCAATGATAGCGCTGTTCTGGGTGTAAGAACCAGTGCCGGAATGGAGCGTTGCGCCGTTCTGCGAAATGAGCTTGGGGGTGCCGGTACCACAGCTATGAAGCGCGTGTATACATCAGAGACGAGGAACTGGGCGCTAAGAGCAACGTACTTGTTTGTAAACTGTACGGTATGCTGCTCGGCGGCAACAAGGCTCGCAGCAGTCACGGCAAGCGCAACAATAACTTCGGGGTAGTACATGCTCAGGTGGTAGAGGGTCGAGTCTTCAAAGAACAGGAGCGACGGCTGGATGATGAAGTATCCTGGTTCGCCTGGGTACTTTTATATGTGCGAGCTCAACTCCATGCTTTACGAGCTAAGCGCGGCGATTGTCCGGTACCTGTCAGACGCGACGATCCAACCCCACCCTTGTGTCCATATACGTAGCCCATTCACGACTCGTGAGCTCCTGCGGTCATGCACTTCGAGGGCCGTCGAGGACGGAAGAGAATCGAGAGCGGGAGGTGCCTGCTCGAAAAGGAATGGTTTCCGAGACCAAACGAACAGCTTGTAATGATGGCGAGGGACGAAGTGGAGGGTTATGGAGATTTTTTGCCACGGCGCACCAACAGTCAGATATCTCTGATCATGAGATCACGTCCTATAGAGCTAACTGCATTATTGCCTACGAACCAGGGTGAAGATGAGGACCGCTTGAGCGTCCATAGCTATGACCCGTGCAGTCGTCGAGTATCTGGGTGCAGTCCAAAGCCATACAGAGAAGTGTGTATCATTTGTTTGGGCCTTGGTCAATCAGTTTGTGCCTAGTTGGTCCTGCCGAGGTGGAGGTCTGAGTAAATCGCAAGGTCGAGAATGGATCGCAAGGCGCGTAGCGGGAGAGCTGATGCTTGATTGTCACAGTGAGCGTTTCTGACGAGAGGCCAGTGTCAAGGAAGAGATTCAGACGTAGAGAAGCTCCCTGAGTGTCAAATGGTGGTCCTGGGAGGAGGGCAAGTTGGACCCAGATTCGAAGCCATCAATTGGAAAGCAGTCTCGGCGAACGCCGCAGGTCATCTGAGATGTTCAGATCTTGCGAAGACATGCAAGCGACCTTCATACATGTTCCTGCCCCCAGGCCTACTTCGTCTGCTATATCCTCTCGAATATAAGGTATAACACTCCTGGTAGCTCCCTTGACGATGTTCACACCCGACTCTGAGATAATGAAGTCGTTCGATTGAGAAAATCTATGTTGCGTTTACACATTTCCACGTCGTAAATAAGCATGCCGGAACGTATACAGAGCAAGAGAGAGCACAATACAACCGATAGAGGTAAGTAAAAAGAAATACATGTATGAAAGAACTGCACGGCGCTCACGCCGCCAATCTGTTCTCGCCCTCGCCACCCATGCGATCGTACCAGAACTTGCCTTCCGTCGTGGGGGCAATATAGCCCGCACGGATCGTCCAGTCGCCAAAGTGCTCGCCCTCGTGCCGCTCAAGCGCGTAGCGCTTGATCATGGGCCGGAGGATGGCGAGGATCTCGGGCTCGGTGACGGACTCGCGGTAGATTTTGTTGAGGCGCTGGCCGTAGTAGCCACCGCCGAGCAGCATGAGGTACGTGCCAGGCGCCTTGCCGACGAAGGCGACCTCAGCGGCGTAGGGCCGCGCGCAGCCGTTGGGGCAGCCGGTCATGCGCATGACGATCGAGTCGTGCCGCAGGCCGTTCTCCTCGCAGATCTTTTCGACCTTGTCGATAAGGATGGGCAGGTAGCGCTCGGACTCGGCCATAGCAAGACCTAAGAGAATGTGAGTTCGAATCGCAAGTGAAGATATCAGCGTACTTACCACAAGTAGGGAAGGCAACGCATGCGGACGAAGACAGACGCAGGCCAGTGTGCTCGAGGTTGTCGAGCTTGTACTTCGCGAGCAGCGACTTGATTTGCGGCAGGTCCTCCTCCGCAATATCGGACAGCATCAGGTGCTGGTTCGTCGTCAGGCGGAACGTGCCCTTGTGCACCTTCGCGATCTCGCGCAGGCCGGTCTTGAACTCGCGCCCGGGCACATCCTCGACGCGGCCGTTCTCGATGTACATCATGAAGTGGTGCTTGCCGTCCTCGCCCTGCGACCAGCCGAAGTCGTCGATGTTGCGGTCGAAGGTGAACGGCCGGGCGGGCGCGAGCTTCCAGCCGAGCAGCTTCTCGACCTCCTCGCGGAAGCCGTCGACGCCGAGGCGGTCGACAGTGTACTTCAAGCGCGCGTTCTTGCGGCTATGATGGTGAAGGTCAGTGTCCGTAAGATGGTCATGAGATGACGACGTACTCAGCACGGTTGCCGTGGTCGCGCTGCACGAGCATGACCTTCTCGGCGACGGTCTTGCCCTGCTCGGGCGTGCAGAAACCGATAACCGTACCCAAGCGCGGGTACGTCTTCTTGTTGCCGTGCGTGACACCCATACCACCGCCGATCGACACATTGAAGCCCTGGAGCTCGCCGTCGTCGCCGACGATGGCGATGTAGCCGAGGTCGTTGGTGAAGACATCAACGTCGTTCGTGGGCGGCACGGCGACGGAGACCTTGAACTGTAGACAAGATAAGTATACATTCAACGGGCAAGAAGAGAAAACAAACCTTGCGCGGCAGGTAGAAGTCGCCGTAGAGGGGCTCGAAGTCCTTGAGGGCGTCACCCGCGACGAGCTTCTTGTCGAGCCAGATCTCGTGGTAGGCGCTCGTGTGCGGGAGCAGGTGCTCGGAGACCTGCTTGGCGAACTCGTAGACCTGAGCGTGCAGCTTCGACTTCGAGGGAATCAGGGAGCAAGTAACGTTTCTGCGCAACTCGTCAATCGCTTCCCGTAAAAAAGTAGACAAATTAACTCACCTGTTCACGTCACCACAGGCAGCGAGCGTGTCGAGCAGCGCGCGGTTGATGTCCTTGATCGCGCTCTTCAAGTGCCGCTTGATGACACCATGGAACTGGAACGTCTGGCGCGTCGTAATCTTGAAGTTCCCGCAGCCGTGCTCGTCCGAGATCTGGTCCATCTGCAGCCACTGCCGCGAGTCGCACACCCCACCCGGCATACGCACGCGAATCATAAAGCTGTACGCAGGCTCGATCCCCTGCCCGACACGCTCGTCCCGGATATCGCGGTCGTCCTGCTGGTAAATCCCATGGAATTTCGTCAGCTGCGTGTCGCTCGCCGACAAGGCCCCCGTCGTCGTGTCCTGCAGCCCCTCCACAATCGTCCCGCGCAAGAAGTTCGACGCGGCCTTAATGTGCTCATTCGTGATCGGCTCGGGCTCCGCCTCCGCGATCTCGAGCGTGTCGACCTTGAACGCCTTCCAGATGAGCGGCTCCCAGGTCTTGTACCCCGTCATCGGCCCGTCCGCGTCCTGGTCGTCGCCGAGGCCGAGGTCCGCGAAGCGCTCTGCGCCGAGCGCGGCGAGCTTGTGGTCGAGCTCCTTGCCCGGGCGGTTGTAGTACTGCGCGTCCTCCGCGCGCGGCCAGTAGTGGCTATCGCCCATGCCGAAGACGGCGTACTTGACCTTCGTGAGTGGCTTCTCACCGGCAGCGACCGCGGCGTTCAGCGCCTTGAAGAAGCGGCGCGCGTTCTGCGGCGGCTCACCCTGCCCGGCCGTCGACGTCACAAACGCGACGTACTCCTCCTGCGCGAGCGACTCGAGCGGGACGCTGTCGAACGTGCCCGCGGTCACCGACAACCCGCGCGCCTCCGCACGCTGCGCAAGCTTCTTCGCCAGCTTCTCCGCGTTCCCGCCGTCCGAGGCGTACAAGATCAAGAGCGGCGGCGCGTCGAGCGAGGCGACCATCTGCGAGAACGCCTGCTTCGCCTTCAGCCGCCGCTCCTCCTGCACGCGCGCGCCGAGGCTGCTCACGAGCTCGGCGGCGACGGCCGGCTTCGCGCGCGAGAGCTGCGAGAGGTGGTTCTGGCGGTCGAGGAAGGCGCGGAGGTCGTTCTTGATCGCGTCCGAGTCGAGCTGGAAGGCCTCCTGGTTGGCGGCGTCCTTGCTGGGGTCCCAGCGGTAGAGCGGCCAGTAGCCCGCGTCGACGGCGAGCTTAGTCTCCTTGAGGACCTCGAGCGCGGGGACGTCCTCGGAGCGGTAGGGCAGGTAGGCGACGACGACGGATGGACCGTGATAGCGGTCAGCCTCCATGACGGCCTGGAGGACCTGGCCGTACGACGAGTAAACGGCGACGCTCGCGACGTACACGTCGCCGTGGTTCATCGCGTACAGACCGACATCCTGTTTGCGGCGGCTGGGGTCGACGGAATGGCGAGTGGTGTACGGGAGGGTGTCGAGGATGAGGATGTTGATGTCGAGGCCGGACGCGATAGCGTGGTGCAGACCCGAAGCACCAAGATCGTAAGACCAAGCGTCGGAGCCGATGATCCAGCGCGAGTTGCGCGGGAGCTGGTCCTGGAGCTTCAACACCTCCGCCGCCGCAGGGTGCTCGACCGGGGTCGCCTTGAGCGCGTCGGTGATCTGGGCACCGATCCTACGGCTCTTCGCGGGGTCCTCCTGGTTCAAAAGCCACTGGGAAACAAGGTTGTGAAGGTCATCGGGGATACCAGACGCCTGAAGGAGCTCCTCCATGGCCGCGACGAGCTGCTTGCGCTTCTCAATGAGGCTCTGGACGCGGCCGAGGGCGAACTCGGGGTTCGTGGCGAGGTTGCCTTGGGTCGCGACGAGGGAGGGGTCGTTGGCGACCTCGAGCCGGTCGCCGAAGACGTGGGAGAGGATCTTCGTGTAGGAGCTCTCATGCTTGGGGACATGCACGGAAGCTGAGGTGGAGGCGACCTCGGGAACCGATCCCAAGACAGGACGAGAGGCAGCGTTCTCGATGACGGACTAAAAGTATCATTAGCAACCAGATAAAGATGAAGATCAGTGTGAGACATACCTGCACATCGGCATCCGTAATACCCTTCGTGCTGCCCAAAACACCAGAGTGGACGGGCTTCGCGGTCTCCTGCAGCGCATTGACTACGTCGAGGTAGAGCGGCGTCCACTTCACGTTCCATCGGCGGATCTGCTCGAGCACAATGACCTGCTCTGCAGATGCAGGCACGAGGGAAGCGATGCGCGAAGCAGGGAGGGGGTTCAAAAGAGAGATCGAGACGAAGAGCACGCCATCCGTGTTCAGGCGCGCCTCATCCCTGCCGAGAAGGAAGACGACGGTGCGGGGGTCCGTGGGGGAACCACCGTATGTCGAGTACGGACGGACGGGGCGACGGACCAGGGTGAGGGTGTTGGCCGCGGCGCGCTCGTACGCCTTGAATGGGTCTGCAGCCGCCTCGTCCGCCGGGATCGGCGCGGGCGATTGTGCGGCGAGGAAGGCGGTGATCTTGTCCTCGGAGACTTCCTCGACGGCATCGTCTGCCGCGCCTGAGAATGCGTGGATCACGAGCTTGTTGGCCGCTCTGGCAAGCCGCGATGCGAGGAGGGCGTTGTCGTGCGCCTCCTCGGCGGTGGAGGAGACGATGAAGTAGGTGGCGGAGGAGCGGAGGAGTAGGACATCCGAGAGGTCGTCTGCGACGCTGAGGTGGAGGACGACGGGGCGGTTCGCGCTCTCGCTGAGATGGAGGACGAGGCGAGTGGTGAGCTGCGAGGAGGCAGGGGCGACGAGGGAGACGAGGCCGCTGTCCTTGCTGCGGGAGATGGTCTCTCCAGGGTCCGCGCCAAAGGGGATGGAGTGCACTCGCGGGCGCCTGGCCGCGTTTGCGGGGAATGCGGGGGCAAAGGAGGAAGGTGATGGGGGCGGGGGGAGCGCGTCGACGAGGACGTCGGACGCAGCGTAGGCGACGCGGGCGACGGCGGCGGCGGCGGGGGCAGACATGGTGGTGGTCGGGGAAGAGGTGCGACGGAGGGAGCCTATAAGAAATGCGGCGGAAAAGGCGAGCACGCCATCCCAACGCCAGCGGCGATCGGGCGCCTGATGCCTGCCTTCCTAATCCGGCCAAAAACCAGCCGAATTCGGAATGCGCCATTGCGAATCATGTCGCACTTATTATCAGCGATTGCGGGCGGCCACCTTTCTACGAATGCCACTCCGAATTCAAGCAGGACGCTCTCACACAGGCCTTCGCGCGACTCCTGCTTTCTCTGGGTCGAGGCAGCAACCACGGTGTGAAGCAGAGATACTTCGTAGCGGACGTCCGTGCCCAGATCCAATCACCACCCACCTATTCCTCCCAACCCCTCCCCTTCATCTGACCTTCATTCTCCGAATCATCCTCCGCACGAGCAACCTCCGCAGGCGAACACAGGTCTCCAATACAGTAACGGCACCCCCTCTATACGTCTACCGCAAGCAATCACGAATTCCCTCCAATCCAGAACAGGACCTGGCTCAATCACCCATGCTCTCGCTGATTGTACGCGGTAAGCCACTGATTCAAGCAGTATTCTGTGCGGTCGGTTCCTCGGTAGCGCCTCAAACAATGACCCAGACGTGGGTTCCGTCGCGAAAGCCCGGCGCGCATACCCACGGGGCACTCCGCGCATACCCCCTTGAACTTCCGGGTGAGTCACACCGAACTTCCAAATCCGAATTCAGAGCGGCGAGAAGCCGGACCTCTCGCGACGTAACGTACACCCCTCTGTTTGGGCCGGAACAAAGCGGTCGCTCTGTCGTGCTACGCCCTGCCAGTAGCGCAAGCTCATCCTGCCCCCGCCGAACGACTCGTCAAGCCCTGTACATACTCCCGACTCGCACTCCCGCCGATTCAGTTTTCTCGTACCTATCCTCCTGCGCCGCTGTGGCGCCAGTCTTCGCTCTTGTACACGCTAGACTTCCTGTCCTCAGCGGCGGCTCCATTCACCGCGGTCCTGAATCATGATGAGCGCAGCGCCCGTCGTCGACGACCGTGGCTTATTCGGAATATTTGGAGGCCAGCATCTCTGGAATACTCGCTACTCAAGTTGACCAGAACTTTCGTACTCGAGCGGACGCAGGGCAACAACCAAACGAAGAGCGGACGCAGGCGACGGCGCACAATGAAAGCAATGATTGATGCACTGCGTTGGGGAAGCAAGCATATTCTTGAACCTCGACCCCAGCGTACGCATGACAATGAGCTTTGGAATCTGGCGTCTGTCATGGGAGACTTCTAGGCAGATATGTTCTCGCTAGGCAACATCCGTGTGCTCTGGGCTTCTACGAAGGGCCGCGCAAGAGGATTCGGAATTTTCGCAAGCTAGTGTCAAGCTCACTCCTGCGGCGTCCAGACTTGGAGTGAAGCGAGGTGCTATCTTGGTCCTCCTAGCGGTCAGCAGAGGAGGTTGACCGGTCAGCAAGCAGGTGCTAAAGAGGTCCCGTGACCCACGGTTCGGAATTCTCGGCAAGTGCCGCAGAGGCAAGCTGTCGCAAACATGCGTCTACAGCTTGACCTTTGCTCTCATGTTCTGGCCTTTACTGTCCGGCTATTCGCATGTTCGACTTATTGAACGTGGTCTTGTCAAAATTCTTTCTGCTTCAGCATTGAATCCTTCTCCGCCGGCTTCAAACCCCTTTCGTGCGAGCTGTATCTCTGAAGGCGGGCGCAGAACATCCTGAACAGTCCTGGCCGTCGGAATCATGCTTTCCTTGAAAACATTGGCGCGCTCAATACCATACTATACACACTCTGATGACAATCATCGACATCGACTTCCTGGGAGCTGTCATGCAACGGAGACGAGCTGTTGTGCGACAGTAAATACCCGTTTCAAGCAACAGCTGCCTTGGTATAAAGGCTTGTCATTTCTGCCCATATTTCCCGCATTCATCGAGCTGACACTCGCCGCTCCTCCGTCTCCAACACCTCAACTAACTAGCAGACGCGCACGCTAAACTCAGCAAATACATGATGTACTTTTCCAAAGCCCTCCTCGCATCCCTCCTCGCGGGCGCGGCCCTCGCTGCCGCGGAGAGCCATACGGTCAAGTTCACGAACAAGTGCGTGTACCTCTTACAATTTCAGTTACAGTCCAACTCCTCCCTCGCACCTTCCAACCGCGCGCGCGCTCTTCCAACCGCGCACGCGCTCTCACAACTGGCCGTGCTGACACTGACTGATATATCTCCCCAGCTGCGGCACCGGCACGCCCAAGCTGTACAACCAGACCGGCAAACTCCTGCACTCGGGCGGGGGCGCGTACAAGCACAACGGGCCGCTGGTGGGCGCGATCGCGTGAGTTGACGATGCCTCTCGATTTCGCATTCTTCGTGCGGCGGGCTATCATCTTCGCGCGACGGGCCACCGCCTTCGCGCATCGGGTCACCATCTTCGAGGCGACGCCGGTCCTTCGTCCAGGACATGTTTGCCTAGACGTATCACTGACCGCCTGCTCAGGTACCTCCAAACCGGCCCCTGCGGCGCGAACGGCGACAACTGCCCCCTCCTGGAGACGACGCTCCGTAATCCGACGTCGCCGGGCGCGGGCTCGAGCACGGATATCTCGCTGATTCCGCCGTGAGTGGATAACTTTTGGTGTTTTATCGCTCTGCGTCTTCCCGAACCTTGCCGTTACACCTCCCCCATCCGCTTCTTCATATACCCTGTCTACGATCCCCTCAGCTCAAGTCGGCGATTTTACCGACACCTTTCCCCAGCCACGCCTTCACCAAGGGCATCCGCTTCGCGTACTACAACGGCTGCGACGGGAAGGGCAAGACGTGCAAGAGCGCCAACTGCAAGGGCGCGTTCCACAAGCCGGACGATTATGGAGCACAGGTGCAGTGCGAGAAGAATGGCGTGGATCTGCATGTTATCTTTTGTCCGGCCTGAGGGGGTAGAGACGCCCTGAGGGGGGAGAGACGCCCTGAGGGGGGAGATCTAGAGACGCGGGTGGGGTTTTCCAGCGCAAAGAGGATACTATCGTCGGTTGCTTCGAGTCGCTTCGCTAATCTTGCTGTACCGTACTCCGTGTGCTATCACTCCGTTCACGTTCCCAGCAGGTCATCAATATGTCATTCCGAGATCCAAGCCAGAAGATAAGGAAACTGATACAGAACTAGGTAACCAAGGTGCCTTACAGGCATTATTCGATATAGACGGTCAAGAATAAGGGTAGAGTAAGTGTGAAGAAGCAGGTCGTGTCAGTGAGTATGGGATGCAGATGGCGGTGTGAGGGATACAGAGGATGAGTATGAGGGCTACAGTGGATGAGTATGAGGGATGCAGATAAGTATGAGGTCCAGATGGGTAGGAGGAATACAGTCGACGAGTTCGAGGGATGCGATCAGATGAGTACGAGACAGTTGGTAAGTAAGAAACGAGTCCTCGGGATGCTAGACGAGCGGCGCTCTATGACAGCGCATCCGCATTGATGAACTCGTCGAAGACCTGAGCGTACGGGCTGCAGGGTGCGGCAGGTTCGGGGGAGGAGTTATCCGGGGCGTCCGACTCGGCGGCGGCGTTGCACGGTGCGCCGGCGTTGGCCAAGGTGAGGTCGAGGAGTGCATTCTGGGAGAAGTCAAAGAGGAAGTGCTGCGAGGGGTCCATGAAGGAGCCTTGCGAGAAGTCGAGGAAGTGCTCCGAGAGGTCCATAAAGGAGTCCTGCGAGACGGGCAGGAGAGACTCTTGCGAGGATAGAGGCGTGTTATCGAGCGCAGACCATACACTTGCGTCGAGCGCAGACGGCACGCTTACGTCCAGCGGAGACAACACATTGGCCTGATGCGGAGACGATCCGTTGACCTGCGCCGCGTAGGACGAGTCGCTCGTGGCAGGATAGAGCACGGTGTGTGCAGTGTTTGTAGAAGAGAAAGAAAAGCCGGCGAACTTGATGTCCGACGCCGAGAGCTGTGGGGCGGTCGAAGATGTGGTGTAGAACGAGTTCGACGGCGACGATGTGTGGAACGAGTCGGATGACGTCGTCGAGTAGAACGAGCTCGACGAGGCGGAGGCGTAGTTCGAGCCCGACGAGGACGCGTGGTTCGTGTTGGAGGGGTGGATACCATTATACGCAGCGTCGTGGTTGTTGTAGCCCGCGCCGTACGCGCCGGGCGGGTAGATAGGCATTGGCTGGTTGCAGACAGGCGCCGTCGAGTTGTAGGTAGGCGCAGGCGGGTTGTGGGCAGGAGCGGGCACGTACTCAGACGGCGCAGGTAAGTAGGACGCTGTCGCGGCGGCGTTGTCGTAGTAGCCTTGCTGGTACGGGTTAGTGTAGTAGCCCCGATATTGAGACGGATGCGTCTCGTAGTAGAAATCCTTCTGTTGGACGGGCTGCGCGCCGTGGGTGAGGTGGATGAGGCGCGGGGTCTCCTGCAAAAGGACGATCAGCGCCTGAAGCGTGAAGACGGCACAGCGCTGGACGAAAAGACGACCCGAGGCCGATAGCTCACCTGGACTCCGGCGAACGAGGCTGTCTTCGTGGGTAGTGGAATGTTTGGCACGATAGGTGCCGGCTTGTTGAGTACATTGTGCGCGGCCTTCTGTGACGCCGGCTTAAAGTACGGCGCTGCCCTGCGCGTCGGCCGCGCCGTGCGAGTTGGGCCTGCGCGGCCCGCATCGGCTTCCTCGGCCTCTCGAGATGCGCTGTCTTGACCGTTGGCGTTCTCCTGGGCGTCTTCAGGCTTGCGGTTCTTCGCATTGCCCACACGCTCCTTCCTCGGGTTCTTCGGCAGCCAGTTATGTTTCGCCTCCATGTGGCGGTACATGCTAGACTGGTACGCAGCGGCCTCGGTACAGGGTGGAAACTCGCAGTGGTAGGGCTTCTTGCCGGTGCTGGGCGGGGCGTTAGCAATGTAGGCAAAAGTAGAGAGAAGTGGAGGAGAGTAGATAGAGACTGAGGCGAAGCACGAAAGAGTGAACTTGATGAAAAGACAGCGAGAAAGTATAGAGGAGTCGGCGAGGAAGCAAAGGAGTCGGCGGCGTTACTTACTGCTTGGCGTTTATGTGGCATCGCAAGGTGGCGTCCTGGGGAAACCCTTTGCCACAGTACGCGCATATGAACGGCCTGTGAAGAAATCAGCACGCGTTGTAGCATCCTAGGTAGTAGAAACGCACCATTTGAGCGCCCTGTTCTCCGGCGTGGCGTCACTGAGATGTTGACCAATAGCATGGGCCAGCTGGCTCCGCCGTGACTTGCAATGCGTCCCGCAAGCCATGCACCGGTTGTTATGGTCAAACTTTGGCGTGTCCTCAAGCCTGTCCACCGTCTGCGCATAAGACCATGAGTGGCGAGTCCTCCGTCCCAAAAAGGAAATCCCGTCATCACTCACCACCTTGGTCTGCTTCGTGCGTCTCTGGGCCATTGTCGTCGGCGGGCGGGTTCAGCGGGCGGGATAGTTGTTCGGGAGGATAGATTGGGGCGGGGGAGGTGCAGAAACCGCCCCCGCCCGCCCCCCTTTATAGCTTTCTGGCGCGGACGTCCTCGATTGCTCCTCGATTGCTTCGATTGCTTGCCCTCCAGGAAAGGGAATTTTGGTTGTTTGGTCATGTTAGCGCGTGGTCGAGTGGCTCAGTGGCGAGCTCGAAAGTCGTGTGGCTAGCGCGCAGGGAGCCTCTGTTCGCGGCCAAAATCGAAAGGTGGATAGTTGAAGGTGTGGTCTTTGTATCTGCGATGTCAGCGAGACGTGGATGTCTCCGTTGACGGAGGTATGCGAGCTCGCTGGTCTCTGCCTAACAGAGTAATTTCGATAGGGGGTGGCAGGGCTGCGGTTGCTAGGCGACGCGTTTTTTACCCAAAAGGGAGAGGCATGCCGCGATGCCGGTGCGTTTGACAAAAGTGACTCAACATTCATGAGGTGAGCCTCGTGCTATCAGGCAGGGTTCAAGCGTACTGCGGCTGCTGTAAGGTCGAGCGCGCCTAAGAGGGCCTTCAGAGCACCACGTTGGCGAGTCGACTTGACGGTTGGAGGCAGGAGATGTGGCGTGGGAATGCCATCGGAATTTCTCTCACGGTCCATGTTCGACAGGCTCCCGCGCAGGACACCCGGCGAAAATTCGACTTCTGACTGAGATGGCCTGTTACGTGCTACCTACCTCATGGGCTCCTTGGGCCAGAAGGGCCATCAAACAAAGCATTCTGACGAGTCTCAGGAAACCTACTGCCGTCGCGCGACGACCTAATTTCTCTTGAAAGTACAAGGCGAGATTGCTATGCACATTTCCGGGAAGCTCTAGAGAAGATGTACGCGCCGACTACATATCGATTCCCGGGCAGAGTACAGACTAGCCGATGTCGGGAGGGTGCGTCCTCACCGCGCATTCTCATCTCGCATCCGCGCCGGAATAAACCTTCTTACCACGATCTCGCGCACCGAGTAGTGCGCGAGGCACGCAGGGCCGAGGAGGGCTCCCGCTGGTAGACGCTCGCGCGCGGGAATGGTGACGTAGACGAGGACGAGGGTCTGTGGATGGATGAGAGGGGCGCGACAAGGCAGTAAAAGGTAATTGAGATTTAAGGACGGACGTTAGTGACGATAGAAGCGCACGGAGAAAAGTGTAACTTGCCTTCATGACCTGCGCGTTCACGCGATTGATCGTGCTGAGCCAGGTCCAGGTGTACGGCGCGCCGTCTTCCGGGTTGAGCGTGCGTTCGCCGGGCGCTTCGTAGGAGGGGATGACAGCGAGGGCAAATCTGAGTGAGTTGGTTAGTACGATGTCGAACGCGGATGTTACGAACCCAAAGGTCGACAGGACAGACAAGGGACGCTTCATCAGAATAAGAGGGAAGACCAGAATTGAGCTCACTCCGCATGCGTGAACACCGGGCCCTTCTTGTACAGCAAGAAATCCGCGCAGAACTTAATTCCGCCGCGCACGACCCAGCCGAGAGAGCGATAGTGGTGGTAAACGGCGTAGTTTACGAGGAAGGGGTTGTCAGGGGAGAGGGTGGACGGGTCAAGTTCCAAGGAAAGGTAGATTTGGCGCGGTATCGGAGAGTTGCCGGCGGACGGTATGTGCGCGTGCTGACATGCGAGCCAGAGATCTTGGAGGGTGAGAGCGGTGTCCTGGGTAGCGGTGAGTACGCGTAGGCGAGATAGACAGCGAACATGAAGGTAAATAGACATACGGTATCCGCATCATACACCGTCAAACAATCCAGAGCATACGCTAGGAAAAACGCCTCTTGCAATGTCAATTGCAGATGCTCGACATCCTCGATTGGCTCGTCTGCGTCGGTCGAGAAGGTGTTGGCCTGTCCGGCGGTGGTATCGCCAGAGCCGGCTGTTGTGATATTTTCTCCCGCTGGATTTGGCATATTTTCTCCCGCTACAGTTGGCCCGCCTCGAGCCGATGGATTTTCAGTTGCCGAGCCGGTCGCTTGCGAAGGGCGCCATGTCGCCGCTGACGGGATATTGGGCCCTGAGAGTGCTGGGACGACAACCTCGCCTCGCTCCTTGAAAGCTGCTTCGGCCTCGGCGGCGGCAGCTGCGATGGCACGGGCGCGGTCGAGCTTGAATTGTTTGCGCTCGGAGCGGCGGCGGGCAGTGAGTTCTTCGGAAGTCATTTCTGAAAGGGAGACAGACGAGTTAGACATCGAAAGAAAATGGCGGGGGAATGGATGATGTATGTCAGAAGTTGTAATCATGGATGAAGGGTGACTCGGGAGGTGCTAGGCTGAAGAAATCACTCACTTCCTTGCGCCGCCGCACGCCGGTCATTAACCTGCCTTGCAAGCCAGCTAGGCTCACTTCTCGACAGATGCCCCTTCCCGAAGAAGCCTCGTTGCCACAATATAAGCACGCTCCGCATATCTGTCACCCAGACGCTCTTGGTCGCTGAGTCGAAGACGCCCTCGCAGTGCGGGTTGATGACCTCCGTCGGGCGCAGGCCGAGCGAGTGAAGGATGCCGCCGGGAGTCAGACGTTCGAGAAGGCGGCGAGGTGGCTCGGGTTCGACGAAGAGGAGGGGGAGGGGATTTCCGTAGACGCGATTGTTGTCAGCGCGGCGAGCGCCGCCTTTACCGGGGCCGCCGCCGCCGCGCCCACGGGTAGATGGACCGATTAGGGACATCAGGTAGCAATGTCGGTAATTTAGAGCAGGTATGGAGAGACGAGCGACCGAAGACTACACCAAAGGCAAAGTTCAACCAAGGACGTGACCGTCGGATGCGAGAGGCTTTCGGCAGATGCCGAAAAATGATAATTCGAGCGTTTCGAGTCACGCATCACTCCTTTTGCCTGCGACCGCCACAACTACGGGAGTCATGTCCCTTGTGGACCTCCACGCACATCAGGATTTCTTCTCTGCAAGCAGCTCATGGCCTCTCCTCTGAGAAGTTGTCTTGTATGAAGGGGCTAGACTGCAGATCAATCTCTCGACGCACAAAACCATTTTGGCTCACGCTTCCAGCCTTGTCTGATGCCCTCCGCGCGGATGATTGCCAGAACATGAATTCTTCTAATTGACCACTTGATGAAGGCGGAACCAAACTCATTCTTAATGAACGGCCTGTGCAGAATCCCGCCAAGTCATCAACATTGCATTAACAGGACTTCGCTCGCGCTGCTTCGCGTACACCGCCCATTTACACATCACAGCTACACTCCCGCTTCTGCCTCCGGTGTACCAGAAGTCAGTGAAATGCTACTTCCTGGTCGGTCTGGTGAGGAACTATCCAGGAATAGCGCGATGGCTTGTATACGGCATGGGCGGATACGTCCATTGGCTTGACTAGCTCCTCCCGACCCCCTTCCCATTATAGTGGTTTCACTCATGCCACTCTCCTCATCTGACAATGTCGCACGCGATTTTGCACCGATGTGCGTCGCTCTACGTCGTGCGCAGCTGGCGCAACATGCTCACTGCTGTCATGATGACAAGCAACGGTCCCTTTGTGCGTTTAGGTCCGCTTTTGACCTACTATCGCTCAGCAACGAAGGGTGCTTAGCTCATTGGAGTCGACGTGGCTTGTTTGCTGTACGGTTGTTTACTAGCTCAGTTAGGTGCGTATATTCAACAGCATGCTTGGCCATATATTCATGATCGATTCAGGTCATTACCTCGAGAGATATTCCAAGGAAGAGAAATGGCTTCGACTCCTGGGTACGTGTCCCGGCCATGTTTGGACTATACCAAGAACGAGCGTATGCCCGACAGTCATGATCTCCGCCCTTATTGTTGGCGTGAACGTCGGCTTCGCAGTGGCCTCGCAGTACGTAGTCTTTGTGACACACTCCGGTGACCGTAGCATCTGGACATCGAGTCCATGGCCAACGTCCGTGGTCCCCCTTACGGCCGGACTGAGTACGTTCACTTGCTTTGTTCAGATCACAGATCCCTAACGAGTTTATCCTCATCTCAGGCGCGCTACTTGTCCAGTGTTTCTTTGCCTCTCGCGTCGTGCGCTTTCAAGGAAGACTTTTTGGGAAAATACTGGGTGCTCTCATCAGTCTGGCAAGCCAAAGATTCGACGCTTCGTTCTGTGCGCTGACTTGACCAGGTGGCCCTCCTGGCCTTTAGCGGCTGTGTTGCCAGCATGGTCACTGTCGGTGTACCTTCAATGTTGTCTATCGCCGTATACTCATCATTATCCCAGTACACGTCTCACGGACCTGACGCTCTGGACATCTGGGACAAAGTGCCCTCGACTGTGAGCAGGGTGCGTTCACTGGCAAAATTTCGCAAAGTCCACGTTTCGATTGCCGACCGCTGGCAGATATGGGCGATATCAAGCTGCGTTTGCGACGCTCTCGTCTCATTCTCAATGATTGGCCTGGTGCGCTATTCGGGCTGCTGGCGTTTTCGTTATTTACCACCGCAGCTTTACAATCGCCGCAGGAATACGCACTTTCGGAAGACCCGAAATATGCTCAAGCGCCTCATCGCTCAGTCCATCCAGACGGGAACTGTGACGACAGTGGTCATGGTCGTGATGTTCGTTATGTATGAGACTTCCGACTCGAAGAGCCAGGCATACATCGTCTGGTGCGTAAGATGCCACCTTCCCTCTATTTACGGCTGATACCTTCGTAAGCGAATTGGCACTGGGTCCACTGTATGTATTCACGCCAATGAACACTGCGAAGTCGGTGTTCACGCTCTACAGCTATGTGAACGTGATGCTTTATGTGCTCAACGCTCGAGAACGCTTGGCGGCGGTCGACACGCTGCGATGCAATAGCAGTGATATAGAGCTGCCAACAAATCACGACTCCACATCCACTCAGAACGCTCGAGCCACTCTTGTCGGAGGGGCACATATGTAGGCTTGATCAATTCAGCGGGCTCGACCATACAACGGTGCGCGCGCTAGCTGCGATAACCTTCGCAGGCTGACAGACAAGGTCTCAGGCGAGAAGCGAGGCAGCTAGACCCATATCTAACACGGACTGCGTCCGGAACCTTCGCTGGGTCGCATGCACAAGACCGCAGCGCAGAGGTTTCCTGGAGGAGTCGAAGCCGTTTGTTCTTGTCATGCTGTACGCCACAGCGAAGGGATCGTATCATGTTCACCAATATCCTCGATATTCCTCAATAGCGTAGTGATCGTAAAAATAAGGTCAATAAGCAGCATTCGACCTGGATGAGCCATTGTCACTCTGCTTCTCCGTCCTAGCTTCAACGCCCATTCACCGTCGCCGTTGAGTCCCTCCTGGTCCCATTCGGCGCGGACGCTGGTGCGGGTGCGGGTGCAGATGCGCCTCCTCCACCACCTATTCCTCCACCACCTATTCCTCCTCCACCTATTCCTCCACCACCTATCCCTCCTCCACCTACCCCACCCGCACCCGCCTGCCCCTCCCCCTCCGGCTTCCGATTCGGGTGGTCCGGAATATTGCTAATCTCCTTCCGCGCCTCCTCCCAGGCCTCGAGGTTCTTCTTGCACCAGTCGCGGTGCGCGCGCGCCATCGCGATGCACATCTCGCGCATGTCGGCGACCTTCTGCCGCTGGAAGCGGTCGAGGTCGGCTTGAATGGTGGAGGAGGAATATTTGAGGTCCTGCGCGGCGAGGTGGAGGGCGTCTTCGAGCTGGGACGGGGTTAGACTTTGTCCCTTCTCGTAGGGCCGCGGGTAGTGGGTGGGCGGAAGGGCGAAGGGAGGGACGACAAGAGGGAGAGGGAAGGAAGCAGGTGGAAGGGGTGGAAGACATGAAATGGGCGACGAGGATAGAAAACGTACCTGCGATATGTTCTCCCTGGTCTTGGTGATGCTGTTGCGCCGTGCGGTCTCCGGGTCAACGTCCATCATCCCATGCAGGGTGTAGCTGAGCGCGCTGAGGAGACCCATGCCAGGTGTGCGCCCCCGACGGGCAGCAGGGTTTGGACCCGGATGCGGCGGAAGATAGGACGCCGTCGGGTCCGGTGGCGGAGGATGTTGCGCGCCCTCGCCCTCCCTAGACGGCCCCTCATCCTCATCGGCCCCCTCCGCCGCCGGCCCCTCCCTTGACGTGCTTCGCGTCGTCGTCCGACCCCCACGCTTCAGCGCCTCCTCCAGCCGCCTCGCCTCCCGCTCGCTCTTGTCCAGCTCCTCCAGCTGCTCGCGCTTTGCATCCAGCGCGTCCTGCGTCATCTCGTACTGCACGTGCTTCTGGTGCCGGTACGCCAGCAGCTTCTTGATGATGCCCGCGAACTGCGCGTACTCGTGCAGCGGCTCCGCCCAGTGCTGCTCCATCTCCTGGACGAGCTTGGTCGTCGACATGTACGTCGCGTCCGCGGCCTGACCGACCTTCTCGATGGCGGGGGACAGGGTGGCGCTCTCGTTGAGGGAGAAGCCGTTGAGCGCGGCACCGAGGTCGGCGTGGTCCTGGGCGGCGTCGGCCCAGCGCTTGATGACACGGCGCGTCACCTTCTCCATGGGCCCGCTGACATGGCTGGCGAACTTCTGGGTGAAGGCCTCCGAGTCCATGAAGCGCTGGTCGGGATTTCGTAGTGGGTGGGCAGCGGAGGGGTTGGGCAGTGCTGCGTAGGCCGGGGATGCGTTCTCGTCGATGGGGTTGTGTGAAGGTGCCTTGAGGATGTTCTTCGGCAGTAGAGTCAGTGGAGGGGAGTTCAGGACCTCCGTCCACGACACCTCGCCGTCAAGGAAGCGGTGGAAGACGTGTTCGTTAGACAAGATAGGGTGGCGACCGATGCGATTGAGGAAGGTCTGGAGCATGCGCTTGCGACGAGCTATCAGAACGGTGTCCTCCTTCGCCTTCCCCTGCTTGACAGCATAGTCGCCTAGGCTTTGCTTTGAGGGGATGGGCGGGATGATAAGAGTCGGGTAGAGCTTCGACAAGCTGACGCGGAGGGACTCGAACTCGGAATAGCGGTGGCGCGCCTCAGCGGACTACGCACAAGTTCGTCAGCGCTGCCTGACGCGAGGGGAGGGCTCTCGTACCCCTGTCTGTATCACATATACGATGTAGGGCGACGCTGAGCCCACCGTCGTCTTCTGCGCGTCCGTGATCTATGGTCGTTAGCCATCTGTGCAATGCCTCCGCGCGGGCAACATACCAGGATCTCGAGGTCGTCCCCTGAGTGCAGATCACGGTCGCGTGCACAGCAGTAGTCACTCTTGTAGTTCATCGTCGTCTGCCGTTGTGTGCTTGGACTGGGAAAGGACCTATTCAACGGAGGAGACGCGAGCTGCCGCGAGAGATCCATCGGTGGTGAGGGGGGATTCGATATGTCGACCTTTGACGTCGACGACGACTCGGACTCTAACCGGTCGGCGTCGGCCTCGAATGGATTTTCATCCTCAAAGGCGTCCATGACGGCAAGGAGCAGGGTGCGCGCTTGTAGCGGCTTGCTCGGTGACGCGCGCGCCGACGTCGGCGCTATTTGCTAATGTTAGCGGCCCGGCTATGCGTGGGAATCTCATGTTGGACTTCTCGAACTTCAACTTGAGATTCTCAGAAATCGTGCTCTACCTAGTCAGCTCCCAGTACACGAGCATTCTCTACAGTTCTACCACTAGCTCTACTGCAGGACTTCGTCATATGAATTCTCCCTGAGTATTAGAGTGTGTCTGTTCAGTAATTTATTCTGGGTCTAGTCCCTAACTCGTCTCATCTCTCTCAAATGACTTACTAAGGATTTTACAGAAAAGCGAAAGATGTTACCAAGATGCGGACCTTGGAGCAGAGGTTGTCGCACAGCTGGGCGCGCGCTAGCACTTAATCGGCGCTCAAATGTATTTCGACTCCCAAATGATTTACGAAGACCGCCCGACAATGTACGAAGTCGCGCAAGTAAATTACTCAAACTTCTGTGAAGATCGAAAGACATTACTGAACAGACACACTCTATTGTTTCACCCCGACCTCCTGCGCCTCCGTTCCTGGTACGCCTCCCAATCCGCTAGCCAACCGCCGACAATCTCGAGAATTTGATTCTGCGTCTGCGCGACGGTGGGCTCAATCGCCGCGCGTGCAATGACATCCGACGCATGAAAGCCATTCTCCAGAAAAATGGGCTGGGAGGCGGTACTAACGGGGATGTCTGTCTGCTGAGCAGACATCGAGGCCTCGCGCCAAGTATCATCTGCGAAGAGGTTAGTATGGGCGAAACCTCATCGGCACTCTACGAGAAGCAATGAAGGAAAGATAAAAAAAGCTGAATACGCACTGTTTCCATTCACGAAAATCATGCGCTCGCCCTGCATCGACCAGCCGCCGTATCGCGCGTTCGTCTCGTTCGTCCGCGGAAGCCCATACGCTGGGAAGTTCTCCGGGAAGTAGTAAGCGCAGTAGTCCTGTGGCGTGCATCAGAAAGACCGTTTTTGAAGCAGTCATGAGGCTTCGACTTACGATGACATCCGTCTGAACAGTCGTCAAGCGCGAGACTATCGTAGGTTCATCCTCTGGTGCGCCGATCTACAAAGAGGTGATCATTGAAGATTTTCCACATGTCACACTCGCAGGCTTACCTGCCCCCAGCCAAACTGCGTGCACGTTTGCCATGTCCAAGAACGCCCGGCATCATCTACGGGATGGTCGTCTTCGGGTGATGCAGAGGTGCCCTTGACGCACTCGCTGAGATCAATATCCGCGCAGACTGACGAACAAAGCATCAGCGCAAGAGTTTGAACCACAGCGTGACTCTTACGCTTTGCCACAGTCGCGCCCTGGAAATAGCATCAGAGGATGTGCATGACAAGCACAAATGAACCGACTGACAGAGAAATAAGCGCCCCACGCCCTCAAAGCATGCTCAAGACCCCAGCCTTCTGGACCACTGGCCATACGATCCTTCACCTCCAACGCGTCGCAGAAATCGTAGAACGCGAGCTCTCCGCCATCCGAGGCCGTATACGGCTGCAGCGATTGCCAGTCCCAGATGTTGTTACGGACTATGAGGTTAGTGCCATACAGTCAGCCACAACGACCGAGGTAGGCGACAATGACAGACGTACGAGATCCAGCCACATCGTAGTTGCTATACGATGCGTTATACCCGAAGATTTCCTTGATCTCTGTCTGTGCGGTCTCGTTGTCGCCCTTGAAGACCTCGTCAATGTGAGCGATGACAGCCTGGACGTCCGCGGAGCAGTTGGCGGGCATGTTCTGGCGGATGGGCGTGAAGTACTCGTGGAAGTCGCTGGAGGCGGGTCAGACTCAGTCGGCTCGCTGGCTTGTGCGCATGAGGACACTTACACCTGAGTCTCGATGACCGCCGAAGAGCCGTAGTGGATGTAGAATACGTCGGGCTCGCTGTCAATTGGCATGAGCATGCAGGTAGAGCGCACATAGGATATTATTGCCACTCACGCAACCTTCTGGAACGCAGTCAGAGCGCCTGCATAGCTCGCCCCGATGAGAATCCACGGCGTGGCCTCCGGCGACGTATCCACATCCACATCCAACTTCACGTTTCTCGCGAAATACACGTTGTCCTGTATGGCCTGCTCAAGTGACAGATATTTGAGCGAGTCCTCGTTCAGGTTCGGGTACGGGTTGCTTTGGCCGTAGAACTGCGTTCACCAGATAACTTGCGTCAGAAATCGTGTTTGCTCGAGCGATGGAGGGAAGGTACGTACGCGATGCTCCATGATGATGAGCAGGCCGCTTTCCTGCTGTGCGATAAGGCCATTGATAGTCTTGTTCGTGATGTAGTGTGTGTAGCCTGTGCGAAACTCAGCAACATGAGTTAGCCCTCCAGGACGGTACGCACCTTCAGCATTGACTTCACCCATGTTCATAAAGATGATGGGTCCGCCTACAAGCTAGTAGTCAATCCCAGCACCCCAGTGCATATCTCCATATACGCACCTGGCTCATAATACTCATAATTGACCCAGTACCGCGTCGAGAACGTCCCCAGCGACGTATCATTGTGGTCGATCGGGATGTCGATGTATTGCGGGGTGCTGATATCCGCCAACACCGTCCCGTTCACATGCGTCACGGGCCCCTTCGGCGGCGGGCCAGGGGGGAGGGGCGGAGGCGACCGCGGCGGCACGTTCAGGTGCGCACGGCCGTCCGAGAGTTTGCCGCGGGCGGCGAGCGCAGTGAACGCTAGGGCGAAGAGGCTCCGGATCCCGAGGGGCACCATGGTCGCGCAAGCGGCCTGCTGTGAGATGGCGGGGAAGGGAAGCGCGCACGCATGCGCGTACAAGGCCCAGCTTTATGCACGGCGCGCGACACCGAAGGGTTCCGTGGCCATACGGCTACGATAACCCGTGATGTCGTTCCTCATTCTCCGGAAGCCGTCCCCCGTCTTGCGATGTCGTCCCTCGTCTTCTGGGTATCGCTTCGCCATCTTCCAATGCTGGCTTCCCAGGACAGGCAGCATCCGACTGGCGTGCAGCGGTCCTTGAGAGCCGTGGACTGTATGGACGATAAGATACGTGCATCAGGCGCGTGTAAAGAATACGCACAGCGCGATTGAAGAACGCACATTGCGCACATGGACAGCGTCCTGTGATAGGGATTCTCGTATCGGCGACCTCTTCGAAGTGGACCACTAAAGCCAAGGCCTGCACTCACAGTCAACCGAGATTGAATCGACGTGGAGGTAGCAGTGCATAGCGTCAAAAGAAGCGCTCGACGAAGTCCGAGGCTGAATTGCCGGTGTCCATTCAGTCATGCAAATACACGAAGAGGCGCCGGGAAGACCCCATAGACCGAAGGCGACGGAGGGGAATGGGCGGAAGCCTTCACCATGCATAGGAACACAGAGCGCGCTCGAAGTCACCGGCACCGATGGAAGCTGGCAAGAAAGTAGCTGAGCGCGGCATGATTAGGATAGTGCCACCTACCGTAGTTCAAATCGCAGGTGAAGTCGTGATGTTATACGATGACCTGAGCCCACTCAGCCTGACACCCACGCCCCACATCCACCGAAGAGTAACCGAAAGGAAGATAAGAAGATCATAAGTCTATTCCGAAAGCCGTGCAGAAAACATGGTAGACTGATACAGCAAACAGACGTGATTGGTAGGCCCAATGCAACCGGAGGTGAGGGATCTCGTGTCAAGGAGGAAGATCCCATGCAAGAGGAAGTGAGAGGACCCATGCGAGGGGAAGGAAGGATAGCATGGTAAGACAAGGAGATGAATAGATAACCATAGAGAGCATAGGATCGCCACCGCCACCGTGAAAACGGAAGTGGCAAGAACCTCGACGGTATTGGTGGAGGTCACAGAGTAGTGGTGGATGTCACAGAGTAGCGCAGGCCATGGGGTACCGCGATAGTCGTAGGACACCGCACCCCAAGGCACCGCGAGCCCCGTAGGGCATTGCGCGCACCGTTGAGTACCGCGGACGCCATAGGGGCTTCGCGCGCCCTTGGGCATCGCGCAGGCTGTGGCGCACCGCACAAGCCATAGCAAACCGCACCCAAACCGCAACCACCCCATCTCCGAGCCGGCGACCTCATATAGCCCCCTTGATGTTAATCTTGCGATACTTCTGCTCGAAGGTCTTCTGTAGTGTGACTTGGTCGATCGCGTTGCAGTCCACATTCTTTGCGTCCGGCGTATAAATCGCGCACCCGTACTCTTGCAAGAACTGGTGCGTGCCCTCGGGCGTCTCCAAGCAGAGCTCGTTCTGCAGGAAGCTGATTGGGATCTGCTTGTATCTTAGAGGGGTGCATGTCAGCGCAAGCTGCGGGGGGAGGTATACGGAGAGTAGAGGGTGGCTTAGGAGATGATAGACAGAGTAGGACAACGTACGCTCTGGTGATGCAGATTAACGCGCGCGCGCGTTCCCGAGGGATGAAGTGGTCCATGATGTATGCGCTCATGTTCGGTGCTTCCTCATACAGCCGCATGAGCCGATGGTAGTTCCCCAGCGCCAGAGCCCGCTGCACGTTCAGAGCATGCTGCACCGCCTTGTCCTCTTTCTGCTGTGCCGTTAGTTGACCTACGTAGAGATTTGATTCTGGGAAGAGCGAGTCAGCGCGGGGAGCGGGAAGGATGAGGGAAGGACAGACCGCTGCGATTACGCCCGTGCAGCAGCATGAGAATGCGATAGGCAGTGAATTCGTTGTGGGCGCCAGGTATTCCGAGCTCGTAAAGAGTCTTCAGAGTAGCCTGGCACTGATTGTATTCCACCATATCGTTCTACGCATGCGATGAGCGACTGGAGCACAGCAAGCACTAGGATTTACGTACATTCTCGAGCGCCATCCGTGCATGCGACTCGTACACTTTAACTGTGAACTCGTTCTTTATGCGCTGCACCTGCGAACGGTTAAGCAAGCAACCATGGCACAAGGGAGTGGTAACGTACGACAAGATCTTGGCGCAGGCTCTTCAGCTGGTTACAGATCCAGTTGTATGGTGCTCGGTTGCGGAAACGTATCTTGATTTGCTCAAAAGCTTGCTGTAAGATGGGTAACGGGCGAATTTGCTCCGGTTTCGGTTCCTGCGAATACTCTGTTGGCTTGTCGCGGGTAAGAACAATACACGTACACTTGTCAACCGAAGATAGTCCTTGAAGAGCTCGGTACAGGTCCCAACAATGGTGTACCGGTCCCAATCCACGACGTTCTGTGGCTGGTCACGATGTGGGGAGTATGTCAAGGGAGGGTTACGCACAGGGTCGCCCTCAGGCTCGGCGGATTGGTCGAAAGGTGTGTGAGCATAACGCGGATGATGACTGAGATGGAGATTGGCGGTCTGACTGGTGATATTCTTCTGGCGCTCGATCTCGTGTTCACGTTGAAAGCGCTGCGCGCGGCGATCGAGTGCAGCCCGATCGTTGGGGTCAAATGTGCGGGAGGCTTCAGCTTTCTTGAGCGCGTTCTTCTTCTGTTTCTTCGTGGTCGGGGGCTCCACTGCATGGTTACTTCTGCCACAGGAGGACAAGGTCAGCATGTGCATGTGAGGTATGTGCCGACCACGCACTTCTTCCGCTTGAGATTGTTCACCACGGGCATCGGCTTGGGTATGAGGCTAGAGGGCATCAGAAGCAGACATCGGGGTTGTCAGACGAGATGGCACCTTTGGAGTTGCATCCCAGACCAGTCGGTCGTCCAGAGGGATTTACTGACGAACGCATCATGGATTACCTGTTTCAATTCCGCTTGCGCTTCCGCGCGGTTGAGGTCAGTCATCATTCCGAGGCACTTGGAGACCCAGTCCCTGTTCGGGTCGTCAGCGTATGCGGCATGGGGTGACACGGCAGCAGACGAACTTGAGAGCCGGTGGCCACGAATCCTGCGACATTGACATCTTGAGTAGGTGCTTATGTTTTTGTGGCTCTGAGGGGGCAGTATTCGAGGTCAAGGTGGGAAACAAGACGCGGTGATTCGCTGTGGCCATCCGTGGGGAGATGATCTGGGCACAAACACAGACAAAGCTTCCTTTTGTGGCGCTCTCTCTGCACGGCCCGCCTGCGAGAACAAGGCCTGTCCATACACTGAACGGGCACCCAAAGCCGTATGATAAATATTCGTAGGATAGGTGATTAATACGAGGTATATATACAATCAAAGAGAGGCAGATAGAGACAGCGCCTGTTACTGCGACACTTTAGACGCGGACTCCATCTCCTTCTGCTTCATGTAGAGGTCCACCAGCGGGCGCAACGCCCTGCTCGTTGGGAGACCATCATCTACGTTTACTGACCACACCTTCGCCGGCCACCTTGGGTTCGGCAGCAGCGCACCCGGCTTGGGCACCGGCGTGAACACAAAGGACCTCGAATTCGCCGGCCGCCCCCTTAGACGGCTCCCGCTCGTGTGGTCGATGTACGCCTCTGAGCCCTCGGACTTGTCGAGCGCGTCGAGCATGCGCTTCGGCTGCGATGCGCTTGTGCGCGGGAGGTGGATCACGTCGAAGTCGGACCAGCCGCGTTCGGAGGTGGACGACTCAAAGGAGTTCGCCCAGACGCCGACGTGCTTGCGCACTTCTGTAGGTTCAGGCTCGATGACTGCCTCGTCAACATCTTGTGACTCGTCCACGCCGCCGGCTGCGCCGTGCCAAACGAGGCGGGGGCCATCGAGGATGTCGAGGATGCGAACGACGACCGTGCGCGTGTTGACATGCTCTGAAAGGGTAGAGAGCTCGAGACGAGCGCGGACGAGACCTGTGTGAGGAAGACATGAGCGTCGAGTTGTTGAAGACCCAAAGAAAACACGAACCGTCCCACACAGGCATTCGTGCAATGGACCATATCGTTTGTAGTCGAAGAACATGGATTCCGTCAGGAGTGATCATACGCACGCTCTGCCTAATGGTTAGCAACGAAGAAAGCGCCTCGACAGCAACGACGTACCCTGCCCAATCCCAACGGCAAGGTGAAGGGCTCAGTAAGGCTTTCAATGGTAAACTGCTGTCGAGAATGGTAGCTGTTTTGTGGACCATTACCACTAACCATTTTCGCCGTCTCTATCGCTCGTCAGCTGGCACAAAGACACTCCTCAGGCAGAGTACGCACTCAGATCCTCCTCACTGATGTGAAAGTCAGTCAGGTAGTCCAGCAGCTCCCCCTGACGCGCCTGGTACCGCAGCTTGCTGCTCTGCCTGATGGGCGTGCCCCGATCTCTGCGGTAGTACTCGCTCCTGAGTTCTTCGTCCGAGAGCCTGTACCCGCGAGGCGCGCCAGGCTTGAAGGGGAAGACCAGCCGGTACATGCGCGGGCCCCACACCACGCCCTCGGACGTCAACAGGTCGTGCCCCGCCGCGAAGTCCTCTGGCCGCCCCGAGGGCACGACGCGGAAGCGCACGCCGCTAGTTGCCGGATGCAGCGCGTTATGGTAGAAGTAGAAGAAGCCGCGCGTGCCCTCGGGAAAGGGCGCGAGGAGGGACGGCGCAGTGAGGGGCCATCGGGTGTAGGTGAAGGGGATGCGGTAGATGTCGCGCTTGCGGTGGGAGTTGGCGCGGTCGTCGGGGTCGGGAATAATGTTGATGCCGTGGAAGCGGAGGCCGGAGAGGTCCTGCACGTCGGTGGGTTGGAGTTTGGAGGCGTCGAGGGTGGAGACGAGGGCGAACTCTTTCCAGCCGTGGCGTCTGGGTGCTCGGTTTATGATGTGTGCACCGCGGACGCGCACCGGATGGGGTTCTGCATCACCATTAGGAGGTGGTAATGGTGCAAGGTTTCGCTGAATTCGCGTAAACCAGAGAGACCCCTGCTATGACACTGAACGCACCACGTCCAAACCCTGCTGCGAGAGTGCGGCATTGTGCTGGGTTGTCGACGCGTGCAAGTACGCGCTCAGTTGGGCGGAGACCCTCCCTCTGGCTTGCAGTAGCGCAGACCGCTGTACACCGCATCGCCAGGCACGCGATAACATGGAGGAAGGTGAGCCCGTCGCGTCTCCGGTCCGCGACTGACTTCGATCACTGCGTGATGTCCCACGGTTTGACTACTGCATCATGTTAGGACGGCTATATCCCTAAGCGCTTATAGCACGCACTCGACTACCCTGCAGTATATACAAGCGGATCCTACTCATCCATCGACCAATGACCGTCCCCGTACCGAGGGTGTGAACGTATGCGCTGGTCGCAAAGTTGAGCCGTGCATTGCACCAAAGCAAGAGCTGAAGCGAGGTATAGCATTAGATAGATACCGAAGGTCCCGAGTATAGCGCCATAATCTATAGATACAATTGATTCTCGTGCAGGAGCTGAATGAAAGAGAGCAAGAGTCGTCATGACCGGAAGCGGAGGTACGCCATGACAAGCGCCGAGCAACCAGTCACAATACCGACCAAGTACTGCAAGGTGGTCGCCTACAAAGCCGCATAAGTATTCACAGGTTCCTCAGTTGGGAAGATATTGGCCGAACGCACCTTCGACGCCTGTATCGACGTCCGCAGGTTCGCGATTTCCTGCTCTATACGCGTGTCGATTTCCTTGATCTTCAGCTCCTGCCCCGAGCTCTCCTCGCGTATGCGGCCCTTCTCGAGGTTGAGGTCGAGCCGGACGCCGGCCTGCGTGCGCGTGATCTCCTCCCTCAGCCGCTGCTTGAGCTTCTCGATGTCGTTCAGGAGGCGGTCGTTCTCAGCTTTGAGCATTGCCAGGTCGTTCTTCTCCATGAGCTGCAGCTCGGACTTAATCTGCGCGAAGTCAACTTGTTGAGTGTAGTGTTGCTATGTGGTACGTGTTAGGGTAGTGGTAGTAATGTCAGAGGGCAGAGAGGAAGCGGAGAGGAGGGGGAAAGGAGGAAATGAAACGCGTCGGTCAGCAAGGTGACTAGAACAGGGAGCGCGACGCCATACCTTCTCCTGCTCAGCCTTCGTAACCATGTTACTGGTCATATTCCTGATGCTCTCATCTATGACCTCTGCCATGGCAGTCATGATCCCCTCTGCCTATATATCCGCTTCAGTACCCATGCACCTTCGGTCGGATGCGACACACACCTGGGCACGATTGAGTCCCTCCCTCTCCAGACGCTCAACAAAGTGATGTGTGTCAAAGTGGAAGTCCGATTGCCGAGGGGTCATCGAGAACATGCGTAACGCGGAGGGCCCTGCAGCCCAGCTGCTTGACCCAGAGCATGCGGCACGCCTGGTGGCGAGGGAGAGCATGGAGGCCATGGAGTACGTATAGGTGGTCACGTTCAAGGGAGATTAGATGGATGGGAGGGAGAGGGGTTAAGGAGAGAAAATGCAGTGATTGACGGTTGACGAGGATGGGATGAAGCTGAAGTGACTGGAAGAGCTGATTCCGGAAATCATTCAGGCGCGCAGGCATCGGCGGGCCGCCACGGCCGGCTGCATGCGTCATTCAGCAGCGCCACAAATTATCGGCATCTACCGAGAGCGTGATCACTGCGCGCTTCGATGCTTTCTGCTCTTCTTCACCTTCTACCACCGACCACCATCAACACACGCCACATCAATTTCAACATGGGACAAGACTGGGCTCTGGCTAATTTGGATGGCAAGATTAGGATTCGCCTGTGCCTTGGCAGAGGCTGCTATCAACTGGGAGGCACCATCTTCGACATGCTTCGGCCAAGGAAGCTGGTCCATGCAGACGACGTGTTGGTCGAAACCCGTGGAACGTTCAGTCAGCGCCAGCCACTGTCCAGGTATGCTACTCTCAATGTGTCTCTTCCTTGTGGCACCTAACGCAGTGTACCCAGTAATCCACAAGCTATTTTCACTCTCCCGAACGAGCTCATCGACGTGATCTTCACACATGTCGACGACTGGATCGCCCTTGTCTTCCTCGCTGTCACTTGTCGCGATCTTTGGAACATCGGTGTTCGCCACTTGCTCCAGGTCGCTGATCAATGGCTCGCCAAATCTTACGGATCCGCTATCGGGCAGCGCCTCATCTACATGGGCGACTACAACGACAAGGACTTCTTCCCGCCCGGCGTCCACATACCCGAGGCCGAGGTGCGCGATTTGTTCTCGCTGCGCAACGCCGGGGATCCCGAGGAGGATACGAACTGTGCCGACATACCTCGCGTCTACACGAACTACCGGGACGAACGCGACATCAAGACGATTCTCGTCATGGAGCCTATCAAGACGCTCCCCCATTCGTACCTGCCTTTCCGCGGTGGCATTCCCGCGCATCAATACGAGTGGCAGAACATACAGGACCTGCTCAACAGCGTGCTGCCGATCAAGTATGGCAGGGAAGACCAAAGCCGTCTTGTACTCCGCAGTCTCTCGAAGCGGGAGTATGTAACTGGAGCGGCGATGGCCAAGTTCAACAAGGATATGAAGACCCAGGGCCGCCCCCTCAGCGTTCAGCCGTGCCTCGGTTTCGCGGTCTTCAGTCGCATCATATGGTCGCGCTGCTCTAACGGTGACGGGAGACATAACTATACGGGCGTGTGGGCAGGTGATCGGTTTGATATCGTGGGCGAAGATGAACTCGAACGGGACTGCAAGAAGGAATTTGCTCCCAACCAACTCGTCGACGAGAGCGAAGGCACGACTGCCGAATGGCACGACGTGTCCGGGGAGGTAGTCGCCGAATTAGAGAAGGACTTTTTCCCTTCAAACTAGGTCACGTAGAAGTGTTCGGCTTGTAGACTGCACCCTTGGTTCTCATATGTATCTCTGCTCAGCGATCGCGCGACCTTGGTACAACTAAGGATACAGGGCCGGTGTGACAAATAAAATTACTGTGTCCAAACGATCGTGCTTTGGCCAACCTGGTCTATGGCGAAGATTGCGCTCGTGAGCTATACACGCTCGCGCGACTCACCTCAAGTACCAACCTATGTACACATGTGCGTCGGATTGTTGACTAACGCCACAAATCCCGGCATCTACCGCAAAAACGTGATCGTTGACGTGCTTCGCTCATTTCTGCTCTTGCCACCGACCACTATCACCGTACGCCACTCTGACTTCCACATGGGACAGCACTGGGCCTTAGCTAATCTGGATGGGAAGACGAAGACACGAGTGTGTCCTGGCAAGGGCTTCTGGCAACTCGGAAGCACCGTCTTCGACATGCTAAGACCGAGGAAGCTGGTCACTGCGACTGATGTCCAAGTCGAAACTCGAGGAGCAGTTATGCAGCGCCAGCCTCATTGGAGGTAAGCTATTACAGTGGCCTACTTACCGGATGGCTTACCATATCGTAATGTCCAGCGACTCCGAATGCATCTTCATTCTGCCCAACGAGCTGATCGACGCAGTCTTTGCTCAGCTCGATGATTGGATCGAGCTTGTCTTCCTGTGCGCCACCTACCGAGATCTCTGGAATATCGGTGCTCGCCACTTGATCAGTTTCGCCGAACAACGTCTTGCCAAATGCTCCGCGATCGAGCAACGTCTGATCGTTCTGGGCGACTACAACGACGAGGGCTTCTTTCCGCCCAGCCTGCATATCCCTGGACCAGAGGTCATCGACATTTTCTCACCTCCCGGCACGGATGCTATCTACTCCGACCACCAGGAGGAATGCAGCATCAAGTCTAGGTTGAACATGCCCTTCTTCACGGCGCGACCCGACGAATACATGCGAGATCGCGCATACCATAACGAGAGTCAAAAAATCACGTTCCTGCTCGAGCAAGTGCTGCCAATAGAGTGGTGCTCGGTGGACCAAAGCGGGTTCGTACTTCGCAATCTGTCGAAGGGGGAGTACGTCACAGGCAAGGCGATGGCCAAGTTCAACAAGGATAGAAAACCAAAGCGCACCTCCATCTTTGACGCCGATCCCTGCCTTGGGTCTGCGGTCCTCAGCCGCATCTGTTGGTCGCACTGCTCTAACTTACCAGCGGATCGCAATATCACGGATGTCTGGGCGGGCGATCGGTTCGACATCGTGAGCGAAAATGACTTCGACCGTGAATGCAAGATGGGCGCCGAGAGGGACAGCATGCGCGAGGATGATATCGGAAATATGGCACCTAGCATAACGAAATGGGTGGACGTGTCGAAGGAGGTCCTGGCGGAGATCGAGGCTTCACTACTCAAGTAGCTTGTGCAGCAATGCCGTACTGATATAGCTGCCGGCGATGTAGAAGGCGCATGCACCTCCCGCGATACGTGCGCGCTGCCTGTGGCGAATTCTTTAGATGAGCGACGAGCTCATGATCAATGAACGTTGCGAGATCAGACTAAACTCCATGGTCAAACAAATCGACCACTGCGATCTATCACAAAGACTACGTACGAAGGTAGCTAACAACTGCTACACTCGCAGGAATAAAGTATGTACTTCGGAAATCCCAACGATGATGACGATGCTTGCAACGGTATGCCGATGAGGATGGAAAGATGCAGACGGTATCCAGGCCAAAATATGCACAGTATCCGAGTCTCGACGAACGAATCAGAAGGAGCTATACGAACGAACCAAGGGGAGCTGCAGGCCTCCCCGATTATTATGGACAGCAAAACATGGCGTCAGTATATACAGCATGGTGAGGGATGCGTGGCTATATGCAGGGTGTGCGGTTTGTTATGCAACGGGGCCGGTGTATGCGCTTGTCAAGATCGTCAAGAAGAAAGGGGGATCAGATGAGGGGTATGACGCTGGCGCTACGCGGCAGACGCTGTAAGCAAGAAGCGCACGAGGTGGTGGTATAAGGTATCCGACAGCAGTGAGACACATTCGACAAAGTCCGGGGGCGGTAGGGTGGGAGCGGAAGCGTGCTGTACCGGCCCATGGGTACAGGCCCGTGTAGCCCGAATACAGGGCCCGTAGTCTCGATACAGCGGCGGACGGGGTCGTGGTACAGTCACGCGGCGGCTGAGGGGGTATAACCTTCCTAAGGCGAGGGGTATACCGCGCTCGAAGCAGTGTATATGCCCCACTCGCGATAGGGTATATACCCTACTCGCGGCAGGGTACATAACCCGCCTCAGGCGAGCCGCGCCACTCCGAGGGCGCCTAAACACCCGACGGAGATGAGGGACGCGAGCGCGGCTGGGCGCCCGCGGTGCGTGGTGGGTAACTGGGGGTCAGGATATAAAGACAGGATCGGGGAACGAGAGACGATAGTTGGTAGAACTGGTGGTGGTACGGGCTTGCGGTGCGGTGCCTTCGTAGGCGAGGGTGATGGAACAATTGTGGCACAGGACGTTCTTGGTGGGGAGTTGAGCTTGGTGATGGGGTGGGGATTACACCAGGGGAGGTGGAGGGGATTACACCAAAGGGGAGCGAGGGCGGCCGGGGCGGTAGACAATCGAGTCTAGCGCAACAGGCGAGTGGGCTACCGCAACAAACGAAAGGCTAGTAAGCAGCAGGAGATGAAGCGTGACTAGCAGACAATCAGATAGTGCCACCCATGGTCAGAGCGCCTTTCCACAAGCGGGTGGAGAGGATGGATCCGCGCCGCTTGGCCTTCGGGCGAGGAGACGTCGGAGGGCACGTAGGTGTCGGCGGCGGGGTGGCTAGGGGCGCGGTCTCTTGCACGGGAGATGGAATCGCCGCGCCAACCACAGGAGACGTCGTAGTGACTGGGCTCGGCGAAGTCGCAGCGACCGGGCTCGCGGAGGTCGATGAGGAGCGCCTATGCATCGGCTTCGCGGCAGTTGGCAGCGAGAGCGCCAGGGAAGCCGAGCGCCTGCGATCGACTGTCTTGCGCGCCAGCGACGGTGCGATGATCTGCTCTACCTCCGAGGTGGGGGCCGTCTCGCCGGGCATCGTCACCTCCTCCCAGTTCTCTGCAATCGAGTCCGTGGGCTGAACCTGCGTTGCATTGCTCTTCTCGCCCGTCAGAGATATCTCGCCATCCTTGACGCATCTCTCTCCCTCCTTATCCTTCCACGTCGACATGTCGACGACGCGGTCCATGGCGCATATCGCGGACGCGCGGCGCGCCTTAACGGGCGAGCGCGGGCATGGCAGTTTCGGCGAGCACTTGCGCGCGGGGAGCGGGAAGAGCTCGTCCTCGTCGTCTGCCACGGACGGGCGATATGGTGCCTTGGGCGGGACGCAGGGAGATGCCGATAATGGGAAGCCGTCGGTCGAGAGGGCCGGCGATGAGATCGCGGACGAAGACGAGAGCGGGGAAGGCAGCGGGGAGGACGAGAACGAAAGCGGAGGCGAGAGGCATTGGGGCGGCGAGCATGGGGGTGAGGTCGGCGGGGATGTCAGGGTGGCGGATCCGATGCTTGCGAGGCTGTCGGTTGAGTGGGAGGACAAAGAGCCGGAGGAGGATGACAGGGAGGATTCCCCGGACACCTGACGAGAATGAGGCTCGGCCGCGGTCTGCCCTCCTTCCTCGTCTGTCACAACAATCGCTGTTGCTGATGCTTCGCCCTCGCGGATGATGGGCTCCTGTGACCGTCTGCGCAACAGGTCCACCTCATCCACCGAGAAAAGATGCCCTGACGGCGTCGGCGCCGCAGGTGCCATATGCTCGCCGAACGTATACGCCGCCCACGCCCTCCGCGCGCCCAACGTCCACTGTTCGGCTTGCAGCGCGGATGCCGTGCACGCGGATGCGCACTGCGCGCAGCAGCCCTTCAGCTCGTGCGCGCGCAGAGCGCGGAGCTCCGCTTCCTCCGGGCTCTCCTCGAGCTCTCGCGGCGCGAGGCGGAGAATCCCAGCAAGGCGAGGCTTGCGGCGCCGCGCTAGGGGTGCTAGGGTGCACTCTACAGGCACTACCTCGATTTCGCCAAGGGCGCGTCCAGGCACGGGCTTGACCTCCTGGACGAGCTGCATGGGGGCGAAGGGGAGGGGCATGCTCGCGCGGCGCGGGGTGGTGGGGCGCTTCTTGACGGGCTGGAGCCTGGGGGCGCGCAAGCAGGACTTCGTGGGCGTCGCGGGCTTGGGTGGGACTGGGGGTGGTGCTGGCGACCCGCTCCTCTGAGCGGGAACCTCGCTGCGCGGGGAGCCAAACCCTGCATGCATAGATGTGGGTATATTGGGAGGCGATAGAGGGCTATCATGGATGAGAAGTATGCCAACTTGGCGAGGATGTGACGCACCCAAACTCAACAAGTGGGAGCGGGAGCTTGAGCGACAACTTGTGAAGGGGAATGCTGACCGCCTTCGTCGTCACGCGCGCCTTGGTCTTGGTAGGCGACAGCGGGGACGCGCCGCTTACAGACGGCGCAGGGCTGTCCGAGCGCGAGGGCGTCGAGGCGCCCTTGGACTTCTTGCACGGCGCGGGGATGAATGCGCAGTGCGAGGCGAAGCGCACTGTGCAGGACGCAGATGATGAAAAGTTGCAGGCGTCCATGGTGTTGTCGCTATCCCGCGGCACGGTAGAAGGCAAGATACGCCTCTCGAGCCCTGGCCCGCTCCCTGAAGAACGTCGCTGGGAGAAGAAATGGTGCTCTCCGCAAATCGTGAGATCTGCGATTCTGGCGCGTGATGCGACGTGATGGCGGCGTTGACTGGTCGAACGTTCCGTGCGTCGCCCCACACGGCCCCTCGCGCGGGTGTGCCTTGAGTTCGGCTGGAGGGTCGAGTGCTTGAGTCGCGCCCGGGATAAAGGAGTGTTGTTGTTGTTGTTTTCCATTCTACTGCATGACCCCGCTTTGCGGGGCATGTCACAGCGCACTGTAAGTAGTGAGGGTAGCTAAAAAGGCCGTCTCGGTAATGTACTTTGCGCGGTAATGTCGTCTTTGCAGTCGTGTGGTAAAGTAAAGTCGTGCGTCATGCGTCGTCGCAGGAATCGTCGGGTGAAGCATGTGTGACGGAGTCAGGAAAGTGATTATGTTACTCGGTAGTCTACATGTGTGTACAAGATGGGAGAAAAGGGAAAGGTCTATGGGGGAAAAAGGGGGGTATCGCCTGTGCGCTCGGAGTGTGTTAGCAAGCTAAATCAACGCTGGGTCGAGTGGAAGACTTCCCGTGCCCTAGAAGGGACGGGAGACCGTATCGCGCGGACACCAGTCCATCGCGATGCCGGCCTCCCCCTTGCTTGCCCGCAGGCACTTCGAGATAATCTCCTCTGCCATATGCGGGCCGCGCTGCCGGAGGAGTTTGGAACAGCGCATTAATCGCCTTGAGTATCCTCCGGGAGGACCTGGCTGCCTGCTGCGGGGTTCGACACTGCCGTGTAGTAGGTGGCGAAGCGTCCTGTAGCTTTGACAAAGCGGAGGAGAGCAGGAACATTCTTGCGGCTTCGGACACTGAGGAGGTAGCGTAGCTGGGGGTTGGCGAGTCGTGTTTCGCGGAGCAGTATGGCGCGTTGGGGGCGGTATTGCGGGCAGCGGAGCACGTAGTGCGTTATCGTCTCCCGCATCCCACAATGAGGGCACGTCGGGGTAGGGGAGAGGCCAATCCTGTTCAAGTTCGCATTCAGGCCGATGTGCCCCGTGCGGAGCTGAGTGAGCAAGCTTGCGTCTGGGCGCGATAGTCCCGCGTAGAGGCGGAAGACCGCCGGACCCGGGGGCGTATCGTCCAGCGTCTTCTGGAATGAGCAGCTCTTGGGGGCTTCCCTCCAGCGGCGGCACCACTGCTGCTGCACGCGCGACTTTTCCGCTGCGATGACCGCTGACCTGCTAACTGGGAGCGGTCCATTGAGCAAGCCACGCTTGTCGTGCAGGGGGGTATCGCCACAGCCTTCAGCGGCAGCCTTCGCTTCTGCGTCCACCCGCTCGTTACCCTCCACTCCGACATGCCCGGGTACCCAGGCGACGATAAGAGAAAGCGTGCGTCTGCTGGCACGCAGCCGGTGCACACGCACCCAGAACTCATGGACCAGTTGCTGTCCCGCCTTGGTACCCGACCCCCGAAGGGCCTGTATGGCCGCTTGCGAGTCCAGGAGGACGGCAGCCCGCGTCAACCGCTTCGTGCTGGCGATGATGTCGATGGCGAGGCTAGCACCAACCAGCTCAGCCTCAAAGACTGTGCGCTCTTCGGCAGGCCCCATGTGCAGGCGGCGGCGAGATTCACCACGCGTCCGGGAGGCGAGGACGGCAGCTGCGCCCACATGTCCCTTGTACCCCGAGCCATCCGAATAGATACACACGCGCTCACGCTCCAGCTCCGCTGTCATAGCAGCACCCGCATCCTTGGACTCCGCAATAGCAAAAGACACGCCGTCCCTGTTGATCGAGAGCGGTCGCGCGTCGATAGTTTCGAGGGGCTTGCGTAGGATGGGGAAAGCGGCTATGATGTGATGGAGGGGTGAGCGGTGGAAGCGCGGCACCTGACAGCATCGGCGGAAGACGTAGTGCAGCGGGTGGTCGGTGGGCAGTGTGGCAATGCGGGCCGTGGCATTGAACACGGCTAGGTTGAGCCGCAAGTCAATGGGTAGCATGTTGCAGTGGTAATCCAGCGCATCTGTGGACGTCGACCGGAGAGCTCCTGTTGCGATCTTGCACGCCAGCCTCTGTGCCTTCGCCAGGCGCGTTGCAAAAGCGACCGTCCCTCCCCGCTTCCTTTCACCCGAGGTTATTGGCCGGAACCAGACTGGGAGAGCGTATTCCATGCGCGGGACGACCAACCCTTGGAAGAGCTGGCGGATAAAGCGAGGGGGCATACCGAAGCTAGGCCGCGCGAGCCGTCCCAGCGCAGTGGCCGCTGCAGTACCCTTCCCCGATGCGTACTGGGCATGGCGCTTGAACGTCAAGCCCGCGTCGATATATACGCCTAGGTACTTTGCTTCGTCTGTGGGAGATATCAGCCTGTTGCCGGGAAGGCGTAGGGGGAGGGAGGTGGTGTTGACAAATCTGGGGCTGCGGGGTGGGGCATGGTGGACAAGCTGGTACTTGTCGACATCGAACTTCGAGTGTGACTCGGCTGCCCACTGAAGACCCCTCTCCGCAACCTGTCGGAGCTTCTCGAGGTTCTCGTGCACCGAGTCACCGACTACGACATAGGCGGTGTCGTCGATGTAGCCGAGGGTCATGTCCGCCCTGCCCATGATGCCGTCTCCCGTCCGCAGCAAGCCCGCGCTATAGATGAGATATAGGATGACACTTAGCGGAGAGCCTTGAGGGACGCCAGTGGGGACGGGGTATGCCTCCTGCGAGCTGTAGTCATCGAAGCGGAGGGTCGTTGTTCGGTCAGCCAAGAAGCTCATGATCCAGTCAACTACCGCCGTTGGAACCCTCTCTGCCTGCAGCCTAGCTCGTAGTGGGCCGTGTGCAACGTTCGGGAATGCTTGAGAGACGTCCAGGTACAGGACACTGACCACTCGCCCCCTCCGCCACGCATCCTTGACCGTCTGCGTGAGGAGGAGGAGAGGGTCCAGCGTGCACCGGTTAGCACGGCCCCCGAAATGCGTAGCAGGGAGCGCGCCTCGCGACTCGAGGTACTCGACGAGCTTGTCCGCCATGGTCGCCTCCATCACCTTGCCGATGGTGTCCTGCAGAGCAATGGGCCGGTACGCCTTGGGTACACTGTAGTCTGGCTTCTTTGGCTTGCGTAGGACGACCGTCGTATATGTGCGGAATTCGCGCGGGAAGTACCCACGCGCCAGAGTGGAACGGAGGAGGGCAGTGATGGCAGGTGTGAAGAAGGACGAAGCTTTCCGGAGGGCGATGTTGGGGATTCCTGACGGGCCCGGGGCAGACCTGGCCTTGACGCGCAAGAGCACCCTCTGCACATCCTCCTCAAGCACGGCTGGCGTCGGAGCAGGAGCCGCATCCTCAAAGGTCTCGTCAGCACTGGAAACTGTGGAAGGGCTAGGTGGTACTTCCCGTCTCGCTTCGCGAGGCGGGAGACCGGATCGCTGCGGAGCAGCGTTCTGGTCTCCCCCTAGCGTGCCCGCAGGCCGGTCTACTCGAGGTCCACGGGGTGCGTGCGGGAGAGAGGGACACGCGTGCGCTGGGGGCGCTTCGGGGAACATTGAGCCAGCGAAGAGTGCAGCTTTGGCCTCCGACGACGTGACTGTAGAGCCGTCCGGCATGCGCATCGCCGGGGTGCGCGAGGGCTCCGTGCCCTCATCTGGATCAGCTGCGTATTTCGCCGCCTTCCATATGTCTTGTTCCAGAATGTCGGTCAGCCACGCTCGCCAATGTCGTCGCTTTTGCCGTCGTATTTCGTTGCGATACTGCTTCCGCGCTGTTCGCCATGCCGTCCAGTCCTCGACCTTCCCGCGCTTCTGCCAGCTGCGTTGAGTCCGGTTCATCGCTTTGCGCAGGGCTGTGAGCTCCCTGGTCCACCACCGGCGCGAGTACGGGCTGGGCTTGGATAGAGGCACTGTTGCTCGAAGAGCATCTTGCGTGGTCGCCACCATCCACCGCACGTATCCATCAATTTGGTCTTCCGTCCATCCTTCCGGATGGTGGGGGATAGGGTGGTGACGGAGCGCATTCATCATGCGCTTCTCGTACTCGTCCCAGTTCGCGTCTCCCCAGAGCGGCCGGGGGACAAAGCGGGCATGGGAGAGGGGGAGATCGAATTCAGCCGTCACCGTGAAGTGGTCAGAGGCGTGAGACTCGCCGGCATAGCACCGCCGGAGCGCGGGAAGAAGTGTTGTCTTGGAGGCGAATATCAGATCATTCGTGTACAGATTATGCTCGTTGTAAGCTCGGTGGGCAAAGGTAGGGAGGCCAGGTGGGATGCAGCACTGGAGGTCGTATGTTGCTGCCAGCGCATGGAGCTCTTCGCAGTCGCTTCTGTCGCATATGTCGGGGCGGGACGTGCCCTCCCACTCCTCCGCGTGTTTGTTGAAGTCACCGAGGAGGATGACCTCGTAGTGCGCAGGCATGAGGGCGAGCTCGGCCGCCAGGTGGTCGATGGCTTCGTCATTTTTGTTTGGGTTATTATATATACTATAGACTCGGATCCGACGGTCGCGCGAGACGAGGAGGTCCACCGCAGCGAGATACAGGGACCCCGTCTGTACAGGGGTCCACTGCGACGACGCCAGTCGGTTGCTGACATACAGGCTGGCGTCAGGATGGCCGCGCACGGCTGGCAGGACACGGGTCCAATGCTGGTTTGAGCCAAGGGACGGCATGTCAAGGAGGCGCGCCGGGCATTCTTGCACGCATAGGACGTCGATCGCGTCGGGAGACGTCGAGTTGAGTAAGGACTGCATTGTTGTTGTGCTTTTAGATACATTGTGGGTCTGAACCCGCAGCTGAGACGAGGGGCACGCGTCGCCCTTTACGCGGCAGCCATAGCTGTCGCTTCCGACTCGTGGTAGAGGCCGTGCTGTGCATAGAAGGCCGTGCGCGCTTCAGCATTAGCCGTGCGGCGCGTGGGGCAGCGACGATCCGATGAGAAATGAGCCCCTTGGCAGTTGGCGCATGTGTACAGGCCGTGCTGGTCACAGGCCTTGGTTCGATGGGGGCCAGCACAACGTCCGCAGACATCGCCCTCGTGCTTGCACTTCGCAGAGATATGCCCATATCCCTGGCACTTCCAGCACTGTGTAGCGCCAGGCCAGTACCACCGGCAGATGCTCCACTGGTGCTCGATGACAATGGTATGTTCGACAAAGTACCGCGCTGTTTCGAAGTCGGAAATGTGCAGGATGAGGGACGAAGCCTTGACCCGGTCGTCCGCTGCGTGGGCCGGATTCAGCCAGTGCGCGCTACGGATATGCGTGCTGCCCTCGCAGTCAGTTATGTTGTCCGCAATAATGCCGTCGATGCTTTTCCGACTGGATGGGTTGAAGTACGTGGGGACACTGTTGACGACGATGTCCGTGGTCTTGAGCACCAGCTTCGCCGCCGGAGCAAGCTTCGGGAGCCATAGGTCGGACGTCGCCAGTAGGGCCTCAGCGTCGGTGCCCGCTCGCCCGACCACCACCAGCTTGTCGTGTTTGTTCAGCCTAGCAGCCGTCACTTGGACCCTCGACACCCGGTCGTCACCGCAGCCGCGGGCGGCGGTTTCGACACGCTCGACGAGTGCCTTGCCCTCGCTCGGCAGATTCTTCCTGACGTCCGCGCTGCACTTGCTGAGCGTGAAGGTCACGCTATGGTCTGGGCGGCGCGCCCCCGCCAGCCGCGACCGTTCTGCGTCCGCCCCGTCGTTGCCAGAATTGCGGGGTAATGGCCGCGCCGCGGGTGAAGCAGTCTTGACGACAGTGGTCTGCACGTTCTCTAGCCGTGCCATCTGGTCTCGGTGCTGATCTTCGAGACGCGTCAGGAGAGCCTTCTGCTGCTGTTCTCGGTGTTCCTCGGCTCGTACGAAGGCATGGGCCATGAAGGGGTCGATGTTTGTGGTCGAAGGCCGTGCGACGTGTAATAGGCGGTCCACGATTTCGATCAGGGTGCTTGACGCAGACGAGCCCATGCCCGAGAACTTGCCGCCCGTTTTCCTGCGCCACTGCGCGTTAAGGACCGTCTTGATGGCCTGCAGCCCGTCCTTCAGGTTCACCCCGAGGTGATCGACGTCGAGCGTCTTCGCGAGTTCACAGGGAGTCTCAAGGGTCTCGGGGGGAGCTGGGTCAGTATTCGAGCTTGCCGATGCTGACTCGGATACGCGCCTTCCCGCCTGGAGCGGGAGAGGGCCTTGAGCAGCCGCCTCTCCCCCTCGCTGGCCCTGTGGGGCTACTTTGTGGGGGCCTGCGCTGGCGCCGCCTCGGTTTCTCGTGACTCGTGCAGTCGCGCCTTCTTGCGGACTGGTCAAAACGGTCCTCTCGGCTGAGAGAGTGAGGGGTTTGAGGGATGGCGAAGCATGAGCCGACGTTGACTGTACTCTACCGCGTTCCGCGCCGCACGAGCCCGTGGGACTTTCGCTTGGACACATGAGCGCGGAAGGCAAGGAGCTCGGGATAAAGGAGTGAGGAGGAAAGGAGAGAGATGAGGGCGGGAAACAAGGAGAAAGTGGGCAGTGTACAAACTCTACAAGATAGATGTATTCTCAGCGGCCGAGGTCCGAGGAGCCACTGCGATCTCAGGGATTCACGACGTACGGCCCGGGACTGTGGATCACTGATAGCAACAGGACACGAGGCTCGCTGGACCCACACTCCAAGACCCTGACCGTATTTGTTTATTACAGCATTTTGCGAAAAGCTTGTCTGGTCCGCGCCGGAGAAGTATAATAGAAATTGATGGACTTCGTCGTGTGAATTGTTCGGTTCCGCCCGCCTCTTGATCCTGACCGCCGCCTTCGCTGTCACAACCTGCCTGCGCCCCGCGCCGCTCATCGTGCACCTCTTTCCCCTCTCGCCACTCGCCATCTCATGGTGTACCGCACTATCAGCCGTGATCTCAAACTCGCTGCTGTCAAGCTCTACGATGCTGGGCACATGATTGTCGAGGATATCTGCGACTGCGTCGGCTTCAGCACCAGGACCTTCTCGCGCATCCACAGACTGTGGACTGAAACGGGCGACGTCGTCAAACACAAGCACGGCATCCCTGGTCGACGGCGGGAACTCATGCTAGACGACGTCATGTACCTTCTCCGCCTAGTCCGTCAACGCCCTGACTGGTTCCTCGAAGAACTTGCCGATCTCCTCCGCGAAAACCGCTTCCTCTCCGTGCACTTCTCAACCATTCATCGAGAACTTCTTCGTCATGGCTATACCTCGAAGAAGCTGCGCCGTATTGCCAAGGAGCGCAACCCTCTGAAACGCGCTGCATTCATCGAACGCGTCGCTCAGCTCACGCCTGAACAAATTGGGTGCTTGGACGAGACCGCCACCGACAAGCGCACCGTCTACCGCCGCAACGGACGATCACCGAAAGGTGATCGTGCGTGCATGGAGCAACCATTTGTCCGCGGTCATCGCTTCACGACCACGGGCCTTCTCACAGTCGATGGGATGGTTGGAAGGAGAGTTGTTCAGGGTTCTATGTCGAGGGCTATGTTCTGTGACTTCCTCCGAGAGGAAGTGGTACGTCGCTCTCACGACGTTCACGCTATATCTCACGCCTGCACAGCTTCCTCTATGCTCGCCTTTTCCCGGGAAGCTCAGTGTTCTCATCATGGACAACGCGAAGATCCATCATGGTGAAGATGTCCGCAACCTCGTGGAGGGCCATGGTATGATCCGTCACATGTAGCACTGTCGAATACTTATGAGATTGCAGGTGTCCGTCTCTTGTACTTACCACCGTACTCGCCTGACTACAACCCCATTGAAGAAGCCTTCTCTAAGTTCAAGGCTTTCATACGTCATAACATTGACTTGTTCAGTGTTGCCAATGGGCCAGCTACTATGTATCACCTTTACGAAGCGGCTCTGATCATCACAGCAGAAGATGCACAAGGATACTTTTCCCACGCAGGATATTTGTAATATACAGACAAGTGTACGGCTACGAGAACGAGACAGCAGCAGGGTATGACAACGGGCAGAGCAATACAATATGCGAATGATAGCAACAGTACAGAGCGAGCGAAAGCAGAATACATACAATCAGGCATCAGCCTGCCAGTCCTTGATAGCGACGCGCAAGCTTGCGATGTGTCCCGGCTTGAACTCCATCTCCGAGAGCTGCGGCAGCTCGATCAGGCTCATAGCGCGCGTTGACTCGTAGCCATTCTCGATGAGTTTGTCAGAAAGTGTACTGGAAAGCTGATACTTGGTAACAAAGTCCTTGATTGGCATGTGCGGGCCAGACGGTCCTTCAACAAGAGGCGCTGACGAAGATGGGGTGATGGACAGTGCGGGAGCAGGGGCGGCAGCAGCGCTGGTAGTAGCGGCATCCATCTTGTCGCCGTAGAAGTTGATGACCGTCCCAGCATTGGCTGCGGTGCCTTTGTTCCGATCACGTAGGAGCTGTGCGCGGCGCTCGAGGATGGGGGAGGTAGGGCCTGCAACTTCGTAGCCAGGCCATGTTTCAAACTCAACGTAGTTGGGGGGCTTCTCGAGGGTCGCGATGTTGTCGTTGTCTGTCATCTATAGGCCTGTGAGTAGACGCTCGAGGAACATGACTAGACCACGCACCAAAGCTGCCGCCCAGATGTCAAGATGGGGATGCTTCAACGCGTAGTGATTCGGGTGCTTCGTAGTGAATAGGCAATAGCCGCCATGCGTCGTGCACGCATACTTCTCCTGCAGCTGCCTGATGAAGTCGACCTTCTGCTTGTTCAGCGGCAACTGCATGCGATTAGTGAGGGACGGTATATGCGTGTTGCAAGCGCACCTCCATCGCGTCCTTCACATCCTTCCCCTTCCCCTTCTTCTTCTTCTTCCTCTTCTTCCTGGACTTGTCGTCATCCGTAGAATCGTCGGACTCCGTATCCACCTTCTTCTTCGACTTCCGCGGTGGCGACGAGTCGTCCGAGTCACGGGTCTTGCGCTTCGTGTCATTAGGCTGTATATATGCGCGTTAGAGATGGCCTTTCATAGCGAAAGCTCGCACACACCTTCTTCAGGGGGCACATGAAGACATTCACTGTGGCTGGGGTGGTCTTGACTAGGGAAGCTTGCGAGATCAGCACTTCGTAGTCGCTGTCGACGAGAAGTGCGGTGGGACTGGTGATGCGACGCGGGATGGTGTAGGTGACCTCGTAGTCCTTGTATGCGGCGGAGAGCTCGTTGCGTAGGCCCGTCGCGACAGCGCAAAGCTTGCCCTTGATGGTGTCGAAGGGCTCGGCCACTGACCACTGCACGGTACGCGTCTTCGGGAACTTGCGCTTCGTGATTTCTTCCTTGAGCTGGGAGTACTGAAAGAGCTTGATGTTGTAGAGGATCTTGGCAGCATCTGGCACGCTGTCAATGCGCTTGCCATATGCCAAGAGCACAAATACGCACTTTCTGTTTCTTTCGCGGCCTTCGGAGCCTGCGCGCCCTCGTCCTCGTCTTCTCCGACGACAGTCACGTCCGGATCCGCCGTGTGCACCCGCTGACGCTGACGAGGTGCGCCGTCGTCTTCATCTGACTCCACGAGGCGATATGTCGGAGGTTTCGAGAGGGCCGTGCGAGGCGAAAGGTCGAGGTCGCTGGAGTCGAGGACCAGTCGCGCCGACTTCGCCCTACCCATGCCGCGCCGCCGGGCAGGGGGAGTAACCGGGGGCTTCTCTTCGTCAGACATTAGATGCAGGCGAGGAGGAGACAAGTAGACGCGACCGCGCAGCGGTCACAATGGCGGTCCAGGACAAGAGGCGGGCGGAACCGAACAATTCACACGACGAAGTCCATCAATTTCTATTATACTTCTCCGGCGCGGACCGGACAAGCTTTTCGCAAAATGCTGTAACGTTGGTGCAGTAGAATTAGAGCCATAGCCTCAAGCCGATTTATCCTAATGGGGGGACGCAACTCCCCCTAAAGCTCCGGTGCCATCAAACTGCTTATTTAGGAAGATTGAGCCGGCGACTGTATTTCCAGTAAATCTCGCCAGGCATCTTTCCTCTCTCCGCGATGAAAGGACGAAACAGTGTAGATAATGTCCGGGCAGATGTCCTTCGTCGCCTTTTCCTCAAATCTTGTCTTGTGGTTCGATTCCCAAAAAGGATGTGACTGAAAATCGGGAAAATGGGAAATGTGCCGCGAAGGTGCAATTGTCCCGCATGTATAGAGCATAGATCTGCTGATCCCGGGTAGGAATAAGCAATGTGGCAGGAGATTAGTTGGAAATACTTGCGCCGTCAGAATGTGACCAAACGCGTGACATCACGCGCAGTCTAGCGCTCGGGCGATGATTGCGGGGTCTGCAGCTTGGTCTCATCGGTGTCTGTGGTATGGAATTATCCACACGGAAGCCTTCTATGAACTAGCAAAGTATCGTACATCACGGGTCCGTTGTGGCCATGGTGGCCTGAATTTACTCCAGCGATTGATGCTCGAGTTGTATGTGGTCTGCGCATGCAGAAAGCATACTAATGGCTTGGGAATAGCAGCATGTATTGCGCAAGGGTTCATCCCGAAACTCAAACACCTTTTTCCATGCCCCAGAGAGGCTTTTTGGCGTGTTGACTCTGAAGGGTGTGGGAAACCACCCTTTCGACTGATCTACTGGCTTACACAGCATTCGGAGAAGATCTACAACGTTGCAGCTAGATCTCAGAAGTGACTCCGCCCTTGTGGTATTTTTCTCAGAACTCGCGTGTGGTGCAACGACATGGGAGGTGGAAGGACGACCTTTACAGGTCCAAGCGCTGATCATTGCTGACTAAGCACGCCGATCACTTAGGGGGACTTGCGCGCCCCCAATCCTAAGTCAAAGATATGGTACTACTCCGGATCTTCCAAACGCGCATCATCAGTGTGAACCCAGTCCTCGCAGTCGTTCACATCTATGACAGCGTCGTTCGCCAAGGCGAGGCCTCTGGCAGTGTCCATGGCCGTGATCTGCCGTTCGTCGACCCTGAATTCGAAGGTGTCAAGAGGACGCATCATAAATTCTGCGAAATCGTCGAACACCCAGCGCAAGGGCTGCGAGACGCGTACGCGATACGAGCGTGCGATTACATCGTCGAGGTAGTTGGTGTAGAGGATGCGGATGTCGATGCAGCCTGCTAGAGCCGTTGAGAAACCAAGGAAGAAGGATTAGGAAAGATACGTACCTTCGGTTTGGGTGCCCGGATAGACGGTCACGGCCCGAGCGCCAGGCTGCGATGACCCGCTCGACGCCGGTAGAACTCCGTCTCCTACAGCAGCGCGGGGCGAGGCTCCCTCGACTGGGCCGGACACGAATACCTGAAGCAGGTAGGGACGGCTAACCTCCCAATTACGCTCGTTCAGATCGCAGAGTTGACCCTGGCACGCAGCAAGGTCCCTCGTTTGCAGTCTGACTTGGGTGGCGTCGACGCCTGTGGCCTCTCCCGCTACAAGGCACGCATCCTGTTGCATATGGCTTGTCAGACTCTGGCAGAAAATAGAGGATGCAGTGAACAAGGGAGACTTTGTTGGACATGATGGTTTCCCCCGGGCCATGCCCTACTTATGTAGACCGATGGAGGATTGGCAGACTCACCGGAAACGTCACCGGTGTCGGCAAAAGCACTTCCTTGCCGTTTCTTGAGAACTTGATGATCTCGCCAGCCCCCCTAGCAGACGGCCTGCCTCTCTTCCTGGCGGAGACGGGGGTAGTGGCGGCGACCCCGCGCTGAGGAGAGTCCGGCACAGCCATCGATAGTAGTGATCGTGGCCAGGCTTAAGGCGGACGGACAAACGTGGGGGGACGTGTAGATGAAAGGTGGATGCGCAGTCACGGCGGAAGGCAGATGGAGAAAGGCGAGGGACGGATGCAAAGGCGTAGACGGATGTCGAGGAGCTGATATGCGAGGCAGGGACGTCAGCAACTTGAAGCCTACCATTGACGCCGCCGGCCATATATACCCTTTTCAGTCCAACAAAGGATCTGTCAGTGGCGGTCCACTCAAAGAACGTACCCTTTGAGCAAGTTGACGTGTAAAGGCCGGCGATGCTCTTTTAGCCAATATGCGAAAGGGGCAGGGGATGGAATGCGAAAGGATATCATGGGTCGTCAAAGGTTGAAGGGTGACACGCGAAAGGGACAGGTCGATGCACATCAGGATCTTCAATGGTACGGATTGTCAAGGGCGGTTAATCGACGTGGAAGATACGAGGAGACAGGGTTGGAAAGGTTGGAAGACCAAGTTGGAATCGATAAGGCCCTGTCGCCGAAGGGAAAAATGCCCGCAAGATAAATACGCTGGATACGCTGAGATAAGATAGGAAGATAGGAGCAAGTTAGAAATAAAGATATATCGGGAGGGTCTATGGCTTTCATAAGTGTGACTGGTCGCAATGTGAGCGAATGGGCGTTAATAATTGGAACAGAGAACGCACCTTCAATCCAGGAACCTCATCATGCCGGAGGATTCATGAACCATGATCGTATCGCCGTCGCGCAGACCAAGCTGTATGGGCGCCCTATCGGGCTGCAGTTCCGTACCGTCCAGCTTGAAGGTGAAGTGGGTGACGGGCCGCCTCAAGTACTGCGCAAAATGGTTGAACATGCGTGCCAAGGTTTGCGTTTGGTGCACGCGGTAGCCGATGGGCGCGCGCTCGACGTTGTCGAATGTGTAGACTAGGTTGAGGACAATGCGACCTGGGTAGATAATTGAAGTAATACGTCGAACGACCAGATGTGGTGAACTCACCTTCGGGCGTGCGAGGGGCGAGCGTCGATGATTGTGACGACGGACCCGCGACTGGCCTGCTCAGGCCATAGGGCACATCGTTCAGCCTGTTCCCAGAGGCCTCCTGAGGCGTGATAGGTGGCGAAGGAAGCTCGGTAGTCCGCTGAGGAGGGCTGAACGGCGCCGGCATGGGCACAAGCCTCGCTGGGCGCGGCGTAAGCCCAGCACGGGGGCCCAAAGGGTGCGGAGGAGTCCTTGTTGGCGTCGAAGCAGTTCCTTCAACTCCATTCGCGCTGCTTCCATCCTGCTCACGACCTGCGCTTGCGACGGCTGACACCGTCGGGAGCTTCGGCCCGATTACTTGCACCTCCAGCAGGTACCTCCGGCTCGCCTCCCAGTTGCGCTCGTGCAAGTCGCATACCGCTCCCCTCGTCGCTGCGAGGTCGCGCGTCTGGAGTGTAGCACGCGCCGCGTCGACGCGTAGGACGACCTGGGCGACTCGGAGGGCTTCCTGTGGGCGAGACTGTGAGCCTGACGCGTCTTGATCGCTTTCGGCGCGTCCTAATTACTCTCGACGCGTCTGATATAAACGCGTCGAAGGGCGCGCGCGAGAGATAGGAAGGCACAATACTCACATCGTACGTCGTAGGCGTCGGCTCTACCGAGTGACTGCCATCCTCCACGCAGACGAACTTCACGAGCGCGCCTGCCCCGCGCGCCGGAGGCCTTCCGGCCCTCCTTTGCACAGGGGCCTGGCCGAGCACGCCCCGCCTCGCGATCGTATCTCTGGGCATGTCAGGACGCCCGTAGAGCTGTGGAAGCGTCAGGCGGTGGAAGGGGGACGCGGGGACCGCTTGACGAACCTATGTACAAGAACGCGCCGCCTGTCGACGATGACGGTTGGGATCAAGACACGCTGATCGGTCGCGACGGTTTTTTTCAATCTGCTGTTTATCCCTGTTTCTGGCCTTTGGGGCTGGACAGGGGTGACAGGCATACGTGATCATGCCTGAATGTGTGAATGCGAAATCCAGGATGCGAGAACGAGATGTTCACGAGTGGTTTCCACTTTTCACTTTCACGCGTCACGTTTTCGCTTGCACTCATGGTCATGCGTGATTCACGTGAGTGTTCGGCCCCCCGTATCCTCATTGTCAATTCGTGGGCTATGTCGTTCATGTGCGGCAATGAAAACAGCAGTTGTGTCAGAGGGCAAGAACAAGAATCACCGAAACTAAAATCTTGGGTCGACAGATTCACCAGTCTGGCGGAGGACCGAAAGCCATCATGCTGAACTCCATACTGGCCGCAGCTGCCATGTAGTTGTCCTTTACGATTTGTGCCACGTCCTGCAACAGCATGAGCATGAGAGATGCCCAAAACTCTATCCAACGCACATGCAACAAATCCTTGCACTCCCCGCGGTCGACAATGCCCTCTCGCCGCCCGTCGAGCTCCAGCACGCGGAAGCCCGACGGCGCGACGCCTTCCGTACTTCCTGCGTTGCCGGCAGGCGAAGCGTCGTCGACGCGTACAGCCGGCGCTTTGACGAAGCAGGTGAAGTGCAGGTTGGTGTCGAGGTTTGTGGGTACGGCGGATTGGCCGCTTTGCGCGGCTTCGGAGTGGATGTCGGCGAAGAGTGAGGTCTTCTCAAGGAGTTCGGCTCGTTCGGCGGGTGTTTTCTCTGCGGAGGGCAACGAGGTAAGCGACGTTGCAAGAGGGCAAGGTTATGCAGACGGACCCCGCGCTTCGTCGATGAACTTCGCCAAGGGACTTTCGGGCACGATGGTGACGTCGGACTGAGCAAGCGTCAGAGCAAGGGATGAGATCGGTGGTGCAGTAAACATACGTTCGTGATAGCATGAAGCAAGCCAATAGTGCCGCATGCGTTGGAGATCTATATGAACGTGTCCACGCCGTCATAGAAGGCGGATGTTTGGTTTGGGATGCAAGGGCGAAGAGGGGGAACGACGAAGACAAAAAGATTATGTGAGTATTGAATCTAGGCAGCAGGATACGTGGCGCACCGTCTGCTTAATCCACATCACAGTGGGATCGACCTTGGGAGGACCGTGCGTCCTGATCTTCTCATCTTCCTCACGACGCTTAGCCTCCAGTTGATCGCTGATGGGGAAGAGAAGAAGGACGGCCTTGACTGGTTGCGGTACCATGCCGAGGAGCTAGGAGAGCAGCGTGAGAGGCGGTTCGTGCAGAGAATGCGGGGTAGTGGTACGCTTGACGTGAAGGCGGCATACGCACCTCGTTGTCTAGACCATACACATCGCTAAACTGCGTGAGCTTGGTGACAAGGCCGGCCTTCTCCGCCCACTGTCAATGTCTGTCGTGAGCGCCGATCACCCATCTACAGCCGGCGCGCGTACCGAGTTCATGACCTGTAGACTCGCAATGGTTCAGCATTATACGGGTCTGTAGAACCATGATCGCGCACCTCGGGGTTGCTCTCGAGTGGGACCCAGTTGGTAGGCATAATTCTGGTCCTGTACTTGATCAAGTCGATTGGTGGTTGCTGTTGAATCGCCAACGAAGCACAGAGGAGCCCGTGACGCGTCGAGGGGATTACGTAATGGTCTGAAGACATACAAGCATCTGTCTAGGATACAGAGGTATAGATGGGTTATGAGGAGGATCTACTAATTACCAAGCCATAAGAGATCATCGTGGCACAGGCAGAAGGCCGACTTACGTGCTCTACGTTGAATCATCCTGATTGTTGTGCTTGCTCTTCCAGTACCCTATCCTCTTCATCGGCGCGTTCCTCGACAACTTTTGCAACGGCCATAAACCTGCAGCATGTCAGATATATATGCCTACACTGCGAGCAAATACTCACTTGGCCGCGTCCAGCGCAGCGAAGATACGCAGGGCGTGCAAATCCATCTGCAGTAGTTCGCAGAGGTCGGCGGTTCGCTGGACATTACGCGTCGTGCGTGCGAGGCTGCTCGCCAGCTGCGAGTAGAGGCGCTCCTTCGCGGCGGTCGCGTTCGTCGAGGCGCCCGTCGCGCTCATTGTGGGGAAGAACAAGGGAAATGGTCACGTTCGGTCACGTCTCGTGCGTTCGTCACGTCGCGTCTTGTCTTGCACCGTCATCGTCAAGTTCAACTTCTTGCTGTATAGGCCAATAACTTCGCCTTATCAGCGCAAGAACAATAAGGAGATCCACTATTCATTGAGGTGCCTAGCGACCGTCATCTTGGTCGCAATATTGGAACACCCTAGTATTCCTCTTTCCAGGTCAGAAGATCATGGACCCGCGGCCATCGCAGGTCGTTCTCATGTTAGTGGGTATCGTGGGGTCAGGGAAGGTGAGAGAATACAACACAGAGCAGGTATTCATCTCGTGCGGGTGCAGTCTGACACGTAAGTCGCACAGAGCGCGTTCGCCGAGGCTCTCCAGGCGCACAATCCGCAATTCGTACGTGCTAACCAGGACGATCTTGGGGACCGGCGCGAGGTCGAGCGAGTGGCCCGTGATGCGCTCAAACGCGGTCTATCAGTCTGTATAGACCGCCAGAACTTCGACGCCAGGTGCGTCCTGCGGCCCGCGCTATCCCAGCTCTGGCCACACAGTACGCATCTTACGCCCCACAGACAGCGTGCAACATGGATCGACATCGCGGGCGAGTTCCCAGGCACTGTGGTCCACGTTATTGTGTTCGACACGCCGTACGAGGTGAGAGGGCTAGCGCCAGAGAGCATATGCGCTGTGCGGGCTCGCTAACGGCGCACGGTTGCAGATCTGTAGGGAGCGGTTAGTACGCCGTGCGTTGCTTTCGCACAGGAGACTGTTCCACGCTTACTGAGCAAAGGTACCGGGCATCCAACCGTGCACACGGTGGAGAAGGCGCTAGAGCTCCTTGACCGCTTCACGTCCATGTACAGGCCACCGGAGCCGCGCGAAGGCTATCAGCGACTCATTTATTTGCGCCCTTCGGACCACGACTCACCGGTGTACACTGGGCCGGAAGTCGAAGAAATCCTTCGCCGCCTCCGCGACGCGCCACCCGTCGAGCCTCCAGAGACGCTATGGTCAGGGTGGCAAAATAGACAGACGTACTATCCTCCGCAGCACCGCAGGCAAAATCCAGGGCGCGGCTTCTATCGCAATGACTGTGGGTCCTCTGCGAATTTCTGAGGCCTAGCTGACGTGCACCCTGCCTCGCCAGCTTCGCGCCAATGGCGCTAAAGGCGCCTCTGCCCGCCTCGGAACGCTCCGTACCGCGTACATCGGCCAGAAGCAGGTCATAGCAAGCGTAGCACTCACCACCTTTGGCAACATGAACGTCCTGTGCGTGCATCGGATAGATGTGTGAGATGTGGCGCGTCGTATTCAGCGGCCTCGTGCGAAGGTGGCATGCACGGGCTTCGCAAAGACAATAAGCACGGCGTAGCTAGAAGCACCGGGTGATGCAGCTCGCCAGAATAATCATCCTATGCGATCGATGGTATCGTAGCCGTGAATGCGAAGCCTGAGGCTGCTTCATTCCTGATGCCCTTGTTCGCCGTCCGATGGCTTCGCCTGCTCGGCCATCTTCGCGCGCTGTCCGAGGATCTTTGCGCCGACCTGTCAGGTCCAAGTCAAAATGAGCGCGGGAACAGGAAAGGGCAGAAGCCTTACATTGCGTATGTGCATCGCTGCACGCTCGACACCGTACTCCTTACTGCGCTGGTAGTACTTCAAGGCTCCTTCGAGGTCCCCGGCTGCGTCCGAGTCAGCGAATACGGCGAGTAGGGACCACAGAAATTCTTACTGGCTTCCAGAACGGCGGCAAGGTTGAAAGCGATTTCAGGGTCCTCTGGCGAGAGAGAAGACGCCGTCCTGTAAGACGCGGGTAAGAGATCTGATAGATTTGTGGCTGTAGAAGCTCGCTTACCGTAAGTGTTGGAGCGCGAGGTCGGGACGCGGTACTGGGGAAATTATGTACGCGCTGGCCAAGTCTCCAGGTCCCGTCGCGTAAGTCAGGAATTCCCAGCGCAAAGGGACCACGTACTGGTGTGAGCGTCCGGACTTGCCGGCTGCAACTCAATGGATTCTTTCCAGGCAGCAATTGCCTGGTCAAATTCCTCTGCAGGAAGTTCGATGGAGAAGTTCCCGCGCACATAATGAAGCCGCTCACTGAGATGGTAGTGCGTCACGCCGAGGTTGAATAAAGCGCTAGGACTGCGCTTGATCTCGACGCTTCGCTGGTATAGGTCCTTGGCGGTGTTCACGTCGCCCTCCTCGAGTTTGAGGGTGCCCTGCTCGAGGCAGCGGACGGCCTCTGCCTCGGCAGGATCCGACGCATACGAGTGAGCCGTTGTCGATGTTGCCCAGCCTGGAAAAGTTAGCCTTCGTATTTGCAAAGTTTGCATCCGAGTCTCGCTTACGCCTCGAGGAAAGCGCGGAGCCAGAGTTAGCCAGCGCCCTGGACCTGGACGCCCATCTAGATAGAGTAGACAGCGGCCGAGTGTTGACCTGGGGCGACAGGATAGTCCGGGAGTTCCTGGCGAGAAAAGCGAGCGTCGAGCGACAGTTCATGTTCGCAATTGTGATTCGGCTGGAGGCGGTACTGGAAAAGGCGCGCAACGCCACGTGACCGCCCCGGCAGCCAGAACGCCACATGAGCGCCAAATGGCAAAAACTTCTTTCTTCCCCTTGTCCATTGCGCGAACGTCGTCGTCATCGTCCACCATGTCGTCCAGCTCGTTCTCTGACCAGGCCAGCTCCTCTTCCTCGTCGCCCTCGGCGGCGGACACGTTGAGGACAGCCAGCTTCGCAAGGCGGGATGGCCCAGAGGCTGACGGTGCAGTCACTGCGTCCGACCTGCTCAATGCTGCATACGACCCGACCCGGTTGCATCCCATGGCCGAGCTGGGCGACAAATTGGACTATCTGCTATTAGAAGATGACAAGGTGACGGACCTTCCGGGTGCAGGCACCGCCATTCCATCCCGCGGCTGGAGTGACGACCTCTGCTACGGCACCGGGACGATGTATCTTGGCGGTACGCATCCGGTTTCCTTCACCCTACTCGATTAGTCCATCCGCACTCGACTTCCTTCCCTCGCTCTTGCCACGGGCATCTCCTGCATCTTATCTGGACCCGCGCGCCCGCCGCTTTTGGCCGGTCTTATTGTCTTTTTCCATCACATGCTGACAGCCGCTCCGTAGGTCTGACGCTCGGTGGGATATGGGGTGTGCGCGAGGGTGCCCGCCGCCCTCTCGCAGTTTCAAACGCGCGCCTGCGGATCAACAGCATCCTGAATTCCGTGACGAGACGAGGGACCTTCATTGGCAACTCAGCGGGTGTTCTCGGTTCGTCTTACGCGTTATGCTACGATGCGCGGCTTTACTGATATGCTTCCTTTACCTAGCACTCCTCTACAATGGGGTCAACTCGGCTATAGATGGCATCCGCGGCAAGCACGACCCCCTAGGCAGCATGGCAGCTGGCGCCATTACTGGTGGCCTGTTCAAGTGCACAGGCGCGTACCCCCCACCCCCCAGATAAATTACCCACTTACACGCTCAATAGCTGGCCTGAAGCCCACTATCGTTGCCGCCACCGTCGTTTCTGGAGCCGCCGGTGTCTGGAGTTTTGTCAAGACCCGCCTTTAATCACTCATAGTATACTGCCGTCATCGCTAATATTACCACCCCTTACTTGGAACCACACACGAGCCGGGAATGTGCTGTCTGCGACCCATGGAACGGCGATTGACAACTGATATTCCAATCGGAGAAGCATCTGCCATCGGCACCTCAGACGTACGCTTTATTGAATCGACGATTCTCGAGCCCATCTGCATCTCATTTGTTGCCGTGCGTACCCCTTGCTCCGGACTTTTACCTGCCAGCGGAATATATATATGGTCGGTATCATCCCACAGAAGCCTCTCGCTAGCTCGTGCACCCAACATGCCATCGGACGGCGACCATGCTGATGGCTTGATTTGTACAGCGATTTGCATCGCTAGACCCTCCCCGCCGCAGCATGTATCGCTTATTAGCCTACTTTCCACTATTGTGGATCGTGACTTTGCACCCACAAAGAAACGCCGCCGAGTCACGCCTCGCCGCTCGAAGTTTCCTCAGGCCGTCCGGCGCCACGCCTGGACTTCCAAGGTCAGACTCCGCAATTTCCCTCATTCATCCCAGCTTCATAGACGGTGACAGTCCACTGTAACCTTGTTACGACCGCGACGTATTTATCGGCACCGCCCTGCGCTCGCGCCTCTCGCTTCGGAAGGCGCTTCCCTGGCGATCAAATCTGGGAAGCACGTTTCTCATATAAAGTCCTTCCACCGCCTTCCCGGATGCCTGACCCTCGCTCTTGTTCTGGCCTCTGCGTATACTGAGAATAGCTCCTCCCCACGGTCGCCATACTCGACCCTCAGCCTCTCCGACCACGGCTCGCCCTCGAGCCGGAGCAGCCCGTTCAGCCCGCCCGGCCATCCCGCCGACGTGTCCGCCCCCGCGCCAGCGTTCGTCCGGCGGCCACGCATCCAGGTATCCTCGCTTCTCGTCGAGGACGGCAGCAGGTGCGTATTAGCGTCTCTGCGCTTCTAGCCGGCATGCGCGGCGCCCCTCCCGCGCAGGACCCTCCCACGCCGGGCGCGCTAATCAGCGGCGCAGATCATATCACCTCGAAGTCGTACAGCAGCCCGTGCGCACGGCCGAGTTCGGGAACGCGAGCCTGTCGCGCCTGCCTATTACCCCGCCTATTATCGTCAAGCTGACCGTGACCGACCGTTCGGGGAACGCAGTGATTCCGTGAGTTGGTCGTTCGTATTTTGTGTGGCGAGTTGTGGCTAAAGGGAAGCTACAGGCAACACGAGCTGCCGTTCCTCATCGCGCACCTGTCGCTGTGGACGGAGGATGGGCGCACGCGGGTCGACGCGGGGCAGGGTGTGCCCATGCTCTACGGGAACCTTGTGTCCGCCGTCGACCAGCTCGAGGACATGGCGGGGAATCAGGGGCTGTTCTTCTGCTTCCCGGACGTCAGCGTTCGCGTGCGCGGGCGGTACCAGCTCGGCGTGACCCTAATGCGCATCTCAAGGCAAGCACGCCGTCCTGCTGCCCGCCGTGACGCTGAAGCTCACCAGGATTGGCGCGTCCGCCGCTCTCAGCCAGGGGGAGAGCGGACACGCCCTTGCAGAGACGCGCTCTCGGCCGTTTGACGTGCTGGAACGCGGGCAGTACACCGCCGTCCGTGAGTGCTTGCCTTGGGTGTGCTGGCTGGTCGCTAATGGCGCGGTGAATGCAGCACCCACGCGAATGACCATGGCGTTCCTGCGCCAGGGGGCGCGCATGTTTACGTTCATGGCGCAGCGGTAGTCGCTAGGCGGGCAAGCTACGCTCGGCTCTTCCTTTCACCCCTTCTCTCTCTTCGCTTGGTCACGGGGGATCCGTCCGCTTCACGAACTTCGCCTTGCCACCGCTTGCGCATGGTTTTATGCCCCCTTCGTTCGCTATTTCTGTTTTCCGAAGTTGTTCTCTTGGTGTTGTTCCTGTGACTATACACGCAAGTCCTGCCTGCGGTGCTTTTCGCCGTGTACGCGAGTGGTTGTCGGCTCGACCCGAGAGGCTGACTGGAATGGTAAATGCCTCCTGTACGGCGTATCGCAGCTGGATCCGGCGATGACTGCACGCTAAGCTTGCCTGCGATACCGGCCTCAGTGTCCCCGAGATTGCGATGTCGAGGGACAATAGACGGGCGTTGAGCGCAGGCATGGGGTGACGATACGCCCAATGCAGTCAATCTGGTTTGTGGGCGCCTTTTGATGCACGTGCAGAGGATTTGTGGCAACGGTTGGAGTATCGAAACTTGATTCTAACTCTAGACTTGAGGCTACCATTCAGCTCTTGCCAAGCTTAGCTGACGGTTGCTACCTGCAAGGTAGAGTCTGAAGCTTACTCCGTGGTTCACATCGGCCAATTCAGCATGGAGATCCTCCAAAAACAGTATGCATCCTACTTAGCTGCGGTGAAGATGTACGAGCTGGCCGGCGATCTGACCCCATGGTGCAGCAATGAGTCAAGCAAGCCAGGAATCCCGTCACCAAAGGGTACTTCATGTATCGTCTTTCCTTGCCTGCGCTCGAAGACGGTCTTGAAGGAGGTAACGCATGTGGGCGTCGGGCGGTGCCGAAATCCAACAATGCCTTCTAAATCGGGAAAGCACCCGGGGCTTTTGTCTTCCCACGGTCACTCGCGTTCAACTTCCACAAGCTGCCCTAAGCTGCCTGGCAGATGGCGCAACAACGAGTCATCGATGCCGGTCAAAGACCGGAATGCATATGGAGGCTATCCCATCAAGAGTAACTCGTATTCCCGCTGCTGTGCTGCACTTTATGCACCTCGGGAGTCGCATCATCCACGGACAGGTGCGGACATTGTGCGGTCTGAAAGGCGGGGTAAGTCCTTGGCGGTGACTTCTACCTCTTGGTGGCGAGCTTCTGTACCATTGCAGCTTGACTGCAGCCCTACACCAGCCATATAAAAACGCTGGAACTTTGAAGAAGGACCCTCGCAGACTGCAGTCTATTTTTGCGGTCTGACGCCAAATCGTATCTCCCTGCGCCTTTTCCTCTACGAAAAGCTCTTTCTCTACCCTTTCCCTTTGTCTGCAAGCCTTTTCGTCTGTTTCTTCGGCTCTCTGACTCCCGAGGACGCTCACGAGCCTCGACCCGAAAGCGCCAGGCACCCCAACTTTGCCCCCGCCAGCGATGACCAAAGGCGATGACATCAATGAATAGTCAACCAGATCCGGTCAGCGGGCATGCATTCCTCGGTACACCCTCAACCGCCTACAGTCATCCGGCCGCACCGACGCGCGAGCGCCGGACGATTCGCAACCTCCGCTCGTTGCCTCCCCCCTTCACCCCCATGCGCGCAGCACACTCCGAGCAGCGCCAGCGAGTTAGTACACCTAATGCGGAGACAATGACCGCGAAGAATGATCTGGAGAAGGACCCTGCGAGGCCGAGTCGCAGGGTGGAGACGCGACTGAGGGAGCGGGGTGCGTTGGCGTGGCTCGCGGCTGCTCCGTCGTGGCGGGAGTGGCTGGGGGATCTTTTGCCGGACTTGCTCACGCTGATCGTCGTCGGTGCAATCGTGCGTAACGTCCGCCGATCACGGCACACGACCAACTCACTCGCTCATTCCCCCAGGGCCTCGGGCTGAACGCGTCGGACGCCATCGGGGGCAAGTCAAGATACTTCATGATCTTCAATGAGAACAACGAGTTCGTGAACTACGTACGTACATGGGACTGGGGGATTGGTCGTGTGCGCCACCGCTGACTTCGGACTCTGTGCAGGAAATGGGCAAACCCCGTCAAGCCAACATCATTCCCATCTGGCTCGCGGCCGTCCTCGCTGTCCTCATCCCCACCATCAGCTTCGCGCTCGCGCAGATACGCGTACACAGTTTGTACGATCTGCACGTCGCGTTCTGGGCGAACATATCGTCGATCGTGCTCGCCAGTGTCTTCCAGATCTTCAACAAGATCCTGATTGTGCGTCTTTCCCTTGCCCCCTTCTCCTCTTCCTTTCTCCCTTCTTTCCTCGCTCCTCTTCCCCTTCTTACTTCCTCGTTGTCGTCCCCTCGCTGACATCCTCCCCCAGGGTGGCCTCCGCCCCCACTTCTTCGACGTCTGCCAGCCACGCGCCGACCTCCGCCCAGGCGATGGCGCCGGCTACCACGGCCTCTATTTCACATGGGAAATATGCTCTGGCCCGAATGCCGACTACATCCAGGACGCGCTCAAGTCCTGGCCCTCCGGACACACCACCGTCGCCTTCGCCGGCTTCGTGCTCCTTAGCTTGTACCTCAACGGCAAGCTGAAGGTGTTCAGCGACGAGAGGATATTGGTGTGGAAGCTGTTTGCGTTCTTGGCGCCGATATTGGGGGCGTTCTTGATCGCGGGGGCGATGGTGTTGGACCATTCGCATCATTGGTATGATGTGGCGGGCGGGGTTGTGATTGGGACGGCGAGCGCGGTAGCGAGTTATAGGGCGAATTATGCGGCGAGTGAGTGGTTATTGTTTTGAACTTCGGAAAGCCTTCCACAGAAGAATCACATGCAAAGTACTGACGAACCTCGCCCCCATAGTCCTGGACCATCGCTTCAACCACATCCCGCTCACCGGGTCGAAGAGTCCGTGGAGGCGCATCAACCTCGACAGCGAGGAGCGTGGTGGCCACTTCAGTCGGGAGGGCACTGGCCACTTCGCCTACTCGACAGCGCCGCAGGACAGGTTCCCCGACTTTGCGCACGGGGACGGCATGCAGTGGGAGCCCGCGGGTGCGCCGGGGGATGCAATTGCTTGGGACAGGTCGACGGTGGCAAAGGAGCCTGCGGGGTGGAATACGCATGCGGAGGTGAAGCCGTGGGCAGCGAAGTTGGAGGAGGCTGAGGCCGCTGCCAAGAGAGCGACCGAGGCGGCAACAACGTCCCCTGTTGCTCCGCAGGATGGCCACAGCAGCATCGAGTCGACCTTGCAGACAGCTCACTAACAGGGTTCAGTCTCTCGTAGAGATCGCCCTCGAGTCTCTTGTTCGCGCTGTTTCTTGTCATCCCCTACTTGCATTTTTTGCAACCCACTACGTGCATATTTCTACCACCCACACCGTACATATCTTACCTTATTCTCTAATGCGTGTTATTGGGTTCTATTTATCTCCTGCATGTGCATACGACAACTGTACGACCACCCTTTTACCCTCTCTTCAATAGATTTCTTGGCCTGTGGAACATGTGTCTGCACTGTCCGGTATCCCTCTCATAGGTCTCTGCAGACTCATGTCAAGTTCAGATTGACCATGAAGTGCAACTTGCGCATGGCTGACACGGTCGCCGGCCCGACGATCCACCAGAAATTTGCGCTTGGACCGACCGATCGCCGTCTCCGCGAAGACGGGCGCTTGTCGTCGATCACTTAACAACTTAAACAAGACAACTTAAACAAGTTCCGCTCGACGAAATCCGACTTTCCCCTCACCGTCATGGCGGCTCGTGAGTGCCATTCGACTCAAATCCGTGAACAGCTCTAAACGAATGACCCAGGCCTCTCCCTCGCCCAGCAACTCGCGCAACTAGATGACACGGCGCCCGTCGGTGCGTTCCCCGCGACTTCGCTCCATCTCCCCTACTCATTATGATTTCCTCTTCTCAGACTTTGACCCGGAGGAGCTTCCTGGCGCGGCTGGAGGCGATGAGGATGCGGAGATGAAAGATGCTGCTGCGGGAAGGGGGCATTATCTGGATGTGGGGTGCGTACTTGCGTCTCTGCGCACGGTGGACGGGATATTGTCTCTTCATCGGTGCTCGATTGTCAACCAATGCTGGGTACTGACCTTCCCGCTGCAGCCCAAGTAACTTGCGCAAGCAGCATGACAGCATTTCGGATCCGAAGTATGAGGGGAAGCGCGCCAGTCGCGCGCAGCTGCTTGGTGATGATGATGAAGAGGAGGACGAGGAGGACGAGGGGGAGGATGCCGATCGGCCGAATGCCATTCACGAAGAGGACTCCGAGGCGGAAGAGCACAGCGATGGGTCAGAGGAGCATGGCGAGGTGTCAGAAGACGACGGAATGGAGGACGAGGAGAACACCGCAGAAGGGCCCGACGCGAGCGAGGAAGAGGAGAGCGCAAGTGAAGAAGAGGACGAGGCCCACGGACAGCATTCACCCGCCCCAGAAGCAAAATCTTCAGCACCAGCACCTAAGACCGACGACCTCACGGATAGCTTGCGCAAGAATCGCGAGGCTGATGTGAGGAAGGGGAAGGCGGTGGCGCGGCAAGTTGTGTGTATTCTGCTCCTTTTCGCAAACATTGTAGTAAATAATCAGGACACTAACGCACTCCTCTCAGGCCATCTGGGACACCCTCCTCGACGCGCGCATCCGGTTGCAGAAGTCGGTCACTGCGGCGCAGAAGCTTGTCGATGCTGGCAGCATAGTGGAGCGCGAGGACTGCGGCGCCGCGCTCACGGGCATGTTGGACGAGGCGCTCGCGCTGTCTGATGAGTTGATGTCTTTTCAAGAGGTGAGTGGACATTGCTCTGACGTTGTGGCTGTCTGCCACTGCTACGTCTTCTGCCGCTATAATAAACCGGACAAATGACGTGTCCTACAGAAATTACTCGAGAAGAACGAGGACGTTACCCCGCCCGCGCGCAAGCGCCGAAGGATCGAGGCACCCGAACCGTCGGTCGCGGATTACAGCGAGCAGCTTCGCGGGTTGACGGAAGACGTGGTCGCCCTTGAGCATACGTACGTCTTTGACCTTGCATATCTCATTCATAGTCCCATATTTGCCTTCTCATTCGCATCATGCATTCACAATCAGTCCATCCACCTTCCCATTGTCTCCTTCATGTTGCTAACCTCCCCCTAGCGCACATCCCCACCTCGTCCGCACCCTGACGAAATGGTCTGCAAAGATCCAGGCCGTCGCGCCCTCCGTTCTGCTTCCTTCCTCCCGCAACGCGTTCTCGAAGTCCGCGCAGCCCAAGTCTGCCGTTGCGCTCATCGACGAAACGCTCGCGGACCACAACAAACTGTTGGCGCGCACGCGCGTACGAAGGGGCCGACTGGCCGTGGAGGATGGGGACGACGATGCAGCCAAGCCTCAAACAGACCCCGCCGAAATCTTCGACGACACCGACTTTTACCAGCAACTCCTCCGCCAGGTCATCGACGCGCGGGGCGGCGGCGCGGCGGACAACCAGGACTGGGTCCAGGCGCAGAAAGCGCGCAAAGCACGGAAGAAGGTGGACACCAAAGCGAGCAAGGGGCGCAAGATCCGGTACGACGTGCACGAGAAGCTGCAGAACTTTATGGTGCCGATCCCGGCGTACAATGGGTGGCATGAGGAGCAGGTGGACGAGCTGTTTGCGTCGCTGTTGGGGAGGGGGTATGAGGGGGCGATGAAGCAGGTTGTGGGGGATGAGGGGGTGGATGGCGAGGTGCAGGGTGCGGGGACGGATAGGCAGAAGGAAGCGGAGGTGTTGCATGATTTTAGGGTGTTTTAGTTGTGTTGTAGATGTCACTCGTGTTTTTCGACCACTCCATGGGCTGAAGGGCCGTTCATTCGATGCGCACTCTACCAGCCACCATGCAGTGTGTATAAGGTCCGTGGTAAAAATACAAATAACACCTTCGTCGGCGACGAAGGCACTACAGGGTTCCTCGTATCGTATAGGGTGTCGTAAGGAGAGCAGGCGATGGTCCATCTTTTAACACAGGGAAGACAGGTGGTGTAGTAGGAAAAAGTGTCCATGGTGGCGGCGACTTGAGGACGCGTTGGCGCTCGGCGGTCAAGCTCAGAGGCTTTCCCTAGTTACTTATTACTGACTAAGCTGTTCAACACGGGGGAGGGGAGGGGTATTGGCTTACTTACAGCAGCGACAGCGTCACGTCACCGTGCACCTTGGCCTTGAGTTCGACCCACACGTCGAGGTTGAGGTCCAGACGCAGCTGTGGGTGGGGTATACATGGTCAGCGAACGTGGTGGGCGGGCAGAGCAGACCTGTAACGCAGCGTCCTCGCGCACCTTGAGCGTGTCGTCTCCGCCGCCCTCCTCAGCCTTCTGCTCGCCGCCGCCGCCGGTGACGCCGCCGAGGGTGTTCTTGGCGAGGCCGCCGACGGTGTCGGTGGCGCCCTTGGTGAGGCCGTTCACGGTCTCGCCTGCTTCGCCGATGCCGGGGAGCCCGCCGAGGGGTCCGCCGTCACCGCCGAGGGCGCCGCCGCCGCCTTGCTGGCGGCCACTGCGTCGGCGCCGGCGGGGCTCGTCGATATCGGATCCAGTGGCAGAAGGGCTGCGCGGCGTACGGCTGCGGCCCCTGGACGATATCTCAGCAACTTCGACGGTGAATGAAGTCGGCGCCTAACTCACCTGCGCGCCCGGGATTGCGATTGCTGCGTCGCCGGAGGTGGGCTCTGCCCGGTTGGCGCGGTGGAGGAGGCGCGAGACTGAGACATGGTCAAGAGAATAAGAAGGGGGTGTCGGGATTAGTTAGAAGTAGGGGTGTGTGGGTATGGCGAAAAGTGGATGGATGGGAGGCGAGGGAAGTGCTATATACCTTGCTACGCGCCACCCCGACGTAAGGGAACGTCATCAGAGGACCATATGTGCCTCGGCACCCCAGTATACTGATTCATGGCAACGAGCCGGTATTGGCAAAGGTGCGTTCTCCCCGCTGGAGTTGTGTGAAGTTTTGAATCGGGCGAACTGGTTGGTGACGTCAAAAAGGACAAGGCAGACCGCAACCGGGTCGGGCGCGAGGCGCGCTGGTGCGTTCCCACTGCCAGATGGTGTGGGTCCAGCGAATACAGACAGAGCGCCATGTCAGTTCCTCTCGACATGCGAAGCGCGCTAGCCGCGGGCTAGCGTGTAGCGGTTTGCGGAGGAAGAGCGGTGATCAGCCTTTTGGGACTTTTGTCACAGACTGTCACGGTTGATGTGGCTACGTCACGCGTGCCCGTTGACATCAGCCTTCATCTCCGCCCAGGCTGCCTTTGAACGCCGTATGCGCTGAGCCACCCTCACTCAGCCACTTGCTGCGCGTTGGATAAGCTTCTCCTCGTGTTGGAAGCGTGGTGTCTGGCCCTGATTCCTGTGCTCTGAAGCAGCGTTGAAGTCATCTTTGGGGTATTCGCCCACCCTTGCCCACAGCGTTTTACAAGAATCAACGCTTTCCGGAAGGCCATATTTGGCAAATATGCGCTGTACACAAGGCAGGGCTTGACGAATATACAACAACAGCAATGAATGAAATACTATAGTGTTCGCCCCATCCCAGGGCATGAGTCCTTTAGCAGGTCCCCTCATTGTCGACCTCGATGTGCTTGCCATCCGGAACATCGTCCGGGTTGTAGTTGTACCTGCGAGATGGTGAGTCTTTCCGTTAGCTGCAGCCCCATTGCGAAGACTTACCAGATGTAGTGCCCGTTAAGCGCCCAGCCATAGTTGATACGGATGCGGTCGCACTGTGCGCTGTCAGCCTTCTAATCGAGTGTGTACGAAGTGAGAAAGACTCACCGAAGTCTCGTGGTGGCACGCATCAGCGCCCCCGCCGGGCGGGCAGTTGATGAGGTTCTGCGGGTTCGTCGGGTCGGTCTGACGCTGCTCGACAGTCGCGGCGGCGGTGAGGCCGGCAACGAAGACGGGGAGGACGGCGGTGGAGAAGAGCATGGTGGCAGAGGTGGGCTGGTGAGTAGCTGCTGGTGTAGAGGGCCTGAGGAGCTTGCAGAAGGTAAACTTGCTCTTCGTTCAGCTCTTATACCTTCGCTCACCCTCTGCAAGTCGCACCCGCGAACTTTGGTGCCCAACCTTCGGCTGGGTATGCTCCACCGAGCACCGCCCTGTCTGGTCATCGGTACACCTCGCTTCCATCCCGCGCAGTGTCCAAAACGCTCTCGTGGACTGCCCAAAACGCGACAAGATCGGAGGTGGCCACAAATTCGTTTGGCGAGGATGTGTCGAGCGTGCCAAGGTTTCTTCTGCACGCTCACTTCAAGGGTGAACACCGTTAGTTGTGGAGCACCCTCTGCAGCGAGGACGTCGTCTGACAGTGCGAGGACATCGTCTGACGATGCAGAGTCTTGGTGGCTGAGTCGCGCACTGCTCACTTGAACGAATATCTTGATGCGAGCTGTTCAATATTGAGGTTACAGGACTCCACTACCTCTGCCATTGGGCATGTTTCTGAGGTGTGTTTTGTTCGACCTACCTATGCACTGAGCGTCCTACCTGGCCAATCTCCCTGATACCCATCCTAGCCTGTACTCGCTAGGTGGAGCGCAAGTGCTACGGGAGGCCTCCACGACGCCTCAGCAGGTGGCCGAAACTTCTTGGGGCTCCACCCTCCCCAAATTCCTGGCCCGACGAGGGCGGCGCACCCTCGTCTTGTGAACTTGTCCTCCCCAATGTGAAGTCCACACACTGTCTTGAGCACAGCATATCCATCCCGCGTATATAAGGCCGCGTCGTCTTCCTTCTCATCCCATCCAACAACCGCCTCCCTCAGCCCATCCAGCTCCTAGTCAACTTATCCACTCACCCACCTCACAATGCGCTTCTCTCTCCCCGCCGCGACCACCGTACTCTCCCTCGCCGCCTTCGCGGCCGCGATCCGGAACCCGGACAACCCGCAGGACCCGATCAACTGCCCGCCCGACGGCGGCGCGGATGCGTGCTCGAAGGAGACGAAGGTGCGTTGAAGGATTCTTGTCAGTAAAAACCCCTCGTGTACTGATCCTCCTACTCCAGTGCAACAACCGCATCCGCATCAACTACGGGCAGACGGAGAAGGGGCACTATATCTGGTACCTGTGAGTACTCGACTTCATCCTCCATTTTTCCCAGCAACTAATACTTCTCTATAGGAACGACTACGACCCGAACGACCTCCCGCAGGGCATTACGATTACGGAGGATGATGTTGGTACTTGCTAAGCGCGTCGCGCCCATGGAGGGATGTAGGACGCTGAGCAATCAGCCTGCCCACCGTTCCAGCGCGCGGGTCTCCCTGTACTTTTCTATCTATGCGCACATTTGTATGACTGGTGGCTACGCAATCCGAAGCATCCTGAAATTATTTGTGCTATGTCTTTGCGCGCGGCTCTGAGCGCAGCTGAATGTTTATGTGCGATGGAATTATATCGAGGGAAGCGCCCTTGTCACAGTTCGTCTGGTCACGTCACGCGTATGTACGTTAACATCAACCATGATCAAGTGATCATCTCCTCTGAGCCAGCTCTCGCGATGCGCTCGCACTGTGACCGTACGAGGACCATGCCTCGGGGACGTGGTACAACCGTTCCTCAGACGAACCAGTATGGGATTCATCTCCGTCGACATCGCCCTGGCTCTCAAGCGATGTTGCCTTGGCTCTCAAGACGAAGCTGCTGCGCTCATCAGCGCGCCACCGTCGAGTGGTCGACGCAGATGAGGTGCGGCGAGAGATGCACGGGCTCTGCTTTCTTGTGCATCGCCATCCGGTGCTTGCTCTTCTCCTAGGTACGTCTCTCACCCCAGCTTTGCGTCTCTTTCACTTCGTCGACTTCGCTCAGGCAACGAACAATTCATGATGGTGGGTACGAACAATTCATGATGAACACGAGTAATTCATGATAGAACACAAGCAACTCATGATTGAACACGTCCCTTTCCAGTCTTTCTACCAAGTACACTCGACAAAACGATGATTACGATTGATATACAATAGGTCATTCGCCAAGATGGCTGTTTGTGGTCATGCGATGTCGGTGTAGGCGACACCGTGAGTCGTAAGGAAAGATCGTTCAAGAACTTGCATACATGCGAGCTTCGGCTTGCGAATTCAGCCCTCACTTAGGCATTGCTATCCCCGTAAGCCAGGCGTCCATCAGAAGCGAAGTACTGAAGACTCACAGCAAGGACAGCGTCACATCACCGTGGACCTTCGCCTTCAGCTCGACCCAGACATCGAGGTTCAGATCGAGGCGGAGCTGCAACAATCATGATGAGCCCCACCGTGTACGCTTGGCGGCGATGAGATCGAATTCGAAGAGCGCACCTTCAGCGTGTCGTCGCTTCCCTCGTCCTGCTGCTCGGGCTGCGCGGGCGGCTGGGCGCCGGGCTGCTGCTGCACGCCCTGCTGGTTGTACTGCCCGACCTGTCGGTCGTCCTCCGCGATGCGCGGCATGCCGTCGGGGAGGCCCTGCTGGGCGCGCCCGCCTCCGCCGCGGCGGCGACGGCGGGCACCCTGGTCGGTCTCATACCCGGCGTCGAGGCCAGCGGAGCGGCTGCGCGGCGCGCGGCTGCGGGGCCGGCGCCCAGTGGGCTCCTCCCGCTGCGTGGACGCCGAGCGCGACTGGGGCCCCATCGACGCGGAGCGCGACTGCGGTTGCTGGGACCCCGAGCGGGAGAAGGGCTGCTGCGAGGCTGCCCGAGAGCCTGGGTTGGAGGACGACTCGGTGCGGGCCTGCGACTGGTTGCGGGATTGCGACATGGGTGTGAGTGTAGGTGGGTGTGGGTGCAGCGACTTGGTGGTGGGTCGTCAGTAATTCAATTCGATGTTCGAGGTAGGTCGTGAAGGTGTTCTTTGGAAGGGGAGGGGCAGGGGGGCGCGGTTCTTATATATGCGATCGCTCTCCAACCTTCGGGTACCTATGAGTTCATATCGTGGAGGTCTCTATTCAAACATACGGGTATGTTTGTTGCGCGACCATCCGGGCATTCCAAAGGTAGAAGTGACGTCAAACTTGACGCAGATAGGCGCCCGTCTCGACGCAAACTTGGATTGTCCACCTCGCGGTCGGTAAGTCTTTCTCGAACACGCCCACGTCCTGACACACGCTCGAGTTGTCTTCTGGAAGTTCCCCACGACTATCGCGCCTCCTTGCGAATGTTTCTCATCCTTTTGTGAACATCGATCTCTGATGATATATTCGCCTCAAAAGTTCACAGAAGACTTCCTTCTTCGTCATGATGTAGATTCTGTCCAACGTAAAATATACATGTAGTAAAGAGTCCACCAAGGTGCGTGTGTATCAAGATGTCATCGTTGCGACAGATGTCATAAGGTATTTCGTGAAGTCCTTCCAGCGTCCACGCCAAGGGATGCGAACGTCGACAACGCAGGGGAGTAGTAGTGTACAAGGAAGCAGGGGGGAAAGTGGCGAGGGGAGGTGGCCGATTACCCGCTAGAAGGATCGGTCAGCACGCAAAGACGCACAGAGTATCGCACTCACTTACAGCATCGACAAGGTAACATCACCATGCACCTTCGCCTTCAGCTCGACCCAGACGTCGAGGTTCAGCTCCAGCTTGAGCTACAGAGGTCATAAGCATTGCGCACCTGAAGCGCACAGATTCGCCGTACCTTCAGCGCCTCGTCGCCCCCGCCCTCTTCCTCCTGAGCAGGCGGCTGTTGCGCCTGCTGCTGCTGCTGTTGCTGCTGCTGCTGCTGTTGCTGGATCTGCTGCGGCGAGTACTGGCCGACCTGCTGCTGGTCCTCTGAGATGCCCGGGAGCCCCGAACCGCGCCCACCACGGCGGCGCTGCCCGCGGCGCGACGGGCCAGCGTCGGACTCGTAGTCGGTAGAGAGGCTGCGCGCGCCGCGGCTGCGGCTACGGCGCTGGCGCTGGTTGGTGGGCGGCGGGGACATGGACATCGTGAGGTCTTCGTAAGGTGATAGATGGGTGGGTTAGGAGATGGATGTGCAGGAGATAGGCGGCGGCGGAGCGGGATACTTGAAAGGGTGGCGAAGTGCGATGAGGGGATACTTAAAGCAACCGTACGTCTCCACTTATGAGGTTCTATGAGCTCATAGAACTAGGTGGTCCACGCGTGGCGGAAATCGAGCCGGTGAACGCTCAGGACGAGTCGGCTCGCGAAGGGGGTTCGGGAGAGGTGAATGGATAAAGATGACGTCGATCACCTCACCACATCCTGCATGTTTGTTGAAATCAGGTACATCCCCGGCGGGAGAACAACAGGTAATACGATAGACATCGGATACAAGCCATCGAGCGTCCTGTGAAGGATGTCTTGGTCAAAAATCCAGGACGGCAGGAGTGAAGATGGCTGCCGCTAACGAAGGAGGAAAAGAAGCACCGGAATTAAGCCCCGATTAATCCTTCGTATTTTGCGCTTTGCCCGGGGATTGATCCGAACAGGAAAAAGCTTTCTATTTTAGGACGTCCCCCGCCCTTTCGTATTCCCCATGACGAACTGAGTTGGCAGCCAGCATACCGCTACCCCTTCACTTATCTCGAGTGCGGGAGCGAGGGAAAGGTGCTAGGAATGAATGAAGGACTTACTGGTCTGCCATACTTAGTAGACGGAAATTAGCCTCATGCCGCCTGCTGAGCCCGTCCCAAATGCTCGTTGGAGCGCACCAAGAGCGTACAGCGCACAGCCTCCTGCCGCGCGCAATGGTCTGACGAAAGGGACGGACACGCTGTCGGATCCAAAACCCACCGTCACGCACCATGCACCACAACATGAACCTTCGCATCCATGGGTGGACGCGCGCCCTAGACCCCGACCATGTCATCCAATCCGCTGGTCATGTCATCTATGCCACTGGTGTTGGAGGAAGGACATCACCATGATATCAGCGTTGGGCTTTGAGGCGAATTCGCCGGGTGTATAAGAGCGGGTGGCCACTGCCGATGGTTGTCAACTTCCCCACACCCCTGAACGACTTCATACCTGGCATCTAAGCACATTACTACAACACGATGACCGACATCCAGCAGCAGTTCAACACGGCCCCGTCTGAGGCGTCCACCGACGACGACCGCTCTCCGGACGAGCAAAAGCAGGCGGCCGAGCTCGCGATACGGCTCTCTAGGGCGATCGAGGGCGCCAACGAGAAACTCTGCCCGTTGACGAAGATGATTCGCAAGGTGCGTTACCCCAAGTGCGAAAGAGGTTGAAACTGACAAATTCGTAGCACATCGAGAACATGGAAGCAAAGAAGGAGGAGGACCGCAACGAAGACGAGCTCGTGAAGCAAGTGAAGCCGTTGCTCGAACAGGCGGAGAAGATCCTTAACGAGACGCAAGGCGTGATTAAGGGTGAGTGGGGCGAGCCGTAGTCCATCGCCGAGTATACTGACGCGCTTTGCCACTGTTCAGGTGCGGATCCGGACGGCGAGATCGCCAGCCGCGCGAAGCGCCACCAGCAGAGCCACCGCGCAACTCCAGAGGAGCAGCGGCTCGCGGAAGCTCTCAAGGTCCTGGTCGAGGAGGTCGGCGGCACCATCGACTGGGCGAAGGGCAAGCTCGACGCGTTCCCGAAGGCAAAGAAGGATCTCGGACCCCTGCTCGACGCCCTCGGCCGTGAGTACCCTGTTGCCGTCTTCGCTCAACAGAAGTCGCTGACACCCCTTGCACAGAACCCCTCACGCAGATCGTTGGCGGTGTCGCGCTTCTCCTCTCTGGCGTGCTGAACCTCCTGAACAAGCTGCTGGCTGGCCTTGGCCTCGACGGCCTGCTGAAGGGGATCGTGGCGGCTACAGGGCTGGACAAGATCTACAAGTCGCTCGGCCTCGACAAGTGGCTGAATATGAAGTAGATCCGAGACCGCAGCAAGGAGAGATAGGAGCAGAAGTATATTCCCATGTAGTAGCCGTTGGACTTTGATGGCATGACCATACCAGTACCCTATAATCAAGTATTTCTTGACGGAACGTGTGCCGGTCAGACAGCAGTTGTATGGTGTCGAGCGCGAAGGACGCCTCCCGTTGTCTTGCCGCCCAAGATAGTGTGTCCAGAAGTCTCTGCAAGGTCCGAGGATACACCAGCGTGGATTCTGCCAGCGCCTGGCAGTGTCGAAGCGAGTGAAGCGGTGCAAAGCATCGTCGGCTCTTTCGGATTGACTGCGCGGACCGCGGCACGTGGTGCTGTTTATAAAAGGATGCAGTCTATATTTCGCTTGCTCTTTCCCCTCACGACGTCCCAGGCCCCTTACGACCCCTCTAAGGCAACACAATCATGAGCGCGCAGGATTACTACGGCGGCGGGCACCAGCAGCAGCAGCAGGGCTACTATCCTCCCCAAGGTGAGGGGACAGTGGAGGTTTTGTGCTTCCGGCGCGGGATTTCCGATCTCCGGGGTTTATCTCCAGCCTGCTGTGATCTCGAGGAGTGCAGGAGGCTGAGGTGTGGCTGGTGCTGAAGTTGGCTCGCGCTCTTGGCTTTGGTTTCTTGGCGAGTAGCGAATGGCGGGCTGACGAGATGTTCGATCAATAGGTCCCCCTCCCGGTCAGGGCGGCTATTATCCTCAGGTGTGTGGTACATCATACTGCAACGCAGCTCCATACTTACCGGGCCCTTCAGCAACCTCAGCAGTCCTACCAAGGCCCTGGCGGCTATGGTCCGCCGCAAGGCTACCCCCAGCAGGGTGGTTATCAGCCGCAACCTCCGCCACAAACCGTCTATGTGTACGTCCCACTCGCGCTTGATCACTGTCTCATTGTCTCATCCCCTTGTCCTCCCCTACAGTCAAGGTCAGCCCCAGAAGGGTAGCGGTGGTGGTGGAGGCGGCTGCACGGCCTGCTTAGCCGGCATGTGTCTGTGCTGTTGCGCGGAAGGTATGCACGCGTCCGCTCTTGCACCGATCATGCAATCGCTTACTCGTACTTCCAGAACTCTGCGACTGTCTGTTCTAGTTTCCTCATGGTCTCCGCTGGTCATTCTCCTCTCTTCTGCGATTCTCGACGAACACTGTATGGCTGGACGATGTCAGACTCACTGTAGCCTCTGTTCGGTGGATTTGTGCCGCCTGTTACTGTCCAGCAGTGTATCAATATTCCTCGGTTCTGTTTGATACCGTATATACATGCTGCCCTTTGGAATTCTACGCTGTTTGAAGTCCTCCAACGTCCTGCGGCATCTCGTGCGGGTGGTCGAGAACAGAGCGCTTACCTAAGCGCCCGGGACGGTGCCCGGACGAAACGTGAGCGGTGTGATTGGTCCCCGGTTTTTTCCGCGTGACACGTGACGGGACGGATTGCACTTGCCCGCCGGACTCGCTCCTTGCCAAAGTGTGTTCTCCAAAATGTTCTCGAGGCTGTCGGCGAGAGCCTTGAAGGCGTCGTCCCCGTCGTTCTCGGCGTCCCGCGCGTCCCAGGCTGCCCGTGGCTCATCGGTGCGTGAAGCGGTGGCGACAGTGGTGCGCGACAGTACTGACTGTAGCGGATAGGTCCGGTTCGCCTCGACCTCCTCATCCTCGTCCTCCGCGTTCCAGGTGCGTGCGCAGGCTCTGCGTGTAGCTCAGTGGCTTACCTGCTATTCTGCAGTCTGCGCTGAACTCCAATTTCGCGCTCGTGTCCGCCTCGCTTGTCTCGGTCGGGTCTATCGTCTGGTACACCCACCTCTATGGCTCGCTCCCCGTGATCGGCGAGGTGCACGCCAGCCACCTCAGCGACGAGGGTCTCCACCCGGTCGCCTACCCCTGGTCGCACAAGGGTTGGATGGACTCCTTCGACCACGCCAGGTGCGCACTTCATCCCTTCTCCGCATACGTATCCCCTTAACCACTCCCTTACTCCTTAGCATCCGCCGAGGGTACCAGGTTTACCGCGAGGTCTGCGCGGCGTGCCACTCGCTCGACCGCATCGCATGGCGCAACCTCGTCGGTGTGTCGCACACCGCGGACGAGGCGCGCGCAATGGCGGAGGAGATCGAATACCAGGACGGCCCGGACGACAACGGCGAGATGTTCCAGCGTCCCGGAAAGCTCTCGGATTACATGCCTGCTCCCTACCCCAATGAGGAGGCTGCCCGTGCGAGCAACGCCGGTGCCCTCCCGCCCGACCTCAGCTTGATTGTCAAGGCTCGCCACGGCGGTGCCGTACGTGCATTTAGTGATCGCAGCCGAAGACGCACTCATCATGTTTCCAGGACTACATTTTCTCTCTGCTCACGGGCTACATCGACCCCCCTGCCGGTGTCGAGATCCGTGAGGGGATGAACTACAACCCCTTCTTCCCGGGTGGTGCCATCGGTATGGCCCGTGTGTTGTTCGACGGCCTCGTCGAGTACGATGATGGTGCGTACTAACCGCACTGTACTCTTCTCATCGTTGAGACTGACATCCACCAGGCACTCCCGCGACGACGTCCCAGATGGCCAAGGACGTTGTCACCTTCCTCAACTGGGCCGCCGAGCCAGAGCACGACGAGCGCAAGAAGGTCGGCATCAAGGCCGTCATCCTGTTCTCCACCCTCTTCGCCCTCAGCTTGTACACCAAGCGCTTCAAGTGGACGCCAATCAAGAACAGGAAGATTGGTGAGTTTGCTGAGCCCTTGTGTGGTCGGACGGTTCGCTGACGCGCGGGTGCAGTCTACGACCCGCCGGCGGGTGGCAAGCACTAGACGTCGTAGAGTATATTCTTCCTGTAGTCGAACTACCGATGGCATTGGCAGAACGTGCACCTTGGACTTCCATGTGACCGCGACTAACTGAAGACGTATGTTGGTGATCGGGGTATTCTTCTTCGTCCCTTCTGCTTCTTCCGTTGCGCATATAGTCGGGTGGGAGTGCGAGGGCGTCGCAACTGCTGGCCATGCTCATCATCGACATCGTTGTTCGTTGGCGAACATCCCGTTGATGAAAACTCCATGGCGCCGGCTGATACGTGAAGGCTTTGACATGGCGCTTTGCGATGGAGGCCTTGGCAGGATATCGTTCGGGCGTCATTCCTTCCTCACGGGCCGCCGATAGGGATTCCTCCGGTCATGTGGGGTGTGCGGGCACCGAGACTGGGTGGGAGTTGAAGGGTAGCGAACAGGGACGCCATCAAGCGGTATTTGGAGGGCGTGCTTATAAGGGCACAAGGAACCCTTGTGGCTTTCGGAGGACGGGGACCTTGCTTCTTTCCCGTTTGCTGCTTCTTTCCTTCTCATCGCTCAGCTCGCCCGTCTCGCATTGCTGAGGGCCATGGCGAGATCACTGTGGCTGGCGCTGCTAGTAGGAGTTGCGAGTGCGCGCGGACCGTGAGTGGGCGATGTGTCCAGAAGGTTCAATCGTGGCTAATCAGACGCAGGGTGAAGAGAGGTAAGGAGGCGATAATATTGGAGCACTCATGCGCTTTTTGTTTCTGACGAGCTATCACCTGCAGGAGAAGCGCTGGAGCCTGTGGATTATGTGAGTTCGCGTCAACATGCTCAAAGACGATTGACTGAGGCGACCTCCGATAGGTCCTGCCCTTCATAGGCAGCGTCAACGGCGGCCACGTCTTCACAGGTATGCAGCATGCCTATCTGCTTGGGCTTCCCTTTGAAGCGTTCTATCTGCTCACTAGGTGCGACGGTGCCGCATGGGATGGTGAAGGTCGGAATGGACACAGATTCTCCTGGAAATGTGCGTTCTCGCGCGTGAAGGGTGCGCTGAATTTATCTGCTGACGATAGCACTGGTATCCCAGCACGCTGGCTACGATGGAAATGCGACCTACAACACGACGGGTTTCTCGCAGCTGCATGAAAGTGGCACGGGTGGGGTGAGCGACTGCACGATGAGATTGGTGAAGGGCTGAGCGCTGATGCTGCACGCAGTCCGTCCCGCTGTCAAACTTCAAGCTGTGGCCGATAGCGCACTGCCCGGACGGATTCCGAAGCTGTAATGTCAGCATGGATATGCGGAAGGCGAAGAGAAAGGTTCTTGAGGATGGTGAGGGCTCTGTTTCATAGCGACTAGGCCGGTTGAGGCGTGACGGTTATTGCAGGAAATTCCGACGACTACGCGACGCCCGGGTATTTCTCGAGCAATCTGGTGCGCGCGATTTTGTGTGGCGCTTGTCCAATGTCACTGACCCCAGGCTAGTCCAGCGATATCCGCGTCGAGCTCACAGCGACCCGCCGAGCCGCCTTGCACCGGTACACCTTCCCCGCTAACACCACCGAGCCCCGCATCCTCGTTGACATCACCAACGACGGCATGAAGAGTAGCACAGATGTGCAGGGCACGGTCGACCCGCTCAGCGGGCGCGTCGTTGGTGGGGCGCAGTTCGCCTCGTCATTCGGGCAGGGGAGGTACTATGCATATACTTGCGTGGATTTTCAGGGAGATGGGTATGAGCTGGGGACCCCGGTGGAGTATGGGACGTGGTCGAGCAATTATCCGACATATGGGACGGTGGATGTGCATCAGTTGTACTTTGGTAAGTAGGAAGGCGGCTGAAGGCGAGAGGGGAAGCCGGTGCTGATGCTACGCAGGATTTGCGACGGAAATGGGCGCAATGTTGACTTGGCCGGCGAATCCGGCAGGGGAGACGAGCATCCTAGCTCGAGTGGGCGTATCGCTGATATCGTCGGAGCAGGCGTGTCAGAATGCGGAAGGTGAGGGAAATGGTCCAGTGAAGGCTCCTGTAATCATGCGTTGACCCAACCCAGAGGAGATCCCCGACTTCGACTTCGAAAGGGTCTACGAAGAGGGTCGTGCTGAATGGAATGAATTACTTGGTCGGATACAGGTCGATACCACTGGGGTGCCCGAAGAGACGGTGCAGCTTTTCTACTCTTCGGTACGCGACGCTATGCATTGCCCTCTCTTGCGACTAATGCCCCGGATTCTATAGCTATACCGGACGCATGTCGCCCCAGCCGATTGTAAGTAACACTTCGTCCATTGGATGCATCATCTCTGATACCTTGGCCAGACACTGGAGAGAACCCGAAGTGGAACTCAACAGAGCCTTACTATGACTCTTTCTACTGCAACGTGAGTTCACTAACAATGGCACGGCGAGTTACTAAACCTTTCCTGCAGTGGGATACCTACCGGACGCTCTTCCCCCTCATGACGATGCATGACCCCTACACCATGGCCAAGGTTGTCCGAGGCATGATTGATATTCAGAAGCACGAAGGTGTGATCTTTCGCCCACTCGACGCCAATATCCTGCTTGACTCTCGCGCAGGCTGGCTCCCTGAATGTCGTAGCACGACGACCCAGCAGTATATCCAGGGCGGCAGCAGTCCGTGCATTTGGTACAAAAATCGCTGATTGTTGCATGACTGAAATTGTTGTAGACGCGGACCCGATCCTCGCCGAATTCCTCGTCAAGTATGTTGTTTTCACAGGCCCATTCGCGAGGTTGGTGCTGACCTGACTCTATCAGACTCCAGGACCACGTAGCAGCGCTAGACGTCTCCGCGGACGACCTATACACCGCATTGCTCGCGGATGCGGAAGAGCAGCCGCCTAACTGGAATGTTCAGGGACGCGAAGCCAATGCGTGGAAGGAGTATAGTAAGTCTAGATTGCTCGCTCTTCTGTACCTGCTCTCCGCCCCTCCACGCGTTGCTCATGCTTTGCAGACTACATACCCCAGTTCTTCTTCAATCCCGGAGGCGCGAACACGAAGTGGGTTTCACGGACGCTCGAGGTGAGGTCCTGCATGTCCGAGTGTTGAAGGTGCTGATATCTGCCTAGTATGCCTTTGACGACTTCACGATTGCCCAAGTCGCTCGCGCTCTGAATAAGACTGAGGATGCGGATAAGGTCAGTGACATTTAGCGCAAGTTTCGTGAGGGTATAATTTGCATGGACAGTACTTTGATCGCGCAGGTAACTTTGCCAACGTTTGGAACCCCAACGTCGTGAGTGGTTTCCAGTTTGGAAGCTTAAAGTTGTCTCGCAGGCTAACATTTAGCAGACTTTCCCTGGCAGGGAGGATATCGTAGGAATGATGCAGGTATGTACCGGACACCTCTTGCGTCGCTGTTTGTTGACTTGCTTTCATAGCCGCGGTTCCAAAATGGTACCTTCAACTACACCGACCCCCGGCACTGTAGCATACACGACCCGGAGAAAGCGACGTGTTTCCTGAATGCGGTCCGCCGCGACGGGTTCTACGAATCGAGTCCCATGGTGGTGAGTCAAAACCGCCGCCGGGAGGGTTTTTGTTGCTGACCTCGTGGTTGCAGTACTCACAGGTGGATATGATCCTCGGGTGACAAGCGAGTATACTGAACACAACAATTGTCACAGTATGTCCCACAAGACACGGCGAAGCTCATCGACCTGCAAGGCGGCGTCGACGCATTTGTGGATAGATTGGACTTCATCTTCGACGAGGTATGTCATGTCGAGCTTGCTATGTAGGCTTTGACTTAACGCTTCCTAGGGTTACTTCGACTCCACAAACGAGCCGTCGCAGCAGATCCCTTTCATGTACCACTACGCGAATCAGCCTGCCAAGAGCACGAAGAGGGCGCGCGAGGTTATCGCGCAGAGCTTCAACACTAGCCTGAACGGGTTGCCCGGGAATGACGGTCAGCCGCCCTGAAAATAATCCCACTAGCTCACTCACATGTATCTCGACGTAGACGCTGGTGCGATGGGGAGCTATGTGGTATTCTACATGCTCGGGCTCTACCCCTTGCCAGCGACCAAACAAGTGCTGTTGTCGTCGCCGTACTTTCCGGAGGTGACGATATACAATCCGCTCTATGGCACAAATACGACTATCCGGAGCACGAATTGGGCGGAGAATGGGACGGTCTATGTGAAGGTATGTTTTTGTGCTGTCCATATACTCCCCAACGACAAGACTAATGTTTGCGTCTACAGAGCGTCACCGTCAACGGGGAATCATACAAGTCAAACTGCTACCTCGACTGGGAAGTCTTCGTGAATGGGTCCACGATAGAGTTGGAGCTGACGGACGACTTGGATGGAACTTGCGGGGACGGGCCGGACGCTCTGCCACCGAGTTTGTCAACGGGCGGCTACAACTGAGGGACTGGGTCGTATATTGAAGCATTCGATGCACGTCTCGCAGAATAGTACATGTCAAAATGATGGACAATCAGAGGTTTTCGTGAATTGTTATTTTCCAGGCGCACTCCCCTCGCGGGTCGGAAGGCCATCACTGCAAAGGCCAGGGCAGGGGTATGGGACTTAATATTGAGAGGAGGATATCTGCGAAGAACCTAGAAGGCTCTCCTGGAAACGAGCGATCAGGAGGTGAAGGTCGTGGTCGAGAACAAAGGCAACCCTTCTCTGGCCAGTCGCGTCGGTCTAAGCAGAGCGCTGAGTCAGCAGGGCCCCTCTATCATGCATCATTCGGGGGTCCCTGGCATACGCGTCCATCGTGGTACGCGGTGAGCTCACTTCTCTCCTGCTCCCAATATCTCCCAACTACCATGGACCACTTCCCGATGAACTGGGGGCGACCCGTTAGTCTACACTCTTTAAAGCAGCAAGTCAAATGCTGATCGTCTGGCAGCGCAATGACGCCGTGGACGCGTACGGCACACATCCCATAGCTCAGCGTCCGTACAACGGTGGCGGCTACGTGCACGCGGGACCAAAGACGGATGCGTTTGCGGATGGTGTGCAGAGGACGCAGTGAGTGAGAAGTATGGGCAGATCGACGCCAATGCCTCATCACCTGCGCAGGCAGCCCATCGTCACCGGTACGAGCGTGTTGGCGCTGAAGTACAAGGATGGGATCATGTTGGCGGCAGATAACCTTGGTGCGCTATACTTCTCAGACTTTTGATCTCTTGCTGATGATGTGTAGCTTCGTACGGCTCGCTCGCCCGCTTCAAGGACGTGCAGCGTCTGCACGCGGTCGGGGACTACACCTGCATCGGCGCGTCGGGGGATATGAGCGATTTGCAATACATCCAGGGCCTCCTCGATAGCGTTATGATTGACGAGTTCACCGCTGCTGTGCGTTTGCCATAATTCTCATCGACCGAATTCTCGCATACTTATGTACTTTCAGGATGGCCACACCCTCGGCCCGAAGGAGGTGCACGAGTACCTCAGCCAGGTCATGTACGCGCGCCGCTCAAAGATGAACCCCTTGTGGAATTCCCTCCTTGTCGGTGGGTATAAGGATGGCGAGCGGTACGTCCTGCATCTATCACCTTGGCTATACACCCTGGACTCACGCTCTCCCAGATTTTTGGCCTACGTCGACTTGCTCGGCGTCACATATTCTTCCTCGACTCTCGCAACAGGCTTCGGCGCCTACCTCGCTCAGCCGCTGCTCCGGAAAGCGGTGGAGGGTAACGAGGACACTTTGACGGAGCAGGACGCGGAGAAGATCATCGAGGACTGCATGAAGGTGCTCTTTTACCGCGATGCGAGGAGCTTGAACAAGGTACGTCTTGGTGATCGAATCCAATGCCTCTTCCGGCCACTCCATCTCAATTATGAGCACGCACTAACTTCTCCCCTAGTTCCAAATCGCAAAGATCGACGCGATGGGCGTCACGATCTCCGAGTCGCGGAGCTTGGAGACACACTGGTCGTTCGCGGAGGGTATCAGAGGGTACGGAGCGCAGACGCAGTAAACATGTACAGTATTCAATCACGGAGTACTTCTTTGTATCACGATTTCTCTCATGAAACCCCGGCGAGATGGCGACAGTCAGAGCCAGGTAACTGCAGTATTCATGCTTGACTTGTACTGATCACGAAGGATTTGTACTGCCCGAGACTGAATTGCCCAAATCAAGAATGCACATGGAGGGCAAGCAGGCGAACAAACAAGATGGCGAGTGGCCAAACAGACTGGCGTGCTCATTGTGTTCTGCCGTAAAGTCATACTCTGTCCCGTAGTCCAGTCCAGTCTTGAGCACACCTCTCCCAGGTTGCTGACCACTGCGAGCATGCCACGAATTCACACGTGTACTGGCGGCCTTCCGTTCCGTCCTGTTGATGCTTGCCTCTGGCCGACGTCCTCCGCGGTAGCCTGACCTTCTGTATTACGGCCTGTCGCCTTGTTCCCTGTCGCCATTATCCCTTCTCGCCGCGCATATACGCGGGGTAGTGTCCAATCCATCCTGCAGCTCGCCGCGTCCAGAGGAAGCGCACACACCCCGCAGGAATCCATCATCCGATAATAGCGCGCGCTCTCGCCATAAATCCGGCATGAACGTCGGCTTGTCATTCCGTTCCTTTGCCCGTCGGCGACTTCTCTCTTCCTCATCTCTTCGCGCTTGTACTCGTCCTCTTCGACCGCAACCGCTTCGCAAAATGTCGTCTGAGCAGGGATTTAAGCAGGTGTGTGGTAGAGGTTGAGCAGAGGGAAAAGGGAAAGCTGATAGGACTTTGTGATAGGCGCCGCATAAGTGAGTACGGGTGATGAGCGATCGATGTATGTGGTAGCTGAAGGGAGGGGGTTGTAGGCTTTTGGTGTACGTGGACTGTCCTCTGGTGACTCTGTCTACCAACTGACATGTCCGCAATGCAGGATCCCGGGCCCCATCGAGGTCGCCGACGATGTACGTGGCGCGATCGGGGTGCGAAAGTGCCAGCGATCGCTCATTCCCTCCCCTCCCCCTCCTTAGGTCCTCTACGCGAATGCGCACCCATCTATGTCCCATGTATCTGCGGACTTCATCCCCGTGTTTGGGGACTGTATACGGATGACGAGGTGCGTGGGGTGGTCAGAGGGGAGGGAGTGCGATCGCTCACGGGCGCGGCTCCGCAGGGAGATTCTGTACTCGAAGGACGCGCAGCCATTCCTTATTGCGGGGAGTGGGACGCTTGGGTGGGATCAGGTGCGATTCTGGGTGTGCGCGGAGGGGATATGATGTGCTAATGGTACGCAGGTTGCTGCCAACCTCGTCGAGCCTGGCGAGAACGCGCTCGTCCTGCACAGCGGGTACTTTGCGGACAGCTTTGCTGAGTGGTGCGTCGCAGACCATTCTCATATGATTCGCATCTCACATCGAGCTCTGACGTCTCATCAGCCTCGAGACCTATGGAGCGAAAGTCGACCAGGTGAAGGCGCCCATCGGTGCTGCCGTCACGCAGGAGGAGATCGAAAAGGCGCTCGAGGCAAAGAAGTACAAGATCCTCACCTTCACGCACGTTGATACGTCTACTGGTCAGCCTCGCACCTGCTTTCTTGCTCTCACCCCGCTCACACTCAGCCACAGCCGTCCTCTCGGACGCGAAGGCGATCGCAGCGACCGTCAAGCGCGTCTCGCCCGACACGCTCGTCGTGCTCGACGGCGTGTGCGCGGTCGCGAGCGAGGAGATCCGCATGGACGACTGGGGCATCGACGTCGTGCTCACTGCGAGCCAGAAGGGGCTCGGGACGCCGCCCGGGCTGTCGATCCTCGTCGCGAGCCAGAAGGCGATCGGCGTGTTCGAGGCAAGGAAGAGCCCGGTGACGTCGTATTATGCGAGTTGGAAGAAGTGAGTGGGGTATTTGTATAGGTGGTGTGAAAGGGGGATGGTGCGGAGCGTGTAAGAGGGAGGGGAAGACGGACGAGATGCTGACGGGGTTCACTCCTATAGATGGCTCCCGATCATGTCCGCATACGAGAAGGGCTCGCCGGCGTACTTCGCGACGCCGCCCGTGAACCTGATCTACGCGTTCCACGCGTCGTTGTCGACGATCACGCGCGGCGCGGTGTCGCTTGAGGAGCGCTTCGCGGCGCACAAGAAGGCGAGCGCGCGGGTGAAGGAGGCCGCGGCGGAGCTCGGGCTCAAGCAGCTGCCCCTCGACCCGTACTATGCGGCGAATGGGATGACGGCGGTGAGTGCTTCCTCGCGTGCGATGAGGGTGGATGTGGTACTGACGCAGATGCAGCTGTACTACCCCGAAGGCTTCACGGCGGCGAACACCTTGGGCCCGCTGGGCCAGAAGGGTATCGTGGCTGCTGGCGGGCTGCACAAGGAGATCAAGGGTGCGTATACTTTACCTCAGGCATCCTGAAAAGTCGTACTGACGGTCGCGCAGACAAGTACTTCCGCCTCGGCCACATGGGCATCACCGCCGTCGAGCCGTCGCGCGGCGACGTCGACAAGGTCATTGACGGCTTGAAGGCCATCTTCAAGAAGGAATGACTCGCGAATGAGCTGGGGCCGGTGCCCCATGCTCTGTTGTGAAAGGAGTGGAATGGCCTCGCAAACCGCCCATCAGGGTGGAGGCTATGAAAGGAGTACTGTAGAACCTGCGTACAAGCCTGGCACTTTGTTTAGATGCAGGGCTGGCGTAGGGGTGTACCAATAGAATGGAATGTTGAACATAGATCTCGTGCTTTGTGCTGCGGGGTGGCCCTTTGCAGCCATCGAATGTCAGTCAGCAAAGAGGAAGCCGCTACACGGTGTGACGGCCGCACGTGCCCTTAATTGGTGTGACAGCCAGAACAACTTCCAGTCGAACTTGTCTTCTGCTCTCACCGTCAGGTCCTGTACCCGCTCGGGTCCTTGGTCCGCAGAAAGTCTTACTCTCTAACTGTCTCTGCGTCATTTTGATCCAAGATGGACGTTGATATGGACGTACGTGCACCACGATCCTTCTCACAGTCGGACCCTAACCTCAAGCGCCACTCTGCCTAGAACGCGAACCTCTCGCCCGACCAACCGAACGACTGGATACGTGTATACAGCGACGATGGTTTCTTATTTCTCGTGAAACGATCTGTCTTGTATACGAGCGATAAGTTGCGAGATAGTCTGGATAGCGCGAGTGAGTCCCCACCGTCGCTCTCATCACTTCCATACACCCTTTTGTTTTATATTCAGAATCTCTCTGACCTCACACCTCCAACTAGACTCATATAAGGAGTCTCTAGCGCGAACTTGCGTGATCCAGGAGCGGTGTGTATCTACCTCAGGTGGACGACCTTGAATTCAACATTGATTCCGACTCGTCAGCGCCGTGATCGTCGAGAAGCTGATCGAGTACATGAGCTTTAAGGCGCACTACATGACTCGCAGCGGGAAGGAGGAGATCCCCGTCAACGAGTTCCTTGAGCGAATACCGCCCGAGATCGTACTGGAACTGTAAGTACTGGTACTCGTGGCATTCTCTCCTATTTGCGTTCTGGAAGTCTTGCCATTGTCGTCTTCTAGCAATCTCACTCTGACGCTAACGAGACCCACAGATTGCTTGCAGCGGATTATCATGCCAGTCAGTTTCTTCGTGTTGATTGTGTGCCGCCAACCCTGATCCTTGCTCCTTGTAGTTTGAAGCTTCGTTATCGGAGAAATATGTACATCATCGTGACCCTGCACCTACACATTTTGGCTGGCGCGGTAGCCCTCCGGGTTTCAGAGTCGGCAGGAAAGGCCGAAAGGCCGTACACAACTCAATGACCTCGTATTCACAGCCCTGCTAGCTCAGTGGTAGAGCGTCGCACTCGTAATGCGAAGGTCAGTCGTTCAAGTCGGCTGTGGGGCACTGTGAGAAGTCAGCACTTTCATTTTTTTGTGCCTTGTGTGTCGTATGTTCGCCGTCGTTGCCGCGCTGGTAGTGCACAAGAGTGAGCTTGGAGCTAAGGGAGACATCTGGACAATGCTGAAGAAAACCAACTCAACAATACCTGCCAAATGCGGATCAACCCATCTTACCCTTCCCACTCATGTCCTCCGAACGAAGACGCGCCGAAATCGAGGCGAAGCGAGCCAAACTAGCCGAGCTTCGCAATGCTCGCGAGGCGCGTCGAAAGGCAGAAGCAGAGCGGCGGGGTACAGACGTCCGTTGCTTCCCTCTTCTCGTATCGACCGACATTCAAGGCAGCAGACCCCAGGTCCTTCAACGCCCCCACGTCGCGATGTCGAAGACCTCGTCGAGCAGCTCATCGGGCCTCGTGGTACTGTGACACCCTCGCCGTCGGTCCCGGGCACGCCTGCGCCGAAGCGCGCGGCGCTGGGGCATGGGCGGCAGAGCGACATCGGGACCGCGACGTCCGATCGGGAGAGCATGGGCACGACCTTCGTCGACTTGCATTCGAACAATGGGACAGAGAATATCATGGAACGGTGCGTTATCAGACATACTGAGCAAATCCTGGACTGACAAGGACCATTGTAGGCCAATGACCCCCCGCTACATGGACCTGATCGACGTCGAGCAGGAGCTGTTCGAGCTACCTCCTCGGGTGCGTCAGTCATAACGATCCCATCTCAGGTGCTGAGCCTGTGCAAAGGAACGTATCATCTACGAGAAGGAAGTACAGACAATGGCAATCGAGACGGACGATGCGGGCTTCGATGAGGAAGAGATCCGTCAGCGCGTGCACAAGGAACGCGACGCGGAGGCGGAACGCATCGCGCGCGAGAAGGAGCTTGAGGAAGAGAGCGTGCAATTGGAGAAAGAGCTCGAGGAGGAAATCCGAGGTACGTTCGCTACTTCACCGTCTGAAGGATACAACTCATCAATCTGTTGGTAGAGCTCACCGAGGACGAGCGAGCAAGCATCCTTGCAGAGCCGGAATTTCAGGACTTCTTGGAGCGCTCGTCGAAGGTCCTTCAACGCGCTCTCAACGATCAGTACGATTATATCCGCGATTATACCATCGGTGCTGAGTCGGGAGGGTATGTGTTCCTCTTGAATGCATGGTTGTCGCTCATATGTCTTTAGCGATGAGTCCGAGGGCAAGCGTGTCAAGAAGGTTTGCGAGTTCTTTGACGAGCGCTACGTCAAGTACAGGTCCATCACCGACATTGACTGGTCACCTAAAGTGCGTTGAACCTTTGGAGCGGCGAAAGCGATATCTGACATGGAATACTTCAGTACCCCGAGCTGGTCCTTGCCTCGTATAACAAGAACAACACTGTGATGAACGAGCCCGATGGCATCGTCGCCGTTTGGAACTTGCACATGCTCGAGCGGCCCGAATTCGTCTTCCACTCACAAGTATGTGACTCGCGTGCTTATCAACTTGAATGGGGTATGCTGATGCTTTGTAGTCTGATGTTCTCTCCACCACATTCTCTCCTTTCCACTCCAACCTCATCTTTGGAGGCACGTACTCAGGGCAGATTTTACTATGGGATACGCGCTCAAAGCACTTGCCCGTGCTCAAGACTCCGCTATCGGCTGCAGGGCATACGCATCCCGTCTATGCTATGCAGATGGTCGGCACGCAGAATGCGCATAATCTCATCACAAGCAGCACGGATGGTACCGTCTGCAGTTGGCTTGTCGACATGCTTGCTCAGCCACAGGTAAGTCGTCCTTACGTCCGCCTATCAGTATAACTCTGACGCTCTATTGTTCAGGAAACCCTCGAACTCATCCACGCCGGCCACAATAAGACCGGCGAGGTCGCCATCACCACCCTTGACTTCCCTGACAATGAGACGACTACCTTCTGGGTCGGTACCGAGGAGGGTAACATCTACCAGGCGAACCGGTACGACCGCGCGGGCGCGAAGGCCGGCCTGAACCAGTACGACGTTTACAAGGGACACGCCGCGCCGATTATGGGTCTGCACTTCCACCCGCTCTCCGGACCGGTCGACTTCTCGGATTTGTTCCTTTCGTGCTCGATGGACTGGACGGTGAAGCTGTGGCGCGCGAAGGCGCTGGCGAAGCCGTCGACGACGCCGCATGTGATCCAGCCGACTTACTCGTTTGACGAGACCGACGACTATGTGTACGATGTGCGGTGGCATTCGGCGCACCCGGCTGTGTTCGGGACGGTGGATGGGTCGGGGCGATTCGATGTGTGGAATCTAAATGCGGATACGGAAGTGAGTTTCCAGCCGGCGGAAGCCTTTCTGCGAGGGTGGAGTGGCCGGATGTCAATACTGACTAACGAAATGCGCAGGTTCCTGTGGTGTCGACGCCTGTGGGCACTGGACGAGCGATTAACAAGCTGCGGTGGGATCGCAAGGACGGACGGCGCGCGGCGATGGGCGGCAGCGATGGGAAGCTGTACATCTACGACATTGGCGACATGGCGCTCTACCGCGAGTCCGAGTGGACGGAGATGCAGAAGACGGTGTCGGGCTTGATGGGGACACCTCAGGCGAATGGGATGGACGTAGAGGCGGCGAAGATCGTTGCGGGTCGCTGAGATACGGAGTATGCTTCTGGCTTATTGTAACGTCCTTCACGACCGTGTTGCCATGATACTCGCTGACAGCGACGACACTTCTGCAGTGGAAAGAAGGTCTTGCACAATAGAGTCGCTGTTATCGATACCATCAGGGTGACCTGAGTGTGACTACCACCCCGTGTGTGCAGCGTGCAGCTGCATAAGTACAATAGGCCTTCCCAGAGTCTCTCTTGCCATCCTTGCCTTTCCCCCTCCTCTCTCCCCGACTCTGAGTATACCGCGAGATGGACATCGACTTCATTGACCCGGGCAATCACACAGACGTGACGATGCACACGGCATCTGAGTATGGGCGTGGTGGAGATACGGCTCCGGAGACAGCAGGTGCGCATGCGCGTCGCTGTCAAAATCACATCTTCCTTGCTGATTACCGTCACATTAGAGTCGTTTGATGAGCATGAAGACCCTGACGAAGAGGCGCCTGAAGGGCACGCGCTCGCTTCACGAGACTCACCCCTCAAGACGCCCCCCAAGCGTCGCAGTAAGGCAGGCAAGCTCGCCGCGTTCAAGGAGCTGCCAGTCGACGTACTGTACGAGGTGAGAGGCAATTCAGCCGTCGTATCGCATGTATCTGACGAAATCGCGGCAGATCCTTCTGCTGCTGAATCCCCAAGATCTCCTGGCCTTCGCTCGGACCAACAAGTATCTGCAGGCGATTCTGGTACACTCGGAGTGCCGCTTCGTCTGGAAGGCAGTCAGAGAACGTGTTGGGTATCCGGCGCCCCGTGAGGCCCTCTACGAGTACTGGTGGGCAAGCCTGCTCTTCGGGAGGAAGATATGCCAGGTGCGTAGAGGCGTCGTCATTGTTGGTCTGCGCTGACTACGTTCGTCAGATTTGCGGTAGTTCTCCGGTCAAAAACATTGACTGGTACCTTCTGAAGCGTGTCTGCACGAGATGCAAGGATGAGCAGTACGTGTGTGTCGTACTGCCTGACCGAACTTGTCTGACAGACGAAGTCTGTTTCGTGATACAGAGTTCAAGGAGGAATATCCTAAGAAGGACAAGCTAGTGCTTGACCTGGTGCTGCATACACCCTGTACGTCCCCGTCCCTCATTATGCACATACTACGGGGTTTTAACATGACCCTCGAGATCGAACGACCGTACAAGCCTACACGCCCCAAAAGCAGTTTTACTTGCGCAGTGACGTCGATAGCATGCTGAAGGAGATCGCCATACACAAGAGGAGGATCTCCAAGCGAAGGGCTGGTGCGAAACAGGCCTTCGATGAGTTCAAACAGAAGCGCATCAAGTTTGTCGAGAAGACACACGACGTAGGTGCCCGCTATTGACGACACGGAGACGGACTTGCTGATCCTACGATCTGTTGCTCAGCTTGCCTACTCGCGCGCCGAGTGGGCCGGAAAGGTCTATAAGAAGACCGTCAGCGAGGGCGAAAAGTTGGGTGAGGAACGAAGGGCCGCGTCAGTATATCTCGTCGGCGTTCCATTCACTCGCATGTGACTGATGCATCCGATAATCAGGATCAGGGAGCGGCTGCTGCAACTAGGCTACGACGAGAGAGATGTCGCCGACGCCGTTGACGTCGATAACACGAACATGACCGTCCAGAAGAAGCCGCTCACGGACTTGGGTGAGCAGCAGCCAATTCGCAATGTCGTGACGTGCTCACCGAACTCATAGCATGGTCCCACATTCGTGCCAAGTGGGTGGCCGAGGTTGAATACCATCGCTCGTTCAGGGAAGAGAAGGAACTTAGGCAGCGCCAGCGTGCGGAAGCCGAAGCAGAGAGGCTGCGCCAACTGCAGCTCGCTGCGCGCAGGGAGCGCGAGCGTATCGTCACTGAGATTTACAGCGGGTGGTGCTGCAAGACTCCCGCCTTTAATCCAGAACTGACATTTTTGGCGCTCCCTCTACCGCACGAGATCTTTGATCTCAGCCCCATGCGCGAGCTGATTGAAGCCGACGCAAATGTGGTTGTGGATAAGCGCCGTCTCCAGCTTGCACTGGAAAAGTGCATGCCGCAGATCAACGAGTTATGGGCGCAACGCCATGACTTCTTGCGTGGAGTTGCCGCCCGTATCAGCCATTGCATGCGGCAGGCCGGTTCTTCATCATTGGAGGACGATTCCTACGTTCTTCGCGTGGTATGGACCCAGTGCGATTTCAACGTTGCTACCCCATTGGCGGAGGAACAAGAGATAGGCCTGACCTTCAGCGACTTCGTCTTCTACTGGCGTTTTCACTGGAACGAACTTCCGCCGGAGAGTCAGAGCTGGGAAGTCTTATCGCGGGTCACCTACAATAAGCGCCGCTCGCTCGTGGTGGCTTCCCTCATGGAAGCTATGGGCTTTCCTAGGACGGCGCTCGACGAATTTTTCACAACAGACGGGCCGCGCTTTTTGTGCATGCGCTGCCCGTCGATAAAGACCGATGACACGCATGGGCGATGGGCGATGACGTGGCAAGCTGCTGTGCGTATCTTGATTTTCCGCAGACAATGCACATCACTGACTTTGAACGTAGGTTGTACACACTGAGAGATGCCATGCAGGCGTTGATTGTGCTTGGCAATGGCAATTGCTTTCGGCAGCGGATACTGCTCGTGTCAAAGCGCTGGAATCCTCTACACACTTGGCTGACAAAGTATGGTCCTGCTCCCATTGCCGCGTGCATTGGAACAACTGGAAGACCTTTGAAGAGGTTTGCGAACACGCAGAAATGAAGTATGTCTACTTCATCCGCCTAAACGATGATATTGACTGACCAACAATCTTAGGCACAAGGAAGGGACGAAATTCGGCCGCATGGCTATCACCACACAGCCGAATTACATTAAGCCTGTTCTTTTATCGACGGACTCTTGAGACTGCTACTAGTAAACGTAATTTCGTACGCCATCGGAGCGCTCCAGGTACCTTCATTCCAGGAATTTACGCCCATTCTCTCTTGTATGCCCGTCATCTCGCCTGAAGCTATGAATACAATGATACAAATAGTACTTACTTCTGCAGTGGCAATGTACAGGAGTGCGGAAAAATATTGACCGTCACACGCATTCCTCACGTGAGCGTAGCGCGTGCGAGCAGCGTGCAGATCAATGGTCTCTTCTCATCCTCATCCTTCATCACTTTCCTACTGGACCGCGATGCACGCAGACCAAGATTACTTCACCATGCCCAAGGGCGTCTTTGTCACCCCGCACATTGTCCATTCAAATGATTCATGGCCTGCTCCTGCCTCGCAATACGCAGCTTCCCTTCGCGTGCTTGCGCGAGGCGCTTGTCTCGTGAGTGGCGCGCCTCAATAATCGAGCTAGAACTTGACCAGTAAAAATCAGGCGGATGACGAAGACCGTACACAGGCAGCCATTCTTTCTGCTGTGCAGTGTTCTGCTGAGATACGAGAACGACTACGCGTTGAGGCCGTCCATCCGTACTTTGGTCCTGAGAACAAACGCAGCATTCTGGGCAAGATAGTCGGTAGAGCCATGCAGAAGCTCAATCCCGAAGTGGAAACCAAGTGAGTGTACTTCACTGAACTCCGCCACATATGTTGATGTATGTTGACCGATCTTCTCAGCTACGAAACGGTCTACGCGCGAGCTGTGCATCCCTGTTACTCCGACGTTTCGGCAGTTCAGATATTGCCGAGCAGGGGGAGAGCAGACTCTGTGATCACCCTTCCCGTCTCTTTGACGGAGGCTCTGTCCCCACAGTTGCCTACGCTGAGTCCCGGCATTAAGGAAGGTAGATTGTCGACGGAGTCGCCGCCCGTCGTGCGTCCTGACAGACCAGGTCCATTACACCAAAAAGACTCCAGTTCAACCTCCTATGGGAACGGTGTTTGGCTTGTGCCGGGCGACGAGCTCCATCCGTTCTCTCAAGCCCATTTGTTGCTTCCGCAACGTCCTCATGAATCAATACCTTTTCCCATTGTCTGTGTCGCCTCGCACGACGAGATATACGAGCTTTTGGGCAGCGCGGTCTTCCAGCGACGAGTTTTCGAGGTTGAAGACCCTGTTCTGGGTTTCACTTTTGACCCGTTGGGTCACTATATTCAAGTTGTAGTCGCATGGCTTTCTCCGTCCTCTGTCGACGGCCACACATGTGTAGGCCAACTTGCGCCTTTTCACCGCTTGCATACTGAATAGTTATCAGGTGCAAGTGAACATTGCTCACGCCCCTATCATGGCGCCAATGGATGCTCTCGATGAATGCTCGGCCCGCGCGCTTGGAACCTTCGACGTCTCCACGGATTCCGGCGCTGCAGCTTTGGTTTCTCTGCTGTCTTATCATCAGCTTGGGATTGCAACGTGCGCTACCAAGGCACAACTTCACGCACCATGGGTGAAGCGCACCTTGCTAAGCGACCGCTTTCAACCGTGGCAAGTAGGCCTCGTCGCGGACTTGGGTCTCGACAACTGCGAACTTACCCCAGAATCCCGCGTCCATTGGTGGATTTCTGGTCATGGGTGAGCGTTGATCTATGTCTCTCGTAGGACGTGCTTTGCTCATCCGGTCTATAGCGAGGCCGAGTCCATCGTCTCTACCGCCAATGTACCGCCTTCGTCAGTCAATTTCCGACTTGTGGGTCTTGGTTGACCAATTCTCTAGCGCTGACAAGGGCTACAGGAACGAACCCAACTTCGGTCATAGCAATATTCGGTGCGTACACCACGCATAATGTTCGATCTCATCGGATGTTAACTCGCTTTAGCTCGGAGAACTTCGATGATTCGTGAGTGGGCATGCTAGGATACAGAGGCGCCTAATTGATACATTTCGGTTCATTCAGGCTTCCGTGAGAAACTCCTTTTTACCTCTACGGAAGCTGACATACGCTCATAGAGAGGTACCTGAAGAGCTCATCGATGATGCGGTTGTTGAGGGGAAGATACAAAAGTTCGAGAACGCAAGACGGTATGTCACACGGACCTCGGCGTCGCCTCGCTGATACCATAGCAGTGAATATGCCCTTGCATGGTGAGGTTGACGTGTACTGCTGGTGATCGACACTCATCCACGTCCAAGTATCTGGAAAAGTGAGAAATGCAAGGATTCGTGCGAGTGAGTATAATGGACCGACGTGCACCCTGGCGCTGAGACCTCTTATTCGCAGAGCGGCAAGGTCCTCATCCGTGTCTTCGTCAATTGATATCTTGGGCGATCGTTATTATTCTCCGGCTGTGTACACTCCCTTGCGAGTTCCCGACTGGCTCAGCATCTCATGGCCTGATCAGTCGATGTGTCAGGAGATTCGCAAGAAATACTTGCTTCCCACAATGCTACAACTGCCCGTATGTAGCAAAATCAGCGAACGCCCAAGCTCAAGGACGCTGACGTGCCTCTAGGTCGACCGCATCGATTGCGCCTATGTGCAGGGCAGCTACCAGCCTTTGCATCTTCGTGGACAGCGTTTAGTTGTTGGCCCTGTCGAGCACCATTCTCACAGTCGTGAAGTATGTTCTCCATGTCCTGCCGTATCTATTCGATTTCTTATACCGATACATTTCAGTTCAATCTGGGACATGGGGAGTTCGAGGCCCTGAAGCGTTTTGTGATGGAAAACACTATCGAAAGCGCGATGCGCAAGCTAGATGATCGCGTACTGGACCTCTCGCAGCTGAGCAACGATGCCGAGACGATTCTGCTACGTGCTACTCCCGCCATCATTGCCGCCTCCAATGACGCCAATCAGCACCTTCGTAAACACAACGAATCCGAGATTAAGCAGCAATGGCAAAGGATCCTCCGCGCCGTTGTCAGCGCATGTCCCAACATCGAGGGGAGGTATCTGGATGCTATGTGAGTTAATGCCGCGCACCTATGTCACTCCAATTCTAACTGCGTTTCCTCATTAGCGCAGAACGTGCCACGCCTCTGTCTCGCAATGAGCTCGCTGACGATATGATGAGGGGATCCAACACACTTAAAGAGGATATGGAAGTACATGCAATGTACCTCAACCCTGTGGCCCTGGCGCAAGTCAAACACGATCGAATACATAACAAGTGGCGAATCGCTGTGTCGAAGGACATGGGCAACGACTCGGACGACCCGGACGACTCGGACGACTCGGACTATGATAGTGATGATGCCCGCGATGGCAACATCGACAATCGCGCCGTTGACAACGAGGCTGGTCACAGCGATGGCGACGAATTCGACCTCGCCTCTCGCATGAAACGGTCTCTGGCTGCCGACCAGGACCGCTCCTTGACCGCCGTCCACGACCTGTACACCCGCATGCGGGATCTGCAGGGTCAGTACGAGAAGCAGACGCCGGACGAAAACGCTTTGAAAGCACGACTTTTGCGCTACTTCGATCGGGGCAGCACTTTTGACGGGTGCCTTGTCTGGAGCTTTCGTGGATACTTTTCCGAGAAATACTCGCTTGACGAAATCAAGAGCTATCGTTTCTTCAACTTCGATGACGCCAAGCAGGCCAAAGATTCGGGACAAGTCGCCGAACCGAGCAAGAGCGCCAGCCATGCAGTGGATCGCGCCGAAGCGGCGGTCGCTTCGCCTGTAGCTTTTACCAGGACGCAAGAGCTACTGGGAGAAGCTCGCGAAGTGTGTGCTATGCTAATGGCGGACAAGTGAGGGATCAAGGCCTCTCTATGGGCTCGTATGCTGACCTCCTGCAGGGGCGAGGATTCTCAGTATCGGGCCGCCACTCCTTCCACCGAAGCTGACTTCGTCGCTGCTGCCGCCGACAGCGAGGAATGTCAACCTATGTCAGAGCTCCCTAATCCCGAAGGTACGTTTGTGCGACACCTCACGGAGTATGGTTTAACTCATCACAGCCATAGGCGCCGCTAGGGAGCTAGCAAGTCCGGCCATATTTTTCGAGTACAAGGCCGACTCGAAAGACATCGCTGCTTGTTATAATCAGGCGCGCTTCGATCTCATCGATGCCCTGAAGTACCTGGATTCGCGCAAGATCCATAATTTTCCTGTGTTTGCCGTCGTCGTTGTCGACACCGTGGGTCATGTTATCACGGCTTGGAGCGAGAAGGACAAGGTGAGTTACTCTTGAGCACACTTCTCCTCGTCCAATGAGTCTGAATGTATGGCAAAGCGCACAAAGGCAATCATCCACAAGATCATGGATACGAATTGCCCACAGTTCGACATCGCGGAGCCCTCGCAGGCGCTGCGCTATGCAGCATTCTTGATTCAAGTTTGCACATTATGGACGAAGGAGTTTGACGTCCTGGAGCGACGTGCACAGGCTAAGCTGGACGATTGGTGGAAGCCGAACTCTCGTAGGTGGAGGTGGAAGATGGATCACCAGATCTCGGAGGAATACTTCCAGAACGCCAAGAGCGAGCTTCGGCGTCAGCTAGAGGAGGCGGTGCCGACCTTCCAGGAGATCAGACAACATGTATTGGAGCGGATAAATGAGGCGGCGGAACAGGAGGATAACTAGAGGTCATGCATGTTGACGCGCGAAGCCTGCTAATGTCATTTTTGGGCTGTATGAAGAGTATCCGGTCTGAGTGCGATAAGTGGTGAACTCATGATTGCTACTGATGGTACATATCGCCGCTTGCCAGCGCGACGTCCGCTGGACCTCCTTGCGCCGCCCGAGACTTAGGTTCTGTCGCCCATCTCATATAAGCACCAAGGACCGGCGAGGTGAAGCCGATTGCCGTGCGCTCTGCTCCAAGCCGATAGCCCTTGCGTGTTTGCACTTGTGAGCAGCGTTGGTCAAATCCCCGTTTCCGATTCTCCCTGATGAAGATCATCAAGATTCATCCTTGACTCGCTAATTATGAGAGCCAGCTCACCTGCGCGGCACTGACTTGACTGCTTTCCCGCCAAGCGCTGTCTGGAACCGCTCGCATCCAAGCGGCATATATATTCCAGACATAGGCGATTTTCAGCATGTCCAGACTGCTGAGACCAGGGAAATCCCTCTCAAGCTCCGCCGAAGTCAGGCCCTCGCCGTATCGAGCGCGCAGTTTTCTCCCGGTGTCGGCGATGGCGAAGTGGTACGGAGCGTGAGTGGCGATTTCGGGCAGTGTATCGAAGGGATAGGTGTAGTAGACGAGAGCGGATGCGAGCGCTTCGGAGAAGGGCGCGGGATGGGCGTTGTATCTCCAGACGTTCCAGGTTTTTTTCATCTCGGGGAAAGGGACGAGCTTGTAGTTGAAGGTAGTCTTGTCGCCGTAGAGCTTGCGGGTTTATGAGATACCTTGCACTAGATTATGCGGATACTACGTACTTTCCATGGATCCCGCTGGGCGTTGGGAAGAGTGTCGAAGTTTACCGGCAGTACCGGCAGCGTCCTTTTCACGTACGAGTCGTGTACACTCGCTAGGACATCCATATCCGTAGGAAGCCAGAACCAACCAGTGGGCTTGTTGCCGTCGACGAGTTGATACCATGCGTGCAAGTTCAAGTCAACTGCGACGAGTCAGTTCGCCGAACAGTGAAGCGTACAAGACTAGAACGCACGGGGATGGCAGTTATAACGCGTATTGAGGTTCAACGTCTTATGTTCCTTGCCCCAGCACCATTCGAGGAGGTCCAGCTGGCCGACGAATCGTGAGTCCCCCGTGTGCGAGCACAGAACCAGAGCGCTCACCTCCTCCGGTGGGGTGTCAGCGTCAAGAACGCGGGCATAGTACAAGATTGTCATGTTATCGGACGCGCGGGTTATGACACATTCGGGTATGTATTCGCCATCTGGGGCCTCAGGATAGTGGATCCTAGCGATGGCTTCATCGACTTGACGCTTCCGCGAAGTCGACAAAGGGGACTCGCTCCTTTTCGACCTTCCGTGACGACGTCTGACGTCTGGTAGAGCTCGCGCCCTCATACGAGGAGTGGGTGGTAAATCCCAGTCAAGCGCTGCTGGATTCGATGGTGAAGACGTTGAATGGCCGTCCCCTGTCGATGTAGGAGGACGATCCATATGTGTAGCACAGCGAGACGGGTGTCTTTGGATCGGTGACTGCACCTCGCTCGGGGCGCTGCGATGGACGTTCAGGACAAATGCATATGAACGGAAGCAGATTGAATATGCGATCAATGTGTGCGGTTGCCAAATGGGGATTGCGCGCACACAGCGCCTTCCCGTGTCATGACCCTGCGCGGAAGAGCAACCATGTACGCCCAAGGTTGACATCAGTTTGCTTGGAAGTTCACCCGCTCACATACCAGACTCAGGCGATCCAAGCAAGCAATAAATACGCACGAAACGAAAACTCCTGCTGTACAGTTACAATAGTCCACATACGCTGGCCCTCTGCTACGGCGGCCCGCCAGCCTCCACCTGTATCACGAGCTCCTCGAGACCCGATATCCTGTTCTTCAACAGAGCGTCCACGCGCTCAACGACGCGGTCCAGTCGCGCGTACGTCGTCCCGCGAGTTGAGTACGGTAGCGACGGGTCGAAAGAGGCGGCGGAGGGCGCAAGTTGGATGTGGATCGACCCAATAAACGTCGAGGCGTCTTTAGGCCAGAAGCGTGGAGAGGTGTAGCCGGCGAGGCCATCGATGGAGTGGAGCTGGGAGATGGGTTAAGACGCTGCCAAGAGGGAAAACTGGACGAAGGGACGTACCTCAGATAGCGCCTCGCTGATGGCGCTCTCGCGGTCGCCGACATCTAAGGCGAGCACCTTCCCTGTGTCTATGACCAGCGGGACTACGCTCGCCGCAATCAATATAGCAATGAACAGCGATGCGATCGGGTCGAACCCTGTCCAGCCATAGAACTGGATCAGGAGCGTCGATACAATAACACCGACCGACCCAAGGGTATCCTACGAAACATACGTTAGAATCTGAAGTACTTTGCGACAAAGCATACTCACCGCCATAACGTGCAAGAACACGCCACGCATGTTGTGACTATGACCCTCATGATCATGGTGGTGGTGATGCCCTCCGTCGCAGCTCTCGCCATGGCTATGCGTATGCGCACCGTGCTGGTGATGGTGCGTCTCGAGGTGGTCATCGTGCGTGAAGCGGTAGCTCGGCGTCATTGGCGACGGCACAGAATCATGTTGCAGCGCGGCGACGGCGGGGTTAATAGCTGAGAGCGTCGGTTTACGCCCATGGGAGTGGGAATGTTTCGACGCGCCGCCATTGAGTCCATTCCCGTTCAAGGAGGGAACAGAGAGCGACGACATGGACTGCGCGCGGAAATGCTCGGGCTTGGTCTTGATGGCGGGCCCGGTGAACTGACGCTTGAGCGTTGACGGGCGGAGCGGTTCGCTGGGCTTGACCAGTGGTTCATGATCATGTCCATGTCCATGGTCGTGTTCATGCTCGTGATCGTGCTCGTGATCGTGCGGCTCGTGGCTATGGTGCCCGTCATGTTCATGTTCGTGGTCATGGTCATGGTCATGGTCATGATCATGGGTGTGGCCCGAAGAGAACGAGTGCAGCGATCCATGCGACGAGTGACCATTTATCCCATTGAGCGACGGCGGACTCGCCAGCGACGGTGTTGGCGGATCGAAGGCGAGAACAGGTAGTCCGGGGAGGGGACGCGCGGTCTGTAGTGGAGAGTGGTCATGGTCGTGATCGTGGTCGTGGTCGCAGTGTCCAAGTTCGTGCGCATGGTCATGATCATGTTCATGCGAGTGACCATGGTCATGGCCGTGATCATGTTCATGTCCATGCGAGTGCGAGTGCGAGTGTGAATGCGAGTGCGAATGCCCATGATCGTGCCCGTGCGAGTGGCCGTGATCGTGTCCGTGTGAGTGACCCTGTAACACTCGTCAGTAAACATGAACTTGCACGTCAGCCGTCGACCGCGAGCATACATGGTGGTGATGATGATGTCCTCCCATCGCGAACATGCCAAATAGGTTCACGCCCAAACCCAGAGAGCTAACAAACAGCAGCTGGTTCGTGTTCATCTCGGGCGGCTCCAAGCTAGGTGATTATCAGCTACGAGTGTAGAGACGATTACACAAAACTCACATGCGCTGGATCGCTTCGAAGACAATGAAGATCGAGATGAGGATGAGGAAGATGCCATTTGCGAAACCGGATAATGTTTCTATACGTCCGTAGCTGAGGAGGTAATTAAGCACGAAGGGAGACGTCTACGAGAAAAGGTGAACTCACCCATAGGTAAATCTCTCATTGGGTTCCCATTTCGCCATGACGGATGCGAACAACCCAACACCGATGGCCATGCAGTCGAACGCCATATGGATCGCTAGTGGACGTTAGCCAAAACATATCGCACAGTCGAGCGCAGCTCACCATCGGATATGAGTCCCAGACTATTCGTCCACACGCCGTATAGCATCTGCACCAGCATATAGCACAGGTTGAGCAGCAAGAAGTAGAATATCTTGCGCGAATCTGGGTTCGCAAGTATGGTCTTGATGTACGACCGCAGCAGGCGCGTTGTGGGCGTCTGCGGCGGTCGCGTGAGGGAGCTGACGCTCCGAGGGAATAGCCCGTAGAAGAGGCACGATACGATGACCAGGTCTGCCCACTGCGGGTACTGATTGAAGGCCAACGGGCCGAGGAGGGCGGCCACCACATTGGTGGTGGGGAAGGAGATGAGGAAGTGTTGCGGGGTGAGTGACAGGGTCTTCAGGGAGCGGGCGGTCATGGGAGTGAGGAAAAGGATAGAGTATGCTAGCATGGGGAGGACGGCCAGCGAGAGGAGGGGAAGGACAGGGGTTGTGGGAAAGTCGAGCTAGGATATGTCAGTCTAGGGTATTCCAGCGCGAGGTGTAGTCACGTACGACTACCATCCGGAAGACGTAGAGGGGGAGCGCGAAGGCGGATGCGCCGAGAACGCTGGCTGCGATCGCGAACCTTGTACCGACGGCGGGTGCTAGCACTTGCAGGGTGTGCTCGAAGCCGGCGGACGCGGCGGCGTGCAGCACTAACGCGCCATATCCGGGGAAGACGCGATGGAAGCCGTCCCAAGTCAATAGCGAGTCGGTCAAGATGGATACTGCAACTCCTATCGTGGTGACGAGGAGCTTTGAGGACTGCGCAGATGTCAGCCAGGCGAACATGACGTGGAGAGGGGAGACGCACTGAGGAAGACGCGTCCGACCAGAGTGTGGGGAACAGACAGAACATGGCAACTCTACACTGGGATTGAGTGCGTTGGCGCTGCAAGATGGGGAAGCCGGTACCTCATGGAGGATAACCGGTAGAGCGCGGTGAACAGAGATGCTTGCTGAACGAATAGCAGAAACGAGGCCATGCCCAGAACGGACCACTACAAGCACGCGTCAGATGCTTGGAGGCTTGCGGGTGTAGACTACACACCTCTATCGAGTTCCGCTTCGCCAATTGACCGGTCCTACTCTCCCAGACAAGTACCCCAACACCGCCGCACGCCAGTACTCGCAGGAGAACCCAGAACACCCCCACGTCAAACTCAAGCAGCCATTCCTTTCCGGCGTACAGTGCAAATGCGAACAGGACATTGCTGAGAAAGAGCTGGGGAAGGTGACGGCCGGGGATTCTGCAAGGGCTCTTAGCACTGTGATCCTCGCGCTCAGAACAGGGTCACGTACGACTTGGAGAACGCCTTCGGCGATAGGCTCACGGTACTCCGCGTCCTAGCATCCGGTGTAGGCATGATAGGGAGAAGCAAGAGGGGGGATATCTGATATCCCGGCCTCGCCGTCGAGACTGTTGAGGTTCAGACGTAGATCGGCAATATCCGACGACGTGACGAGTGTTGATTTGACTGCAGAAGATATGGATTCCCCGCATTTCTCAGGGTGCCAAACATACAGCCTGCTAGGGAGTTTTGGGACGCTAAACGCTGTTCACTCAGCATGCCAGATATCTATCGGAATACGTGTATCGACTTCGCGCCTCCAAATTGCTGTGTGTTCGAACGAAAGGCGGCCCGCGTTGGGTACAAAAATTATTATTACTATTTCCACTCATTAACTCGTAGAGCATATGAGGTGGCACGAAGTATAATAGACGATTCTTGAGGGTTGTCTTGAGACATTCACGCGCCAGGACTTCGGGGCAGACTCAGAGGACTCAGTCCTCCAGGACGATGTGACCTTCTTCAAGAAGGAGACGGCGGATATGTGGCGTGTCGGGCTTGATATCGCCGTTCTGCGGCGCGTATGTGCACGGCTTGCGCGCACGATCGTGGTCCAGCCAAACCGCGGTGTAGTAAAGACCGTCTTTCTGTAGTGATTATTAGTAGAGTGCTCGTGCCACAAAGGTAAGGCACGCACGAAACGGCCAGGAGCCACCTTCGGGGCCTTTGACGTGGTTCTCGCGAGGTGCCACAAACTATCAGCGTCGCGGACCCAGACTTGCTGACCCGGCTGTGGCAAAATATGTGAGAGCGAGAATGTGAATGTGGCAAAGCACGCACCTTAAACTCGTACCCGTAGACATCGTCCAAGGATAACGCCTGGTAGTGGTCATTGTCGTTCGGATCGGCAGCGTATACCCATTCATCGACATTCTCCGATGATGCTGGGCGAGGGCGTGACAATGAGCTGTCGCGCGACGAGGACGACGAGTCGTCAGGAGCAGCATAGATGCGGTTAACAACGCGCGCTACACGAGCCATGGGAGTTGAGATGAGCAGGATGTGGGATGGGTTGAAGATATAGGTGGGGTCCTGTGGCAGACTCTGGTCGCAGGTATGGGCGAAAGAGAGGGTTGGAGGGCGCGCTCAAACGCGCAGGCCTTTATATGCGGAAGACAATAACGCGCGTACATGGCCCGGATCACGCGACTTGATTCAGACGGGTCTGCGCTTCGCGTCTTCCATGATTGCGGGTGGCCGCATTCGACTCGAAAGGTGAACAATGGCAAACGTTACCATTATTTGTGAAAGTTCCGCGGGAGCAGCCGAGGCGGGGGACCGAGCATCACAGCATCACAAGGCAGTGCGGGCTCCATGTCTAAGCAGAGCATGTGGTGTGAAAGACCAACGTATATGAGCATGGAAGACGACAAAGGGACATGGACCACGATGGTAGAGGACAAAAAGACGGTCTCCATTTCGGCCGGTGCGGTGCCGGACGGGGCATGCCGAAGTGCGCCACAAAGTCCAACAAGGAAGGTGTGACTCACTGGCGGGCACGTTCCTTCGAACAGTCACGTAAATCTAAGATGTAACTTCATTCTGCTCTGTACCTACACCCCAACCATGCCGACGAATGTCAGCTACAAGCTCCCTGACTTACAGTCTCTGTGCGAGCCCTTTGAGCTGCGCACGAATCGAGCCTGCCGCCCCGTTATGGAGGCATCCGAGGCGTGGCTCACTGGTCTTCCGGATGCTTTGACGAAGCGCGAACGCGATGATCTGCGGCGTATGAAAATAGGTCTCCTGGCGGCCCTCTGCTTTCCGACATGCGACCAGCCCCAGCTGCGGTTCGTCACTGACTTTTGGACCCTCCTTGTTGTGGCGAACCGACGCGCACGACCCGGCCAAAACCCGACTTTCGATGCTCTTTTCCTGCAGTGAGCACAATAATGATTTGGATGATGGTAGATGCTAAAATCATCTAGTCTTGCTAACAGGACTGAGCGACTAGAGAGTGCTGCACCTGCGGGCTTCAGGACGCGCTTTCGCCATCACCTGAGTGAACATCAGACAGCTGAGAAGCACGCTGTCGCCAATGAAGCACCAGATAGCGATGTGGACGCGTACATTGCTTTTGCGAGGCACTTCACTGGCTTGAACATGATCTTCGACCTGATAGCGGCTGTCGAAGCGCTCGACCTGCCGCAGGCCGGCGAGGAGCGAGAGCTTCTGGACCAATTGACGACGCACGCAGTCGACCTCATATCCTGGTCATGGGTCAGCCTCTTCATTTTCCAGTCCTCGTAGGCATTCATTGACGAAGCCACAGGATATCGTCGCCTATAATGTCGATCAGTCCGCCGACCGCAAACACAATGTAGTGCAAGTCATCCTGAACGCGCGGCGTGGGCTCGCCATTCAGGGTGCAGTGACTGCAGCCTTCGCGCACGCCGAGAAGGCGCAACGTGCATTCCTAGAGTGTGAGCGCACTGTGTGCGAACGACTTGACCCTCCGCCTCCTCCTCCGTCACCTGCGGAGCCGACCTGGGGGAAGACGCTCGCATTGTTACTCGGCTTCGACAGCGAGCCGTTTGCACCTGCCGAACCGCAATGTACGCTGCCAGCGCAGCAGCGAGCGGATGCGTTGCGATACGTGCAAGGGCTGAGGGATTGTATAGCGGGGATGCTTCATTGGGCATATGAGACGGAGATGTTCTTCGGGAGGAAGCAGGGGGTGAGGAGCTACATTCGGACCTTTGGCTGGGTGTTTCTGCTCGACAAGGGGGCGGAGGACGAGGACGAAGGTGGTAGCACGGCGTAGCACACTGTACCAGTCTTTAGCGATTCGACGCTGAGCACCTTGAACACTGGAGTCTGAGTTTTGACTTGAGAGCTGGTCGAACGTTTGGCGGCGCCGGCAAGGTCTTCGACGTCGACTCCACCGTTGATGGCGAGAGCGCCCCGTTTGATGGGCAGCTCCTTGCCCGCAGCGATCCGTCGTGATGAGGCGCGTCGCGACGTGTCACGGTGACCGTGGCGTGCCACGTGACCAATAAACATATGTATAGCCCCGTTTCCTCGGCGATAAACAAGGCTTCTCGCTCTGGTCACCGTCACTTGGCTTTCGAATGTTCGCACGTCTGGGCTGAAGCACCACGGCGACTGTCTCTTTGCTTCTATCTTCACTCTCGCCTTCTTCCACTTTAATTCGCCTGGATATCATTCGCCAGATTATTCGGCCGGCTCGGTTCACACATAGCAAGCACGTTCCCGGTTTATATTGTGCAAGTTGACTGCGACGACGACCACGACCGGTATGGCGGATACTACCACGACCTCCCAACCTGGTACGCCGGGCACGACCACGCCTCAGTCGCGTAGGAAATACTCTATCGATTTGACGCTGGAGCTTGAGCGTCAGTTGGACCTAGAGCATGCGGACGCAGACGAGGCGGAGCAGACGACGCCTGTCGTCGCTGCGCCGCAGAAGTCCTCCCTCGACCCGCAAGTGCTCGCCCACATTATTGGGCAGCTCCGCGAGTCGATTGCGGCACAGGCGCGAGAGCTAGAGACGACGAAGGAGATGCTCGCGACGTCCTCGAGTACGGAAGCGGAACTGCGCGATGCGCTGCAGTTCATGACGGACAAGGCGACGGCGCTGGAGGAGGAGCTCGAGGAATTGCGCAAGAAGTCGAAGGACGACGAGGAGGCGATCTCGATGCTGCGAACGAAGGTGGAGGAGAGTCGGTGAGTCCTCGGCGAGTACCTCGGTCGCATGGTCACTAACGCATACGCTGCAGTCGTGGCCTTATGCGCTTGCAGACGGAGAGCCGCCGTCAGTCTATGCACCCTCCAGCGGCCCTGGATACCGCACGCGCCAATGCGTCGAAGCGCCAGTCATTCACCCCGCTCACTGGTACCTTGACGGGCTCGCACCGCCGTAGCCCTAGCATGGGGGACTTCCCAAGCCCCACCCCCACCGCCGGCTTCGATCCATCCCGTCGCATGTCTGGCATGAGCCTGTTTGGACGGCGGTCGCCCTCGCACCTGCCAGAGCAGGACCCCTTGCTGGCGGAGATGGAGAGCATGCGACGCGAGATGGATGGCCTTCGCAAGCAGGTGGCGGCCCTCAACGACGAGCTGGATACGGCGCGTGGCGAGGTCTCGGAGGCCAACGAGGCACGCGAGGCGTCTGAGAACTGTGCGGCGGCACTACGTGAGTTCATCGCCGAACACAACATTGGCGCCGGCCCCCCACCTCCGCCCAAGGAGGTGCATACTCGAAGCGAGAGCACGTCTTCGAGCTGGGGTGCCTTTGGCAAGCTTTGGCGTACGGAGGCGGCGCCCGCACCTGCGGCCGCGTCGCCTAGCTCGCCTGCCATCGTCACGCGCAAGCTGGGTGGGCTGTTCAGCGCGAGGTCTAGCGTGGTTTCGACCTCGACGACCTCGAGCGCGATGTCGCCACAGCTGCAAGCGAATGCTGCGCTGCCTCCCATGACGCAGCGGGATTCGGTGTACAGCATGTCGGATGCGTCAAGCGTGGCGGAACCCATCAGCCCCACCAGCGAGACGCCCATTGCGCCTGTTGCAGTGCGCGATGGCTTCGCGGCGGAGGGTGCAGACTCGCACATCCAGGAGATCACTCTCGATATGGGGAAGGCCGCGCCTACGGCGGCGACGGGTGCGGTGGTTGCGTGAAGCAGATCAAGCGTGCAAGAGCACTATAGACGGTACAATGTATAACGGACCAGCGACGATTCCCGGTTTGCATATACGCTATTAGCCTTATACCTTAATACGCTCCCTTGGATATATCTATTGCGAGTTTCAATCGTACAGGTTTCTTTGTGTGCTTCATTCTGCGCGAGACCTGTCCTTGTCGCGTCCTTGTTTTCTGCTTCCGCGCCAGGCCCGGAAGCATCTGGGCTGTGACGTGACAGCTGCGCATGACGTGTGACGGTGGGCGATGATGCCAGGCCCTGCAAACGGACGGTGAGGGAACCTTGTTTTTCGTTGTAATTGACGGTGGAGGACGAGAATGTCGTTGTTGACGCCCTCCTACTCATCGTCGATGTCCTCGAGCTCGCTGGCCGACCCCTCGGATCCCATCGTCGAGCCCCAGCCCAAGTTTCCCCACACCCGCGCACAGCTCGCCGCGATCGCTCGTCAGCAACGGACCAACGAGACCGACAGCGACGCCGAAGGGGATGACTTTAGCGGACGCGGCGTACCCTCGCATCTCGTCAACAAGGTCGTCAACCTTCTCGTTGACGAGCGTGAGGATGATTTGAAGGCGCTGCTCAAGCAAACCTATGGGACGGACGACGAGACGGTGAGTAACACTCGGCCGTATTGTCCCCGCAAGCGCTGACTCCTACTAGGCCGAGCAGAATGTCCTGGATCTCATGCACAAGCATAGGGACGACGTCGCTGGCGTTCCCTTTCTTTTCCTCACCCCGACACGCCGCCCGATATCCCGTCCTTCCTCGCGGGCGTCTACGCATTCGGCGCGCATCTACAACCGTCCAGCAACGCCAAATTCTGCACCGGGCTCTCCCCTTGCGACCATCTTTCGCCGCCCTCATACGCCGCTCGCGTCCCCCCTTGCCAATCCGCGTGAGCCGACGTCGTACATGACTGCGAAGGCACCCTTCAGCGAGTACTCGCCCAACTCGTCGCCCGTGCTGGCTCACGCGACGGCGGCTCAGGCGCAGTACACCGCGAGTCTGCCCGCGTCGCCGCTGTCGTCCCCACGATTGCTCAACGCGAAGGCGAACGAGTTCAAGCCGATCCCTCGACCGCTGTCCGCGGCTTCATCCAATCCCAGCATCTTCCGCGCCGAGTCGCCCGACCTGTGGTCGCACAACTCCCCCAGGGCGACCTCCAACCTCGCGATTGCCGCTCCGTTGCTGCCGGATCAGTCCTTGTTGGCGACGCCGCCCCTGCACAGCTCGTCCTCCCTCCGTTCCTCTTATCTGTCACATGAGCTGGAGGAGGGGGAGGATCCGTTCGATCCGTTCGACAACAAGGATGCCTCGCCATTCACCTTCCACTCCATCGCGAACTCGATCAACGAGTTTGAGGCACAATGGCAGCAACCCAGCGAATCCAGCTTACTGTACAACGGTAGCACGTACGCCCCCCAGCAGGATCCCCAGGGACAGGTGCCTACCGATGAAAGCCAGGAGGCCGAACTCGACGCTGTCCTCACCGACGGCATGACGCCGTTCGACGTCCTTAGCTCCGTTTTTGGCACTACTCTTGCACCGTCGGAGCTAGAGGATGCGCTTGCCAACAATGGATACGACTTCGAGCGCGCAATGAGTTGGCTCATTGAGAAGGTTATTCCTACGACGGCCGCTGTTCCGCAGGGTCCTCGTATGCCTCCCAGACAGCCGATGGGAGGAGGGGTCACCGTCGTGCCAAGGGACGGATCCATCCGTGGAGGTCGAGGGTTTCAGAGCCCGCCGGGCCGCGCGGCTCCGCGCTACCTGAATGGTCGACCCGTGCAGACCGGGAATCGCGTCTGCAGATACTTCGTCGCTGGTGAATGTCTGCGCGCCGACTGTCGATTCAGGTGAGTGATGGTGTGGTTCGATGATATGTCCGTTGACGGCTTTGGTAGTCATGACCTCGAACGTGCGCTTTGCCGATTCTGGCTGCGCGGTACCTGCGCCAAGAATGAGCAATGCGAATTCCTTCATCACCTTCCGAAGGACGTCGACCTTCAGCAACTCAGCACGGCGCTGGCGCGTGCCAATGTCCCGCCGGGTACGGGACCTTTGGCCTCTCACCCGGCTGCGCAGCAGCTTCACCAGCACCAGCCTCCGCCCGACGATTTCCCAGCACTCGGCGCTGAGAATGGACAAAATGGTCGCCGCGCACCTTACGCGCCTTACGACCCCAGTCGCACGCGCTTCGCTGCCGCCGTCAAGAAGCCTGCAGCTGAGGGGACCAACGGGAACCTCGCAGCACGTCGTGAAGTTATGGGCCTCTCGGCCATTGAAAACCTTCACCATCGATCTGCCATCGTAGCGCCGCGTCCGTCTCCGCGCCTCAAGCTGCGCCCGCCTGCGCTCCTCCCGACTCTCCCAACGGGCGAGTCCCTTAACAACCTGTACATGTCGTACAGGAACCGCGCCCTGCAGCTCGGCGCAGCTCGTAATGCATGTCTCTCGCGTGCAGCGGATGCCTGGAGACGTGGTGACGGTGCCGCCGCGAAGCGCTTCAGTCGCGAAGGGCACGACCTGAATGCGAAGATGGCGAAGGAGATGGCGTCGGCGGCGTCCAGCCTAGTGAAGGAACGGGCGCGGATGACGGAGGGTGCGGTGCGGGCAAGAGAGCAGTCGTGGAGCGACGACCCGCTTGATAGGACTTGGCGTGGACGGACGTGTGGTGGGGGGTTGGGTGTAGTTCTGGGTGTGGCGAGCGATCGGGATGTGGGTGAGAAGCTGTCTGGCGAGGAGAAGATGGAGGCGGTCCTGGACTTGCACGGCCTGCACTCGAACGAGGCGACGGAAGTCTTAGAGCAGTTCTTGCTTGGGGTGAGTGTTTAACTGACGAATTCTGCGCGCCGATGCTGATCATGCTACAGTTGGAGAACGAGCATTTCTTGGGTATCGGTGAGCTGCTTGTGGCACCAGCGCGTTGTAGGCTGCGATTGACTGTCCTTTCTAGCGTACCTCGTCGTTGGAGAGGAGAAGCATACCGGCAAGCAGGACCCTGCACGCGGGGCGTCGCGTTCGCGCTTGGCGACTGGCGTGCGGGAGTGGCTGCACCGGTGGGGATACCCGTGGAGCGAGCGTGAGGGGATCATATATGTCGATCCGCTCACGCACCACCAGGAGTGAGGGGGCAGATTTGTACGAGGGTCCTCGAAGACAATAGACTGGTAGAAGAATTTGAACACAGAGAAGGTTGTAAGAATAAATATACGAATATGGACCATACTCACGAAAATGTATACAGCGAGTTTCGGTGTAGCTGAGCTTTCCTCTGACAGGTATGCGGTAACCCTATGTCGGGACAGGCGGGCTGTTTACCTCAAAGGACATGCAGTTGTACACGCGTTCGGTGCCGACTCTGAGTAATTGACTCGTCCCGGTGACCACTGCGTACCGGTTATAAACGCCTTGCCTTCGTCCTCATTGGCAACTCGTGGCGCCCCTCTTTACCCACCTGCATTGTCGTCGCATCATGGGACAGTACTGGTTGCTCCTGGATCTGGACGAGCGGAAGATGATGGGGATAGGCAAGTTAGGAGAGTCATTCTTCGGCATGGCGAATGATATTTTTCACGCCTTGTTCCGCGTCCAATTCGTGCCTTTTCACCTCTCGTTCGCGACTGCTTCCACCGCGTCCAATGGAGGATCAAAGAGGTAGGCTTGTCGCACCATCTGCCGCCATGTTTAGCGACTGACCTGTGCCCAGTGGATCGTTCACGCGTCTGCCGGTCGAGCTCATCGACAAAGTCTTTGCTTCACTAGAGGACGTCGTCGACATCGTTTGCCTCGCCTTCACTTGTAGCAAGTGCTACGCGGTGGGCGAAGGCTATATACTGCCTTTTGCCAGAGCTTGGGTTGAGGCGTCTGCGGGCCATCGACTCATCGTCGTCGGCGACTACTGTCGTCCCAGTGATCTGCCGCCCGGCATTGAGCTCACTCCGGGCGAAAATGCGCTGCTCTCGCATGAGCCTTCCGCCGCCGACGACGATGACGCTGTAAACAACAGCCATGCGCGGTCTAGCCCCCCCCAGTCTTTGTATGAATTCGCAAGCCGGAGAAACGGATTTCATCGCTTCTACGAGGGGACGGAGGCCTCTAATCCAGAAGGCTATATTTCGATGGCTATCTTTCAGCGACTTCAAGACGCACTTTATTACGACCGGTTCCACGCGGAATACATGACGATTTGCAAGGTATTGCGTCAACTTTTTCCCAACCGGCCCCGTGTACCCCAAGACGATACTGGGCTGGTGCTCAGGAATCTCTCCCGCCACGCGTATGTCACCGGCTCCGCCGTTCTCCGCTTCAACGAGGAGCACGAGAGCGCGCCTGGGTCATATCCTCCAGGACGGGTTCGCCTCGCGGACGCTGCGATGGCCCGTATCTGCTGGTCCTCAGATAGAAGCACTGCGATGCCATACGACGGGCCTCTACATCGCGGTGTGTGGGCCGGGGACCGCTTCGACATTGTCGATGAAGGAACTTTCGAAGTGGAGCGGAAGGGGTCTTCGTGGACAGATGTGTCCGACGAAGTCTTGAAGGAGGTCGAAGCCATCTGGATGGCGGAAGGCGTTATAGTCCGCAAATCTGCGTGAAGGAGGTTTATGCACTTGTAGACATCCATGTCGCTTACATGTCACCCTCAGCCGAGAAATCACATCGCTGTACGCTGAGGACCCTCTTCAATGAATCACATCAGACGGGCGATTTGTCTGTAGAATACAATGCTGTGTCCATGAAGCTCCAGTAGCCTGCACGGCGTACGATATAAGGATGCGATAGGAGACGAACCGCGATCATGACTGTTCCGGGCGGTTCGTGTCCTCCCGACGTTTGAGCATTTCCTCGGCAACCCAGATCGCCTCGACTTCGGCGATGACCTCCGCAGAAACGTCAGTCCACGGCTGATCGCTGTCCTTGCACTCCGCCATAAAGATGCTCTGGGGCACGATGTCGAAGCGGTTTCCGGCCCAAACCCCACGATGGACTTGCAGTGGGCCCTCGTAGTTGAGGCTTGTGCTTCCGTCTGAGGCCCAGCACACCCGTGGCATGATGGCATCCGCGAGGCATGGCACCATGCCTTCGCTACCGTTACGCCCAGGAATCACCGTCTGGCTAAACTCCTTCATCGCCTCGCCGCGAACATACTGTCGTTTGGAGAGATTGCGAAGGACAAGGGTCGGGTCGACTTCGGATGGCCTCGTCGGTATCAACTTGTGCATGACGCCAGTAAGACCAGGAATGTAGTAAACATGCCACTTCCAGCGAGATTCGCCGAACAGGACAGACTCCAGGTCGCGTCGCTCGATAGAGCCTTCCGAAGGGATGTTGGACAGAGTGGCGCAGTATTCCTCCCCGTCGTCTTCGTCTTCCACCGTTCCATCGAGTTCCTCCTTTTCTTCCTCGGTGAGCTGCAGACCAGGAGGAATGTCATCTGGCTCGGTGTAATCGCCGACGCAGATTAGACGGTGCTCGGCGGACGGAGCGAAGCGTTTGAATATAGCCCTGCGCAAGTAGGGCATCCCAGCTTGGGAGGCTTGACGACAGGTCATGGCAAAGCAAATCATAGTCATAATGTCGAACTCGAGCCAGAAGAAAATAAGGCTAATGAGTTCGGCGGGGAGACACATAAGGGAGCTGACGAATATTCAGCTCAGGCATCGGCGATAGTCAGTGAGCAGCATACCTCTGTCGATCGACATCGAACGTGAGTCCGTGCTCCGGTCTTCCTTCAGATGCAGAGTGATTGAAGCGGGGATAGGAACTCGGCAAAGCATCTTGTGCAATTCTTCGCCCATTCCAAAGTAGCTCTCCCCCAGCTTTCCAAGGTACATGCTGGTGCGCGCATCCATATCGCGCAAGCACCAGTATTGGCCCATGTTTGCGGGTAGATGGTGGTAAGAAGCAAACAACGACCACGATCATTCGCCACTGAAACGCGCATTGTCACGATCACGTGATAATGTGACCCAATGTTTAATGCGGTTGGTTTGTCGGTTTCATCTTCCTTTCTCAACCACCATCAACCATCGTCGCAAAACCTCACTATGGGTCAAGACTGGCTCATCTTGGACATCGATGCTCGTACAAAGTATAGAATGGGCAAGCTGGGTGAATCGTTCTTCGATGTTGGGCGCGATGTTTTCCGAATGCTCTGGGTTCGACCGCTGCCGCCACAATTCAATCTGAGGATCGAGGGGGTCAATAAGAACGACGCCAATCAAAACAAGAGGTGTGGATCTGCTCTTCGCTCAAAGTGATCATGACTGAGCCCTCGTCAGATCTATTCTATCCCTCCCCGTGGAACTTTTGGATATGCTCTTCTCTCTGCTCGAAGGGGATTGGAGTGATATCCTCTGCTTTGCCGCCACATGCCTGACCCTCTGGCCAATTGCAGCTACGCATCTTCGCAGGCGTTTTCAGCAAGTGCAAGCTAGGCGTACATCATACAGCCACCGTTTGGTATGTCTAGGCGACTACACTCATGCGGACGACCTTCCACCCGGTCTCCACCTTTCTAAGGAGGAGAGGCGCGAATCCTTTGGAGGTGATCTGTATGTCTCCGCATTCGACCACTACGCCTCGCGCGGCACGATCTTTGGGACCGATGACGGCGTTTTTTCGTCGATGATCGGGGCTCTCTACCGACGTTTCGACTACTGGGATAGAGAGGCACAGGCCATAGAGAGCGAGCTGCGCCGGTGTCTGCCTAAGGAGGCGCGCTTCCCGCAAAGTGACGTCGGACTCGTTCTTCGAAACCTCTCCCAGCACGCGTTCGTGCGTGGCTCAGCACTTGCAGCCTTCAACAACGAGATGCCAGAGCACTACGAGATCAAGGGTCGTACCCAGCTACCCTGTTTGGGGAATGCCGCGCTCGCTCGAATCTGCTGGTCTTCCTACCCCTCCACCGGCACGCCGTACGATGGGCCTCTGCATCGCGGGGTCTGGGCGGGCGACCGGTTCGATGTCGTGGATGAAGAGGCTTTCGAGCGGGAGCGAGAGGCTGAATCCGGGAAGCCATGGGAGGATGCGACAGACGAAGTTCTGGCAGAGCTCAAGGCGATGTGGATCGCTGAGGGTTTGCTTGTTCCTCTACAGGACGACTGAAGACTGCTGTAGTACCGGCCGTTCTTTCGGGGGATAGCACTGCAATGTATGGAGCAAAGCATAACACATGCGTGAGCGAACCATTGACTCCATATAGGACATACAACGCCTTCAAGACTCGGTATCATGCAGGACCAGTCGTGTTCTGCGATGCAATCAATACAGTGTATGTGATACATATGCTATAGATGAACAAGGCTACATGGGTCGACTCCGCTTCACGCGTCCGCCTGAATCAAGACCAACTCCTCCCTGAAGCAGTCCTTCGCCTCCTTCCCGTCCTCCCCCAAACAACAATCCCTCTCGCACGAGAACACCATACATGTCCCCCAGTCCATCCCCCGCGCGTTGGGGTCCTTGCCTCCCTTGAGCGTCTGTTCAATCTCCTTCCGCCGCGCCTCGGCGTCCTTCGCGTCCTTCGCGCTCTCCTTCTGCCCTTCTCTCAGGATGTTGATGAGGTTCGGCATCAACTGGCACTCGAAGACGCGCGGGCCGCCGCAGTGAGCGCACGCGGGCACGCTTGAGGGCTCGAAGGACCGCTTCACAGGGGGCGTGACCTTGAAGTCGGCCTTGGTGACGGTGATGGAGGTCTCTTTTGGTTTGGGGAAGAGCTGGTCGTAGACGGCGTCCGAGGCGAATGGGAGTGGTGTACCGCCTAGCTCGTACCTGCAACGGAGTGAGCATGGGCTGACAGAATGATGGGTGCATGACGCACCGGATGCACTGCTCGCCCTCGAAGCCCACGCGCCGCACGAAGCGCTCAAAGACGGGGTCCACGTCGAGCGAGTTCTCGTACTTCTCCAAGCCCTTGAACTCGCCCAGGTCGCCGCCCACCGCGTCCGGGTCTGGCAGCCGCGGCTTGACCTTGGGCTCTGGCGGGACGTATTCGGCGGCGGTGGAAAGGTATAGGGGAGGGTAGGCGGGTGCCTTTTGCCAAAGCGAGTCTTCGAGACTGGAGGAGGCGAGTGCAACAACGAGTGAGTGCTCCGATTCGGTGTCAGACTCAGCGTCGGACGCGTCGTCGTCGTCGTCGTTCTCCTCCTTCGCTACTGGCGCGCCAAAGATCTGCGCTCCGAGTCCGAAAGGATTCGGTGCAGCAGTGTTGCCGCCCATCTGCACAAATGAGCGAGAATCAAGTGGTGATCGCGCAAGCCACTCACTGCAAAGGGATTGGCTGCAGGTGCGGCGGGCTTCGCAGCTACCTTCGCCTTTTTCTTCTCCGCCTTCAGCGCGAGCTTTTCGGCGTAGGGCGCATTGTATCTCAAGCCGCGGTACGCGCGCACGCTGCCCTCCTTCGCCTGGCAGCCCGCCCGCGCACATGCCCAGACGTAGAGGGCGCGATCCATCGGGCTGTCCTCAAGCGGGCACCAGAGCTGGACGATGAGCTCGACGGGGCGATGGCAGATCTTGCACTCTGAAGCGGCGAGCGGGGGCTCGGTCGATGGGAGAAATGCCTTTGAAGACGCATAAATAACTGTGTATTGGGTACGATAGTATGTACGCTGCGTACAGGGCGGCCGCCAATGCGCGAGACGGCAGCGTCGGCTATGTCTGCCGACGAATCTATGGGACCATCGGGGACGCCGAGGAGGACGGACGTCTCGACTTCGGGGGAAAGTTCGTCATCCGAATCTGACCAGTCATCTTCTGTTCGTGCGGGCATCGTAGATCTGGGGGATCGTGGTTAGTACAAGGTACCCAAGGGCTTTCGCGAGAAGGAGATCAGGATTGCATGAATGGTAAATAAAAGGTGTGTCGTCAAAGGACGCCGGGGACAAGGAACTTGACACCGACGAGTTCGGACTCGTCATCTGATGATCATCACATCGAGCCTATAAGATGCTGAACGAACCTAACAGAGATGTGCGGCCTTTCCCCCGAACGCTGAAGGTGGTGGTGGTGGACAGAAACAACTTGGGAAAAATGCGCTTGTCGACTTTTGATCGCGATCAGGGTATCGGGCACGCACGTGCTGAGATTGATCCCGATTCACCTCCGCTACGCCTCGTTTCCCTCCGCCATCATTGAAGTTCGCAATGGCCGACGAGCCCTCGTCTGGTGCCACTAGGACCAAGAGGAAGGGCGCTGCGCTATCTTGTGCGGAGTGCAGAAGGTGCGCCACCGTGAAACAGCGCTGTCAACGATGCTGACAGAGGTCCCGCGCCACAGGCTCAAGTTGAAGTATGTATCCGGTTTATGCATGCAATCACCTTGCTGAACCTCCACAGATGTAGCCGCATATTTCCCTGCACGTATGTGAAGTGTATGACTCCCCTGACCATTTTTGAACTTCTGCAGGAATTGCGTGAAGAAGGGATGTGGTGCCATCTGCCCAAACGGTGCGTCCCCCTTTTGGTTCCGTTCCCCGCTTTTTCATCCCATCATCATCTAGATTCTTTGACCACCGGTAAAGGGAACCGGTTTGTTCTCGCCAACACCGAAGACTTGCACGAGAAGATACAACAACTTGCCCTCCGCGTTCGGACGCTCGAAGACGCTCTGGCTGAATCGCATTCCCTCAACGATCCCCATAATCCTCATCCTCTCCTCGCCAATGAGCTCCTTCAAATCAAGCGTCCCCTCGAGCGCGAGCGGAAGTCCGAGCCCAATCCTGTACCTGTGGACGAGGATACGAAAGTCACAACAGCCGCGATGGGCTCCCTGTTTGTGCCCCTTCCCCCTCTATTGTGCTCATTCTCACATGACGTAGGGCAATAACCGAGTCAGGACGCTCGACCTTCTTTGGCACGACTGCGAACTCTTGGGTTCGTCCTTCCTCGCCACTCGAGCCCTCTCTCATCGTGATCCCCGCAGTATCTCCTGCAAGATGACAACTCTGACGAGGAGAGACCAGCCATCGTAGCTACTGATAACTACTTCGACCCGAGCATCCCACCCGAGGTCGCGTGGCTCCAGCACGCCTTCCCCTTTGCTGGGCGTGCGCCTGAAGAAGCCAAGCAGCACATACTCGCCGCTCTTCCCTCTGTTGACGAGGCCCATCGCCTCTGCGACATATACTACCGACATGCGGCTTGGATGTACACTCCCATTGGCGAGACCGACTTCTACGACGCCATCTTCCGACCTGCATACTATCCGCCGCCGGTTTCCCCCTACGACGCTTCGCCGCCGCCCGAGCCGTCCGCGCACGAGGTCGCCGTGCTATGTATGGCACTCGCCATGGGTACGCTCCTCGACCTCGACCAACAGCCGTTCAATTCTGCTGCAAATAAGTGGTACCAGCTGGGCCGTGCAGCCCTCTCCATTGACTCTGTTCTGGATGAGCCGACGATCGCCGCTACGCAGGCACTCGTGAGTACCGTGGTGCCGTCCGTGTCAACTACGCTCACAGGAAGGGCAGCTCATCATGTGCCATTACATGTTCTTGGCTAATAAGGAGGGCCGTTGGGTGGTCATGGGTATTGTCGTCAAGTTGACGCAGAGCGTGGGTCGTTTAGCAGCCTTCGGCGAATGTCGCTAATTTTTGCCGCCTTCTAGTTGGGCTTGCGTACGTAGCCTCGCTTGTGATTTCATGCACCATCAGCTTATCGCCTACAGACCGCGACAGCGGACGCTGGAACTTGGACCCGAACGAGGCACAGAAGCGGCGCACGCTGCTGTGGGAAGTGTTCGTGTACGACGCATGGCAGGTCTGCACTCGCCCTCCCCTTTGCTGTGGGAATTTTTCTCATAGTACCACAGAGCCTCACGTTTGGTCGCCCGCCGTCGTTTGGGATGACGCATATAGACACGAAATTCCCGCTGGACACCGTCAAGAATGAACGTGGTGAAGTTGAGATGAACTGTGCGTGATATCGGCCGGACACAAATAAACAATTGGTGCTTATGATTAATCGCAGTCAGCGCGTGGAAACATCGCTTCTGCGCCGAGTGCCTCAGCGTCATTCAAGACCAGGCATTCGGAGCGCATACGCCAAGCTACCGCACTATCCAAGAACTGGACCGCAAGGTATGGGGTTTTGCAGCGGTATGACTATCCCTGACGCTAGAAACCTGTAGGTCCGAACCTTCTATGTCCCTCCGAGTCTACTCGTGCCCGGCTTCGGTGGCGCGCAGCTTAACGCAGGCGCGCCGCAGCCTTCTATGCAACTCACGATGCAGCGATACATCGCCTTCGCCATCCGCGAGATCAGTAAGCTTCGGATATTTCCTTGCAATTCATCGCTTCTCATTTACCTGCCTCAGCCATATTTTACCTTCACCGCGGCTTTTTCGCCACCGCTCTCGAAGAGAACCCCGTCGATCCGATGGCGAGCAAATATGCCGCCAGCGTGCTCGCGGCATACAATAGCGCGCAGTCGTTCGTCGGCCTTGTCACCAGTCTGCACAAACAACATCCCCGGCTGACGGAGCGCATGTTCTTTCTATTCTCCCATGTGTTCTCGTGCGCGGTGAGCGAGATCTACTTCGCAGGAGAGTGGCACAGACTGACATTCTACAGATCGTCCTCGGCTCTATCGCGATGAAGGGACCTCGCATTCGGATCGCGCGGTCCGCACAGGCTAACCTCAATGCGGCCTATTCGCTGTTCATAGCGGTTCAGCACATCCCAAGGAGTGACAAAGTCTTGGTACGTATATACTTGATTGATCCCTCGATATGTCTTATTATTATTCCTCCAGCCGATTCTACAAAAGCTCAAAGACCGCGCTCACGCAGCTATGGGCGACGCAGAGGCCTCGTATTCTCCTTCGATTCACGGCCCCTATCAACCCAGTCACCAATCATCTCTCTCGCATAGCAGCGCATTTGCTCAATCGCCGGAGTCTTCTACTTCTACGGTCAAGACAGAAGAGGACGTTGACGAACAGATATCGGCTTTGGGCGGACGTTCACGGCTTGTGGCACGCAAGACGTCCTCGAATCCGTCGTCGCCGTCAAATACGCACACAGGGTCGGCGTCGCCGCAGTCGGCGCACGGTACGGCCCCTTCGATGTACAGTGCGTCTCCCGTGCAGCACACGAAGCCGATGCAGCACACCAGCCCGAATCCGCACACAAGTCCAATGCACCACAGCTCCGCCATGCCGCATACGAGTCCGATGCATACGACCTCGCCATTGCAGGGCACGGCCCCCCTTCGTTCCTTCCCCGCCTCGCAGCAGAGTTGGCCGCCCTATGGCTCGCAGATGCGCCAGCAGTCCGACTCATACCCGCGGCACGCCGATCCCTACGGTCAACAACCCCAGCCTGACCCGTATTGCCAGTCGTCGCAGGCGTCCGGGATCGATTACCTTCCGCAGGGCTTCACCCCGCCCGCCGATCTTCCTCCGCAGACGCCGAATGACTTCACCTCGCCCACGACGCGCTCATCGCAGGCCTTCGGCAATGGGTATGGCAGTGGAGGCGCAGGGCAGTATAGCGCTGCGCCAGCCCAGTTCGATGGCATGCAGGGCCAGTATGGCAGCCCGGACGCGCTGTATAGCGCCGAGCCCTACGGCGGCGTGGGGTCGAACGCGTATGGCGGGCGCTTCATGACGCTGGACGCGATGCCGCAGTACTACGGCTACCACTCGATGGCGGTCGACGGCGCGCTGGGGGCCGAGTTCAGCGTGCCGGCGGGCCCGGAGCTGGACAACTCGTGGCAGAGTTTGATGAGCCAGTATCAGGGGAAGTGATGCGAGCGGCGATGTCGTTAAGGTTATGGTCGGTGGCGGAGATCGCTTTTGTGGCTGACGGAGATTTGGGAGGTTAAGGCCGTGTATTTATTCTCGTGATGCGTCGCGTACTGTACGTACATACCCTGTGGTTCGCGCTTGTCGAGGTTTGGAACTTGGCTGGCGCGCTGCTTGTCGGTCAGGAGCATCACTTCAGACCCTTTATATCCTTTATGTTATCTGTTCTCGGGATCGGTCGCTTTGGAATCGTCGAGTTGAATGTACAAGTATGCAATTATATGAAGTGTTGTCTTTCTCTGCCCTCTCGCTGGTGTCATGCATACGATTGTGTAGAATTTCTGCGAAGCAGCTTACGGCCAAGTACGACTACAGCGATCACCGTGCCCTTCGAGGAACAAGCACCCTTTGGGCAATCCAGATCTCACGGAGCTCAAGCGAGACCTTGTGAGATATATCCACCCAACGCCGCCCAGATCCATCTCGTCGCTCACGCTCGTGTGCTTCCTCTGGCACAATGCTGAATCGATCCCCTGCCCAAGCCCCCCGATGTAGAGGTTTATAGTACCGAATACCCGTGTACGGGTCGGAAGACCAGCAGATCAGAGCAAGTAACGCATTCCCTAGGCAGGGCAGTTCGCAATAACCGTCGACTTTGTAATGCTGGAGCAAGATTGCGTTGCGGGACATGAGTGCGGAGCCGCGTACGAATTCGTGCTTGGATAGATTGAGGAGGACGAGATCATTGTCGTTGGCAGGTAGGCGCGCGTCGGGAGGGAGGAGTCGCTCCAGGACATCATTCAGGATGCCCATATCCCAGTTCATCCGAAAATTCATAGCTGCGATCAAGGACGACCGCAGGCCGGCGCCGCGTCCCGAGAACGAGCTGTTACAGGCGAACTTGCGATGCGCCGTGGTGTACAAGCCATCGGACTCGATTTGTTTCTTCTCGTCGTCGGTGAGATGCAAGTGGCGAGGCAGATCGTTCGCTTCGGTTTTGTCGCCCAGGCAGATGAGGCGATGACCACGCGATGTAGACTCTATCTGAAGTCGGAGAAAGTGACTGTGTATGTGCGTGATGCCGATGTACCAGAGACTCGAGCACGTAGCGGCGAAGCAGACGAGATCACACCAGTCCTCGGCGAGCCAGACGAAAATCAGGTCGAGAAGCTCATTGGGGAGCAACATGAGGGATCTAAGCCTATGTTAATCGCATTCCTGTGAAATAAAAGTAGAGCGTACCGATCGTCTCGGATCTGCGTGTTGATCCCGAGGTCCTGCCTGAGCTTCAACTCGAATGGAGGCACTGGTGGTGGAACCCAAAGCATCCGGAACACATCGCGTCCGATATGGAAGAACTCATCACCGAGCTGGTCCATCTTGTACTTTGTACGAGCATCAAGATCCAGGAGGAGCCAATCTTGTCCCATGTCGAGGGCCTGTGGTTGCAGGTGGCGGTCGGTCGAGAGTTCAAGTTGATCATGGTCTAACCCGTGCCATTTACTGTGTCACGCGCACGTGAGTGTGACATACCGCGTCGGAGACGATGTCACTGCTCCCCGTCCTCCCCCCTCACCGCTCGTCGCTGTCCTACCGTCTTACCTCTATACTCTGCAACATACAGTCTATATCAGAATATGTCCGGGAAACGCAAGCGCACCGAATCCTCGAAAGGACTGAGTCGTGCGGACTCCCTGCTAGCCCAGCTGGACGCACTGTCCGGTCCTTCCTCCCAGCCGAGCCCGGTCAGGACACCTGCAGCGAAACGCCAGAAAGTTGCCCCATTCCCCTCCGAAACTACTCAGCCCAGTGCGAAAGCTGGACACTCCACGGCCGTGTCTTCACGGCCTGGAATAAAGGCACCATCGTCGACAGCTAGCCCCTTGACTCAAGCGGGACTGTCGCAGGCCGGTCCCTCAACTTTGAAGCCATCATCCTCCCCCGTCAAGGGAAAGAAGAAAAAGACCGAGGAGAAACGTCCAGGACGTTATCGCTCGAGATGCCCCGTTGCCATCTTGGAGAGGTTGGAAAGGGTGATGTCTCAAAGGTGCGGATATATACTCCCTGCAAACCGGAATGCCGCTCAACATGTCATTAGGTTCTACATGGTAGACCGACGTCGAAATGATGGTGAACTCAGGGAGAAGTTCAGCGTGCTGGGCTCGACGGGGAATGCGAGTTTGTCCGCGTACTCGATGTTCCCCTTGCTGATTGTCTTTACCAGGTTTACACTGTCACTATCGGTCCGAAACCGTCATGCGACTGTCCCGACGCTCTGAAGGGGAATCATTGCAAACACATAGTACGCGCCCCAACTCTCTCGCAAGTGTGACATGACACTCATCCGTCTCGCAGATATTCGTCTTCATCAAAGTCCTTCAGGTCCCGCAATCGTCTGAGCTGTGGTATCAGTCGTGGGTCAGCTTGCTCAATCTGCGTTGTTTCACTGACGAGCCGACTTCTTCAGCGGCCTCCTCAGCAGTGAACTCGAGTCCATCTTCAACAACGCGCCGACCGCTCCTCGTGCATCAGCGAAGCATATTCAGGACGCCTACGATCGTGCTACAGGCAAGGTCAAGAAGCAGGCCGAGAGCGCGCCAGCTACGAACAAGATGCCCGAAGAGGGCGACGACTGCGCGATCTGCTACGACGGCATGCACGGCCAAGCCGCAAGTGCGCTCGTATGGTGTCACGTCTGCAAGAACGCGCTGCACAAGGAGTGCTTCAACCAGTGTATGTGGCTAGCCCCTATTGTCCAGCTTTGCGCGATCGTTGACCACACCGACAGACAAGAGCTCGGAGATGGGCCGCGGCAAGCGTTCGGTCAACTGCGTGTACTGCCGCTCCGAGTGGCCGACGTCGTCGCCGGCGGGTGGGAGTGGAGGTGCGAGGCGGACTTTCGAGGGGTACCTCAATCTCGCCGATGCGGTTGGGATCAGCTCTCAAAGGGATACTAGTACTTGTGAGCTCCCTTCCCATTCAAGGTCGACCTCTCTCTGACCGCACGTCAGACTACCAAGGCCCGACCCGAAGCTCAGGACGCTCGGCTGGGTATGGTCGATGCTATTATGGGGCTGGCCGGAGATATTACTGACGAATGAAGCCCTGTGGCTCGTTTACGCCCTTCTTGGATGGGATACCCTGAATACAATGTTGACCATCTCGCTTATGCATGTCCCGTTGAATCGAGGGCCTTCACTGGCGCGGCGGCCAAAACGTGCGGTGCTACGGCCGATCGGTTCGGCAAACGCCGATGAGTAGACCACAAAAGGCTGGACCAGGTGGACCAAGCGACAAACGACCGTATCCTCGACTATCTCGACCAGACTCTCATCGTTCCCACTCTTCCAGCCCCCGCGTCATCCCTGCAACTCTCGAATTGTGTCATATTTCTGTTCGACCGTGCATCCCTACTGCCTTGTACCCCCCTCAAGTTTCTCGCCAATAATGGGTGGCTGGCGATATCGCCTCCTCGATCTCGACGCGAAATTGTACCTTGATGAACACGACGGGGGTAACTGGCGCGAGAAGTGGAAGTACATCCTCCACGCCATCCCTTACCACCCAGAGCCTCTTCGATTCCAGGCGCCGACGCTACTCCGACGCGCGGTCGAGAGTGCCAGGACAACGTGAGCGTTCATGGTCTTGTTTGCCGCATTTCCGAACCGTTGTTCAATGTTCCTGCAGTACCATAACATCGCTCCCTCTCGAGCTCGTCGACATGATTCTTGATCTACTCAACGACCAGCTCGATATCTTCTGCTTCGCCTTCACGTGTCGCGCGACCTGGTGTGCTGCCGAGCGACGCATACATGGCTTTATCGGCGCTTGGGCCAATGGATGGTCAGGGCATCGCATTATCTATATCAGCAACGGAGATGACCGGACAGACGAGGACTTCCCAAGGGACCTTAATATCGACTCCGAGGGAGAAGACTTCTGCACGGAATGTGGCCTGGACTCGGACGACGAGGAGGACGGGGAGGACCAGTGTCCTTGCAAACGAGGAGAACCATGCATGCATCCTCGAGCGTGTAACTTGTACGAATGGGCCGGTCATCAATACGCCGATATGGAGGAGAAACTCCCCTACGATCTGGCCAGCTCGCTCGTAGGCTGTCTTGAGAAGAGGTTCGAGAGCAGCACGGCGGACGACCATGCGGAACTTGTCATCCTCGAGCGTCTCATTCAACAGTTAGTCCCCAACGCCAACTTGCGCGAAACCAACGAAGCGGATCTCGTGCTATGCAACTATACGCGTGGGCTCTACGTGCGAGGCGCCGCTATGGTCGAACGCAATCGCCGTCACAGCTCGCAGTGCAATATGGCGACCGTCATACTGCGACGCACAAAATGGGAGGCCCACCACAGTGGACGTCAGGACCCGGACGATTGTTTTCTCCAAGGTGAACCTAACGGTGATTGGCGTGCGGCGTGGGCAGGAGATCGGTTGGACCTTTTAACGGTCGCCCAGATGGACGAGTTGCTGGAGGAAGGAGATGAAAACGAGGAGCCTATGCCTTGGATCGACGCGACCGTCGCAGTGCTTAACGATGTTTATAGCAGACGTAATTATTGATATGCATCATCATTGTGCTCGAAATTTGGACGGACGGGACTGGTCGGATTGTATAGATACGAGAACGACGCAGTTTCCCCATTTGATGGAGATTGTGAATATGCCACAGCGACGCCAATGGGTACAGAAGCCAGTCCCCTGGCGTGTCCTATTTGCGCCTGATATTGCTAGAAGTAGGCTTGTAGACAGCGTGACGGTTCATCATGCAGGGCGCTTGGTTGACGTTCGAAGCCTTATAACTCATTTACAACCCTTCTTGGATGAGATATTGCGAATACAACGATGGCCAAAAGTGCGGTGATGTGGCTGATCGGTTCGGCAAATGCCGATTAGTTGACACAAAGGTCAGGACCGGGTCACAGATTGGACCAAGCGTTCAACCACCTTGTTCTCAACCTCCACGTTCTCGCTCGGTTCATCGACTTTGCCCTTTGCCACTCTACACAATCCGTGATAGCTCCTGCATCGACAGTCTGCGCCCATATAACTCTCAACATCTGCGTCCCGATCGACTTGTGCCTCCAGTCTCGCGCCAACAATGGGTCGCTGGTATCGTCTCATCAACCTCGATGCGAAAGTGTACCTTGATGTATACGACTCCATGACTTGGAAACACAAATGGCAGTATTTTCTCTACGCTATATCTTACGAAGCAGAACCTCTTTGGTTCAAGATGCCAATGCTCCTCCGAGGCGCAGTGGAGAGCGCCAAGACAACGTGAGTGTTCATGTTCTTGGTCGTGCCACATTCCTGAAGTGCTGTCCCATGCTTGTGCAGTACTATAACCTCGTTGCCTCTCGAGCTCGTCGACATGATTCTCGACCTGCTCGATGACCGGCTCGATATCTTCTGCCTTGCCTTCACGTGTCGCGCCACCTGGTGCGCCGCCGAGCGACGCATCCAGCGCCTCATTCGCACATGGGCCCATGGATGGTCCGGACATCGCATCATCTATGTCAACGACGAAGACGATGCGACACGCAAGGATTTTCCAAGGGATCTTGAACTCACATCGAAAGATGGGAAGGACTTCTGCACGACATGTGGCGTGGACGAGGACAACAAGGGGGACAAATGTCCTTGCGCTCGAGGAGTGTCATGCAAAAATCTGCGAGTGTGTAACTTCTGGGATTGGGCCGGTCGTCGCTTCACCGAGATGTCCGAGAAATTCCCTTACGATCTTGCCGGCTCGCTCGTTAAAGATCTTGGCAAAAGGTTCGGCAATAGCACGGCGGGCGACCTTGCGGAACTTGCCACTCTCAAGCGCCTCATTCGACAGCTGGTCCCCAATGCGAAATTGCGCAGAACCAACGAAGAAAATCTCGTGCTTTGCAACACGTCGCGGAAGCTCTATGTGCGGGGCGACGCTATCGTCGAACGCAACCGCCGTGACTGCTTGAGGTGGAATATGGCGACCGTCGTACTGCGATGCACTGTATGGGGGGCCCGCTGGGGACGTGAGGACCCGGACAATCGCTTCCTCCATGGTGAACATAACGGATACTGGCGTGCGGCGTGGGCAGGAGATCGGTTGGAGCTTATAACGGTCGCCCGAATGGACAAGCTATTGAAGGAAGAAGATGAAGATGAAGAACCTAAGCCTTGGATTGATACCACTGTTGCAGTGCTTGACAATGTTTATAGCAGAATTTGGGATTGATACGCGTCATTTATGTGCTTGAGATGCAGATGGACAGGTCTGAACTTGATTATGTCAATACGAGAACAATACAGTCTTCCTAGTTTGATGGTAGTCTTGGATAAGCCACAACACCGTGCTGGTAGAGGTTTATTTCTTGGGCGATCGTCCATCATATACGAAGCTCTACGACACGCTCCTCGCCTCGCCGAACCTCGCAGACACTTTCACATGCCCCCTTGGCGAGCGCATGGAGAAGAATGACGAGCCAACGGACGACTCCCTGGATTTGCTAGAAAACGTACTTTTCCAGCCTTGTCCTACCGGCAAAACCGGCTACGTCTTACGCAACCTGTCGCGCAAGGTGTTTGTGCGCGGGGACGCCATCGCTGACTTCAATCGATATTACCAGTCCGTCTTGCGAAAGCCAGCGTGTCTGGCGGATGCGGCGTTCGCGCGGGCAACATGGCAGCCTGTTTGGGTGAGGAACCCTCCTGGACAGCACAGTGGCAGAGATTGCTGGATCCCGGGCTGGACGCCTGATGGGCAGAGATGGCGGGGCGTTTGGGCGGGGAACAGATTTGACATAGTCCCGATGGCCGTCTTCGAACGGGAAAAGGCAGAGGCAGGGGAGGAGTGGGTGGATGAATCGTCGGCATTGGTCGAGGAGATCTACAGAATCTGGGTGGAGGAGTACCAGCTCAAGCACTCAGCATCACGGTGGTACTAGGATTTAGTCAGGGAGAACTGGCACTTGGATAGCACAATTTCCGCTGATGAATGCGACTCTATTAGTCGGCACTGTCAATGCACCGATAGAACGATGCTAAGGGCGAGGGTGACAGGGCGACCGACGACAGGCGTGGCCAGACGACGCGCCAGCAGGCTGCGATACAGTCTAAGTCGAGTAGGCTTCCCTGTAAGTAGTCCAACGGCAGGGCGGGCGAGCTGGTCAGCGGCATTAAGGTCACAGTTCGCAGTCCTCGGTCCCTCAACTGGGATCGATATAGAGCTGCTGGGTGTTCTCCCTCTTCCTGTCGGGATGTATAGAGCAACTTCCGGACTGCTGTCGGATATGAAGTTACATATAGTCGAAGTTTGGTTGAACTCAGGTCAGGATCACTGCTCTTGTTTACCGAGCTTTGTTCGGACCGGCAAGCTCACTAGGCAACTGCCGAATCCTGACATTCATCACGAAATGTCCATCATGTCGTGCTTGTGTATACGGTAGCCGTTCCTTACGGGCGTACTTGCTTCAAGAACGATGACACGACGCTCCCAGATTGGTTGCAGAGGGGCTTCATACGAGTCCAGCGAGTTCCTTCTACCTGGGACTTCATACTTTCATGAGCTGAACGAGGGCACCCAGAGCGCCTCATGTTCGCTGGGCATTACCTCGGCCGGATACGGTTGAATGGGATCTTGATTAGGCGCGGCCGCCAGCGGTCCCTTATATCGGTCCTCGTGGCGCGTAACCATACCCTGGTGCGGTGATTTGTGCCAGTCCTCCTTCTAAAACTTCCCACCACCCCGCACCCAGTGACGTCCCTCCCACCCTTGTCGTTCTTTTCTCTCTCACCATCGTTCTCTTCGCGCGGGGGGTCGTGCCCATGTCTGTACTATCACCCTTCCTCTTCTTGTTCGCGCTCGCATCCGCGTATCTCGCCGCCGCCGACCGTAACGTGACCGTAGATGACACCAGCTCGGACATTCGGTATTTGGGGGACTGGACTACGTCCGCGACGACGGAGCTCGACTATGGCGGGACGCACCAACTGACGGAGGATCACTCGGCGACCGCGAAGCTGACGTTCACTGGTGCGTGGCGCGCTTTGCTGGACGGGCGCACGTGTTCTGACTCGCGCGACGCGCTTTATCAGGCAATGCAGTATACTTCATGAGCCCCAAATGGCCGTATACGGTCAATGTAGCCGTGTCTGTCGACGGTGGCGAGGTTTCTCTCATTGATCTCATCGATCACGACTCCCCTACGCAAGACGGCGGGTCCGAGACGAAGGACTGTCAGGTCGTTTGGGCGCGAACTGGATTGGAGAATGCGGAGCACACTTTGACTGTGAGCGTGGGTGGGGGGCAACAATTCGCGATTGTCGATGCTATCATGTACGTTTGAGCACCGGTTCCGAGGAGGCGCGCAGCTAATGTGCGCGTTGAACAGTTACACCGTCGAGGACGAGGAAACCACCACCGCCAATCCCACATCAACACAGGCGCATACTTCGCAATCGACGAGTGCTACCGAAACCAGCTCTTCTGAATCCGAGCCCTCTGCAACGCAAGTCGGAGCTACCAGTGATCACAAGAAGAATGGCGCGACGATCGCCGCCTCCGTCACGGTCGCCGTGCTTGGTATGCTCGCTGTCGCGCTCACGTTCTTTTGCATGAGCCGCCGCAAAAGAAAGCAGCAGCAACAGCAAGGAAGCCTCCTTCACCACGCCGCCACATTCGAGAAGTACCCGCCCGACTCCGACTACGGTGCCCACGCTGAGCTGAACTACCTCGCCGCGGTCTCTCCTGCGTCGTCGCGCACCTTCGTCGGCTCGCAAGGCTTCCCTTCGCCCTCGGATGGTCCGAAGTATGCACACTACCCGCAATTCTCGCCGACGACGGCGGGCCACGATATTCCAGACGCGACCTCGACCTCGGCCGCGCCCCACCCATACGCAGTCGCGCCCGCAAATCCCGCGCCTGTCACGACGGCGCAATTGCAGGAGGCTTTCCGGAACAGGACGTTGCAGTCGGACTCGGAGAATGCGGGCGCTTGGCCAGCTCCCATCCAGCAGCCCCAGCAACCCACGCAGGTGCCGAACTCGTACAACCCCGCTCCCAGCGCGTACGTGCCTCCGTCAGGCGTGCATCGACTGTCGACCATTACGGAGATGTCGTCTATCGCGTCGCTGCAGCCCTCGATGCAGTCGCTTCAGTCTGCCGCCGCACCGTCCTCAGCTGTGCAGCCGTTGCAGCCACCGGCAGCGCTCGGTGTCGACAGCAATCGACTGTCTGCCGCGCCGTCTGAGCACGACCTGCCCTACCTCTCTGCAAGCCCCACGCGCCAGTCCTTCCGACTATCGGGAAGCGGCCCAGTCGGCGAGCGGTACGCGGAGTCCTCCGGCGGAGCGAGTGACTTTTCGGCGGGTCACGTCTCCAACGTGAGCGTTCCGCAGGACGCGGTGAACCCGATGCCAACGCCCAAGCGCACGCACTCGATCAAGCGCGTACCGCCGCCGAAGGCATAAGGCGTTCTATGGTGACGATCTTGACGAGCAGCGATGTCTTGCATGCTTTGCCTTCGATGCTTCTTCTGCGGCGACCATCGACTTGGGCGTGTCATATAGCTATCTATTTGCTTTCCGCGCATTCGTTCGCACACGCACGTACACCTTTGCGTATTTTTGCTTTCGCAGTCCTGGCTGACACTGTTTTGCATACGTACATTAGCTTACTCTAACTTATTGTGGGCTCGACGCCAGCTCGTGCTGCGCCGTGTCGACGTTATTTGGGCGAACGTCTTGTCGGCGCGGGCACCGTGTCAAGGGGTTTGGGGAAGTTGCTTTTCGAGATTTCCAGGTCACTCGTTCTACTACGTGTCAATATGTACAGTAGCTATAGCTTCGAAGTTCGGGCTATGCGTCTCGTTGGCCGCAGCTGGCCTGTGGGGCTGGAATTGGAATTGGTGTTACCCTTCGATGATTGTATTGATACCCTTGAAGTGGATTTATTATCGTTGTCAGTAGGCGTATTATTATGCAGAATGCTTGGTGTCATACTGGACGACCTGGTATGCACACTGACCGGACGTCAATGCGAAGGCATTCTATGACCTTGTCACGCTCGCAAGTGCTCAAGTTCAACCCCTTCAATCGGCCAATGGCGATTATAGTGACGTGTACCAAACGTGCAACCTATAGGTTGAACCACACCATCACCATCGTTAGGGCTGAGCACGTTTCTCGCAGCTCTGAAAACTGCTTTTCGCAGTCAGTACAGATCATTGGTCGCTGTTTATCACAGAGTACTCACCAAGACAAGGTTATCAGCACGTCCATCCAGACAAAGATGCTGACGAAGCAAATGGCAGCTGTGCCCGAAGCTGCTTCCTCCCGTCTGCCTTTGGAGCTCCTGCTCTATATCGTGGACTGCGTATCTGACCAGCAAATTTACTTCACCCTCTCTCTCGTATGCCATGCCTTTCTCAACCAATGTCGACATTGGGCTTTCCGACGCCTCAGGATCCGACGACTCATCGCTCTTCGCAAACTCAATGCCCTCACCCAATCCTCCCTCTGCACATTCTCTCGACACGTACGCTGGATATCGATTAACCAGAGACAGATATCTGAGATAGGCGGCCTGTCCTTTGACTGCATGCGCTACATGCCCAACCTTGTCACCCTGCGCGTTGAGTGCATGACGAGCTTCCAATGCGACAGCTTTCTCATTGGACCATTGGCGCAACTGTTCAGCATGACCACATTGACGCTTGACCGAGTCGGGTTTGGTACCTTCGGCACTTTCCTGGATGCTCTCGAGGCGCTTCCAGAGCTGCGGAATCTCACCCTGCTCGACGTCTTCATACGCGACGAAAACATCCCTTTCGCCGTGTATGCCTCAACGAGAGGATTGGCGAAGCTTCGCTTCTTGAGGTGCCTGTTATGGGGAGTGATGTACCGATTTTTACTCGCCGTGATGCTCGTGCTACCTCACTGCCCGCTAATCACGCATCTTGATCTCTGTCTACCCTTCACTGAGGATGGGCTGGCAGGCCTTCTCTGCGATTTCATTGGAGCTCTGGCGCCCACATTGACCGCTATGCGTGTCGATCCCGGATACAAGTACTTCTCGCCTACGGAGTGTACGTCTCTGTTTTCCCGTCGCTGAGATGCGCTTGTATGCGACCCTCGACTGACCGTTGTACAGATGCGAAGCTGGACTTCGGTCGCTTTGCCGCTCTCCGCTCGTTCACCGTCGAGCCTGTCCTCCTTGCTGATTGGCACTCTCCCGGTGTGACGGAGCGTATACTCGACCTACTCCTGTTCGTCCTGCGCGCCCCCGCGCTTCGAAAGCTCGTTATAGTATTACGCATCGACGGAAGATGTTGCCATGAGGACCTTACTACGGGGATGGAATGGGCAACGCTGGACAACCATGCCAGCAGCTCGTCGTGTTTGGGGGCGCTCAAGTTCGTCATTTGTGGAAGCTCGGCAGTCGCGGACACACGGGGAGTGGTAGAACGGATACAGGAGTCGCTACCGAAGGCAGAGGAGAAGGGGATACTGCAGTTCAGGGCATCCACTAGCGTTGCCGAATGGTCAGTATTCATTTGAGTCCTTGCTGTCAACTTGCAAGCTGATGTGGAAAACAGAATAGCCAATTAGACAGGTACCGTAGAAAGTAATATACCTGCACACCTCCACCTCCAACTTCAACCGTACAAGACCTCATAGGCATGGAAGATTGGCTGGCCGCGGCCGGTGCGCCCTCGGGTCCAAATTAAACTCCAAATTTCAGACAATGACCTCGTGCGTGCCCGAATGCCCTACACGAGTGGCAAGGCGATTTTTTTCGGGCTAAAAACATGCTTAAAAAGATGCTGAAAAAGGCGCTCAAAAAGACGTTGTTTTTGCGCCGAAAAAGTGCGTGTTTTCAGGGTCAAAAAGGTGTCGAAAAAGACTGTCTTTTGAAGCATCTTTTGGCCACTGAAAAGGCGCCTCAAAAGTGTGTCTTTTTGCCACCAAACAGAGAATCTTTTTGTCCCACTTTTTCATGCGGAAAACACCATCTTTTTACGCCCCAAAAGACGGTGTGCGCCTTTTCAGCTGTCAAAAGACCGTCTTTTTGGCCAGAGCGCCTTTTTACCTGTAGAACAATTGTATTTTTTGTGCCAAAAAGGGACACAAAAAGTGAGTCTTTTTGATGGCAAAAAGACGCACTTTTGAGGCGCCTTTTCAGTGGCAAAAAGATGCTTCAAAAGACAGTCTTTTTCGACACCTTTTTGACCCTGAAAACACGCACTTTTTCGGCGCAAAAACAACGTCTTTTTGAGCGTCTTTTTCAGCATCTTTTTAAGCATGTTTTCAGCCCGAAAAAAATCGCCTTGCCACTCGTGCTACGTCCCCTTCGGGGTGACATACGAAAAATTTGGAACGATACAGAGAAGATTAGCATGGCCCCTGCACAAGGATGACACGCTTTTCCGGAGTGGTAGACCTACGGGTCTCAATATTTATTGTTCCGCTTACCTATGTCATATTCATCATACCGGCCACTTTTCATGATTGTTTTACCCATTTACTGTGAGCTGATGGTGTGCTTTGTGGGTGTACGGTACGGCTGGACGTGTCGGCATGAGGCTTGTGTTGGTTGGCGACTGATCCATGGCCGCTGCCTTTTGCCCCACCGACGCGCACCATCGGAGCGAAGACAAGAGAGAAAACAACATCCCATTCGCAGGTACGGTACGACATGTAGCTACTACTAGCATGTGCCGCAAGCAGTGGCAAAGGAACGCCATTATAACAAAGTCGAACGGAGGTGATACAACAAAAGGGTGCATGCATACGTATGGACGAGACATGGAGATGCAAACAATGAAGATGCTGCAGATGAACATGGGATGCAAGAGATGAGATGTGCATGCATGAGGATGGTGGGATGGACAAGGAAGACGGGGAGGAGTCAAGTGGGTAAAGAACATTCAAAGGGACGAGCGTGTAGTGAGACGATTGAGCGAGACCAAAGAAGCGAGAGAGAACGAGTCAAAGAATAAGTACGTGAGGCGGAGAGGGGGATGAGTGGGTGACGCGCGGTACAAGCAAGCAATGCAGCGAAAGATGGTCGGTAAGTACACAGCAGCGCCCGCCGCCAGCGGGTGCATTACAGTAAATAGGCCAGAATAAAGAAAGTCAAAATGACGTCCGTAAACGCCAACGAAATTATACACAAAGCACTTCCCCCACTTCCCTCCTCAGCGCGACACAGAATCCGTCTCGACAACGAGCGAACCTAGATCGACGGCACCGGCGAGCTCGACCCAAACCCCTTTCCCATCCCCCTCTGCACCCCATTCATCGGCCGCGACTTGTTGTTCGGATGGTGCTGCCGCTGATGCTTCTGAACCTGGTGACCCAGATGATGCCTATGGCCTCGCGAGTATTGCTGTTGCTGCTGGTTCTGCGCGGCCAAGGCCTTGCCTTTCATCTTCCGCTCTTGACGGAGCTGCTTGCGGGTCTTCAAGTGGTTGGCATCGAGGTGATGGATGATGTCGAGGGACGGTGATGAATTGGTGTTGGGGGTGGGGGATTGGACGATGCCTGATGGTAGGCCAGAAGCGGACTGTTGCCCTCCGTCGACTGTCGTGTCCATACCCTGCGTTGGCGTGCGGTCACCATTGCGGTCAGGGCTTTCGTGCCGCCTAGACTGGTTCAAGCGAGGCGCGCGCCGCCTCGTATCTTCCCACAGCAGATGATGCCGCATCGGGCTAGCGCGGATCATGCCCGACAAATCGCCCGTATCCGACGTCCATCCAGGCGCATCGCTGCGACCGGCGACAACCGCGCCATGACTCTGTCTGAACGCGCCCACCGAAATGAGGTCCCACCGCCGCAGGCTCTTGAGGTGTCGCCCATCACCGGGGTGTGCATCGTCAGTGCCACTCGCGTCTTCCCAAGGGCTCTCAGCGTCCATGAATGAGCTGTCGAGAACGTCGTCGAGTTCGATGGGTTCCTGGAAGTTGGCAGGATCTTGAAAGGCGCTGTCGAGCTGCATAGGTGCACGGAAAGGTTCGGGTGAGAGCACTTCGCTCTCGGAGCCCGAGAAGACATGCTCGAGGCGTGCGGGGGCTGGGACCGACGAAGGACGGAGGGAAGGAAGTTGGCGAAGGAATGCCTCCATCTAATAGCGTGTTTAGCATCGACATTGATAGGCTCTGGAAAGAAGAAAGACGCACCCCCTCCGCTGGACCCAATCCTGACAGGCTCGAAACAGAGATACCTCTGCCCCTGCCCCTGCCCCTTCCAATCCTCGGATGCGGCGACGGAATATTGTTCTTTGCGTCGTCGATCACTACATGTTTCGTGCCCACCACCATCTCGAACGCGCCCTCCCGTGGACCCTCTTGCCCACTCGACGTGCTCCTGCCATGCGAGGGGCTCCGCACATCGGGCTCATCAAACTCGTCCGACTCGTCTCCAGGGAACTCGGCACCAAACAGCGCGCGGCCCGCGAGGATGTCAGCCGGCCTGAGGGAGTCGACGCCCCCGACGCCGGCGCCAAGCCGCGGACGGGTGCGAGAAACAACGGGGCTCATGGTCGAGAGCGGATTGATGGCAGAGACACTGGGCGGGAAGCTGAAGATCTGCATCGCGCGCTCGTTCGGGAGATCGTCCTCGCCCACGAGTTCTTCGTCGGTCGTATCGCCCTCGCCCTCGCCTTCGTAAGCGTCCACATCCTGCTCGTACCCATCCTCTTCGCCTTCCGTAGTGTCCATGTCCTCGCTCTGACTGGGACTGGGGCTGGTGGGCGCAGCAGACGCGTCGGTCGTCTCGAACTCGAGCTGGTACAAGTGCTCTGCGCTGGGTAGCGCGCCGTTAGTGAATAGAAGCTCGCCATTCCAGCCCTCGGCGAGTTCGAAGGGCATATTGTCACGCGCAGCCGCGTCTTCATCCTCATCCACGGACATGGTGGCATCGGAGTCGTTGGCGTCAGGGGTGTCTTTGTCATCGTCGGATGCTTCTAGGCTTGCGAAGAAGAGGTCAGCGTCGAAGCTTGACTCCTCCTCATCGTCCGACCAGCCAGTAGCGAGGCCTACGTATCCCTCGCCGACACGAGAGGACCCGTCTTCGTCGTCGTCATCATCCTCTTCTTCCTCTTCTTCATCGGCTTCCATTCCCTGCTCTTCATCGTCCTCCGTTGCGTCGGTGTCCACGGCCATTTCCTCGTCGCTCGGTCCTTCGCTCCTTATCCGCGAACGGATGACCCATCCGTTGCGTTGATCGCGTCGTTTTCCTTCATCACCAAGGAGCTCCCTCTTGACTCGCGCCTTCTCCCTCGTTCTCGCCTCCTCCGACACGATGAAGCTCTCCTCCTCTTCCGCGATCGAGTCGTCCGAGTCAAATTCGGACAAGGGGGACGAGCTATCGTCGCCATCACTGCTGCTGTCCGATGACGAGCCTCCTGATGACGAGATCGCCGACGCGGACACAAATGTGGGGAACGCATCCGAAGCCGCCGCACCGTGCAATTCATCGTCCGACGAGTCTGAGCTGGATGACGACTCGCCGGACGACACGACCCGCCTTCGCTTCTTGGGTACGAACACCTGCTTCTTCTTCCCCTTCTTGTCGGTCGTGCCTCTGGGCGGAAACTTGGGGCGCGGGAGGGTCGACTGGTACGTTTTGCCGGCTTGGAAGATTTTCTTGGGCGCGGGCTGGCGCAAGCGGGCCGCGGCCTGCGAGGGAGTAAAGCCGGCCTGCGCGGCGGCAGCGAGGCGCGCGGCGACGACGGCCTTGGTGGGGCGGCCGCGGCGCTTCGGCATGTTCGCTAGGTCGACGATCGGGGGTGGCTGGGAGGAGGTGGAGGCGCCGACGTTGCTGACCGCCTGGTGATATTGGTGATGCTTGCCGTGTTTGCTCGAGGGCGTCGCGCGCCGCTTGTCGAGAAGACTCGGGGGCACGGTGAGCTTGATTTTGAGGGAGGGAAGCTTGGGGGTGGGAGGGGCGGACGTGGAGGGAGTGGGCTCCGGGGTGGGTGCATGGACATTGGTGCGATTCTCGTGGGCTGGGGCGAGGAAGACGCGCGCGGGGGGCGGCTTGTTGTTGTTGCAGGTGCACTCGCCGTCGCACACTGGACAGAGGTCGAGGTCGATGTCCTCGTCGTCGTTCGCCGAGGGGTTGTAGCTGCTTACGGCGACGGATTTTGCGGTATAGGGACGAGGAGGCGACATACGAGACATCTGCTGGTTTTCTGGCTCTATCCGGGGTCGATCAGCGTCCTGCTCGCGCGATCGATGGAAGGGGGCGTGGCGAAGTACTGAGCTCCAAGAGGCAGGTGCGCCGACGCGCGTCGAGGAGTGATCTTCGCGCGCGGGAAGTACGAGACTGAACACTCACTGTGGGCTTGGGGCAAATGTACATTTAGGTGCAGAATCCAGGGTGTGCGATTGTTGGGCGCGTGTTCTGCGGCGAGATGGCCACAGAAGGAGGGGAACTCGGTTAGGAGCTGGTGGTTGGGGAAGAGCAGGCGAGATCACTAAATTTGATGGCGCAGACTTTCCCCTCCCGAATCCCGATAATCCGGCCACGTGGAACCGCGCCCAGCACGCGGCCTCTCTTACTGTAACTCATTCCACACCACCGCTGGTCACCCAGACCCGGGCCTACATTGTCTGGCGGATATACGACTGCCTTCTCCCCAGTCCAGGGTACGCTCATGCCCTTGATCTCCATTGCCTCATCCCCCCTTCTCCTTCCATATCGATAAGCTAGCCACGCAGGCGGTGGTGGCGTACCAATCCTTCCACTACGGCCGCCATGATCGTTCCACCGACGACGGATCAGGCGCGCGGTTTGCTCAAATGAGAATCACTGGCGCAACAATGGCTTCAATCAGGCGCACTCGCGTGCTCAATCCACCCTTCCCATTGGCTAAAAGGCCCTAATCTCACAGGTTACGATTGGTATGCGAGTCTCAACCTTTTATAGACCTGACGATTGTTGTGTAAAAGCAAGGGAAAGCGCAGGAGAATACCCAGGATTGCCACGGAACTCTGCGAATCCCAAATCGCTGGAGTTCAGTGGAAAACCTGGGAATTCGGATGTCCGATCACTTTGGGCACGTGCGAACGCCACATCAACTTGCTCCCGTGCCTCGGACCCAGTTGCACGAGACATGCCCCCCGCCCGCGACGATTTTCCGCTGCTCAACGCGGATATGCACTCTAGCCTCCGTTGTCCCTGACTCCTACACGGCCGCGTCGTCCACACCTGGAAATCAGGTGAACGGAGGAACAGCCGCAATTTACCTGCTGGGAGCAGTTTCCTAGGTAATCCGGGCAAGTCGAATCCTAGGTATCGCGGCAAACAGGTAGAATCTGGCTATCACAGGCCACGTGCCCGCTGGGGCCGCGCGTCGCTCTGCGCGTCGCCGCTCCCGTTGCCTCGTTTTGCGTTACACAGAATAAAAGAGAGAAAGCATATTGATACTATTATCTTATTCTCGATCTACATAGAGTACACAAAGTCGGATGTTACGGAACCCGCTTAAGCCTATCGTAATGCTCCCTACCTCCGTAGGCGCCCGAGACCGCCGCACCATTCCAATTGTGAGGGCTCTGCAGTCGACGGATTTGCTCTACATACATGGTGAACACCTGCGAAGCTCTCAGCAGCTGATATACAAAGAGAATAGTGTCAACACACCTGAAAAGAGTAGTTTCACTGCCAGGGGGTGTCTGGCGGTCATGATCAACAGGCTTCACGACGCGATGGGCAGACAACGAACTCACGTCGAGGCGCTGCGATGTACGCTATTGATGACAAGTTGCACGTCGGGCCGTCGAGGGGGTCACTGACACGTTCAAAGCCTGCAAGCGGCAAGCCGCGCAGGTCGCAAGGAGGGGACGGGACAGAGGGCGCACATGGCGTCGCAAGGCGCTCAAGCGGAAACCGATATCGGTCTTGCTGAGCCCCTCAAGCGAAGGCAGGCAGTCGTCGCGGAGGCGGAGGGGAGACACGGGGCATGAGTTTCGCGGGGGAGGGGAGGGGAGAACGCGGGAACTGCGCGAGGGCAGACGGTTCATGGTTGTCAAGGACAAGTGGACTTGTCTTTTCTCGCATTGCTTGCGGTGTGTCAGCCAGCCTGCTTGTCCGTGTTGTGAATCCAAATTCGTGGCGTCGTCCAAAACCAAATTTGGACCGAATCACTGGTCGGACCGGTGCAGCATGCGGTGCGAATACCTGATTTCCAGCAGTGGAACGGAACACCTCAAATCCAGATGTTCATCAGCCAAAATACGGCCAACGTCTGAGTCTGTTAAACAAATATCGCTTTCTATCTGGAATTTAGCAATCGACCACGCAGCCGTGTACCCCATGCCCTTCCGACCGGATGCCCTCATCGCGTACCTCATCGCCCATCGCCCGCCGTACCTCGTTTATACGACCCGTAATTCATGCCGGCTGCCCTCGCCACGAGTCACCTACAACCTCGCTAGGGCTCTCGTACATCTTCGCTGTGATTTACAAGCATACTCAACGCGCAATATATCTTGCCTGCCCCATGACACCCATTCACCGTCCTCCGCCCGTGCGTCAGCTGAGCGTCTTAACCGAGCACTTCCCCGCAAGGCGCACACAGGTGCCGTGATATACAGCCTCCGGTCCCAAATGAGCACTGCGGAGCAGGTAAGTGCATTATCACGGGGCATATATAAGAGGCGCCGGCGGGAGGCCTGAGCTTCATTGCCTGGTACCGTTGCTTCCACCTTAATCGGCGCGCACTTCGACTCCACCACTCGGCTTGCAGAGCTCGCCCACCACCCTCGCCACAATGTCCAGCCCACGCTCGCCCCTCTCAGACAAGTTCGACCCCTTCGCCGTGCACCCCTTCACGCGCTACGCATCTCCGCGTCCGCGATCCGACACCAGCGACAGCGCGTCCCTACCTAGCGCATACCCCTTCACGTCGTCGTACGCCAGCTCGGGTCAGCCGCCGCGCACACCACCGAAGCCGCCGACGTCGAGGCAGGCGTCTGGGAAGTGAACGGGGTGTTCGTCGGCGCGGGCGGGATGCCCTGCGAGACGTCTCCGTCCTTGCCCAGACAGGAGACCTCCGTCTCGGTGGAAGGCGCGTGATTCTTCGAAGTCAATGACTCGTGAGTGGATCGCCTTCTATGTACCGCAGGGCGCTCACTGATGCACAGATCTGCTTGGCTCTCGCCTGCGTCTCGGGTTCCCTTCAATCTTCTATTCTATACCACGCCATACCTTCGGGCCTCTTATGAAAGCCTAGAGCATCGGGTCTGTCAAGCCCCCATGTACTACGATGCACTCATGATCATGACTGGTCTACATAACCAATTTCCTACCAGACCGCACGCTACCTTCTCACCGAATCGCACACTACCTTCTCACAAACGCACTTCTATACCTCGTAACTAAGCCTAGCCTGTACTTCTAGTTAACATGAACCGCTTCCTTCTTCTGCACCTTCACAGCTGTGCGCTCGCCAGCTGCCTGCGCCTGGAAGAGTTCGTTGCGCCTTCTTCGCCACAATTCTCCGCCTGTCCCACTGAGCTGATGCTTCTTGGCTCGACCAAGCCTTCAGCCCTTCAGCGCGCTCTCCACAACCTTCAACATCGCGACAATCTTCTCCCTGTAAACATCGTTGGCTCGCATCTCATACAATTCGAAGCGAAGACGCTCACTCTTCCAGCCGTCTTCCAATGAGCTGCAGCCCAACGGGCGCGTTCTCCCAAGTCTTGGGATCGTCATCTGCAGGAAGAAGGTTAGCACGATATGCTATATCGGCGCGGTCAAGTGGATGGCTGTGGCGTGTCGATCCATGAGATCGGCAGTACGACGATCCCTGGACGTCGGTGCTGTGCGGCAGGTGCACGACTCGCGACCCGACAGTGCCAGAACAAAGACGAACGAAAATAGGACGCAGGATCACTCACATAACGCCTGATTCGTCGCATCTGCATCGTTGAGTGGCACAAAGCTCGCGTTCACAACATCGACGCTCGAGTTGACGCGCGTGACGGGGAAGACGCCGGTGGTCTAGGCAGGGAAGATGGTCAGCAGTTAGACGCGGTATGGCCTGTCGGACGGGGTCAGACGCGCCAGGCGCCCGAGAGGGCATGTCAGGCGCTCGAGATCCGGGGTACGCCCTGCGGCGCTCTCGTAACAGGAAAGCAGCTATCCCGCGAGCGCGAGAGGTCCAGCAGAGCAGGCTCACCAGATCTAGCATGGGGCCTATCACCAGGTTAGCTGACGCTACAAATGCATGGCGAATATACGCACTCAGGTTCCCATACCCATAAGGGTAGGCTACGCCCCGCTCCTTGGCTGGGTTCGAGGTCGCGGGCATAATGAGCGCATCGATGGGGCGGCCGGTCGAAGTATGGTTGGCGGAGCTGAGAGGGGAAATTCGGTCGGCATCCATTTCTATTTCCCTTGTGAGCACCCTTGACGCACCCATTCCACGCATCTCTGAAGAGCTGCGTATAGTTCTGCAGCACCTGCACCAGTTGCCACGATTCGTACACGCTTGGGCGCTCCTCCGGTGGCACATAGGCCAAGTAAGATGAGATGATTGGTAGGAAGGGCTCGCCGGACGCGTTGAAGTCCGTTTGGACTGATCGTTTGTCAGCTTTGCCCGCCACAAGATACCACGGCCACTTACTGTCGAGGTGACCATCAACGTGGAAGAGTTTCCTTGGGGGTTGATGAGTACACGATCCTCTCTGCATGTCGAAGCCGGAGGAAACTTCCCGCCACTCACCCCATCTGCGTATTGTACTCGTACCACTCCGGCGGTACCCACTCGACCACCTCATGGCCTGCCGCCTCCAAGGCCTCCTTCACCTCATGCATCGCCCTCTGCACCGGCGGCCAGGGCTGCACATGACCATCACCGTTCGCCCAGCCGAACACCAGCTTCTCCGGGAGCTTTTCGTGGGATTCGCGCCAGGGGATGGGCAGGGTGGACGGGTCCGAGTTCCAGAGGCCGGCGTTGACGAGGGAAGAGAAGACGAGCTTGAGGTCAGCGGGGGAGCGGCCCATGGGCCCGCAAGTGGAGGTGACTGACACGGTTTCAGGGAGGTGGATGACAGATGGATCGTAGCGACTCACTTGCTTGCTCGCCACGAAGGCTGTTAGCCATATTCGCATAGCTGCAACGACCGACTGGTATGGTGTGATTAGTCTTTACGCGTATCGTCTGACGGCGGACGCACCACTCGGGCGAACACACCAGAGGCCTGTGTTCGTGCAAGGAATGCGGATGGATCCCGCAATACTAGGTGGTCATCAGCAGTCCGACTAGTTCACTGATCGTCGATACTCACTCAGTCCCAAATCCGATGAAGGAGCCATGGAAGCCGACTGTACAAGGTCAGTCGCATCAGAGGAGAACCGATGAGCTGCGGCCTACCCAAAGAGCTCTCTCCGCCTGACGAACCACCTGTACAACGACCTGGTTAGATTGGCCGTCGTGACCGAACTTTACCACCTACCAGGTGTGAGTCGGCGGTTGAATGGGTTCTTCGTCTCACCAAAGATGTTGTTGATGGACTCGCCGGCCTAGAATTGGAATTAGCGTCAGCAGGCCATAAAGCTACGGCGAATGTACCATGAGCGAAGTCGGAATATTCGTCTTGACAAACAGTACGGCCCCAAGCTCTTCCAAAGCTGTCACCGTTAGTGAGTCTTCTTCAGCGGGCCGGTCTACAGGGTAAGGTCAGTTGGAATGATCGTCCAGGCGAAGCCTTGTGCCACTTACTGGCCCAGCTCACGTAGCCGATTGTCGCATCAAAGCCCTTGAACCGGAACTGGTCTTTAAGGGAGCTGTGATTTGGTATCAGCAATATATCACCATTTTGAAACCTCGACTTACATCGGCAACCCGTGCAGGGGTCCGACCGTCTTGCCAGTCTCCGCAAAGTACGCGTCGAGCTTCTTTGCTTGCTCCCGACCACGCTCAAAGAGCACCTCCGAGACCCTGTGAGCCCATTAGACACCACCCTCTCGCTATTACAAACAGATCAGGATCCACTCACGGCCTGAAAAGCTGCTGCGCCACGACCGTCCGCTTGATGACTGCCTCCAGTACCTCGGTCGCAGACCACTCCCCCGTCGCCACTCTACCTATCACATCGCTCGCAGTGCTCTCCGTAATCTCTAGCTCCCTGTCCGTGAACAGCCCCGACTCGAGGGCAAACTTGGACACATCGTCTACACTGTCGTCGGGAAGCAGATCGTCCGGGACCAGGTATTCCGTTGGTATCAACGCATCTCGTGCGGCAATTTTCTCCGCAACGATGTCCGCCCAGTACGAGGTGTTACGGGGAAGAAGATCGCGTGCGTCGACTTCATTGCCATAGTAGAACGCAGAGCGCGCGCTTGCAAGAGCGAGGAGAAAGGCGCAGACACCCCACGCGAAGATCATATCTGCAGCCCACGTCAACGTCGGTACACTGGTGGGAAGGTCGTCGGGAAGCCCTTTGGAACTCACCCGAACCCTTTTATCTCTCCGGCGAATTCATGATAAGTGGAAAGCGCGGGCTGATAAGCGCGTTCGGCGGCCTCGTCATGAGAATGCGGAGGTTGGCGGCTTCTTGGGCACATGCTGGGCAGGGGCGACCCGAGATGATGACCGAAAGCAGAAAGGGGCAAGTTCATATCTTCCTACCGGATGGCGATAGATGCGACATCAAGACCTACGCTGGCTCGGCACGAAGATCCACACCCCTTTACCTCCTTAGTGCAGCTCGCCAGAGACGCTGGCAAAGGCCGCGTATGAGCGATGAAAGGTGTAGTCAGGAAGCACGACAGCGGTCCAAAATCCCATTGCAATCCGTCCATGAGAAAAGTCAAATATCAGTACACCATGATCGCCACTCTTTTAGCCGCGGGTCTTCCTTAACCACATGTGTGCCCTCCAAAGCATGGCGGAGTCGACGCACAACCTCGCCGTATCCTTGGTCGGCGCTGCGCGACTGTAACAATAAGTGAGTAATCATTTGCACGTCAAGAACGTTTGTACTCACCTCTTTAGTCGTACGTACCGTTTGGCAAAGCGCAACGATGCATCCTATGTAGTCTTCGCCGACAGCCACCGGGTCGTTCTTTTCGCAAAGTGAGTCTGCGTTGTGTAGCAATCCTAATGTACAGAATCAGCACGAGGATCGTGACGAGCGGCACACCTACTCGCCTTCGACAGCATCATATCGCTGCTGCAAGAACTCCTCAGCCGAGATCTTGAACTCGCCACTTCCGGACAGCGCAAAGGGCAAGTTCGCAAGCAGAGGATGACGAAGTCCATCGACATTGAGTATGGCGGCGAGGTATCGATGTTCGATGGTAACATGCTGTGCTGCGAAGGAGCGCCAAAGCAACTCCATACACATAGCACGCAGCGACCGGCTGCCGACAGTCGAAGTCGTAGAGACTGTATCGTACGCCATGGGCTCGTGCGTCAAGATAGCCAGGCAGAATCGCATGTCGAGCCAGATCGCACAGTCTGGGCGGTCCTCCTTCAGCACGCCGAGACGCTTCTCAATCAAGTCTCCCCAAGACTGTCGATTGTGAGCACGATACACAACGAAGGCGAACGAATGGCACTTACGAGCTGCTTCGTTTTCTTGACGACAACGTGTGCCTCCACCCAGGTATCGATGATGTTGGACAGCTCCTCCGATATCCCCTGGTGCATGACCGCGTACTTGAGGAAACGCCACACGGCCCAGTAGTGTGCAGTGAGCGCCTACATATGCTATCAGGAGGCAGCCGGACGGATGTCGCAAGACCACAAACCTTGCTCATTTCGCCATCAAGAGCAGCAGCTTCCTCGGCCGTGAGTGTCTTCGGCTGATCTTCCGCGGTAATGTGCTTGGTTTCAGGCTCTTGAGGCACTGGATCAGCGGCTACGTTTGCCAGAACCGCGTCAAGAGCCGGGTCATTCCAGTCGAAGCCGTCTACATCGTAACTTTGACTTTCCTCTTCGGCCGTGACCGGAATGCGCGGACGCTCGGGAGGAGGAACAACGCTTCGACGGGCTTTGAGAATGGCAGCGATGATATGGAAGTGCTCCCTCATCGCCGTGTCCTTGTGCTGATCTGCACCTTGACACTCGTCCAGAAAACGTGGTAAGGACGACACTGCGTGCAGTCCATCAGTCAGTGTGCATTTGTACGAGCAAAGGTGGCTAAACTCACGAAGAAGATGAGGCGAGGGATACGTGATGTGGGCCGCAATGATCCTGCGTACACAACCCATGATCGCGAGACCGCAAAGCATGATGTTGTCCTTGTCGTCGTTAGTTGCGTCCGACTTGTACTCCGCAAGAACGGTCTTCAACTGCGTATCGAACCAGCCGAGGATCCGGTCCAAGCTACCTGGGGGCCCGTAGTACAGTACGGCCACTGCCATGTACTGCAGTCCGCGCATCAAGCTTATTCTCGTGGTCGCTGAAGCCTTGTTAAACTCGACGGACTGGAGGGCCTGGTCGATGCGTCTATCACAAGAAGCTGGGTCCAGGTATATGGCGAGTATCGCGAAGCTGATACGGTTAAACAGCGTGGACAACTGATTCTTGCTGGGAGTCCTTAGGGTTTCCAGGTCGACCTTCGAGAGTGGTCCCCAAACGCTAAGCAGTTGCCTGGCTCTGAAGATCTTCATAGGAACACTCCGCCCGGGGTCCATGCCTTTCTGGATGGTAGCCGCCACCAGACGCAAGAACAAGGTGAAGGCCGACTCCTTCTCAACGCGATCGAGAGGTTTCGCCAGGTCAGATAGGCGCCCCTCGCGAATGAAAGCAGGGTAGTCGCTATGCTTCTCCGTGCGTAGATCTGCGTAATGCCTCGACTTGAAGATCGCCGCGAGCCTCCTCATCACAGGATGAGACGCCTCCTCGCCAGGACTCCAGCCACAGCGCCTCCATAGTTGGTAGCATCGGAACACCACGATCCCTGCGTAGACTTCCATCAACCTGCGCTCTGTGTACGAAGTCGAAGGTCGGGTCGCGGGGTCCACTTCAAGACGGGTCAGGCTCATCGCAAAGTCGACGACACTCCAAGCGGCGGGCAAGTGGAACTCGGCGGTCGTGAAGCCGTGCTGATTGAACTGTGACAGCGCACATACGCTGAACACCGTCCTCCAGATGTGCTCGGCCTTTTTGACATGGCCAGTCTCGTCGGCTTTCAGTATAGGCTCCACCAAGGACCAAAGAGAGGGCCGAGAGTCGTCGCCATCGCGCTCAGGCAGTGGTGCATGGAGAATATGGATGAGGCATACCCACGCCTGCGCAGCCCAGCGTGTGGTTGTCGATGTCAGAATGGAGGGCAATGGGTCCTCCTCGCATATGGCCCGCAAGTCGTCGAGGACAGCGGGCAGGCCGAACCGCATGAGGAAGTCGAGCAGCGTTCTAGCGGCGTCGGTGAGAGCTGTCACATCGGAGCTGAGGACAGATATTCGCGCGGACACGTCTACAGCAAACAGAGCAACGGCGAATGTACAACTGTCCACAGCGTCTGCCGTAAGGTCCGCCGAACGAAGGCCGCCAACAAGCCGAACGATGATATCCTTCACAGCGGAAAAGCGCAGCGAGAGCTCGTCAGGCGGCGCAGACCGCAGGTACCACGTCGCATGCTCGCTCGCAGCCTTCATAGTCGCAGACCACTCCTCCGCCTGCTTCGCGCTATCATCCTCCGGCAATCCAGTGGCGAGTTCGAGGAGCTGGTCGCAGAGCTGGCCAAACTGAATGATGAAGGTCGCGAAGGCATCCGATGAGGAGAACTTGACACCGTGATCACTCCAAGGCATGGGCTTGTCGGCGTCTTTTCCTGCGAGCGCCGCCAGCACCGCGCGAAGCCTGCCGTGCCCGATGTACGTCGCGTTGTCGAAGGCCAGTCCGGAGGGCAGCAGAGGTATCTCGTGCTGTAGCATCTTGTCCGCGAACTTCAGCTTCTCATCCTCCTCCTCCTCCTCCTCGTCTTCGTCTTCGTCGTGAGCGGTATCAAGAATGTCGGGAGCCAGGAGAGACCGAGCCGACTGGGTGCGGGATAAAGGAAGTCGGTGAGCATGCTGAGAGGAGCCGGGTCGAGGTTGGCTTGGAGGAGACGGCGGCGCCTGCTCGAAATGCAGCGCTTGGTACACCGTCTCGTCCTCGAAGTCGACCGTCACGTATTTGCGGCTGCCGAAGCCCGACGCAAGACCGCCACCCGCGGTGAAGACATGCAGACCGCGCAGTCGCTTCCGCTCCTTCGCCAGCTTGCGCTTCTCCTTGCGCTTCTGCCACCAGTCGTCCGCTTGCGGGTCGTGCTCTACGTCGATGACTTCGCCTTGGTCTTTGCGAGGCTTGGATGCATGCGAGCGATGGCCACCAGCGCGCTTTCCGCTCGGACGATGTCGAGGTGCAGGACCAGCGTCATCGCCGTGCGGCGACGACATGCGTCCAGACGAGCTGCGGTGTAGACCGCGATGAGTGGCGCCACCCTTTGAGCGCTTATGCGTGCGGTGGTTACTGAAATCGAGTCTCAGTTGGCGACCGCCGCCATTCCTTCGCGCAGCGGGAGTGATGAAGTTGTACCTGCCCGATGCCTTCTTCGGCTGCTTCGCCTTGCCAGACACCAGCCTGCGCGTCCGGTCCAGCATGAAGTCCACGATGCTGAACTCCCGCTTGGGGCGTTCGCCGGCGTGGAAGTAGCCGCGGAGGTCGTCGTCGTCGACTTCCTCGAATTCTTCCTCTTCCGTGGTCGGGTCGCCCGTTAGGTCGAGGACGTCGACTTCGTCTTTGACACTAGCGTCGTCATCCGAGATGTCGATGGGTTTGTATCTGGGGCGAGCGGGTCGGACCTCGATAGCCTGAGAGCCTCCACTGTCGAACGATCGTACAGAGCGCTCGGAGTCAGAGCTCTCTGGGTCGCCCTTGATGTCGCGCACGTCTCGTGGTCGTGCCGCGATCCGGACCCTCGACTGGCCCGGCTGCAGAGGAACGCCACGATCGTCGTCGGAGGCGTCGGCAGTAGTAGCTCGCGTCTGGCTTCGCTGTTGTCGTGGCTTCGGAGGAGCTTTCTTCAAGGCCTTCGACCACATGAACTTCGGTAACACGCGGCGCAGGGCCTTCAGGTTCTTGCGCCCCTTGGGATCGACCACCTCAATAGGGTCCGCAGAACCGGCGTCATCTTCGTCAGAACCTTCGTTAGCGTCGTCGGCGGCGCGATCATCGTCGGACTCTTCGACCCCGAGAGGTGAGTTCGCGCGACTAGACGCTGGGGGCGATGGAGACGGGACGCGGGGAGGCGAATCAACAGGTGAGAGTGGGCGCGGTGACACATCCCAGGGTCGTGTCTCGGGCGATGGGGAGCGCATAACGCGATCCTTCATGTACTTGTCAATGACATTCGCGGACTTCAGCGGTGAAACAGGCTTACTGGGGACACTGGATTTTGTTGTCGCGATGGGCCTGGTGTTGGCGAACGTGAGGTCCTCCCACGGGCCTCCTCTCGATGCCCATTAGTCACGCGTAATTGACGACGGCGCCGTTCGTCCGCTGCCAGCTCCTTACGCCGGCGTTCTTCGTCTCTTCTTGCCTTTTCTTCCTCCCTGCGAGCCTTCTCCGCCTCTTTGGCCTTCTTCTTCTCCTCTCGCTCGTGGCGCTTTCTCTCCCTTTCCATTCGCTGAAACTCCTTGAGGAACTCGTTGCGGCGAGGTAGATCTACGTCGAACTCGTCCAAAAGATCTGCTTCACCAGGCGATAACTCTTTATCTCTGGACCGCGAGCGGGCATCTGCGGGGCACGTCAAAAGTGAACCTCGGGAGTGATCATTTGCCACATACCTATACTTCGACGTCGTCGATGTGGTTCCTCTGGAATGAACTCTTGAGATTCCTCCTCGTCGTTTCCTTCGGCCGCAAACCCATGCCGCCTGGCGAAATTACGCAGCTTGACAATCGCCTCGGGATTATTGCGCATCATGTAGGCGTATTTCTTCTGGTCTAGCGTGTAGGGATTCATGTTAGCCGCGTTGCGCTTCCGCAGGGAATAGCGGCCCCTGGTCGGCTCGTCGATTTGGTTGCCAATATCGGCAAGGGTATCGTCGAAGGCTTCAGGCGGCTCGGCCTCCTGGTTGGGAGGGTCATGAGTGCGATGAGGGGACGCCGAGCGATGAGAGCGCGCAGGCGATGATAGGGGGGAGGTCAACGGAGATTGCGTCGGCAATGGCGTGAACAGAGGCATAGTTGGAGTACCAGTCTCATCCGGCTTCCCGTTGGTGTCGAGGTCCATATCGTGCCCCGCGTGCGGTTCAGTGGTCTGCATAGGGGAGCTGAATAGGTTCAACGGATCCGGCGAGTTCGTTGCGAGGTCGGGGGTACGGTGTCTTGAGTGTCGTGGAGTCACGAGAGGGGATGACGGTGCCGACGGTGTTGACCGGCGTCCTGGCTGTGAACTTGTCGGGGGAGGGAGTGGTGGGAGGGATTCGGGCCGCGGTGACGATTGAGAGGGCTGGGTTCGACTGAGATCAGAGGGAGATCCACTCCTGGAGGATGTCGCTCTCTTCGCAGGGCTTGGAGGTGTAAAGCGCGCAGGAGCATGTTTCGCTGCTGGTGAGGAGAACCATGCGTTTGCCGCTGACTGCCATGGTGTGCCCGGGTCTTCGAGAGGCGGTTCAGAGAGCCCTCGTTGCACCTATAGTATTGTCAGCAGCAGATTGCATCGGCAAGCACTGTTCACGCACCTTTCGCCGTTTAGTTGGCCGACGATCTAAACTCGGTAAAGTGCGCTTGATACCAGCTATTTGGGCACGAAGACTGGGATCGCCTCCTTCTTCTGGGTCCGAGGTTTCCACATATTCTCCACCGTCCGCCATGCGTAGCAATTCGTTGAGTTGGCGGAAAGCAAGCACACGTCCAGATACGGTGACACCGATAGACGCGTGCCAGACAATGTCGTCACGGATCTGTGACCATCAAACGCGTCTGGTCACAGTGCACGTGAGGTTCGACTTCTAGTCTTCCCAGCTTGTCCACTCCCACCATGGCTCTAGACCACTACTAGAAATCAAAAATATTTTTGTGCTCCCTGCCCTCCATTTCACACACTCCTCGTCATGCAAAACCGTACCGCTTCTCTTTTTTTTCCCGCGACGTGCCCCTTAGCACAACAAAACCTTTTACTCTCGGTCAGGGTAAGGCTCTAACAGCCGAGCACATTCGGAAACTCACGGTTCGCTAAACGACCACCCTGCACTCCCTTCGGCGTAGCACTTGAGACCCGAAGAAAGCTTGTGGCTTCGAGTCGCACCTGTTACGCCCCAGGACTTGTAGAAGTCCCCCACGTGACTCAACAACGCGGCGAAGTAAGCGCCGCCTGCATGGACGACCCTTGGCGGTGACGCGTCACATTCAACTGGAAACGCTGGCAAGAACGCCTCGTCCTCTAGGACCCGGTGCAGCGAATGCATCATGCACTTCGCATAGTCTTGCTCACGCTTTCTGCGGGGGTGAAGCTTTTGCGACCCATCGATTTTTCATTCATCTGTCCATCTAAGGTACAATACTTAGCACCAACAGTAACTTTTTTGGGGGGTTAGTACCTATCAACGCGCTTGATTAATCACTCACTTCTCGTTGCACATCCAATCCACCTCGTCCCCAGCATAGAATTTCAGGGCAGGAAGATGCTTCGGCCTCTCAGCCGTTATACCACCCGCCACTCTCGCCTCCTCTAGATAAATTGACGGAAGATTCCAGGTCTCGACCTTGTGGAACCCGTTCTCCTTCGCGTACCAAAATATCGCATTCATCAAGTTCTTGTACTGAATGACGCTCTGCGCGCGAAGCCGGGTCAGCAACAGGGTCTTCGCGGTCGGGGATGCGACCTGGATCGTCCAGGACGCATAGGCGAGGTCGCCAGACGCAGCCTTCACGCCCCAAGACTTGACGAGGTATGGATGCAGCGACGGGTTGAGCAAGCCGCGGTTCTGCTGGAATTCGGCGACGCCTTCGTCGGGCATGTAGGCCACGACCGGCTTCCCCTGCCGTGTGCGGGCGAAGTCGACGATGTCACGCTCCATGAGAGGGACGTCCTGGCGCCATGCATCCTTCACCTCATTTTTGTCCAGCCACTGCCACTCCGCGGTCGGCTGGGTCGTCTGCAGTGAGCCAAGGTCCCAGATTGTCGAAATTGGGTCTCGGACGACCCATCCCTCAGTCGATGGCGTATCGCCGCACGCCTTGTAGAACTCCTTCCCCACGTCGCTCCAGAGGGTGGCAAAGTAACCACAGCCTGCGATGGGGACTCTCGGCGGCGGGGTGCCCCATTCAGCCGGGAACGACTTGAGGAACTTCTCATCGGCGAGTACCCAGTGCAGCAGACGCATCATATGGTTTGCGTAGCCTTTCCGACGTTTCTCTTCTGGCGTGAAGACCGAGGCGACGCCATACGCGGTCACTGTCTTCAGCTCGCCATCGACGAAGTATCGACCACTGCGGCCGTAGCTGAGAAGTCGCGAGTCAGAGCTAGTAAAAGCTACATACGAACGGCGTCAACTCACGTCTCGCACGCGCACATGAAGTCCACCGTCTCTGGGTCAGAGCGGGGTGCAAGGACCCTAGAAAACCGCGTCAGGGAGAAAAATAGGATTCAGTAGTACGATTGTCGATATACTGACCAGGTCAAAAACCTCCCACCAACTGCATTTTCCTGGTTTTCCAGCGCAACATCACGAGCCAGGTATTGCTCGAGTGTCAGCCCGTTCGCCCACTCCTGAAACGACCGCTTGCGGGATTCTATGGCCTGTTCTCGGGTCGCGAGGTATAGCGACAAGTCTTTGTAAGCAGTCATCGCTATAGGAGATGTCGACGGCAAGATGGATGTAGAGCTAGGAGAAGTCTTGTGAGGGGAAGACGTAACCTGCGCATACCTATCGATTGGGGAGGTTCACCGTCCGCCGCGGCGTTCGCCGGCATCTTGGACCCGCGTTTGTCACAGGCCACTTAACACAAGCGCTCGTTGTTGAACTGGCAACGCGGCGTACTGCATCGTAGCATTTTGCATGAGTACCGTTACCTTCCGCCAAGTAGCGGCAAGGCCAAGGCTAGTGTAAGGTTTACAAGCGTTGAGAGCAAGGCAAGTCCGGCATATGCCGCAAGCGTAACACTGTGCACCCGAGACCGGGTTACAATCACCCTACGACTACCAGGAGATCTGGTTGATGCACCGAATGCCAAGTTTTCCGGGTGGTTTTTGGGTGGCAGTACGGTTACAGCTAGGTGATTTTGATTTGAGGAATTTCGTCCCCGAATCGCGCCTTTCGAACGCTGTATTGCTTGTTACTGGGCAGTTTGGGGTATATATCATCACTCCGATGTACCACGGTCATCTGCTTCTCGACCCGCTTGCTATGGGGTGCTGTGTCCGAGTATATGATATCGTAGGGTCCTTCGAGAGGTTCTGAGTGTATATTTCGTCTGCTAATCAGTTCTCGATGGTATTTTTCATGCTACAGATGCTCCTTGGGCGCATTCATAAGCGTTGTGACCTTCTTACAAGGTGCCCAAAGCAGGATAAATCCAGAAATCTGCAAAAACGTCGGTTAATGCAGATCTCCGAGAGAAGATAAGAGGCTTGGTTGGAGTAAGACTTGAAATATGTGAAGAAGATCCCTAAATCCACCTTGACAACGGAGCATAAAGCGCCAGGACATCCAAAAGTGAGTTCAACCGTGATCTGTCACGCGTGTGACAGCGCGTCGCGGCGTGACGTGGCTCCGTGAAATCCCTAAGTCCGTCTTCTCTTGTACCATCATCCCCGACGGCCACGACCTCCAGCAGGTCTCGCATCGCACACAATATTGTGCCCCGTACTCCTCCCTCTTACTGACACTGGCCGCCATCAAGCATAGACCCAACCCGCAAGCCGCACACCGCTCTATAACGCGCGTACGACGCGCGCGAGGTTCGCCATTCGGATTGCTGCGACGCGGTACTGGTCTGCTGTCGCGACATCGACACCCTCCAGCGCACTGGCGTTATGTATTGCAATACCAGGTGCGTCACTGACACGGCCCACCGACCTGAGCTTACGTCGTCGTAGCCGCGTTCTGTACACCGCGGAACCAGGTCGCCGTCGATCCTGTGTGTACCTTCGTCATGCGCCGCATTCTTACAGGCTCTGCCCAGCGCCATGCCCTTTCCCCGCCAACATGTCTCCCCCTGCCTAACGCAACGATCGACTCGATGACAGCCCTTTTGCGGCCAGCTCCCTGCCCTCGTCCCTTGTTGTAGGCACACGTCTGTTCATGCCGTGTCTTTTGTCGTGGTACATTGTAGTAGTCCTTGTAGATACAGTATGCAATAATATGATTTCTCCCTTCAACCAAGTGCGTGAAGCCCGTTCCGCAATGAATACAACCAGGGAACGTAGTGAGATAACAAGGACCAGAATCACTAGTCTTTCGGGTGCTGATATCAGCTCGTTTTTGGGTGAATCACGCCTAGGAGTTCGGGTTGTAGGTACCCGACCTTCACCAGATTGATTCACCCGAAAGTCGGTGTGTATTCAACCCAAATTCAACCACACATTCACCCGTGGCCAGTCACCCATTTTCCAGGTGACACAGGGTGAATTTGAGCCGTATTCCGAGGGATATCAACTGTATTTATGGGTGAAAGTTCGGGTGAACGTAACCCGGTTTGGGGCGCACAGTGTAACGCAGTGACTTGCTGCTCAATGCTGTCTTGTCTGGAGCTCTCATGTTCACGTTTGCATTCGTATTCCTCTGCTTACACCGCCCTATACACTGGTTTCTACTCGCGACGTGCTTCACTACCCTTCAATGCGCCACATCGTTAACTGCCAAGAGTTCCTGCTAGGCATAATGCTCGCGTTTACCTGCCTGGATTGCTCAAGCCCATCCGAATCTGTTGTGCACAGTCAGTTCGAGCAACAGACGAACAGGGTATCCTATGCGCACCTCTCGTTGAAAGCCCACTCTGCGTCGTCGACGGCGTACGACTTGAGGGCCGGCAGATTTCCCTCCCTCACGCTCGTCACGCCAGCCATCTCCTGCGCAGCGTCCTCGAGTTGCGAAGGGAGATTCCAAGTCTCGACAGACGGAAAGCAGTTCTCCTTCGCATACCAAAGCACTGCGCCCATCAACTCCCTGAACTGCGCGGCATCATGCACCCGCAGCCTGGTCAAGATCAGCCCCTGCGGTTTGCTCGCCAGGTTCACCGTCCAGGTCGCGTAGCTGAGCTCGCCGGTCGTCGACCTGATTCCGTACGACTTCATCGAGAAGGGACGGTGTGGCGGGCTGTACAGCAGGCGGTCCGAAGCAGCGACGCCTCCGGTCGGCAAGAAGGAGGCAACTGGCCTGTGCAACTGCTTCCCGAGCTCGACGACGTCCTTCTCCATGAGCGGCACATCCTGGCTCCAAACCTCCTCCACCTCCTTGTCGTCCAGCCACTTCCATGCGCTCGTCGGCTTCGACGCGCTCTTGGCAGACGATTCCAGCTCCCAGACTGTCGACCTCGAGTCCTTGAGCAGCCAGCCCTTCGTCGAAGGTGTATCGCCGCACTTCGCGTAATACTCCGGCCCAAGAGCACTGTAGAGCGAAGAGAAGTACCCTCCCCCTGCAGAAGGCACTCTCTGCGGCGGCGCACCCCATTCCTCTGGGAATTCCTTCAGGAATCGTTCGTCGGCGGTGACCCAGTGAAGCAACCGCATCATATGCCCAGCGTATCCCTTCCGGCGCTGGTCATCGTGCGTGTACACGAACCCGACGTTATAGCAAGTGACGCGCTGCAGCTCGCCATCGTAGAAGATGCCGTCTCGGCGATACCTACGCAAACGTTAGCAATGCTTCCAAGATGATTGCACAGATATCACTGACGACCGGCAAGCACTTGGAAAGTCAAGCGTCTCGGGATCGTCCCTGGGTGCGAGTACCCTGGCCATGACGAGTGAGGCGGTAATCAAGGAGTATATGAGCGACAAACCAAGTCTTAGACCTGCCGTTCGCCGAATGCTCCTGATGCTCGAGCGCCTCGAAGACGGACAGATACTCATCCAGAGTATATCGCCCTCTGCCCCATTTGGCGTACGTCCTCTTGCGATGTTCGATGATCTGGTCGGAAGTCGCGACAAACAGCGTGAAGTTCTTCAGGTGGGCCATGGCGGTGGTAGGTGAGGAGGGATGCTGCGATTGCGCTGGTCCTCTTATACTGGTACCGCAGCATTTGAATTCTGGCTTCGGTAGCATTCGTACTCAGAACGAGTCACTATATACGACTGCGCCTTGGGTCAATCGCTGCGGCGCCGCTGCATGACTGAGCGTAGCATGTGCGATACAGAGATAGAGAAAGGTCACAAGGTATGTTACATGGTATAGTATACAACAGGCGAAAAGCCAGTCCGTTCATTCTCGCAAATCACGTATATTCCGTATCACGCTTTCGTCGCGCCGGATGGCATGTTCGGACTAGGAGGCGCCTCCTTCTCCTGCCCCTCGTGCGAGTTCTGGAAGTTCTTGAAGATGGTCGGAAAGATGACCGACTGCAAAGCCACGTCAGGAGAAGCTCGTGGGTGCCAGCTTGACGAACACTTACCCTGACGACCTTGCCAATATCGTCCTTGAACGGGATGTCTTGCGGAGGCTGGGGTGGCATCCAGAATGGCCATGTCGTGCCCCACTCAAAGATAAGCAAGAGCACACCGAAATACTGACGTCCCTTCTTAAAGGTCTCCTTCCATCGCTCGAAGGCAGACGTCTCTTTGGGCTCGGCAGTCCTGTTGCATTATCAGCACCGAGATCTTTACGGTATCGCCGGAAACTGGCTTACTGGAAGAACTGTCAAGGTCGTCAGCGCATGTCAATATGATAGCGTGTAGGACTTACAGTCTCGACTTCAATGTCGTCGCACCAGTTCATCCGCTCGAACGTGCCCCAGTTCTTGCCCCACCGCGTATCGTTCTGGTATCATTAGCAAATGGGTTCATGCAGCAAGAAGGGCTCTCTCACCATCTTGTTCACATGGATAGGTAGATTGGTGTCCATAGCTGGGATCCAGGAGTTCGATGTGGAGTAGCTATAGTACGCTTCAGTGGCGAATGATTGGAACAATCGGGCGCAAGCTACCTGAAGATAGTGTGTAGCGCGTACGCGGCATAGGTAGCATACTTATCCTCCAGACCCAAGACGATGAGGCCCTTGATGGTGTCGTTGATGTTGACGACGCCGTCCGCATCGGGATCGAAGAAGGTAGGCGTCTACAGGCTCGTCAGTTCCCCTCAACCACAGGAGTAAAGGTAAGACGCACCACTCCGCTCATGTTCATCGCCTTCATGGTCAACGTGCTCACCTGGCTCACAGCCGCCATCGGGAGCCCGTTGACCTTCTCCAAGCCCTCGCCGAGCGCCTGGAGACCCTCGACCGCCTTCAGTCCACTCGCGATGGGCTGGAAGACCTTCCCGCTGGTCTCTGCAGCGGTGTTGACGATACCGCCAACCGCCGTCCCCGCCAGATCGACGGTGCCCTTGACCACGCCGGTCGTGACATTCGCTCCCGTTTTGGCGACGCCCTTTCCTATGTCGAAACCGGCGGAAGAAACGCTCTGGACGAATTTTCCACCGAGCTGGCCTGCTTGTACGGCTGGGTTTACGACGACGGACGCGCCGGTGGTCAGCCCGTGCCCGACATTGCCACCGAGGGACGTAACGCCAGAAGTAAGGCCAGAGACGAAGCCTTTGCCCTCCGCCTGCTGCGGCTGAGGCGCCTGCGCGTTCGCTGCTGGCTCGGGAACTTGCTGCGTGGGTTGCTGGCTAGTCGTCGGTGCGGCTGGCGGAGTCGGATCTACAGATTGTTCGGCCGATGGCCGTGATGGGGGCGCGCTCTCGGCGGGGCGTTGCTCGGGAGCCTGGTGCTCCTCTTTCTGTGTGGAAGGGTTGAAGACGCTCGCGCCAGCAGAGGCGACACTACCGACCCCTTTCACCCCAGCGTTAAGCCCGTTGCCGACACTTCTGGCGCCAGCGCCAAGGCCGTCTCCAACGCCCTTGACGCCAGCACCGACGCCTTTGCCAATGCTGTCGGTCGTATTCTTCAGAAAAGCTGCCATAGTGGGTGTACAAGCCTAGAGTGAAGAGCGCGGAGGGCATGCTCGTCGCTACTTATATGTTGGCCGGTGGAGTACAATGACGTTCGAGGCATATGTTGGCATTCATCTCTGGTGCTGCGCGGGGAGACAGACCGCCTGGTAGAAAACGGAGAGGCGGTGGCGAGGCACGCTTGTCAGTTTGACGTCACTGTCGAGAAAGAACAATGAAAATCCATGAGAATATCCAAATGGATCACTTGCACGTGTACAGTGACCAGTCACAGTTGACTTTCATGTCCACGCAACGAAGCCGTCCCAGTGGTGGGAGCTTCGAGGACGCACACAATCAGCACACAATTGCTCATAGCACTCTCAGCCAGACACAATAGATATTTGAGCAAGGATTCAGACCTCATGAATATTGTCGTCCGTCGTCTTCTGTCCAGCCTTACGGTACTATAGTAGTGCACCTTACACAAACGTTCCTTTCCAAAGCGCTTACTGGGGAATATTGGCTGAAATTCTACTGCAACGGAGAGAAAGGTAGACAGGAACGTGAAAAGGTGAGCACATCGGCCCTTCGAAGTTTTGCATAAATGTCAGCGAGGAAAGCATGCTTAGGCTATGGTGCGGATCGAAAGCAGAATAGTCCAAGAGTCCTCCTGCTATACACACCTGCGGTGAGGCTTCCTCCTGGCCTTTGCTCGTAGTATGCACAAGTCTGAAATGAACTTTCAGAGCGTTTTGCTCCTCTTTGCCACGCTACGTAGGTGCAATCTCCGGCCAAAACATCTACAGTAAGGTGTAATTTCTCCTTCGTCATAGTAGCCAGGACGAAGCGGTACTCAAGGCTCTAAGGTACAGAAGTGAGTGAGTCAACATACACACACAGGCAGGCGCCATGACGACCAAGTTCAACATGAACAATCATGAATGTAACCGGCAGATGCCGATTTATCAACGGACCCGGCCCTTCTGGCCGCAGTGATCCCCAGTTGGTGGCACCTTCCTGAACGCGTCGCAACGCCCTTGACTCTCGCCACCGTCGTCGTCTGCGTCATCATCGCCGTAGCCGCCGCTGTCCCCAATCACCCGTCCTACCGCCATCATGCCCGCCGAGCCAGCGCGCACGTATCTGCAGCCGCAGAAGTCGCCGTCGCGTCAGAGCCTTAGCCTCCGCAAGTCGAGCGCCTCTTTGCGCGGGCTCCCTGACGAGAATGCAGTCGGCCAGCACTCTTTGGCGCACGAGCTTGCTGTCGCGCTCATGCCTGAGCCTAGCGCGGGTTCGCGTCTGTTGGCAGAAGAGTTCGGCATCGAGTACGACGAAGGGGCAGAGGGTATTGACAGCGACCCGCACGCCGCGGAGGGCAATCCGGACATCAATGTAGAGGAACCCTCCTTCGCCGATCACTCTTTCGACGCCACGCAAGACGAAGAACCCTCGGAAGGCGCCACCGAGGATGTGCCTCAGGACATGGACCCCGAGTTTGGCGAGCCAGCGCCAGCACCACAAAGGGCCCCGCGCGCACCAGAGCAAGATCCTATGCAGGTGCTCGCGCAGAACCTCGAGTCCACAGACAAGTTCCTCGTTCACCTCCGCACGGTAGATTCCACCGACGCGAACCCCCTCCAACATCAATCCACGCTCGAGCGCATTGCAGGGGATGTCATCCGTCGCTTGGAGGAGACGGTGCGGGATCGGGAAGGCCAGGTGCGCGAGCTGCTCGAGTACGAACGCGAATTCCGCAAGATCGCGGGCGAGGTCGGCGGGAACGACGCGCTCAGTCACCTAGACGAGCTGCAGAACGACATTGCGGATGAAGTCGATGCCCCCGCCACATCGCCTACCACGTCCCGCGCGCCACGAATGGAGGACAGCATGCGCCATTCGCACGGAGCGTCCGCAGATTGGGATGTCGAGGAACCATCTCCCAGCACTTCCCCCACGACGACTACGTTCAAGATACCCCCTCCACCCCCTAACCCTGTCGGTCCTCCAACTCCTGCCGCCACACTTCCCCACCTCACACATGTCCGCACTATCACAACATCCCTTGTCGCGTCCCTCACGACGATATCGGAGCAGGCGCAGGTGACGGGAGCGGCTACGACCGATGCCGGCCGACGCCTACGCGCGCTGAAGAACAAGCTTGGCGGTTGGAGGACAGAATGGGAGGCCGCGGAGCGAAGTCGGCTGAAGATAGAGAAGTGGGAACAGGACATAGCACGGGGTGCCGTTCCCAACCGGCGGCAGGAGGTTGAGGAGCACCTCAAAGCCTTCGAGCTTGCACTCAAGGACGCTGGCCTTAAGACCGACGCCATCATGGCTGCCTCATAGACGGATCGTACATCGGACGTCGCCTCAGTTTCGCGTCATGCTGAGGCGGCGTCCATCGCTACCATGTACATATCTTGATTTGCTCGTCTGATTTATTGACAACATTGCTATCCCTTCGTCTATCTCACGATTTACATACACTTTCGCCATTGTCGTCTGTGTACATGCTCTCAACCCCCCACAAGTACAATACCAACATCTGTAGTCAGTCACAAGGAATAAAGTAACCTCGGAGTCGGAACTTTGCCTGTCTGAGCTCTGGAGTCTGGACTGAGCGTTCTCACCAAGTATAACAGACTCAGCACCTCAACACGACGTCCCATCCTGTAGACTAAATCCTTGAAGGTTGACCATTTAAAACGATTGCAGACTAAGTAAAGGTATTACGAGACGCGAACGCCGAGTCAGATATACACATCGGGGTCGTATCGATGGGCCAGAGGAGCTCGAGCGACGCATAGGTCGCTGTCCATAGCGAGCACTGGGTATGCGGGCGCTTACAGGCCCTCCATCTGCTGTACAAGCTCGTCGAGCTCCGCCTTGCTCTGGCGGTACTTCGCTTCGGATTCCTACGTGACGAGGAATGGAGGTTAGCGCCAAGCATGGAGGCTTGATGAGCTGACGACGCACCTCCCACTTCTTCTCCATCTGGTCGCGCTCCTGCTCGAGCCGCTGAACTTGCCGCTCGAAGTGTTCCGCCTTGACATCCACCTGCCGCAACCTGCGCGCGATCAGCGATCCCGTGGCACAATAGCCGCACGTCGCGCCGGGGCGCGGCGCCGGAGCCAAAGACGACAACGCACTTCTCGACGGTCTCCCGCGCGTTCTTCTCCGCGTTGTCTAGCTCCTCCTCCAAGAGCTGTATCTTGCGCAGCAGGCCCTCGTTGGTCTGCTTACTGCTCTCGCCCTCGTCCTGCGCCGATTTGAACTCGTTGAGCTTGCTCTCTGCTTTCTCGAGATCCGCGTCGAGCACGCTCAGCTTGTGCTGGAGCGAGGTAATCTCCTGGTCGCGCTGGAGAAGCGTGAGCTCGAGCTGCTTGTTCTTGGCCTCAGCCTCCTCGGCGCGCGCAATGGCGGTGTCGGCCTCGCCGCGGAGCTGCTCGAGTCTCTGCGAGTCCAGTGTCAGGATCGCGGTGGTCGCAAGTCATGGAGGTGCAGGCTGCTCACGGCACGGATGCGGTCAGTCATGGTGTGATATCGCGAGGTATAGTTGGTGGTCGAGGTGGTCGAAACAGAAAGAAAGAGCGCGTTCCGAGTTGGGCAATGCGCAGGAGGCCGCGTGTCATGTGACGTCGCTTCTCTACCATTCACACCGGCGCCTACACGTTCAACTTGATCTACAGTCTGCTCCTCGGCATACAACCACCCTCAAGAGACAAGCATACGTCGGTGGTATCATTGAAAAGATTGAATATCGTTATGCGACAAGTCCTTCCCTACGCGCGCTACATGCACCCTTGACGATCCCGCGGAACCTATTCTCGTCGGGACGAGCCTCAGGACGGATGAAGTCCACGCCAGCCAACGTCTCACTTTGGTGGCAACACGACTACGTGTAGAACTTGCGGTTCTCGTTGGGGCCAAACAGGTCCTTGCGAATCTCGGGCAACATCTGCGGTGGCGAGATTAGCATGCAAACATCGAGAGGATGGAAGAGCAATTACCCTGTCCTCCAGCAATCTGAGTCGCTCGTCAAGGGTGTTATCAAGGGTGATACGACCATTGCCGCTGACAAGCTTGATACCACCGGCGCTGTAGGCAAGGTCAGCTTGCAAGGTCAATTGGACGCGACTGCATCCCATATGTAGGGCGATCGTCGCATGCTAAGATGGTCCACGTACATGTCGTCCGGCAAGGTGCCCTGCACCTCAAATGATATGTCGCGTCCGCTGATCTTCAGTGAAGGTAAGCCTTTGCACTGCATTTCTGCGGAAAATCGCTGACCTCCTTGTAGTTCTTCTGCGCGCTCTCAGCGGCCTTCGTGATCACATCATGATCTTTCTTGCGCCCGTGCAGCGTTACGGACGACTCCATGAGGATGAGGAAGCCTTGGGAGGGCTAAGAGAATATCCGGTCCATGTTTCGGACGAACGCACCTTGCAAGATCATGCCCTCAAGGTATTGCTCATACTGCCCGGTGGATCCACTGCTGACATTCGTAATCTCCTGGCGCGCCGTGTTGAAGAGGTCCTGCAAGTGCTCTTCACGACGATGGAGCAACTTCAAGCGCGACTTGTTCGTCAAAGTAGATTGCGCGCTGCATAGCGATATTCAGTGAACTGGGGGAAGTGGCAAGCAAGGGAGTGACGCACATCTTCTGCGCGACCTCTGCCCCCTTTCGCTTCTTCTCATACTGAGCATCAATTGCCTGCTGCTCCTGCTTGACGAGCTTCGCCTTCTCTATCGCGAACTCCTCATCGGCCTTGACCTTGATCTCGCGGGCCTTCTCTAGTGCCTCCTGCTTGATGAATGCCACCTGGGGAGATGATCAGAGCCAGATAAAAAGGTATGTTAGGTCGTAGAGAGTGTGAAGCAAAGGGCGACAGTACGTCCTATAACAGCTTCAGACGTACCATCTTGTTCATCTCGCTGAGGACTTCCTCATCATTGAGTGGGCGAGACATATTGCACAGATAAACGCAGGGATGTGAGAATCGAGATTAGGCCAGGCAGCGCACAAGCACTCGGTTTGCAGAACTGGTAGAGCTGAAGCTGGCGACGGCAGGGGACCAAGAGCGCTTGCCGCCGACGCCACATGCCGCGGCCAAACACCGCCAAATGACTTTCGGACCACCGGCACGATGGTCCGACGCCGACGCGGAGCGTCACCAAAAATTTGGAACCGCGGCTTCTCCAGTTGAAGTCAGCGCTCAGCTCCCCGCACTCGACTGTTCCCTCGTTCCTCTTCCTCCTTCCTCGCTGTCCGTGACGACGATCTCGTCCTCATACTCCCGATCATGTCCCCCGTCCCGTCGACCTCGCAGCAAGATCCCCCTGCCATGAACACGGAGTTGGACGAAGTGGAGCCCCCGCGTCTCCTCCCGGCGAAGTCATGGCAGCACTTCGTTGCTGGAGGGTGCGTGTGAATCAAGCCCCTCTCAACCGCTTCTCTAACGCGCCTTTAGCTTGGGTGGGATGTGTGGCGCCATCGTGACCTCGCCGTTCGATGTGGTCAAGACTCGACTGCAGTCCAGTTTGTTCCACGAGCACGTTAACGTTGGAGGCGGTGAGTCGTCCTACTTCTATCCATGTTTCTTCTTCCACACTATCGCGTCATGCGCTACCCTTGGTCTCAACGCTCATGACAGGCACATTAGCCTTGGGAACAGCACCGCGAACGGTACAACGCGGTCTACTATGGAATTTTGTCGAGACGGGTCATATTCTACGGTGCGCGGACTTCCTTCCATTATATCGCCTGGTACTCAACCATTTGTCTCCCTCAGAGACATATATGTCAAGGAATCACCACGCGCGCTGTTTCGCGGTCTCGGGCCTACACTCGTGGGCGTCATCCCTGCAAGGAGCATCAACTTCTTCGCATATGGCAACGGCAAACAAATCATCGCCCAGAACTTCAACGATGGCCAGGAATCCTCGTAAGTTTTGACCGGAAAATATATGATTGGAGCTGTGCTTAATGCCTCTCTTCAGCTGGGTGCACCTGACCGCAGCAGCCATCGCCGGCATTGCTACCGGAACTGCGACGAACCCAATCTGGGTTGTGAAGACTCGCTTGCAGCTCATGCAGAACCAGGGCAAGGAGTCCGGCTCCTTCGCCTCTGGTAGCCTGCGCATGATCGGTCGCATCTTCCGTGAGGAGGGTGTCCGCGGCTTCTACAAGGGTCTCAGTGCCTCGTATCTCGGTGTGACCGAGGGGACGATCCAGTGGGTGCTCTACGAGCGCCTGAAGTCCCTCTCGCAGAGTGTCGATGGGCAGGGTGGTGCGGGGGAGTGGCTGGGAATGCTCGCGAGCGCGGGCACGGCGAAGTGCGTGGCAAGCTTGATCACGTATCCGCACGAGGTAGTCCGCACACGATTGCGGCAACCAGTACCGGAGAATGGGATACCGAAGTACACGGGGCTGCTGCAGACGTTCAAGCTGGTTGTAAAGGAGGAAGGCGTTCGGAGGTGCGTTCTCTCCTTTCTCACCCGCCCGTACTTTGCAGTTAACCGTCGTGTAGGTTATATGGCGGCTTGTCCGCACATCTCATGCGAGTGGTCCCCAATGCCGCCGTGATGTACAGCATCTACGAGGGCATCTTGCGCTGGGGCTCATAGCCCGACCGTTGGCTTTCACAATGATTTACCTTCAAAAGTCACCCGGTGCGGTGGCTCGTCTTTTAGTATCTTTCTCGGACACGCGAGCCATCTTTACCGGCCACTAAATCATTAGTACCCTCCTACCCATCTTCATGCTCACGACTATATCCCAGACATCCTCTGTCGTAGTCTGCTCGTCCGCTCACCCACCCCTTCGACCAGTTGCCTACACACTCATCTCACTCGTCTCCATCTGGGTCCCTTCCTAGACTACGCACACATGTATCATAAGCACATTTATTCACGATAGCTACGTACGCACGCTCTGTGCCCATTTAATGCAATCACCACTGTCGAACTCTACCATAGCGAGATGTATTTTCGCTGCTCCATCTCCACCGCCAACTCCTCCTTGTACTGAGGGAACATATGCGTGAACGCTTTCACCCATCCAGGGTAGAGCTGACGCCCGTAAATTGGATACGTGAGTTCCCAGTATTCCGGCATCCACGCCGCGCAGCCGAAGTCAACGAGGCTGACGTGCCTGTAGGAGTCGTCCACAAGGATGTTGTTAGGGGATATGTCGCCATGCGTGAGATATATGCTCTACTGCTTTTGACCGCGCAGGCGGTTGACGAGGGCGCGGGTCTCCGGGTCTGCTTGCTCGGGAAGGGTATTGAACCACTGCATGGAACTCCTCCTGCAAGGCGAAAGGGCCAACGAGTTCTTCATGCACGATGCGGTAGCTGTAGAATGGCTCACCGAGAAAACTACAGACTGAGTCGCCATACACGGCTGCGTGGTCGATTGCTAAATTCCAGATAGAAAGCGATATTTGTTTAACAGACTCAGACGTTGGCCGTATTTTGGCTGATGAACATCTGGATTTGAGGTGTTCCGTTCCACTGCTGGAAATCAGGTATTCGCACCGCATGCTGCACCGGTCCGACCAGTGATTCGGTCCAAATTTGGTTTTGGACGACGCCACGAATTTGGATTCACAACACGGACAAGCAGGCTGGCTGACACACCGCAAGCAATGCGAGAAAAGACAAGTCCACTTGTCCTTGACAACCATGAACCGTCTGCCCTCGCGCAGTTCCCGCGTTCTCCCCTCCCCTCCCCCGCGAAACTCATGCCCCGTGTCTCCCCTCCGCCTCCGCGACGACTGCCTGCCTTCGCTTGAGGGGCTCAGCAAGACCGATATCGGTTTCCGCTTGAGCGCCTTGCGACGCCATGTGCGCCCTCTGTCCCGTCCCCTCCTTGCGACCTGCGCGGCTTGCCGCTTGCAGGCTTTGAACGTGTCAGTGACCCCCTCGACGGCCCGACGTGCAACTTGTCATCAATAGCGTACATCGCAGCGCCTCGACGTGAGTTCGTTGTCTGCCCATCGCGTCGTGAAGCCTGTTGATCATGACCGCCAGACACCCCCTGGCAGTGAAACTACTCTTTTCAGGTGTGTTGACACTATTCTCTTTGTATATCAGCTGCTGAGAGCTTCGCAGGTGTTCACCATGTATGTAGAGCAAATCCGTCGACTGCAGAGCCCTCACAATTGGAATGGTGCGGCGGTCTCGGGCGCCTACGGAGGTAGGGAGCATTACGATAGGCTTAAGCGGGTTCCGTAACATCCGACTTTGTGTACTCTATGTAGATCGAGAATAAGATAATAGTATCAATATGCTTTCTCTCTTTTATTCTGTGTAACGCAAAACGAGGCAACGGGAGCGGCGACGCGCAGAGCGACGCGCGGCCCCAGCGGGCACGTGGCCTGTGATAGCCAGATTCTACCTGTTTGCCGCGATACCTAGGATTCGACTTGCCCGGATTACCTAGGAAACTGCTCCCAGCAGGTAAATTGCGGCTGTTCCTCCGTTCACCTGATTTCCAGGTGTGGACGACGCGGCCGTGTAGGGTGACGGTCCCATTGCACGCAATTGTTCCAACCACCTGCCCACTGTGGTCACAAAGACGTCCATCTCCACGTCGCTGTATTCATCGAGACAGCGCGGCATTTGGAGGACCTGCCGACCGGGGAGACACGTCACCAGGAGGAACAAGAACTTCTGCGTCCGAAAGAACATCAAGTACAGCTGGGACCGGGATTGTCATGTGTAGGGAAACATGGTGGGCGACAAGGGCTTCATTAAGCATCACTCGACTCCCGCGTTTGGCGTATAAGCCGAAGGGAGGTTCTACGGAGCAGCGAGTCCTTGCACAGGGCACAGTAGCACCCCAGAGCCCCGTAAGACGCTAGGCGAAGACGACTGGGGAAACGCAGCCATCCAGCCCACAGAAGGCTAGGGAGGACCATCGTCTGTAACGAATAATTAGAATAGCTTGAGCGCACGGAAGGGAAGACACCCACCTTTGATACTCAAATGGCATTGCACGAGGCTTAGCCGTTAGTTGGTTAAGAAGCGTAGATGATGGTAGCCGCCCAAGATCGTCGTCCCGCGCAAGACGCTAACGAACCCGTGGCGCCAATGGGCGCTCATAACCTGGTCACTGCCACGGTCAAGCGATCAAGTTAGCATTGGCAAGCGTTGTCTGCTTCCCCCATACGCGTCCGAGCCATGCATAATCATCTACAGCTCTACGCACGGTATAAGATATTGTTCTCGTGCTCAAGAAGATGCACCAGTGCTCCGCAATTCACCTGTAGAGTGGGCCGCCTGTATCGCGGCTTCGTTCCCCCACTTCTCATGGAGGTACCCAAGCGCGCGACAAAGTTGGGCGCCAGACGTGGCTGGCCCGAAGGATGTCCGTCGCGAGAACGTCAATACCTGGAAAGGCGTCGCACAGGATTACGCCAAACTCGGCAACAGGACAATCTTGTTCGACGATGAACCCATAGACACAGCTTCAGAATTTTGAACTAGGTCGAATGCCCGTTGTTGATTTGAATGCAACAGAGGATCGGTAATGAAGATATCGCACCATCCCATTTGACGCAGCGCAATGCACGACAACGATAATAAATTAGGTCCCCTGTACGTGTGCCTACGGTGAAGCAGCGCGACTCATCGCATCTTGCGGTCCTCAAAGAATCGCTGGGACCATGTGAGCAGACGTATTCGCCATAAAGCGCTGACAACACTAAACGTACCTTCAAGTGCCGCAATTGCCAAGCACAAGTTCCTAGTAGCACAACGAGCTGGGCTACGCTGTACCAGACAGCACGCGAGTTCGTTGCCTCCGAGAGGTTGCGGTAGTCCGCCTCGCGCTCTCGTTGGTATTGCTGTTCGCGGCGGATGTCTTCGAGCTTAACATTGAGGTCACGGACCTGTACAGGGTGTCAGAAACGGGTAGAGAGGATATAGTAACGACGCACCTTGCTCGCTAACTCGCTGACATGTGTCCGGTCATGCTCAACATCCGCCTTCGTCGAGCCCACGACTATATCCAGATGCATGCGTATATGCGACCCAGAAGCAAACATGCTCGTCGTAGCGTTTGTGCTCAGGCATATCAAGTGGTCCCCTGACTCGTGCGAGGTGAAGGTGAACCGCCCCTCCGGCGGACCGATCGACTGGACGACTTTGTGCGCGGTCTCCATCTCCTCGACGTCGACCTGTATGCCAAGCTCGGGGTTTACCACATAAGACTGAGTAGCATCAGACCATTCCGTCGCCTTGTATTCTCCTGCGACACCCAACAAGTCAGCTACGCTCTTCGGCTACACCACGACACGCACCCTCAACCACAGTATTACTGGGGAGCTCCTCGATAAAACATCGCTTCTCGTTGGCGTCAAGGTAGAAGTGAACGGCGTGCACCGACAGCACTGCATTAAGAAGAAGCAAAGAGCATATGTGTAGGACCTTGGGAAGCATTTTCGTTCGTCGCCCGCGCGCGTCGAGGCTCGTGAATGTCGTGCAGAGAAGGACGTGTAAGTTTGGCCATGTTGCGCGCGCCGCCACAAACACCACGTGCCTCACGCGATTAGCGCCCACCTTGTCTTGCGAGACGCGCCCTTCGTCTTCCTCCGCCCCCATCATGTCACCAAAGCTGCGCGATTTTGCTCCATGAAGAATACTGTTGAACGCCACATTATCCTAATTTATTGTCCGCCCTAATGTCGCAAATCGAAGGGGCAATTCCCTTCTCATTGTACGTCTCGATGATCAGCGGTTGTGGGATATTACTGATCCCCATCTCAGCTTCACCTCGCTCATAACAGCGATATCCGCAATCAAGCACTTTCAGGCAGGGTATAAGGGAACTATACCCTATTATGCTTTGGACAAGTTCAGGGCCTGGCGGCAATACTTCCTCGCTCAGTTCCCCGCTCCTCCCACGCACACAACGCGCATTGTCTTCTGCTTGCTATTCCCCGAACTGGACACCTATCGGAAGTATCATCTCAAAGAAGCGAAACTTGCGCAAGCGGTAGCGCAGGCTATCCCATTGTCACGTACTTCTCTTGACGAATGGAAGGACACTGGGTCTTCCGGTTGCCTGGGGCGTGAAATTAGCAAGGCCCTTGAACAGAAGAGCACGGTAAGCACCTCTTGATCCGTGTAGATACCTCGACAACTTAATCACGCTGTAGAATTTGGACGAAGCCAGCCATTTGAGCGTTCACGACATCGACGATCTTCTCGACGAACTGGCTTCGCTGTCTCCCAATTCTGATGCCTCGATACACACGAACTACCCACGCGATCTGCGCCGCACACGTCAAGAGATTCTCGGCGCAATATTGCGCCGCCTCAATCCTTTGGATGCGGGAATCCTTGCCCAGATTATCCTCAAGGATCTTGTCCCCCTCTTGTATCCAGTTCGTTCATCTGGATACGGTGCAGAACTATGTGACTACAACACCAAGAGTGTCAAACGCTTGCGGGTTGAGGGTGCCATGGACGTTTGGGATCCCAGTGGTCGTCTGCGTCGACTCTACTGCACCCACTCCGACTTACGGTACGCGACGGAGGCATTCGAACGCGGCGAAGAGGAATACAGGCCTCAGGTTGGCACGAGGATCAAAGTACGCGCCTTCACTGGATCACTCAACATCGCCATAACTAATAGTCTGCGCAGATACCGAAATCGCTGAAGCTTCAGGGTATCAAGAACGCGTTCAACACATTCTCCATCAGGTCAAGCCGTGTTTGGGTAGAGACAAAATACGACGGCGAGCGTGCACAAATCCATGTACAGGTCGAGGCAGACGGTACTTCAACTATCACCATCTTCAGCAAGAGCGGTCGAAACTCGACTTTCGATCGCGTAGCCGTGCACTGGATCGTTCGCCAAGCGCTTGGCTTGCGCGACCCGGAAACAGGATATCCTGGCCGCGACAACTGTAAGGTTAAGAAGAACGTCGTCCTCGACGCGGAGATGGTTGCATGGGATACAGATCACATCGACGGTCGGTAGAATATCTGCTTCGCTTTCATGGTGCTGATTCTGTCCTCAGAATTCTGGCGCATCCGTTCCCTCGTCGAACGCACCGCGACTGGCGCAAGACGTCGCTGGCGTCCGTCTGGCGCGAAGAAACCCAAAGCGGACCAATCACTGCATGACGGCTTTTCGCAGTCATCCCTCATCTCCGACTGCGACGAGGACATGACTGACGACACTCACTTGGCCCTCGTTTTCTTCGACATCATGGTTCTTAACGACGCGTCTCTACTCGGGAAGCCATACTCATATCGTCGCTCCTTGGTGGAGTCAGTCGTCGAGCTTATCCCCAGTTACTGCCTGTTTTCCGAAAGATACCCTGTCGACCTTCCCCGAGTGCCTTTGGCATATTCACAAGAGGATAGCGACTCGGACGACGACCACACGCCGGAGGACAGGCGTTCCATCCCCATGAATATTACCGCACAGCGCTCGCTCGAGCGACTGTACCAGATTTTCGCGCGACATCTTGTTGACCGGCGCGAAGGCATCATGATCAAGGCGGACGAATCGCGCTATGACGATTGGTCGTCGCAGTGGGCCAAGCTCAAGCGCGATTATATCCCCGGCTATGGTGACACGCTCGACCTCGTCCTTGTCGGCGCTGTATGGGATGCTGAACGAGCGCGAGAGCTAGGCGGTGAGTGTCTTTCACCGTCATTGGATGTAGAGGCTCATCGGAGCCCTTAGTCAGTCCAGCGGTGTACACCACATTCTATATTGGCGCCCTTACCAATGCAGAAGCACTGAAGAAAGACGTATGTCGAATCTTGTGTCTATGCTGTTCCGTACTCATCATATATGCGCTCAGCCCTCCATGAAACCCCACTACCACGTCTACTTTGTGTCGTCCTATGGCCTGACACGGCGCCAAATCGAGGACCTGAATTCGCGCATCAAAGCCAAGCCGACCGTCCTGTTCTCGGACTTGACCATGGTACGCCCGTAAGATCTTCGGCATTCTCAAGACTCATCAGAAGAGCAGCCCAAGCCTCGGCACGTTCCTATCAGCCATCCCGAGCTGGAGTATACTTTTCGGCTATTTGATGGTCTCGCGAAGCCGCATTTGGTGTTTTGCGAACCGATGCTGGCGGAGGTGTTCGGCGCTGGCTTTGATGTTGCACGAGGAAGCAAGGTGAGCATGTGGCGATCCAGCTCCTGATCGCTATAGTGACACTTTCCAGTACTACGAACTTCGATTTCCTCGCATCTCCAAGATCTACAATGTCGAGGATCGACCACATACTGCCTGCACGACGCTCGACGAGCTTACCGACCTTGCCTATGCTGTCGTTGGTCGGCAAAGCACGAAGGACGAGATTGACGAACTATGGCACCGCATGAACGACGAATCCGACGTTGCCGGGAATGGCAAGCGCAAGCGAGGCCCCACCGAGGACGAGTGGGTCGAGCTGCTGAGAGCAGCGGACGAGGGTCGACTCAAGCCTGAGCAGAGGAAGAAGCGCGTCAAGGGATACTTCACCAAGAAGCCGTCTGCAGGGAAGGCTGCACCGACGCCCTTGCTCGCTGTCAACGGGAAGCGAGGCGCGTCGTCGATGGCCAAAGTCGCAGGACCATCGCGTTCGGGCATCTTTTCGTCTCGTCGGCCTGCGTCGACGCCTCCATCTATCCGAACATCTTTCCCGGATGCATCAATTCGCGGAACCGTTGCGCTGCCCACACCCTTGACGAGCCCGATCTGTCATGCGCCGGAATTTATCGACTTGTGCTCGCCGCCTTCGAGCCCTGTTCAGATCGTGTCTTCCCCTCCGCCAGACACGCAAGTCACGCCTTTTCTCAATTTCATTCAACACGCCGGCGCCATTTACTATGATCTGTCTCGAGATCGTTGCGAGCCCTCTGCACGATACAGAGACATCCTTAACGATATCCTCAAGCGCTCCTCAACGCACGTCTCCCCGGACCTTCAAGACTTCTTGAAGCGCTGTGGATGGATGCCCGATTCTATCCAACCTTCGGACGCTCAACGCGTTTATGGCGTTGTTCTTAGCGATGTCCGAGGAGGTGCAGAGCGTGAGTCCAAGGATGGATGGCTCAAGGTCCTGCACCAACTTCGCTTTGCACGCAGTTCTCTCAACGAGAAGAGCCTCGCACCAGGACGTGCGAGGTTGTGGATCTTCGACATGGACATGCTGTTGTACGCGGGCCAGGACTTCCTGTGCAGGCATCTGGCGGAATTGTGATACCGGTCAGTTAGGGCATCTATCGCGTACCTATGATAATGTTCTACCTGTTGTTCGTCCTTGCAATTATAGTGCCCTTGTGAGTACCTTGTCGCTGCGCACATGACCTGCTCATAACCATCCATCAGGTTTCTCATTCGCTAGATCGTATCTCGCTTTGTCCATCGTGATGTGCTTGAGCGGGGCCCCGGACCGCTACCCCAGATTCATCGTCCCCATCCCCGGCTTCTGACCTATGAGTGTGGCCCATCTAAGTATGACCGTGCAGGCGTCGGACATAAATAAGTGTGAGCGCGCACGGTCGCTTGCTGGCGCTCTTCGTCTCGTCCGTCATGACAGCCCCGTATTCAGAGCCCGCGTTGCAAGAGAAGACCGAGGAGAAGCAGGTGGAGTATCGCGAGGAGGAGGCGGGCGTTGTGGATGATTCGGAATTCCGCTTCTCTGCGCGATCACCCGAAGAGCGCAGGAAGATCGAAAGGCGCGTCGTGAAGAAGTTGGATCTGCGGCTGCTACCGATTCTTATTATGTGCGTAGCCTGAACGCACGCTGCGGCTGACGCTGATTGTTCTGCAGCATGTACTTTTTCAACTTTGTCGACCGCTCGAACTTGGCCAATGCGCGGCTCGGCGGGCTCGAGAAGGACCTCAACATGACGGGGACCGACTTCAACCTTGCGACATCTATCCTGTTCATTGGATATATCATCATGCAGCTTCCATCCAATCTTTGTATGCCTGGCGTCTGCTTCACTTGCCCGGTACCGTCCTAACATGACCACGAGACAGTGATCACCATAATTAGACCCTCGCTTTATCTCGGCTGCGTTATGACAGTATGGTGAGATATGGATGCTTGGCAGCGGTGTATTTCGAAGCTCACAAAGACGCAGGGGACTCATCACCACTCTCACATCCCAAGCGGATACTTTCAAGCATCTGCTGGTCATTCGATTCTTCTTAGGCGTTATCGAGGCGCCTTTCTTCCCCTCCGCAATGTTCGTCATGTCTTCGTGGTATACGCGCGCTGAGCTTGGACAGCGCTATGCATTCTTGTAAGTGATAGCCGTCCTTTCGTCCGAGCCTATGCAACGCTCACGAATGATTAGCTACGCCGGCTCCGCCCTCGCCAACATGTTCAACGGCCTCATGAGCGCCGGCATCCTCTCCGGCCTCGACGGCGCGCGCGGCGTCGCTGGCTGGCGCTGGCTCTTCATCATCCAGGGCTCGCTCACCATCTTCTTCGCCATGCTCTCCGCCGCGCTCCTCCCCGACTATCCGCGCACGACGCGCTGGCTCACGCGGGAGGAGCAGGCGTTCGCGGAGTGGCGCCTCGCGCAGGATGTGGCGGGCGCGGTCGATAGCGCGGACGCGGTGCCGCTGCTGACGGCGCTGAGGATGGCGCTGACGGATTATAGGGCGTATCTGTTTGTGGTGATGCAGCATTGTAATTTGCTGTCGCAGACGTTCACGTATTTTGTGAGTGGGGTTGGGCTGGGTTTTGGGTGGGTGCTGATGATGGCCGTTGCAGTTCCCGACGATTGTGGGCTCGCTGGGGTACGGTAGCACGCAGACGCTGCTGTTGACGGCGCCGCCGTGGTTTGCGGCGTTCCTCGCGAGCGTGTTTGTGACCTGGCATGCGGCGAGAGCGGAAGTGCGCAGCCCACATATCGTTGTGTGCATGTTGCTGGTCGTCATCGGGAACATCGTTATGATCACGACGCCCATCAGCTCGGTTGGGCCACGGTACTTTGCCATGGTGCGTACCGGATCCCTCACATTGTCTTCGTCTCCGCGCTCAACCCCCTCCTGCAGTTCCTCCTCACCTGCGGCGCGCTCCCCGCCTTCCAGGTCATCCTCACCTGGGTCTCCAACTCCTTCCCGCGGCCGTTCGCCAAGCGGAGCGCGGTCATCGCGCTCGTGAACATGCTCGGCAACATCGCGTCCACGTACGGCTCCTTCCTCTACCCCGCCTCCGAGGGCCCGCGCTACGTGACGGGCGGGGCGGTGATGGCGGGGATAGCGGCCGCGTGCGCGGGGATGGCGCTGGTGATACGGTTCGTGCTGGCAAGGGAGAATGGGAAGTTGGAGAGGATGGAGAGGAGGGGGGAGGAGGCGGGGTTGGAGGCGAATGCGGCGGGGGTGAGGCAGGTGAATGGGTTCAGGTTTATTTTGTGAGGGGTGGTGAGGGTGGTTGGGGGATGGGAGGTTGGTTGCGAGGGTCGAGGCGGGCTTGGAAGAGCTAGCTTGCTTGTGAGTGTTGGTAGACCGAATCATGTTGTATTTGTAACGATCAACGATGAGCATGCATGCGATTGCGAGGATATGTAGTGTTACAAGCGTGGATAGCAGTACAAGGGGGAAAGCAGACAAAGTGATAGCGTCCAGGGATGTTCACAAGCAAAGGCGCCGGGGCGCCCGCTCACAAGTAGAAGTCGGGCTTGCGCGCGTCAATGCCGTACTCGGAGAGCGCGGCGGAGAGGTCGTCCATGGTAAGCGTCGTGCGGGTTTTGTCCTGGGTGGGGGATGAGGTGTTAGCGGGGTGCAGTGGAGGCGAGGCGGGTTGCAGAGGAGGCGAAGCGGGATGTAGTGGGCGAGGAAATGGGAGATTGGGCAAGGGTAGGAGAGGGTATGAAGGATAGGAGAGGGTGTGGGAGTTGCGGGATGGGAGTGCCAATAAGGATGGGAATTGGCGGGATGGGAATTGGCGGGATGGGAGTTGGCAGGCAGTTTAAAAGCGGTAGTAGGATGAAGGGCAGTACACACCTTGGACATGCCGTACGGCGCTGCTGTCCGGCCGCGCGCGCCCGCCGCATTGGTCCGGATGCGCGCGTGCTGGTACGCGTCGCCGGCGATGTCGGCGACGAACTTTTGCGCGGCGAGCGAGAGGAGGCGTTTTCTGGGAGTTTGTTAGTTTTGGGGTCCGCGGAGCGGGCTCGTGCGAGGCGCGGTAGGATGTGTGCGACATGGTGGCCTTAAGCGGTACGGTAGCGTATGCGCGGTACGATGGCTTATGCGCTACAATGGCCCATGCGCGTCGCGCAAGCCCGGGTCCGCACAAGCATCGAGAGGCTGGGCAGACAAGACTCAGATGGGCGAACAAGACTCACAGTCGAACATCCTCGCACTCGAAGCCGACGCGCTGGAGGTAGTAGTCCGTGACCTCGTTCGGGATCTAGTCGTGTGTGATGTTGGGAGGCGAAAGGATATGCGATGGAGGGGAAGGATATGTGATGGAGGGGAAGCGGGAGGGCAAAGTCAGCGTCGAACACGACAAACGTGCAGAGCAGATCTTACCAGAGGTTCGTAGTCGTCCAACATGAGGAGGAACTCGGCGAGCGTGCGGTCCTTGCGCGCTTCCTCGGCCTGTTGGCGGGAGGGGCCGGGGGCGTTTGATGCTTGGGTGCTAGAGGTGCCAGCTAGGGGCGCGCTCGAAGACCCCGCTGCGTTTGACGTCCCAGCGACTGATACGCTGGAGGTTCCGGCGACTGGTACACTCGATGTAGATGTGCTAGCAGCGGGCAGGTACGCAGGCTGACTTTGCGAGGGCTCGGTCGCGGCGGGGGTCGTCGTGTAGGGCGTGGTGTACCCGGAGATGGGGAAGGTGTATTGCCCGGGCTGGGTGTTCTGCTGGTTCTGCATAGTGAGTGGTGTCGAGGGGTTTGGAGCTGGTAGCTGGATGCGCGTCTGCGCTCACTGTCGCCGCGTGAAGGTTGTTGTAAGAGTTCTGTATGTTTGTTATGTCGCTGCTGTGCGTGTAGAGGGCCTCTGCTGAGCGTGTCTTTCAGTGTCACCGCCGTCCGCGACGCCGTCGTGGTCAGGAGGGGCGGAGTTTCAAGCGATGCCGTTACGTAATGGCGGAGATCGAAACGCGTGTATATAAGCGCCGACGCGTCGAAAATTTGCAGCGCGTCCTTTGCCTCTTGTGTTCTTTCCCTCTCCATTTCCCCTCTCCATTTCCCTCTCTCCCTCTCCTTTCGCCGATCTCCCTCTCCCTCTCCAATCCCCCTTCTCCCTCTCCCTCTTGGCTTTCACCTCTACTCTTATCCTCTTTCTCCTAGTGTTATCCTCTCCTTGCCTTCCCCCCCTCGCGTCTCCTTCTCGTCTCCCCCTTCTCGTCCCCTCGCGTATTCTTCCCACCCATCAAGCTGTACGGCTATCCTACACGGTGAGCACCCCTTCCCCCACCCCCCTCTCATGATGCCTTGAGGCATTTGGCTTTATTCCATGTCCAATGGATGCAGAAACTTATCTCAGCTACCTTCGGGCTCCGCCCGCTTTGTCTGATCTTTTTCGGGATGTGTGCGAGGTTTGGACAGCGATGCTGATTGTTTGTGCAGGTTTTTTGGGCGCGCAGGGCTTTTGGGCGTTTCTCGAGAGCTTTTTGGTCGATCATCGAGAGTTTTTTGGTCGATCATCGATCGAAGGGCTTCAGTGCTTCAGGTCGATCGGAGGATTTTGTTTCGCGTGCTGTGACCCCTTTGTTCTCTGCTACAACGCTGTTCAGTACTGTATATATGGTGTACCCTTGTCTTGCGTCCAATGCGAAGGTGCTTGTGCAACCTACATCATGCATCATGATTTGTTGGTGAAGAAATGCTCTATGATTATCGTCAACATTGCGTCCGGGTCTTCAAGTCATTGCGCCCGGGTCTTCAAGCTTCGCTGGCCGCCCTCGTTGGTGGCGACCGGTATCATAGCTGCATTCACTACCTGCTCATTTCGCATCCACTACCTGCTCATCCGCATTCACTACCTGCTCATTTCGCATTCTTATGCTCGATCGAGGCGATCAAGGCGTGAACTTGTTCGCCAGGTTGACGTCGTTGCGCTAGTTGACGACGTTGCCTTAGTTGACGTCGTTGCATGCGCACTTGTACTCGAGTATTGCACTTGTACTCGAGTATTAGTATTGCACTTGTACTCGAGTACATCCAGCGCACGTCTCGTCCCATCGTCCTCCTCATGAGATCTTCCCACAACCCCTTCCCTCATCTCCCCTTCCCTCATCTCCCCTGCCCTCATCTCCCCTGCCCTCATCTCCCCTCCCCTCATCTCCCCAATCCCTCATCTCCCCAATCCCCACCGCCCGTCCCTCCCCTGACCCGCCACCTACTCGCCCTCCCCTGACCCGCCACCTACTCGCCCTGCTCACCGCCACCTACTCGCCCTGCCCTGACCCTCCCTGCCCTGACCCGCTACTCCCAGCGAAGCCATCAAGCGCGCCTTTGTTGCGGAGCGGGCCCGCAGGTAAGAGGAGGCGCGCCGTTACCTGCGCAGAAGGGCGCGTTGGTTCTCGCGCAGAAGGGGCGCATTGGTGCTCGGGGAGAAGGGGCGCATCGGTACTCGCGCGGACGAGGCCCGCAGGTTCTCGCGCAGCTGGGGCATATGCTGAGGGGAGGCGTGCGCGTTGGAACGAGGTGTGAGGCGCGTCGGTACGAGGAGGCGTGTGAGGCCCGCAGGTACGAGGTGTGAGGCGCATCGGTGCTCGCACAGAAGGAGCCCATAGGTTCTCGCGCAGCTGGGGGGCGTTGGTTCTCGCGCGGATGAGGCCCGCAGGTACGAGGTGTGAGGCGCATCGGTACTCGCGGAGAAGGGGCCCATAGGTTCTCGAGGAGAAGGGGCGTATGCTGAGGGGAGGCGTGCGCGTTGGAACGAGGTGTGAGGCCCGCAGGTACGAGGCGTGCGCGCTGGATGGGGTATCTGATGGCGGGGATACGAAGTGGGCGGGGATATGAAGGAGGCGGGGGGTGGAAGGTGGGGGGTGGATGAGATGAACGGTGGGGGTGGATGGGGGGAGGGAGGAAGCTGGTGGGAGGCAGGAATGGAAAGGAAGAGCGGGAGGGAGCGGGAGGAAGCGGGAGGGAGGGAGGAGGCTTGTCGCAAAGGATAGGGGGCAAGGGGCGGGTAGATATTGGCGGGCTGGACATTTGGGCGTGGGTTCTATCGTGGAGCGAAGGGGACGTGGGTTGTAGTGCGAAGGGGACGTGGTTCTGTCGTGGAGGGGACGTGGATTCTGTGTGATAAATAGGAGAGATCGTGGAGGGGACGTGGATTGTATCGTGAAAATAAGATGACTTTGGTGGGAGGGGGGCTTGTAGGTGGTTCAAAGGACGTCGTCTTGAGTGGTTCGAAGGACGTCGTCTTGAGTGGGTCGAAGGACGTCGTCTTAGGTGGTTCGAAGGACGTCGGCTTGGGTGGGTCGAAGGACGTCGACTTAGGTGGTTCGAAGGGCTAGGTGCACGCAAGAGAGGGAGAGGGAAGCGCGCAAGAGAGGGAGAGGGGGGCACTTGGAGTCGGAGGGGTGGCGGGCGGAGGCGACGGGGAGGAGGGGAGGAGAGGCGAAGAACAGTGAGGCGAGGAGAGGTAAGGTGGGGCGACGGGAGGAGGTGGGAGAAGGAATCGGGAAAAGGACACGCGGGAAAGAGGGAAGGGTAGAGCGCGCGCCAGTGCTATAGCACCGTGAAGAGGGCGCGGAGGCGCTGGCAGGGCGCCCTCGCCAGTACTAGCATCGACGCGCCCTCGTTATGTCCCTTTTCTTCTCCCCTGCGTTTGTAAGTTCTAGGTTGTGCGACAATAAGTTTTGGGTTTTGCGACAATAAGTCTTTGGTCTTGCGACACTTCTTCTGCGTGTGGTGGTGCTCCTTCGTCCCCCTGCCCTCCGCGGCAGTCGTGTCTTTCTATGCGAATCTTGACGCCCTGCTGAAGCGTCTTGACGCCGTTCTATGGGCATCTAGACGTCCTTTGATGTGGGTGCTGACGCCGTTCTAAAGGGTCTTGACGCCCTCTTCCATCCGCGCTGGTCTTCACGCCCCTCCCACTTGTCTTCACGGCCTCCCCCTCGTCCTCGCGGCCCCCCAACTGTCGCCTTCCCTCCTCTGACGTTCTTCTGGCATCGCCCCTCCTCTAGCGTCCCTCGGCATCGCCCCTTGCATTCCTCTCCTTCACTCTCCGCGTACTTCTAGCCTTTTCCCACCGCGTCCCTCTCCTTTTCCCACCGCGTCCCTCTTCGCCCCCTTTCGACTCCCTCTCTTCTCTTCATTGATGAGACCAGGAAAGGGGAGCATGCGGCGTGAAAATGCGATGCGAGGGAAGGGGGGAAGGAGGCGAGGCGAGGGCAGAAGAGGGGATAGGGGAGAGTGGGGCAGTGGGAGGGAAATGGGAGGGCATGGGGGGAAGGGGATAGTGGAGGCGAAGCGAGGACAGAAGAGGGGAAATGGGGAGGGAGGGGCGGGAAGGGTGATGCGAAAGGGGAGACGAGGCGTGGGGTAGACAGAGAAGAGGCCGGAGTGAAGAGAACTGAATAGAGACCGCGGATAGGCCGAGTGTGTTAGGGTATGAAGAAAGGGCCGTGTATGTGTTGGGGTGAAAGGGTTTAGGTAAAGAAATTGGTGGGCAGAGTAACCGATTCAGACGATGGAATGGTGGTGGTGACGAAAGGGGGAGGCTAAACGATTCAAGGGAGGAGGGTGAGTGAGCGATGTGGATATACGTGAGGAAGAAGACAGAAGATAGGAATGTGCGGATGATGCTTAAGAGTCGGATGTATACGCGCTCGCATACAAAGGACCGAGGGGCGTTCAGGCAGAATGAGGCGATGGAGCATGTCATGCAAGAGCAGAGGGGGGCGCACTGGTAGCGAGGACGTTGTGATAGGGGACCAGGCATCGGGTTAGAGGGAGTACGTCGAAGAGGGAAAGAAGGAGGGCGTACGTACATTACAAAGGGAAGGGCGAGAGCATTGAGAAGCATACATCCCGGGGCCCGGGTAGAAAATGTGGCGGGCGGCAAGTAGAGGGTGGCAAGGACGTAGTTCACACGGGGGCGACAGATGGACGCGTTCCAGAGAAGAACGCGACGAAGCACGAAGAAGAGTGTCATTGCAAGCATGGTATCGCTGTACACGTAGGGGCAGAGAACAAGGCGTGCAGGCGTCGGGAGCGGGATCTGCGGCCGAGTGGGTTTAGAGGAAGGGCAACGAGCGATATACGTGAGGAAGGGAGCGAAAGACAGAATATAGGAGAGTGCGAAGAATCTTTGATAATTGGGTGTATGCGCGCTCGCATACAAAGGACCGGGGGCGCTCAGGCGAAATGACGCGACGGAACATGGCATGCAAGTGTGAGGGGGCGCACTGGTAGCGAGGATGCTGGAGCCACATTGGTATACGAGATCAGGCATCGGGTTAGTCGAAGAGGGAGAGAAGGAGGGCGTGCGTACATGTCAAAGGGACCGGCGGGAACATTGAGACGCATACTTCCCGGGGCCCGGGCAGGGAATGTGGCAGACGAGCAAGTAGAGGGTGGCAATGACGCGGGTCACACGGGGATGCACTCCAGAGAGGAAGGCGACGAAGCGCGAAGAAGGGTGTCACGTACGGGCAGAGATCAAGGCCTGCAGGCGCCGGGTGCGCGTTCTGCGGCTGAGTGGGCACGATGGAGGCTGGACTCGGTTAAGAGCGGGTGGTTGGGGAAGAGCAGACGAGATCGCTAGATTGGATGACGTACAGCTTGCCTTCTCAGTGACCGTCCATTCACCAAGGGTGTCGGATCGCAAACGGTGGCAGTCATCGCCCTGTTCAAGTCGCGTCCAGGTACCGGCTAACCCCGCGCGTTGGCGGACCGGACGTCCGACGCTTGCTTCTGCCAACCATCACGCACGACAGACGACGACTCTCTGCCGCCTGCACGACGCGCGCAAGGGCGATTACACGACACCGACCGCGATCTTGCGATTAGGCAGCGACGCGACAGACGCGAGCGAGCGCGCCCAATCACTGCGTACGATAGCCATCCACTGCGACGCGCGAAAGGCTACAGAGGCGATAGAGCACGATTAGCGAGTGCGTGCGCCAGCCTTTGCGCGCTGATGAGGGAGGCTGACCGCGTTTGGAGGCGATATTCATCGTGAACAGGAACGCCGAGCCACTTGGTCCAACTGCGCCTTTCTGCATCTCCCTTCTCATCCCATCTGCGCTGCCCGCTGCCTACGCGTGCATTGTACACCAAGCCATCCGTGCGTGCCCATCCAAACGCCTTCGTCTCGTCGTACTGATGCGCGATAGATCAGTCGCAAACACTTGACTAGACGCGCCGCCAGCCAAGATGTCGACCAATTTGGATGTACGTCTGAACGACTTCTCGCGGTCTTCCCCGCTTCTCTACCCTTTCTTTCTCTGTCATGCTCTGTTCCATTCACCTCATCCTTTCTTTCCGTCCTACCTACTGCGCAGATCCCTCGTTGCGCGTCATCCCTTCTAGATCTTTGTGAAGCGCGCAAGCGCGTGCCGACCCCCTCCTTATTCCTGCCACCCCACCCTCCCTCCTTGCGCTCATCCCCTCCTCCCCGACCACACCTCCTCCCCTCCCTTCCCTCCCCTCCTCCCTCCCTCCACCTCTCCCCTCCCTTCCCTCCCCTCCTCCCTCCCTCCACCTCTCCCCTCCCTTCCCTCCCCTCCTCCCTCCCTCCACCTCTCCCCTCCCTTCCCTCCCCTCCTCCCTCCCTCCACCTCTCCCCTCCCTTCCCTCCCCTCCTCCCATCCCCCCTTGCCCTCTCTCATCTACCTCCTTCCCGCCCTCACCAACCATTCTAACCAACCCCCCTCCCCCAGCGCGCCATCGACATGGTCAAGTCCGCGATCGACGAGGACGTGAAGCAGAACTACGCCGAGGCGTACAAGTTGTACCAGAACGCGCTCGATTATTTTATGTTGGCGTTGAAGTGTGCGTGTTAGGGGAGGGTTGTTTTTTGGTGGTGGAGGGTGGAGGGTGGAGGGTTGTTTGGGACGGGATGGGCGAGCGGCGAGATCCCCTTCTCGGTGGAGCCCTTGCCTTTCTTGGTGGAGCCCGTCCCCGTCTCGGTGGAGCGCCCTTTCCCTCCTCGATGGAGAGCTCCCATCTCTCGCGATGGAGAGTTCCGTCTGCGTGTTAGTGGTTGAGTTGGGGGACCCAGGAGGGGAGAGGGTGTCTGTGGCCCCGACGCGGAGGCGTTGTGGGAGAGGACTTGGCGTGCAGGGATGGGGGGTGCCTTGGGGAGAAGGGGCGCGGCGAGAAGGAGGGGAGGAGGACGCGAAGGGGAAAGGGGTGGGGGGCCGTTGGAAGGGGCACGAGGGAGAGGGGTCCCCGGCTGAGCGCTCTCCGCGCGAGACACCCCACGCAGTATCATTCTAAGGCCAAGGGCGTACCGCTGACCACAACGCAACAGACGAAAAGAACGCGAAATCGAAAGAACTCATCCGGAACAAGATCGTCGAGTACATACAGCGGGCGGAGACGCTCAAAGAACACCTGGCGAATACGAAGGGGGCGAGGAGCGCGGTGGGGGTGGGTGGGGGTGGGGGGAGTGCGGGGGCGGTGGGGAGGAGGTGAGTGTGGTGGAGCGTGTTTGAGGGTGGGGGAGGGTGGGTGGAGAGGGAGGGAGGGGGTGGGGGAGCAGGAGACAGGGGAGGAGGGGGACGCAAGGCGTATCGTCGTCCCTGCCTGTCTCTCTTCTTTTGCCCCTTAGCGCGTCCTGCCGGGGGCGTTCCTCCCTTCCTCCCTCGTCCATTCGGAGACTTTCTCCTCTCCCTCCTCTTGCCTCGCCTCCACCGTCCTACGCCTCCCCCTCTTCCCCCACCCCTTTTCCCTCTTCCCCGCCCCCTCCCCACCCACCTTCCCTCGCCAACCCCTTTACCGCTCCTCCTCCCTTCCTTCCCCTCCCTCTCCTCTCCTAACTCCTCCTCCTTCCCTCACTAACCTCCCACTTACATCCAAACGCAGAAAAGACCCGAACTCGCCCTCTGACGGCGCGGGAGGTGCCGGTGGCGCAGGCGACGACGACCCGGACGCGAAGAAGCTGCGGGCGAATATTGCGGGCGCGATTTTGACGGAGAGGCCGGATGTGAGGGTGAGTTGGTGTCTTCTTTCACTTATTATGGGGTGTTTTTGTAGAAGGGGTTGTGGGGTTTTGGGAGAAAGGAGGGGGGAGGGGGTTGAAGGGTTGAACGGTGGTGGAGAGGTGGGGGGTTTGAAGGGTGGTGGAGGGGGGTGAAGGGGGAGGGGAGGTGGGGGTGAGGGGGTGAAGGGGTTTGGGAGAAAGGAGGGGGTTTGGGCGGGGTGGAGGGGCGAAGGGGCGAAGGGGCGAAGGGGGTGGAAGAGGTGTGTGTTTGGGGGGCGAAGGGGAGGGGGGGACCGAGTGACGTATGGTTGACGCTCGCGCATGAGCCCTCATTGACACTCACACCTCGCCTCCTCCCTACCCCTCCCCCCCTCCCTCCCTCACTCACTCTCATCCTTGGATATGTTCTTTCGCTAACGTCCACATTTGTCACCCCTCGCTAACGCTTACTCCCTGTCAACCTCGCTAACACATCTACCCTCTCCAGTGGGACGACGTGGCGGGCCTGGAGGGCGCGAAGGCGGCGCTGAAGGAGGCGGTGATATTGCCGATCAAGTTTCCGCATTTGTTTGTGGGTGAGTCCAGTCTGGCCTTGTCCTGCGCTTACACACGTCGCTGGCGCTCCCCTTTCGTCCAACAATTTTTCTCTCACCGCCCGGCCCCTCGGTCCCTTTCCCCCTCCTTTCTTCTCCCCCTCCTTTCTTCTCCCCCCCCTTCCCCCACAACCCGCCCTCCTCCCCTCGATAACACCAACACTAACCTACCCCTCCCCCACAACCCTACCCCCTCCCCAACCCCTCACCTTCCCCCCGGCCCCCCCAACCTGCCTCCCTCACACTAACCCACCCCCCTCCCCCCTAGGCAAGCGCACGCCCTGGCGCGGCATCCTCCTCTACGGCCCGCCCGGCACGGGCAAGTCGTACCTCGCGAAGGCGGTCGCGACGGAGGCCAAGTCCACGTTTTTTAGTGTGAGCAGTAGCGATTTGGTGAGTAAGTGGCAGGGGGATAGTGAGAGGTGAGTTTTTTTTTCGATCTTATTTGGTGGTTTGGAGGGTTTTTTTGGTGGTTGGGGTGGGTTTGATTGTATCTTTGTTATCTTTTTTTGGTGGTTGGTGTGTGGGGAGGGGCTGGTGTGGGGGGAGGCTGGAAGGCATCGGGTAGCCGGCCTAGAAAGCATCGGGTAGCCGGCCTGGAAAGCATCGGACGCTAACAACCACCCCCCACCCCTCACCCTCTAGGCTCGTCAAGCAGCTCTTCCAACTCGCGCGCGAGAGCAAGCCGGCGATCATATTCATTGACGAGATCGACTCGCTGGCGGGGAGCAGGAATGAGGGGGAGAGTGAGGTGAGTGGGTGTGTGGGTTGGGGGTTAGGGGGATGGGGGGATGGTAAAGAGAGGGAGGTGGGAGGGTTGGGGATGGGTTGGGTTGGGGTGGATGGGGTGAGGGAAGGGGATGGGTGAGGGAAGGGGCAGGGTTAGAGGGGGAAGGGGAAGAAGGAACAAAGGCAACACCGGAGCGGACGAGGGGCCAACTGGAGCGGACGAGTGGCCAACTGGAGCGGACGACGGGTGACACACCGCAGAGGACCGCGCGCTAACGCGCGCACCCGCAGGGCTCCCGGCGCATCAAGACGGAGTTTCTGGTGCAGATGAACGGCGTGGGGCACGACGACACGGGCGTGCTGGTGCTGGGGGCGACGAATATCCCGTGGCAGTTGGATAATGCGATTAAGAGGAGGTGAGTGGGGTGGGCGAAGCAGAAAGTCGAGCTTTGGCGGGTGGGAGCGAATGGAGGGGAGGGAGGGGGGGAGGGGGTGTGTGCGTGTATGCGGGGATTCTTTTTTTTCTTCTTTTGGGGGGTGGGAGGGGGAGAGGAGTACGCGGGTACGCGGGTCTTGCGCTGGCGTTAGTCGGTAACCGTGCGCTGGCGCTCAGCGGCGCTCGAGCGCTTGGGGCTCTTGATCGTCCTGCGAGACGGTGGACCATTCGACGAGACGATGGGTTGTTCTGCGAGACGATGGATCATCTTGCGAGACGATGGATCATCTTGCGAGACGATGGAACAATCGACGAGACACTGGACCGTTCTGCGAAACAACGACGACGCTAACCCGCCTTCCAGATTCGAGAAGCGGATCTACATCCCGCTCCCTGGGGTGGAGGCGCGGCGGCAGATGTTCCAGCTGAATGTGGGGACGACGCCGTGTCAGTTGACGGCGGCGGATTATAAGTGAGTGGCGAGTGTTTCGTTGGTGGAGGAGTGCCGTCTTCAGGGTGACCGTCCCACCTGCAGCGCAGGGTGCGCGGGGCGAGTGCCATGCTGAGGAGGTGGTGCCATGCTGAGGGTGTGGTGCCGCGCTGAGGATGTAGCGCGATACTGAGATACGGTGCGGTACTGACCACCCCTTCCTCGCCAGACTCCTCGCGGACAAGACGGACGGCTACTCGGGCTCGGATATCTCGATCGTGGTGCGCGACGCGCTGATGCAGCCGGTGCGGAAGGTGATCGGCGCGACGCACTTCAAGCGGGTGAACGCGCCGGTGCGGAATGCGGGTGAGTGTGGGTGTGTGGGTGTGTGTTGGGGGAGGGGATTTCGGGGCACTTAGGGGTGGACTTCGGGAGATATTGCAGATGCTGACGACTGTATTTACAGACGGCGAGCTCACGGACGAGATGAAGATGAAGTGGACGCCGTGCAGTCCGGGGGATCCGGAGGCGGTGGAGAAGAGGTGAGTAGATCTGTGCGCGCGTCGCGCTGCGGGCCTTCGCTCTCACGTATGAGGATCGCCGCTAAACGTCGTCTCTCACAGCTGGTCCGACATCGAGAGCGACGAGCTGGAAGAGCCGCCATTGAAGCTGAACGACTTCTTGAAGAGCTTGAGCACTGTCAGGCCCACGGTCACGCAGGATGATATCCGGAAGCACGACGAATGGACGAAGGAGAGCGGCGAGAGTGCGTAGCGGGCGATCTGGATGGATGTCTCAACGTTGTTCGCTGTCATCCCGGGGCCTCTCTGCTCTAGTTCACTATTTTACTCATTTCCTTTGTATCAATCACGACGTTCGGAAACGCATGGTACTCGTAGACCGACGTGTGCTGCCCACCTTGCTCGACGACTTCAGATGCGCAGGAGACGATCAGGATGTCCTTCGAATGCTCATGAACACTCGCAGCAGCGCAGTGTTACAAATCCCTATATCCATTCCAAAAAAGAGTAACACAAAGACACTGGGGGAAGGAATCGACGTGAAATTCGCTCGATACTTCGCTTAGCTTCGATGGAAATTCACTAAAAATTGAGTGATTTTCACACAAGATCTAGTGACTTTCGCTCGGCCTTGCGCGAAAACATTTCACGCCAAAAAAGTCGCGTTTCGCGACCTCTGTTTCGCTCGACTTCGAGCGTAAATCACTCTTCAAAGAGTGAAATGGCCAGTATTTGCTTTTTTGCTGCTTTTTGCCATTTTTTTCCTTGGCACCGCGCGCTCGTATGGGATCGAATCAATATATTCAGATGACTACTACTACAACTTTATCACAGCAGCTCTACGAGTATAGACTAAGAAGCAAGCTGTTCAGCCTCGGCCAATCACGAAGGTATAAGGAAGCTGCAGAGGACTCTTCAAATCATGAAAACTAGAAGATAAACATTGATGGTCGTTAGCCCGTATAGAGAGCGAAAAGACAAGACTTACGAGCAGTGCCGAGGTGATAGATATCCTGAGCCAAAGTCGCAGGACGGCGTAATGGACTGCAATCCTCGTCAATCCGAAGTATGGTGTGCAAGGGCTGGGGTATCAAGTGAGAGGGAGTAGGACGTTGAAGTGAGAGATAGAGGTGGGCGGCGCTCAAGGGAACGAAGGGAGTAGTCTGCAATCGTCACTCAGGTTAGCGCTCATCTCTGAACAAGGGATCCCATCACGCACCATAATCCCGCGGGTCTGGGCAGCGTTCATTATATCTCGATCTCGAGGCCGTGCGTCGTACGCTGAGTATCATAGCGAGCAATGTAGATGATGGCGGTTGAGGACAAGACTCGACCAAGACTCGACGATGCTGCGACTTCGCGTACGTCACTGTGTGGCGCCAACGCCACATAATGAGCGGGCCCTCGCCGGTTGCTCATCGCCGCGCATGCCCTTATGTCGACCTCTGTAATGATGGCGACTGACATTTACTGAACCCAGTTGCAGCCGAATATTAATGCTAGTCAGAGAACCCGTACCCTCTGGGCTCTCAAAACATCGATACCTAAGACCTCTACCCAGCCCGCTACTCAAGATCATCCCTCTGTAACTTTCGCTCGACGTTACCCAGTTGTTAGCTGAGCGAAACAGCGTCGCTCGAGGTCATGCGAATTTCGCTCGCTCGACGTGAATCGGATTCGCATGACCTCTAGCGAAAAGCGAAATTCACTCGATATCAAGTGAATTTCGCGCCGATTCCTTTTCCCAGTGAGAGTACCACGAGCATGCCGTATCATCGCTCGGCAGGTATGCAGCGCCACACCACACGTACGAGTCCGACCAGGCCGCCCGTCGCCCGAGGGGAAAGAAAGGGAAGGGCGCAAAAGGTAGGGATGTATATAGACAGGCGATGGCGATGGGGTGGTATGTAAAGGAACAAGAGGTACGGAGGCGAAGGACGGGAGGGCGAACGCGCAGACGGGGAAAACCAACGCGTCAAGGAGGCGAACGGACGGCGGGGCGCGGAAGATGGGCAGGCGGTAGATGGTGCAGGGATACTATAACGACAATAAAGAGTATGGGGACAACTGCAGCGCCCGCGGCTATGCCACTCGCACGTACAGACGGTCGATTAGCGGCGGAGTGGGCCTAAGATAGAGCAGATGGTAGCGAACGTGGTGCGTGCGTAGGGGGATGGGCGATGTGGGGAATGCGGCGACAATATATGAGGAAGGGGCCACTGCAGCGTAGAAGGGGATGCGGCGCGACGCGGGGGATAGGTATAAAGCCGGTGATGAGGGTGCGGCTGCGTCGGGTACAGGCTGCGCGCTGCATCGGGCGGATGCTAGGGTGTTGATGCGGGAGGGCGTCGTGAGATCATCCGGGTCGTGAGGGGCGTGGGCAGGACCGACAGCGGGCGGTCAGCCGACGGCAATGGGCGTGCGAGCGCCCATGACCGTGAATGCGTCACGTCCACCGCTACGGGTGCTTCTCGTTCAGCTCAGCGCTAGGGCGCAACCGCGACTCGCCAGAGGGCCGTAGGCGAGATTCGCCTGACACGCGCATGCTCCGTGCTTCACCGCTTGGCCGAAGTCCTACGGTCAAGCAGTCAGTATGAGTGTATTAAGCAACGAATCTGGGAAGGAAATGAGTAGAACACTTGCAACTCACCCGGCTCTACGCTGCCTCGTACATCACCGATCGTGCTCAAGTCGATTTCTCGATCGTCATCAGTCGTGATTGCGACACCGCCGTAGGCTGCATCTGCGTCTGTATCCTCTGGGCGTAAGTTAGCAATTCCAGAAGGCGGGGAAGATGTGTCTAGCAATCAGGCCAATGGGAAACGCCCGAAAGGCTGGCGACAGGCCGAGCAAGTGAAATAAGCAAGTATCAAAATATAGCGTTAGATGAGTTATGATTCCCACCGGGTGAAAGAGAAGCAAAGGATGAAGCCGTCATAGAAGCCGCGGATAAGGCAGACATAGTCATGAAGACTCACCCCCATACTCCTTCGTCGCATGTAGCGCGTTCGCATCGGCTACATATGCACCAGACCCATCAACGTCCCGCACCATGTCACGGTCACCTGTGGACATGTTAGCTGCTGGTTGCGCGCGCAATGGGCAGGCGCAGCCATCTGCGGAACCGATGGCCAAAGGCCGCAGAAGTCCGTAGCCACCAGTTATCATCTCTCATCGACGGTCACGGACAATGGTCGGCAAGCGCCCATATGGCTAATTCGTAGGCACCCGCGGCAGGTCTTCAGTCGAGTGAGACATACCGTTCACCACGATCATGGGGTCACCCTTCAACCCATCCGCTGGCGTTTCTGGCCGTGAAGATGCAGGGCCTAGATCGGGAAGTTAATGGATGGCATCCTCGTCTGGGCGACTGCACACACCACTCGAACTCGTTGCTGTTGCCTGCGAGATCAGTTGCGTGTTCGTCGGGTAGTACGACCGCCGTTGCATGCGCTTGAAGTCGTAGGACGTGAACCTGCAGGAAAGTTGGTAAGACGAGGTCATGGACGAGGGTACGAGGAAAGACAAGATGGCAAAAGTTAGTGAAGTGAAGATATAGGAGGTAAGTGGAGTACGAGGGGGGAAATACGCACTGTTCCTCCATTTGGCGTAGTTCCGCGCTGAGATTCTCCTGGAATGCTGCTTTGCGTTGTTTTGCCTGCAAATTATGTCAGACTAGGTAGGGTTCCGGAATGCGATACGCACCTTCAGCGGGTTGTCCTCCAGCAGCAGCTCCTCCAGTTCATGCGAGGCATCAAAGTTGGCCTTTTTGGCCTGAGAAGGGGTTAGCAAGCGATCGAATGATGGGGGCGCGAGCGCGCGCAGTCAGATGAAGAATGCGAGACGCACATCAGGCACAAATGGTGAGGGGGCTTCTTTCGACTCGAGGGTGTCCCAGTTGACGGCGCCGCGGAACCATGCATGTCGGCGAAGCTGAGAGTGGTTAGCGGGCATGTAGCGAATTGGGAGTGGGCGCGCGCACCTCTGCCATGCCGTCGCGGTCATCTGGACCCGCGGGCTTGACGCCGAGACGGCGGTGGGGGTCGCGATCGAGGAGACCCTTGACGACCTGAAGGCCGGGTCTTGAGCACTTCTTTTCAGCGTCTTCGGGCCACTTGAGCGGGTCCTTGGTGATGGAGTGCGTGAGGTCGGCGTTGGTGCGGCCGCGGAATGGGCGCCTGCCGAAAAGGAGCTCGTAGGCACAGACACCAAGAGACCACCAGTCGATTTGATACGAGTAGCCGCGCTTGACGAGGATTCTGGGGGAGGGGAATAGGGTCAGTGGGGAACAGGGGCGAGAGCATGCGACGCACTCGGGAGCCATGTAGGCCATGGAACCTGCAACGCCCGTAAGCTTGCGCTCGCCGTAGTGAACCGCTATGTTGAAGTCCGTCAGGTGGGCATTGCCCTTGTCGTCGAGGAGGATATTGTCGGGCTTGATGTCGCGGTGCATGATGGACATGTTGTGAAGGTAGTCGAGGGCGGAGGAGATTTGGGCGACGTAGAAACGGACGGCGTCTTCAGAGAGCGAGCCAAGGCGCTCGAGGTGAAAGCGAAGGTCGCCGCCGAGCATGAGGTCAATAACGAAGAAGCAGTTTTCGTCGTCCTGGAAGGCGTAGCGGAGGTTAACGATGTATGCATGGTCAACCTCCTCGAGCAGCCGGCGCTCTTGAATGACGTTTGCAACTGCTTTCATCTTGACGCATTTCGCCTGGGCTGGGGTAAGTAGAGCAAGCGATGCGGCTACCGTCGCCACTGACCTTGTTGATGTACTTGAGGGCGTATAGTTCGCGTGATTGCTTGTGCTGAACGACGCGGACCTTGCCAAAGGCGCCCTTGCCTACGCATCGCAATAGAACAAAGTGGAAGAGGTTCACCTCGCCATCAAAGTCGATAGGCGTCGGTCTGCAGCACACCGCCCCCATCGCGGAAAGGAAAGAGTCGCTAAAGTCACACCCTGTCACACTCCTTGTCTCCGTCCGCCAACATGCCCGGCCCTGATTTTTGGCGTCCGCTTGTTCTCTCCGGCCCGTAAGCCCCCGCCGCGTCCCTCCGCCCCCGCTCATCGTCCTCAACAGCTCCGGCGTGGGCAAGTCTACCCTCCTTAGCCGCCTCTTTGCAGAGTTTCCCGACGCATTCGGCTTCTCCGTCTCGCATACAACCCGCAGCCCGCGCCCAGGCGAGATCGATGGCACCCACTACCACTTCGTCACCCGCGATGCCTTCCTCGCCATGCGCGAGCGCGGTGCCTTCGTAGAGTCCGCCGAGTTCTCCGGCAATCTCTATGGCACCAGCCACGCCGCCATCCGCGCCGTCCAGGCACTTGGCCGCAGATGCATCCTCGACATCGAAGCCCAGGGCGTCCGCCAGCTCAAGCAGTCCCCCGTCTTCGAGGGCGCGAAGGAATCCCCCGACTCGCTCCCGAAGCCCGTCTACGTCTTCATTGCCCCTCCTACCCTCGCCGATCTTCGCGCGCGCCTTGCTGGAAGAGGTACCGATACCCAGGAGGCCGTACAAAAAAGGTTGGCTGTCATATCAAGCTTTCTCGTACAATTGCGTCACAATTCGTAGGCTCGCCACCGCCCTGAAGGAGATTGAGTACGCAAGCTCACAACCCGCACCCCACGATCTCGTCCTCGTCAACGATGATTTGGATCGCGCCTACGCCCTCTTCAAGCAGATCGCACTGGGCGAGCAAGTCGCTGCCGATGCCATGCCTGCCTACAATATTGAGTCGGCAGAGTTAAAACCTGTCGGCGTGGCTTCGTAGTATCCCGGTCATGCTTGTGTGCAATAGACTTGGGGACAGCTAGAATTGATGAATTTCTGGGAAAATGTAGACTCGAACCAGTCCCGCTCGCGGAAGGCGGAAGGCAGACGAAAGGCAGGCGGAGGCGACGAAAGCCACCTACGGTATCCGGGCCCGGAAGCCGAAGATAGTTGGAAGTAAAAGCGGTGCCCGCGGAAGGCGGAAGGCAGACGAAAGGCAGGCGGAGGCGATGAAAGCCACCTACGGTATCCGGGCCCGGAAGCCGAAGATAGTTGGAAGTAAAAGCGGTGCCCGCGAAGCGGGGACTGGAACATCTCGCTTAGTAGCTAGTACAGTCAAAAGTTTCCCATGAATATATGCGACTTAGAGAAAATCGCGACGAGCTCCAGCAGCAACTTTGCCTATAACACTCGCCTCTACCCTTCGCTGCCCACAAAATCTCTCCAGATGACCCCGGCACGGTGTCCGATGGCACTTGTTGCCTCGAAAATGACCTACAGCGCATGAACGGCGGCATTTGAGCAACAACCTTCGTGCAGGCCAGTACCGATCAGGCGCGCCCAACGGCGTGACGTCGATCCTCTCGCCTCTCCCTGTTGGGTGCCGCTGGATCGGATATGCATACAGGCAGCGCGCAGGGACTTTGGAGCCCCTTGAGGTGCGCGTCATCACCTTCATCGTGCGGCCGATACCTCGTACTGACCATCCCTGATCATGGTGGCGTTCGCCTCTGGCGCGCTTCACTGCGCGGCGCCCTAGGCGCCAATTCGTGTTTTAACGCGTACCAGCAGCCTCCGACAGTGCCACCCCCTCTCCCCGACTGAGGCATTCCAGTTGTTGCATTGTGAACATCCATCGCCCAACATTGCCAAGATCACCGTGCTCGTCCGCCCATCCCTCGCAAAACGAGGACCACGGCCACGAGTCCACCAGCTTTGCCACCTCTGACACTACCTATGCTCACATCGCTGCCGATTTGGCTAGTCTTGGGGAACGACATCGTTGTTGTTGGTTGCGCCGCTGCGTACCTTGCCCTTGGACGCCATGGCGCGCATACATACTGCATCGTAGAGGATATTCGCATATATCGCATGAATTCAGCATACATCATTGCATTTTTCTATAGCAGGGGCTGCCAGACTACGCTATAAGCACCATAAACCCGTGTTGAGACAGCAAGCACGGCCGATGGCGCGTTGGAGGCGCGTCGGTTGGCTGGGAGGATGTGCCAAATTTTGCTAAGTCGCACATATTCGTGGGAAAAAGCTCGACTGTCCTAAAAGTGCTCGAGATGTTCCAGTCCCCGCTCCGCTCTTCTAATCGGGCAAGTATCAGCTTGCTTTGACCTCGACTTCCGCGGAGCGGGGACTGGCTCGAGTCTAGGGAAAATGTGACTAGAGGATATGTAGTCTGCTATTAGCACCAGACCTGAAATTCAGTATATTCACAGGTGCAAGGTGCACGATTGTTGTGAGCCGATTTGTGAATTGTCACGAGTTGGTTATTGTACTGTACAGCTCGACTCTAGCAGTCACTCGGTCACGTCACGCGTTCACGCCTTATATACCGAGTAGTCACACCTATACACTCTTTAGTCCGTGCGTTGTCGCCTTCGGTTTGTGTCTGTGTTCGGCGTTGCCGCTGGGTGCGCCAGCCCCTCCAGCTTGCCGCTGAGGGGGGCCTCTGAGGCCCTGCCCGGGGCTTTGTACCGGGTCTGTTGCTTGCCTTTCCTCCTTGCTGCTGCCATCCGACCGCTGGGTCGTATTCAATCATCCATCGCCGACGCTCCTGCTATCCGCAACCTCCCTACCCGTCGGTCACTCCTTGCATCCACTTCTGATATGAATCAGCAAAGGATAAGAACGGTGCGCAGATTGGGTGGCATACAGTCGTTGACCACGTGATTTGACACCATCAGTCACGTTTGACACCAAAGGAAAATGCCACACCTAGGCCCGCTCGGTGTCTGTCCGGCCTGCAAAATGGCTTACAAAATTACCTTAACATATACTGAGCACTAATATGACACTGTATATGCCATATAGGGGCCTCAATGCGAGCAATAGACCTTGTTTTCCGGTGAATGCTTCTAGTCACCCTGCTTTTCAAGCTGTAATCGCGATGTTGAGTCATATTGAAGAGGCTCCTTACAGCCTCAGCTGTACCAGTACACAGCCACTGTATGTACGAGCATTTTGACATCTGAACGGTGTTAGAGAACTCTCGGGATGCAGCGCTACGACGTGAAAACCAGCTGTCTAAGAGCTGTGTGACAGATGGTGTCACAGTTCAAACTGCTGTACTGCCGTTTCCACGGACAAAGAATCAGCTTGAAAGTTGGTAATTTGAGTTATATATGATGACGGACACTACGCTATACCTTCTCGTGCGGTGAATGTACGTGTGTGAGCCAGAGACAGCGGGATTCCGTGGCAGGGAGGCCTGGTTTTGACACAGCAGATGTACCTGGGAGCTGAATTCCCTGGAAACTGCCCAATTCGGAGCTATCATGGCTTCAAAGGGGAAATATCTTCTAAAGGCATGGTATGGAAAGTCTTTGAGGCTCACACACCAGTCAGGATGCTGATGTGGGTGTCGGTTTGACCCAGTTCACACGCCTGTAAAAGCACGTTGAATTGGCCGTTTCCCACGGAGACGCAGAGAGCGCGCTCTCCTTCCTTCGTCTTACCTTCCTTCCCCTCCAAATTCTGATATGTTCTAGAATACATGTACTATCACTCGCCTGATTTTTCTCGGGGCGATACAAGGTCAAGGAAGCCCTCAGGACCAAAATTACAGAAGGGTGTCAAACCACGTGGTCAACGACTGTATCGAACGGGACCGCCTCCAATTGGCTGGGCCACAGTTTGCCCTTTCATTCGTATTCAAATAGTATTTACATGTATCTAACCACGCGATGGACGGTGTGCCCACGGGCGCCCACGTCCCGCGCTCCGCGTGCATACGCGCCCTCGGCGCTCTACCTGTGTTCACTAACACAGTGTCATCCGTCAGCAGACTCGGTGGACGACAGTCCTCTGTCTGCTGATCGGCCAGTTCTCGTCTGCGTCCCTTGCCGGAGCTGCGTGACCATTGGCTGCCCTTTCAAGACACACCCTTGTCCGGTGTCTCCCTGAGACACAGACTCCTCGTATACCCAGGGGGGAGCCCGAGAGGTCTTTGGTGTTCTTCATTCTGACCTCCCGGATCCCCTCAGGTACATAGTACGAGTCCACGGCGTTCTTCATTCTGACCTCCCGGTCACCCTCAGTCCTTGTGCTTTTTTGACTACCTGCCCTCCGCTCCCTTGTATATACTCGTACACTGTACAGTTAGAGTGGTATCCCTCTCGAATGTGTTGTTGTAGTCATAGTCGCCAATGAGTTCCACAGGATAGAATGTATTCCGGTTGTCCTACGTGGTGGTACGAGGACAAACGGATAAGGTAACAACTACAAAATGCGGTATATAATGCGCTGATCACGTGCGCGTGCGGCGATTGCCGAAACCTGAATTCCACACACCCCCACAAGCGCTGCACATCGCACGAGGTATAGTAGAGTGTAGGTACCATATTGTGAGTAGAATGCACCCCCAGAATCCAAACAAACCTGCAATTATCGTTCGGCAGCAGCAACACGTCGCGATTACCAAATTGGGCCAGAGAACGACGCGTCGTCGAAATCGCCCAAAAAGGAAGGTCGTGATCGTCGGCATCGGCAGCGTCGGGCAAACAAAAATTTTCTTCGTTGTCATCACGTCTCGTCTCATCGGGGTGATCGCCAACAGCCTTCACTCGGTTGCTGGGTCTTGGGACTTGTCAGAAGTGGTCGGTAGGGCGAGTCTGCCTTCACCCGGAGTCACATGACCGCTCCCAACTCCAGGAATCACTGTGTCACATTCCCAGAGTTGGTGTCACATGATCACATGACTTTTCCCCACGCTTTGCCCCGGTGGCCCCGTACATACGCGTGTATTCTTTCCTTCTTTTCCCTCAGTCGCTATCCTATACGCAGGAAGACTGAGGGTATGTCTTTTACTTACTTTACTCCTACTTATACTGACTGTACTTTAGTCTTGCGCTCTCTGCGCTTATTTAGGTATGAATTCAGTCACTATCCTATACGCAGGAAGACTGAGGTCTTGCGCTCTCTGCGCTTATTTAGCTCGTGAAAGGTTATGAGCCCCGTGGCCTAAATCGAGCAAGACTTCGATCTGCGACTCACTCTATCCCACTCTGTGCCATGGCTCCCAAGGACAGCAAGGTCCCAACGCTCACCAACGCGGCGGACTGGCCGCTCTGGCGCCTCCGGGTCACCGACGCCCTCAACAGGGACGATCTCACCTCTGTGGTGACTGGATCGGAGAAATCCCCTCCCCCTGAGATCGCGGTGACTCCACCGACGCCAACAACGTCCTCACCCCCGTCCACGTCACCCGGCGCTCCGGCGACCACCACCACATCCACAGGATTGGGCTCCTCCTCCACCTCTCACCAAGTTGCGCGGAGGGAGACCTGGTCCTGGTGGAACGCCCGCGCCCTCTCCACCATCCGGGAGCACCTCTCAAATGACATTGCCCTTGAGCTCCACGAGTACCAGCACACGAGCGAACTCTGGGAGAAACTCGTCGAGAAGTTCGAGCAGACCAACACCAGCGAGATGGCGGTCACCGAACTGATCAAGATCTTCCGCGCGAAGCTCGCCGACGCCAACGATGGAGACGTCTCCCGCGAGGCGATGAGCGTGCACATCCACCGCGTCCGGCAATCGGTCACCCAGCTCGCCACTCTTGGCTACCCCCTCAACGCCAACCTCGTCCCCCTCATCCTCCTCGCCTCCCTTCCCAGCTCAGAGAAGTGGAAGATCGTCTCGTCCGGTATCTCGGCGGGCAGCTCCAAGGCCGCGCCCCTCACCCTCTCCTACGTCGAGGTGAAGCTGATGGCGCAGGTGATCAGCAAGGAGGACTCGGACGATGAGCAGGCATACGCCGCCTCCTCTTCTCGCGCGCCCCCACCGCGCAAGCCCAAGGACAAGGGCAAGAAGAAGGCCAAGGCGAAGGTGTCCTGCGTCATCCACGACGAGAGGCACTCCACTGAGGAGTGCAAGACGATCATCGGGCAGAAGGAGAAGGCGCTGAAGAAGCGGAAGGAGCGGGCGGCGGAGAAGGCGAAGGCGAACAAGGTGAAGGACTCGGACTCGGATTTGGACTCAGACTCGGACTCGGATGTAGACGACACGCATGTAACCGTCTCGCGCTGCGCCTACAAGAAGATTTCCGCCTATGTCCAGT